CTGGAGCAGACTTGTGCCTCCACTACACGCGAGACGAGGAGCTTGCCCGAGAGTCTGTGTGCGACGCGCTGTGCTTCGAGATGCGTGCACTCGATGAAGAGGTCGCTCTGCGTCTTGCCTGCGATTCTGTCAAAGACATAGTGGACTGGCGCGCAGTTCACGCTGTACGCTGGCAAGGGGAAGTCGAGGCTAGCAGCGTTAGCTCATTGAGAGGAGGGAAGGACAGCATACAACTCTACCACTTGTTCTGTGGAGACATCCCAAGCTGGCTGTGTCAGTGCAAGAGCAGGTGAGGGAGCGCATACGGATGTTGCTGATCTGAATGGTTGCATGGAGCGAGAGGACGATGTGCTCGGTGCGAGTCGACAAGGGCACGCCGGTTGCTGCGAGTCTTGTGCGGATGGCAGCGTAGAAGTCAGCGGCAGACTGGACGGGCATAGCAGATGAGGGAGCGACTGGAGAGCAGAGCAGAGCAGAGCAGAGCAGACAGGCGCAAAGGGAAGAGTGCTGTCTGGTCGTTGAAGGTCAAGACGACGACGAGAGACAGACAGAAGAGCAGAGCAGACAGAAGAGCAGAGAGAGCAGACAGAGCACAAGAGCACAAGAGAGTAGAGCAGCAAGAGTTCTACATAGACGGGTACGCACTAGGCATTCACTGGCTGTTAGCAGTTGCATCATTGAACAAAGACACTTACTGTACAAGGACTGGTCAATCTCGTCTGGGAGCTCCGTGATGGATACTTCGAAGCGTCCCTGGATCTTGGCAAGCACTTCCTGGTCCTCCGGTGTCGAGACGAACGTGATGCCCAGACCTTTTGTGCCGAAACGACCTGCACGACCGACGCGGTGGAGGTACGAGTCTGGGTCTGCTGGGATGTCGTAGTTGATGGCGATGTTGATGCGCTCAATGTCGATACCACGGCCAAAGACATCGGTACACACGCAGATACGCTTCTCAAAGGCTTTGAACTGCTTGTAACGCGCAATACGCTCCTCCTGCAAGAGGCCTCCATGAATGGCAATCGAGGGGAAGTTGCACTCGCGCAGCAGCCGGTCGAGCTCTTCAGCACGACGCACACTCTTGACAAAGATGACGACCTGGTTGAATTCGAGCGAGTCGAGGAGGTCGTTGAGCTTGCGGTTCTTTTGGCTCTCCTCGAGCTTGACAAAGTGCTGCTGGAGGCCGTGCAGGGTGAGCTTTGTCTCGTCGTCCACAAAGATCTCGAGCGGGTTCTGCATAAACTTCTTGCACACAGGTCGGATCTCCTGGGCAAGCGTGGCGGAGAACATCATGACCTGCTTAGTGTGAGGTGTTGCGCGGAAGATGTCCTGGATATCGCGTCGCATGTCCATCGTATCGAGCATCTTGTCGCACTCATCGAGCACGAAATGCTTGACGCTGCCTGCACGGAGCTGCTTGTCGCGAATGAGGGCGTTGAGGCGACCGGGCGTTGCGACGACAATGTGCGGGCACTGTGCCTTGTCCTTGAGCATCTCGACGTCCTTGGTCACGGAGGTACCTCCATAAAAGGTGGCAGTCCTGACGCCGGGCAGATACTTGCTGAAGCGGGCATACTCATTGCGGATCTGGTACGCGAGTTCACGCGTATGGCAGAGGACAATGACGGAGACTTCGCCGTCGACGGGCTCAATCTGCTGGAGGGTTGCAAGGACAAAGACCGCCGTCTTACCGAGACCGGACTTGGCCTGGCAGAGGACATCCATGGCGAGGATGGCCTGCGGAATGCATACTTGTTGGACTTGTTGTTAGACGGGTGTTTTGTATAGGTAATGAGTGTGTGGGAGCGTACCCTCTGAAGGATGCTCGAAGCCGCAGTCGGTGATAGCCCTGAGGAGCTCTGGCTTGAGGAGGAAGTCGCGGAAGCCTGTGCTGTGGATACCGACGTAGGATCCCTTTTTGTCGTCCTGCGCGGGTGTCTGCTTTGCCTGGACAGGCTGGACGGTCTGCTCGTCGTCTGACTCGTAGTCGATGAGGTCCTCTTCGTGGCTCATGGCTGGCTGATACGTTGCTTGTGCGAGGAAGGGTTGGTGAGAGGGTTGGATGGGTTTGTGCTTGTTGCTCTTGGTCGTTGCTGCTGCGATGAAGGATTTCTCTGATTTCGCTGCTACTGGCTTAGGCCCTACTACAAGTCTACTACTAGTCTACTACTAGTCTACTACTAGTCTGCTATGAAGAGCAACACCCACTACAGCTTCGACAGCTTGTCCTGCGCCTGGGCCTCAGCCGTGTAGCCCATTCCACGCCAGGGGACACCGAGGAAGGCGGCAATTTGCTCGTATCGGTCGTTGCCAAACCAGTACTCCGTCTTGCCATGCTTCTCGACCTCAAACCAAGGCATGCCAAAGGCGCCTTGCTCGAGGATCTTCTTGGTGGGCACAATGAGCTTGTCCTTCCACGCTGCTTCCGTGGACTGCTGCATGTACTTGCGTGCTCGGTCTTCTGGAATGACAGAGGACAAGGCATCGAGGATGACTTGGTCACTGGCCATGTCCTTGTGCTCCGTCCAGGCTGCCCGCCACAGGGCCCCTGCACAGTTGAGGAAGTCCTTGTCCTGCTCGCCAGCCTTGAGACAGGTGAGGATCCGCTGATGCTTCAAGGAGTTGTAGGGGAAGTGCGGCGGCATCTCAAACTTGCCCAACTTGAGTGTCTTTGTGATGCGTTCAATGTCCTTGGCCATGTAGTGGCCCTTTGCAGCGACCTTGCTGTGTGAGTGTGTATGCCAAGGGAGAAGAGACGTACCGACAAGGGGGGCCTGTTGCCTGCCTCCTTCATGATGACCCCGAGGGAGATTGGGATGACCTCGATGTCGATGTCCTTCCAGAGGCCTCGGTATGCCTGGACGATGTGGAAGGCAAAGTAGGAGTATGGGGATACGCAGTCGATGTAGAGGGTTAGTTTGGCCATGCTGAGCTGGTAAGTAGCTGTAGCTAGTCAGTATATAATATATAGTATAGTATATAGCTGTAGCTGTAGCTGCTTCCCCGCGTCTTCTCTGCGCAAACAAGCAAAAGAACCAAGGACCAGATACCAGACACCGCAGACAGGGACCAGACAGGAGTAGGCAGGAGTAGGCAAGGAGTAGGCAGGCCAGTCTCATGGCAGCAGACACCATCACCAACAGCAGGCGGCTCAGTCCACTCCGCAAACCAGTCGCAACAGCACCAGCAGCAGCAATACCTCCTGCAGGCGACATGCAGCACCAGCATCCAGGCCAGCTCTCCCCCGGCGCCATGACCCAGCAGCTGCAGGAGCTCAGGCTGCAGGAGCCCGTCGAGGACGAGATGTTTGATCCAAAGCGCGGCACTTATATCCCATACGGCGGCTTCGACACAGTCCTGGACAGCTACTACACCGAGGGAGACCCAACAGACCTCAAGATCCTCGCGCCAAGTCAGATGCAGCGCAGAGAGCAGAGTCGCTCGCCGCAGAGGGCATTGCAGGCACAGCAGCAGCAGCCGGTAGTGCAGCAGCAGCAGCCAGTAGTGCAGGCACAGCAGCAGCAAGCATATCGCCAAGGGCCGCCGCCGCCGAGGCCTCCGCCTTCGCAAGACTACTACGAAGACCAGCGCGACTACCAGGAAGGGCCGTATGATCCATACGTTCAGCCGCAGCATCAGCATCAGCCGCCGCAGCAGAGGATGCATATGCCCATGCAGCATCCTCAGCAGCGCATGATGCCACCACGCCAGGGCCCTCCGCGTATGCAGCAGCAGCAACAAAGACCTGATGTGAGGATGCGGCCAGCGCAAGGACCAGGACCAGGTCCAGGCTATGACCCGCGTATGGGTCCTAGACAAGCATACAGGCCCAATACCGCTGGCCCATACCAGCCAGGACAACCACCACAGGGCTATGCCGGGCAACCAGGACCACCGCCGCAGCAAGGCCCGTACCCGCAAGCTCCTCAAGCGAGCGGTCCGTATCCAGGCGGCTATCCGCCAAGCAATCCTGGACCGCGTGGTCGGCCGTACAACGGTCCTCCCAGGCCAGTCACTGGAGCAGGACAAGCACCAGGCCGCAGTCCGCCCATGCGCCACGGAGCAGATGTCGGTGGTGGCAGCTACGACCTTGCTGCACCGCTGCCGCCTCGTCAGGAAGCGTATGCGCAAGGTCCACCGCCTGCTCGACAAGAGCCGTACCAAGCGATGCCTCCTCCGCAGCAGCAGATGCAGCAAGCCTATCGCAACGGCCCTAGTCCTGCACCCTCTCAAACGCGTTCAGAACACATGCAGCGTGTTACCTCGCCGCCTGTTCAGCAGCAGGCACCGGCCACAGCTCCCTCCAGTCAGCGCAACAGTGCTCGCAGTGAAGACAACGCTGACATGCTCATGCAAGAGACTGAGCCGCCCGTCACCTTGCAGTCCCTCAATGGATTGCGACGCGAAGCTGCGCAGCGCAACGATCCGGCCACATCGCTCAAACTCGTCAAGAAGCTCATGGAAGCAGCAGAAGTGCTATGCAACGAACCAGATGCAAAGCAAGCACGACGCAGCAAGGACGATTACAACAGAGAAGCCCTGCGCACACTCAAGCAAATCACATCCCAAGAATCGCCCTTCCCAGATGCAGTCTTTTTTCTCGCAAACTGCTACGGCAACGGTGCACTGGCTCTCGACGTGGATCATCAGCGGGCTTTTGCTATGTATGAATCCGCCGCAAAGCAGCAGCATGCACCTTCGGCTTACCGTACAGCTGTGTGTCTCGAAATTGGCGCCGGCACAAAACCAGACGTCGCTCGGGCGGTGCGTTTCTATGAACGTGCAGCCAATTATGGCGATGTCGCGGCCATGTACAAGCTCGGTATGATTCTGCTGCGAGGTCTGCTCGGTCAGCAGCCAGATGCACGCGGCGCTATTGGTTGGCTTCAAAAGGCAGCAGACAAAGCGACCGTTGACAATCCACATGCTTTGCATGAACTCGCGTTGCTGTACGAAAAGGGCGACCCGCATGCCGGTATTGCACAGCATGAGCAACTCGCCAAGGACTTGTTTACGCGCGCTGCAAAGCTTCACTACGCACCGAGTCAATTCCGCTTGGGATACGCGTATGAGTATGGCACGCTTGGCTGTCCAGCGGATCCACGTCGCTCCATTGCTTGGTACTCGCGCGGCGCAGAGCGTGGCGATCCAGAATCTGAGCTTGCACTGTCTGGTTGGTATCTGACGGGCTCAGACGGTGTTCTTGCTCAAAATGACCGCGAAGCCTACCTATGGGGCCGCAAAGCAGCTGAGCGCGGTCTTGCTAAAGCTGAATTCGCAGTTGGCTACTTTTACGAGTCTGGCATTGGCACAGAGGCCAATACGGAAGAAGCCATCAAGTGGTACAAGCGAGCCGCCACTGCGGGTCAGAAGAAGGCACAAGATCGATTGCTGGCACTCACGGGCAAGAAGCCTCGGCGCTAGTCTTGTTTGAAAGGGGGTCATGTCATTGCTTCCTTGTACATCTACCTGTACGTTCATCTCTTTGTCTATTGTCGCGTCCACCATCTCTTCTGGGCTGGCCCAGAGAGCGTCAATTTCTGCATCATGCGCAGCTTGCGTCCAAATGCAAACAAGACGCATATTGTCAAGAGACCTGCGCCTGCCGAAGCAGCGGCAAAGCCATACGCAGACGTCTCCATGTAATTCACCAAGTTCATCCCGTATAATCCTGCAAGTAATGTCCCTGAACCCACTGCCAATGTTGCGATAGTCACGCGAATCTCAAACAGCATGAGGCTGTTGCGGTGCGCATCAAGAATGATATTGACAATATCTTCCGTGTTGCGGATGTTGCTGACGAGTGTCTCTGTGACTTGTACAATCTCATCCGTTTGTTTCAAGTAGGATTCAAGCAGCAGCTCCACCTCATCATGCTGATCCTCGGGCCTTTCTCGGCCTTGCTTCTTTTCTGTGAGGTACATATCAGCCAGATCTTCGTCTTGCTCGAGCAGCTCATCCAGATGATCGCGAATGAGGGTCGCTTTTCTCAAAAAGGCGGATAGGCGTTTTGAGTAGACGAGCAGGCTCTGTAGCTTGTCGCGATGGACATCTGCCTCCAAGTCAAGCAGCAGCTGTTCCACCAAGGCCTGCAGCACCTTGAGCTCTGCGTCTAATGCCGTCACGACCGAAATGAGAATGGCTTCGAGAGCACGGAGCTCATATGCTAGTCCGCCCATGTGCTTGCTCCCTTGCCGCAGCTTGCCCTCGAGATCATACATAAAGACAGACTGCGTATGTGAGTCTGTTGAGCCGTACACATCAAACACCAAGACTAGATCTGCCTTGACCAATGCTCTGATGTGCAGCAGATTGATGAGGATGGAGTTCTTGCGCACGAGAATGGACGGCAGGATGGTATGCAGGCCCGTATCGACCTTGCGCAAGTCTCGCGGCAGCAGACCATGCTTCGTGCATAACTCAGACTTGCGGAACTCGCCCGAGACGACGCGGACATTGCCGCGTGCATCAAACTCTGTGCAGCGGACGAGTAGCTCGGGCGAGGCGTTGCGCATGAGGGAGCGCTCGTAGAGGCTGCGCTCCGGTCCATCGATGAAGGAGAGGGACTGCGACTCTGCGCGGACCTGGTTGACGTAGTGCCTGAATTGAGCAATGCGCGGTGGCCTGAAGAGCCTCTGCATCTATCCTCCTCTTATGCTCCTGCAACGGCCTCACGTAGACAGCAGCTGGAGTCTTGCGCTGGTCCTGGTCGTGGCGAACAAAAAGTGAAAGCGACGCGACGACGCATCATCTTCATCCTCCATGGCCGACTGGTACACGGCGCTCGAGGGCGTTGGCAGGCGCGTACAGGAGACAGTCAAGGCGTCCCTCGTGACTGTCCAAGAGAGCATCGCAGACCTCGCACCTGGTCCACTGCAGTCAGCGCCAGTCCCAATACCACAGCCGCCTTCACCAGGTCTAATCGATCGCACAGTCAGGAGTGTTGACGAGCACAAGCTTGCTCTGCTGGTCGCATGCTGCGCGGGTGCAGGTATAGGTGGATACTACCTCTATAAACACAAAAAGAAGAGACGCGCACCGCGAACAGCCAATGCGAGTCGCAAAGAGGTTGTCGTCGTCGCAGACTACACACACGGGCTAGCGCGCAGTCTTGCACTTGATCTGGAGCGCCGCGGCTTCATTGTCTTTTGCCTCTGTGCAAACCCGCAGGAGCGTAAGCAGATTGAGCAGGAAGGCCGCGCTGATTTGCGTCCACTCGTTGTGGACAGTGCTGCTGGTCTCGCACCGAGTCTCGAGCACTTTTCCGCGTTCCTTGCCCTCCCAGCACCGGCCTTTCATGGCGGCCATACACTTCACTTTGCCGGCTTGATTCTGGGTCCTGCGCAGGCGAGTGCGGGCCCATTAGAGTTGCTGGCGCCTGGACAAGCAGAGCATGTCCTGCAGACTGCCTTGGTGCGACCACTCGACCTGCTCCAGGGATTCTTGCCGCTTGCACGCGAACACAAGGCGCGCATCCTCGTGCTGACAGACTGGTTGGTCCCTTCACTGCATGCGCCGTTCCATATCCCACAAACAGCTGCTGCGCATGCACTCGCGGCAACAGCGCGTTCTCTTCGTCGCGAGGTGCCAACACTCAAGACGATTCACTTGAAGCTTGGAACGTTTGATTTGGCGCACAAGGGCAATGGCGCGAGTGTACGTCGCGTGCGTGGCTCACCCGTCAAGCAGCTGCATCATGCTGTCTTTGATGCGCTGATGGATCGATGGCCTGCGACGACGGTGTGTGTTGGTAGCGGCGTGCGGACATATGAGACATTGGCGCATCTGCTTCCAGAGAGTGTCCTGCGTCGTCTGCTGGAGAGCCGTCCGTTGTAGCGCTCTATATCTTGTCCATAGCTGGTCGTGTAGCCAACTTGAAGCTTTTGTCGACGTCTGCTTACCTCTTCAGCTACACGACAACCAGACCAAGGGGAGTCAGCAGTAGAAGACGCTGCAGCAATGTCCATGATGCCCAAGTCAGAGGCAGGCCGCAAGTATGTGCACTGCCAATGTCTACCATCTAGCCAGGAGGAGCGCTAACCTCGCAGGGCACTCGCCATGGTTCTCTGGGGCACCATCACGATGGGTGTCGGCTGGTCCTTCATGCGCTTCACGACACCTACAGATGAGGATATATACCAGCGTCTGTCGCCTGAGCTACGAAGACAATATGACCGCGAAAAGGACAGCCGGCGCAAAGCCAATGACGCTTCGTTGCAGCAAGTATTCGATATGCGCAACCTCGATCGGCCGGCATGGCGCACAGATGTACCGGCTGACTTGAAGAAGGCCGGCGAGAAGCAGCGCATACCGCTGACGCTTGACTCGAAGGAGCAGTAGTCACTTGTGTTTGAAAATAGCATGGAACAGCATAGGTATGGAATGATCAAAAGGACATATAAACTTGAATACCCTGGAGCATGTGCACCCTAGAGCTTTGCAGCAGCGCCCGTCGTGGTGACTTCGTCGTAGATTTGCGACGTCAAAAAGTCGCTAAAGGTGCCGTCCTCGCCTGTGATTTGTGTGCCAAAGTACCTGGCAGCCAGCTCGTACTTGTTGTCCTTGGGAGCTTTGCCCTTGAGCTCGTCCGTCACCTCACGCAGGTACTGGTGGTTCATCTCTTTGGTGACGGTAGAACCCTCGGCCGTCTTGGGCTGGTGCTTGGCCCACTGCCAGAGCTGAGCACGGGAAATCTCGGCGGTGGCGGCATCCTCCATGAGGTTGTTGATGGGCACACAACCCGTACCACGCAGCCAAGCCTCCATGTACTGCAATCCAATGCGGATGTTTTCCTTGACACCTTCCTCTGTGATTTTGCCCGGGACGTTCATGTTGAGAAGGTCCATCTGCTTGGTCTGCACATCCTCGCGACGCTTGTAGATCTGATTGGGTGTCTTCATGTGCTCGTTGAAGACATCCATAGCGATTTTGCCGAGTTCAGGGTGAGCAATCCAGGTTCCGTCATGACCAGCCTTGACTTCACGGAGCTTGTCGTCGTAGACCTTCTTCATGGCAGCCTTGTTTTCAGCAGAGGCACGATCCTTGAGCGGAATCTGAGCAGCCATACCACCCATGGCGTGCACACCGCGCTTGTGGCAAGTCTGAATGAGGAGCTCAGTGTATGACTTCATAAAGTTGACAGTCATGGTGACATCGCCACGGTTTGGCAGGACGAATTGAGGATTCATCTTGAGCTTCTTGATGAGGGAGAAGATGTAGTCCCAACGACCGCAGTTGAGGCCAGCAGAGTGGTCGCGCAGCTCGTAGATGATTTCATCCATTTCAAACACAGCGAGGATCGTCTCAATGAGCACCGTTGCACGGATGGTACCGCGGGGCATGCCAATGTAGTCCTGGGACAAGTTGAAGATGTCGTTCCATATGCGCGCCTCGAGGTGAGACTCGAGCTTGGGCAGGTAGAAGTAGGGGCCGTGACCGTTCTTGACGAGCGTCTTGGCGTTGTGGAAGAAGTAGAGACCAAAGTCAAAGATGCCGCCGGCAATGGGCTCACCATCGACCAAGAAGTGCTTCTCCATGAGGTGCCATCCACGTGCACGGACAATCAAGGTGGGCACAACCCGACCAGGTGTCAGATTGAGCTTGTACTCCTTGCCGTTAGGTCCCTTGAAAGCAATCTTGCGGGCGATGGCGTCCCTCAAGTTGATTTGGCCATTAATCAGCACATTCCAAGTTGGGGTGGAGGAGTCCTCAAAGTCTGCCATGTAGGTGGCTACGTCCGAGTTGAGGGCATTGATGACCATCTTGCGGTCAACGGGTCCGGTGATCTCGACTCGGCGGTCGACCAAACCTGGGGAAGGGGGTGCGCCGCGCCAAGTTGCGTTGTCCCTGATGTGCTTTGTGGCTGGGAGGAAGTCTGGGAGGTCGCCTGCATCGAGCTGAGCCTGCCTGTCTACACGGCGCTGCATGAGCTCCTTCCTGCGAGGCTCGAATGCGCGGTGGAGGCTTGCAATGAATGCAATTGCCTCCTTGGTGAGGATGGTCCTTGCTGGGGCATCGAGGTTGCCGAGAATGGTGACGCCTGAGGTATCTGCGAGGTGTGAGTTCATGATGCGGTCTTGGATGGATGAAGGGTGATGGGGTGGTGGTCGAGGGAGTTGGTCGTGGTGGTGGTGGTTGCTGAGTGCGGAGTGGAGCGGCGGCAGAGTCCGGGCAGAGAGACCGAGGCCGGGGATGCGCACAGATTCCTTTGATATCGGCAAGTCTCCAGCTGCAGCTCCAGTCGTGAACTGTAACGGTAGTGTAACCCGCTTCATTCTTGCAAGAATCAAAGGATTCACTCACTAATCCTTTGATATCGGCAACGTTCAGTCTAGCCAACCCTAGAATTCCTCGAATACAAACTGATTCTTGCAAAATCAAAGGATCTGGATATTAAATCCTTTGAGATCTGCAACATTCAGCCTGGCCAACCCTAGGATTCCTCGATTTCAGACTGATTCTTGCCAATATCAAAGGATCAGCCCGTTGCTATTTACTCTTCACGACAACACACACACAGTCCACTGACTCTACTCAAGCACCTAGGTTGAAAGACACCATGGACCGCTACGAGGTGCTAGAGCTCATCGGCAGAGGCTCATTTGGTGAAATACGCAAAGTCAGGCGGATCCACGACGGGGCCATCCTCTGCCGCAAGGAAATCCTATGGCGCAAAATGAAGCAGCGTGAACGCGAACAGCTCCAGGCAGAGATGCGCATCTTGGCCTCCCTACAGCACAAGCACATTGTACAGTACATTGAACAAGTTACTGACCAGTCAACAAAAATGGTCTACATCTACATGGAATACTGCGGCAATGGAGATTTGCATGAACTCATCACAGCGCGCAAAGAACAGAATCCAGGCGTCAAGTTCGCAGAGGCCATGATCTGGCAAGTTTTCTCGCAACTTTGCCTTGCTCTGTATCGCTGCCACAACGGTTTCGATGCGCCCCCGGTCGATGACTTGACGGCAGAACGGACGAGCGACGTCCAACAACCACAGCCACGCATGCAAAATACCGTCCTCCATCGAGACATCAAGCCGCAAAACATCTTTTTGGATCACGATAACCGCGTGAAGCTGGGCGACTTTGGTTTGTCAAAGGAAGTCACTGGGCCGGGACTCGCAGACACCTATGTCGGCACTCCTTTTTACATGTCTCCCGAAATTATCGCTGGTAGAGCGTACAATGCAAAGAGTGATATATGGGCCATGGGCTGCTGCATCTATGAACTATGCACCTTTGAGCCACCCTTCCTTGCACGAGATCAGCAAGAACTCAACGTCAAGATCAAGGCCGGGCAAATCACCAGCGTCACCCGCCATGGCTATTCGGAAAGTCTCGATCGCGCCATCCGCGCTTGTTTGTCACAGAGTGAACAGCGCAGACCGAGCGCAGCCACTTTGCTGCGTATGCAGGAAATGCACCTCGCGCGTCGGCTCGCACACATCACAGAACAAGAGTCGCAGCTACAACAACGGCAAGAGCAAGTCGAAGCAGGCGTTCGGCGTGTCGAAGCTATTCTCAATCAACGCAGTCATGAGCTGGATCAGAGGGAGGCACAGCAAGCGCAGCAGGCCGCACAGCTCGAACAACTTGCTGCTGAAAATGCACAGCTGCGTCGTGAATTGGAACGTCTCAAACCGGCAGAGTCGCATCGTGTATCGGATCCAGTTCCGCGGCCAAGCATGCCAGCGCGAGCACAATCAGCAGCTCCGCTCGTTAGGGACGACCCGCTCAATCTGTATCCGCACGAGCACATACCGCTCCCAACAGTACAGTGCAAGCGACCCATTTCACCGCGACGCAAGTCGCAAGTGCCCGTTGCTCGCCGTCTAGAAGCGATCCGTCCACCCCTGACGGATCAACTCAACTTGCAGCAGCAACCCCCTCCTTCACGCCTCTCGCTACCGGCTAGCAACAATGAGAATGCACCCCTCACACCGCAGAAAACAATGCAGAACTTATCCTTGGTCTCTTCACCAACGCGTCTGCTTGCCTCACCAAAGCGTCGGCTGTCCATGTACCCATCACCTATGTCAACCAGTTCCATCCGAACACGAACATTGACAGGTGTACCAAGGACTTTGTTTTTGGAGGAGGATACACTGGACCGTCGGCGTGTCCTGCAGCGTGAAGACCAGCGTGTGGCACCCCCGGCACCGGCTCGCAAAAGCGGTGTGAGTCTACAACGACAAGCCACTACACGGGCCGTTCAGCAACAACAGCACCACATACAATCTCGTGCACAGAGCAGCAGTAGTAGCGAACGCGGCTTGCTCGGCTCTCCTCCCGTCTACGACCTCGATGACCTCCCATCACCTTTCCTGAAAAAGACCTATTCCCTTAAAGCACTCGGCTCATAGAAGTGAAACAGCATTGTAATTATTCATTTTTGAAGCGTCTGCCTTTTAACCCAACTCTTTATTAATGAACCGGTGTAGTCTTCTGCCAGTTTCTGGTCCAACCATTCGAATCATGTCGCGTTCCTCCAGGTTGACCAGCTCGGATATATTCTCACATTGCCTGTAGATATTTGGCGCATTCTTGCCAGAGATACCGGGAAGTGCCTCAAGCAAATCAATGGCCTTTTGATTCAGCACCGTGTCCCCTTGCTCGCCACTTCCCTTTGAAACGGCTTCTCTCGCATCTGGTTCGCTGTGCGTCCGCTTCAGCTCTTCAAAAATCTCAGCCGTCACAAGCGGCGAGGAGGACCAGATGAACTTGATGGCTGGGAAGGCCAAGTTGAGCATGACGAGCTTTGTTTGCAAGTCAACGTCGGCAATATCACCACCCTTATCATTGCCAAAGGGTGTGAATCGAGTTGCCTTGTCCTCATCAAACTCAATGAGTACAAGGGGCGTCTTGTAGTGCTGCAGCATCTGCTCACACTGCTGAAACAAACGTCCATTCGCAAAAGAGCCAATCAAGTCAGAGATGGACTTGCGCTCGACGCACATGTCAGGCGAAATGACATAGTCGCCGACCAGCAAGAAGCACGGCTGGAGGAAGTTGCCTCGCACATGCAACAAGCCCGGCAGCGAAGATCTGAACTCGCGCACATCAACAATAATACGTGGTTGTTCTCTTGTCGCTGCAAGACGCCCACCGCCCCCAGCAACTCTTGTATTGACCTTGCGAAAGAACAATTCCTGCTCATCATCGCCAGGTCGTACCTCTTGCGTGAGATTACGAGTCATGGTAGCACGCTCGCGAATCAATCGGGAGAAGGCATCCTTCTCTCTGCGCACAGAACTGAGATAGCGTTGTTCTTCGACACTGCCGCCATAAAACATAAAGTAGGCTCTCAAATTCAGCTCACGATGAAGTGTTCGAAACACTTCAATGCGCCTAACAAAGGCAGGGTCTAGCTCGTACATGATGACGAACTTGGGCTGCAGCTCCTCAAGTACGCGATCGTCAAGATCACCACTGTAGGGTAAGATGACAACAAGATCGTCCTGGTCAACGAGGCCATAGCAGTCCTCCATATCTGCCAGCTCATCTGGTGCCTCAGCCAACGGCTCCAGTAGATCTTGATTGCTTTGCTGAGTAGCCTGCAATTCAGTTCTGCCGCTCGAGTTACCGCCACCACGAACACGCCGACGCTTGTTGAGAGGCCCTTTGTAGACTGTTGTGCGTTTGGGCTCTTCCTGTCTCTCGGCCAGCTCAGTAGCGATGGGCTTGTATGTGCGCTTCCAATGCCGATAGCTGTTCAGCTTGCGATCAAGGAATATGCGACCCGAGTGATCCTCAGTCTCGAGAAAGTCTTTGAGCGTTCGACAAGTCTTGTAGTCGTTGCACATGATGAGAATCGTCGAGTTTGACAAATCCACATGCTCTTCAAATTGACTTTCGCGATGAATCTCATCTAGCACTTCAGTCAACTGCTCCCACTTGGGTTGCTCTTCAAGGACAGGCTCTAGATCTGCTGGCAAAACACCGACAGGAGTATGTGCTCCGCTCTTGCTGCGATAGACTCGCTCGCGAGCGAGCTGAAAGATTGGCTGCGCGACATCCTGCATGAGCCAAGGATCGTAGCTTTGGAACTTTGCATTCCGTTCTGTGCTGTTGTGGATGTAGAGGACATCAATCTCCTTGTTGAATGTGACACAGTCGTAAGTCAGCAGTTGGTGCAACAGATGTCGCAATGTGCCGATATCTGCAATCAAGTCTTTTGATCGCCAACTGACTCTGTGCCAAACGGGCGCAAGTTGTCGTCTAATGACTGCATCGAATTGCTTGTGCAGCGCATGCTCAGTGTTCCACTCTTCCAAATCGAGGTGCTGACTGTTTGCATTGCGCACCTCCTTCATCACCGCAGCCATACTTTCCATGATGGCATTCTGAATATCCCGCATTGCTGGCGTCATAGCTACTTCGAGCTCCACGACATCAGCCTTGCGACTGTCCAGTGATTCGGCCACGTCCAGATGGAAGCGAGGCCAGAGAAAGACGCGAGGCACAAAGAGACTTTTGAGCATGTTTGCGAGCGGTGCGAAGCCTGTGAATGCCTCAGGCTGGTCAGAGAAAGCTTTGATCGGTGCATCCTTGTTGTCTGATCGTATGACCCGCAAAATGAAGGATTCAATAGATGTACTGCGAACTGTTTCTGCATGAAGCACAACGACGCCACTCACTGTCGCTGGATTCAGGTTTCGGGAGAGCAAGTCGACAATGAGAATGCGAGAAGTGACGGCCAATACACCGCCTCGAGCATAAGCCTTGGCTCGTGCATCAACACCTGTCGATTCTGAAGTTATTTTCGTCATACCAGCACCTTGGCCCGTGACGGCCTGGCGCTCTACTAGGAACTCGCCGAGCCAATCTTGCTGATGTGCCTCGGCATTGACTAGAAGCGTCAGACTTCCAGGGACATCAAGGGCAAAGAGGAGATTGGCGACGATGCTCAGGAGTCCGAGCCCGCGAGCAACAATAATCAGCCCATCTTCTGCGTAGATGTCCTGGAAGCAGCGCTGCTGATAGCGCAGGGGTAAATCTATGTGCTTTGGCAGTGGAGCATCAAGCTCGAGCGGGGCTTGTTCAGTCATTTTGTAGCATGCCGTGGTCTAGAGTCCTTGCTCATGTACTTGTAGAGTCGTGAAGAGGTCGTTGAAGAGGCAAAGAGCCGCACAATATGGAGCCACGGAGTAGAAGCACAAGGTCTAGATACTTATGATGCAGATATGAGCCTTCCTAGAGTAAAGACCTGTCTACAAGAAGCAGCCTAGGAGCTGCCGCAACCTGATTTTGCGAGACTATTCGACTTGTCCAAAGGTACGACCTCATTCCATGTGTCCTTGGCCGCCCCTGTCCATCTCTGCCGGTCTCTGCAATGCGGCCTCGCTGCTAGATCGAGCCGCAGCCTCCGTGACCCTCCTGGCGCCTGCTTTATGTTGTGCGGTGCCTCGTGTGTGTGCGCAACAAACTGAGACAAGGCGGAGCCACCCCGGCCACGGTCCACTGCTCTGGCTTATATATCAGGCCTGCGAGGCCCTGGAGGCATCTCTGTCAGGACACGCTCGGGCTTGCATCATTATCAAGGCAACAAGGAGCTGAATCATCTACTACATCGCCTGCTGCTGGTTCATGGCCGACGACGACCACCAGCACGCGACGCTCTCATCCCACGCACTCTGACTCGATAGCCCGGAGCTGTTCCTTATACTTACTCGCTGGGGCCATGAGCCTGGATGGCAGCGGGAGCAATGGCGAGAAGGTTAAGCTCAATCAACATGGCAAACCCATACAAAGGCGCTCGACGGACGGCTGTCAGAACTGCAAGGCCTCGCGCGTCAAGTGCGACCGAGGGAAGCCCATGTGTGGCTGCTGCGTGCGCCGAGGAGAGCAGTGTAACTACTCCAAGATCGTGTTCAACGGCATAAACCGCGTCAAGAATGACCGTCGGACAGGTCGCAAGTCCGTCAAGGCGAAACAAGCAGACTTGAAGGCCGCATCTGTGTCCTCGGCGTCTATTCCGCTGCACGTCAGTCCCTCTCTGCCGCAGCCTGACCACTTCACGTTCGCGACCAACGTCGTCATCAATCCAGTACAGCGCAGGCGCTCCATCAGTATTGGACAGTTGCTCTCCGACAGCAGCGAAGATGCGTCACCCACACCGCAGGCAGTGCAAGATCCGGCGGAAGAGGAGCTACAAGTCATTGGTCATGGAGTTGAACAGTGCAACGTCTTGGGTCGTCAAGGCTCTATTGCTGGGCTCATCCCAAGCTTATCGCCCGAAGTATCTCGCTTGCTGAGCCATCGGAATGCACGTCTCTTGCTTGATCATTACATGGCTCGTACCGTAGCGACCATCCATCCCCAGCAAGGTGCGCAAAAGAACAATTCTTCGACAAAGTGGTTCTTACCCATTGCACTACGCTATCCAGTTGTTTTGGAGTCCATCCTGGCTCTATCCGGTGCACAACTTTCTGTGGATCGTCCAGAGCAGCAAACGGCCGTCCTCAGTCACAAGAGCAGCTCCATCGCGCAGCTCAATCAGCTTATTCGTCGTGTCGCCAACGACTCTAAGAATGGGCGTCTTGCATACACGGCAGAGATGATGGCTGCAATTTTGACATTCATCACCCTGGCTGTCAGCGAATCGGGCACAGCGACATGGGAGCTCCATTGTCAAGCTGCCCGAAATGTCCTGAAGGGAATGTCTAAGCCTGAAGATCCGCGGCTCAATTACGTCTACTTTCGACTGCTCAAGTATGTGTGCTTTGCAGAAATCGCGCGGCCTACCTTGCAGGACCTGCCAGAGCTCGTACACATACAAGATCCGTCTCTGGATGCCGCATTCGGAGTACCTAGCTTGGGTCTCAAATTATCTACCATGATTTCACGATATGCGTACAAGATTCAGTCTGGCATTTCACCCTCCGACTTGGCTGGCGACTTGAATCAGCTTGACCGCTTGCTGGCCGTGTACATGCAAGACGGCGCAATGAGTGCATCCGAGGATGACGCTTGCCCAGAGTGGCGCACAGTACAGGATGCTTGGCGCTACACGGTCGTGCTATTCTACCACCGCACCATTTTTGCAGCAGACTTGAACGACCCAGTCTGTCAAAATATGCTGGCCAAGATTCTCCACTGCATGCGATTCATGTCTCTCACAAGCATTTACGGTACTGCACTTGCATTCACAATGCTCACCATTTCGCCACTCATTCGTGATTGGCAGGTACGTGAGTGGTTCAGCAGTATGCTTGTCACCCTTGCCGCATCAACGAAGACGGGCAATTTTCTCAGCATTAGAGAGTTTGCTCGCCTTTGCTGGCACGAAATTGATGAGGGCAGGTGTCAGACTCAAGTCGAGGTCAATGGCTTGGCTGAAGCCCACAATCTTGTCATCCTCGCAGCATGAATGTTGTCTTCAGTTCAAGCGATTTCACAGCGATAGCATTTTTAGTCAATCTAGACGCGCTCTTTCGACTTCCTGCGTCGTGACTATGTGATGTCGTGTTTAGTCGAAAACATCGTACGGATACGAAGGGTTTCGTGACGATCCGGGTGTCGCGTCGTCGACAAACACTGGCCCCTGAAAACGGCGATGCCGCATGCAAGGCCGTTCTGCACAGAATCATGCAGAAGCCTGCAGAAGCCTCTGACCTTATGCTTCAACATGTGGGCTGGGCCAGGGCTCAACACGAGTTGCGAGTGCTGACGGCTGCCTCTGCAGTGTCTGCACTTGCCTAGAGAATGTCATTGTCAATTCGTGTATTCGATCGAAATCTGGCAAGAGAGCAGGGGTCATTTTGAGCACCCAATACGGAAATGTGCGTCTGGCGCATCAATGGTAGCAACAGAATCGCAGAACCAATGAGGGACAGCTCAAGCAGCCGAGGTCGATCTCGGATGGCATACTTGGACAAACATCAGAATCAGGTGCTGCCGTAGCGGAATTTACATTGAACGTCAGCCTGTAGGAGAAAGCTGGCCAGCATGGTCGCAACACTTGGTCGGCCTTGCGTTCTCCTAGAGCTCAGCTACTACTTCAATGAAGCTCTCGACGACTCTGAGGCCCAGAGGTGCACGGCCAAAGATCAGACGAGCATGACTTGAAAAGACTTGTTGAGCTCATCGAGCGTATGCTGATAGGCCTTGTATGTTTCATCATCGATGACTGCATCTCGATCTTTCTTTGCTTTCCTATAGATTAGCCTAGCTCTTATCTTGTGCATCCATACGTGGGCCTGCTCGTCTTTTGCCTTTGTGACCATTCGACAAAGCATAGGTTGCGCACAATCTTGTGCTCCAGCTTAGACTCGAGGACAGCTAGCTTGAGAAATGTATAGGTATTGTTCACTTTGTCTCAGCATTCGTCTGGCAGAGAAGAAGCACATACAGATGTGTGCATCAGGCAGAGCAGGGATCGAGCGGAAAGCACGTCTTAGCTTGATTTGGACCGTATACCGAGCCGGAACAGAGTATTGTACAGCTTGCATAGAAAGCCTCCATGACTGTCTAAAGGCCGATCGTACTGCGGCGTCCATCTGTGAGCTGAGCCCAGCGGATGAGCCTGAGCCTGAGCTTGGATTTGGTCAGAGTTGTCGAGCTGCTTCGTCGTCGCCAAATTTGATATTCGACCAAGTCAACCCACACAACGCGACCATGTACTCGCTGCGGCCTCGCTCTCTCCGGCCCGTGCTTGGCCTTTCGCGGGCCAGTCAGCTCCATACTGCGCGATGCCTATTTGCCTCGGTCGTCGATGGCCCACAGCTACCGGTCGCTGCAGCGGTTGCAAAGGCAACACAGACCGGGACATCACAGACCAAGCTTGCTGAAGCAACGCTACGGCGGTTCTGGAAGAAAGTAGCGATTGAGCCATCTTCGCTTGGATATACCGTGACATTAGACAGCAAACCGCTCAAGACACCCTCTGGCCAAGTACTGCAGCTGCCATCGAGCAAGAAGATGCTGGCGACCTTGATTGCCGCTGAATGGGCGCAGGTATCGAGTGCTTCGATCCGCCAGCATCAGCTGCCTCTCACTTCATTGGCTGCGCGAGCTATTGATCATCTCGACCATCACCATCGTGATCGTGCGCAAACGGCCGAGCAACTTTTACGCTATCTAGACACAGATGCCGTCTTGATACACATTGATGGACCAGAACGGCTGCTCAAGATGCAGCAGGATGAGTGGACACCCATCAGACTCTGGGGTGAGTCCTTCTTTGGTTGCAAGATCAGCTTCTTGCCGGCAGACGCAGGCATTGTCACACACAGACAGTCAACAGAGACGAGGCAAGCGGCAAAGACATGGCTCGGTACATTGGATAAGTGGGAACTGGCGGCCTTTGAACGCAGTGTCTACGTGACCAAGTCGTTCTTGCTCTCCACACTGCTCGTCGAGTCCCAGAAGCAAGGCTTGCTGGTACCAACCGGCACGCAGGACGCCGCAGATCAAGGCCGCGTAGATGTCGAGCGCATCGCGAGTCTGGCGACACTCGAGGTGCGTTACCAGACAGGTCTCTGGGGCGAAGTGGAGGACACGCACGATGTGGATCATGTGGATGTAAGACGACAGCTGGCAAGTGCTGTCCTGCTCATTGCATAACGTTATTCCTAGCATACCTGCAGCATCTCTAGCGACCATACTTTTGAAACTCCCACTCCCTAGGCGGTTAGCATTGTCTGAGATGTGATGCAAGTGGGCAGACCTGTTATCAAGCGGGCAAACCTGCCTTGTCTTGAGCCATCGCGAGATGCAATGGAAGTGGAAGGCGTGATTGCACTGTCCCCACGCAAGCGTACACTCTTCTGTAGTGGCGGACGCCTGATTTGCCTGGCACTCGATGCATAGATCCATAGTGTGATTCCTACAGATGGCACAATTGTCGACCTCGATATCCCAGGCCCAGAGAGCCACGGCGTTCCTGCGGGGAGCATGTCAGCACATTGAGGTCTGGTAAGTGCAATCGACATACCACTTCTTGACCTCAAATCGGGGTCGTTCCTGCTTGTCCTTGCCTGGTGCAGCTGCAGGCGCGTCTACGTCCATCTTGTCTGCCATTGCGCACTCTTGGGCTTCTCGTGCGTGGGTTGGTCTGGTCGCTGCTTGTCGCGCGTCGTCCTCGACCTGTTTCTACTGTACGGCTAACACTCTACTGCTGCTGCTCTACTGCTGCTGCTGCTCTGCTGTTGCTACTGCTGACCCGCTCATTGCTTTGCTGAGAGACACCTCGTAGCCTAAGATGTGTATCCTGCTCCTCTCACGGAAGCACCCGCTCTACAAGCTCATCCTACTGAGCAACAGGGACGAGTTCTTCTCTCGGGCCTCCCAGCCTGCGCATTGGTGGGCAGACCAGGACATCCTCGCAGGACAAGATGCTGCCCGAGGCGGCACATGGCTGGCCGTCTCCAAAAGTGGCAGACTCGCTGCGTTGACCAACTACAGAGAAGCGCAACTCGTCGTTGGCGAACGCTCTCGAGGCAGCCTACCCGTTGAATTCGTTTCGAGCGCGCTGCCTACCGAGCAGTTCCTTCAGTCAAAGCTACAAGAAGGAGATGAAGTATTACAGAGCTACGGCGGGTTCAGCTTGCTGTGTGGAGACATCTCCCAACTCGATGATGGGCTCAGAATCTTGTCGAATCGCTCTGCCAAAGCCGGCATAGTCAAAGTGCTACATCCTGAAGCCGGAGAGCACGCTGATGTCTGCGAGCTGTCCAATGCCCATTTCGGGGAGCCCTGGCGCAAGGTACAGTCTGGCAGAAAGCTGCTCGATGAGGCCATCCAGCGCCACACCCAAAGCACCGACCAAGACGCGCTCGTGAAAGATCTCATGGAGGTGCTCAGCACAGACTCACTTGCACAGGCAGACATTGCGAGCATGCAAGGCAGTATTTTCATCCCTGAGCTTGCCCTCGCAGGCAGCACATACGGCACGCGACAACAGACTGTGGTCTTGGTCGACCATGCAGACCAGGTGACTTTTGTTGAGCAAACACGATCAGTCAACAAGGGGCCCATATCAACAGTCCGGCACTCATTCAAGATTGAGCGTACATCCACTACAGCTTCGGTTTCGCCTCGTCTTGCATAACGCACACAAGACTCCCTGCACCCACTTGCTCGCCTACTTTGATGCTTGCCACACGTTTGATGATACCTGCGCGTGGTGCCCGTACTTCGAGCTCCATCTTTTGCTGTCGAAACACTGCTAGGACGTCGCCCTTTTCGACTTCTTCTCCTTCTTCAGCGACCATCTCCATGAGGATACCATTGAAGGGCGAAGCAACATGATTTTTGTCAGCTGATGCGCGCTCCAACGCAGCATTGCCAGAAGCTTTCTCCAATACCATCTTTTGGGGTTTGCCGCCGTCCAGAGAAACATCTGCAGATAGATGCGTGGGGAAATTGCTCTTCAAGATGCGCTCAATCTTGAGAATCTTTCTGTCCTGTGCCACAGTCAAGGTGTACCCGTCGCCTTTCCTGAAAAGTGTGGATGTGTCAGCTGCAAGCGCCAGTGGAGTTGGTTTGGCAACCTTGCCATCATGCCCAAGTCTCTTTTGGGCAGCCCCTCGGAATTGTACGAGGTATACACTGCCATCACTTGTCAAGCGCTCCAACATGCCAGGAATACTCAATGACCGAATATCAAGCATAGAAGGTCGTCGCATCATGCCAGACCGTAGCAATCCCATCAACAGTGCCTGATTCGTGACGATGCCATCCACTTGAAGATGCCTGACTGCGTAGATGGCGCGTTGCCTTGCTTGCTCGTAAGTCTGTCCTGTTGTGACAAGTTTGGCAATCATGCTATCAAACGTATCAGTGACTTTGTGTGTCTTTGTACTGTGCAGGAGCGTATCGACACGAATGCCTGCGCCGCCTGGCATAATATGCGAGGTAATGATGCCTTGTGCCACCTCAAAGGTCGTTGGGTCTTCTGCATTCACGCGGCATTGAATGGAATAGCCGCTCGGCCGAGCAGGCCATGGCTCATCTACTAATTTAAACTTGTAATCCGTTGTAGCCTTGAGGAGCAGGGCTACAAGGTCGACGCCTGCGATTTGTTCGGTGATGGTGTGTTCGACCTGAATGCGTGGGTTGCACTCCATAAAATAGTAGCCATCACTTCGTCTCGCATTCACCAAGAACTCAAACGTGCCAAGGCCAACATAGCCAACCTGTTTCGCCATGGCGATACTACTGGCAATGAGTGGTGCGATGCGTTCAGGCGACAAGGACGAAGGCGCAAATTCGATGACTTTCTGGAATCGTCGTTGCAAAGAACACTCACGCTCGAAGAGATGCCGCACTTCTCCATGTCGGTCACCCAGAATCTGAATCTCAATGTGCTTGTACCCTTCAAGAGCTGCCTTTTCGCAGAAGATGAGACGCCCTGGTGATTCGTTCAGCGCCTCTTGCATGAGAGGTGCTACCTCGTCTGCAGACCGCACGATACGGATACCACGACCGCCGCCACCGTCTTGAGCTTTGATCATGATAGGGAAACCAACGTCCATCGCAAAGTGTTGAATGTCGGCTTCGTTTTGGACTGCGACAGATGGCAGGATGGGAACATTTGTAGCTCTAGCGACTTCTTTTGCTTTCCTCTTGTCTCCGAGAGTGTCAAGCACATGACTGGATGGTCCAGCAAAGATGATCTTTTGGTCTTCTAGTGCTTTGGCGAATGCAGCCGATTCGGAAAGGTAGCCGTATCCTGGTGCAACAGCTGTGCACTTGCCCCGTGTTGCAATGCCAACAATATGGGCAATATCCATGTAAGCAGCTGGTGAGGGCAGTCTGATGGCCACTGTCGCGTGCTGGCAGTGTGCTCGGTCGTCATCTGTGTAGAGCGCGACAGACTCCATCCCAAGTTCGTTGCAGGCTTGTATGATGCGCATGGCAATTTCGCCTCTGTTCGACACTAGAATACGGGGCACAGGCGGACCTGCTGCCATGCCCTTCATGCTGCCTGATCAGACCTCGATTCCCTGGCCAGCTGGAGCTCCAGCGTGTTGGTGAACTTGGTGTGGTCTGCTTCTCATCTCGTCGGCAACTTCCTAAAACTGCGGGGGAATCGCACGAAGAAGCGACGAAGCAGATACAGACAATATACGTGTGGTGGGTAGTCTGCATCAAACGAGATGAGCAGACGCTGGCAAAAGAAGTCTCAAGAAGACCAGTTCAAGGACATCTATGACAAGATTGATCAAATCCACGGCATCACGCGCAACCCGCCCCTGAATTCTCGTGGGTATGACAAGCACATCAAGACAGGCAAGCTCTGGGTCAGGACACGCATCAATACCATTCTGGACAAGGACTCGTACAGAGAGATCGGCACAGTCACGGGAACGCCGACATTCAAGGGCAACAGTAATGAGATGACAGACTTTGTGCCAACCAATTACTTGAGTGGCTTCGGCACCATCAATGGCAGGCGCGTCGGCCTGGCTGCGGATGACTTTACGATCCGTGCAGGACACGCCGATGGAGCCTTGTTCCAAAAGGCGCTCTATTTTGAACACCTCGCCCTTGTGCACAAAGTGCCCATCATCAGGCTCATCGATGGCAGCTCCGGTGGTGGCTCAGTAGCTGTGTACAAGGACATGGGCTACACCTACATCCCTCCAGCGACAGGGGCAGGATGGACACCGATGCTAGACTCATTGAGCCAAGTGCCAGTGATTGGCTGCATCTTGGGGCCTGCAGTAGGTCTGGGAGCAGCAAAAGTGACCATGACACACTTTTCAGTCATCTCAAATCAAGTTGGTAGCATGTTCAATGCTGGTCCTATTGTGGTCGAAAAGGCCGGAATTGAAGAAGGTCTGACCAATAGCGACCTCGGTGGTCCAGGTGTCGTCTGCGCTAACGGAGCGATTGACAACTATGGCGAGTCTGAAAAGGACTGCTTCGAAATCATCCGGCAGTTCCTGGAGTACATGCCCTCATCGGTACTCGAATACCCTCCTCTACGGCCCTACTCGAGACTTGCAAGCGACAAGGCTGCCGCACGTGCCAAGATCCTCGACAATGCTATCCCACGCCAGTCAAGCAGATCTTACCAGATCTACCCCATCGTTGAAGCACTGCTAGACGAAGAAAGTTGGTTCGAGGTCGGGCCAGCCTGGGGTGCACCGAGTATCACTGGCTTTGGTCGTATTGCTGGTCACACTGTTGGCCTTATTACTTTCAATGTCGAATCGCCGTCACTTGGCGCCTTGACTGCAGCCGGGGCCAAGAAACTGCAACGCCATGTAGAACTCTGCAGTCTCTTTGGTATCCCCATCGTTCAACTTGTGGATATGCCAGGATTTGCCATTGGCAGTCAGGCAGAGCGCGAGGGGACCATGCGTGCGGGAGTGGATTGTGTCAAGGCCTACTACAATGCTACGGTACCCATGTTCAATGTGGTCATTCGAAAGTGTTACGGCATTGCTGGAGCCTTCTTGGTGGACAACAAGCTGCCGCACTTCCGTGTCGCTTGGCCAAGTGGCGAATGGGGTTCGTTGCCCCTGGAAGGCGGTATCGAGGCAGCCTACGCGTTTCCCCTCAAGCAAGCCTTTCAAAAAGGCGGACCGGAAGCTGCCAAGAAGCTCATGGGTGAACTACAGCACGACTTTGCAGTCCTGTCTGACCCAGTACGGACTGCCATGAGCTTTGGGGTCGAGGAGATTGTCCGGCCGTCGCAAACACGAGGCATTCTGGTAGACTGGTGCAAAATGGTGTACAAGACCCTGCTGCCCCAGAGAATGGACATGGAGCGTATCCGTGTCGGTCTTTACAAGTCGCGTTCTTACTTGTAGATTATTGTGACTGCATATTTCCTTGTACTTTCTTCTTGCGACTTTCGACCTTTTGACAGTCGCGACCAGAGTCTACCGTGTCTGCAGCAAGGCCTATGCCCGCTCCTGCGCGCCGCCGCTCGCATGTGGCTACAACAAGCGTTAAAGAAGTACCAAGATCCCTCTTACCGTCTGTCGATGCGCTCTCCGACCTTTCCTCCTCTGCGCTCGAGTCGCATGTGCGCGACGTCATCTTCAATGTCTCCGAGGCTGGCTTCAAGAACGACGAAGGTGTAGATCAAACTGTGGCCAAACTTCAGACGATTTTGGAGGAATCAGTCAAGTACGCAGAAGCGGGCCGGGTTGCTACTGACTTTCCGGTGCAGGTTCTCGAGGACTTGTTTGAAACACAATCCATTCGTGGGTGCGAAATGCTGTTCGAATACATGGAGGAGCATAAGCAGATGGTCATCAGGCATATGGGCAAGGGATCTACGTTGTTGCGCTTCTGTAACGAGCTTCTGCGCCGCCTCAGTAATTTTGAAGACACAGTCTTTTGTGGTCGCATTCTCGTCTTCCTCTCGGCCGTCTTTCCCTTGTCTGAGCGGAGCGCCGTGAATCTTCGTGGAGAATTCAATACGGACAATGTCACCATCTATGAAAAGGATGACGAAGCACTCGAGAACCCAACTTTCTACGCGGTGTTCTGGTCTTTGCAAGGGTACTTCTGCAATCCATCAGCCTTGCTAGTGCCAGGGAAGCTCAACGCATTTCTCAGTAGTATGGACTTGACAATGGCGACCTTTGACAAATTGCTTGAACCGTTCAGAGAATCAGACTACACGGCAACCAAATCTGCCGACACTCATGACTTTTTCACCCCAAAGTTTCTGACATCGCGAGAGTTGTTGGACTTGGAATTGTCTGACATTACCTTCCGAAAGCATATCTGCACACAAGCGCTCATTGTCATTGGCTTCCTTTTCAGCTTCTCTGCGGATATCCCAATCACCAACAAGTCGTTTCAGTCAACTTTTGCACTACAAAAGGAGGACGCAGAGCGTCTGACAGCGCTACAAGATCGTGTGCGCAAGTACATTCTGGCGCTCCCTGCAGGCATCAAGTTCTTGGCCTCCGTCGATGCGCTCATGAAAAGCGACCAGCAATGGCTCAAGTGGAAATCTATCAGCTGCCCTCCTTATGCAAAACCAGCCCTGGAAGAAGCGCGTATCCAGAGCGCCCCTGCCAAGCTATCAACGCTGACTGCCTTGCCGAAACCCTATCGATATACTGTCGGCAATGCAAATTTGACAAAGTTGTGGCAAGATGCTGGTCTTTGGTCACCTGACGAGTTGAAGACATATGCGAGCAGGTCGTTGCCTCAAGTAGAAGACTATGCTCTCAAAATATCCAAGCTTGAGGAACGATTGGCAGCGATTCAAGGCATAGATGAACAATCGGAAGCCGCTCGCACGCAATTACGAGAGCAGATTGCAACGCAGTCTTGGCTGGCTCTTCGCTCATCTAGGGAGCATGATATCAGACTGTTTACGCAAGGCGTGGCCGGGGTAATCTGGCAGCTTACATTCAGGAGAGGGAGAACCAATCAGTGAGTCGTTCTCAGGCCAAATAGCACATGATGAATTGCACAGTCAATATTTGCTGCCAAATAAGATTTTAGACCCATGCTGACGCCTAGAACCCACGCGATTCGCGACCGTCGTCTGAGGGTCGCCAAGGCCATCAGGGGCGAAGCGAAGTCTATCCGAGGACGCAGAGATGGAAACTAGTCCAGAGAAGCGCACAAAAGTTGCGAGTGCTGAGCGTCTCGGTGTGGAGGCTCTTCTCAACCTTTGAGCGCCCTTCGACGCCACGGTTCGTTGAATCACTAAGTTCCGTTGATCTCAAACACTCAACGCGCCCGGAGCGGGTCTTCGGTTTCATGTAACGACTTATTCCGCTGCTACCCCTGATTCCGGTGTCATGACTCAGCGAGGTGTCAACAATATTGTTTCATTTTGCCCGCAGCTCGGGTGAAGACCGTATCAGTCGACCGCAGATTGACGCGACCTTTGCAGCTGTCATTACGCGCGATCAGAGTTTGAATGCTCATCCATCTAATACAAAAGCATCTGCATCTGCAGCTTGAATTTATTTCTGTCATTCACGAGGTTACCATTTTCGACAAGTTAGGACGCCGGCGCTTCTTGACCCCGTGTTCACATCCAATCTGTCGAGGCCCGTCCCCTGAATTAGATCGTGTGGCCAGACTCGTCTCAACATTTGGGTCAGGTACAAAGGGTCGCCGTCTGCTCTCAACTTCCGTTGACCTTGCAATCAAGCCTTTATTCATTCATCTTGACAGATGACACTTGCCACACATGGTCGATGTGGAGAACACTTGTCCCACAGCATGGAGAATATGAGCTATGGTAATGCTCGCACCCAACAGCTGGGCAATGGTCCCACATCATATGGAGAGATGGCGAACGTTGATTATCATGGGTTCGACAGCGACTACCAGGATGCCATGTCGCCTGGTCAGAAGCTGCCCGGCAAGAAGAACATGAAGCGCCACCGGTAGGTCTTCTTTGCTTTCCAAGCGACGACCTTTGCTGACTACAGTCTGACTCACGACGAGACTCGCTTCTTGCTCAATGAGTTTGCCAGAAACCCACACCCCGACGGCTCACAACGCGAACGTTTGGCCAGGACCGTGAAGAATCTCACCAACCGCCAGGTCCAAGTCTGGTTTCAGAATCGGTAAGTCGTTCATCTGAAGAACTTCAAGAGCTGACTCTAGGCGCGCCAAGCTCAAGCGCATGACTGAGGAGGATGCTGAACGCGTGCTGGCTTCCCGGCGATACCCGTCATCTCATGGACCGCTCGGCATCCCTCGTTTCGGTGGGTTTGCTGGCGATGTTTCTTGCGCAGAGATACCCTCCACGCGCACGGAGGCCATCTTTGCTTCGTTCCTGCCTCCTGTGCCTTCTCTTCACCAAGCAAGCTCCTCCATGTCTACTGAGTCCATGTCAACAAATGTCTCTGGGTCTGCTGTGCCACGCTTCCGAGAAGATGGTTATTACTCGGGCACGGCGTCTCCAATGAGCTACGACAGTGGCGTCGAGCCCTCAACTCCCGAAAGCCTTGTGCTCAGTCCTTACACTATGCCGTCCACCTTTCATCACCAGCCCCACTTTGCTGCGCGCCACTTCACGTCCAATTACGGTGTATCCCAAGCTCCCCGATCGGTACCTGTCACCAGTTCGCCGACTTCAAGGCCTGATGTTGCAGCCCGTACCCTTCCAGAACCGGCATCTCTCGCTGATATTTCCGTTCGAGGCTGGAACAAGTCATGGTCACTTGACAACCATGCTGGTGGACAACTACCGGCAGCACCAGCGCGACAACGGCAAGCATTGCCGAGCATCAGCCATGAGCTGTTCGGCTTCTTGGGCAATGATGACATGCTCTCTCTGCAGAGCGATGAGAAGTACTCCACCTTTGGTCAGCAGTCCTACGAATTTGCTTCAACAGTGGGTCGCCTCGAACAGCAATATGGTGCGCGCACTGGCAGCCTTGCAAAGGATCCATTTACAGCACGTCTGTCAATAAGCTTTGACAATTGATCACTGCAGACTTTACATGTAGCATCATACTCCACGATCGCCTCTTCGCCTGTTAATTTGTTTTGTCATTCTTGACTACCACTATTTGTTCGCAGGACGTAAGCCATTACTCAACCACGATTGGATACTTGTAGCAGAACTAGTCCATGAGTTGATGTTCTATACAGAGCTACTACACTAGCCAGCTTTGCGCATCTTGTTTATCTGCATCGCTGCTTCCCACAAAAGGCTGATCGATGGATTTAATCTTCATACTGCCGCAGTGGATGCATTCAGATGCAATGAGCAAGTCGAGTTCATTTCGAGCATCTTCAAGCACTGCTACCGTCACCGATGAGCCGCTCTGCAGAGCGGTTGCATTGGAATTGACTGAAGCTGCAGAGCTTGCAACCGGAACGGTCACAACACCTGCTCGTGCAATGATCCCTTGTAGATGCGCAAGTCGGCGCTTGGCAGCTGGTGCCAGAGTAGGCAGCAGTATGCGAACAAGACAATCAGCATGCGCAGCATGTTGGCAGGCAAAGACGTAAAATTGCCTTTGCATGAGTGGTTGGTCGCATACGACACAGGGATCACCCACGCTGAGAAGAGCAAATCTGTCCTTGAGTGCATCGGTAGATTGCTGTATGCGCGCAGCAGCTACAGACGCCTCATCCATATTCTGCCGTAGAACCGATATTTGCTTCGCATACCGTTCGAGTGCAGTACATATATCGTCTGTATAGTCGTCGAGCGACACAAAATCGTCTGTGAAATGCGGAACAAGATCTTCGATGCGTAGTACATCGTTGTTGCGCTTCGAAAGCGCCAAAACCTGCTTGATGCCATCTGAACCTTGAGCAATCACGCGCTTGGCGATCATAAGCCAGAGCTGTTTGCGTACCTGTGGTGACTGATCCATCTTGTCTGCCACTGCAGTTGCGAGTTCGATGTTGTCTTGTTCAAGCGCAAAGCTGACAGCTTGGTCTTGTAGTCCCATGCTTGAGAAGATGTGCACTGTGCTCAGTACACAATTATATCGCTTGCATTGCCGTAGCGCAAAGTCAAGGTCATAGACTGGTGGAGATGCTTGAGACTGCAGGTATTCAAGGAGCATGGATTCATCTCCCCGTGCGTCTCGAGCATAGATGCCGAGCAAGGCGTTGTGCACGGCCGTATCGGTGTTGTGCTGGTGACGGATGGCAAACCGAAGGTATCGTACAGCTTGGTTTTCCTGAATCTTCACCTGCCGCCGAGTGTTGTATAAGAGAATGGCTGGCAACAGGTTGGAGGCGTCGAGACGTGCCATCTCCATCCAGGCCTCGACAGTCTCCGATGGTCTCTCAGGAAGGAGGATTGATGCAGTAGAATAGACTAGCGCGAGATCGTTTTGCTGACGTAGCGCTTGAAGCGCATCAAGATATTTGTCTTGCTGGATGTATTGATCAACGATGTACGCATAGTCACCGATGGCTTGAGCAAAAGCGAGAAGCTCCTTTGGGCGCCCGTGAGAGTTGATGAGCGAATACGCCGTCTCCTTGTCAAGAGAATGCTTGTGTTTGGCAATGAAGGCCAGATAAGCCTGTTGTACTTCCTCAATCTCAGTCCCACCTGCTTCTATTCGCAAATTGCCCTTGGCATTCTGGACGTCATCTAAGGCATTGAATTTGTGCAGAAAAAGCTCTAGCACCCAAGTCGACAGTAGTGTTTTCTGCACATCAGCACCCTTTTTTTGCACATCAAGCTTCTTCAACAGGTAGACCCGAAGCGCATCGCGCTGATTCAGATCCAGAAATGGCAATGCGACACTCTCAATGGGCAGACTTGTTTGCGCAAAGAGCGCGGCAGCTGCAGCATATTCTTGGCGAGCCATAAGTGCTTTCGCCTGGGACTCGCGTATAGTGAAGATTTGAATATCATTAGACGCGTACCGGAGGGCTTTGTCATAATCTCTGCGTTTGAGGAAAATGTCCCAGAGTTGCTGCGTTTCATCTTCAACGGTGATTTCGAAAAGCTCTGATGCTGAGAATATCCAGTAGGTTTGTTTGACATGATCAGCTGCAACCCCTATGAGCGGGTCCATGCTGGAGACGATTTCCCGAAAGACCTCGGTATTATTGTAGCGGTTGTAGGCCAGCACTTGATTGTCTTGTAAGACAAAGACGTGAAAGGCTGATAGCATCATAAGAGCGCTGTGATCCTCGTTAACGCTGAGTAGACGTGCGTCTTCAAAAGAGGCGTCGCCACCTGACGACGGTGCACCACCGTGAAGGATGCCTGAAGCACACGTCCAAGCAAAATGATACCCTGCTGCTGCATCCTGATCTGAGACGGCATCAAGTTGTGATGCCGGTGAAGCTGTACTGAAACCATGCTCGCCTGGATCCCCTGACAGAATGGAGCTGAAAATAGGCGCATCGCCAGTAGACCGGCCCGCCGGTCCAGTGAAATGGAGAATGGTGCTTCTAGTCGAGACAATAACGTGTACAGCATTGTCGTTGCCTGAGTAACAAAGCAAGCCTGTGATGGCCTCTTGTTGAGAATGGGTATAGACGAGACGTACGAACCGCTCGACAGACCGATTGAAGCCTTCTACTGCTTCGAGAGATACTTCAAACACAGACCCGCTGCCCAGACCAACGAGCACTTCCTTTGTCGCGAAATCTGTGCCCTTTGTGTTCCATGCGACACTTTCAATGATGCCTTTGAGCTTCGACAGCTTGACCGCCTTTGCTAACCGCGGATGTAGATACCAGTTTTCACCACTGTTGGTCGTGACGAGTAGATGATTGCCGGTAGGGTCCAAGAAAATGCGCAGGAGCTGACCAATGTCGCCCTTGGCGCGGGGAATCTCCATATCAATCAGATCATTGGGCGACGCTAGATCGATCTTGATGAGCTTGTTATTGGCAACAGCAAGTACCAGAATGTTGTTTTGCACCCGGACATCCGTGAATAGTAGGCCCTCGGGTAGTGCAACCTTGTCAATGCTAAACATGGCGCTTCCGAGGACTGTGCTTGCATGTGTCGCTGGGATATGTGCATTTGTGGCGGCTGACGACGAGCCATTGGTCGCACCTACGTAGTCGTCAAGCAGGCTCATTGCAGTATGCTGCTCATACACGCATCTGGCAACTTGCGCGTCTCCGCGCCTGGTGTTGCTTGATCTGACGTCCTGGTGCGGTTGATTGTCGCGACTACGTGAGATGGAGCAGTCATGAAATGCGATTTACTGCTAGTAGATTACTACAGTATGGATGAAGGAACAGGGCAGTCGCTACGTCCGCTTGCTCTCGACTTCAAGCTTCTTCTGAGTCATCTCATACACATACTGGCCCAGATGCTCAACGCCAGACATGGCCACCGCCTCGCCCAAATCACTCGACTTGCGCTTGCAGGCACCAAACATCTCACCTGATACAAGCTGCAGCAGCCCATCCTGTGGCAGCATCTCCTCAAGCTTGCCAGGCCAACATCCACTTGCTCGCACTGCATCTGCTCTGCAAAAGACGTAAGATCCAAGTCGTGCTCTCGACAAGGCAGTGGCACAAAGACGCCGATCGAGCAAAGAGCCAGCTGCCTCTGTCCGAGTACATGAAATAAGCGCATAGTCACATGAATGCGCATATCCTTCTTGCACGGTGACAACCTTTGGCATACCAAATACTTTGCCTTTGCAGCGTACCTTCATGATGTCTTGGACAAGAGCCTGCTGACCCTTTTCCAAACAAATGACAGTGATCGATTCGCTCGGATAATTCAGCAAGCGCATGTACTGGTACAGTGCAACCACAAATTCGGCCTCGCCCAGATTTTGAAAGACGCCAGGACGGGGTTCAGACTCGTCTTGGCCGTTGTAGGTTGGCACGTTGATCATTTGGCAGACACGAGAGAGTCCGGCATTGGCGACAATGGGCTGGGTTGAAGAAGTGGTAGCACCAGGACACATAATGGCAGTCATCTCAGGTCGCATGGAATGCATAACATCAAGCGTGATGCGAGCCACACCTGTGCTAATTAAGCGAGAAAAGAGACTCTGAGTCGCCGGCCTCAGATGTCCGTCATTGCCAAAGAGTACAACTTGATGCAACGTGGCCGGATCCGTAAGACTGAGAGCAACCAATGTTTGGCATTCCTCCAGAGCATTTGCATCGTCAAGCAACAGACTCGTGAATTTGCAGCCAGCATTTTGGACGACAGATATACTGGCGACCAGATCACAAGCTGGCAAAATCATGATGCGTGCAAGAGTTGAAAGGAGGTAAGACTCTCTTGCGGTATCGAATTGAAGACACTCCAGCGGCCTCAGCTCTTCAAGTAGTTGCGTATCTGGCAGTCCACCAGCTTCCTGCACCTGCTGTCTGGCTGTCTCTGTAGCATGCGGCCCTTGAAGAGCGGAGAGAAAATAGCCAGCAGCCTCACAGCTAGCTCCGTGATCACCATGAATGCCCAGCTTTGAAGCGAGCTTCGTGACTTTGTTCAATTCGTCCCTTCGCTGCACGTCTACTAGACGCAGAGCTTCCCGCGCTTGTCCAAAGAGTCCAGATTTGGTCGAATTGAATATGTGCCGACCGGCGACTCCCATCTTTTGTAGTCGGGCTTCCATCTCATGAGCAGATTGAACATCCGCCACGACACAAAGAGTCTTGGCATCGTGCTTAGCGTAAAGTGCTTGCAGCACTTCTGTCAAAATGGTTGTTTTGCCAGACCCTGCCACACCTTCAATAAGTGCAACGGAATGGTTGAGGCAATGATTGACTGCCTTCAGCTGAGGCTCGGCTAGCTTCAAGATAGGCTTTTCTTGTTGATGATCAGTAGGGGCATTCGAGATGGGCGGCCCTTCTGAATTCAGGCCTATCAGTAAATCAACAAAAGATTCCGCGATCGGACTCTGAGCAGCAGTTCCAAGGCTCTGCAGATGCTGCAGAAGGAGATGATCATTGTTTGACCTTGTGCTCTTGGGACGTTGAACCACAATCTGCAGTGCCGAGTAGACTTCATCGACCTTGTCTGCTCGACGATCTACCTCATAAGCGTCTGTGTCCATGAGCAAGCGAACAATTCTTTGACCCTGCCCATGACTCTGCTGATTCGCATCTCGGATAGGCTTCCCATCAGCAGACAGAATCTCCTCAACAAATGCAGTCCGCAAATGGCGCAACGTAAAACTTTGAGCCTCATTTTCGCCAAGTCCCACAAACGATAAGAGATGCCCTGCCTGCAGATCCGCCCAGCTGTCAGCTAAAGTGAGCTTGATCTCAGCCCTGACAAGTTCTGGGTGGCGTTGTCCAATTCTTGGTGGCAAGACCTCCAAAATAACGGGAGGCTTGGTGAGTAATTTGGCGTTCTTGCTTTCACCTCGCATCGTCAGCTTGTCGCCTTGTACAACTGGCGCGATTCGCGTCAAAGTCTCCGACAGTTCATTCCGAAGAGTAGTGTAATACCTGTCTCGACAGTGATTCAACTCGCGGAGTACCAGATCCTGCAGCGACAGATACTGGAGAGTGCGTGGTATCTGGAAATTGACAGCATCGAGATGAACTTCAGTTGGCGTGACTGGATCCTGGAAAAGTGGCCGCATCTGGAGAGGTGATACATAGCGCTGAATGAAACTTTTGATCAGTAACGGGCGCTCGGGTGGTAGGTCGAGGAGATCAGTTCGCACATAGCACTCCCTAAAGAACTCGTGTACTTCTTCGGTACGTAGAGAACTCAAGTGCTCCCCTAATTCCGTAGGATCTGTTGCGGCATCGTGATGAGCAAGAGCAGTAAGTGGAAGGGCATCTTTGTGATTCGTAAAAGCGATACGCTGCATTCTGTTGACATGAGAATTACATTCTGCCCTTGCTTCAGCGTCCGTCAAGGGTCGCCCAGCGATATTGTCATATGGTAACATCAAAGCTTGTCTGAATGCAGCAAGACCTGCACGTAAAGCATTGCTGTTTGCTTGTAGCATTCGAGTGGCATTCTCCAGCAGGGCGAATGCATGCAGATCGACGAACAGGAAGTATGTGTAGCGACGGGTCGGTAATTGAAGCAGGAGAAGCACAAAGAGCTGGAGGACAGTCTCAGCAAACTCAATTGTCTCGGCATCTGTTCGCTGCAGATGTAGTAGGTGCACCGTCTGTGTCAAGAGAATGGCGATCCATCTGCTCGCAGCGGGGTCCACGCTCTTCAGACTTTTGACATAGCGTTTACGCAGCACTGGCGTTTGCTTGAAAAGCTCCTCGCGATAAGTCTCTAGCAAGTTGGACCATATTGAAATTGACACAAGCGGCTGTATCTTCTCTCTAACACCATCGAGATGCAGATTTTGGAATAGCAGAAGGACGAATCGGCCGAGAAGAGTACGGGCCCTCATCGAGAGATTCTCGTCTAGCATCCCTGCTAGACTATGCTGGATGACAATGCCAACGCCATCACGACTTAATTCAATCTCTGGATCATTCGTCTCTTGAACCCGGCTTTGGACAAGTATTGCGGTAAGCAATAAAGGAGCTTGACTATCGTGATCTTTGACCATTGGCCATAACTCACTGCGAATTAGTAAAACGAACAATGCCCGCAATGACGCACCTGCTGAGGATGCCGCTCTTGACAAGTGCGGCGATTTTCTTGGACGAGAACGCATCGCGCTTGAGTTCTGCCCATATCCTGTCCGGGTCGAAGGAGGGAGCCTTCCGCTTCGTGCCCATCGGCCTGCGTCGCTGCTGGCTGTGCTAGTGTACTTGTATATGCGACAGCTGTTTTGTGTAGGTGTCTGAATTCGGTTTTTCACGCGATCGAGCCAAGACACCGGCAGCCTCACACCACATCATCTACTTGAGCTTGCTAAGAGTGCTACTGTCAGCCAGCTCAGCTTCTTTCTCGTTGACTTTTGATCTCTATTTGAAGATTTACATAGACCCATGTCACCATCTCCTCGACCTGAGGCTCAACCCGGAACAGACGCCGACAATTGGGACAAAGCCCTTGAACAAGGCGGCTGCACCAAGGAGAACCAGACTTTGCTAGACTGCAAGATGAAGCATGGAGATTGGAGACAGTGCACAAAAGAAGTGTGATATTGCTAAATCTGTGCATGGAAGCTGACTTGCAGATGATGGCATTCAAGCGATGTTGGGATGAGCGTAAGGAACGGACACAATGACGCGCATGCATGGTTGGACATGTTCTCGAGAGCACTGCTGCGGCGCGTTGCTAGACTGATCTGTTGCTACCTCCGTCAAGACCAGCTGAGAATCGTCGCAATCTCAAAATTGATGTATCATGCTCCAAATACTCTGCATAAGAGTACTACCTGACGCAGATCTAGACCGGCTGGTCTCATTCACGGTAAAATGGCGAAAGGATGCCGAGTCCGCCGCGGAGCAGACTCTCGCGGCTGTGCAGGTTTGCTTGTCCCTCTGGAACTCTTAGCATGTGTTGCTATGCTACCTCATCTATCGTGCCCGTTCCATCAAACGTTCAGGAGACTTGCAACAGAGCAGGCCATGCCAGCCCGGTGCCACTGAACAGTGAATACGCTTGTCGTCTTGGCTATCACAGTGGCGCCCTCCAGAGAGACGACATTCTGTTCAATTGTTGCCAATTGTCGCCAGCTTGTGTCTGGCCCCTCAGAGTTTCAGTGCTCAACTTTGATGAGCTGGCCCCCCGTCGCTGATCAGCAACATGACCCTTCCTCGTGGGTTCCCCTGAGCACATTGGGCACATTGGCAAGGATGAGAGCAGCCATCCACGCGATAGCCAAGCGAGGCCCTGTGCCCAGAAGTATATAAATGTGCGTACCCTAATCGATTACTTGACAGCTTCTCTGCTGCGAGGCCCTTGCTGGTCCTCAATCGCCGCCAGCTCTGTTCCTTGTCGCAGCTCCGTGAAAGTCGAAATGGACAACGAGGCATCGGCCACCACAACACACACTGGCCCAGACGACCCTCAGGGACAGCATGAATGCCAGCAGGGTCTACTTTCCTCCACAGCTATGATCTGTACAAAGGCGCAGGATGCACGAGCCTCGCAGACTGGCATTGTGGCTCGACGCGCCGAACGTGATCGCATCTTAAAAAATGGCGTTGCTCTCAGTCACGTCTGCACCAATTGCTATGTATGATTTCTTTCGTGCCGCGACGTGTTGCTGACAACACAGGTCCTAGGAAAACCCTGCAAGTTTGACCTCGAAGCCCATGCCAACAAACGAGCAGGCGACGATTGCGCATGGTGCTTTTCTGAAGGATACGCATGCACTGGCAAGATACTGGTCGCCGCATTCCAGGCAGGCGATCCTGAAATCAGCGTCGTCGATCAAGTGCGCAAGCCTGAAAAGCAGTTGTGCGGACTCCCTCCTGGCTGGAATTGCAGTCTCTCTTCGCAGTCTGGTAGGAGGCCTTTCTTCCTTTGTACGCTGAAAAATGGAGACACCGAGACAACGTGGACTTTACCAGAAGGTACAAACCTGACGCAATGGGAAAGTATGTGCCGTGCCATCGGTGTGCCTGAAGTTTGGCGTCCTCAAAAGCATGAACTGCAGCAATTTGCGTTAACAGAGATACGGCAAGCTACTGCTATGGCTGTTCAGGAGATTGAAAAGCCGAAAGAGGATACAAAATTGGCACCATATGCTTCAGAAGGGCCTGTCCAGCATGCTGGGCGAACAAGCAACGCTGCGAATGCCGTCATAAACCCCAAGAACGGGACAATGCGTACAGAGCTTACACCAAAGGATACAGGATCTACACAGGCCAAACAAGCAGTAGCTCCAACAAGTCAAGTTGCCAAGACAGTACCCTCCAAAGACAAGATCGAGGCGCAGACGATGAAAGAGGTTTCAAAATTGCCGGCCTTCAAGAAACGAGTCTCCGCTGATACTGTACCCCAGCTTGCAATTGAAATAAAGGATTCGGATACGCCTCCAATTGAAGATGACGACCTAGATTTCTTCAAGTTTGGCCGAACTCGCATGGGTGGTGTTCCCTCAAATGACACCAGGTGCCGATTCTGCTCCACGTTTCTCGGCGGTAACATCAAAGCCGTCGACAATCACGAGCGATACAACTGCAGGCACAACCCTGATCAATTCTTCAATCGCGTCATCCGCGAGAAAATCTGCACTCACTTTCCAAGACATTTCCACGGCCGAGTATTGTATGCGCATTTGGCGCAGGATGGTTCTTTGATTGACGCGCCCACAGCAGGTACGCACGCAACGAGTAGTAACAATGGCGCCCGACCATCGCTGACTCCTCGGACATCAAAAATGGATGATGATCGACGAAGGGGCTATTCACCAGAATTCAATCGCATGAGGCGTCCTTCCCCTTCTCGTTCACCACGCCCGCAGGCGAACGAGCATGGTTACGGTCGCACAAGATCTCCAATCAGCTTCCAGCCACGAGCTGTGCCCTCGCGCCCAGGCTACTCGGATTTCCGTCGTCGCTCGCCATCTCCGGGCCGCTATATCGATCGCGAACGCGGCGGAGACTGGAGGCAAGAACGATCACCTGGATCATCGAACATTCATGCACGTCCAACATCGCGTTCCAGGCGATACAGAGAAGATCCAATATCCCCTGAAATGCGACCTTACAGACGTCCACCATCGTCAGGACGGCATGACCACAGAAGCCCATCGCCAGAGCCTCGACGCCGTGTCCCATCTGAACGCTCACCGTCGCCATTCTCGAGGCGACAGGCCATTTCAAGGCCACCGGCTGAGCATGGTTACCAGAGACCACGATCACGATCGCCACCAGTGTCTTTCGCTCGTCGCGATGGCGCTAGTCAGCGCGAGGCTGGCAGATCAGCCGAAAAAAGCCGTGGCAGGTCGCGTTCCCGATCACCAATACGCATACCAAATGCCCCTGTCGCAAATGCTGTTGTTCACCGGACGCGCTCGCCACTGTATGCACCGGAAAAGCGAGTTGTTGCTACCTCTTCTTTTGCTGCTGGTGCAGAAAAAGCGACTGATCCGCGTCTAGCGCGTCCACCACCTGTGGTCCAACCATCACCGCCCATGAAGGTGAAGGAAGAAGCGGTCGTTCGGCAAGTGGCAGTAGCAGAGCGAGAGAGAGAACTCATGACGCCCGTCTCGCTTGACTCTACACCGGCCGCAACAGGCCAAGCTGTTCCAGCACCAGCTCGACCGCTCGAGCGAGGCCTTTCGCTGCGCACACTCGCTCGAATGCTGCAGAGTGAACAGCCATCGACTGCCGTGGACTTGTACATCAACCGACGCCTCTCTGCAGTTGACAAGACTAGTGAACGTGCGTCTGCTCCTGGTGACGTTGTCTCTGCTTTGCGATGTCTGCCAGATTTGCTCGACTTTCTGTCTTTGCAAAAGCAGGAGGGATTCTCAGGGGGATCTGACGAGGAAGCACGCTATGTCTTGGAGACCTATGTTCGCTCCATGGCTGGCGGTGAAGAACCCTTGCATTTCCTGCTTGTGTTGGAGGATGAGACGGACATTGAGCTTGTGGACCGATATTTCGAGGTGATGAATATTGCCTGAGTCTGTTAATGACCTTATGACACCTTTCTGTTTTCTGCAGCCTTTAGATCATTCAATACACTAGAGCCAAATTTTCAAGCAACGTCAGAACAATAGCAAAAGAAAGGCCATTGCCGCTACAACGCTGCGTCTACTCCTATTAAGTAATTGGAAGAAATTGAGTAGGGAGAAGTAAGAAAATCGCTCATACACCTTTGCCTAGACAAGCCCAAGACAGACCATGAACTTGAGCGGGCTCTGCTCCATGTCTTCGCCTTCACCTTCACGATCATCAAATGAACAAAGTCCACGAGATTTCCAGCCCCAAGATTGGCTGCGATTGAACTCATCAGGCGCAGACTGGAATTCAGTCACTCCAATCTTAGCGGAACCTTTGCGGGCTGGACAGTAAATTTTGAAGAATGTTGAGATGGTGCTGCGCATGTCGACGTAGGGACGTTTCACATCTGGCATGGTCAAGGCAATTCCTTGGGCATCTTTCTTCATAGGTGAGCCATTCGGTGTGACGTGAGTATCCATGTATGCATGCCCTTGCAAATCTTGCTGATAGTCAAAAGAGCTTCGTTCAAAGCCATTGCCCTCGCCTGCCTTGATTTCGACTCGGTGTAGATATACGCCAAGTTGTCGTGCTTTGCGCGCTCGGATTTTGTTGTGAATGTAAATGTTCCAGTAGCTACCGGCATAAAACACGGTGTGACTGTAGACGCGTGTATCCTCCTTCAGGTCGCCGACACGTTCAAACTCAGCCGAGAAGCGGAAAGGTGGGAAGAGGCTGTGTGCCTCTGCTGGCTTCAATGGGCCACTCGGACTGTGGATTGCAGAGGTCGGTGTCAGTGCTGGATCTCCAATGTAAGAGGTCTCATCCCGAGGCACAGGATACTCTGTCTCTTCCTTGGTCGTGATGCCAAGGACAGGGCCATTGCCAATGGTGATGTATTCCTTGAGCTCCACTTGGTCCCAGAGCGCCTTGAACAGTACATTTTCATCCACGAGTCCATCTGACTTGATCTTCTTGAGTTCAGACTGTGTCATATGCATGTAGTGAATTTTGCTTGCCAGCAGCTGCTCAAACACAAAAACATCTTGTCCCTTGGTCTTGCGGTGACGTAAGAGAGAAGCGATCACATTGTAGCGGTCAATTTCAGCTGGACAGAAAAAGGCATCATGCATTAAAATGTCTGCCGCAAGACCATCAGGTACCTCATCCCAATCTTCCATCGTCATCTCGTAGCCATCCCGGAGAAGCAGAGCACGGCATGCCTCCCTCAATCTCTCACTGGCTGAGCCATAATCGCTTGTACCAGACACAAAAGAGACAACTTTGCCTAATGTAGAGGTGTTGAGTGAACGTAGTTGCCTGACTGTGCATTCTTCTTGCAACTCTTCTAAGTCGATGTACGCTGCTGTTGCCAGAAGGCTGAGTGTATCGACCGTCTCAGGACTAGTTTCTTTGCCGTAGACACGAGCCAAGGCAGCCTCGAATGCAGGTCGCGTGATGTTCTCGTCGTCAAATTGAAGTGCCATGGCAGACGAATCAGCATCTTTCCAAGGCCCAGAGAACATCATGTTGAAAAAGGGCGCCCGATCGAGGATGATGCGATGCAGTGCATATGTTTTGCCAAACGCCGTAATGGCAACATCTGAGCATGCGCCCTCAAGGAAGCCGCGATAGTAGATGTGTTCGTCAATGCGTGAAGAGGCTACACGACTTGCGCGCCTTGGCGACAAATGTATTCCAGAGGGATACCTAGGTGAAGAGCGCATATCTAATGTGCCGTCGACCGATTGAGTCAGCGGAACATCGCGTCGTGACCAGCTTGGGTCGTCTGTCTCCTTGTGTGGAGTTGAAAATGCAGAGTCTGGCGCAAACCGAGCAGATTTGCTTGGCGTGTGCTGCACAGGCCGAAGCGAGGATCCAGTGATAGTATTGCCTTGTAAGGTCACACTAGCAGCCGTGGGTATGACATCTTCAGTAGCGAGGCGCTCAATCATGTCAGTCAAGCCGATGCTGTGGCCATTGCGTGCGTCCATTGCGCCGCAGTATAGTAGGAGCGCGTTCTAAGGAAAGATTTATTCAGAGCAATTGAGCAGATGAGAAGCTAGCTGAGCAAGATGAAGGCGATTGATGACTGTAGCAGCGTGTAGATTGAGCAGTTGCCGCTGTGGCTGGTCTGTCCATCTGCTGCTCGTTGAATCTGGCAGTGGTGCTGGCACGTGCTCTCCCTTTCCGTGGGATGAAATTTGACAGCGCGCGGAATTGATTAGATAGCGGCCGGTGACAGCAACGACTCGCATCCATCTCTCTGCATAAGTACTTGTTAGCTGGGCCTCTCGATCTGAGCAGCACTCGGCTCGGTGAAGATGGCTTCCAAAATCGCAGGACTAGATTCTCTCACTCTCAGAGCCTTTGACCAGGCAGGCTACTTCGAGACGATTGAATTTTACGCATCACTTGGCTTTATCGAGACCAAATCCTTCTCAAGCGCAGATGAGAACTCAGAGCCTGTCGATGGTTTCTCCACAGAAAGCGAGCGTGAAGCTTGGCTCATCAACTTCGACGAGGAGACTGATGAGACCGTCGTGCTCAAAATTGTAGTCCTAAAGAACAACGATGAAAAGGCGAGCAAGCCACGCAGCAGCTTCACACTCAAGACTCGCAGTATTCAAGTACGGTATCTACTCTTTTTGAATATGTTCTAACATCAGAGGCTCATCTCGCACTTCGACAACGATAAGATTCAGTACACAAAGCATCGAGCTGGCAGCCCGGCGGAACTGACTGCAACTGATCCATTGGGCAATCAAGTCAGCTTCACGACGAGATCGCACGCTTGTTCTTCATCTCAAGTACTACAAGCCAAAGCCCAAGCAGAGTCACCGCGCAAAGGACATAGTCGCGAAGCGAGTGCTCTCAAAAATGCTCTGGGCGGAGACGTCCCAAGGCAAGCGAATGGCAAGCGTAAACGAATCGGCGTCATGACGAGCGGTGGAGACTCTCCGGGTATGAATGCATCTGTGCGCGCTGTAGTGCGTATGTCCATTGCTCTGGGCTGCGAAAGTTACGCCATCTACGAAGGCTATGAGGGTCTTGTGCAAGGTGGAGACTTGATCAAGCGCATGTCTTGGGAGGATGTTCGAGGCTGGCTTAGTGAAGGAGGTACCCTGATCGGTACTGCGCGCTGCATGACATTCCGGGAGCGTCCAGGGAGACTGACTGGTGCAAAGAATCTGGTCCTAGCGGGCATTGATGCGCTGATCATCTGTGGTGGTGACGGCAGTTTGACTGGTGCAGACATTTTCCGTGCAGAATGGCCATCACTCATCGAGGAGCTCGTCAAGACGGGTGAGCTCACAGAAGAACAAGTCAGCCCCTACAAGCACCTGACCATCGTCGGCCTGGTGGGCAGTATTGACAACGACATGTCGTCAACGGATACGACAATTGGTGCATACTCCTCACTCCATCGAATTTGCGAGGCTGTTGACTCGATTGGCGCTACAGCGCTGTCGCATTCGCGCGCGTTCGTCATCGAGGTCATGGGTCGGCACTGTGGATGGCTCGCCTTGATGGCGGGTGTCTCTACTGGGGCTGATTTCGTTTTTATCCCGGAAAGACCACCTACTGAAGCTGATTGGGAGGCTCAAATGTGTGCGAGCATCAAGGCCCATCGCAAATTGGGCCGTCGAATTACAATCATCATTGTTGCTGAGGGTGCGATTGATCGTGACCTGAATCCCATCACCCCTGGCGCCATCAAGGACCTGCTAGTCTCAAAACTCAAACTTGACACGCGAGTAACCACTCTTGGACACATTCAACGTGGAGGCACACCCTGCTTCTATGACCGTTATCTTGCGACAGTGCAAGGATGTGAAGCTGTCAAAGCTGTCTTGGATGCTACCCCGGAAACGCCTTCACCGATGATTGGCATCACCGAAAATGTCATCACGAGAAACCCTCTCATGGATGCCGTCAAGCTGACTCATGCAGTTGCTGAGAACATTGAGCGGAAGGATTTCGCAGCAGCCATGGACCTGCGCGACCCAGAATTTGCTGAGAACTTCGAGACCTATATTCATACCTCGCAGGTCAAGTTGGAAGACCCAGAGTTTGCGTTACCAGCAGACAAGCGCCTTCGAGTCGCCATCATCCATGTCGGTGCCCCAGCTGGCGGAATGAATTCGGCGACAGCCGCAGCTGTTCGCTATTGTCTCAATCGGGGTCATACTCCACTAGGCTGTCACAATGGATTTCCTGGCCTGGTTCGCCATGGTCACGAAGGAGGCGTACGAGAATTCACTTGGATGGGTGTAGATGGATGGACCATGCGCGGCGGCTCAGAGATTGGCACCAACCGTGATTTGCCAGACATTGATCTTGGAATGACGGCCTATCAGTTCCAGAAGCACAAGTTTGACGCGCTCATGCTCATTGGTGGGTTCGAGGCCTTTACGGCGCTTGGACAGCTACACAATGCTCGAAACCAATATCCATCATTCAGGATTCCAATGGTCTGTCTGCCAGCTACCATCTCAAACAATGTCCCCGGGACAGACTTCTCTCTCGGATCAGACACTTGTCTCAATGCGCTTGTACAATACTGCGATGCCACAAAGCAAAGTGCGTCTGCGTCCAGAAGACGTGTATTTGTGGTCGAGGTACAAGGTGGCCGATGTGGTTATGTCGCTACCATGGCGGGCTTGACTGTTGGAGCTCTTGCTATCTACACACCAGAAGATGGTATCTCTCTCGAGATGATTTACAATGACTTGCAACATCTGAAGCAATCCTATGCTCTGGACCGTGGGGAGAACCGTGCTGGCAAGCTTATTCTGCGAAATGAAAAGGCTAGTGGCACATATACAACCGAGATGATCTCTAAGATCATCTCGACAGAGGCGCATGGTCGATTCGAGACGCGAACAGCAGTGCCTGGCCACATTCAGCAAGGAGGAACTCCATCGCCCATGGATCGTGTGCGAGCAACCAGACTGGCCATCAAGTGCATGCAATTCATTGAGGAGCATGGGAAGAAGCCAATTGACCAGCGACATGTCCCCGAAACTGCAGCGGTCATTGGTATTCGTGGACAGAGTGTCAAGCTGACACCTGTTGCTGACCTCCTCGCTAGTGAGTCTGACAGCCGCGAACGCAGGCCCAAGGCTGCTTGGTGGCGGGACATCAAGGATACGGTCAATTTGCTTAGTGGCCGTGCCATACCTTCAGTCGTGCGTGAATCTGAATCTTTCCATTGACGAGGTTAAGAAACACTTTCGGTAGACTCTAAGATAGAAAGCGGCAAATTGTGACTGCAAAACGTCCTGTCCTCCTATCTCACTTCGGAATTTCGTGCACGAGACCATCGACAACATGTATCGCTCTCGCTGCATTGCATGCCCTCCTTGCTGAGCTCTTCCTATGGATCGCTGCTATCTCTTACAACAGCAACAGCTTCTCGCCGATGGTGTGACTGCTCTTGATGCCGATGACAGCAATGTCTTCCTCGGAACTGAGTCCGGCCAGCTTCTGCGCTTCGTCATCCATCGCGAGGACCCAGATTCTGAAGCTGATAGCTTTACCTATCTATTGGCTTCGCAACAAGATTCTATAGAGAATGCACCGGTCAAGAGCATTCTCTTGCTCGCACATATCCAGCTTGTCGCCGTACTAGCCAATGACGTGCTCAGCTTCTATACATTGCCCGAATTTGCACCGGCTAGCCACTTGCGCATCATCAAAGATGTACAAGGTGTCATCTGGGGAAGTAGCTTAGATGTTGAGATTTCAGAAGAAGCATATGCATCGCTGACGGTCTTTACGAAGCGCAAAGTACGTCAGCTTCTGATTACTTCTGATCGAGTAAAGCTAGCACGCGAAGTGGAGTACGCGGGCTGTATAGCAGCTTGCCAGCGTGGATCAATAGTATGTGCAGCAACCAAGCACTCATACGATCTGCTTGACCTACAAGAAAAGGCTAGGATCCAGCTCTTCCCGGTTGTCCAAGGCGAAGCGGAACCCGAAGGCCCGCAGTTTGACAAGTTCATGCCACGAATCCTCAGTCCATCTGCTTCGGAGTTTTTAGTTACTTCAGGCAGTCCGGAGATGCCTAGTGCTCTGGGCATGTTTGTCACGATGGAGGGTGATATCACTCGGGGTACACTCATGTTTGACGACTATCCGTTGAGCCTCATTTGTGTGAACGAGAAGATCCTGGCTCTCATGCCTTCGCAAAAGATTGAGGTGCACAACATCATGAATCAGCTTAAAGAACTGACGATTGAGGTTCCGGGAATGACCTCGATTTTCACAACTTCTGAGGATGTTGATGTGGTGGTGAAGGAAAATCTTAAGTTGATTTCACTGGTCAACCTCGAAGAGAATGAAAAATGGACGAGCAGCCTTGATATCGCGCGCCGGGCATCAGTGGCAACGACGCGTATCGTGCTCTGTGGATCAGGCTCTGTGTCCTTCCTCCCATCTGCCACAGAGCTGATGCACCTTGATGAGATCCTTGGAAACGGTGGCTTGGAACAGTGCATCAAGAGAGCTGCTGCCTTTTACAAGAAAAGACCCGAAGAGGAAGCGTATCATTGTCAAGCATATGTTCACCAAAAGGCAGGCCTGCTGTATTTCAATCAGCTTCTGTTTGATGATGCATTGGATCATTTACTTGCTGGCGATCTTGATCCTCGCATTCTGCTCAGTTTATTTCGAACACTGCCTCAATCTGACACATCAACCCAGCTCAAACTGTACAAGGGTGTACGGAAGCAGCTCTCAGCAATGCAGCCGATCGAACAGACGATCCGCTCGACACTGGAATCAACGGTAGATGATCCTGCTACAGTGACCGAGCTCTGTACCATTCTCGAAGGTCAAGCAATTGAGATGTGTCGCCGCTTTTTGACCAAGTATCGCACAAAGAGACAGACCAGCAAGCTGGTATCAGATGTTCTCGGTCCAGTCGAGGCTGCTCTACTCCACATTCTGTTGTCTATGGATCGTGGTGAAGCCAAACCCAAATTGCAAGAATTCTTCCAGCTCGAGCTGGCGAATATTGAGCAATCTATACGGTATCTGCAACAGCATTATCGATGGTGGGAGTTGCTGCAGCTCTTAACACGTCTTGCCCGTCACGAGGAAGCGTTGTCCATTTGGCAGCAGCTCATGGAAGGCACAATTTCTGACCAAGATTACCCAGGGCAAGGATTTCGTGCTATGAAGGATTATCTCATCCAGCATGGCACAGATGATCTCATTTGGCGTTTTGGTATTTGGCTATTGCAAATGTACACTGACATTGGCGTCGAATTGTTTGATACAGTCGATGCATCGCCGAACAGCGCGACAACTTACACATCGCTTCTTGACAAGCTCCGCACTGGCGACGATCGGGGCATTTTCTTGAAGGTCCTGAATCATGTAGTGGCGTCAAGCCCGAACGTGAGCATAGCTTTATCAAATGAGCTGATTTTGACGCTCGCAGAGCAAGTCACAAGCAAGCTGAGCAATTCGTCATTGTCGAATCTTGCAACAGAGACGGTAGCAAATTACAGGCAAATGAGAGCACCCAAGATGCCTTTCCCGATGTTTGTGCTGGAAAATAGGCTTTCTGGCTCAGGAGAGGTACGACAATTTGCCGAGCTTCGAGCGAGATTGATTGACCGACTACAAGACGATGCTCAATATGATGCGCAGGCTGTGCTCGATGTGATTCTACAAAACAAAGACATTCTATTGGCTGAGCGGATCATACTCTATGGTCGGCTCGGCAAACATGCTGAAGCTCTCAAGATACTGGTTCGTGATCTGAAAGACTTTGATAGCGCTGAGGTCTACTGTTATCACGGTGGTGTTTCTTTGTCATCGCTGCGCATCGGTACCCAAAAGCTGGAGATTCTCGAGATGCGCCATACACTGTTCCCAATGTTACTACAGGAATGTCTCAATTTGCCGGATGTTGAGCTCAGATACAGTCAAGGTGTGGCATTACTCAACCGATGGAGCAGCTACATGAAGTTCGATGATGTGTTGACCTTGATACCCGACGAGTGGTCGATCGAGGCGATTGCGAGCTTCCTGCAAGTCTCTCTGTCCCATCTGGCAGCAGAAAAGCGAGATGTTCAGATCCAGCGATCTCTTGTGCGTTTGCAAGCACGCAGACAGACTCAAAGCAAGCTCATCAGATTGCAATGACACATCCTTTTCACCTCATGATTGAAGCTTTCTTGTAGTTGGAAACGCTTGCTCTATGCTGCTTTGAGCTCGGTGAGGCAATGCATCACCTGCACCGGGCCGAACAAGCTGCACAGAGATGATATCTGCAATTGACTGGCTTGGCATACAGGAGGTCGCGAGGGGTGTTCTCGGCTTATGGAGAGAGTTCAGAGATATGCTTGGCCCAGTTTCAGGAGGTTCAAGTCTCGTTCGCGAGCTGATTATCGGTGATGAACGAGCTATACGATGTTTCGCGCTGACTTCCATTGACGCTGCAGTTTATCAAGAGTGCGCAAATGTACGCGAACACACGGCCTGTTCCGGAGAGTCGGAGTCCATCAAAATTGCACATCGATAGTCTGACGCCCTTTTGCTTGGCAGAATACTCAGGGGTAAATCCCTTTGCGCATGTTTGTGCGGCGAGTTCCAGCCTAGGAAGCAAGACTAAGTGGCCGCAGATAAAACGTGGCTTCTTGCTATCACTGCAAGTGTACACTGGCATGCGCAGTACCTCAGGAGACCATATGCTACTAGAGCTGCACCGCATTATAATTAGCAACAGCAATTTGCGGGCTCGCACCCTGACAGACTGGTTCATGCGCCGTGGCCTCGTCTTGACGATCCCTTAAAGGCCGTCGACCGCATCACGACTCAAGTTTGTGGTCTGTGCGCTTACTTGTAAGCATGCTCTTGGTTGTACTAATGGCCTGCATGGCATGGGCCAGCAATGTCACGGCGTCTCATGTTCACACAGGCCACACAAATACTCCTCGTCAAGGAATCAAGCAAACCGATCCCAAGAGCAAGACCATTTCAGGCCCCCTTCATGCGAAACTCCACAAGAACATATTCGGAGAGGTGTCTTGTCAAAAGCCTGCCAAGGTCGTATTTACCATCTCTGGTCTGACAGTTGCCCCAGAGAAATGCCCCAAGCCCAAAAATCACCGTCGCGCATCTTCAGACACTCCCCTGCCCAACGCTGTCTTCAATCATCACAAGAGCTCGTACGCACTGCTTGTCGACGTTTCTTTCAGCTCTCCAAATAACGAGACATTCCGCCTCGCTTTCGATACGTCCAATCCATCTCTCACAACACTCAGTGCAACTGGACAACGATTTTTGGCCGATGCCGACGGCATGGACAACAAGATCTGGCAAGAGATACAGGCTTATGACGTGGAGACCACAGGCCGAATCGTAATCAAAGGTGAAATTCAAGTGAACATCAGTCCGTACTCTAAGTTTACTGCTGATGAATACATTGATGACGAAGTTCACATCGGTGGCCAGCTGGCTCGCAAAGCATCGGTGCTGGTGGCTTATAATGCTGAGCTTATCAAACCAATTGACGGCATCTTTGGCATTTCCCCAGAGGCAAGCGTTTTCTCTCACATGGAAGATCTTCCTGAGCATGTTATTGGCTTAGAATTGCAGCACTTTACTAAGGATGGCGGTTCTTTCACGATCGGTACTGTATCTAAAGCGTACGGTGATCTCCAGTTCGTCAACATTGTCAAGAAGCAGGCCAACCCACTTTTGGTTGGCAAAGATCTCGTCGAAGGTAAGGCGTACGACCTTTTCGCTGTTGACGATGCATCACTCACAGTCGACGGTAATTCCATCAAGCTCTCTGGCGCCATACTTGACACCTCACTTGCTATCACCTTTTTACCTCGGGAGGCATTCAAAGCCTTCGAAAAGGCTTTTAGTCCCACAAAGGATCCCAGCTTTGTCCTCAGCTATATGTTGCCCTGCCAGGTCACATCGGCTCTCAAGAGATTGTCATTCAACTTTGGTGGAGCTAAGCTTACCTTTAACAAATTGGCTCTCAGCCACAACGGCCAGGATAGCCTTTGCATCAGTGCCATCCAGCCCTGGGACCAAACGTACGCGGCAATTGGCAGTCATATTCTGCTTGACAACTACGTCGCTTTATACCTCAAGACTGATACGCAGGAGCCCAAGGTCGGCATTGCATCGAAACATGGTCACGCAACGAAACGTGAACATTGATGTTCGTGTTCCTCTTAAAGTGTATGAGCACAATACGCTCTCCTAGCACCCCACTTCTCATAAACTGGCGGTATTGATTGCCGCCATGAGCTTTCTTCTGCTTCTTAAGCATAGAGTCATAGACCTACACTTAATTTCTACCTCTTCCTCTCGCCTCTTCCTCTCAGAGCCAGGCTGCTGCTGCTGCTTCAGTGCTTCCCCTCGCCATCTGAAGCATCTCCATTCACGTGCGCCTCCAGATCTTGGCGTGCTCAAGCCATCACCGCATCCAACAACTGCTGTCGCACTTGCTCCCGTCGCCTTTCGCTAGGCATTCAAGTCTCTGAGCACATAGCGCTTCTCTGCTTTGTGCAAAATCATCCCAGAACACATGTCTGGCCTTGAAAATTCGCTCTTCCAGCTCAAGTTGACCGCGAAACAGCTGAAATCGCAGTCAGCCAAGTCAGCCAAGCAGCAGAAACTGGAGACGACGCAAGTGAGTAAAGCCATCAAGGCTGGTAATAATGATATTGCGCGTATACATGCAGAAAATGCCATTCGGAAAGGTCAAGAACAGCTAAATTTGCTGCGTCTCTCAGCGCGCATCGATGCCGTCGCGTCGCGCGTTCAAACAGCAGTGACGATGCGGGCAGTTACGAAGAATATGGGTCAAGTAGTGAAGGGTATGGATCGCGCAATGCAATCGATGAATATGGAGCAGATTTCACTTGTGATGGACAAGTTTGAGCAGCAATTCGAGGATCTCGATGTACAGGCAGGCTATATGGAGGGTGCAATGAACGGCTCTACTGCGACATCGATGCCGACAGAGGAGGTAGATGCGCTCATGAGCAAGGTTGCAGATGAAGCGGGCTTGGAGCTGACGCAAGACATGGCTGCGCAACAAGCGCCCAAGAGCAAAGTGGCAGAGGCAGAAGAGGATAGGCTGCACGAAAAGCTCAAAGCATTACGTTCATAGCATTCATCAGCGAAGACTCGCAATAGGGCCAAATATCACTGTGCTGGTCGTGACGTCAATGTTGAGCGACAGGTATATTTGACTTGTTTTCAAGTACTCGGCATCGACTGATACCACCATTTAGTATCTATAAAAGTCTTTCTAGTGCTCAATTCACAGCATGGCTTCGCTCAAGACTGCCTTAAAACACGCTCAGAAGCCTTCTACTACCATTCCCACCGTAGCGTTTGGCACTTACAAGGTGACAGACAAGAATTCTACTGCAGGAGTGATCAGAAGCGCACTGGCTTGCGGCTATAGGCACTTTGATTCAGCTCAATTCTATCATAATGAAGAACTCATTGCTTCATCTATTGCTGCAGGCATTAAGCAACTCGGTATCGAGCGATCAGAAGTGTACTATACAACAAAGATCTGGCCTGATGACCACACGCCTGCTAGCCAGCTCAACCAAGCCATACAGACCTCGATTGACCGTGCTACACCAAGTCTTGGTTACATTGATTTGATTCTTTGCCATTGGCCTCACAAGGATGCCGAAGTCCGCAAGTCGTCCTGGCAAGTGCTCAGCGAGCTAGTTACGGCCAAGGGAAGCAAAGTCAGAGATGTTGGCGTATCCAACTACAGTATTGATCAGATTAAAGAGCTCCAGGATGTCGAAGGGGCTGTCCAGCCAGTCCTCAATCAGATTGAGGTTCATCCATGGAGCTACAAGAAGCAAAAAGCACTCATTGAGTGGTGCTTGGAGCAGCAGATCGCAGTAGAGGCATGGGCTCCTCTTGGTCAAGGCAACAGCGATGTTGCCCTCTCAGAAATCGCCAAGCGGCTCAACAAAGATGAAAAGGCTGTCCTCGTCAAGTGGAGTGTCTTGAAGGGATTGATTCCATTGCCCAAGAGTACTAATGAAGGACGCATGAAGAGCAACATTGAACTAGACTTTGATCTCAGCGATGCCGATGTGGCGACGCTGGATGGACTATCTAAGTAGGTTGCTTCTTTGTTGATAATCTATTCAAGCTGCTGTCCCGGCTGATACTTGCTAGCACCTGGATCAATTTGCATAACTTCTGGTGCACTACCAGTTAGTGCGGAAGTCGTTTTTCTACCAAGGACAAGGTCTTGCACAAAAGTGATTCCTGGATAAATATCACTGACCACATGAAGTTGCAATGAAAGACCCAAGCACTCGTCTGGTATACTCAAATGAGCTTTCGTAGTCAATGAGCCATGCCCAGGCATGATGCTCGCTCGTTTAAGCGCAAGTAGCTCGTCATTTTGAGGATTGACCAGCAACACGAACCATCCCTCAGATTGCTGCTTTGGAAAGCGAGGACAGTATGCTTTACCACTTGTCGGATCAAGCATACGTCCCATTCTCTTGAGTGTAATGTGCAGTTTGCCAGCACCGTCAAACGGCTGCATGGAGACTTGTAGAACAGGTAGTGCTTGTGCAATCTTCATGAATTGGCCTGCACTCTGGCCAGTCAATTCCTGCGCGAGACTTGATAAGGCTCCTTTGCCCATCTTTGCCACCTCCAACAGCGTCAACCTGGCGGCCCGCTTGCTGGATTTTAACTTGGCAGGCTGGACACCTGGCATCAACAAGAGCGAATGGTCGTCGTGCCAGATGCCTTGCTTAACGCATACCATCAATTCAATCAATCGTGCAGTCGTTGACCAACAACCTTGTTCAGCCGTGACATCGATGTAGGCCTGCAGCACCCGAATGCTTTGATCCAAGACAGATATCGTATCCGTAATATAGTCTGCAATAGACAATGTGAGGCGCTCAAAGTGTGCTTGTAAGAGCAAGTATGCCTTGACATGAGGATCCCACATGGGTAGGCCAAAGTCTTTGCCATTGAAGCGCAGAAGCTTTGCAAGCTCAGCGTTGACTAGATCCTCGTTGTGACGTACTGGCTGCTCATCAAACTCTGTTGCTTCCGATAACCATCGCAGGGCCTGCTCAAAGGTAGCCTTGTCGCAGACTTGCTCGACAAACTTGCGAATCGTTTTGTGGGACAGATAATAGTAGGAGGTAATCTTGCCCAAACTGGTTGCACGCAAGCCACCGAGATCAGTTGCTTCCACTACGTGCGAAGCCATGAGCACATCAATGCACTCCGTTAGCCAATTGGTCATATAGGCAATCAATCCCTCAGACGACGTTTCTTGCAGGCCATAGTAACTTGGGTTCTGTTGGATGCGTCTGAAATAGTATGTGCCGGTCAAAAAGTCGAATGCATCATTCATCGAGATGATAGTTTCTGCTGCAAGTTCAGCACAAAGATGATCTGGCAAGACATTATGTAGCGAAGATTCGACAGGAAAGCCACTGTGGAGGAAGTGCTTATAGAATGACTTCTTGTTGTCTTTGACAAAGATGCGAGCGATGCCGTGTGTGTCGTACTGAGGTCGACCCGCACGGCCGAGCATCTGCAAGACATCTGTCAAGTCCATATCCTTGTATCCACCAATCTTTGCGTCGAAGTACTCGGTTCCCTTGATGATGACGAGCGACGCTGGGGTGTTGATTCCCCAGGCAAGCGTACTTGTAGCCACGAGAATCTGTACCTTCTGGTTCGTAAACAGCTCTTCGGACAGACGCCGGTCATCTTCCGTCAAACTAGCATGGTGAAGCGCGATTCCAAATTGTAGCGATAACCGTAGAGACTCATCTGTGACACGAGTCAAAATCATCTCGAGTTCCTCGTCCGGCATGTGCATAAAGCGTCTTGGATTGTCTTCGTTGCCGCAGAGAGTGATGAGGTCTTGAGCAGTCAATCGGGTTTGCCTTCGAGAGCTGACAAATATCAACACGGGCTTGTTTGGCGCATGTGTCTTGATTGCAGCGAAGGCAGGTCTGTTCATCGAAGCCATTCGAGGGCAATAAGCACGACCAGGGAAATCGTCAATGTATATTTCGACTGGTGCGGCATGTCTAAAGTTGTAAAGAGCGCCGGGCTTGATGTTGAGCCATTCGGCAAGATCCAAAGGATTCGCCACTGCTGTACTGAGTCCGACAATCCTGACTGGCTTCTTTGTCTGCTGGGCAATGTAGTTCATGCGCGAGACGATCACCTCGAGGATTGGGCCACGATCACCGCCTAATAGATGAATTTCATCGATGATGACAAGCGAGATGTCTCGAACGTATCCTCGGTTTTTCCAACTCCGAGAGATACCATCCCACTTCTCCGGTGTCGTAATGATTATATCAGCCGAGGTGATTTTCGAGGTGTCTGGCGTGTTGTCACCAGTCAGCTCGACAAGCTTCCGCTGCATGGGACCTGTCAGACGTGCAGTCCAGTCATTGACACGTTCCCGGACGAGTGCCTTCATCGGTGCAATGTACACGACCTTGCCCTTTGGAAACTTGCGGAAGGCCCACCACAAAGCAAGCTCAGCAGCAGTCGTCTTGCCAGAACCAGTGGGTGCGCCTACCAGCACATTCTGATCTGTGTGGTACAGAGTGTGGAAGTACTGAGTTTGTACAGGGTTGAAGTAAAGGAATCGTTGAGCGCAAATGTCTTCCAAGATTGGATCCTGCAATGCAGTAATGGGTAATGGCTGAAGGTTGAGCAGCTCAGTTGCTGGATTGGCGTCGCGAGGAAGAATAAGATTTGACAACGAGACAGCCGTGACGGTTTCAGCACCAAGCCATCGATCACTGACTGCGCGTACGTAAATTTGAGAGGGGATGGGATCAGCCAAAGGAATAGTGAACGACATTTCGTGTGTTTCACGCGACTTCCGCTGGGTCAACATGAACGACTCATGATACAGTATTTCTGTGCCTTCGTCATCTTCCACCCATATCCAAAAGTGCTCTGCCGTGCCGTGAATACGCGAGTACCAATTGAAGTCGGGCGTAATGTATAATTTGACGCGTAGTACTTGGCGGGTCAATGGTGCAACTTCATACTCAATTGACAAGAGCGGAAAATTGTCGACTGCATTCTTGATTTGATGGCCCATGCGATTGAAATTGATGAGTGCTCCAAGTTCCGCTGCGTCCATTTCTCGCAACTGTTCGATAGTAGAGGCAGTATGTTTCTCTTCAAGCTTCATGGTCACCTCCCTCTTCAAATCCATTTGGCCGAGCGGGTGCTCAAAGGACCACATTCTATCGTTAGCGCTGTTGGGTATTTGCGAAATTTCTCACCGTTTGTCAATCATCTGGCCTACGCTGAGAATGACAGAGGCAGATGGCCAAGAGCGAGACAAGGCAATCTCGAAAAGTGCTCGAGCGACTCTAGCTCCGTTCTGTGCCACATAATTGGTGTCACTCACAAGTGCGAAATCTTCTACACTCGCCTTCGATACGTAGCCCTGCAGGAGAGTATTGACCTTTCCTGGCGTTGTACTTGTTTCTGCCTTGATTTGACAAGGAGCAGCAAATTGACGCATCTGATCGAGTTCCTGATGCTCGTTGTCTCGGCTCTGCATCTGTGAGAACTCAGTGGCCAAGGATATCATATTGAACACGTCGGCCTCTGCCATTTTAGGCTTCATTAGCTCATTGAAGACCTCGATGGACTTGTGGCTGATGTAAAAGTTGGACGCAATGCGACCAAGGTCTTTTGGCGTCAAAAGTTCTGTCTCCGGGTTGTAGACAATCATCTGCGTTTTGTGAAGCTGCATAGCGGCTGCAATGATAAGATCACGGCGACGACCGACAAGCGCTGGATCATCTTGATATTCGCCCACTTCGATGCCATATACACGAGGATTCTTTCGCATGCGAACAAAGAGGTACGTGTAGCTGAGCCAAGAGACTGCCTCCGTCACATTGGTCACCGTACCAAGGGAAATCTCTGCATTCAAGTTATCGACAAGTCTTTCTGCAAATTGCGACTCGATAGGGTGTTGAGCGGTGATGGCATTGGTATAGTGAGCCAATTTGTCGTGCGTTGTGCAAATGTAGCCCACACCGTGTGTTTCGAATTGAGGTCGTCCTGCACGACCAAATATTTGCAACACATCCAGTACTCCGAGGTCGACGAAAGAACCTTTCTGTGGATCGTACAACTGCGTACCTCGGATAACAACCGCGTAGGCGGGCAAATTGACACCCCATGCAAGAGTGGCCGTACAGCAGAGGACTTTCAAGACGCCACTGCCAAAGTACTTCTCCACCAAATTACGATCAGATCGCAACATGCCTGCATGATGGATACCAAAGCCTTTGACAAAAAGTTCTCGAAGCTCTCGGTTCTTCGAGCGACCCAGATCACGCTTGGCGATGTCGAATTGTGCGTGCTCAGATGGATCAAAGGCAAGAGCATCACCTTCTGCGGTAGCCATTTCGAGCAGAGTGGTAGCGGTCTTGACAGTGGCTTTTCTTGCGTGCACAAAAACCATGACCTGATGCCCTTCCTTGACTAGTTCGTGCACCTTCTCGAAAGTGGCCTTGTCGAGACGCTCATTGGACACCTTTGAGCCTGCCTTGCCCTTGACTCCGATAAAGTGCTGCTCTAGGCCAACTGGCCTGAATGCAGAGGAAAAGAAGAATAAGCCAACGTAGCGATTGACTTTGAGGAAGTCTGCAACGTCGAGATAATTTGGCAACGTAGCAGAGAGACCAACGATGCGAACCATGCTCTGCGAGGCTTCCACGTACCGTAGCGTTCTCGCCACCAAGGATTCAATGACGGCTCCTCGCTCATCGTGCAACATATGGACCTCATCGAGAATGAGTAGCCTGACTTTTTGCACAAGCTCTACATCGCCCGTCATGCCCTTGCGAGTAACGACATCCCACTTCTCTGGGGTCGTGACGAGAATTTGAGTCGCCTGGATCTCGTGCTTTGTCAATTGCATATCACCTGTCAGCTCTCGGCACTTGACGCCAAGCCAAGAAAGCTTTTTGGAGAACTTTTCGACAATCTCTGCCGCAAGAGCTTTCATCGGTGCGACATAAATGATCTTGAAATCATCCTTGTGGAGCGTGAATTCAGTGGCCGACGGCTCACGATGCGGGTCTGGCGTGCAGTTGTTGGCAAGTGTTTGAAGAATGGTGAGCATTGCCACATCAGTCTTACCGGCTCCTGTGGGAGCACAGATGAGCATGTTCTCGTTCGTCGTGTAAGCAACATTATAGACAAGGGACTGTATGCGATTCAGTGTCTTGTAGCCCTTGAAGGTGTTGCTACACAAGGCATCTAGATGCTCCACCACCTTTGGCTCCTCGCCCAGCATAGGAGGTATCGTTCGTGCGGGCGGGATGGTGATTTCTTCGTAGTAGTCATGTTCCTCCCTTGTCGAGTCTTGTGGTAGAGCAAGGCTCTTTCCGTTGAAAGCCATTGTCAACGCAGAAGATGATGCACCGTAGACGTGTGGGTATCGCTCTTCCTCGACAATTTTGGGATTCGCGTTGCTGAACAAAGGACGCTTGCCGTTGCGTACGACCTGGCGCTTGATGTCGTCTTGCGTCATAAGGCCGTCCATTGCATTCTTTTTGGGTGTCTGTGCGACAGGTGCCTTGCTCCGAGGCGTTTGATTTGTACTAGTCAGACTGCGTTTGATTTGAGAGCGTGACTGGATTAGGCGTGATACAGTGTCTAGATCATCAAAGCCTAGGAGCTCAGCGAGTGACATTTGCAAGTCATCATCAGGGAATTCTGACAGGAGAAGCTCGGTGAGATTACTGTAAAGAACATTGGCGTCCATATGATCAGTCTGAAGAGCTTTTTGATGGCAATACTCAATCAGCCAATCGAGCTCGCCTTCATCAGCAGATGTATATTCGACAGCCTTCTTTTTGCCTTTCGAATGGGCCGAGTCGTTCTTTTGAGCAGTCTGAAGAGCGTGGAAGGGTTCTATTTCGTCTTCATTTTCGTCCTCGTAGAGCAAATCTTCGCCATAGGTAGGCCTGCCTGCAAGCTCCTTTTCCCAATATTGAAGAGCTTTTTGCACATCTTCGAGCTGCTGCAGGTATTTCTGCAGTTCAACATCAGCCATGAGCTAAGCAGCGTACAAGTAGCAGCAATGGTGTAGCAAGGAAGCAAATGTTCATGTAGAAGTCAATTCAGTGATGTCAGGCTTAAAAGTTGCAGTCACAAATAAGAAGTGGAAGAGCCTGCGACACGAGGATTGTTCTCAGAGCCCAATATAAGAATAGATTGAGATGCCAGATGCTTGCTTATATTCCTAACATGCGCACAGCATTCATTGCCGCGCGATGCTCTGCTTCCTTCTTGTTTGGACCCCAGCCGCGACCAATCTCTTTCGCTTCATCCTCAACATCCTCACCAGCGCGTGCACCGACCTTAGGAAAGCCAATCTTGACCTTGCAAGCAATGACATATCCACCCTCATTCCCTCCCTTTCCATCCACCCATTCGTACAGGACGGTCACTGGTGTCTTCCGTGTTCCATCGGGACCAACGACAAGCGGGTGTTTCTTCGAGAAGTAGTTGTAGATTTTTTGCTTTGCAAGCGGGTTGACGAGCTCAATATCATTTTCCTGAATGTGCTTGGCAATCCGAGGACCCATCAACAGCCGAAGCCATCGATCTGCGCGCGCAGGACCGTCAGCGCCATCGAGTGTCACTGCTCCCAAGAAGGCCTCGAAGGTATCTGCAATGACTTTGGTGCCACGACGCACACCATCGCGTTCTGCAGTCTCGTTCAACAACAACGCTTGATCGAACCCATACATTTTGCCGAGTTCAGCCGCAGTTTCGTTACCAATAAGTTCAGCTCGAAGAAGCGATAGCTCGCCCTCGCGTGCTGTTGGCATTTTGACGTACAAGAGTCGCGTCATGGCATAGTTGAGGTACGAGTCACCGAGAAATTCGAGCCTTTCATTGTGAATGTTTGTCAGCATGGATTTGGTTGCTTGTGCTGGCGCAGAAGCAGTGGCAAAAGAGCGGTGAGTAAAAGCCTGCTGCTTGAGCTGCTCGTTGTGGATCTCTGGCACGACTGGAGGCCAGTGACCGTCCTCGAGGACGTCATCGTACGAATAAGCATCTTCGAGACTCTTAACAAGCTGCGCATGACCATCTTTTGTAGCCACCTTGTCGAGCTTGTCCTTTGCAACAGCAACGATATCCTTTGTCGATGTGTCTACTTTGACAACTTTGGCCTTTTTGTGCACAGCAGCTGCTTGCGGTGAATCAGTTTTTGGCAGTGGGGGAGAGGTGCTGCGTGCATCATCTCCATCCGCCTGCAAATACTGATTCAGCCAAGAGAGCTGGTCTGTGCGATGCATGCGCTTGAGTACTTTTGCGACTACTACGCGATCTTCAACGTGCTGCGGCAAGTCCGACGTGTCAAAGTCATCGGCAGGTGTTATCTTGACGAGTGCGTCGAGTGCTTGGACGAATCGGTCAAAGACATGAGCTATTTCGTCCATATTAGGGGACATAACCGCGGCACGAGGTTCGGGTTCAAGCTGAGCAGCTGTTCGATTCCGCTTTGGCATATGCAGTGAGCAGAATAAGAATGGGCTAGGCTGGACAAGAGTCCTTGGACTAGGAAGCGGTCAATTCTATGCGCTTAGACTTTGACCTTTCAGTCGAAGTGCAAAGCTGAGAGAGTTCAGCAAGAATTCGATAGAAGCAGCGAGCTGTGGGCTTCCTGCGACGTTGAGCACTATCACTGTCTATCAGGTTGTCAGCAGTAGGTGCGAGGTGTCCCGGCGAGATTGTGCAGCTGTCAAGCAATTTTGGTCTCACGGTCTCGTTTCGCAGCGCCAAGACTTTCCCCTGAATCCCGCTGAAGAAAAATACAAAGCGCAAACGACGCATCTTCTATACTCCTGCTCAGCTCGGACACTGTACTTTTCTCTTGTTTGTACTATTCTCAATCTTGTGCAAGCCTTTGCCAACTCAAGTACGTCATAATTGCATGCTCATTCGCTACTCTGCGGTCCTCTTCTACGGGATACTGCTAGCTATCGCATCTCTCGCACGAACGCCCTTTCAAAGGCGGCAAGTATCAGCGCATAGTATGCCTCAGAGCTTATCATCGCGCTGCAAGTCGCAACCACGGCGCACTGCCCAGAAGAGCTTACTGGATGGCGCTACAGTGCCGGTACCCGTACCGTCTGATCCCGCAAATATCACCAGCATACAATCTTGTTTGTTTACAAGTCACTCTACCTGCCAAAAGGTGCTCAGCAGTAACAGAACGCGACTGCTGCCTACGAATGCTGCTCGGTCTGCGTTATACACATCGAATCAACCACGGCATCGTGACTCAAGGAAACCTCGCAAGGAGGCGAGAATAGCTTATACTGGACGAGACAGCTCTATGGCACTTGCGAGCATTGTTTTGGTCATACTCGTTTACTGCTGAGGACCGCCGATAACACGACGTGCTTATGTGAGTGCTCTTTATCTAAAGGGCGAAGAGGGGAAGGATACCAAATCAGCGGCGTATGTTTGTACAACAGCTAGACTAGACCTAATTGAACCAACAGCGACATGTGACTCAGTCTGTACATGGTTACCATCGTGTCGTCGCAAGTTGATGAAATGTCCCCCCGCAATTCAGACGTCACGTCACCCGCGCTGTCAAATTTTAGAGTACAACACAGCGCGGCATCTGGCTACGCTCACAGGCCAGTTGCCGTGTCAGGATTGCTCATCTATACTGAAGACAGCTCTCAAGCTCAGTCCGTACTGTATTCTATCGCGGCTATCTGCTGTTGACGCGACTGCGTGTTTCGCACTTCAGGCGATCATGTCTTCAACATCTGGTCGTAGTCAACGCGCGCTACGTCGCACGACGGGTCATGCGCACCTTGAGCCAGTAGAATCTACAGGATCCATTCGAACGGCTTCTGCGCCGCCTTATCTTGCACATCCAAAACGGCGGATTGATATGATACAAGCTCTAGAGACAAAAGGACGACCTGGTCGTGCATCTACGATTTCGCCTACTGGTGTGCGCAAGCAACCTCTCAAGCCAGCTGAATCAAACGCTTCTGAGGATTCCTTCGTGGTGACTGATCAATCTCCTGCTATAGCACAACAAATGCAGGTCTTGGAAGAGCGCTACACGCGTCTAGCAGAAGCCCTTATCAAGGCTGAACTTTGCTATACAGATTCTACGCTACAGACCATCGAGAGGGATTCCTGTCCAGCCCTTTCTACTGTGCTTGTAGAAGCAGAACAGCTTCGAGACCCTCGCATTGCACAAGCAAAGAGAAGACATGCACTAGCGTGTCAGCAAGAAGAGATTCGTTGGCAAGCTCAAAAGCAAGCTGCCCATGTGGCTTATATCAGTCGTCGTGGAGAAGTGCGCATGCGAATCCGACAAGGGCTGTCTGCGGAGATCTTGAAAGTTGGCAGAGAGTATGAAGAGATGATGCGCGCAGAGGCACCTGGTATGCAGCTTGCGCCAGAGCTTGTTGAGCAGATCCAGCGAAGGCCCGTCAGAGACAGACGTGGCCCGCGTGGTGCAAACAGGGCAGAGCAGGACGAAGACTTCTTGGTGATGGGTTTACAACCGACCCAAAGGGTCATGACACGCCCAGCGTCACCTGAAATACTTGCAACATCGCCCATACGTCGACGCAAACGGCGTGCAGATTCGACGTTGCTGCCGTATGTACGCCTGCGTTCGAGAACGCCAGAGACACGACAAACAGGACCTTTGCCATCTATGACGCAAGTCTTACAGCGCGAGACAATCGCAGCACACGACGCCATGGCTGATGAGGGCGAAGAAGTGGAGGAAGCGCAGAAAGCGCCAAAGCCTAAATTGCACCACACTTATTTCATGCCAGCGAGCAGTCAGCCACCTTCACGCTTTGCCACACCCCGACCTAGTCGGCCATCGTCTCCATCTGGCTACAGTTACCCGTATGCTTCAGCTGCCACAGCCAGTCGTGCGCAGAGCCGAGTGGTGAGCCCAGTACAGAAACGTTCACGCGATTTGTGGGCGAAGACGACAATGGCTGTGCCTGTGAGTGGCACCGTGACACCAGATAGAGAGGGCGGCGCCTCAGCCGCCATCATACCGGATCGCAGGGTCTCGGTGCCCTGGGAGCTGCCTCATTAATCGTCCAAGGGAGATAGATAATAGCCATCATGTATAATGCTCATGTAATGCCATGTTCAAACAGCACTCTTGTCGTCGAGCGGCCTGTTGAACCCGCCTTTTCTGTTCATGTACTGTCGATACTCAACACGCTTCTCTGCTTTGGCAACTGCACCAGCAGCACCATTGCCAGTGACGTGAGCGCCTTTTGTCGTGCTGAAGCCTGCGAACCCCATCAAGGCAGCCATCTCTCTAGCATCCTCGTCTTCTTCAGCATTCTCCTCAGGTTCTGTGGTCATGGCAGCATCCTTTGCTGGAGAATCGGTAGGCTTTACATCGTGCAATGGTCGATATGTTGGCCGAGCAGGACTTCCGCGTTCTCTTGAGCGAGAACGCGATTTATCAGCTCGTCTCTTAGAGCGGTACTCCTCTCTGCTGCGGTCGTCCTCATTGCGACGCGGCGCATCGCGTCCGTAATGGTTGCGATCGTTGTACCGCCGCGTATCTTCCGGCCGACTGGGCCGTTCGCGGTCATATGGCCGTGATCTTGCTTCTTGTCGTCTATCGTAGCCTCTGTCAGGAGATCTGGACCGCGATCTGGTCATGCCTCGCTCCTACTTCTTTCCGCGAGAGTGTCTGGTTGAGCGTTGCGACATTTTTGTATTTCGACGCAACAGAACTCAACCAAGTCGACCAGCAATCAGTCAGTGCAGAGATGCTCTTCTTCTCCTTCTTCAAGTCTCTTGTAGATACAGAAGTCACAGTCGAACTCAAGAACGATCTGTGCATCCGCGGCACTCTCAAATCAGTCGACCAGTTCCTCAATATCAAGCTCTCTGATATTTCTGTCGTCGACGAGACACAGTACCCGCACATGTCAGCTGTCAAGAATGTATTCATCAGAGGAAGTGTCGTTAGATATATTCATCTCGCTTCAGCGAATGTGGATACAGCGCTACTGGAGGACGCGACACGGCGTAAGTTTTGGCGGATACATGGTGCTGCGATGCTCTTCGGGTATGAGGCATTGTCTTGCAACAGACAGCTTGTACTACGAAGCATCGCAGCATGTACGATTTGGTCTCTGCATTGCTAACATGTCTACAGGGGAGGCACAGAGCGCGAAGGCGAGGGTTCCTGCTGCGTAGACGGGCCTTTCCGGCTGCTGGCTCTTACTTCATGCACATACACAAGAAAGAGGTATTCTGTCCAATAGCAAACGCATCCGTCATGTACTGGCCCGAACATCCTTAATACATTGTGTTGTGCTGATATTTGTCCTCGTCGCGACTATTGCAACCACTGCCTCGACCAACACACCTGCTTGTGCATTAGTTCTTCAGCTGAGACGTCTTTGACGCTATTGGCTCGCATTTTGAAGCTCTACTTTTCTACGTGACAGCTCTTGCTTAAGATGGGAAATGTTCAACCGACCAGGATTCTCTGCATGGGTGACAGTCTCACCGAAGGCATGTCGAGTCCTCGCCCAGACGGCTCAGACAACCCTCCGCATCCATATTCAAATGAGCTGCATAAACATCTATCCATGCACATAGCCGTTAAGAATGCCGGACATTCTGGCTTCACTGCGGCGCAAGTCCTAGAGCAGCTCGAGAAGGAATTGAAACAGGTGGATACACCATACGACATCATTTTGATCATGGCAGGGACGAACGATGTTCTCACGCGAGAGCCACAAGCGATCTTTGATGTCTTGCAAAAGACTTGGAATCTGGCGCTTGGGAGTGGCTGTAAGTATGTCGTGGCCTTGCCCATTCTCGAGGTGACTTTTGACGTGACTATGATGAAGAACCAAAAGGAGCTCAATCGCCTGATCTTGAAGCACTTTGAGTCTGCTAGTAGTCAAGCCTCTTCGCCGACTGATGCAGAAAGGGCAGAGAAAGGCAGGCTGCTATGCTACGATATCTGCAGCGCCTTCCCGCAAGACGCCCTAGGGGATGCCGATACGGAACTCTACTGGAGCGACCCAGTACATCCGACGGCAGAAGGCTATGATAGGATTGCAGAGCTCATTGGGGGTTCATTCCTCGAGCCGTTGCTGACTTCGGAATTCAAATGGACGGCTGGCCGTGACGAAGCTCTCTTCAAGGCATTTGATGAAGAGAAGGACCGCTTCATTGAGAGGGTGAGTAAAGAGACGGGCTTTGCCGCTGCAGATGTCAAGAGCAGACTTGCAGCACTTGGCAAGTTGGCCCGGTGAAGTTGCAGTCCAAGTTCAAGTTGAGCTCTTGCGTCGCTTTGACGTCACGTCGCAAAAAGTCAACTTTGAGAGCGACACAAACAGACAGCAGCATTCATACTTCTGTCGTGGTAGAAGGCCCTGGCAGCGCATGTCGGCAGGCGGAGCGGCGACAGAAGCAACAGCAGCAGCTAGTCATGAAACCATAGCAGCTGCCTCAGAACTCGATGCACTCGGCGTCAATATCGTTAGTCAGGCGCATCTCGAACAGACCGTCGCGCAGCAAGCCGATACGCTACTGAATGCACGCGATGATGAGCTGGACAACAGACGGCTCGACAAGGCACACAAGGAGCTTGCCACACTGGAAAAGAAGATGGGCGTATTGGAAGAACGTCTAGAGAGCACACGAACAACAGTCAGTGTCAAGGTGGCATTGCGCGGACAGTTGCCAGTCTTGGCCGAACAACGCGATGCGCTACGTCAAGATGTGTCCGAGATTGAAGAGCGACTACGGGAGCGGAAGCAGAAGAAGCAGGCGAAAGCGCAGCATCCAAAGCCTTCAGAGGAAGGACCACCTGAACGAGATGACACGGAGACTGAACGTGCCTATCTGATCCGTACAGGCAAGATTACGCCTTTTGCAAAGATTGCAGGGCTCGAACGATCCAACACGACGGAAGAGACTGACATGGCGCGCCCAGAGGAAGGCCAGACGTCAATCAGCAAGGAGATGTCGCATCAGACTTTGCGGCAACCTGGATTTGCGCCAGCTATGACAAAGCCCGTCAAAGCAGAGCCTGCCTTGCATGAGTTGTTTGACCAAACAGAGACTGATGAACAAATGGCAGCCCGTTTGCAGGCTGAAATGGATGCTGAAACAGATACAAGGCCGTCTCGAAAGCGCAAGCGGAGACCGGCTGCTGCACCGCTATCAGATGACGACGCAGACTTTATCCGTCCACCTGCATCACCGACTACAGATAGCGATACTCAGACAGAGTCTGAGACTGAGCAAATCTCGAGACGAACAGCCCGGTCAGCGCCCAAGCGGCGGCAACGACGTCCAGCGCGACAAGTTGAGCTTGAAGCAGAATTACAAGAACTTGGATCTGAAGACGAGGCAGAGGAAGCACTCGCTGATGTAGATGATGGTAACGAAGCGCGGTATCAGCAACGTCTGTCACAATGGACACGAACACGCGCCAAAGCGCGCGCAGCACAAGGTGCAGGAGTAGACGAAGACATGGACGAAGTCTTGCAACCGCATCCGACAGAACCATCGTTGGCTTTCAACGGTGGATTTCAAATACCAGGCGACATTCATCCTTCCTTGTTTGACTATCAAAAGACGTGTGTGCAGTGGCTCTGGGAGCTCCATGCACAAGGGTGTGGCGGTATCATCGGCGACGAGATGGGCCTCGGCAAGACTGTGCAAGTCATTTCATTCCTTGCGGGACTCTCGCATTCAGGCAAGTTGGATGGGCCTGTGCTCATTGTGGCACCAGCAACAGTCATGCAGATGTGGGTCAAGGAGTTTCACAAATGGTGGCCACCCCTTCGTGTCTGTATTTTGCATTCTTCAGGGGAAGCGACGCGTGCTGGCTCAAATGTTCGCAAAGTGGTGCAGAATGTGGTGAATGAGGGACATGTCCTTGTCACGACCTACGCTGGCTTGACCAGTTATCGCGAGATGCTCGGACCGGTCGCATGGTCGTATGCCATCTTGGACGAAGGACACAAAATTCGTAATCCTGATGCAGAGGTATCGCTTGCTGCAAAACAACTCAGAACGGTGCATCGCTTGATTCTCTCTGGCACACCCATCCAAAACAATCTCACGGAACTATGGAGCTTGTTTGACTTTTGCTTTCCAGGCAGACTTGGCACGCTGCCCATCTTTCACGCTCAGTTTGCGTTGCCCATCAATATTGGTGGGTATGCGAATGCATCAAATGTGCAAGTGCAAACAGCATTCAAGTGTGCGTGTGTCTTGCGCGATCTTATCAGTCCATACCTGCTGCGCCGTATGAAGGCGGATGTCGCTGCTGATTTGCCCAAAAAATCAGAGCAAGTCTTGTTCTGCAAACTCACAGACAAGCAACGTACTGCATATGAACGATTTTTGGCAAGTGGAGAGATGGAGGCCATCTTGAACGGTAAGCGACAGGTACTTTTTGGCGTGGATGTATTGCGCAAGATTTGTAATCACCCAGATCTCGTTGACCGCTTGCAATTACAGAAACGCAGTGATTATGGCGATTCAAGCAAAAGTGGTAAGATGCAGGTTGTCAAGGCTTTGCTGGAGCTGTGGAAGCGGGAAGGACATCGAACCTTGTTGTTTGCGCAGGGAAGGCAAATGCTGGATATTCTGGAACGGTATGTGGTGAGTTTGGAAGGCTTCAACTATCGACGCATGGATGGAACAACACCGATTGTGCAAAGACAAGCACTTGTCGATGAGTTCAATACCAATGCAGACATTCACGTTTTCTTGCTCACAACACGCGTGGGAGGTCTTGGTGTTAACTTGACTGGTGCTGACCGCGTTGTCATCTATGACCCAGATTGGAATCCGTCGACTGACGTGCAAGCGCGCGAACGGGCATGGCGCCTCGGTCAAAAGAAGGACGTCACCATCTTCCGCCTGATGACCTCCGGCACAATCGAGGAGAAGATTTATCATCGCCAAATCTTCAAGCAGTTTTTGACGAATAAGATTCTTCGAGATCCTAAGCAGCGGCGATTCTTCAAGATGAATGACTTGCATGATTTGTTTAGTCTTGGTTCAGAGGCATTCGACGGGACAGAAACGGGTGATATGTTTCTTGGTACTGAAAAGACCTATGCAGCGCCTGACGCCAAGAAGAAAGGGCGACAAGCAGAGGAAGCGCAGCTTGCAACGCTGGATGGTGTGGCTGCGCTTGAGACCTTTTCAGCACAGGGCACTGCCGCTGCAGAAGATCAAACGGGCGAGGAGAATGTGCTTGAGAGCATCTTTGCGCGGAGTGGTGTACAAAGTGCACTGGAGCACGATCAAATCATGGATGCTGCGCGACCAGAGCAGCTACTGGTTGAAAGAGAGGCTAATAGAATCGCCAAAGAAGCAGCTGAAACACTGAAACAATCACGAAGGGAAGCACAGCGCCAACCAATTGGTACTCCAACCTTCACAGGACGCTTTGGAGGTGGTCAGGGGTCAGGTGGGCTGCTAGCGGGTATGGCACGACGCCGGGAGGCCGAGACTGGCGAGCCTGTCTTGTCGATTGCAAAGTTGAGTGATCCTGGCCGTGCTGCCCTCATCAAGCGCATTGCTGCGTTCCTGGGCCGGCATGGTGAGGATGGTGTTGCGAGTCAGGGGATTGTGGATGAGTTTGGGGTGAATGTCGAGGGAGCAGAAGAGGTGACGCTCTTCAAGAAGATGCTCCGGCAGATTGCGGTGTTCAAGAACCGTCGATGGGCCTTGAAGGAGGAGTACCGGTGACTCGTCTGTACCATATCCTGTTCATGTCCTTGTTCATGTCCATGCCCTACCTGCTCTACCTTGTCCAGCTCCTCTGCGCGCTCTGACCATCTGCACCGTTTCACACCCACAACGCTCGACCAGAGCTTCATTAGGTACAACCTGCTCTCCCTTTGCTCTATCCCTACTGAAGGCTATACTCTGCGCTTCAATGGCTGCCAAGCACTGGCTTGTCATCCTCCATGGCATCCTTCTTGTCGCAGCGCAAACGACCGGCGTGGCGAGTCAGGGACGAAGCATCTCTGTGCAACCTAGTCATCAGCAAAACAGCCAAGCAGCAGCTTCGCCTTCTATTTCAGCTTCAAACAGCCCACAGAGCGCAGATTCAGGAAAGCGCCCGAGCCTGGCAGTGTCGAGAGTATCTGTACAGCCGACGAGGACAAAAGCGGCGCCAGTAGAGGTACCCAGCGACGCAGGCCCGGCTGCAGCATCCATGATGACACCCAAGAATCCTCAAGCGACACCAACCTGTACGCTGCTGTCCCCGTATTGAGTGTCTGCTAATGAGTCTCCAGATTACAAAGTGGGTAACCCAGTGACGCTTGCATGGAACTATAGCAATGTCTACATCCAGCCTGAGAGTGTCGACATCCAAGCATACTGTGCCATCAATCAGCACTACTATCCAATCAGACTGAACACAAGCTACGAGCAGTTGACGAAGGTGGAGTGGGATACAGCTGCATATCAAATGGAAGCTGCTGTACCGCTACTCACGGCACAGTACACACTTGTCTTGAGGAATACGGAAGCTGCAGAGACGCAGGCAACCGCGCCACTTGGAGAGATGGGAGTCTTGCGGCCGTATGTGTTTGGAATGTATCTGACACAAGGATACCGCGATTTGGAGCAGAGTACGCAGCGGCAATGCAGTTTATGTTTTCGTGGGTCTGCAACAAGAGGGCAGACTCGGCGGGGTCTTCTGCTGATGGGAAGTGTGGCCATGTCAGTAGGATGCCACTTGATTCTGTAGCTGCCAGAGCATAGAATACTCGATGACATGTACTTGACACTACTTGTACTCTTCTTGCGTCGTTGCGCTTCCCCGTCGTCATTCTGAGCAAGCGACCACAACGACCAAGACCAACCCAAGGGACAAACCCTCGCACTTTCTGATGCGCCCACCTCTTTAAAGCTCTAGCTGCCATGGTGAATGCCTCCTCAGACTCTGCTCATATGCTTGAACTCAGGCGACTCGCTCAAGCCCAGCATCTCATCGCATCCGGCCTACTAGATGGTCGGACTCGAAGCGCTCGCGATTCCTTTGCAGGCCCCGAGCGTCACGGACAGACAAGACTCCTCAGACCAGTGCAGGCAAGTTCTTTTGCTCCGTCACTTGATGGATCCGCAGATGCACAGCTCCGTGCGCTTGTGTCGCCACCGCCAAGTCATGGAGGCTATTCAAGGGCAAGTGGCGACGTGGCTGAGCATCGTCGCTTAGAATTCCATCAGCTCAACTCGCAGTCCTTCATGCGCTTGCTCCTAGAACGCCTCGATAACCTCTCTTTGCGCATCGAAGAAATGCGATCTCGCAGCTTCAGACTATCCCTCGCCGAACCCGGTGACACTATCGATGAGTCCCTCGATCACCTGACAACAAGCATCACGGGGCTACGTCGTAGCATCGAGGCTATCATGGCGGAAAACACCAGGGAGAACCTTGTTCCTCCTGCTTCATTAGCGCTTGCAAGCGCAGAGATTCAAAGACAAGCAGAGTTACGGCATGAACTCAGTAGACAGCAGGAACGAGCCGCTGTTGCCGCTAGCTATGTGAGTGAGTTACTAGCGGAACAAGAAGTATCGCAGCAACAGCAAGAGACTACGGAAGAATCAGAAACTGTCCTGGCGGAAACGTTGCAGAATGCCTTGGATGCGCCTGCTACGCCTTCTGCAGAAGCCCTCCTTTCAGCGCATCGCCAAATGACTGCCAGTCAAGATTCACTAATTCCCATCTCGGCAGTGCGTGTGGATGAGCTACGTCGGCAAACGAGTGATCCTTTCTGGCTCGCTTGGAGCGCAGAGGGGCAAACGCCCACAGACCCTGTCGTGGAGCACCCACGCTCAGCTTTACGCTTACAGCTCGATCGGGACGACGCAAACACCGGGAATATGTCGAACTACAGCTTCGAAACCATCTCACGTCGCCTCGACCATTTCAACAACTCTATTTCTGAGCTTCACACACGACTTGATCGCTTCGCAGAGAATATCTTCCAGATGCAGGAAGATGCTTCCCCAATATTGTCGCCACCATCCAGCCACAATCAGATCACCTCTCAGGGTTCACCTCGAAGAACGGTCGGAATCCATACAGCACGTCCAACGCTACTCTCTCTGAACGCAGCAGGAACAGCGAATGTCATGGACTCATTATCACCTCCTACACGCCAGCTTCATACCGGGAGCACAAACACAGAACCGATCTTGCCACCTCTCGTTCGAACGGATACACTCTTGCGCGTTGAGTTGGAGAGTGCCGTGAGTGCCACTCGCCAACGTGAGCAGCAAGAAGCAGCGCGGCTTGCGCGGGCTCGTAGTCGACAACGACGTCCCGAAACGCATGGCTCGCCTATCGCCGTACAAGTTCCTGCAGCGACCAATCATTCACGCCTCGTGTCTCCTGCGGCAGTCCAGAATCATGAAGAGGCCTCGGTTGTCCATGCAGGGGATTCGTGTTTGTCTGACAATCAGATCTTGTCCTCCCATGCGCCACTTGCTGCCAAGCAGGAACGCAAAGTGTGTAAAGGCGTTGAGTATCGTCTTTGCTATGGCCTGTGGCTCGCTGAGGACGGTTCAGAGATTCCGAAAGACAGTCCCTGACCAAGTTGAAACAAATCTAGCTTCTGCCAACATCTCATTGCATGGTCATCTCATCTGACAATCTGTCGTGCACACCTCTAGATCTTTCATCTCGCTGCAAGAACTAGCAAATATTGACCTTTAAGATTGCTGCGGCTAAATTGCAGAGCTACAAATAAACCTTATGGACACAATTGCTCGGTCGCGATATTGTGTCTGCCTACTCGCCTCGTTGATTTCATTGTGCGAGATTTTGTTTGTTCTTGGCGTCCAAAAAACAGTCCCTGATGAAGTTGAAACAAACCTAGCTTCTGCCAACATCTCATTGCATGGTAATCTCATCTGACAAACTGTCGTGCACACCTCGAGATCCTTCATCTCGCTGCTAGCAAATATTGACCTTCAAGATCGCTGCGGCTAAATTGCAGAGCTACAAGCAAACCTTGTGGGGTACAGTCGCTCGGTCGCGATTTTGTGTCCGTCTACTCGCGTCGTCGACTTGATTGTGCGAGATTTTGTTTGTTCTTGGTGAAAGAAATGGAGGACTTGTATGGCTCAATCACAAAACAAGGAGTCTGCGCAAATTGTATTTAAAATTACAAGGTGACTTGTCCCAAACAGTGGCCAGGTATATAAAGGCCGTCAAGAGATCCTGCATCCAGCAACACATCTTCACAGCTCACTATGTTGACCTTCAAGCTGACACCATGGAAGCTGTCTTTGCTATGCCTGATTGCCGGCTCTCTTGTCAATGCAAAGCACGGGGAGCAAAGTCCTTGTCAACCAAACTCAAAGTCGCCGCACTGTATGCATCGTGATGTTCACCATCATGCCCAAGCCCCCAAGCCACTACCGGGAGTCCCTGGCAAGGCTGCTTCGCCTCCAAAAGCAACACCTGTTGTGTCACCACCTGCTCCTAAGACTTCAGCCTTACCTAAGGATCAACCCAATCCTCCCAAAGGTGCTGGAGGTGCCGGTGGGACGGGAGGCTCGACCGGAACGCCGCCTCCCGCTGGGGACCTACCAAAAGGCAATGCCAAGGTCGTCATCCCTTCCAAGGACAAGAATGGCAATTGGCCCAAGACTGTGGCATCATCAACCATGTACTTTGACAAGACTGGTGGTGCTTGTGGTTGCTTCGACAATCAAGACCATCCAAAAGGCTTTGACAGCCAATTCGGCTTGCCTGCTGACCCCTCGACAAATTCGCCAGCAGTTTACTTTGCAGCTGGTTCTGAATCGCTCTTCAACCCGCATGATCAGAGTTCACGCCTTGGTTGGTGCGGCTCTAATTGTGGGCAGTGCTTCAAGCTCACCTCTTTGGTAAGCACATACTCTACGTGGTGAATGAGGGCTAACCTGACAGGGTAAATCTGCTTGCGATGGATGTGGCAAGGGAGCTGAGCTCGGAAAGGAGATCATCGTTATGCTGAATAATAAGTGCCCTCCATCCTATCCAGGCGCCCAGGGTGAATACCACTATTGTGCACCACAAAACATTGTGAATGCTCAACACACTTACTTTCATTTTGACGTCCATTCACAACAGGATCCCAGTACAACTCACCAAAAACTTGGTGGTACCATCGAGTGGGGTAAGGCTCTATTCACTGTTGCCCTTTACTAACTGGCAGACAATCCATTGGTCCTATACGAGGCTGTCAAGTGTCCACAAAATGCTCTCAATTGGTACAAGAACAGTTGCAAGAAGTGCCCTCTTTGATTACCATGAGCCGCTCCAATTTTATCTACCTTTCATCTGTGCCCGACTAGCAGGCATGGCCGCATGCTATGCGCATAGCTACTTATCTTGCAATTCATTCGTATCATGCAACTCCTGACGACTGCCATTCGGAATTCAGTACCACTTGATAGCTTCAGTGAGCGCACGTCTGATTGCGGCGGCACAGTCGTACCCGCCACGTCAAACCTTATTGTTTTGCCAGCCCGGAATCGAGTCAGGGGGAAATTCAAAAAGAAATTGCAGACATCTCCTTCATGGAAGCTACAGGCAGCTGACAATGTTAGACAGGCAAGGAGTTTCGAACGTCGAACGACAAAGAGATGTCAGTCTTTGTAGTGATTAGTTCTTCTTTAAGCTTGTTTGTAATCGTATAGAACACCATCTTCAACTTACTCGAAGCTTATTCACTCTAATATCAGCAATTGCGGTCTGCAACCATCAGCATGTCCGTCTTTTGCTCCATGAGGTAACATCACTACCCTTGTTATCACAGACAAGCAGAGTGAAGCGTATCTCAATTTCGAATCTGTAGTATCAAGATAGAGCCCCTGCAGCTAAGAAAGAAGTAATTTTACACCGTTGCAATTGCAAGAAGATCAGCAGCAGTGAGACTTGTATACAAATGGGTGCGAGCTCAATCGTCGAACAATCTTCAACTACTTTCATTCTTGAGGGTGCTCACACTTTTGCTTTCCAACATGTTGCCTTTCAACTCTTTAGTTTGTGTGTCGTTGATGGTGGCGATTGTGGCTGCAAAGAATGTCTCTACATCCGCTAATACCGACACCGGTGTGTCCTTCCACCACGCAGCAAAGCGACACTTGCATCAAGCCACAACAACGCTCTACAAACAGCCTACAGGCGGCGCATGTGGCTGCTTCGACAACTATGAACATCGAAACGGCTTCAAGGCTCAGTTCGGGTTTTCTGGAATTCACTTCGCAGCCGGCTCCGCAAGTATCTTTGATCCAAAGGGTGAGCATACATGGTGCGGAAGTGGCTGTGGCACATGCTTCAGACTCAAGTCTACTGTAAGTCTTCAGAATTATGTTGCTCATCGCTCATACCATTCAGGGTCACGCAGCGTGTCAGACTTGCGGCACTGGCAGTGCTCGAGGCCTGACAATTACTGTTGTCGTCTACGACTTGTGTCCGGCAGGTACAGAGCCAAACAGTGAACAATATCACTATTGCTCGCCCAAAGGCGTCTCTAACTCTCATGGATTCAAGTACCATTTTGACATCCATTCCTCTGACTTTACGGTTGGGGGCCACAAGTGGGGTAAGATATTGTGCTTGAGCACTACCATTTCCCTTTGCTAATAATGCAGACAACCCTGTTGTTGATTTTGAGCCAATCAAGTGTCCGCAAGTTGTGACAAACTGGCTGGAAAGACATTGCAAGAAATGCACTCAAAAGCGTTGAGCATGTCCGGCATGCCCCTTTCGAATGCCTGCAAGCAGGCTTTTTACTTCATATTTAGCTGAAACGCCAGTTTAAGATAGTCGCCTCATGTCAGTACACGTATACAGCCCATGAGACTTGCAATTGTCAATTATCCTCACTTTTGGTATACTTATAAGCCGCAATGCTGTGTAGTGTGCGTGTGCTCTTTTTGACTCTCCCCTGAAATTTGGTGAACGCACGTGACAATTTTCAACGCGACGAAAACAAGCGCGCACCTAACTGAACGCGTCCACATAATGCATTAAGTATGGATGACCTCTTTGCCATTGCCGACGACGACGTGGAGGTTGTAGAGCGTCATGTCAGACAACGCTCGCCTACTCCAACAACTATACCATCGCCACAGGCGCAAGAAGTCAGCGCGACGCGTCAAGCGCGCTACCTCGGCGACGACGAAACGCTAGATGACACTGCAAGTTATGATGCAGCGGCAGCCGCTCGACGTAGACGCGACACTGAAGGTGAGAATGAGTTCTCTCTGGGTCTCGATGAAGAGGTGGTGATCAAGAAGAAGCGCATCATTGCACGACTTGACGACGAGCGTTTGCTGGAGAAGCATCATGGTATACCCAAACTCATCAAGATGTCGCTTGAAAGACCCTTACACAAGACGCTTAAGGGGAAAGGCCATACGCTGCAGGATATGGGGAGGGTGCTTGAGCGGTATCAATTTTGGTGTCACGAAATGTATCCCAAGGCCAAGTTCCGTGATGCGCTTGCAATGATTCGCAAAGCAGGAAGCTCAAAACGTATGAAGATGGAGAGAAGACGATTCATTGATGACTTGCTGCCGAAGCCTGTCGATGAGGATGAGGATGCCGAGGAATACGACGACAGTGTCTTTGGCTTGACAAATAAAGGACCAGCGGCGCGCAATGAAGAGCAGGATGCGAGTCAGGCTCTATTCTTCGACGACGAGGATGAAGATGCTGAAATGGCGCTATATGCAGATGCGCCTACCAAGCCTATCACTGCAGCAAGAGAAGACGATCACCCTCAAGACGGCCCGCCGCCCTACTTTGACGAGGAGGACGACATGGATGCACTTGAAGCAATGTACTCGTAATGCCTTTATATATTACTATGCTGTGTGTATCCGCTCATCAAGCTCCTTGGCGATTCCTGCAAACAGACCGCTCAAGGCACTCCCTCGATACCGATCAAGAAGCGTATCGCCACCACTCTGTCCTTGTTCCACCATCTCGCCAAACCGTGGCTCTATCGGTATCTTGCCCATGAAGGGTACATTGTAGTGTATTGCCATGGCTTCGCCGCCTCCTGAGGAGAAGATGTTGGTGACCTCATCACAGCAGGGACAAATGTAGCCACTCATATTTTCAATCAGGCCAAGGATATGCACACCCGTTTTGCGGCAAAAGGAGAGCTCCTTGCGGACATCGGCCGTCGAGACTTCCTGAGGTGTTGTGACGAGCACCGCGCCTCTGCACTTTTCCCAAACTTCGGGCGTTTGCCGTAGCTTTTCTACAACGGCGATATGCTCGTCTGATGTGCCTGGCGGTGTATCTATCAAGAGATAATCGAGTTCACCCCAAAGAACAGAGGTCAGGAACTGAGCAATCATGGCAGACTTCTTCGGGCCACGCCAAATGACGGCGTCACTGCGAGACTTGAGGAGAAATCCAATGGAGATCAGGCTCAATGAACCAGATTGCACAGCGCCCTCTGCAGTCGGCGCCGAGTGATTGACATAGACAGGGACCCATCCGCCACTACTCTGATGAATCTGTCGTTCCTCGACACCAAACATGCGTGGTATAGAGGGTCCCGTCAGGTCGATATCGAGGATGCCGACCCGCTTGCCGGCTAGTGCCAGACTCAGGGCGAGTTGCGTCGTGACTGACGATTTGCCAACGCCGCCCTTGCCAGATAGGACGAGCACGATGTTCTTGACCTGCCTGAGGGCATCTCCATCGTCTGCTGCCATCTCAGCTGTTGTCTTGGGAGTCGCCTTTGTGGATGCTTTGAAATTCGAAATTGTCGCAACTCGAATGAGCGCATCGAACGGCAACAACTCCACACACGACATAAGCTACAGGGCGTCGAAGCAGACGCGCACTGCTTGTGTGCGCAGAGATAGGGCGGCAGGATGCTGCAGGAGCTACCTGATGAGTTGCTTGGCGAGATTGTTTCTCTGTTGGACTATCGCAGCGTGGCGCGTCTGGCCCAGACAAGTCGCTCCTTTGCCGCCCTGGCAAGCGATGCGCTGCTCTGGCAACACGTCTACGCCTCGACATTTGATGCGCCATATCGTCGCGATTGTGCGAGTAGGACAGTCGAGGGCGTATTGGGTGGTTTGAGGGAACCGCGGGGTAGGACGCACAAGGATAAGCTCAAGGCACGTCTCGATGCACTGCATGCGTTCCTCAACTACGACACAGACTTGCACTGCCCGACACTGCTATCGCTCTTTTACGAGATGGGAGAAGCCAATGCGATGGTTGTCAGCCGTTGTGTAGCAGTCAAGGAGAGGAAGTTTGAGGATCGTGAAGCTGAATGTCAAGCTGTACGCTTTGAGCTGCTATGTGGTGGTATGCCTTGGCAACTAGCACGCGACTTTGCAACAAAGAGGAATATCAACCTTGGCAACGGTCATCCACAAGACATCGTCAAGTATTTCCTGTCGTATCCACCTGGCCATGGCTTTGAAGGTCGTGGAAGACGGCAGGACCTGGATCCACGCTCAGACTACTTTCTCGCTCGTATGCTCTTTGCACGTCAACAAGGCTACCGTGCAAGTCCGAGCTTCGTACACGACATGTCTTCATGGACATCCTCTTTTCTCAAGGCATCGAGTATGATTGTCTATGATTCGATCGCCTACCCACTCTTTCACTTCCCACCTCACAATATTCGTGAACCCATCAGAGATCATCCAATGCCTAGGACGTTGGAAGATCGAGCACGCTATCACCTGAGAAGTGGCAATCGTCGACCTGCACCCATCACAGCGACCGCCACCTGTCGTGAGCCTTGCGTCAATTGGGGTGTCGTCGAGACAATCTTGCAAATGGTGGGCCTGTACAAGCATGGCCTACCGGATCTTATTCCGGGGTTGTCGATACCGCGCGATTGTCTCGAGCATGAAGTACCCATGGAGGCTTGTATGTTTGATGCAGGTCTGGCAGGGCATTATCGAGGCGTGTATGCATACCTGGACTTTCGCGAACTCGAGCATCTGGACTTTGGACGACCATTGGCGCCGGACTACTTTGATGGTATACAAGAATTGGTGATTGAAGAGGAGGAAGCCGTTGAAATGTTTCGTCCTACGGCGACAGATCCTAGAGCAGACGATCAAACAGCTCGGGAAGGCAATACCACAGATGAAGATGAAGACGGTGAGGGTGAGGGATGGGGTGAATCGGATCATCTCGACAGACTTCAAGATATCCCGTTCCGTCGCTTTACTGCGAATTCACACTCACGATATCACGCACACCGTCATCACATCCACGGCTCTAGCCTACAAATCCCAGGCTACCCTGCTGGCTTCAAGGTGGTTCGCTTTGAGAGTATGTTTGATGAAGAACATGGTTTGTTACCGTGGATTGTGGAAGCCGTCAATATCCCCTCAATTGGCATTGTTGGACGATGGCGAGATCGAACAGAAGCCCGTGGTGTTGCTATTGAGGGACCCTATGTGCTATGGAGAGACCGTGTTGGTGACAGAATAGAGCGCGAGCGACTCGTCAAGTTGATGACGGGGTCAGATGTGGTTGCACAGGATGTGATGAATGAAGTGACGGAGCGATATGGGATGGATGCTGAAACGCTCCTGGCTGCTTGGCAAAAGCCAGACGCATTGGCACGGCAGGTTTCGCCCTCATCGAAGGCCTTTGAGCGATACATCGTGGTGGAGGCGACTGAAGTGTGAGTTCAGTGAATGTATCCCCCTTCCACTGACGTATTTTCATCTGATGACAAATTTGTACTCGTTTCACTCCACACCCAGCTACTCTCGAGACATATACTAAAGCTATCTCTTGTTGATGCTCAGGACAGGTATACGCCAAGTAACCAAGTCCATCGCCTCTTCATCCCAAACAGCCCGATCCATCAAAACGAAGCCGCTTCCAACGCTCGCAGCCCTCTTCGGCCTCTCCCTCTTCTCCACCGCCACACCCGCTCAAAACACAATGTCACAGCCCAAGGTCCAAAAGTCTGAGCAAGAATGGCAAGCCGTCTTATCGCCTGAGCAGTTCCGTGTGCTTCGAAAGCAAGGCACAGAAGCACCTGGATCCCACGAATTCGACAAACATATGCCAAAGTCGGGTACGTACACCTGTGCCGGCTGCGATGCACCTCTGTACACGGCGCAACACAAGTTCTCTAGTGGTTGCGGGTGGCCTGCTTACTTTGATTCCATTCCTGGAGCCATCACGCAGCATGAGGACAATTCATTCTTTGCGAAACGTGTGGAGTTGCGATGTAGCTCGTGCGGAGGACACTTGGGTCATCTGTTCAAGGGTGAGGGGTATAAGACTCCTACCGACGAGCGACACTGTATCAATGGTATCTCTTTGAGGTTCAAGGAGTGATGCTCGTCGTCTTTCGGAACATATACGACGCAAAGCATAGTTCTACCATACTTCTATGACTGTCAACAGATGCTTGGGTCGCTCCACACTCGCAGCCTTGTTATCTCGTAGAGTACAGCCAAACTGCACGGGCTTGACTCCAGGACATGCCATATGTAGCCTGATAGATTCATTTCCAGATTGACCTACAAGTCAATACAATAAGCTGTTTGACGCTAGTCCATCAGCCAGAGTGAAGCCCCTGCATGCTCTGATACATGCTGGCTTCGGCCTTCCTTCTCTGATGGGCCTGCCAGCATGCCACTGACTTTGTGTGATGCTCCCTTCACCGTCGCAATCGATCTTTCCCCCACACAAAAAACTCAAAGCAGCCCCCATTACAGGCCAACACTCTCCTTCATCTGCAGCAGGCAGTCAGGGCTTCGATGGCAGCGGCGGCGTAGTATCTGGCATTCATTTCTTATACTTCAGCCGACATCACAGACCTGGAGTACGGCAAAGGCCTCAAAACGCGCCTGGACTTGAGCAATACCACCCTCTGTTAGCCCCAAACGTACAGCATAGATCAACATGGCAGACGAGGACAAACAGCCTGCAGAGACAGAAGACATTCCCGTACCAGCAAAACCAAGGACAAAACGTAAAAAGGCATCACGCGCCTGCTTCCACTGTCAAAAAGCGCATCTCACTTGTGATGATGGTAGAGATCCCTTCCTGATCTTAGCATACTCCTGTTGCTAATGCTTTCTAGCGCGACCGTGCCAGCGGTGTATCAAGCGAGGGCTAGGAGAGACGTGCCACGACGGCGTACGGAAAAAGGCCAAGTATCTACAAGATGTTCAAACACAACGTATGCACGACGTACTCGGCCAACCCACGAGCTAACAAGGCAGAGGTTCAGTCGTCCAATAAAACGAATCGACCGCCTCAGCTCCTCAAGTTGGAGTCTGCAGCGACCGTGTCATCGGCGCAGCAAGGTTCCTTCGATGCGTCGACGCCTGGTGATAGCAGTGACTTTGGTGCACCTTTGAGCAATACGGGCACCGTCAACATGGCAGCAGTCCAGCCGCCCGCCAGCAATAGTCAGGGCAATCTGGGCTACAACTTCCTTGGTATGCAGTAACCGATTGCTTGACAAGACTGACACTAGATGACAACCTCCTCTTCGAGTACCCACCGCTGTCAACCTACGACTTTGATTCCAAGACAGCCAACCTCGAGTACTCCATGATCTCTACCATGCTTGGCAATGAGTTTCAAACACCCGGTACCGATCAGCCAAGCCCTGATCATTTCGCTTTTCCATCGCCACACGACTCGCATGGACCGAATCGACGTGCGTCAGGCACACCCGATTCACGCTTGACTTCTGAACCACCTTCAGGGTCTGTCAACAGGCAGAATGGACAGGGTGCGTATAATTCTTATGCAAATGCAGCATTCCCGCTCATCAATGCTACATCGCCGCGTATAGCCCTGGAGGAGGGAGGCAATGTTGTTCCGCTCCCCATGCTGAACGGACAAGCTGCATCAACACAGCAGCAGCAGCAGCAGCAGCAACAACAACGGCGACCTTCCGGGACTACTTCGGGATACGTCGATCCACATGGTCAACGACCGACACCGGTTGCTAAACGCCCGATACAGTGCAGACCAGGTCTCAACCCCTCCGACCCTTCCACCATTTACAAATCCATCACAGCGCCCTTCCACTATACGAGCGGGTATCACCTCCTCAATGCCTATCTTCGAGGTCGTTTCGGAAAAGCAGATTTGCTGCGTATTGCACGAGCGATTGTCGGGTATCGTCCAAGTTTCATTGCTTTGACCAAGACATTGAGAGAGGAAGATTTGACATTCATGGAGATTTGCTTTCAACGCACCATGCTTGAGTATGAGAAGTTTGTCGGTTATTCAGGCACACCCACCGTTATTTGGCGGCGTACAGGGCAAATTGAGCTTGTTGGTAAAGAGTTCTGCTTGCTCACTGGTTGGTCTCGTGATGCGCTCTTGGCAAAGCAAACGTTCATTGTTGAGCTGATGGATGATTCTTCTGTTGTTGAATATTTTGAGCGATTCTCAGAACATGCGTTTGCTGATACGAGTAGTGTGCAAACGACCTGCGTCTTGCTCACACCACAAAAGAGACCAGTACCGTGTGCATTCTGCTTCACCATCAAGCGCGATGTTTTCGATATTCCCATGGTGATTGTTGGTAACTTCCTGCCAGTCTTGTAGGAGATTTTCTTCTTTTATAAAATGGCGTCTTTGAGGACGGGTTTGGCGATATCCCAGGGTCCATGAATCTCACTGATAACTTATTAGCATGGTTTCTCTTTGCATGACGGTTGACTTGCTTTTTGTACTTTTGCAGTGAAATGAGCCATAGCGGGCATCCAAAGGTGATGAAGATGACCATGGAGATCCAAAGTGCCGCAAGTCGCGTTGAAACGCACCAAGCAAGCGTGACGCATGCGCCAAGGACCAACACAACCGTCAATGCTAGACTTGCACGGAAGGAAGTGAGTCGTAGGAATCTTCGAAAGATGGGGAACAAGGCAAACCATTCAACTGCAAAGAGGATGAGTGCAAATACAGAGAATGATTCGCGAAGGCGTGATGCAAGCACCACAGATGCCATGATGGCGGCATTCGTTGAAAGTGTTCCAGAATACGACAAATTGTGCGTTGCAGCATTGCCCATCGAGTATGTGCTTTTTGGTAGGGAGTAGTCAAGAAATGCGATATTCGCAAGGAAGAGGTAGAGCGCAATCGTCCAGATCGAATCGCTATCAGACGACAGTGTCAGCGAGTTGAGGATGGGTGAGAGGCCGAGGATTGTCAAGACAATCAAGACTGCTGATTTGATGGTTTCTGGTCGAGTGTGCTCAGTCGTGCGTACGGTTGATTCCTGTGTGGGTCTGGCAGATTGAACAGTCTGCCACGTCCAGTAGAGGTAGCCAAGGACCGTCAGTGCTGTGCTCACACCGACGACAGTCAGAGGACTCGCTGCATCATCATAGATGCCCACAAAAGCGCAAACAAAGACAATGACGCTAGCCAGATGCGACGTCAATACTGTTGAGTCGCCTACTAGTGGCCAGAAATCATATGCAACCACATTGGCATTACGTTGCAATTTGTCCAAGAAAGATGCATCTACCCAGTTATCTGGATACTCTTGATGGACCCAAAGAAGCTTGCGCCAGGGTTTGCGCGCTCTCTTGGACGTCGTGAGTGTCTGTGATTTTTGTGAGGGAGCAGCTAAATGACTTAGAGCAAGCTTGCTGGGCAGGGAAGTGGCAGAGTAGCTGTTGCGCAGGAGCTGCGAACGAGTCCTTGGCTTTGTCATGATTTGAGAGGAGCGACACGAAGCATCTTGGGCATATAGAAGGTTGGTCTGTTACTATTACTAGCTGACTGTCGTTGCTGCGGCAGCTGATTAAAGATGACGATCACAAGCCACACCGAAGAAAGACACAAGCTCGCAGGAGGCCGGCCACCTTCAACCAAACCTACCACTGCATCCAATATGATGAGCACACGGTACCGCGTCAGTGTACGCAGAGATGAGTTTATAGAATGGATCAAGAACCTGCTTATGACGCCCTTTGTCCTGCATGCTCATCTTCAACCGGCTGCAGAGATCCGACTCAAAGAGGCACGGCAGTATCAGCGCTCGCTCGCTATTGCGGATGCACGCCGGCGGTATGCAGAAATATGGTTCGATATTGAAGCCCTTATTCAAGATCACAGGCGGCACATGGAGCATGGCGATACACAGCCCTCAAAGCTCAAAGTACTCGTACCATCGATTGGCGAGTTCTTTACAGACTTGCCTCTGCGAGATGCCTTTTTGATTGTTGATCAGAAGCGCTTCATCTCGTCGAGGCGCTTTGTTGCCCCATCCTTCAATGACATTCGGCATGTCTTGTCGGTTGCGCAACTCTTGGCGCATGCTCGGTCGAATGACCTCAAGCTCATCACGTTCGATGGTGATTTGACGCTCTATGAGCACGGTCAAGGTATCGAGCCAGACTCTGAAATCTTGCCTTTGCTACTTGACTTGCTCAAGCGAGACATTCGTGTTGTCATCTTGACTGCAGCAGGCTACCCAGACAAGTCCGGTCAGCGATACAAAGAGCGCTTCCATGGCTTACTGGATGGTATACGGGACTCGCAAGAGTTGACCGATGCCCAAAGGCAGTCGTTCGCTGTGCTAGGTGGAGAGTGCAACTATCTCTTCAAGTACTGCGAAGCAGGCCTGCAGCATGTGGCAGACGAAGAGTGGATGTTGGATGAAATGAAGGTTTGGCGAGATGAAGACATCACAAAGCTTCTCAACCTCGCTGAATCCGTCTTGCGCGAATGTATTGACATCATGTCGCTACCGGCACAAATCATTCGCAAGCAACGGTCGGTAGGGCTCGTTCCTACAGCAGGCAGACTTACGCGGGAAACGCTCGAAGAAGTGGTCCTGGCTGTGCAACGTACGCTTCAATCCCAAAACAAGGCAAATATACCCTTCTGTGCCTTCAATGACTGTGATGTCTGGGTCGATATTGGCGACAAGGCACTCGGTGCGCGATGCCTGCAAAAGTACTTTGGTGGGATATTGCCCAGGCAGACTCTACATTGTGGCGACCAGTACAATTCTTCAGGCAATGACATTCGCACGCGGACAGTGGCGACGGGGATGTGGGTGGGCGGTGTTGATGATACAGTAAATTGGCTTGGTATGTTCAGGGAGATGAGCAAACATGATGGCGCATACTTTAGCCACAGAGGGACGTATAGATAGTGCTACGTGCCCAGACAGCACATGATGGCCTCTCCGTAGCTGGCTAATGGCTGTCTCTACAAGCCTCAATTGCAAGTGTTGTGCCATCTCATCTACGACGCGCCAAAGAATCGCGACTTGCAACCTCACGCGCCACACACGCAAGAGTCTAGAGGTCGCTCGGCACGTCCTGCTTCGACAGCAGTGAAAAGGACAAGATTACTTTCCTCGGCGTATGAACAATGGTGCAGCGACTCACATTGACCTCGCTGCCACTCAAGCTGCTGTCTCAGCCGACCTGACCAACCTCACGCAATTTCAAGACCTATTGGCTGCCATAAATGTGTCTGAGGGAGACGCCGCGATTGGCGAACAAACGCCTGAAGTCTACTGTGAGCTATTGCAGGTTGTGTTGAAAGCTTGTCTGCGATATGTCGAGCACGACGAACGTATAGGACCTAGGCAGCAGCAAGCGAGATCAGACGTAGTGGGCGATAGCATTCGTGCTGCCACGAGCATTATTGGCAAGGCTTGGACCGTGCTGTCAGTAGAAGTCAAGGACGGCACATCGCGAAGTACGCTCGGGAGATGGGTCTTGATGACGCTATTGCAATTACTTCGAGACGATCGTTCACATGATGCGCATCCTCTTATCGTCGAGGCAGTACAGGCGCTGCTTATGGGTTTGCTCTCTGAGTATTCCCTCAAAGAAGACGCCAAGTTCGCTCTGGAGCTCATTGATACAGAGTACGAAAGCTTTCGAGTTGCGTCTGAAAAGCCAGCTACAGACCTTGGGGGAGAGGTACTGGTCGAAACAGATGCAACATCTCTAATAGCTTGCATCACTCTTCTACGCTGCAAAGGTCGACTCTTCAGCGCTCGAACAGTCCTTCCGGCACTGACTCTTCCGCAGACCTGGATTGCCTCATGCGCTACTTTGGCCATGCAGCTGCTATCAACAGATGGTCCCCTCCTCAAAGAACGAGAAGCCTGCAAGACGATAGAATCAATGCTCCTTTTGGGCGCAGATTTGGCACCGCTGCTCAGCACAGAGAGCGATATCTTCGAAATGACTCTGCTGCTCCTCAAACTTCTGCAGCAATGCTCGCCAATTCAACCTGCAGAAAGAAACCGCTTCACTGCCTCGCTCATGTCGTCGTCTGACAGTACTCAAGTTGCACTGACTCGAGCACTAGACAATTTGTGTCTGGCGCTGAACGAACAGCTCGAGCTTCTAGATGTGTGGCTGACTTCGCAGCTTCTTGAAGTGCTGACCGAACTCGCAGGCATTTTCAAACTACAGACTGTTCAAGATTGCATAGCCTTGAGCAAGGTGCGGCTGCATATTCAAACGCCGAGATCATCGCCTACGCCGGCACTTACACTGGCCCCAGTCTTTCGCGAAAAGGTGGGCGTCCAAAATCCGCTCCTTCGACATCTGATCGCCGTCATGTTTCCTCAAGACAAGAACATCGACTCTGCTTCAGCACTTCTCGCTCGTGCGAGCTCTAAGGCTGAGACATATACACTCCCTCAAATGACCTTTTTCATCAAGGCGACTGGCTCGCTGGCGTGTGCCAAGTCTGGTTTGAGCACCTTCAACCAAGCTGGCGAACAGTCTTTTGTTTGCTGCACAGTATGTTCTACGGAGACACTCGGGGATCCACTCGACAAGATTGACTGCTCGACAGACGCACTTCTGGCAGCCATCACACAAATCAGCGTGACACCCATTGTCAAGCAAGATATCGAGCTACGCATGCGTCTTTTCCGCGCTCTCAAGCGCGTTGTTCAGCATGCTGATACTGTTGCTTGTCTGGCTCTGCCGAAAGCATCTCCAATCGTCAAGCTCTTGACAACTGGTCTGCATGGCGCATCCCTGCATATTCGCATCATGGCCGGTCAAGTGATTGGCATGTTGTTCCAATACAGTCCACGACGTGCTGAAGAGTCCATCTGCTCCTCTAACCGTGCATTTGTCATACAGTTGCTCCAACGCTCAACAGATACAAAAATCACGGAAACAACATTGTTTGCTTGGGTCGAAGTGGCAAAAGGTGCCGCGCCATCTGAAATGCTCGTCATCTTGACGCAGCTGGTCGAGTTTCTCTCTCACAAGAACATGCTGGTTCGTCAAAGTGCTGTCGTTGGCTTAAAACGGCTTGCTGCTCATGCTGGCTGCTCGTTATGGGCGCTCTTTTCTCCCTACATGCGGCAGATCAGTCTGCAAGTGTGTCGTAAGGGACAAGCTCAGCCACAATTTATTAGCTTCTTCGCCAGTCTTATGGGTATATTGCTCCATTGAAACCGACTCTGCTAATTCTAGGCATTCACAGCACAGACTTCTTGGTACGTAATCAGCAATACTTGTTGCCATTCCTTGTCATTGAAGGCAAAGTCAGTCTCATCACCGAGATGGCAATGGCCACACAGCAATCAGTCAACAACCTCATCATGAACAATGCTCACTTCATCTTCAGCAGTATGCTGACATCGAATCTGGACAAAAAGCAGCTCATGTCCTTCTTCTCCAATATCGACTCCAAATTCGCTGATGTCAAGCTGAACGATTTGATCTGCGCGGTGCCGATTCCCCTGGCTGTTGAATTGCTCCAGCTGGGCGGGGAACCCAACATCAAGCCCGCGAATATTCATGCAGCTCTGACTTTTGTGGCCACAGTGTCCACCAAACCGCCAGCAAGTACGCGCAAGACGCCTATGGAGCTCGCGGAAGAGCTTCAAAGAACCTTTTTGACAAAACACAGTCTTGGCATCGTTGGTCATTTGTCGGAAGCCTTGAACAATGCGCATGGCAGAAAGGGTTTGTTGGAAAAAGTGCGCATCATCAGAGCCTTTTATGACTTGGTCACGCTCATAGAGCAAGCAAGCGAAGCTGCTGTGCCGCAAATTGTCGTCTGCCTTCAAGCCGCTATTCTCATGCCAGATTTGCGTCAATCTGGGTTGATTGCTTGGCATCGTCTGCTCGAAAAGTCCTCTCATCAAGTCACCACTTCGCTGATCTCCCACTCCATGTGCTTGTTCTTGCATATCTGGGATCAAGCAACAGATATTGAGCGCGGCTTCATGAAGCAGATGTTTGACCTTTTCATCAAGGACTTTAGTGATCATATCAGCCAACATATTGGGCAAATGCCGAGAATCACGGTGGCAGAACTGCGAGCCGTCGAAGAGCAATTGAGTCTCTTTCGCAAACCAGGCGTCAAGCCAGGCGATGGACTACCGCCTCTGGAGGACTTGTTTGACCTGCTCCAGAGTGACAACCCTATCATCTGTGAGCGTGGGCTTATTGAGCTGAAGGAAGTCATTACGACGAGGGGACCCGATATCCACACTGTGCTTCTCAAAGACCGGAAGGATGCCACCGTGAGCGAGACACTTCGAACTTTGCTCGACATTGTTGCAAAGCATCAACAGCACGGCGGCTTGACGAAATTGCAATTACTTGCTTCCGAGATTCTTGGTATGATTGGTGCAGTCGATCCTGTCCGTGTTGACACGGCAAAAGACAAGTCTCGTGCCATCTTGCTCAGTTCCTTCATGGACGAAGATGCCGAAGAGACTGTTGGATTTGTCCGCATCTTTTTGGAAGACCAGCTCGTGGAAGCTTTTCAGTCAGCCAACAACACCAAGGTGCAACTCTCCCTTGCGTGGGCGATACAGGAATTGCTCAAGTTTTCTGGATTCGACGAGAGCCTGTTGAGCGCTGCAAAGCAAGGGTTTGAGCGCGACGATGATCTGGACACACGTCGCCGTTGGCGAGCCATCTCGGCGACTTCACGCACAGTGTTCGCGCCGCTCTTGAGCTCGAAATGGGATCGGCCAAGTCGTCCTCGACCGAAGCCAGCTCAACTGCCAATTATCCAGCATACAAAGACGTATCGCCAGTGGTTGCACGTTCTCGTTCTTCATCTGCTCCAACTGCCACTCTCGGAGAATGCACGAAAGCTCTTTGGCGTATTCAGCGGAATTCTGCGAGAGGAGGAACTCGAGATGGCCAACTATCTTCTGCCCTACCTCTTCCTCAATGGACTTTTTACGAAGCGCTATATTCCGGATGCTCCAGGGCCAGAAATCATGGCCGAGGAAGTGCGCTTGATTCTCGAGACCACCTCTGAAGAGCCAGCTGAAGCTGAAAAGCTTCGACTAGCAACGGAGGCCATTTTTCCAGTGCTTGACTATCTGCAGCATTGGCGACGTTCACGGCACAACAACAACACGACACAATGGGCTGAGAAGATGAAGAGGCAAAAGCTCCTGCCGCGGCCAGAAGATTTTGTGGAATCAGATGAGCTGACGTCCTTTGTGGATGACTTCTTCATGCACTTGAAGCCAGAAACACTCGCAAATGGTGCACTTCGCATTGGTTCATACTCTCGCGCTCTTTACTATTGGGAGCAACACATTCGCAATCAGAAAAAGACACTTTCTGCAGCAAGTATGCAGCCCTTGTATGCCACACTACAGCAGCTCTACATCAATATTGACGATCCTGATGGTATCGAGGGCGTTTCTGTTAACCTCCGCGAATTGACTATCGATCAAGAAATCTTGATGCATGAGAATGCTGGCAGATGGACTGCTGCTCAGAGTAGCTATGAGCTTGCTTTGCAGCGCAGATCAACCGAACAAAAACTCCAGCTTGGACTGCTCAATTGTCTCCGTCAGACTGGACATTACGATCTGCTCCTTGAGCAAGCGAAAAGCATGATGAACACTGGCTCGCGTTCGAGTGCCTTGCTCGACATTGCTATCGAGAGTTCATGGAATCTAGGCGCTTGGGCGGATCTGCAAAAGTTGGTGCAGCTGGTGCCAGTACAGGAGCAGACCTACGACTCACTCATGGGACGCTTCTTTGGTGAACTCAAGGACAATAATGAGGATAGATCTCAGGATCTCTTGTCTCAACTCAAAGTGAGAGCTGCGACAGAGCTCGCGGCTTCCAACACAGACTCATTCCAGCAGTGCTACGAGGCGCTCGCAAAGCTCCATATTGTGCATGAGTTAGACTCGCAACACAACCCTACGGCTGATCCCTCAAAGTCGCGAGGCCTTGTCGGGCGAGATCGTTTCGCACTCGTGGCTGATAGTGGGCGTTGGAAGCAGCACATTCTGAGCGTTCGCCGAGTGACGCTAGAACTCAAGCAGCAGCAGCAACAGTCAACCGCGCGAGTAGTCAGTCACGCTTGGCTCGAAAGCTCTAAACTGGCACGCAAGACCGGTCAGACGCAACAGGCCTATAAAGCGATTTTGCATGCGCTTGCGATCAAAGGCACGCCTCTTGCCGAGATTGAGCATGCGCGGTGGTGGTGGAAAGGTGGCCATCAATTGCGAGCAATTCAAACGCTTCGCAAGGCGCTAGCGTCGAAAGTCTTTGATGGCTACGAGTGCAATCCAGACGAAACCTACTCCAAGGTCTATAATCTCGCGAAGACGCTCGCCAAAACACCAAGTGAGATCCTGACTTCCAAAGCACAATTGCTCTTGACGAGATGGAATGATTTGGCTGAGCACACTAATTCTGCACAACAGCTCAAGGAGTACAGCCAATCTGCGCGCGGAGCCCAGCTGGAAAAGCCGCACTACTTTCTTGGTCGTTACTACATGAGACTGTTGGAGGCGGAAGCCAAGAAACCCGTGGAACAACAAGACGACGAGTACCTCAAGGGAGAGTATCATCGTCATGTTGTGCTGAGTTACGGTAAGGCGATGCATTTTGGCACAAAGTTCATCTTCCAGACGCTGCCATCATACCTGCAACTCTGGCTGGATTTTGGAGATCGTGTCTCTCAGCTGTCGTCAAGACTAAGTGTCCAGCGCCGTAGCGAGCTCATCGAGATGCGCAAGGCGCAACTCAACCACCTCAACGAAAAGATCAAAAGTTTTGCTCTCAGGCTGCCGACTTATCTCTACATGTTGGCGTTCCCGCAAATCCTGTCGCGACTGAATCATACAGATCGCGGGTGTTTTGCGATACTAGAGACGATTCTCGTTAAGGTGCTGCTCGACTATCCGAAGCAAGCTCTCTGGACATTCATGGCTGCAAGCAAGTCTCGAGACAGTACACGATCGCAGCGTGGCAACACACTTATTGCAACACTGAAGCGAGAAGCAAAACGAGAGAAGAAGGACAACGTGATTCGGCTCGTTCAGGAAGCACAATTTGTGACGGACCAGCTCATGAACCTATGCATGACCCCTGTTGTCAAGAACAGGACGTCAGTCAGTTTAACTCGTGATCTTCATTTCGATACAGCATGTGCACCAAATCTGCTGGTTGTGCCGACCCAAGACAACCTGACCGTCATCTTGCCATCGCACAATGGCATGGGATCTACCAAACACCATCGCGCATACGAGGCGGATGTGCCAACGATTACTGCCTTCAGCGATGAAGTGGATGTAATGAACTCGCTGCAAAAGCCGCGCAAGATCGTGGTGCGCGCTTCAGATGGCATCCTCTACCCCTTTCTCGTCAAGCCCAACGATGACTTGAGAAAGGACGCAAGACTTATGGACTTCAATGGTGTCATTCAGAAGTTCATTCGACGTGACGCAGAGGCTTTAAAGCGAACGCTGCGCATTCGGACCTATGCAGTCATTGCTCTCAACGAAGACCACGGTTTATGTGAATGGGTCAAAAATACGCGGCCGTTGCGTGATATCCTCATCAAGACTCTCAAATCACGCGGCGTGTCTATGAATTATGGTGAAATCAAGACGAGAATCGAGACTGCTCTTGGTTCGAGCAATCCCGGCCACTCATTCAAGCTTCATGTGCTAGACATGTATCCGCCATGCTTTAGCGAGTGGTTCATTGAAAAGTTTCCCGACCCATCGCAGTGGTTCACTGCACGCTTGAGCTATTCAAGGACACTTGCAGTGATGTCGATGGTTGGTTTTGTGCTTGGACTGGGCGATCGGCATGGCGAAAACATCTTGTTTGACGAGACAACTGGCGATGCAGTCCATGTGGACTTCAATTGTCTTTTTGAAAAAGGTCATACTTTTGAGAAGCCTGAGCGTGTACCCTTCCGATTGACGCACAATTTGGTGGATGCGCTTGGCGTGACTGGCGTCGAAGGAGCCTTCCGCAAGACGTGTGAGATTACGCTCAGGATCCTGCGAGAAAATCAAGATGCCTTCAATACTGTGCTCGAGTCATTTTTGCACGATCCGGTTGGCGAATTCCTCCGCAAGAAGAAGAGTACCTCTGGAGATGTTGAGAAGGAAGAGGCACGCAAGGTGTTGTCTGTCATTGCCTCCAAACTCAGGGGTTCAGCAGGTGCTGGCATCGCCGACAAGCATGTTCCTTTGTCTATCGAAGGGCAGGCGGACGAGCTCATCAAACAAGCAACAGACGATCAGCTGCTTGTGCGTATGTACATTGGCTGGACTCCATGGCTCTAGTTCATATATATTTAGGACAAATACTCGATATTTGTGACTGTCTCGCGCTCCCCGTCTTCTCCAGGCTGAAGACAGCGACGACGACCAAGGCGCGGTCTTGCTCTCCCTCATCATCATTCGCCATGTCGGGTTGGGAACATGCTGATACTGGCTTCGAGACACCGGCGACGCTCGATGCGCGGCAGATGAAGGCGCTGAAGGACACATGGCGATTGCTATATGAGTGGTTTGCATTGGAAGACAAGGACCTGGTTGCTGCGTGGGCTAAGCAGTTCCCTGATTTTGCAGCTGACGAAGAACTCTTGGCAGTCCTCAAGGAGACTTCACCTGCGCTTCTACGCAAGGACTTCTATACTCTCCTGCGGCATGACTATCCCGACCTTGTCCCTCTTCGATTCCTGAAAGCCCGCTTGTATGAGCTAGACAGATCCACCCGCATGCTTCTCTGCAGTCTCTCCTTTCGGCGTAAAGCCATTCCAGTCGCATTACGCAGCGAGACAAAGCACGACATGGACTTTTTACGATCAATGAAGAAGGCGAAATCTTTTGTACCATGTTATGATCAACGCGGACGGACCATCACCACCATTCGCATCAAGAATCACAGTAGAGGGGATTGCACCCAGGCTACGTTTGAGAATTATATGATTTACTGCATGGAGCATGCGCATCTGCTGCATCTCCCATACCAAGATCGGACTGTGCTCTTGGTGGACATGACGGACTTTAGCTTGACTGCACTCGACCTGACGGCCATCAAGTTTATTATTCAGAATTTTGAGCAAAACTACCCAGAAGAGCTGAGCGAGGGAATCATACACAATGCACCTTGGCTCTTTACGACTGCCTGGGCTGCCATCAAACCTCTTTTGCGGGGACCCACACGGGAGAAGATTACATTCACGAGCAATGAGAACGATCTCGCTGCCAAGCTTGGAAAGGAAGCTGCGCGTACCGCACTCAAGTATCAGCTCGAGTACCATGGTCGGCCGCTGGATGAAGACTGGAAAGATGAGGCGGCAGATCCGGCGACCGCTTCACCTGAGTATCACGCAGCCATGAAAGTATGGGAGGACAACATCAAGACCTTTGAAGGTCTCACAAAACGCTGGATCGACCCGGATCTTGCAACGTCGGTTGATTCTGCAGATGAGATTGCAAAGCTTGAGCAAGATCGGATTGATGCAAGCTGGACGCTTGCTGAGAGTTATTGGTTGATTGACAAGTTTGTTCGACCTTCCTCCTACTACGACAGACTAGGGTTATTGCCGCCACGGGAAGACGGTCCAATGACTGTTTGCAAGAGTGAACCTGGCAGTGCGCCATTGTCAAGGAAGTCCACTGGCTTGTCTCGCCAATCGACCAATGCAAGCGAGGCCGGAACAGGCCAACCGGGTCAGGTATCAGGACTCAAGGAACGCCTTGCAAACAACAACAGCACAACAAGTCTGAGCAAGCTGCGAGGTAAAACCACATAAGATGCAAAGATTGGATGCATTTGGATATTGTACAATGACGTAGATGACTCTTGCCTAGGTAGGCACAGTCCAAGCTTGTCTAACTTGAGATTTGGTCTCTGGCCTCAATTCGTGCACAATGTTGTCCGCGTGCTTAAGTGCTTTCTGGACGTGCTTTGTATGAGAGCCTCTTGCAAACAAGACACCTTGTGCATTGTGAAATTCAACGCGCGTGTAGGCAAGCGTCTTACCGAGCGAGTCGCATATCATCGTTGCAGTGATGGTGTCTCCGACTTGACCACCGGCTTTGATATAGGCGATATTCATGTCTGTGCTGACGCCTGTCGCGTAGAGTCCTCGTGAAGCTACAGCCAGGGAACCGCCTGTATCAACAATACAAGCGACGGTGCCGCCATGCAGGATAGAGAGTCGATTACAATGTATCTTTTCAATCTTGAGCGAAGCCTTGACGAGGCCCGGTGATGCAGAGTCGATGATCATCTATTGTCAGTGACAGAGCTCTAGCAGCGGGTGTCTACGTTTTTGAGCATTTGCGGTTCCATACCGGAGGTCTGTAGGAAGGAAGACCATACTTTATCAACAAATGCAGCAGCTTTTGAGCGAGACATGATTGTGTAGTTCACGGTCAAGGACGTCGTCCAAATTGCAAAGCTGCAAACCACACAAGCGGCGGCAAGCAACGCTAAAGCTCAAGCTCCTGGAAGGCTGAAAGGCCGGCATGGCAGTCACTGAGTTTCGCACGTCCATCAATGACTACCTCGAGCAGTTGCCATCCACAACAACGCTTCGTCTATACTCCAAACCAGCTACATGTCTAGCCATCTTCCGCTTGCTGCCGTCGCTTGCAAAGCACTTCATCATGTCTATGCTCTTTTCAAATCAACAGCTATCTATGACTGCTTTTGAAAGTTGGTGTAGCCCTGCTGGCACTACGCGTCAAGCACAAGCCTTTGAAAAGCTCTCTCAGCTGAATATCCTCAAGGAGTCCTCCGTTCGCGGAGGCCCCAGCTTGATTGATCTCAACCCGCTTTACCGTAAGAACCTCAAATTAGCCCTGAAAGGCGGTGGCAATCATAATTCGTTTGGTCTTCCTGCCGCAGAGGCTGAAGAGACGCCTGATGTCGCGTTTCTGGATCAGATTGCGACGGAGACATGGGAGAACATTCTACACTTCATGGTTGGAACGACGCTGAGTGCTCAGCAACAACCGGGCCGATCAGTTGTCTCTTTGCTCCAGCATAGTGGGTTATGGACAACACAGGGCATCACCTCGGCGGGCTTTCAATTTCTCTTGCAGGACAGCAATGCTCAAGTATGGTCACTCATTCTGCAATACCTCGAGACTTCTGATATAAGCGGCGCTGACCCTGTTGAAATGATTCATTTCCTATTCATGCTCGGTAACATGGAAGTAGGACAAGCGTATAGCACAAGAGAGTTGTCTGAGCAACAGGCAGCGCTACTACTCGACCTACGCGATTTTGGAATTGTCTTTCATGAAGAAGGCAGTGATCGATATTTTCCAACACGACTAGCGCTCATCTTGTCGCATGACGCCAAATCGACTGCATACGCATCGACTCATGCAGCAATGCACAGTCTCTTACCTACGGGAGCAGGTGGGCATCGCTCTCAGGAGGACACGGGATTTGTCATTCTCGAGACGAACTACAAGCTATATGCATATACTGCTTCCCCTCTACAGATTGCCGTCCTCGACCTCTTCTGTTCACTCACCATGCGATTTCCGAACATGGTCGCTGGTGTATTATCCAGGGAGAGCATCAGACGAGCCCTTGACAATGGCATTTCAGCAGACCAGGTCATCTTATACCTGCAATCCCATGCACACCCACAAATGCGCATTAAAAAGCCGCGTGAACCACCTGGCTTACTGCCACCGACCGTTGTGGATCAGATTCGTCTCTGGGAGCTCGAGAAGAATCGATTGAAAGCAACACCAGGATACCTCTTTCGAGACTTCAAGACGGGTGTTGAATTTGAGGAAGCACTGCAGTATGCAAGGGATATTGGTGTTTTGGTGTATGAACATCCTGGACGACGCATGTTCTTCGTTGGCGATGGCGGACAGACGGCTGTTGCAGCATACATCAGACGACGCACCGAAGCAAAATGATACAATCTTTCATTAATCGCTACATGTCTCTGTGTCTAAATCTACAATCACCATTTCATCTCACTCACCAAGACTGGGAGGAGTACCTCACACGCTTTATACAACACACCTGCACCCTCTACAGCCTTCTTGGGCCATGCTGCAAGACTCGCTTTTCGGAACTGCAGCAGGATACTGTAGAATGCAACAGCAAAGAAGTGAAGAATCAGCCAAGCCGGTGATTCAGAGATACCGGACAAGAAGCTCACTGGACCTGCAACACATTCACCACCGAGTTGGAAGTAGCGGAAACAGCCTTCCTGCAAGACACGTAGCCGTGCGTCATCTGCTGCAAAGAGGGAGTAGAGTGCTTGTGCAAGGACATTGATGGTGGAAGATAATCGCTTTCTCCGCCAATGCAATGTTGGCATAGCATTGAGAATTGCTTCTCTATCAGTGAAACTGGGAATGGCCTGCGGGCTTAGCAGTTGACTGAGCAAAACGACATCATTGAGAGCGACAGTCATGCCGCCACCTGTTAGTGGATGCCGCATATTCATGGCATCACCAAGGAGAATGAGTCCTGGTGTAGCATTGGTGGTGGGAGGTAGGAAACTGTTTGGCATGGACCGTAGCCGTTCAGATTCCAGGGCTGCTTCAAAGGATGGTCGTAGTTGTTTTGGTAGATCTGGTAAAACAGTCTCTTGGAGATACTTTTTGAGTGCACCTGTTGAAGCAGAGGGCAATTTCCCTTGAATATCCACCAGAATGCGTGTATCGCGTGTTCCAATTTGATACACGAGAACGGGTGAGTGATCGCCAAGTATGACATGACCATGGTAGGGATTCGGGATATCTGCATCACGCAGAACCATCCCAACGAAATTTGACCGTACTGTTGGCTTACGCTTGATGAAATCTGATCGGAACTTGGAGAAGCATCCATCAGCGACAACGGTTAGGGGCGCCCAGAAGTGTTCGCCGGTAGTGGTTTTCACACCGAGAATCGCGCCTGACGTATCGTTTGAGATGAGTTTCGAGACTGTTGCTTCATGCACTGTTACATTTTCTTCCGCTCTCGCCCTTTTACGCAGAGCCATGACAAACTTGCCGTGGTGGAAGGAGCGACCTTCATACGGTTTATCCGTCTTATCCTTTGTATAAGGTATTCCGACCGACTCAGCATGGTAGATACATTGATAGCCATGAACTTGAATGGCATCAATTCCTTCAAGACACTCGCGCAACCCGAGCTTTTGCAAAGCAGCCACACCGCCTGGCTGAAGCAATTCCCCGACAATGCGATCGGGTTCCGTCAAGTCGCGCTCAATCAGGAGCACTTGACGGCCTTGACGGGCGAGTGTTGTGGCGAGTGCTGAGCCGAGGATACCTGCGCCGACAATGATGGCTTCGTACTCGCGCTGCATGCTGGAGTGTCAGTCGTTGGGTAGCTGGTCCACTGCACTTTCTACTTTGTCTGTTGCCTGATTCTTATGTAAGCACAATCACGTGACATATTCGCCAGCAAGCTCAGTTTCAGACTAATACTTATTACTTGTGTCTCTGTACACAACGAATGGGGGCCTTGGCCCATGTCGTAGCTGCTATCGGCATCATCATCTCCTCTATCAGTGCTCTATCGCATCCTGCATGCTACGTCGACCCAGCTCTCCATAGACTCGCTGCCAAAGAGTTTACTGTACATGGCCTCCTCCTCCACAACAACCTGCCCCGTGTCTGCTTCCCACAAGACGCACCAAAGTCTGTACCCGCTGCTGGAGATGTGACACTTGCGTATGTGACGCCTTGGAATCGAGATGGATATACAGAGACGTTATTGCATGCCAATAAATTGACCCATGTCTCACCAGTTTGGTATACCCTCAAAATCACAGCTCCGAAAGGTGGCTTCAAAGATGGTTCACGACCTGCTGAGGTGGTATTGGAAGGTGAAGCTGAGATCAATGCCACTTGGCTTCAACAACTGCCAAGACACATTCAAGTGGTGCCTCGCTTTCAAGTCCAATTCGACACATCAGCAACACTCCGACAAGTCTTGTTCTTTCCACGTAACGAGCTGATTGATGCAGCCAAGAGAATGGCGTTGCTTATGAAAGAAACGGGCCAGCGACGTGGGTATGATGGGTTAGTCTTGGAACTCCCGGCGTCTGCCATGCCATTCAAGATGTTCATCCAAACACTCAGCCATGAACTCAAGCGACAAAATCAATCACTCATCCTTGTGATTCCAGCAGAACACGGACTCGGTACTTCTCGTGCATTTAAAAGACAAGAGGGTCATGGGATCTCACGACGGGAATTACAGATTCTTTCGCCGTATATTGACTTATTTTCACTTGTGTCGTATGATCATGCGCAATCAACGGGTCGGGAAGTTGGGAATAGTCCTGTACGTTGGTTACAGCTGGTCTTGGATAAGTTGACAGGCATCCGGACACAGCAGAGTGGACGGCCTGGTATTGATGGATCTGCAGATGCAGAACTGGATGCATTGGAAGACGAGGACGAGGACGATGAGGATGAACAGGACGACGAAGACGACACTGCAGAGGGCATCAGAGGAACAGAGGTGGATGTATCTCGCAAGATCCTACTTGGCATTCCCTTCTATGGCTTCACCATGACAAGCGACGGTGTCTTGAACACCATCACAAAAACAGAACTCCTCTCCCTCCTGCAATTCTCTATGAATGGTCTACGCCTGAACTGGCTCGATGAAGATAAGGAACATGTTTTTGATATGCCAATTTGGCGAATCTGGTTCACCTCCCTTCTTGGCTTACTCTGGCGCGTTCATATTGCACGAGAACGCGTGGGTGGTGTTGCCATATGGGATGCAGGACAAGGTCTATCCATCTACTACGATGTGCTCTAAAGAGCCAAGAAAAGCTTCTGTAGGAGGCATATACAAAAAAGAGGCCAATAAGAGCAAATGTTTGACTAATGCACAATGAATGGGAGGGTTCCGTCATTGATCATAAAGTATGCAGAGTCTCTCACTTCTTTTGCTGAATGGCAGAGTAAGTGAAGATACCGCCGAGGGCAATAATGACACCAAGGAGACTCATGTTATTCATCTTGCCACCAAAGAACCAACCAAGCGATACAATGGAGCAGGTTTTCAAGTGTCCCACAATCGTACTCGTCAGCGCAGACGTACCATGAATGATGAAGAACTGTGAGACGTTGATGAGAATGGCAAATGCACCAGAAAGGAGTACAAGCCCCATGGAATGCCGCGAGACTTCTTCAAAGGGTGGGATTGTATCACTAAAAGGAACACACACCAGCAACATCAACACAGACCACGGTGCTTGGTTGTAGAGGAGCTGCATGGAGGAGACTTGGTATTTCTTTGCAAAAGTACCAATCCAAATGGTGTAGACGCAAGAAACGGTGACGCCGGCAAGGGCAAAAATGACACCCCAAATACTCGTGTTGGTGGTGCTTGTTTTGCTGAGCGCGTCATAGTACGTGGTGATACCCACACCGACGCAAATGGGGACAATGGCTGCGATCGCTTTGGTGGAGATGGTGGTGTTGTAGAAGAGATAGTTGAGGAGGGCTGTGCCTGGTGTCAAGAGAATACGCACGAGCTGGTAGAATGTGACAGAGCTGAATGCGAGAGAGAGGTTTGGCAAGATGACATTGCCACAAAAGGCAAAGCACAAGGGTAGGATCTGAAGGGGTCGGAGTGCCTTTGGCTTGAATGCGCCGAACCTCGAGACGATAAAGAGGGTCATACTGGTGCAGGCAAAGTGGAATGCAGCAAAGGAGACGGGCATCTTGACGAGATTGCGGTCGGAGAAGATGGCCTTGTTTGTGAAGACGATGCCAATGGTGGCGAATGTGTTGACGAGCATCCAGAAGAGGACCACGACCTGAGACTTCTTCTCTACTGGCATATCCTTTTGAATTGCTGGGATGGGGAGGACGTCCTTGGGTTCTCCGTCCACGTCGTCAATGGCGCTCATGAGTTTTGCCTTGACGTCGGCGAGTTCGAGCGGCTTTTCCATTGTGGTTTATCGAAGTGAAGAGTGTCTTTTACAATTGAATGATGAAGAAGATGCTGCTGCTGGGAGAGGAGGATAGGAGGAGGATGGCGTGGTCGAGGTGGTTGTTGCAGGGAAAACACGAACACGGCACAGGGGAGAAAGGGAGAAACGCGAATTTGGGCAGGGGAACGCATTAAAAGGCTCAATATTCACGGTCAGCAGCCTCATCCTTGACCTGCTCCTCCCTGCTCTTGGCCTTGACCTGCATCCCTGAGACCGAAGCCCAAGGCAAGCACAATTTTGGCGTCTCGCCATACTCTCTACTCTGTCACTGCCGACACGCTGGCATCACGCTAGAACTCTCGACGCTGCTGCCGTGAAATATGCTACAAAGAAGGGAGGCAAAGTGGCAAAATTGCTCCTCAGGATGTCCCAGAGGGCTTGCTGGTATTGAGTCCTAGCTCAGCATGAAAACCTGTTCGTGAAGCAGACTGTTTGCAAGTTCGTGGAAGAGGACGTCCCAAGCACTGCTCAACCGTCCTCTGAGATGCCTGAGCTTACGGCTCGTCGGCTGCTCCTTAGCAGCGAGCATGCGTGCAACATCAATCGGCGCACCAAAGGCACCACCTTCGTTGGCATTTGTGGACATGTGAAGTTCTACACGCGGATTATCTTCATCCCGGCTCGTCTGCTCCTGCTGGGTTGCGAGGTGAGCTTGCACGAGCGTGTCTTTTGCCAAGCTGTTATTTAAATCTTCAATAATGAGCATCAAGTCCATGACAGGATGACTCAACGGCACCGGACCTGAAGTTTGGGTTTCAATTCGCCAAGCCGAGCGCGATGCATTGAAGTCAAAGGTGATTGGCAAAAGAAACAGATCGAGCGTCAGAGGACTCTTCCGTCTCTCTCGGGCCTCTTGTCTGCCAGAAGTACTAAATAACTGCAAGTGAGCATGCCGAAACCTTACGCCAGATAGAAGGCTTCGATGAAGATGCGCTGCCAGCCGTCAGTATCAGGCTAGAAGCTGAAGGACTGGGCTTATCATCCCGCTCATGGTCTCAATATAGGACAGCTCATTACCACAGTAGCTGCATTCAGATGGGTTGCTTACAAAGAAGAGCATTAGCTGTCGACATCTACGCGTTGAGATAACCTTCAAGAAACGAAGCCCTCAATATCCACCACGACTATCAGGCTTATCCGCATCATGCGCTTCAGTCTTGACCTTGTTCTCCTTGCCCTTGCTCTTCTTCCCGGCTGCACTCATGCTCCCAGCAGACGCAGACCTAGCCACGACAGCAGCAGCAGCATCCATCCCATACTCCGCCTGTATCCTCGCCTTGATCCTCAGCCCAGCCAGCATCTTCTTCCATCTCCCCAATGCAGCCTTTTCTCTGATCAGATCTTGCTTCTTGATGCGTTCAGCTTCATCCGCCTCAAATGCTCGCATCAACTCCTCCGCATGCTCCTCGGCGACCAACACACCCTCTATTACGGGAGCAGCTCCCCTCCTGCTGAATGAAAATCCCGTGCATGCTTCGGCCCAATCAAAGCTAAACTTCTTGGCAACGCGAGAGAGGCCCTTGTGTGGTAGATGGACTGCACCTTGTGGTACCATACTCGGTACAAACACATCTGCATTACCATATGCATTTTTGGGAATCACACCATCCACAATCGGTGGCGGCACGATATACTCTGTTTGTGACACTGCGTAGATGGGTTGCATCATGGGTTCACCATGTTCTCGCTCATACTCTTGTAATTCCCTGATGCGTGCTGTTGTCATGGCACGCTGTCGAATCATTTTGAGAGGCTGCTCACCCACCTTGACGACACGTCCTTCCTTGTGATAATTCTCAACCGTCTTGCCAGGCACCGTATCACTCCTCAAAAAGATGCGTTCTTCAACTTGCTTAGCACCTTTCCCCACCATGAATGTACCAACGGGTTGAGCACCAGGCTTGAAGGCTTCCTTCTCCCTCAAGTGTTTCTCAAGCATATATCGCGGATGTCGCTGAAACCCAGACAGCGTCGTCGGCATCTCATCCGGTTTCGGTCGTGCCTTCTCCGTGAATGCCAATAAGGCATCCTCAGCCCTTTCTGCAGGATCAGCCAAATGGCTCCGTAGAAATGGTACAAGTACACGATTGGCATCAAATCGAGTGAATGTCCCACCATTCGCTCGCATGACATGGTCGTTGAGACGTGCTTGACTCGCCGTATACCGTAACGTGACATCTTTTGCATTGTGTGCTGCACCATACGCAACAACCAAGCCCATACCTAGTTTTTGCGATGCAGCGAATTTTCCCCTGGGTTGGAGGAGTTTGAGATCTTTATCTGCGACGTAGCATCGGACATTGACCATAGCGTCTACGGCAAACCAGGTACCGGCTGTCGCATCAAATACTTCTGTCCAAAAGATAGGAGTGGCATAGGCAGCATCGATGGTGTTGCCTGTGGACACGTCTTCACACTCGTCAGGATCATCTTCCTCGCGGTCTGAGACTGGTGCACTGCTCAAGGAACTCGTATCCAACCGAATCGCATCGCTACTCCGTCCACTCCCAGGAACCTGCCTACGTTTCGGCGGCGGCGTCGAGTGTGACTGAGGAGGTGGTCGTTTTGCAGGCGTGACTTTTTGGTTGGGTTGAATGACTTCTGGTACCCATTCTTCACGCTCATTGAATTTGAAGCCAAGCGGTTGAGTACTAAAGACGTGTCGGCATCGAAAATGATATGCACGTAGCAGCGCAGTGAAGAGATGCGCGCCGTAATCTCGAGAACCTTGTAATGTCGATGCTTGCTGGATGAATGCTGCTTTATCGGGAAATGTTTCACATGCTTCCCATTCTGGTGCTAGGCCAGTGGTGGTCCAGTCTGGTTTGTCTGCAGTTTGAAAAACAGCACGCTTGTACGTCTCGTATTCGCCATCTGGGTCGAAATAGGTAGCAGGTCGATACCCCTTTTTGCGTAGCCCAGGGCGTGTACCTGAGTGTTAGCAGTGACACAAGATATAACGATAGTCATACGTTTGAATCGGGAATGAAACCATTTCGCAGCACTCGCCAAAGTGGCATGTAACGTCTCTGATGCCACATTGCCGACGACACTCTCGCGTGCCGTTTTGGCAAGCAACTTGTCAAGCCTTGCATTCTTGCTTCTTGTCATGGCGCGCAGCTCTGTATGTAGCTCTGGTGCATTACACCATGCATTCGTCCATGCACCATGCGCCACTTGACACAACAACGAGAGATAATGTGTGCGTGCTCGAATCTGCTGCTCCATACCAGACCGCTTCTTGGGTTTCCCATTTGACAAGTCGACTTTTTCAGCTTTCGCCAAGGTCAAGTCGAGGTCCTCTTCATCAGACGCATCGGCGTCTTTGTCGTACTTGGCACTAGCGCGTTTCGGTGCCCTGAGATCGACATCTTCAAAGGCATCCTCGTCAGAATCCACTTCATCCTTCACCTGTCTCGCGATTGACTCTGATTGAGACGAATCAGATGCACTGTCATATCCAGCTGCCATCTGATCAAGAACAGGACCCACTGCCTCAGGTGAGGGTGCCCTTTCCAACTTTTTCCGCTTCTTAGGTACATTCTCCTGCACTTTTGCTGTTGACACGCGTTTCTTGCGTTGGACAGGTGTTGATGATGTTGCCACAGCTTTGCCAGCTGCACGACGGATAGGTACCTTGGCACGCGTCAAGATCGGCTTGACCTCTTCCATAGGTTCTTCTTCATGTGCACTACTCAACCCGGAAGACTCATCTTCATTCTCCTCTCTAGCAGTTGTAGCAGCAGCATGACCCGCTGTAGCAATAGCAGGCTGTCGAGCGGCTGGTTTGCGGGGTGCGTGACCCGCTGCACGTCGTGTCCGTTCCCTGACGGCTTCGATATCTGAATCTGGCGGTGAGGGAGAAGCGTCTGCTTGCTTGTTCCGTGCCTGGCGTTTAGTTCTTGGCGCCATAGCATCAGGCCTACTCTATCAGGCCTACTCTATCTACGCTGCAGTGAACATTGTTCTGTACTTTGCGATCAGATCTTGCGACGTCATGACAGGTGAGAGCACAGTCACAAATATGCAGCACACTCTGCATTGAGTCGGATGCGCAGTCAGATCTGGGCTGATGCGCTGACTATGATGGCCTCGATGCATCCAGCTAGATGCTGTGCAGCCATGCAGCAAACATACGCACTGGCCGTGTCCGCTATTTCAGGTTTGTCCCGCTGCCGGATTGAGGAGAGAAATACGAGGCAGGGAGAGAGTGAGAGGGGGGACGAGCGTATATCAGGCCAGTCCATCGCTACTTAGGCGCGGTATAAGTGTCAACTGGTCCGGATCACTCTGCATCTCATCCGTAAGCCCTGCCTAGTCACTGAAGAGAGACGCGATCCACCCTGCAAAGAGACGCAGCGAGACAAAGAGACCAGCAGGCCTACAACCACAAGCGCACCAACAAAGAAGACACAAGCAGAGTCCATCACATACAAATACCCAGAGGCCTTCTCCCTCTCTCTTGACCCTCAACAACAACCACATACAGCCCACAACGACATCATGAGCGTCTCAACACTCCAGCAAACACCCGTTCACTCCGAGAAGGACGTGAGTTATTTCCAGCAACTTTACATCACAACCAACAACGCTAACATGCCACAGCACGCATCCATCGCCAGCATCACCTCACTCGAGCGCAACGCAATCCAATATGCAAACGACTATGACCGTTTCCAATCCCCGAAACTCAACCAACAACGCGCTCTGGTGACAGACTCAAAACAACAAGAATTCGCAACCCTCAGCGTTGTTGCAAAACTCGAACGCGCTATTGGACGGCGCTATAGTATGCAAGATGCGGAATTCACAAAGAAAGTGAGAGCGCCTGTTATTGCGCAAAAGCCAGTCACAGCCGCCGCAAAGGCTTGACCCACTTAATGATAATCTCTTCATGGTTTTTCGTTTCTTTTTTTTCCTATACTTTTTGATGCTGCTTGGCGGTGATGTGCTCGCCTTACTTGGTTACTTTTTATTCTTGTCCTCTTTCTTCTTACCATCTTGTAGGATTCATGATGACTATTCTATTGCGTGTTGAGATGTCTTGCTTCTACTGACCCTTCTTACTACCCTTTTGCCACGAAATAGCACGCAGCCGCTCCGTCAGTGTTGGATGAGAATGATGATAGGCGCTGAACCAAGCATCCGGATCCATCGTACTCAAGTTCTTCACCTGCAACTTGACGAGCGCCTCACCCAATTCATGGTCATACCCGAGTTCCTTGGCAAACGCATCTGCCTCATACTCATGCTTGCGAGAGAGCATATTCATACCCAACGTCAAAACAGAATCCAACGGTGTCAAGATATCACCATACAAGATGAACCCAACAACAATCGGCATGACGCCTTTTGTAAAGCCGAAACTGCGATACACACTGCCATTTGTGATGAAACAGCTAAACAGTGCAAAGAGACAAAAGATGTGGATTTGTGAGATGGCGAGGATGCGTGAGGTGTGGGAGAGTTGCCAGTGTCCTAATTCATGCGCCAACACGGCAACAATCTCTTCTTGTGAGGATTGTTCAATCAACGTGTCGAATAACACAATGTGCTTGGACCAGGGAAGACCGAAGAAGTAGGCGTTGGAGTGGGCACTGCGTTTAGAACCGTCAATGACATAGAGGTGCTTGAGTGGGAAGTGGAGGGATCCAGCAAGCTTCTCAATCTCTGTACGCAATTTACCCTCTGGTAGCGGTTCGAGCTTATTGAACAGCGGTTGGATGAAGATTGGGTAGACTGTAATCATGAGTGCTTGGAAGGCCAAGAAGAACACCCAGAGGTAGAAGAAGAAGGATCGGCCAAAGTGGTTGACAATCTTGAGGAAGGCCCATAAGACAGGCGACCCAATTGCCACTGTCAGGACTTGACCCTTGATGAGATCTGTGATGAAGAGACGCAGTGTCTGCTTATTAAAGCCAAACTTCTCCTCCAGGACAAACGTCGAGTAGAGGCTCAGGGGTAGATTGAGCAAAGTGCTGATTTGCACAAAAGTCATGACGAAGCAGATGGCGTGGAAGATGGGACCAGCGACGACCGCAGGCGCAATACGAGCAGCCAAACGACCACTTAAATCCCAGACTTGAGGCAAGAGATCATACTTCAGAATGACCAAATTCGTAGCCAATCCATACAAGCTGCTAAAGAAGCCAAACTGTGCTTTGGCACGTCCATAGCTCTGCGACTTGGTGAAGGTCTCTTTATCCACAATCCCATCTAGCAACTTTGGAAGCTGTTTCTGCTGCAATTTTTTATACTGACGCGCTGCAAGGAACTGCTCAAGACCGAATTGGCCGATGGTGAAGCCAATGACCAGAGTCTTCCATGGGATACTGGGGTTGTCTAGGTATGTCTCTAGACGTTCCAGGAGATGGAGGCCTGCTGCGAGCATGGTTGGCTTCTGCTGTCCTTGTAGGTCTCTCTGATCCTGCAACGTCACGCGCTCCAGGATTTAAGGATGCGACAGAAATCTCACGGGTGAATGGGCGGCATGAACCGGTGGGAGTGGCGGCTATGCTCCAATTCAATCTAGATTCCGGGGTCACCAACTTACTTAAGAGTACGTGGATCCCCCTTCCCGTTCTTACTTTTACTCAATTGTCTCTACCTTCATAGTTCTACCACAATGCTCAGTGCACAGGAAGTAGCAAAGCACAATACCCGCGACGACTGCTGGGTCATTGTCAATGGGAAAGCCTACGATGTGACAGAGTTCCTACCTGAACATCCAGGCGGCCCAAACATCATTGTCAAGTACGCTGGACGGGATGCAACAGCTGCTTACGAGCCCATTCATCCAAAGGGCATCATTGACGAGAACCTGACGAAGGATAAGCATAAGGGCGATGTCGACATGACGGGTGTCACACGCGAAGAAGAAGTGGTGGATGCAGATGAACAGGCACGCAGGCAACGTGAAGCCAACAAGCCTGGTCTCGGCGAATGTTTCAATCTCATGGACTTTGAAGCGGTTGCTAAGCAAGTCATGAAGAAACCAGCATGGGCGTACTACTCATCTGGCGCAGATGATGAAATCACCATGCGCGAGAACCACTCTTCTTACCAAAAATTGTGGTTCAGGCCGAGAATCCTGATTGATGTGGAAGAGGTGGATATCTCCACCACCATGCTCGGTACCAAGGTCTCGATTCCCTTCTATGTCACTGCAACGGCACTTGGCAAATTGGGTCATCCAGATGGCGAGACGGTCTTGACGCGTGCTGCAAAGACGCACGATGTCATTCAGATGATTCCAACTCTTGCGTCTTGCAGTTTCGATGAAATTGCAGATGCAGCACAACCAGGCCAAACACAATGGCTACAGCTCTACGTCAATAAGGACCGCAAGATTACGGAAAAGATTATTCGGCATGCAGAGGACCGTGGGTGTAAAGGACTCTTCCTGACAGTGGATGCACCACAACTTGGACGTCGTGAGAAGGATATGCGTGTCAAGTTTGCTGATAACGCGCATCATCAGACTGGCGATAGCAGTGTCGACCGTTCACAAGGTGCTGCTCGCGCCATCAGTTCCTTCATTGACCCGAGTTTGTCGTGGAAGGATCTTGCTTGGTTCCAATCTGTGACCAAGATGCCGATTGTGCTGAAGGGTGTGCAGCGTGCTGAAGATGTCATCAAGGCCGTTGAGTATGGCTGCCAGGGTGTGGTCCTCTCCAATCACGGTGGTCGTCAACTCGAATATGCACGTCCTGCGATTGAAGTCTTGATTGAAGTTATGGATGCATTGCGCGCTCGTGGCTGGCAGGATAAAATTGAAGTGTATGTTGATGGTGGTATTCGTCGTGCAACGGATATGCTCAAGGCCATTTGTCTCGGCGCAAAGGGTGTTGGGCTCGGCAGACCTTTCCTGTATGCCATGTCGGCATACGGACAACCAGGTGTCGAGCGTGCCATGCAGTTGCTCAAGGATGAGATGGTCATGAACATGCGACTCATTGGCGCGACCAAGATTTCAGACTTGGACCCGACCATGTTGGATGTGCGCAGTGCGCATCTGCATGGTGTCAACACGCCATTTGACTCGTTGTCCGATGCAGTGTATGATCGCTTGACTATCCCAAAGAGCAAGCTTTAGACTGGTTTCTTTCACAAGATTGCTTCGTTAACATATACATTCTATAGCTGTACTTTTCTGTTTTATGGTTTATTCATTGCTTTCAACAACGACGTCGTCCTTGCTTGATCATCTGCAACTTCTAGCCGTTCCTGAGCATTCAAGGGTCTGTCGTCTGCCACTTGTTCTTCATTCTCAAAGTACTCACGCGTACGATGATCCAATCCACCAAATAGCTTTTCAGCATCATCCTCATGATCCTGCAACTTCTGTGGTTCACCCTTCTCCGTAATCATCTCAAGGGTCTCTTGACTACCCTCCATCACGCGCTGTGCACGTTCTTGCTTCCACTGACGATACTCATCCCGCATTTCAACAATCTTTGCTTGTGCATCCAATGCACCATCATACTGTAAATGTTTCTTGAGGACATAAATCTCCCAATTTGATAAATGGCAGCGATGCACTGCAAGGCCATGATAGGCAGTGCCTTGACCTTGACGGATATAGGTGAAATAGCGTTCTTGTTCTTCCAGGTCAAGACCCGTGACATCGGGAATGAAGAGCCAAGTGATGATGGCACCGAGTAAACCAAACCAACAAACGACCCATAATTTTGTCTCTGTGTCGATATAGTTGTATGCAATGGCAGCGACCAATGCGCCAAGTTTTCCTGACGCTGCTGCAAAGCCGTGCGCTGAAGAGCGAACAGAGGTTGGGAAGACTTCTGCAGCGAGTAGGAAGGTGGTTGCATTGGCACCGAGTTGTTGGAAGAAGCTCGATAAAAAGTAAATGCATTGGAAAGCCACTGTACCTTGTGTTGAGAGATAGTCAAACTTGGCAGCTGCAGCAACAAAAAGGATGAAACCGGCAAGAAAGCCAATCATTTGCATGCGTTTGCGACCGTACCATTTACAATCAATGAGGAAGGCAGCGAGGTAGTAGCCTGCAAGGGAGACGAGAATATTGACACCATTCCAGAGCCAATTGGTAAACACGACATCCGGTCCACTTTTGCCAGTGATGGCAGAGATGAAGGTGCTTTGGAAGATTTTGTTGCCATAAAAGAAGATGTCGTTGGCAAACCAAGCGATGGAGGTACCGATCAATCGGTGACCATAGACACGCAACGTGAGTTTGAATGACTCGATATCGTAGCCAGACACGCCATGCTTCTTCTTACTCTGATTGAGCATCTTGTTGGCATCTTTGACCTTGTAGAAACGGTGGTAGCAGAGCCAAAGCGAAACGGCACCGATGATACCAAACTGTACGCGGAATGTATATTGCGTTGAGGTTTTGGTGTAGGGTGGTGAGCTCCCGCCGTGAAAGATGAGAAGGCAGATAATCAAGAGTGCTTGATTTGCAAGTTGTCCCCAGCCTTGCATGAGGAAGGCAAGCTGTACTTTGCGACCACGATGCAAGCGGTCCTCGCGTTTTGCTCTGCGGCCAAGTACTCTTTCCGTCTGTTGGCTCGAGGTGACGGGGTATTCGCCACCAACGCCAATGCCATAAAAGAAGAGACTGATCATGTACATGATGACCCAGCCTTGTAGCGTTTTACCCCAAGATGCAGCAAGCATGACGGTACCCAAAAAGAGAATGACTGCATCTTGTACAAGACCATAGCGACGCCCGAGCTTGTCAATGAGCACGCCTACCAGCACTTGACCAATCATGATACCGACGATTTCGAGGTACGAGACGGCATTGACAAGTTCTGGATTGCAGACACTCGGTGATTTCCCCCAACACTGGGGCCATACAGCAGCGAACAAGGGCGCCAAGTTGCCGATTGAGAAGAGGATATAGCCTTCTGTGAAGAGACCCATGCCAGGGACGACATAGTCGCCAAAATATCGGCGCATGGGTTCCAGTGGATCCCGCTTGAACATTTCCCAAACAATACGAAACTCACGCTTGGCCTCGGATGATTCCTGATGATGGATCCATGCTGCCCGTTGACGAAAGGGTAGGTCGGCCCAGTATGTTCTGCCGGCATAGGACTCTGTTGGGTAGAGAACATGGTCGAGCTCTGCTGGCGTGCCAACGAGACTGTTGGTATCCAGCTTCTTGGCATCCGACACTGGTTCTGCAGCTGCCATGAGTGACCTAGCCTATTGAGTACTTGTGCAGGGTATATGAGAGTGGTTGGGTGGGTTGTCGCATCTTTTTTCTTGAAGTTTCGGGCGGCCCGATTGATCGATCAGTCACACAGCATCATCTAGGTGACGCATGCTGTGTCTCGAGTAGTTTTGTGTCTTGGAAAGATCTTTGGACCGTACCACTCAGCAGTAAGCAGTATGTCAATGTGGCCGGGCGAGAGGCCACTGTTCTTTGCATAGATTCGAGCAACGCTGTGTAATTGCCTACAAATCAAGCGCATTCTCGGCCCTCTGATCAGAAACAGTCCTAGCTGTCACTGCTGCTAGATCATCGATATAGCCTCTCCAGTCTCACACTCATACACACTAGTATATAGAAAGCCAAGTGATATTTCCCATCTGAAGTGCGGCCCAACAGAAAAGGGAAAAAGTGTGGGATGAGGACTTGACAACGTACACGACCAACCATGGTCCACCCTACTCGCGTCTCTCGTCTCGCACGGACAACTGCAAGGCTAGCTCCCAGGGTCCTTGCACCTACAGCGACAGTGCTGAAACCCATCCGGGCCAATTCTGTCCTTTCACCGGCCAAAGCACCCGCAGCACCGGCACTCGCTGCTTTTGCTCAATACAACCTCCTCTCTTCGCGTCATGCATCAAGCAGTAGCAGTGATGGATCCATTGAAATCACAGTCAGAGATGCCCTCAATCAAGCCATGGAGGAAGAAATGCACAGGAATGAAAAAGTATTCATCATGGGAGAAGAAGTGGCTCAGTACAACGGTGCTTACAAAGTGACCCGTGGCCTGCTCGACAAATTTGGAGAGAAGCGCGTGATTGACTCGCCCATCACAGAATCCGGATTTGCTGGTTTGTGTGTGGGTGCAGCATTGGCTGGGCTCTATCCAATCTGTGAATTTATGACCTTCAATTTTGCCATGCAGGCCATTGATCAAGTCATCAACTCGGGTGCCAAGACACACTACATGTCTGGTGGTATTCAACCGTGCCCTATTGTCTTTCGTGGACCCAACGGATTCGCATCCGGTGTCGGCGCACAGCACTCGCAGGACTTCACATCGTGGTATGGTTCGATTCCTGGTCTCAAGGTCGTCTCGCCCTACTCGGCAGAAGACGCCAAGGGTCTCCTCAAATCCGCTATTCGTGACCCAAACCCAGTCGTCGTTTTGGAGAATGAGCTCATGTATGGACAAACTTTCAAACTCTCCGCTGAAGCACAAAAGGATGATTTCCTCATTCCAATTGGCAAGGCCAAGATTGAACGTGAAGGCAAACATGTGACACTTGTGTCTGTGTCTCGCCCAATCGCTCAATGTCTCGAGGCAGCTGAATTACTGGCCAAGGAAGGCATTGAGTGTGAAGTCATCAACCTCCGCAGTGTCAAACCACTTGATGAAGAAGCCATCCTGAAATCCGTTCGCAAAACAAACCGTGTCGTGGCTGTTGATTCGTGCTATCCGGCATTCGGCTTGTCTGCTGAAATCTCAGCATTGGTGACGGAGAAGGCATTTGATTACTTGGATGCACCTGTTGCTCGCGTGACAGGCGCAGATGTACCCACACCTTATGCAGAGGGACTCGAAGCCCTCTCCTTCAGTACGGCAGAAATCATCGCTGCAGAGGCAAAGCGTATCCTTTACAGGTAGATGTTTTATATATGTCGTACGTCAAGCACGTCCTAGACTCCTGACACATTCAGCAACGACTCTGTAGATGAGAGTATACTCATTGCCTCGAGCACCGGTACTCTTACCATGCATGACGATACGTGCAAGACCTAGTGTCCAGAGCGCCATCACCGTCCAGCTCAATACGCGCGCCGGTCGTATTTGAATCCGCAAACCCGCCCAGTGTCGTCGCAATTGCAAGAACTGCGCCAATCCAGCCGTCATGTGCCATGCGCCCAACGCGACAAACCCAGCATACGCAACACGCGCAGCAGCAACACCTATCCGTGTTTGGAGCAGTGGTTCAGGACCTTCTGGCTGTGCAAGAATATGACCGACCAACGATGCAGTGATATCCAAATCCAACGCCTTTGGTACAATACGATTGACAAAGACGTGTGCGGCAAGGAGCGGTGCCAGGAGGTATCCTGCGCGCGCTTGCCATGATAATGTCACTTTTCGTGGTTTATCAGAGAACCAGTAGCGTTCCCTCGCTATCCGTAATAGGCGTAGTAGGATGCCTGTACCGACATGGATGGCAATGGGCGCAAAGACCAGCGTTGCCTCAACGTATGGCGCATGATAGAGAGCGCGCGCAGCAAGTAGGTTGTCATCTGCAAATTTGAGCGAATTGAAAAGAGGTCCCGTATGTAGCGACTCTGCAAGCGATGGAAAGAGCTTGGTGAGTGGACTACCAGCAACCAATGTCCGTATGGCCCACCCGGGTTCCGACAACAACGGCGCAACGCCTGTATTCAAGAAATGTATCAAGCCGAAGCCAGTGAACGTATACGCAGACCAACGATGCGTCGTACGTAGGGTATTGAGAAGGAGCGATAAGTACCGATCTTTCCGTTCCTCGCGATCGTGCACATACACACCTGTTGGTGCACCGTTTATTGTATTTTCGCGCGTGAGCACAGGCGTGTGAATGGGCGACGGTGGGATATAGTCAAGACTGAGCGTCTCATTCTCACTGGCTTCGCCGCGACCTGTACCGGATGACATGGTTGCTCTACGCGGTCGATTTATACACGTAACGTTGACCAGATGCCATTGGGTCACAGAACAGTCACCTAATAAATTACAGAGAAGCAACATACAGCCTGACTCGCCGCCATGCATCAGAAGGGGCACCAGCTTCCCCTGCAAACGTAGCAAGTCTGGAAAAGGCCGTATTGCCAAGGTAACCAAGAATGAGGGCAGACAGGATGCTGCATTGGTACCTTATCGCTTGCCATCCTGTTGCTGACTGCAAGACATGCTCATCCAGGGAGTTCAAGCGTTGATGAACAAGTCTTAGACGATCATCCAGCTGACTGCCCTTGAGTGCCTCGATAGTCTCTTCATCAGGCCCGACCAATCTACTCCGCAATCTCTGAAGTCTGCTATGACGACCATCTGGAAACAAGTCCAGGAAGAGCGTCGTGTCTGATACGCGAAACATGGGACTCGACAAGGCGAGTGATTCTGTCAATAAAGCGGCTGCTGGTGAGGTATGTGTGTACATCGCTGAGAAGAATGCCCAAGAGAGCACGGTAATGGTCAAATGGTCTTTACCTCCCGGCACCATGACTGTTGCTTGAGCTGGTGGTGCAGGCAAGATCTTGAACTCTACCGTTGGTAAGTCTGGACACGTTTGTATGCGTTTCTTCAGGAAGCTCAATAGCATTTCTTGGTAAGCCATGTCCATCGGCGTGGCAACTTGCCTGCCAATCGCAGAAAGTTCTTCAAATGGCTCAGGTCGAAGAAACACGGCCAGCTTCTTGCTGTAATGAAGTTTGTATGCTTCAGCAAGGATGCGCGGTACAGTCATGAACACTGCTGTTCCATGTTTCAAAATTGTCCAGTAGGTGACAAGACGATGGCTAGTCAAAACAGGTGCCGCAATAGAATTGACTTGCGCCGTCAATTTTTTTGATCCGTCTTCAGCGAGCATCGTCAAGTGCATACCGACACTGATGGGTGTTTCCTCAAAGGGATCTCGACATTGTAGCTGATATGCACCAGAGCGATCGTTGAAGGGTGAGACGTGGAAGCGTCTTGAGAAGGTTTGCGCAGAATGGTAGCCATGACGCACATGTTCTGCAGCATCTCCTTGCTTCAAGACATAAATGTGCTTTTCGCCAAAGGTATTGTTGACTTCGAGCACGACAACGCGCAGGACGTCTTTTTGGTCGTAAATGTAGTGGAAGGAAACTGGATTGAAGGCGTATCCCAATAACCGTGGAGTTGTTATGAGAAACGCTCTGTGAAGATTATCTGTTGAGATGTCATGATCCTTGAGATGCGCCCAGAGCTTCGCCTTGAGTGAGCCTTCGTGCCTTGATGACAAATAGTCACTGGCGTGAAGGGAAAGTAGTCGCCAACAGCTTGTTCCAAAGCTGAATAACTCATCAGCGTATCCTTCAGAGTCTAGTTCAACGCCTATATACAAGACTGGATAGCGAAAGCTGTGCAGTACCGGCTTGAATCGTGAATGAAATGTCGAGCTAATGAGTAGTACGGGAGCTTGGGCGCCTGGAGGCAGCTTCCCTAGCTTCTTGCTGGATATATGTACATAGACAAGGGCTGAGGCAGCAGCACCAAGGAAAGTAGTGGCAAGAGCAGCAGTATAGCTCAGATGCAGGGATATGGCCATCAGCAAGACATGTGGTGAGAGTGCAAGTAGAAGCAGAAGTGACAATCTGAATCACTCACCAGCAGCCAACACACAGACGCAACCCAACAGCAGCCAAACGCGACCACCAACAGGACACCCTCGAGACACCGGCCTTATCCACTGTAGCAGCCATGTCGAGCCACGCGAGATCCTTCAGCATCTCACGCAAGGCCAGCAAGAACGGACCCTCAACAGCCATCGTCCTTGTCGGCGGCCCTAGTCGAGGTATGCTTCACTGCCCCGAATTTTAACCATGGACGCGCCTGACAGCCTAGGAACACGCTTCAGACCCCTTTCCCTCGATGCGCCGAAGCCGCTCTTCCCCATTGCAGGCAAACCCATCATCTGGCATCACCTCGAGGCGCTTTCCAAGGTCAAGAGCGTCAAGGAAGTCCTGCTCATTGGTTTCTACGAGGAACACGTCTTTCGCAATTTTATCCGCGAAGCCGAAGCTGCATTCGGCGGCTTCAATGTCAAGTACCTGCGAGAATATCAGTCTCTCGGTACTGCTGGTGGTCTCTACCTCTTTCGTGATGCCATCCTCAAGTCGCAACCCAACAACATCATCGTCATGCACGCTGATATCTGTTGCTCATTCCCACTGCAAGAGATGCTTGCCATGCATGAAGAGAAACAGGCAGTTGCTACCATCCTTGGCACGCGTGTCGCTGCAGATGTAGCCACCAACTTTGGTTGTATCGTGCAGGACTCTGCCACCAGCGAAGTGCTGCACTATGTTGAAAAACCAGAATCGCAAATCTCCAACATGATTAGCTGTGGTGTCTACATCTTTGATGAGTCCGTCTTTTCTGCCATCAAGGATGTGATGCAGGTACGGGAAGAGGAGAAGAGCGCAAATCTCGATCCATTGCATGAATCAGATGATCGCTTGCGACTGGAGCAAGATATTTTGACACCCCTCTCGCAGACTAAGAAGATGTTTGTCTTTGAGACAAAGGACTTTTGGCGTCAAATCAAAACGGCTGGCTCTGCTGTGCCTGCCAATGCACTCTACTTGACAAAAGCAGAGCAAGCCAACCCCGGCGGCCAAAAACCCTCTCAGCAGTGCGAATTGCAATTGCCAGTCTACATTCACCCAACAGCAACCGTTGATACAAGTGCAAAACTCGGTCCGGGTGTATCGATTGGCGCGAATGTTAAGATTGGTGCAGGTGTGCGGATCAAGGATGCAATTGTCTTGGACAATGTCGATGTCAAGGCACACGCCTGTATCTTGCACTCCATTATCGGCACAGACTCGCGTGTCGGTGCTTGGGCGCGTGTCGAGGGTACACCGACGGCTTCTGGTCAACACAACACCACCGTCCTCAAAAATGGCGTCAAAGTGCAGTCCATCACAGTGGTGGCAAATAATGTCGTTGTGGGTGATGAAATCCGGCTGCAAAACTGTATTGTCTTGCCGCAAAAGGAACTCAAAGGTCGTAACTACACGTCTGAGGTGATCATGTAGAGAAACTGTATAGATGTGGATTGTGACTGCCGTTCTTGCACAACCCTTCCAACCACTTTTATTGACATCTGTATTGACCATCCCCTTGAAGCTATATCTATGTTGCTATGATCACCCGGAAACGCTCCAAGTTTCTTGCGGCTGTCTTTGTGCTTATTGCACTCATTCTCTTGGCTTTTCGGAGTCAGTCTGCCTTTCAGGGTGATGCCTTTGTTTACTTTACCTTTCAAGAAGATGAACTTTGTACAGAGGACTCTGGCTCTTGTGACGCCAGCTACGATGAGACCCTCGAGGAAGCTACTGCAATCGTGTCAAAAATAGCTCTTGATTCTCCACGAGGCACGATCCAAACCCGTACAGGTCCAGCCAAAATCGTGTATCCTTCAGGCTACGAGCGTTTCGGCCTCAAGAGTCCCGCAGATGAGGCAACCATAGTGAAACATGCCGAGGCGACGACGACACCCGTCTTGGTTGCTTCAACACTGGCACAGCAGCTAGAAGAATGGGTACCGTATATTGCACAAGAGCCCATCAACAAAGTCATCTGGCAGACTTGGCATGATGACCCTGGACCCTTATCGATCCCTTTTGCTTCTTGGCGAGATAGGCATCAAGAGAAGGATTCCTTCAAGCGATACTTTGTGAGTGATGCAGAGACGGAGCAGCTCATGACGCGATTATCGAGAGACTTGCCTGTTTTAAAGACAACGTACGATTCACTACCTAGAATCATGCAGCTTGACTATCTGCGTACAGCTGCATTGTTCAAGGATGGTGGAGTGTATGCGGACTTTGATACGATGTGTTACCAGCCTGTTGAAAGCTGGCTCAAGCTGTGTGGGGACGAGAAACACACACCTGGGTTTGCAGTGGGCATTGACATGGACCTTGAAGGTGATTTGAACTTTGATCAAGTGGATGGTCGTCAGTTGTTACTCTCAGATTACATCTGGGTGGCGAGAAAGGGACATCCCATCCTCAGAGACTTATTGAGAGACATGACAATCGATTCACCGCAATGGCCACACGAAGCAACACCAGGAAATGTAAGCGATGTGCGTGCATGGACAGGTCGTGTGCGTTTCACAGATACGGTGATTCGGCATGTTCAAAAGTCAGTCAAGGGATTCTCAGCACAGAAACTACATGGTCTCAAGGAAGCGAAGATGTTTGGGGATGTTTGTGTGTTTGAGATTGCTGCGTTTGGGTCTGGTCAGCGCAAGTTTGGCAATTCCCCAGAGACTGAGCCGGGCAACAAGCGTATCTTGGCGAAGCACTATTTTATGCGGTCATGGGAGAAGTAGCCAGGATTCAGTAGCTGTAATCTGTACGATATGCACCCAATCTGGCCCCATGATCACACTGTGCGCAGCAATACTGAGTAAATGAGCCCAGAGAGTGAGACTACGTCAGAATGCCATGGCTCGCGTTAATTGTGCTCCATGCAAGCGAGATCTGGCATCGGGCGTCTGCTGTTTCGAGAAATGCAGGGAGAAAAAGGGATGAACGCTCACCACCTCCCACTGCCAAGGACTCGATTTTGTTTGCCCACAGAAAAGAGACACACAAACTTCGCATTCCCCTGCTGAAACACCAGCGCACATCAGAAACAAGGGAGACACACCACACGTCCTGCAGGGTGCAGAGGCAGCACAGGCTCCGTATCACTGGGCAACATAAGCAGACAGGTACACAGCATCCAAGTCTGGTCCGTGGGCCTGCTTGACTGCTCATTGGGCATACACCGCCCATTCGCGTTCTGGATACACCTTCTTTAGTCGCGATTGACTCTCTTTTCCCCGGTCTGCCATCTGTGCAAGACCTCCATTGTCTGGAAGCATCCATCCTAGAACAGCAAGGACCACCAGAGACGGCGAAGCGACGACTTGGCCACACCACTCGACGCGCAACCGACTAAAACCATGGAGCGACCAAAATTGGGCGTGCAGCTATTCAAGGTCGTGACAATCCTCCTCACCCTCTATGGCCTGTTTTACTTGTCCTTCTATGTACGGCAGAATCAAATACCAGCGCGTGCCATGATACCAGATGGACAGGCACCCGTGGAAGTGGCTATTGTCGAAGAAACAGCTCCCTCAGGCACACCATTTCGATCGCTCGTCCACATTGAAGCAGAGTCAAAGGATCTAGCGAGCTTCGAGGGAAGACGGCTGCCGCACGATACACATGTCAACGCGACGCGCATACTCGATGGCTGCAAGGGGAATGGCTCAACAGGCTGGCGCAATACGCGGGGTTGCGTCGACTTTTTGCGCTTCCAAGAGGACCAATATCTGGTGATCCCAGCGAAAAGTGCTTCAGCGTGCACAGAAACGGTCAAATACCATACTTACTGGCGTGGCAAGCTGACGTGGCGCGTGGAATTTATGATCAAGTCATGGTTATACACACAAAATCTAGAATGCAGCGAGCTTCATTTGTGGCTAGATGCGGATTATGATCCAGAGATTGTTGAGACGGCAAAGGCATCCTCAATCTACAATGCATTGCGGCCAATTGTCGACAGCGGTCTCCTCATTGTACGAGAGTGGAAGTATCCTTCATTCGTGCATATCGCCCCCGAGCATCAAGAAGAGGACTTCTTTGGCGAGACTCAGCTACACTTCCGGCGACACCACATCCCTACGGGCGCAGTCGCAGTGAGCGATTCCTTCCGTTTCATTGTGCTGCATCAAGAGGGTGGTCTGTACATTGATATGGATACCATGTTTCTCAAGGATTTCCGGCCATTGCTCGCAACGTCCGACCTTGCTTTTGCTGAGCGTTGGGGCGTACACAACGACGTATCAGAGTACAACACAGCCTACCTACGACTCCAAGCAAACTCTTCACTCTCAGCACACATCATCCAAGGTGCCGTCAAGATGGGCATGAACTTTCACCCACGCGCTATTGGACGCATGCTCGTTCGCAGCGGTCGTGTCGAGGAGCTTGTCATGTTTGAGACAGGTCTCTTTGATCCACTTTGGTCGGAATTCGATCGTGGACGCGTTGGACGATGCTGTGCGCCGTGTCTCACTTCCTTTACAGAGTTCTTCCAACCAGGCCGGATTCGCAATGAATGGAATACGCTTGATCAGGAATACAACAAGATGGCCGCTGCTGACCGGCATGCCATGTTGGGCAGTGCTAGCTCGGCATTGATCCCAGCAGAGCCGTCATATAACCGCACACTGAGTAACTTCTACAGGGGTGCATACACGCATCACATTCACAATCAGTGGTCCAAGCTACCTGTTCCTGGAAGTTGGGCGTGGGTTGCTGATACGACCTACAACCAGTTTCTCTCAAAACAGCGCGTCAACCCGTACGGTGAAATGTGGACAGGACCGGCGCTGGAGTTTATGAGACGAACACGCTAAGTGCAAGTCTTCGTGCCTGCTTCCTTGATAGAAGATTTAGAATATGTACAACAGGACGATAGCATGCTTATGCAAGCCTATTTCGAGGGTGTTTGGCACTGTTTGCCATCTCGCTGTCTCCAGTCACATGCAAGTTGCTGCAACTCCCGAAACTGCGCAAAATGACGTTTGGTCATTTCGATTCACGCGTACGAGGAACAGCTTCTTGAATGTCGGAAGGCAACAGCTCCTCTACCTAAGACTACTTTACTCGTTGTACTATTGCTTCAAGCTGTCGCTGTAAAGCGCATGGAAGAATTTGCTGTAGCAGGCGTCGTACCCGCCGAGGCACTTGTTGACGCTGCATCAGACAAAGAGAAGAGGTCACCGCGCAAGTCAACACGCTCGCGTCATCCCTACCTCTCCGGCAACTACTGGCCGCAACCGCGGGAGCTACATCTTGTGCCTTGTACTGTAGAAGGACAGATCCCAGCTTGTCTTGCTGGCGGACAATTTGTACGCAATGGTCCGAATGCTGCATTGCCACCGGCCGAGGGTGAGAACTATCACATGTTTGACGGAGATGGCATGATTCATGGCGTTTACTTTCAAGAACAAGCGGATGGGAATGTAGTTCCGCTATACATCAACAAGTATGTCAGAACAGACATTTTCCTTGCAAGCAGCTACTGGGGCCTCAACCTTCTGCCGAGTATCGCATCGCTGATTGATCCTCTTTCCACAACAGTGAGGATTCTGCAGTCTATCATCAGATCAGGCGCGATAGCGTTCCTCTCTGGCTCAACGCGTCTGTCAACAGCAAACACTTCTCTTGTCTTTCACGATCGTCGACTCTTGGCGACCTGCGAGAGTGGTCCACCGATGCACGTCAACGCGCCAGAATTAGAGACGATTGACTGGCATACCTTCCCAGACGACGCTGGCCGTGGTCTCTCTCGTGTTCAAGGTAGTTCGAGCGAGTGGATTACCGGCCATCCAAAAGTTGATCCCGTCAGTGGCGAATTGCTCATGTTTGGGTACGACATTTTTCAGCTCTTCAATCCACACATACGACTCTCCATCCTCGACAGCCAGGGTGTTCACAAACACTTTCAGAAGCCGGTCTATCTGCAATCTGCAAAACCCAAAATGATGCATGACTTTGCCATCACACAAAAGCATGTGCTTATCATGGATCTGCCACTCACAATGTCCCCGTTCAATGTGGCAACCGCGAAACCGATGCTATTCTTTGATGCTAATCTCATTTCCAAATTTGGAGTCCTTCAACGAGATGACCCAGATCAGATCGTTTGGTTCGAAACTGAGAGCTGCATGATCTTCCACACCGTCAATGCATGGGACGACTACAACGAAGCTGGCCAACTGGTTGCCTTCTGCCTTGTTGCCTGTCGCTTCAAGGGCGCGAAGTTGGTCTATGCTGCTGGTGCGATAGAGATGCCACAGACTGGAGAAGATGTGGTTCACTTGTACTACTACCGATTCGACTTGACAACACACAAAATCAGCCACGAATACGCTTTGTGCGATTTTCCCATCGAGTATCCTTCCATCAATACACAAAAGCTCAGCTTGCGCAATCAATATGCATATGGGGCGAGTATGCGCGAAGGTAGTTTCGACACAGCCTTGAATGGCGCTCAAATTGATGTCATTGTCAAGTGCGATATACAGGCGTTGATTCAAGAGCCACCTACCGGTGTGAAGGTGGCGACGTCCAATGCGCCGCCAAAAATGAAGCATGTTACAACTCTACTATTGCCACAAGGCTGTTATGCGAGCGAGGCGACATTTGTCTCGAGAGACCCTGCTGACAAAACACTCGACGAAGACGATGGCTACCTGCTTCTACACGTGTATGACGAAACTACACAAGATGAGTATGGTGATGCCCCTGATGATATCGGGTCGGAAGTCTGGGTCGTTTGCGCGAAGACCCTGATTCTCCCGCCATTGGCAAAGATCAAGCTACCCCAACGCGTTCCATATGGCTTGCACGGATTATGGGTTTCTGGTCAACAGATTGCGCTTCAACGTGATGCCACGTTCAACACCAAGACCGGAACCATGCAATCGACAAGAGCTACGCGCGATCAGACATCTGTGTCGCTCATTGCCAGTTTCTACAAATGGTCCGCTATTTGGGCTGGAAAGTCGGCTCTCCATGGCGTCTCTAATGGAAGATTCGCCATCAGCATGTTGTTGTCCGCTGTGCTGGCGGTGTTGTTGACATACCGAGCGTTGACTATACTGCTTCAAGCAATGAAGCATCTGACCTGTACGGTCTGAACTTATAACTACATATTTCCAACACATAATTGTATTTGATAAGCGTAGATTGGCACTGATGGCAGTTGAGCTACTTTTCTCCTACCTTTGACCTCTGTACAAGACCGGGTGATCAGGGCCGTTGCCACTGATGTCGACTAGTGCATATGAGGTAGAGCAGATAGCACAATCAGGGACAACTATGACCAAGAACGAGACTATCAAGCCCTACTGTATCCTGTCGCTCGTAAGCACTATTTGTAGCTTACACCCATTTGCAACACTGCGTTGTGGCCGAGGCTGAAGGGGGTGTCGCGTTTGTCGCATCTGAATCATGTCACTCGCGCGGCCCACCGCCTACTGCATCATGGCCTAGCTTGGTTGTTGGTTGTACTTGCTTGAGTACTTGAGCGACCTGCGAACTTCTCTTCTGTCAACAACGTCGTCCTGCCCGATTCATCTCTCAATAAGAACGTCTGCTTCTGAATCGCGTTGCACTGAGCATCAAGCAGCACGACCCGAGTGGGCCTATCGCTTGAGGTGCGGGCAGGCTCTGCTTCGCTACAACCTCATGACGCTCTATCCACCAGCAGATCTACGGCTCTCTATTGAAGATGACACAGAAGAATGCCCGGGAGAGCAATACGATCAGCACGATGACGACCATACATCAGGAAGCATGGCAGAAGGGAAGCGTCGACGCATAACGAAAGCGTGTGAGTAAGTGTCAATCGCGAAGAATCAATAGCCCTCTTCTGACCTTACACAGTCGTTGCCGATTGAAGAAGGTGCGATTTGATGTATGGTCACATTTCGCGCGTTGACGGACTAACTAATCTGATAGGGAGAGACTCCATGCAGCAATTGCCTGCTTTACAGCAAGATGTGCCATTTTACAACCGTTGTCAAGAAGAGAGCAATATCGCGCACTGTTAAATACACCCAGGATCTTGAAACCAGACTAGGCAAGATGGAAATCCTTCTCAAACGGTTCTTGCCCGACTTCGAAATGACGGATGAAGCTATCGATGAGGCAATTCAGAAGAGAGCCCTAACTCGTGCCTCGCTGCAGTCGCCCAGGTCTTCTGGTTGCGACAAGGACGTCTCGGATGAGGATGTATCTTGCTCCCACATCAGGTCCTCACAAATCTCCGACGACGAGTTGGCGCAGAAGATGGGTCACTTGTGGCATGACAACGAATCAGAGTACGAGGATGCCCAATATTCAGGGGCCGCATCCAGCTATGCTCCTCTCGTGGACGTGCGCAAGACCACTCATAATTTGACAGGCAACGATTTCTTTGCAAAACGCTTCAACGGCTATCGACAGCGCCTGAATGAGCAGGAACGCATCATGTGGCAAAAAATGGATTCGTTGCTTGATGTCAGCGCAAACAAGAAGGTTGAACAATTTCTTGCGTCTGTTCCGGGCCCAAGAGCCTGCAAGCGCTACGTTGATTGCTACTTCTCAACATTCCATGCAGAATTTGCTTGCATCGACCAGCGCCATTTCATGAGCTCGCTTGACCATACCACGTGGCAACCAAAGAAATTACAGGATATGTCTTTCCTGAGTCTATACCTCCTGGTACTATCTTTTGGGCTGCAACTTAGTAAACAAGGGACCCTCGTGAACAAGAACTTCCTCGAGGGATTTGAGGCCCTGGTCTGGTTCAATCTCGCCAGGAGCATTATATTCAACTTCAGGGAATATGGCAATTTCACTTATCTTCAATGTACGATCCTGTTTGCTCTCTATCTCGAGCGACTTGGGCATAGAAAAGAGCTGTGGATACTTGGTGACCTCCTTGTGAGGAATGCGCAGCTCATGGGTTTGCACCGTCGCTTTGAGGACCCTTGCATGAGTTCGAGGACGAAGGAGGTGCGTAAGCGGTGTTGGTGGATTATCTATGAACTCGATGACCGTTTGACGTCAGTGAGTGGCAATCCGACTGCTGTCAACGATCTTGAATGTGACCAAGAGCTTCCGGCGCTCACAGAAGAGGAGATTGCAGACTACCATGGTGTGCGCTTCAAGGATGGGCAGCCATTCAGCTGCCTTGTTGCGAATATACAGCTTACTCAAATCAACCACCAGATCCGACGGAAGCTGTACAGTGTGGATGCGATTCAGCATTTGTCGTCAGAACAGGTCCAACAAATCGTTGACGAGATCGACGTCCAGCTTCTTGCCTTTGCCGAAAATCTGCCAGATGAACACAGACCAGGAGACAGCCGCGAAACAAGACAACAGCCCCGACATGCTGAGGAACACATTCGGAACTTCATCGATAAAGATACTGCTTTCAAGCGTAGTCTTGTTCGAGAGTGCTACCTGATTCCGGGTCTGCGTCTTGCATATCTTCAAACTGTCATGCTTCTACATCGTCGCAATGCACAGCCTTCTGATTCAACAAAGTCTGATCAACATGACAAGTCGCTTCCTGCCAATCCAGATTTCAATTTGTCCGAACGTGCCTCATCAGCTTACTCGTCACGTTCAATCACTATGCAAGCAGCTCGTGCAATCATATATGAGCTCTGCAATCGTGTGCCGTTCATCATGACAACTTTGACAAACGCGCACATACTGTTGGCGCGATTCGCTCAGCCGGCCTCCTTGGTGATCTTCAATGATATCATTCGGCATCCATCATCATCCTCTGCGCTAGCAGATCTGGATTTGCTTAGTTCAATACATACAGCCTTCGTCGAACATCACGCAAGGTTTCCACCGGCTGAAGATGACAACATTCCGAGACAAATGCAATCTGGCCTCATGACACGAATCATGCCTGAGGCTCTTGGAGAATTATATGGAGTCGCTGCGTTGATGATTAAGCAGGCAGAGTTGTCACGGTCCGCTGACAGACCTGGGACTGTGAGTTGCAACGACCCACCTCTTTTCGCAGATCTGCAGGCCTTGCTCCAATCTGGCCAGGCGACTGATCCACGCTACTTTGGTCAGGACGGATTTGATCAGATGGCGGCGCACCTGACGTGGGCACCAAGCTTGGATCATCTCGCTGAGTCTGATCAGCCATATCGCCATGACTGGTCAGCATTTCGCACATACGGTCATGCCCGTGAGGGCTGCGACGGCCAAATATTTTCTGACACGACACAACTCACTAATCTTGCCACCCCGTACGAGTCTTCTGCTGGTCTTGCAGTTTCATCTTTTACTGGTGATGACCAGTCGCAACAAGCGATCACTGGACACTTACAGCAGCATGTACAGAAGCCTTTTGCTGGCAATAGTCAGCCGCAAACTATGGCTGGCACGCTTCGAGATGACAATGATGTTCAAAATCTCTGGCACACCTTCTACTCCTATCAGCAACAATAGAATGAGCGCTTGCCTGTCTTTTCTTGTCTAATTGACCAGCTTCTGTTGAAAGCAAATGTAGGTAGAAGTAATTGCATGATATATATTGCCAACCCATCTCGCAGAGTGTCCATGACTCCCAGCGGCGCCTCTTTCACTCGCTAACATGCAGACGACAACTACTGCGTCCTTCGCTCCGGCTGGGCTCTAACGCCTGTATGGAGCTCGTAGCTTTCAATGAGAAGCAAAAGGCTATTGTCAAGCATGCCCAAAGCTCGTACAAAAAGGGCAAAAGGCCTGCGCAAGTTCTTGATGAGGACATCTATGTGGACAGCTTGTCGCACATTATCAAGCGCGACTTTTTTCCAGGTCTTGAAACTCACTCGAGTAGTCAGATAGAAGATTCTCGACACAGCGGTAGTATTAGACCGTCTAGCACACGAATGCGCACGCCTCACTTTGCTCAAGAGGTTACCACCGATGAGGCTCCGGGAAACAGTGACAAGCGACCAGCTTCATCTCTCTCTCTTGACCGCTTTCAAGCTCGCTATACCAGTGAAGACAATGCTTCATTTCAAGAGATTCTGGACGAAGGCAACCTTGCTCGAAGGGAGAAGTACTCTTGGCTATACAAGGACAACAAAACTTATTCAGTCAATACTGAATATCACGAAGAGCGACAGGCCTTGCAAGTCGAAGCTCAAGAAAAGCAACTTGTCAAATCATCAGACAGGCAGTCCATTCGTCATTCGCATCCTCGCAATGCTCTCATGTTCACGCATACTGGATTAGATCCCGACGATGAACAATCGTTGCAAGTTTCGCATCAACCGCAAATCAATCATGCCGCGACAGCACTTCCCGATGCGACCAAAACCTCGGCTCCAGGGAGCCCGTCGGCAAGCCTTATTGAGCGTGCCATTCAGGGCGATGTCGAGCCAGATGAACCACATGTAGGTGGCTTCACTTTTGTTGCGACACCATTGCCGCAAGCACAAAATCGCAAGCCATTTGAAGCAGAGAATCAGACCCGTGGAGGTGCATTCAAGCTGCCTGAAGCGCATCCGCACGAAGCGACGCTTGATCGGTTGACGAGAGATATCAAGCGCAAGGGTAGCCAGACGCCCAAGGCTTCTCCACTTGCTCGCCTTTCGAACGCAACTCCAAAATTCAAAAGCAGCCCAGTGGTCAGACGGTCCATGTTGACTCCTGCCGCTAGCAGAATGCTGGGCAAACAGGGTTCCAGCTCTCTTCGAGACAGTCTGACCACCCCTAAAACAAGACCTCATTGATGACCTCATGGTGCGCTCGAGCGAGTTTCTACGTGGCCATCTGAAATATGCATGCTGGCTAATTTCTGAAGACCGCACCGATTTGTTCGGCGTCCAGCCGCGTCCTTCTGCATGACTGGCCATTACCTAGGAAGCTCAAGCTTGGCTCTGTATCATTCGCTGCAGCTGTTCGGTAAGAGGATCTAATCAGCGTCGATTTTGTCATTGATCTCTTGGCATACCAACTCGTCGGTATTGCCGGCAGAAACTAAGCGCGTTCCCCACAATTCATCGCGATCGCGAGTCTCAATCAATTGCATTGTTGCAACCAGTACTATACCTTGCTCTGTCCTCGACCGCTACCACTGAATGCCTTCCCTACTGACCAAGGTCGCCATCGGAGCACTAGGAGCAGCCTATCTCGATGCCAAATTATTCCTTGCTGCCGATATGCGCAAAATTTTGGAAGGCTATACTAGCCTAAAGGGAGCAAAAGCAGTGGTCGAAGCTGAGCGCGACCATTGCTCGGCTTACCAGGCCATCGATCTCCTTCCAAGGGACCGCGATAATGAGGAAGCCATGGCTTTTGAGGGGCGTCGATGGACACGATCGCAAATGCGAAGACAAATTGCACGCATAGGCAACGAGTTACTCGCAAAGGGCATTAAGAACCGTGACAACGTTGTCGTACTGCTCAATAACAGCCCTGAGTTTGTCTTCCTCTTCTGGGCCATGCTCAGGCTTGGTATCATTCCTGTACTTGTTAATACTTCACTTGGAAAAGACCGGCTGCGCAGCTGTGTGGTCATGACGCATCCAGTCGCCGTCATCACTAGCTACGAGTTGCTTGGTGGCCTGGTTGAGTCGTTGCAAAACGACGAGCTGCTGTCCAAGGTGATCGTCTACGATTACAATACTTATCCGGCAAGCCCTTTCGATCATGTCATTGTGCACGATCAGCTACCAGACAATGACAGCGGAGATGTATGGGTCAAGCCGAGCGTCAAGAAACATGAAACGGCCATGATGCTGTTCACGTCCGGCTCTACAGGCCTCCCCAAAGCCTCTTCTATCCCAGCTCATTTTACGCTGATGTGTAGCTTGCGACAGGAATTCTTGACCGACGACACAATGTATCTGTGCCTGCCACTATTTCATGGTACAGCAACGCTCATCGGCCTGATCGGGGCAACCTCCTCTCGTCTAGTCCTCGCACGCCGATTCTCAAGCCGTCAATTTTGGCAAGATGTGCGAGCAGAGCGCTGCACAGTCACCCTGTACATTGGCGAGATGATTCGCTACCTACTTCAGCAGCCTGAAAATCCTCTTGATAGCAAGAACGACATGCGCATGTTTTATGGACTCGGGCTTGGCTCGCCAAGTGACTGGAATGAGTTTCGTCGCCGATTCGATATTCCATGTATTGTCGAGTATTACGGTTCAACGGAGGGGACTGGAACTTTCACCAATCGCAACTATAATAGCCTTGGCGCTGGTAAATGTGGCCACAAAGGTCCATTACTTCGTGCCATTGATAGCCGAGTCATTCTCGTGCGGCACGATCTGGCCACCGGCGAGCTCATTCGGGAAAAAGATGGCCTTTGTCGCAAAGTAGCTCTCAACGAACCTGGTGAGGCTTTGACAATGGTTGACGACCTCTTTCGACCACACGACTACTGGGACAATGCAAAGGCCAATAATGAAAAGGTCGTGCGCAATGTTCTCAAACAAGGCGATGCCTATGTGCGCATGGGCGATCTCTTAGCTTACGACAATGACGGGTTTGTTGGCTATCTGGACAGACTTGGCGATTCATATCGTGTTAAAGGCCACAATGTCTCGACCACAGAAATCGAGGTTGTCATTCGACGCCATCCGTTACTCGAGACTGCCAGTGTCTATCCAATCAAGAATCAAGGCATGATGGCTCTGGTGTTCAAGCAAGGAACCGATCCAGAGGCTTACTCAAGTGCCGTCAACGGTATGGAAGCATTTATGCGTGAGGCGGGCTTACCAGCATATATGCTACCGCGCTACTGCCGCGTCGTCGATCAAGTAGACGTGACTTCGACTTTCAAGATGGTGAAGGTGGCGCTCAAGGCGGCGGGTACAGAAGGGGACCATGTATATGAGCTTTCAAGAGGCAACGGCTACAAACCACTTGCTTCCGCCAAACTGTAGATGCTAGATATGCTAGATTCGATATCTTGCCATCACCAGAACAGCGAGGCAGAAAAGACAACGTCCCTCTTGATGAGCTCCCTGCAAGTCTCTAGCTTCGTGTACATGGCCGCATCACCAACCGTCTTTGCTGCACTCTGGCACTCTCTGAGCACCTCGTCTAGGCGAACAATGCAACGAACGATCGTCCCCTCGAGCACATCCGTCAATTCAGTAATCTGACCAAAAGAAAGTCCTCGTGCCCATTCGTAGCAGACTTCCATAAGCCCAAAGCGTGGGCTATCTTCAAAGTTATCACCGGAACCAGCTGTCAAGACTTGATGATGTTCTTGCACTTCGTTCACCCGCCTAGCCATGGCGATGACCATGTCTTTGCCTTGTTGTAGGTGAGGCGTAAGGTTTGGCTCATTATCAGTGCGCTCTTCAAACACGAAAGCAGAAAGCAGGGCTACAATCTCTTCGCATTCAAACTCGGCAAGAGCATTGTCGAGGATCAGCTCAGTGAGGATGAGTTCATGTGCAGAGTTGATTTCGCATGCGACACGGCCTTTCAATTGAACAGCATGCGTAGCATCAATAAAGCCTAGATCCTGCAGGACCATGACCCGCTGCTCATAGTCCGGCAGGAGTTCGAGATTTTGATTTGACAAGTTGGACTTGAGCAAAAGAATCTGTTGATTGAGCATGTACTCTTCCTGGCAGAACCGATATTGCTTCACAAGGTCTTCTTCTTGCAATGCTTGGCTTGTCTCAATCTCGAAACGCAAGGCTTCCAGTGCCTTGAGCTGTTCGCCAAAGTTCAAATCGCGAATCTTGGTCATATCCATTGCATCCAGCGCTGGATCTTGCATGTCACTCATGCCGATCATCTGTTCCTGTGCAGCATCCCAAGCGGATTTGATCCGCTGTCTTATAGCCATAGGATCTAACTTCAGGACTGTCTTTGTCATCCAGTTGATGGCAGACATGGGAACAATGTCAAGCTGCAAACCTTCAACAGTTAACTTGTGCATAGCATGTCGGAGCACAGGCACAAATGGAAGCAAGTCGCTTTCCCGCTTGCCGCCCGTTTTTTTAGCGAGCAGAACAGTAAATGTACGCTCTCTTGGGGTTGAGGTAGAGGCTTCGCCAACGAGAACAGCCAACGTGCGAGGTGCGTCAGCCGTCTGAACGACAATCACGCGACCAGCGCCAAAGTATCGTCGACCAGCATGTTGATAGGCCAGCGGAAACAGCTTACTTTGCAGTTCTTGAAAGCGGATGCAGGCATCATGCAATTTGCGAACCGCAGGTTTGATTTGTTCGCCTCTTTCGCTTTGCAAGAGTGTCAACTTCTTTTGAGAAGCCTCCACCAGGCGTTGCTGCTCAGGGAGAAGCGTCTGACTAGCATTCTCACTGAAGGACCTCCGAATCATTTCTTCAATCTGCAAAGTCTCTACACGCAAAAGATTCAAGATCATGTTGTACGTCAACCTGAATTGACTCGAAAGCTTAAAGGGCTGACCAAGAAGCATGGTTGACAGGGTCGACTGATCAGGCGCTTCATCGCCACAAGCAATGATGACTGTACCTGTTGGGTCAAGGCCTCGACGACCGGCACGGCCGGCCATTTGTGTGTATTCTCCAGGCGTCAAGTCGCGGAAACCATGACCATCATGCTTCCGAACACCGGAAAAGACGACAGACTTGGCAGGCATGTTGACACCCATGGCAAACGTTTCTGTCGCAAACAAGACTTTCACCAGAGTGCGTGAAAACAGAATTTCGACCATTTCCTTGACAATGGGCAATAGTCCTCCATGATGCACAGCGATACCACGCGACAGCAGTTCCTTCATGCGAATGATTTGTGGCAAGGATCGGTCTTCGAAGCGCAAGCGAGCCAATGCTTTCTCAATCGTGATGTGAATCTGACTCTTCTCCACGGATGTGCAAAGATCAATGTTGGAGAGAATGCCAGCATTCTCCTCGCATCGCTTTTTGCTAAAGACAAAGATGACACAGGGTAGCAGCTTAGCCTTGTTGAGATGTCCAACCAGGTGGATCCATATGTTACGATCGTGCCGTTCCATTGTTTTCATGGTACCACCCCGAACGAAAGGCTGAGTACCACCACGCGTAGCAGCGCCGCCGCGAGCCTGACCGGAGCCACGATTGGCACCTCGTCCACGACCTGTCGCTACAACAGGTTTCGCCTCCTTGTTTCGCACAAGTGCACCCGTTGCCTCTTTATAGCCAATTGCATTCCACTTTTTGTCTGCATCAACAATCTTGAACATCTTTTTGTTTGCATAGAGATAGTGCTCGAGTGGAATAGGACGCTTCAATGTTGAAATCACATAGATGTCCTTTTGCTTTGTTCTGCCAACCCAATTGGCAAACTCAAAGGTGTTGGGTACAGTAGCCGATAGTAAGATGAGCGTAATATGCTCAGGCAGCATGATGATGACTTCCTCCCAAACGACACCACGTTCTTGATCATTGACGTAGTGTACCTCATCAAAGATGACGAACTCGACGTCTCGGATGAGGTCAGCTCCACGGTATAGCATGGACCGCAGAATTTCAGTCGTCATGATGAGGCAGGTGGCTTCTGGGTTGAGCTGGACATCTCCCGTAAGAATACCGACACTATCAAAAGTCTGGCGGAAATCTCGATACTTTTGATTCGACAGGGCCTTGATAGGTGATGTGTAGATAGCACGCGTCATGTGCTTCTCTGCAAGCGCAATGGCATACTCTGCCACAACAGTCTTTCCAGCTGATGTATGTGCCGCCACAAAGACGCACTCTGCCTGCTCCAGGTGATACACTGCCTCTTTCTGAAAGGTATCGAGCTCAAAGGGATGCTCATACGCCAACTCTGGCACCAATTCCCGGAAATTGTCCATCGGTCGGTTGACATCGACCATGTGCGCCCACAACTTTTCCTTGGGCTTCCTGATCCGCGTCGCTGGCTGCAGTGTCGGCATTGTGATTTCTGCTGGTAAGAAGTCATCCACCTCTTCAACTGCCGAGGTCTCGGGCTCCGGTGTCTTTCCACCCGGCGAAGAGCGTTCAGCTTGCTTGATGCTTTTGAGCATGGGTAGATCCCATTTGGTGAAGTCGGGACCAGATTCCCCATCCTTCGCCGGTATTTCAACGGTTGGCATGCCGGGAGCTTGGTTTCTATAGCTGAGATCATTGATGGATAGTTGAGCAAGCTTTTCGGCATTGTCTAACTGCTTACTGATTGTCGCATCAATTGCAAGGCCACCAGGCGCAAAGGGAAAGAAGTTGCCTTTGCCCCGTACGAATGCATCTCTTGGAGCTGGTTCTCGTCGAAAAGATGAACTGTTGTCAGGTCTGAGACTATTGATAGGTTCTAGCTTTTCTTCATGCCCGACAATCTCGCCACTGAGTCCACGTCTTTTGAACTTGAGTGTCCGCTTAAGAGACAGATCTGGGATATGGAAGAGGTCAAGAGATGTAGGTTCATAAGACCAGACCGATTGTAGCTGCTGCAAAAGCGAGTCATTAAATTTTGTGGGTGGTCTCAAGAAATGAGCTTCGACCTGTTTTCGGACAGTCTCTGGTGTTTTATCTATGCTCTGAGGTGTCAAGATATCAGCTGAAAGGTCATCTCTACGCTGCTGGAAGAGCTTGATTGCATTTTCCTGCTCACTCATTCGGCAGCGAGTGGTGATGGGATGTCTGCTGCTGCTTGAAGTGAAAGACGTCAGTTGGCGCAGAAGATTCACATGCGCCACAGGAGCGACATGGTCGGGCAAACGCGACTCTTGAGCACAGATATAAAGTGTCTTGTCTTCTGCAGTCCGGCAATACACAATGGATGCAGCAGATAGTCAATTGAACCTTGCACTAAGCCAGATTGACAAACTGTTCGAGCCGAGTCCAGCATTGCGCATCCTTCTCAGTGCCAATGAAGAGGCTCTCTTGCAAGAGTCTGACAATGGCAAAGCTACGCCTGATCTGATCGCCTACATAGCCAAACAATTACGTGCCATCAAGGGCCGCAAAGAGCTGGATGAGATATTGAATGCGCATCCACGACTAGGTGCCAAGAAGGTGGACTCGGACAGTTCAAAAGCAGAACAAGCATCCCTGCAGGGCTCTTCCGAGGAGGCAGAAAGACTAGGCAAGCTGAATGACAAGTATGAGGCGGCCTTCCCCGGTTTGCGCTACGTGGTGTTTGTCAATGGGCGGTCGCGTGATGTGATTATGGCAGACATGGAGCGGCGGATCAAGGCAGGGAATCGAGAGGCAGAGGTGGAGACGAGTATTCAGGCGATGCAGGACATAGCGATGGACAGGCTACGCTCTTTGTAATTGCTGGTGCGGTGGAGTGCTTCAAATCTGATAAATGCGGGAAGATTAGAACTACGCGCTTGACAGATCTGAAAACAAGCAGCTGCTACAACCTCGCGATGAGCAACGGGAAATGAGAAGAGCATGGCAACATCCTATGCGCCGCTCGTCGATCCGCTAGGCTCCGTTCGAAGCTACGGTGCCGCTATATCCAGGCGAACGCGCACCGCCTCCATGGATGCGCAGCGCACACTCCGCGAAACACCCTCTATCATCAACTTTCACCCTAGTCGACGGACTAAACCACGTTCGCAGTCTGAATCTTATGAAGCTTATGAACCATTGAGGCGGCAGAGTCTTGCGACGTCAGTTGCTTCAAGCGACAATGCTGAGGAAGCACTACTAAGTGATGAGGAGCTGCTGGATGATACAGAAGAAGGTGCGCTGTTGCTCGATGACAGCCCATACGCTGAAGTGCGTGCGTGCGTCAGCAATCAAGACGATCATACCTTACAAGCGGACACGATGCGCATGTGGTGTCTTGCACTCGCCTTTGTCGTGACTGGAAGTGCTGTCAATCTGTTTTTCTCCCTCAGATTCCCAGCCGTGGCCATTACAGCACTATTGGCCCAATTATTGTCGCATCCTATAGGAATCGCGTGGACTCGGTATATGCCGGACATCACGATTCCCCTCATCCATGTTCGAGTCAATGACCCGGACCATCCTTGGAACGTAAAGGAACACACATGTGTCTTTGTCGCTGCCAACGTCTCATTTGCATTTGCATTCGCAACAGATGTCTTGACGGAACAGATCAAATTTTATGGCATGAAGCCGTCGCTCAGTTACTCAATTGCACTGGTCATTTCGACACAAGTCATCGGCTATACATTTGCTGGGCTTACACGGCATTGGCTAGTCACGCCGAGTTCCATGATTTGGCCAGCGACTCTGGTCAATTGTGCTCTCTTCCAAGTGCTACATCCTCAACGTCTTGGTGCAGGCGAACACATCAGCCTCGACTCGCAATCCACTACAAAAGAAGGTGGGCTAACACGGACGCGCTTCTTTGTCTTGCTCTGTGGTGCGGCATTCCTGTGGGCTTTCGTGCCGTCCTTCTTTGTCCCTGGCTTGAGCTACTTTGGCATAGTCACTTGGTTCTTTCCGAAGCAAAAGACCATCAATACCATCTTCGGTGTTCGGAGTGGCATGGGCATATTGCCGTTTACCTTTGACTGGGCACAAATCTCCTTCACCGGTTCTCCCATCCTTGTTCCAGCCTGGGCAGCCCTCAACGCCCTCTTTGGTGTAGCGTGTATGCTGTGGATCATGGCACCGCTCCTTTATTTTACCAATTCCTTTGGCTCTGCATTTTTGCCCTTTGCAGACAGTAATGTCTTTGACAATACGGCACAGCACTACAACGTCTCCCGCATCATTACCCCTGAGGTGACATTTTCAAAGGAAGCTTATGAAGCGTATTCGCCACTTTATCTGACAGCGTCATACATCATGAGCTACGTGGCAGCGTTTGCTAGCTTGTCAGCACTTGTCGTTCACTGCTATCTTTTTTACAAGGACGACATTATCCGTCAATGGCAAGCCAGCAAAACAGAATTGAGTAGTCGCACGGGAGATGTTCATTCACGTCTGATGAGACGGTATCCAGATGTCGACAACCGTGCCTACCTGGCCATCTTTGTCCTTTGTCTGCTCTTGGCTCTTTGGGTTGTTGCCCATGAATTTGTTGGATTGCCGTGGTATGGGCTCCTATTGGCGCTGTGTCTGTGTGGCGTGTTTTTCGTACCGACAGGCATCATCTCTGCGATTGCAGCGCAAAACACATCCACGGCACTGCTCTGCCAATTAATTTGTGGTGTTGTCTTTCCCGGTCGTCCGATTGCCAATCTGGTCTTTCTCAACTTTGGCTATGTTTCCGGCATGCAAGGGATTCGCTTTGCGTCAGACATGAAGATTGGCGCGTACATGAAGATTCCACCGAGGTTGTTGTTCAAAGTACAGTTGATTGCAACGCTTCTCGGCTCACTCGTACAAGTTGGCGTTCTCAAGTTTTTGCTCGCTTCAGTACCGAATATCTGTACGATGGATGCACCGAATGGATTGACCTGTCCTATTGCACGCATCCATTTCAACTCCTCCATCATTTGGGGACTCATTGGACCAGGCCGTTTATTTGGACGTGATGCACTCTACAGACCCATCATGTATGCCTTTGCACTTGGTGCAATCTTGCCGATTCCCATCTACTATATGAGTCGACGTAGCAAGGGCAAGGACTCGGTTTGGAATTACTGTAATGTACCAGTGATGCTCAGTGCAATGACATGGGTCCCACCTGCTGGTGGCCTCAATTTCTCATCTTGGGCACTTGTTGGGTATCTAAGTAATCACGTCTTGAAGAGGCGACGCCCTGATCTATGGGGTAAGTACAATTTTGTGGCCTCTGCAGCATTGGATATGGGCTTAGCATCTGCATTGGTTGTTGGGTTTTTCAGCTTGGTGTATACGAATGTGCTGAAGGACTATGGGCTGGAGTTTGGAAAGCAGGTGTACAAGCAGACGTGTGACTGGCAAGGATGTACGCGCCTGCCATTGCCGGAGAGGGGATTCTTTGGCCGAGATGTGTGGTAACGTTGGTCCAGTGGTTGCTTTCTATCTGATTGCTGGGCGGGAATTGGAAGAAGAGCGAGGGAGTACAAACACTACTGACCATGCGCTCGCCTATATGCCGCGTATCTCAGAAGACCCATTCAGGCTCCACATTTGCTCCTAGTTCCTCAGTGTATACCTCCGTTGGTCCTCTCAGACTCCTCTGTATCCTTGCCAAAGACAACAGCCGCTCTTTTCTGCATCAGCTGATGAAACTCCCCATTTCGATGCACTCGCCGCAACTTCGTGGGAAACAGAAAGCTCCTCAGCAGCCTACAAAAGATGAACCCAGCTCGCATCAGGTTCATGCGACGACACCTGCTTGCTGCGTCTGACGCGTTACAGCAGCTTCAAGTCTCAGGTTGGCTTGCTGAACGGCGTATATTGGATGTAATCTGTGGCGGGGGAGTATTGACAGAATAGATAGCTCGTTTTGTCGGTCAGGTTTCGGGATCGATGCATCTCAGCGTGCCAGTACGGTAGCAAAGGAACATGCCGCGCGGCAAGGCAATCTTGTGGAGTATCAGCAAATTTTGGCGGAGACATACTCGAGGGTGTCAAACTCTTGAGATGGCTTGGATGAGTGATGGCTGCATCGTTGCTATTACTCCTCACTACATTCTGTGCAGACCGTTCTGTGCTTCATCTACGGCGAATGACTTGCTGCCAAGTCGCTGGTCATTGCATCTGCCTGTGGATCACTACTGTCCTGTTTGGTGAAGGTCAAACATGTGACAACGCGTGTCGACGTTTTGCCTCATCACGCACAGACACGGGCTGCTATGACAAATTGGCATCCTGCACACGCTCACTCTCATTGCTCGATGATTCTATCTGCCATCTGCTGTTTAACACCTGGAGCGAGGAGCGCCCACTACGAGTCAGTCGGCCCGATTTACCCCTGAGATGCTTGACAGCTGAGTCTAGAGTCTAGAGTCTAGAAGCCACAATCCAGACTCCAGAGCCTCCAAAGTCCAAACCTTGCGGCCACATGAGCTCTGGTCCACGTGAGCAAAAGACTTCTCCATTCTTGACATGCCCTCTTGTCAGGCTAATCTCACCTCTGTGCTCAGTGACAGTGTGCCTGCGTACGACATGGGCAAATCACTCCTGCTGATGTGCCTCGATCATGGCATGAGTCTCGTTTCGCTAGTGCTTGTGCGGAAATTAGCCACATGGTTGAGTACTACTGCCCCTGAAAAGCGAATGGTCATCAGCAACTCTGCGCATCACATCCTGCATTTGGATGTCAATGTTCAGGAGACGCGGATGTCTTTGATGCCGGCGCGGGATGATTGCGAGTGGGTCTGCAAAGTATAAGAAGGGCTTCCATTCCCTCATCCTCTGTCAAGACAACATCAGCATTTGCATCTAGGCCCGTCTCAAAAGTCGCAATCACGATGACGCACTGGTCCCTCATCATCTTGTGCTTCTCTGGGCTGGTCACTTCATTGGTTGTACAGGATCCCGTTGTCGCGGCAGACAAGCGCCTCGTCAAGCGTTCACGGGCTGGACATGTTCCTGGTGGATCAATGGGGGATGGTGGATATGGGGATGGTGGATCTGAAGGATCTGAAGATCCACTTTCCAGTTGCAGGAAATTCACTGTGTTCCACACGCGCCCCGGGAAGAATCCTCGCGTCACGGATTTTGCATGTGGCAAGAAGTGCAAGGAAATGATCGAAAGCATCCCATACTCAAAAGGCACATGCGATGCTCTCATTAAGGATATATCGGGAAAGCATGAATCTAACCTCGGGCAGCGTGTTTGCACTTGTTCTTTTACTTTCACCTTCACAATGACGGATGATGATTGCCTCAGGAAACGTCCACATGACCCGATTGATGCTATCGAGTTTGGCATGTTATCTGTTTTTGGGCACGATGAAACTATGAGTGCTGAAGCCGGCCATTGTACCCGTTGACTACGAGGATCTAGTTTACTTATCTACACTTACATCGAATTACTTGCAATTGATGCGTGTACTCTCCTGCTTTTCACACGTGTCTAGCCAGCTGAGTGTGCTCTCTATCCTTGCGAATCGCTGCCAGCATATATGCCGTATCGGTCATGATCGTAGGCACGTAGATCATAGTGCTCCCGGTCTTCGGGGTCACATCGACTGACTTGTGAGGCACGCACGAAAGTGCACCAACATCCAGATCTTCATGTGTTCCAGTGATGGTGAATCATGTGACAGGGTCAGTGCATGAGCAGTGGCAGGTAAGAGCATTTCATAATGCGCAGCAGCTACGACTCTTTGCGCCTCACCACTTTCAGAACGTCGGAGGTGAACAGGCAGACGCTGCATTCATCTCGCAGACTCCCTTGCGCAGTCGTACTGAAATATCACTTTTCAATCGACTGCCGTCAATGTATGCATCCTCGACATAGAAGCGAAAGGCCACTGTTTTGCGACGAGCGCTGTGGTCCATCTGAGTGTATATTTTTCGCGAATTGTGGCCTGACTGACTCCCGACCAGAAAGCAAAATTTGACCCGACCAAGCAGCAACACCCATCACACTCCTTCAGCATGTCTTCCAATTCGCGTCAGATGATTCACAAGTATGTGTCTATAGCTTAAGGATATCGACTAACCATTCAGCCGCGACAAGGAGCATTCCAAAGCGATGCACGGTAAATCAAGCGGTGCAGCACGTACAGGATTCGGTGCCATGATGGCCAAGGACAAGACGGCCGCTGAGCTTGAAGCGGAAAAGTACTTCAAGTTCTTTGAACGCAAGTCTGGCGATACAGCCGACGACAATATGAACTCGCGGATCGAAGACTACACAGGCTTGACCAACGCCTACTACAACTTGGCTACAGACTTGTATGAGTATGGCTGGGGACAGAGTTTCCATTTCGCTCGTTACTACCGTGGTGAACCCTTTTATCAGGCCATTGCCAGGCATGAACACTATCTGGCGCACAAGATGAGTATCCCTAAAAGTGCAAAAGTCCTGGATGTTGGATGCGGTGTGGGTGGACCAGCGCTTGAGATTGCTCAATTCACAGGTGCGCACATCACGGGCCTCAACAACAATGACTATCAAATCTCACGCGCTGAAGCATTTGCTGCGCGTCGTGGATTGTCTGCACAGTTGAACTTCACGAAGGGTGATTTCATGCAGATGCCATTTGAGGATGAGCAATTTGATTGCGTGTATGCGATTGAAGCGACGGTGCATGCACCAAAGCTCGAAGGTGTCTATGGAGAGATTTACCGAGTCTTGAAGCCAGGCGGTACCTTCGGTGTGTATGAGTGGCTCATGACGGATGCATACGATGCCAGCAACAAGCAACACCGAGAAATTGCTTATGGCATTGAAGTTGGCAATGGTATTCCTCAAATGGTCAAGATTGAAGAATGTCTGCGTGCTTTGAAGGCCGTTGGGTTTGAAGTGACCTTCAACGAGGATCTTGCTGCAGATGATGGCTTTGTTCCTTGGTACTACCCAATCGAGGGCAAGCTGTCTAACGTGCAGAGCCCATGGGACTTGTTTACGTGCTTCAGGATGACGGCCGCTGGTCGGTTCTTGACACAGACGGCTGTTGGTGTTATGGAGAAGGTGGGTTTGGCACCGAAGGGCACTCAGGCAATTGGTCACACCCTTGAGGTCGCTGCAGATGCACTTGTGGAAGGTGGCAAGCTCGGCTTGTTCACGCCCATGTATCTGGCAGTCGCAACAAAGCCGGCCAAGAAGAACTAGATCTGTCTTGACTTGCGATATTTGTGGATGTAGAGAAGGTTTCCTTGTTTGATATTGATATTGTGTAAGCATCGAGAAGACGCTGTGTCATGATTATGCTGATGCTAAATGCTAGATGCGTAAAAAAGGTTGTACAGAGGCCCAGGAAGGGATCATTCTTGAGGACGTTTCCAGTCATGATTCCAACCACTCGATGGCGGTGTCTCTGTCAACGCTCGTGCGTTCAACGGGAATCCGGCTTTCGGATCTCTCATCATGGCCAGCTTGAAGAGCTTTGGATCGTGTTCCGCTAAATCGGCACATGCCTCTCGCATGCGATTATAGCGCCGTTCAAGGTCAACATCTCGCGCTGTTCTTTGTCGGCGTAGATGTAATTGCCAGGCACGGTGTATTGTATCGTGCATGATGGCTTCTTCCTCTGTCAATTGCAACTTTGCCGGTGTTGCATTACGGAAGAGCACGTCTCGCATGAGCTCTAGTGTTACGTGTTAGCTGACTGCTGTGTTTGATTACGAAGGATGGGGTCGTACGAGTGCGTGGATCTAGCTTTGAGGATTCCTGCTTTCGAGCGAGAAGTGCGGCCCTGGAGGAGAAGAGTCTGCAGAGGGGTGCATGTGTGTGTGCGGTGGCTCTTGTGATCATGCTGTCCTGTCCAGTCCAGCAGGCCCGTGTCTATCAGGGATGTCGGTGGATGGAAGGTCATGCTTGAAGTTGCGCTGATAAAATTCATTTGTGACTGCGTGGGCATGAGAAATCTGCAGCAGGAGAGAAAGAAAGAGAGAGACAAGCAGCTGGACCAGAGAGTACTAGAGAAGCAAGAGGAGAGAGAGAGAAGCGACTGCTGACTATGTCGCGTTTCTTTGCTGCAGGGTCATCAGACTCAGACTCTTCCAGCGCATCAGACGATGACTACTCAGACTCAGACCTCGCGTCCCGTCAAAGTGGCAGCAACAGCAATAGCGATGACAGCGACTCCGACAGTGACTCTGCCAGTGATGCAAGTGACTCGGACGACTCCGATGCACCCGCAAAGAAGGGAAACCGATTCATGGTCGGTGGGGACTCGGACGACAGTGACGATGACTCGGACGATGGCAAGAAAGTCGTCAAGTCTGCCAAGGATAAACGTATCGAGGAGGTCGAGAGCTGTGTGCATCTCATTGAGAATGCGCAAAAGATCAATGACTGGGTCACCATCTCTAGCGGTATGCCAAGTGCTTCATCGAGCGCGTTGAAACTAACAATCTAGAGTTTGACAAGCTCAACAAGCTTGCAGAAAAGGCCAAAGCAGCTCAGCAGCTTCCCAAAATCTACATTGCCACCATCACCCGGCTAGAGGATGTTGCCAATGAGGCCGTCAAGGCAGCCAAGACCAAGAAGATGAATCCAGCCAATACGCGTGCTCTCAATGGTTTGAAGCAGCGCATCAAGAAGAACAACCGTCTCTATGAAGCTGAAATTGAACGATACAAGGCAGACCCCGATGCGTTGGATGAGCCAGAGCCCGCGCCAGAACCTCAACAGCCAAAGGTCAAAAAGGACAAGTTTGCTGTAACTCCTACTGCTGCCGTCGCCGGCAATGATGATGGGTTTGCCACCGTAGGCAAAGGTGGTAAAGTACTCGAATACTCTGCAGAGAGCATCTTCACCCACCTCCAAGCAGTCTTTGAAGCTCGTGGAAAGAAGAGCACTAACAGGGACGAGCAACTCTTTGTCCTTGCAAAGCTCAAGGAAGTTGCTGTCACACCCTACCAAAAGATCAGAGTGTTGCTCGCGACCGTTGCAGCGCGATTTGACTTCAGCTCTGGTTTGTCACAGTACATGCCAACAGAGGCGTGGAAGCGTGCTCAAGCAGAATTGCTTGAGCTGTTGAAATTGCTTGAACAGGAGCGCTCCTACACTGTCCTCGAGGATGCCGTGGAACATGATGACGAACAACCTGCGCCAGTTCCCACAGATGAGCAACCCATTGTCAAAATCAAGGGCTCCATCATCTCTTACGTTGATCGTCTTGACGATGAACTCACCCGCGCTCTGCAAAACATCGACCCGCACTCACAAGACTACGTCGACCGTCTACGCGACGAGGCGTTGTTGTACGCTACAATTGTTCGTGCACAGATCTATGTCGAGTGGAATGGCGAAAAGGATATTTCACGATTGATTATGCGTCGTATGGAGCACTTGTACTACAAGCAACAAGTACTCGTCACTGCATTCGAGGATCAGGCGTATGCTGATCTCTCAAAGGATCTCGCATCCAAAATCACCCCGCGCGAGGAGAACTTTCCCCTCATCCAAAAGCTGGCCAACTACCTCTACAAGAATGGCACTGGCTTGTTGCGTACACGCGCCATGTTGTGTCACATCTACAACCTCGCACTCGAAGACCGTTACTATGAAGCACGCGACATGTTGCTCATGTCTCACTTGCAAGACTCCATCCACGCTGCAGACATTCAAACACAGATCCTCCACAATCGTACCATGGTCCAGTTGGGCTTGTCTGCTTTCCGTTCCGGATTGGTAGTGGAAGCACAGCAAGCACTCTCTGAGATTTGCGGTGGCAACAGGGTCAAGGAGCTGCTCGCTCAGGGTCCCTCCAAGAATGTACGGGATCCTGAACAAGAACGTCAAGACAAGGCACGACAGCTTCCATTCCACTTGCATTTGAACCTCGAGCTGTCCGAGTTTGTTTACTTGACTTGTTCTATGCTGATGGAGGTACCTGAGATGGCACGCGGCTCAAAGCGTATTATTAGCAGACAATTCAGACGTACCCTCGACTTTGCCGACCGGCAAATCTTTTCCGGGCCACCGGAGAATACGCGTGATTTCATCATGCAAGCGAGTAAGCGTTTGTCTGCGGGTGACTGGCACGGTGCCTATGACTTGCTGTCACAAATCAAAATCATTGATTTGATGCCACAGCCTGATTCGATTCGTGCTATGCTGAAGCAAAAAGTCAAGGAAGAAGGTCTTCGGACGTACTTATTCAGCTATGCACCCTTTTATGAGTCTGTTAAGCTCGCTCAGCTTGCGTCATTGTTTGACTTGTCTGCGGAAGAGACACGCATGACAGTGTCACGCTTGATCGCACAGGATGAACTGACGGCGACCTTGGCAGCAGATGATGAGAGTTTGACGTTCTTTAGGCAGGATCAGACGAGGTTGCAGGTGCAAGCTGTGCAACTCGCTGAAAAGGCACAGAGGCTTGTTGAACAGAATGAACAGGCGTTGGATATCAAGCAGCCTAAGGGTGAAGGCCAGCATGAAGGTGGCAGGCAGACGGGTGGTGGTGGTGGTGAGCACCGCAGGAGGCAGCAAGGCGGTGGCGGTGGCTTCCAAGGTGACCGCAAAGGTGCCCGCGGTGGCAGGCGGCAAGACTTTGGCAGTCGTCTTGCACAAAAGATTCGAGCATAGATCCCCCTTGACTCTGAAGAAATCAAGCATATTTGTGACTTGCTTTCTCGCTGACGTCTGTTCTTATTTTCACATTTCCAATCGAGCTTTTGCGACCAAGACACCCTCAGGAAGGCTTCTACCGCTATGGAAGACCCAGTTCTACAGCATACAGTCGACGCATCGCAGCGTCAAGGTGGTGGGTTCACATGTCAGACGTGCAGTGTAGCCTTTCACACGCCAGATCTGCAGCGCACGCACTATCAATCGGATTGGCATCGCTATAATCTCAAACGCCGTGTTGCTGATCTCACCAGCGTCTCTGCTACAACGTTTGCTGAAAAGGTATTGGCGCAAAAATCACTGGCTGCAACGACTGCTGAACGGGCGAATTTCGCTGAACGGTGTGGACCCTGTGGCAAAGTGTATTACAGCGAGAATGCCTATGCCAATCACTTGGGCTCAAAGAAACACAAGGAGGCTGTCAGGGCTGCGCTTGCTGGTCGTGAAGTGGGTGAGGGATCAGAGGATGGTTCACATGTTGAATCGGCATTCACATTCGGTACATCGATTGAGCCGTCACAGGCTTCCATCTATGAATCATCTACGGCATCCCCTGCGCCAGAGACGCAACAAGAAGAAAGTCCAAGCGAGGATGCAGAAGGCTTGACTAAGGCAGAAGAGGAGCAAATCCGCAAGAAGCTTGAGAATGCCGTCAAGTTGCCTATTGGAGAGTGCCTGTTTTGCCGAACGGTGCAAAAAGATGAAGATGAGGTCGAGGCACTTGCTGCCAATGTCACTCACATGATAAAAATGCACTCGCTCTTTTTGCCTGAACAAGATTACCTCGTTGATTTGCGAGGACTCATTGAGTATCTGCAAACCAAAGTAGCCGTGGGCAACTTTTGCCTTGCATGCAATAAAGGGTTCCGCAATTTGGAAGCGTGTCGTGCACATATGGCGAGTACAAGTCATCGCCGCATCGCTTATTCCACCGAAGAAGAACAAATGGAATTGTCGGATTATTACGACTTTTCGTCTACGTGGGAAGGCATTCCTGAGCGTGATGATGGCGAATGGTCGGATGTCGAAGGTGACCTTGAGGAAGGCGATGAAGAAGCGTATGATTCAGACGACACCATTGACTCTGCTCACCTCGGTCCTGTGGAAGAGGACTTTGAATTGAGGCTTCCTTCCGGTGCTGTGGCTGGCCATCGCTCGCTGCAACGCTATTACCGCCAGAATCTACGTGGTCGCGACCCATTCGCAGAACGCGGTGGTGCAGCTGTGCACAAGGCCATTATGGACCGAACACAGCAAGTGCGTCAAGAGTTGGTGAACACCTCGATTGCAGGTGTCGACAAGGGCCGCAAGGACTGGTCAAGGAAGCACATTGCGACGTTCCAGGATATGCGGATTCGCGAAGACTTCAAGACACGCACGATGTACAGGAACAACAACCAGAAGCACTACAGGGATCCTCTCTTGCAGTAGTCTGCTCTATAGTGTATTCGTAAACTCGAATCTCGACTTTCCCCGCTGCCGGCTCATCTGTATACCCGGCATCAATCTTGCTGTAGAAGATACTTTCTATTCTATAGACGACATGTCCTTTCTGTCTCGATTCTCAGAGAGCGCTCATCATGCCTGGCAAGAGGGCGACTACACCATTCCCATCATCGCTGCAGGTGCCTCTCTCGCTGTATTCTACAGTCTTGCGCGTAAAAATGCATCCTCGCAAGCCCTGTCGGCAGCAACGCATCACTCTGCTGGATTCACTGGAAGTAGCGGTATTCCAGTGATTCGAGCTCCTGAGTATACCCTCGCGCATGCAGATTACCCGCAATCTCTGTATGAGGGCAGTCAACGCATCACTACGCCTTATGGTCGCGTTCAGGTCTTTGTGGAGGGCCCGAAAGATGGTCCGAGAGTCATGCTTGTTCATGGCATCACAACACCCTGTCCAGTCTTTCGGGGAGTCTTACGAACACTGGTGAAGCGTGGATATCGTGTTGCGACGTATGATCTATGGGGTAGAGGATATACGGATGTTCCTGTTGGCCTGCCCATGGATGCAGCCGCATTCAGTTTCCAGCTGCTCAGTGTTCTTGCGCACCTCGGCTGGTCTGATGCAGGGGTCGGAGGAGGGACTGGGTATACGCTGGTCGGATACTCCCTTGGCGGTGGCATCGTTGCTGCTTTTGCAGCTTGTTACCCACAAGGCATTCGTCAACTCGTCATGATTGCGCCAGCAGGTTTGTTGAGGGCTTCTGAGCAATCACCTATGCGGAAGCTAGTACAGTCTCATTCGGTGCCATTCTGGTTGGTTGAGGGACTTCAATCGCTCGTTGTCCCCAAGAAGCTCGAAGATGTCAAGCGTCGCGTCTCTGGCGATGCCATTGACACGACGGGTGTCCTTGACTGGCAGAAAGAAAACCACAAAGGCTTCGCACGCGCTTATCTATCGACATTCCGGTCAGGTCCCATTTTCGATCAATTGGAGGTCTTTGGCAAGCTGCAAGAGTTTGCCATAGGTGGCAAGTTCAAGGTCATGGCTATCTGGGGCGCTGAGGATGATATCGTTGATGCACAAAAAGTGTCGAAGCGGTTAATGGAGATTGTACCTGCTGCTGAGTTGGTCTTTTTTGACGGCATTGGCCATGATATCTGCACAGCGGTCCCTGTTGAGGTGGCCGAGCGCATTATGCAATTTGTAGAACAATAGATGTAGAAAGGAGAATGGATACAAGCCAAAGTATTGCCTACGCTAGTACGTGAACCAAGAAAGCATTAGCGAAATGCGAAAGCAGCCTTGAGGTGTGGGCCGATATGTCCATACAACAAGACTGCTTGGACGTCGATATTGTCGCGCTCAAGACGACCTGGATAGCTATCAAATGGCTGCCCACTCAGTAATTTGACATGCACAAAGCGGCCTGAGAGGGGCGGTTCGAATTTGACAGTCGCACTACCCGTTGCTGGATCCACCAAGAAATAGGCATTTGGACAGTCGATACCAAAGTGACTGCGCGTGAAGGGGAGCATTGTCGTTGCTGGAAGGTCATGACCTTGGAGTAATGCTTGAAGGGGTGACTTGGGCATTTCCTCGTCTCTGTCTGCTGGTCCCTCTTCCTGCCTGTCAAATTCTGCAGTGCGCTCCAAATCGGGGCGTTCCATAGATACCCAAATCAAGCCATCCTTGACAGGGGATGTGAAACTCCGTTGCGGTGCCTTGATCACCATCTCTGTCAACACAAACGGCTTGGCTGATTTAAGCAAGATGTTGACATTCTCCAACTTTGCTGTACAATAGACACTCGTATCGTTCCTGAGTAGGTTTTCTGCCATGTACCGACCAGAGTCGAAGTCAAGGGACCCACCATCACAATCAATCATTTCAAGCTTTAATGGCTGAACAGATCCAGTCTCATCGGATGTCTTCGTATGCCGTTCGCGAATCGTACGAGATCGACGAAGTGTCCCAATAGGCACTGTCGTTGATACTCCCTCATGTCGAACTTCATCATGCGCGGCAAGCATGTCTGGTGCAGCAGGTGATGAGCGCGCCCCATTCAAGACGCGACGCGTCAAGAAGTCATTGAGGAAATTGTAGCGGGTATGGTAAGGTGCTTGTTCTGCTGAGCGCGCACCGGTGCTGCGATGGGGTGGCGGTCCGTAGGGGTAGAGATTGTCGAGTGGTTCGATGGATGTGCCATGGGTATCGAGTTCGTCTACAAGGCGGCGTTGCGAAGTTGTAGGCGCTCGCATTGCCTGCTATTCCAAGCGCAGCGAGAGTAGAAGCTAGCCCAGGTTGCTGTCCCAGTCCCACTGTCGGTGGTCGTTGCAGTCTGGGGGAGGAAATGACGACGAGCTGAAGAGACCTCGACCCAGCACCACAACAGCTGAGGATGGCCTTCAAGGCGCTCGTGCTCGATATAGAGGGCACAACGACGCCCATCTCCTTTGTGACGGATGTGCTCTTCCCACATGCCGAGGCCCAATATGCTAGCTATATACGGCAACATTGGTCGTCTCCTGCCTTTGCTCAAATCAAGGCTTCCTTTGCTGCTGAAGATGAAGCACTCGTTAGCTCTCCAGAAACGCTCATCTCATTTGTTCAAACGAAGCATGCCAAGAATGAGAAGCATACGGCATTCAAGGCCTTGCAAGGTCAACTCTGGAAGAGTGGCTACGAATCAGGTGCACTCAAGTCAATGATCTATGAGGATGTCCCGCGTGCCATCAACAGGCTCGGCGTGCCTGTCAGTATCTACTCTTCTGGTAGTATTGATGCACAGATTCTCTTGTTCAAGTACTCTGACCGTGGAGACTTGACGCCGCACTTACAGGGGTATTTCGATACCTCGACGGCAGGTCCAAAGATCCAGGCGTCTTCATACAGCAAGATTGTGGAGAAGCTCAGACAGTCTGCCTGCGATGTGCTCTTTCTCTCAGACAACGTCAAGGGTAAGCACCTCTTCGCATACTATCACTAACAAGGCAGAAGTCGAAGCTGCCAAGGAAGCAGGCCTGCAAAGCTACATTGTCGAGAGACCAGGCAATGCACCATTATCCGACACGGCAAAAGCAGCACACAGGGTCATCACTTCTTTTGATACGCTATAGATCTAATCAAGCATAAGACTCGACAATTGTATCGCGCATGTTTTGTTGGCCTTCTTGCAATTTGAAGATTTGTTCAATGACTTGAAGTTCTGTGGCCGTTGTGTGAAGACCTGCAAAGGCACACCAGTCATTCACGACAAGACCACCACCAATGACATCGGAACCCCGGTTGACGGATCCCGCCACAAGAGGAACTTGCAGTAGGGATGAGAGTTCATCTTGATCTTGCACTGTTGTTCGCGGATGCACCAGGGCACCTTGATTCGATAGCTGACAGTACGTGCCAACAAGAACGTTGTCTGCGACTGTTTGCCTGAAAACCTCAACTCCCAATACATCTGCAATGATCTCTTCCGTCTCGCGCTCGATATCAGGGTGCACTAGCGCAACATAGTCATTACAAGCAATGACATTACCGAGCGCTGATAATCGCTCATCCACTCTTTGTAGTTTGACGGCATCCGGTAGAGAGTTTCTCAAATGTTGCAACTCTTGATCTGTGGTGCTGTTGGGAACAAGCAAGCCACGCCTGTTGCCGGCCGTCATACGACCAATGATGCGATTACCACCGACAGAGGTGTGAATGACTGGAATGACATCGCCGAGCTCGCTCTCAAAGACTGAGTAGAAGTTTTCCGAGCCGCCGATGGCGACGAGGCAGTATGCATTGGTCAATGTTGCAAAGACGCCGATTTCGTTGCTCTGCTGTTAGATGGGTACAGTGAAGAGGGTGTGTACATTCTCGAACTGTGCACGGAGCGCCATAGGTAGGGAAGTAGGTTGATGGGAAGTGTAGCTGCTTGATGTTGCCTCTTGCTGCAAGTTGAAATTTCTCGTCGCACGAATCAGCAGCAGCGAAAGTCAGGAACAGATATACAAGTATTACTGGAGCAGAGTAGTGGAGTAGTAGTCAAGTAGCAGCAGTAGAGTAGCAGTATTGAATTCAGCAAGCTGCCTATCTACTCCTCATCATCCTCGTGGCCGTGCTCAAACAAGTAGTTGGCAGCAAGCTCCTCATTCTTGTCACAGGCGAAGTAGGCCTGCAGCACCACCTGCTGCTCAAATCCAAGCGCCTGCAACCGCTCAATCGCAGCATTCTCCTCTGGTGTCACCTGCACCTGCATCGCACCAGGCGGTAAAGCACCGCCATCCTCACCTTCCTCTCCGTCCGCCAATAATCCCAAAAACGCCTCTGGATTCGACACAATCATATTCGCCACGGCAGGATTGCCTGCTGCCAGCTGTTGTAGAATCGGCTCCAGCATCTGTGGATTCTGCTGCACCATCTGTCGTAGTTGTTGAAATTGTGGATCACGTCGTAGGAACTCCAAATCACCCACAGACATGTCACCACCTCCAGCCGCTGCGCCAGCGGCACCACCAGCACGCGCACCACCACCTTGTGCAGCTGCTGCAGCTTGTTCAAACAAATTACCGGTTCGTACAGGCGCTGCTGCTGCTGCAGGTGCAGCCGATCCAGTACGTGGTGCAGTCGCTGTAGCAGGCGACGGTGTACCCGGAGCTGCCCCTGCTGTTGCTGCTGCTTGTTGCGGCTGCTGCTCAGCAAGTAAATGTTCAGGAATTCCCGTCATCAGGTACTCTGCTGCACGATCTGGATTATTGAAAGCAGCACGCATAGCACGATCGACTTGAGCACGCTCAAAGCCCATCTCCATCAACATCGTCACGGCTTGCGTTCGAGCCTCACCGGCTGCAAAGGCATTGCTATCATTGAATCCGGCAGAAACGGGCGCAGGTGTTGGAGCATCTGCTGCTGGTGCCGATGCAGCAGCAGGCGCATGGATCGGCGCTTGAGGGGTTGCTACCGCTGCTGGAGCTGGCGTGATGAGCGAAACAGCCGGGGCAGGTGCCGGTGTTGCTGGTGCTGCTGCAGGAACAGCCTTTGGTTTCGATACCATACAAACGATGAAATCCTTTTCCTTGATTTCATACGATGCAATGGTCCTATCGTCTGCTAGGATCTTGCCAGAATAGATGAGCTTTTGGAGTTTTGCGTCATGACCGTGTTCTTGCTCAATGCGCGCCTTGACGTCGGCGACTTTGGTCTCTGGCTCGACATTGTCAATCTCAAACTTGACATTCTTAGTGATTGTCTTGAACGTGAGCTTCATGCTTCCTGAAGCCCTCGTTGACTATGACAGGTGTAGAGAGAGAGGCGGTTGCGTACGCGTCGTCACAAGGATTCGCTCGAAAACAAAAAGGCGAAGCTACACCACGCCATCATGTCTCTGCTCGCGAGTCTGGTCAATAGTAGGGGTATCTAGTAAATTGACAATGCTAACGGTAGAGCATATTGTTGTCATCACGGCGGATGGACGGACACTCACAGGTTTGCTATGCGGCTTTGACCAGACCACCAATCTCATCATCTCTGATACAGAAGAGCGCATCTTCTCTCCTGAAGAGACTGTCCAAGTTGAACCACTCGGCCTGTATCTACTAAGAGGCGAAAATGTTGCTATTATCGGCGAAGTTGATCCAGCCCTCGAACAAAGCATAGACTGGGAGAAGGTCAAAGGCAATCCTATCAAAGAAACAAAAGTATTTGCTTGAATTACACGCTGTATGCTCCCGTCTCTCCCTTCAAGCAACAGACGCGTGGCAAAACGTATGAGCCAGTAACTCAGTCGCGCTTGGCCGATTGTTAAAGTCCAGCTCAAACGTCTTGCTCAGGAAGTCCTTGCCCGTCTCGCTGATACCTTGTGGCATCTCAGGCGCAGCTTCAGCCCCGCCAATCTTGAAGATGGCCTGCATCTGGTTGAATTCGGGGAATGGATGCTTACCAGTCAGCATCTCCACAATCAAACAACCCAGCGACCAAATGTCGGCTTTTTTGGTGTATTGCACTTGCTTCACCACTTCCGGCGCCATCCAAAACACGGAGCCCTGTAGAGATGGACGATGCGCATTAGATGCCTTTGTGCCATCACTCAACAAATCAGCCTCAACTTTTTTGGAGATGCCAAAGTCGGAAATCTTGATGACGCCTTTATTGTCCACTAGAATATTACCACCCTTGATGTCGCGGTGGATAATGTCGCGCTCGTGGAGGTAATTGAGACCCGTCAGGATTTGTCGCACAAATTGTCGAACAAGAGGCTCTTTAAATGCACCGTACTTTGTCAACATTTCAGTGACACTTCCACCAGGAACGTACTCCAAGAAAATGTTGAGATGCGTTTCATCACTGTTGGAGCCAAGGTACTGCACGATATTGTCATGCTGCAAGTCGCGCAACAGGGCAATTTCTCGCTGGAGTGCATCCAACATGCTCGTCTTTCGCGCTGCAGTGTCGCTTTGCGCAGCTCTAGGTAGATCCACTTGCTTCACAGCCATCAATTCACCCGTCAGGGCATTCATACCAAGCACAACAGACCCAAATGAACCTTGTCCAATCAATGTACCCCGAATCCACGACGAGGGCCCTGAATCGTCTGCACTGAGACTTGCAAAGATATTATCCGCATCACCTCCAGCAAACGCCATGGATCGCGCACGAATTCGATCACCAATCTCCTTGTCATCTTCCTCTTCCGTCACGGCCAGCGTTTCTTTGAGGTATTCAGGCAATTCATAATCTTCATCCTCTTCACTCTCATCAGGCGACGCACCAGCATCTTCCCTAAATGTCGTATCAGAATGAAGGGATCTGCCAGAGATTGAGCGACGCGAGAGGACACTAGCTGCTTCAGGATCCCGCATAGAGCGGATACTCTTGGGTCTTGCCAATGTATCATCCATGGAGGAGAGGCCGCTCAGACCGCGGTGCACAGAACCAGGTCGCTTCTTTGGTAGTGCAGTCGCTGAGATCCACGCATCGCCAACACTTGGTACAGGTGGCACAGGACTCCGATAGCTAGCAACAGAGAGCATCGATGCATTCGAGTACCGCCGTGAATAAACACTCGGATGCCGTGATGAAGCGACATTCATCGCTTGACTGCGTCGAATTGAGTTGCGCACCGTCTTTTCTAATACTGCTGTGGTTGCTTCTGGGAAGTAGTCTTGCAAATTGCTCGAGATGAGTTCCGAGGGCGGTCTGCCACCAAAGAATTCCTTGATGCGCGCTTTCGGACCACGAGCTGTAGATTGTAGTGCACCTGGTGTGATGGGCGACGCCGGCGTTTCGCCAAAGAAGCCGCCCAATTTCTTCATCTTGGCCAGGTTGTTGGCCACGGCTGTATCCTTCAATAGTGCCTGCTGCTCACGAGCAATCTTTTGCGCTTGTCTCAGCTCAAGCATCGAAGGTGGCGTATCGCGCTTCTTGAGGATCAACCGCTCGCGCTCTGGTCTCGCTGGATCTTGACAAATTTGAAAGAGTTCTTCCTCTGTTAGCTGCCAGGCTGGACCCACCTCGGCTGTTACATAGACACTGTAGCTATCCAAACTCGGATCCAAGGAGCTGAAGTCAAAGTTGAACTTTTTGAGGGCTTTTTCAAGCACCTTGCTCGTGTCATGACAGTCTGCAATGTTGACGATGCGCGTTTGTCCCTCCTCGCCAATGAATTTGACGCAGTTACTTAAGAGCGAACTCAGACCATTCGCACTGCGCATCGGTGAGTCTGGCTTGCTCGGCGATGCCATGCTCCCCGAAGCCGACTTGGGCGGTACTGTATAAGTGGGTGTACGGAGCGTCGAGGCCGTATCGGGTGTCGAGGGCGATACCGTCTTGCCAGCCGCACCATCTATCGATAAAGGCCTGTCCATAGCCAGCATCTGCGCAATAGGGATCGTCTTGCGAGCAACAGGGAAGCACTCATTCCTAAGAGCCTTGATGGCCACCATGATGCGCACTCGGTCTCCCACTTTTGTAATACCAATCTCCTTGAGCGCTTGTTGATCGCAATCGAGTAACGTCGTGCCAGTGATATTGTTGTCGATAAAGGCATCTGCGTAGCTGCTGCTGTTGATTTTACCGAGCCAGTCGGCAACGTTGCGCTCATTCCAGCCGCGCACTTCCATCAGGACGCCGGGTGCTTCGGCGGGGAGTGTCGAGCCCATTTGGCCTCTTGTTGGAAAGCGCGGCGCGACTGGCCCTGGGCACCTGCTTGGGCTCTGTAGACAGCGGGCGGCAGAGAGTAGCAATTCAGTCGATGTCCCCCGCCCTGCTGCTGCCGTTGTGTCATCTCAACTCATCTGGCGGTGAGATTTTGAGCAGCACGCCAGCAGCTGCAGATGATACAGCACCAGCACACTTGCGCATCAACAGATGCAACACGGCCTGTGCGCTCACCCATGCTGCGGACATGCTCCGTGCTCGTCTGCATGGCAGTGTGCATATGATAGGTAGCCAAGATTGCATGACGCATCAGCTGGAGCGGACACAAACGCGTCTAATGATGTGTGCCTGGGTGCAAACTGCCTAGTGCTTTGTTCCTAAGTCACTTGACAAGCCGTTACAGAAGTGCGCCAACAGGAGCAGCTCGAGTCTACTCCAATACCTATCTTCATCAGAGCTACTGTATTACTCCTACTACAACGGAGAATGCCATCACCATACTGACTTGGTTAACCTTCTGAGAATCTACTTGTCCCTACCAGCCTGCAAGCCATTCAGTTCTGCACGCCACAGCGCTTATTGTACGTGCTCTGCACTATCAATTCGCCCAGGATCATGTGCGATTCTCTGATCGTGCGCAAGGCTCATCTTTTCAGCCCATGCTCTGTCTTGATTGTTATTCTGCTCGGAGAGTTCATTACGCAGTGGCAATCGGTATTTGACGCTGTTTCGAATGTTCTCGTTGTACGCGCTCTGCACTATGAGTTTGGTTGGAGTCATGTTCAATTCCCTGATCGTGCGCAAGGCTCGTGTAGGTCCATCCATTCAGCTCGTGCTGTATCTTTGAGGGAACATCAGATGTGCTGCTCTTCTGCTCGAAGAGGCCAATAAGCAACTTGCAATCGGTTGGATGTCATTTTGATGTTTGATGCTGTGTCGAGTGCTCTCTTGGCTTTACCATCACCAATAGCTGCTCAGGTACGCAACATTGTGTGGACAAGTGAACCCATGCGAGCCTTGTGAGCCATTCAGAACGACCAAAATACTTGCAATAGTATGGTAGCGGCACATCGCACGCTCGGCAGGGCAGCATGCAAGATGACCAGCGCCGTCAACACATGCAATATCGGACGGGCCAATGCGTCCGTAGTCTTTATGTAGCGGTACTCGTACATGAATAATGAGAGACATGTTGAATCACTCAAATAAGGTCTATTTTTCGACAGCTTATACCTTACAATGTTCCGATGACGGTTCTACGAGTGCTCAATCCACAAGAACAAAGTCTAGCTTGCGTAGTACGTACTGTACGTACGCCGTCCCGGAATAGATGGGGTTGGGGCAGAGTCAACACCACGCCGGCATAAACATTGTCAACATAGTCAAACAGGACAGAGGGAACAGTTGTTGCTTTCTTTGACTCATTATATATGGAAAATCTAGTCTTCTAGTGATTTATACAGTACAGGATCTCTAAACCGAGAGAACCATTTTAAAGAGCAAGAGCTCCAGCAACGGCAACCAAGCCTGCGAAAGATCCAGCGACCTTGTTGGCAGCGTTGCCGACGGGCCTGGCAGTGACGATAGGCAAGCCAGCGCCGGTGGCGGCAGGAGCGACAGCCTGTCCGTTGACGACTGTGACGGGGAAAGCGCTTCCAGAGGCAACACCGCTTGTAGCACGGACGGTGATGGTGGTGGTGCCCACAGCAGGAACAGCAGTGTTGGTGCTGATCACAACTGCGACGCCTTGGACGATGATCGTCACGACGATAGGGCGGACGACAATGACAACAGGTGCCGTGCCGTTTCCAGAAGCTGGTGCCAAAGAGCTGGCGGGTGCTGGTGGCAAAGAGCTAGCGGCGATGGGTGCGACTGATGCTGAGCCAGAGACGGGGGCGACGGAGGCCACGGAAGACTGTGCCGAGACGGCAGCAGCGAAGGCGAGGATGAGAGATGAGAATTGCATAGTTGTAGTGAACGAAGGTGCGTTGAAACGATTGTTGGTAGGGAGCAAGCCGGGGTGGACGAGCAGCAGGGATCTTATACTCTCGGAATGTCGCAAGCGCTGTCTTGACTCACTTTCGGTGTGAAGGCCATAATGAATAAGCTTGTGATGAGAAGCATTTCAGCAATGCAAGCCGGAGCCTGCCAGGAAGGTCGCCCAGACTCGTCCTCCATCGACATTGGCCCAGAAGAGCGAGAATGACGCCGGAGCAAGTTGCAGCGAATCAACGACCAGCATGCCAGGCCAAATTGGGCGATCCGAGACCGTTGAGGCACGGCTAAAGGGAAATTGCCAGCCATCAACGGCCGCGCCCAAAAAGTTTTGTTGTCGGCCGAGAGAATTTTGTCGATACGATGATACGAATACCGCTTCACGTCATTACAGAGCCAGGCTTTGAGTCCAACGCTTAAGCAGTCCGGCCAGACCCACTTGCTGATGTCCTCCAAATAGAAACAATGAGATGGGTGACAAGACAATGGCCACGCCACTTTGATGGGCTGTAGCCTGTAAGCAAGGTATCGGAACGAACATATGCTTAGCAAACTCATGCAGTCCAGAGAGGTTGTGACAGTAGCCGAATCTAAGCTTCTCGAGAAGATAGTGGGAAGGGCTTCCAAACGTAGCGCTGAATAAACTCCGGCTCATGAAGAGCTCAGAGGGAGACTCAAGTGTATATTCATGACATAGCATGCTAAGCTAGTCTTAACGTGTATGCAATAGACGATCATTGTAGGCCCGTCAATTGTGCTGGAGCAGCCTAGCTGGTCGACGTCGATGTCGTTAGACTGGTTACGCGATAAATTTGTTCTCTCATCTGAAAAGATGGGGGTTAGGGTTTTGTCAATTATGATTGGCTCGTAGACCCTCGACCCAGGACGCTTTCGGCAATATGTTCGCCATCTGGATCTACGCGGCTTCCTTATGGCGGTCATGGGCGGATGGCCATCTGCTGCTATAATAAGAAGCCGACGAGCCGAGTAATCGTCTCATCGACATCGTGGCCCCGTGGGCCGGGCTGTGGCCCGTGGGACTTGTGGGCCAAGTTGTGGCGGCAGTTCTCGAAGTTCGAACGGTGTGTATTTTGAGGTCTGGTAAGGCAGTCACTGGCTCCACTTTCCAGTTGCATCGCTGGTACGACGGGCACGTATAGTAGAGAGATCGAGTCCACAGCTCATGCTCCTCCAGAATCAGATGGTCGATGATGTGCGTGTCGCTGATATCGTGATAAGCGTTAGCCCACTCACTGTTCATAACCCAGTTGTCGGCCGGCTCAACGGTCGTTTGTCAAGTGACTGAAGTCTCAACAGCTGCAGTGTCGGCTTCCATGCCTTGTCGTGCTGTTGGCTGACTTGGCTCATCGTTGTCATAGTTCTTTGTGACTGCTAAATCATCTCTATTCATCTGATCACAACAAAGCCGTGGAGTAGCAGAGAGAGAAGCAGCAGCAGAGTCATTAAGGGAGCAGCAACGAATCGACCCTACTCTACGTCCTACTCTAACCCTCACCATTAGACAACAGGCTCAAGCGTAGAACGCATCACAACAAAGGAAGCGCGCGCAAGCCATGTCCTCCCAACATGAGCACAGTCCAGAACAGGAAGAGGCCACCCATCTCTTCTACAACAACCAGGGAGAGCCCATCAAATTCTACCTCTCCCGCTCCCTCCCTGGCCGCACGGCCCTCACTCACAAGATTGAGGCACGCGGCGGGGAGATTGTCAACAGTGAGCATGTACCGGGCGCCGTCAAGATCGGTGATCCCAACAGGCCACAATTCTTTGACAAGGACTACACCTCGCCCAATTTCATCGATGATAGCATCAGTAATGGCTACCTCCAGAATATTGGCAATTACCGCATTGTCAAGCAGTCCTTGACACCGCAGGCCATACAGCAGCAGCAGTACGTACCTGTCATTCAACCAAGCAAAGGCACTGGATCGCGTGGCAATCGTGTCGATTTTACGCTTGAAGACGATGACTTGTTGAGGCGTATCGTGCATCGTGCAGATGTCGCTACCTCTGGCAACAAGATTTACAAAATCATTGCAGAAAAGTATGGCAAACATTCCTTCCATTCTTGGCGTGATCGATATGTGCGTCACCTACGACCTAAACTCGGCATCCCACAGCCTGGTGATGAAGCAATCTTGAATACAGAGGAGGCAAAGATCATATCAGACAGCAATGTACGCAAGGGCCAAGTCAGGCTACAACCAGATGGGTCACACAAAATCGCACAATCTTCGATTCCAAAACAACGCCAACCCTCACAAATCATGCAGCCGGAATTGGCAGATGTCGCTCAGCTTGATCCAGCACTCTCTGCTCACTCAACGCCTGCACGCGCTTCTGGGCGTGGTCGAGCACCGTTTACCTCTACTGAAGATCATGTCCTGATTGATGCTGTGCGCAAGCATGGTGATCATGCCAAGACGTATGTTGCCCTCGCTCAGCAGCATGCCAGCCACACCTGGCAATCATGGAAGGAACGTGTCAAGACTCTCAAAAGGAAAAATGGTGGTCATTTGCCAGTCTTGCCAGAACTCCACTTTCCTGCAGAACATGCAGATCAAATGGTAGAGTATGATGAATCGGTGGAAGGTCATGAAGATGGCTTGGAGGTGTCGCGTCGGGAGGAGGAGCAAATCCTTGATCCGGAACTACAAGCAACGGGCCTCGACCAAGTTCAATTGGCCACCGAGGGATTCATTCCATCCATTTCTCAAGGTGCTTTGGAACATCATGATCATACAGATGACTTTGACGGTCTGACGCAAGGCGGCGCCTTCCCATTCACCCAAATGACACAAAACTCTGATTTGGCACAAGCGCAGCTTGACTTCCACATCAATGACCCGAGTTTGGACGAAACTCTAGGTGCGGCATCGCAATTTGATGATGAGGAAGCAGTGCAGCACCCAAGAAAACGCGCAAAAGTCGTTCTAGCAAAACGTAAAGCGCCTGCTACACCGAGCCAGCAAGTCATCAAAGCCTCTCAGCCAGAAGACGGACGTGCCATTCACCACAATCGTGCCAAAGCTACAACAGTCCCTGTTCCAGCGGCGAAGGAAAGTCGTTCAGTCAAGAAACAACCGCGTTCCTCGCAACTTCCAGCACCGACACGCACGTCGCGCGTCACGCGCTCTGCTAGTGTCATGAGCGATGACGATGTCATGGCTGCCTCACAACTACAATCCGGAAGACAAGCAGCAGGTCTTGTGGCAGAAACGGCGCAGAAGCCTAAAGCGAGCGGTACGCGTACGCGAATGTTGCGAAACACAGCGACTGAAACGCCTGAACCGACTCCGCGTATGATGCGACGTCCTCGTGGCGAGCCCATTATTGAATCTTCAGGGGAGGAAAGTGTCGAAGAGGACGCCGAAGTCTATTCACAATCGCAGCTGTTGGGCGAATCGCATCCAATGGATTACATGAATGGCTTGGATGTGGTGAATGAAGATGAGGAAGAATCCTTCTCTGCAACGCAAGCACGTCGTGATACCTGGGCAGCACTGAGAGTGGCACGTACGCCGGGTGTGACTATGGCATTGGCTATTCGTGCTTGGCAAGCAGCATTTGGTGTGGAGAGTCTCGCTGAGGAGTGTTTGAATTTGCTTCGCAAGAGGCGGTCATTGCCCATCAAGAAGGGCGTTTGGCTCTCTGAAGACGATGATGCCATCAGGGGCGAGGATGAACAGGAGCTTGAACGCGTGCAAAAGAAGCATGGCAAGGATGCCATCTTTGAGCGTCTTGAATTCCTCAACAAACTACAAAATGCTGCTTAATGCGCCCCTGCGCTAGTATTTGCAAGCACCGTCTCCTTTCCGTTTCGCAAACATGTATCACCTTATAATTGTCCATACTCAGCTTTCTGCCCTCTTGTCATCACGATGGATGCGCTACCTGCGGAAATTTGTCAAGAGATTCTATCGTATGTCCCCATCACGGAGCTACATGCCAAGACGCGACACGTAAGTCGCTTCTTCTACCAGCAAATCGATCTCTTCCTCTCATCGCATGCGTGTCTTCGCTACCTGCACGCACATTGGGGGATCTTATGGACACCTGGTGTTCAAATCGAAACAGCGCCAGCTCCCACTCACCTACCAGCATGTCAAGCAGGACAGATGGTCATGGGTGCAGCGCAGTATCGTGCGTTTCCATCACCACATTGGGTTTCGGCATTCACTGGCCTTCCCAGTCCATGCAAGACGATTGATGAGGGATACTTTTCAGCAAACAGTACACCTGTCCCCGTCAGTGACTTGTGGGGATGCAGTGACGATGAAGAAGAAGAACAACCTCCGCCGACGCCCAACAAACCAGGCAACATCTACATGACATCGCGCGATCCACTCTGCGTGAATGTTTGTTTTGACAAGGATGCATTGTTGCCACGGAGCATGCTGGATAAAACTGCTGAACCAGGCCTGTATACGCGCAACATGCATCTCCACTTTTCATGGTCTGTCAAGACGTGTTTGTCTGTTCGAGCAACGCTAGATGTCGATGGACAGCGATACTGGGCAGATGTCAATTATCGAGCTGTGTTGAATGAGATTTGTAGTCGTTCTGGTAGAGAGGCTTGGTTTATTCATAGTATCTAGTGGAGCCAGATGAGACCGAATTTGGGCCGATGCTGATTAATGAGATAGAGATAGGCAACGAGCCCAGCAACCGTCATGAGTGTTCCAGCCAATGTTCCAAATGTCTTGAGTCCCTCAAAAATGGGTAGTTGCACAAGGGTCGTTTTTGCAGCCATCAGGACGCTGAATGTCAATGGCGTTGTAAAGGAAACGAGCACAAAGCTCGAAATGCACTCAATCCCAGCCAACAACAAGTTTGGTAGGATCCATGCCCAAAAGCCAAGTTCGAAGAAGAAGGGACAATTGGTGTAGGCGTCGAAGATTTCACCGCTGATCATGATGAATGGCAAGAGTGCCAGGATGGAGGTCGTCAAGACGCAGTGCAAGAGCTGCGATACTTGAAAGTCCAACATTGGTGAGACTTTTTTTAATTGAGCGACATTGAGAGGGATGGCGATGCATGCGATGATTCCACATAGCAAGCCGAGTGGATGAAAGTGGCTCATGCTGGTAGATTTTGCAGACAAGCTAGCGAGTGCTTGGCCAACACCCATGATGGCGGCAACAAGCGCAATGCTTCTGTCGTAGTGTTGTTCATCATTGAAAGCTCTGGTAATGAGCAGTGCCAAGAGTACCATGGGACTAAAGAAAGCGACGCAGAGACTCATTGGCACATACTCCAAGCATGAAATGATGGTGACATGCCCCACGAGATAGGTGAGCGAGACAGGAAGAAGCTGTCTGAGCATGCTCAAATCGTACTTGATTGGGTTGGCGATGCACGTCGTATTTGCTAGAGATGGAAAGGAATCTGTGAGCAGTGCAGAGGCACCGACCCAGAGCAAGACGAGCAGTTCGCAAGCCATCAATTGCGCTAGGAGCATGACGAGCGGGTAGGGAAACTTGAACATGGCCTGATAGAGAATGAATCGATCGAGAACAAATGTCATGGTAGAGGATGCCGCGTAAATGACTGATGTCACGAGCAACAAGGTGACTGGCTGAAATAGGATGCGCAGGATGCGTGACTGTCGCGATTCTGGACGTTCCCAAGACAAGTCATGCTTGTGGAATGGCAATGTCGATTCATTGCTATTCTGGCGCAACATGTCACTAAGGCTGACTTCTGTATTGTCTGTCGCTGCATCGTCGTCGCCCGATTGCTCACCGCAGAGACTAGCGCGACGCGAGAGATCCTGCATAGGAGCCCCGTCAGAAAGCGAAGCGCGCCCGCTGCCGTCCTCATCGTCCCGAAAGGGTTCTTGCACATTGACCAGGGATTCGCGGGCTTGCGCGATCGTGTGGTGCAAAAGATCCACGGGTGAGCGAAAGGTATTCCTGGTCCGCTGAGCAAACATGATGAGGTGTATGGATAGTCTTCTCAGTCTCTCTTAGTGGTGGCAGATGTATGTAGACATCCCCTGGCCCCCTGAGCGTGTGCCAAGGTTTTCGTGTGGTGTTGCGTGTTGGCGTTTCAGGCTTTCCGCATCGTCGCGCCTCGAGCTCGTATATACATCGGGAGCAGGCGGGATCAAGAAGCTAGGCATACGAGGCGTCAAGGTGTACATTAAGGCATTAGAATACTCAGTCAAGGCGTGGACAATCAAGTGGTGGCAGCTCAGACCGAGAGAATGGTCACGGATCCGGACTCGTTGGCGCGGATAGCGCAGCCATAGAAGATCATACAACGGAGCAAGACAGCTTTCTGTATGTAGCAGCTTACAGAAGGCGCTGCATGCTCAAAGTAACAAAGGCAGTCGCGGATGGGTGGAAATGATGGACGATTTGATTGCATACATCCTTTCAAGTGATGCGCACGATGGACGTGCGGTCACCTTGTCGCTTGATCGAGAGTTCTCTATGATTGCTCGACGTACTTGCTGCGAATGTCCTTCCATTGCTTGCCCTTGTTCGCATTATCCCAGATGCTGGTTGTAGTCATGTCGAAGGCACTTCATTGTCAGCTCATACTCTTTCAATACCAACCAAGAGATACGTACATCTTGAAGGCAAAGCCTGTTGCAAAGACTGTGCCGATGAAGACAGAGTTGCGCTTGAAGACGGTCTGGTAGACAGTGGACGCGAGCTGCGGTGTTAGCCTGTGTATGACTGTGTTTTTGATAAGCCTACGCTCATAATGCACTGTCGTTAGTAAGATGTATAGATGGCTTCTGCTGCTCTTACCTGCTTGACTTGCTTGCTTTTGACGAGTGAGGCTTCTTCACCCTTTGCTCATTGCTGTGTCGTTCAGCGCCGAGAGTGCACGTGACTCTGGTCAGCTCAGGAACGAAACCATAACCAGCTACTGCTACTACTACTGCTACTGCTACCGCGTCTGCTGCTCCTGCTCCTGCTACTTCTACTTCTACCCAACGATAGTCTTGATACGCTGACTAGTCCTGACACTACTTTTATCAACACTGCAATGCTCAGATGACCACAACCATGGCAGAGACAGACTTGATGCTCTCCCTTACATCCCTCCCTCTTCCACAAGATGCACCAGGCTTGAAAGAAGAGCTCTCACTTGATCGTATACTCCATCAAATCGGCCGTGAACGGGGCTCCTTCCGCAATTTCACTGAAGAATCCATTCAAGCTGAGCTCGAGGATCCTGAGCATGCTCTCATTTCTTTGACTGCGCCTGTCTCTGTCATTGCAGAAGATGACAAGAAAGCTCAGGTCGATACGCGTGTACAGCTCAAAGAGACACTACTCACTTCACTCGGTACTGCACTCAACGAATCTGCTCTTGCACTCGACTTCTTGTCGCTACTACTTTCTAATGACAACAAGCATGCAGATGCAAGCATGTCGCCTGCGCTGAAACAAGCTACGCCGGCTGGTAGTCTGGCCTATCACCCTTACTTTCGAGAAGAAGATTCAGCAATTGCAGAAAGTGGAGCAATGCAAGTCCAGCAAGCCGCCTTAGGTCTCCTCTCTCACTCTTTGACATCTGCAAGCGATCAATTATCAAAAGCCAGCGACGACGCCGACTCAGATCGTGCGCTCGATCAAACCTTTTGGAGAGATGTAGCTGCCTTGCAAGAAGCAGGCTGGCATGTGTTCAAGCCGCGATCAGGCACACAGACGTCCATCAGTGTTCATTTTGGTCCCCATCCATCACATGCCATCACACTCAATAGATCAGCGACTGGATCGATTGATACTTCTACGCTTAGCAGTCGGGATTTGTCTCTTCGCTGCAATATTCGCAAAGGAAGCAGTATCGTCGCTTCCTATAGCGAGCATCACAGTCGTACCCAACAAGACGACACGCCGACACTAGCGAACAAGCTGACGAGAGCTCGACAAAGTATCTATGATGAAGGCTTGTTTAGCGATTTGGTACGAGAATGTCAAATGCAAACACACTTGGCCGCACAAGTTGAGCCGTCTTCTATTTCGTTCCTCTTGTCTCCTCGACAAGATGTTGCGCTAGAAATCCAGCTTATTGAAGACCAAGATCAACAGGAAGAAACGACCTTAGCCGACAGCTCAGAACAAGAGCGTTATTCAGTACTAGCTCGCACAGTTTTCATACTGCTCAACGAGGGATATCTCAAGAAGCAGCAGCAACCACGCGATGCGGTTCCATCGTCTATTCTGACCGGCATCATAGGATGTTTGACGTTTGGTCAAGCTCGACATGCCCTTGTCTCTGCTCTCGAGGAAAGAAGGGATACACTGAACCGGTATGAATGGGAGAAACCTGCTCAAGTCACCGTCATCACAAACGCAAGGCAGCAAGAAACAGAGGATTGTGAATTGCACGCGCAGCGAGCCACCATCCAGTTCAGCCACATGTCTCTGCAAAGCACAATTGCCGTCGAGCCAGAAATGACAGGACAAGGTCAGCCGACTGCAGTACATGTCCTGAAGATGTCGCTGGACACAGGCGCGTCTCAAGCACGTACACTAACAACAAATGACTTGTCTTACGTGTTGCGGACACTGGATAGAGAGATCCAAGCAGCAGTCATCCGTGCCGTGCTTAGCGACGCTGCAGGGGATGCACAGCAAGTCTCAGACTGTCAAGTCTTGTTCAAAAATAACAGGCTATATCAAGTTTCGATTGGACAGGGTGGTCGCATCTTGTTGGATTGGCAGGGACGTGAGGGAAGTCAAGAACCGCATGAGCATGGATATAAGCGGGTTTTCGCATTCATGAATCGATAGTAAAGGTGAGGAAAGCTTATCGTATAGTCGCGGTTGTACTGCTTTTGAAGAGGTGAAGTGCCTACGAGCTGCCAACTGTCTTGTTAGTCGCATAAGTCAAAGTCAAGAGCATACCCAAGACACGGTTGATGGGGATGTGAATGAGCTTGACAATGAAGCCAACGAAGCCCATAACGAGGAAGCCAAGAGACACGGCCTGCGCAATCCCGTAAAACTCCTTGAGACTAGGCTTTTGGCATCGCTTGATGAATCTTGATGTATTAGCACAGAAAAGGACTGCCAGCACAAGCAATGCAAGACATACTGTGTGCCTTCACGAGCAAGCTCTGCAGGCATTTCACTGAGCTCCTTCATTTGTGAGGACGACATGACTGCGTGTTGTGGGTGTCTTGGGTGTTGCTGCGTGGTGTTTCTGGAGTCGAGTCGAGACGCGCGCTGCTTTGCTGGCACAAAAGTTACAAAGTATCAGTCAAGACTCGAGACTCGAGAGGATATGCGACAGTGGTCAAGTAGTAAAGGCCAGCTACAGACTACACTAGACAGCTACAGACATAGGCATACATCAGAATAATACGATCGTCATAACAGCGTTGCTGCATCTGAGCTTGACTCTTGTATTTGTTGTATCATCATCTGAAGCCCATGTATCAATGCCATCCTGCTCATCACTCGTTGAGTACCGCCCACTGCTCTTCAGCCTAAGACAGGAACAGACGAGTGAAAAGAAGAGACAGATGCTCATACTCATACCCACGGATGGGCGAATGAGGAAGGAGAAAACCCCTGCGCAACAAGAGTAAGCCTCATTGTGTTATCCGCCAGTTGGACGGACGATTGCATGACTATCATTCTGTGACGGAAGAAGACAAATGGACGCCCCTCCCCCATTTGACTGTGCTTCAAACGCACACCTGGCAACTTTGCAGGCCACACTCACGGAATTTGAACATGGCCCAGCAAGGCTCGTATCTTCGCCGGCAAAGCAAGCAGCCAGCTCCAGACCCATGAGGCTCAAGTGCATTGTGTGCGTCATGAGTGAAGCGCCGAAGCACAGTCGAGGGAGGTTATGCAGCTGTCCAAATTGAACCATAAAGCAACATTATGATGGTGTGTTTCCACTGGTTGTGTCCGAGGACTTGCCCATGAGGGATGGTAGACAAGACACACACAAGATGTGCCTTTCGTATGTAGACCTCGTTATGCAATCCTTTGCCACGCAGGAGTCTCCATGAGAGGAAAGAGGAGAGAGAAGGAAGGCTTCTTCAGCTTGTCGGCCTGGATTCAATTTCTCACGCTGAAATGGCGACAAACCCCGCAAGACAGGACAATGATCAAGTACCAGCTAGACTGTAATCTGGATATCTGAGCAGCAGACAAGCATGGCAGACATCTCCTCGATCCTTCATGGCGGCTACCACACTCCGCTCACTCGACAATGGCAAGCAGAACGGACGCTAACAAAAGAGGCCTTCATGTACCCAATCTTCATCACAGACAACCCAGACGATGAGGTGGCCATCTCCTCCCTGCCAAACCAAAAGCGATGGGGCATCAACAAGATTGTCCCCTTCCTCAAACCCCTCGTCCAGAAGGGCCTGCGTAGCGTCATTGTCTTTGGTGTGCCCTTGTCTCCAGATGCAAAAGATGCATACGGTAGTAAAGCAGATGACCCAAGTGGACCTGTCATCCTCGCCATCAAGCTCCTTCGCAAGACCTTCCCTGATCTGTTCGTTGCAGCAGATGTATGTCTATGCGAGTACACATCACACGGCCACTGTGGACATCTCCGAGAAGATGGCACACTCGACAATGCTGCCTCCATCAAACGAATCGCAGAAGTCGCCGTCAACTATGCAAAAGCAGGTGCTCAATGTGTCGCACCAAGTGATATGATGGACGGTCGTATCAAGGCCATCAAGCAAGGTCTATTGGACGCTGGACTTGCGCATAAAGTCATGCTCATGTCATATGCGGCGAAATACGCAACATGCCTTTACGGACCCTTCCGGGAGGCTGCTGGATCTGCACCAGGAACGGGAGATCGAAAGGCCTATCAGCTTCCACCTGCAGGACGTGGACTTGGTCGGCGGGCAGTGATGCGCGATGTTGCTGAAGGTGCAGATGTGGTCATGGTAAAGCCAGCCAATATGTATCTCGACATTATTGCAGAGACGCGTCAGATTGCACCAGATTTGCCAATCGCTGCGTATCAAGTATCTGGTGAATTTGCTATGATTCATGCAGGTGCACGAGCAGGTGTGTATGATTTGAAGCAAATGGCGTTCGAGTCGAGTGAGAGCATCTTGAGGGCTGGTGCACGCATCATCTTGAGCTACTTTTCACCTGAATTTATGGATTGGCTGAGCGAGCCTGTGCAAGGCCCGCGCATAGTGGACGTCATCGAGAATGAAGGCCAGCCAGGTAATATGCTGCCGTAGACACGCCAGTAATCTCGTCTTGACCTGCAGGTACTAGGCTGGTAGAAGTCTCTAGCTGGAGCATGGCATCACCGCAGTCTGCAGACGCCCAAGGCCCCAAGCTTGGAATTGTGTTCGAATGTGCATCTCGATATCAGGAGCAACCACAAGTTCGCGACGCACGGTGCGCACACCCGCATGTGTCTATATGAGGCATTGACTCCATTGAGGCATATACACTACAGCCATGTTGGGCATACTGTTTGCTCTGCTATTTGTGAGTCTATGGGCAAGACTCGAGCTCGGAAGTCCCGTTCGGCCCGACTGGCCCCTGAATATGATCAACTTGTCGCAAAAGTGTAAAGCAATTTCCTTTCAATGCAGTGTAGTCCACTGTATGGCCTTGCGCCTTGCGCTTCATACGTAAGTGTACGACATGCAAACTCTGCAGTCTCGACGATTCTAGCCTGTAGGCTACTAGGCTGTAGGATTTGCAGTGCATCACAAGTTATGATATAACCAGATGCAGCTGCAAAGCCGAAACCATTATTCACATCTGCACATGGTCATATCTGTTTGTAGATATCACATGCGACCTTTCTTGTGTGTTTCAGGAGTCAGACCGCATGTTGAAGAGTCACGAAGACGCAGCGTGGCAGGGGAAGATACTGAGGCTTAGGTGTGCGCGACCGAAAGCTTAAAAGGGGGCTTCCGTCCGCCCATTTGTCTACAGCAAGCAAGGTTCAGCGACCACAATTCAGGCTTGACAACAATTGGGATGAAACATTGGTCAATCGGCATCTTGTTATTCTATGGCAGCTGTGAAGCGATCAACACTTGCTCAGTCTCGGTGGAAATGAAGCATAAACGTCCGTCACTTGCGAAAGGCGATTGTACTGTCGCATGCCAAGACATGTTCTCTTCTTTGCAAACCAAAAAACCTGTGCCCAAGCAGGTGTACTGTTCCGAACATTCCCAGCATCCTTCTACACAGATCCAAGCTGGGACACATGGCTATGCGACAAGTAAAGGATACCACGGACCGCATGGGCCAGCAACTGGTGACATTTGCTCTTGTATAGTGCAATTCACACTTTTTTACTATTTCGAAAGCTGTGAGCTGGGCGGCAAGAATCTGCTGGCTACTGTCCAAGGCAATTGGCTAGAAACGTTCCCGGGAGACACAGAGGTCACAGAGAACGCTGTAAACACATGCCAGAAATCTCCATAGCCCTCAATTTTGTGTGCGTACGGCAGTGGTGATCGCAGGGGAGGATGGCCCTATGTTGCTGTTCTTTTATCGATCGGACGAAGGAAATAGTGAAGATGACCTTTTCCTAGACTTATAGCCATCGCTGCAAGCCAAACCTCTTCTGCTTCAGCTGCAAGCCTAGAAATTTCCTTCGATCAGACAGTTACCTGCAGCTTCTATCAAGCGTTTAGTTGACTCGAGCTCCTTCTTTCGCCATGGGCAGCTCGTAGGACGTCGTCATATCGAGCTTTGCCTCAACGATTCCTGAAGCATCACTTTTGGAGCTGTATTGGCTGCTCTGTCCGCAGCTGCACTCGCCCCTGAGATTATCGAGTTCTAAATTTCGCATCTCAAAGTTACCACATCGTCGAAATTTTGATCTCTTTAATTGTTGCAGAACCTGTTCTCACTCCGTGTGCTGTACGCAAGCTTGCGCCATATACGCTGCCAGACTATCTTTTCTAGCTTGAAGGGTTCACCATGGCAACACAATTGAAGCAATCGAAGCCGAAAATATGCGACCCGCCCTGATTTGCGCTTGCATGTAGTCACCATAGGCAGTAGCCAACGTTACTGATCAGACAATTTCCCCTGAACCGTGTGCTCAACTGTAAGGAATCAGAAAGAACATTATACACGCGATGGAAGAGTATAAAAAGGGGAGGTTTCCATCCATCACTGTCGCTCAATACAGCAGCAAGCAAGGTCCACCATCTACACGTACAGACTCTACCACTATTGGAATGAAATACTGGCCACTCATCATCCTGTCATTCTGCGACCTGATGTCCTCAGCTACGGATTCGAATGCAATCGTGTCCTCGCGAGAGACAATCACGAATGGTCATGACGCCGCTAGGAAGACCTCTCTCTACAGCTGTACAGTCTCGTTTGCTATGAAACACCATTGCCCATCAGGTACGAGAAGCGACTGCGCTCAGCTATGCCAGGACATGCTCAAGCAGATTCGCATCACCCCGACGATACGTTGCCAGAACGACAAGACAGTTGTAGCAAAGGTCGCGCCTTCAGCCATGAGTTTCGAACCTGGTACTCTTGACTCGGACTCTCTCAGCGGTAGTACTTGCGATTGTCAGGTGGTGCTTTTTCTGGAATACAAGTCGTCCACCGCTCAATGCCAGACTGGCAGCTTGGTGCAAGATGTCAAGAACAGCTTGAAAAGCAAATTCAAAGAAGACACTGAGGCTCAAAATGCAGACTTTGTCGAGAAAGCCGATACATGCAACCAGTAGCCTCAAGCTTGTACAGCATGAGGAGTTGCGGCAGAGAACTTCTACAAGTATTCCAGTCTATCGTAGTTTATCACAGCAACTGCTGCAGCCCTGATTTGAGTCTCACGTCACTTCTGCTTGTTGCAGCTGCTGACAGTTATAGTCATGCTGAGTTAATCGGTTTCTGTAGCTGCTAAACCGAGCGAAGAAGGCTGCCCATCTCGTGGTCAGAGATAAAAAAGTTGAAGTTGCGACAATCATCGACAAGGCTCAAGTTGTGCACGACGCAACAGGCTACTCTGCAAGCATGCCCAAGGCAGTCAGCGCCAAGCCAGGCAAAGCAGCAGACACTGCCAACAATGTCTTCAAGTTCAACAAGGACTTTGGCCAGCACATCCTCAAAAATCCGCTCGTGGCGCAAGGTATCGTCGACAAGTCAGATCTTAAGCCCAGTGATACAGTGCTCGAAGTCGGTCCAGGTACAGGCAACTTAACAGTTCGCATCCTTGAACAATGTCGCAAAGTGATCGCTGTGGAGATGGACCCGCGTATGGCGGCTGAATTGGCAAAACGGGTGCAAGGCAAGCCTGAGCAGAAGCGCCTAGAGATTCAGCTCGGCGATGTCATCAAGACTGAGCTCCCGCATTTTGACGTCTGCATCAGCAATACACCCTATCAAATCTCTTCGCCGCTTGTATTTAAGCTGCTGGCGCAAAAGCCGCCGCCCAGAGCTGCTATCCTCATGTTTCAGCGAGAGTTTGCATTACGACTTGTTGCGCGTCCTGGCGACGCGCTCTACTGCCGGCTCTCTGTCAATGTGCAGATGTGGGCACGCGTCAAGCACATCATGAAGGTTGGACGCAACAACTTTCGGCCGCCGCCACAAGTCGAGTCTTCGGTAGTCAAGATTGAGCCCAAGACGCCGCCACCACCGGTCGACTTTGACGAGTGGGATTCTTTGCTACGTCTTTGCTTTGGCAGGAAAAACAAGACGCTTGGTGCACAGTTCAAGCAGTCTGCGACGGTGGAGCTGCTAGAGACAAATTACAAGACCTGGTGCAGCCAGCATGATGAGATGGTGGACGACACGGAGAGCATCAAGGACAAGATTGCCAGAGTGCTAGAGGACACAGACATGGCGGAGCAGCGGGCGAGCAAGTGCGATGAGGCCCAGTTTCTGAAGCTGCTGTATGCCTTCAACAAAGAGGGCATCCACTTTGCCTGAGGATGATTTTTGTGACTTTGTATATTTTGGCATCTAGCGACGTAATCGCATTCACTTCAGCTCCAGCATCCATCCTTGCCATCACCTCTGCTCGCCTCTAGCATGTTTGCGAATCCATGGTCGCGCTCCAACCAGCGCTTTAATGAGTACTACCGATGCTATTCCACAGCTATGCTCTCGGGCCCGCAACGCGATAGCGTCAATTATGGCGGCAAAATCATCCTGCCACCGTCTGCACTAGACAAGTTGACGCGTCTCAACATCTCCTATCCGATGCTCTTTGAGCTCAGCAATAGCAGAAAGGCCGTTCGATCGCATGCGGGCGTGCTGGAATTCATTGCAGAGGAAGGAAGAGTCTACCTGCCTCACTGGATGATGCGAACGTTATTGCTTGATGAAGGGGACTTGCTACAAATTCTGTCAACCGATTTGCCGCTCGGCTCCTTTGTTCAGCTAGAGCCACAGTCGCCAGACTTTCTCGACATCTCAGACCCAAAGGCTGTCCTTGAAAACACGATGCGCAACTTTGCGACACTCACCACAGGCGACGTGTTTCAATTCAACTACAACGATCGCGTTTATGAAGTGGCCGTTCTGCAAGTCAAACCAGAAACGGACGCGAGTGCCGTCTGTGTGATTGAGACTGATCTTGAAGTTGACTTTGCAGCGCCAAAGGGCTACGTTGAACCCGAGAGGACGAAGAAGACTGCTCCAGGTCGTGGCGTTGGCGCGGCCAATGCTGCAACGCTGGGAGATGCTGGAGCGTTATCAAAGAAGCTTGGGTACGCAGATTTGAGCAAGCCGAAGGAAGCAGCAGGCAAATTTTCTGGTGGTGGTCAGAAAATGAGTGGCAAAGCTGTGACGGTACCAGCAGCGACGGGCGAGGCAGCTTCTATTGGAAGCGTATGTGTTTGTCTACATGTTTGATCGATACTAACGACAGGCGGCGTTCAAGAAAGCAAGCAAAAGCTCTGATGGTGCAAGTACTGGTCCTCCTGCTCCTCTGCGAGTACCACCCGGCACGCTCTTCTTTGGGTATGAGCTGCGACTTCCAAAGGAAGCGGATGGGGAAGAAAAAGCAGGAGAAGCCAACAAGCACAAGTTCTCTGGTCGTGGCGTATCCATCAAACAAGCCGCCAAGAAGGGCTCTTCCAGCGCGACTCCGAGTGTGATCGAGATTGACTAGTCGCAGTGTAAGCTTCCTGATGCTTGACAGGAGTTGCCTGGTCTGATTCTGCCAGAGATGCACAGACGGCAGCTTGAAACACTGCGACCACGACCAGTCTCGACCGCCCATCACCACTTCTTTTATCTTCCCATTCAGCAACATGAGCGCATCTGCGTAGTCTAAGCATGTCTAATACAGTGCCAGTCATCGGGCGCGACACGCCTACTTACATCCCAACTGTACCTTTACCACTCCCAGATCCATTTGACCAGCAGAGCAACTCACGTCTACCGCGCGACTTCCTCTTCATCGTCATTGGTGTCATTCTTCTATGCATCAGTCTGTCGCTCCTAGCGTGGACCTGTACAGCTCCGTGGCGCGCACGACGGTACGCGGCGCTCAGGGCCAAGCGCATTGAGCGAGACGCTGAGCAAGCACGTCTACTGCAAGAGAAGCGACGGTCGCGTCTCTCACTAGCACTAAGTACAGATGCGCCCTCGCACCAACTACTATCGCGTCATGGGAGACCAACGAGCATCTACAACCCTGGCTCTTTGTCCTTTGCACACGCGCCACAGATGAAGCAGGCGGTGGAGCTTGCCGAGACACGACCCTTGTCGAGTGTTCATACCGTCTCTGGAGACCGACGACTGTCAAGACTGCTTACTACTGGCGGGAGAGAGTCTACGGCAGGATCAATAAGCTACGGCACATTATCACGCACTAGCATGCAGCAAAGCACTCGTCCCGTCAGCTTGGCTACGCTCAATCACAGCAAGCCTTCGCCGAACCTTCAGCATCTGCGTCGCTCGCCGCAGTCCAGTGCACCACGACCTGTTTCGCAGGCTTCCAGCTACCTGCCGGCTGGCTACTATCGCCGCAGTGCATTGCTCAACAACACACCGCCACGACCGTCGCGTGAGATGCGACCGCCTTCCTTCTTGCCCATGCCTGAGCTACAGACAAGTCCTGATGGCGATAGCGGTGCCTTTGCGCCAGAGGCTGAGTCGTCAAGGGCGCATTCGACATCATCCGTGCAACAACCACGCAGAAAGCAGAGGCCACCACGACCACCGACTGAGCTACTGCAAGCTTTGCTGAATGATGGTTTGTAGTCTTACAAGTAGTCAAGCTGCACCGGCCTTGCATATTTGACCCGGCCTTGGAGTGGTACTTGCACAAACTTTACGTTCAAATAGAAAGTGACATGGTTGACGGCGAGCTAGCTCCGCCAAGACTCTGGATATTGGCAGGGCGACATGCTCATCGGCTCTGATCTACTGCGTGACTGCGATGCACTTTTTGGCCAAGGGACTTTCCAATCGCATGTCGGCTTGGTCTCAATCTACCTCGTCTTGAAAATCTCTCAAATACATTGCTTTCGCGAGTATGGCTCATCACTTGCTGCAGACGCTCGAAATACTAACTACCTGACTTCTTCTGGATCACAGATTTGCTTGCTTGAAGGAGATTGAATCTACCTCTTTAAAGTACAGTCAAGGTTTGCCGTGACTCAAGACCCTTCATTACGCAAAGGCTTGCACAGCTTTGAAAAGCTGAAAGTCGCTGTCGTCCCAAAGAACACTCGACTCAGTCTCTGGTGCCTTTTGATTGTCCTCTATCAAAGTAGCAGAAAAGACACCCCTTTGGACCCCGCTGCCGGCGTATACGGCATCACACATAACTGGAGCGCCAGATGTCCCATCAGGCGAGGAGCAACCGTTTATTGCATATTCTTTTCAAGTCACTAGCGCTACATGCTCGCGCACGTTTCCATTTGCATGCCATTGGCAATCATAATATTGCAACGACGAGCATGCAGCATGTGGCTATGTGAGCCATCAGGCAACATGTGGGCACATGTCCCAGACCTTCAAATGCGGAACGGCTACAAAAAAATGACCTTCTGAAGCGATTGTCTGCAAGCTGAAGAATTGATCTGCTGCACGCATTCCAATTCTCACTCGCGATTGGTATTGTCCCTGAATGCCAGATGCAGGAGTCGCACACATTGTACGGCATGACTTGCTTGGGCTAGTCAATCAATCAGGAGGACTGGAGTTCTTACGCCTACCGCTTTGATGCTTGAAAAGCAACGCTGTCCTTTTAAGCTTGCAATTGCTATTGTCTATCGCGATCGCGCCTTATCGGACTCATCAAACATTTTCGAGGGCTCAAGGCAATGAAGTCCCTTCATCATTCTTTGGCTGTCCTCATGACAGTTGGGTTATGGGCACTGGTCATGACTGACTCGGACTCCGAAGAATCTGGATCAAGTAGCGCTGACTGGAGTGCAGCTGACGCTCCGCTACAGTGTCAGCCTCTGACGATATTTCTCGGAAAAGTGGTCCACATGCCATATGTAAACGATCCTGCAGCACCCGATCCGTCGTGTCTTGATATCTGCACCGACGAAATGGAAAATTATGAAAGGGGCGTTATTAGTGGGGGTCCCGCACCTGGAATCGCCTGCAATGCTGGTAACGATGTCTGCGTTTGCCTCGCAAATTGGTTGGACCTAGGCCACACCGTGAACTCAGACGAAGCAGAATTATACCAACACTATTATGGTGGTACAGCCCAATTCGGTTCAAACCTCGGTACGGTGTCGACGGAACTGACACATGGTACAGCTAGTGGCCCTACCTTCTGGAATGCCGTGGCTATAATGACGCACAATTCGCAGCTGCAGAGGATAAGGCAGTGGTTGAGGAACAATCCACAACACGGTTCCAGCTCTAGCAGTGCCAGAACCAGCCAGGGGCAAGCAGATTCCTTTCAAACGCAACAATGCTTCTGCGCCATCAGTATTGCATACTCCAGTTTCCGCGTGGATCCATCCCTATGTCCGCTAGAAGGCGACTATGGCATACCTGGCATACCCGCGATGCATGCAGTTGGCGGTTGGTCCCTGACTTCATCGCAGACTGGTTTCCGGTATTGGTTAGGCGATCAGTTTGATTGCCTCGATCAATCTGTTGCAGACCCTCGCGCATGCACAGACCCACATCGGAGCAATCCATGTCACTATTTTCATCCAAATTACGGTGGCAATCCATCAATATCGGCAGCGCACCCGCTTGCTGACAGGCTATAATCAGACTTGCGCACTGCCAATGAAGATGGTCATGACTCAAGGGATCAGTACATTAGATTGCGAGAATATCGAGTATGAGACAAGAATCCTTATCCATAGATGATAGCCAGAGCTGATGAAACAGGCTACCCATCATCTTCGCCTACTGCCATGCACAGCGAAGCGACTGAGCGCCGGTCCAGCCTCAGGCCCAGCCTCAACAGTCTCTCCTCGTTCTCGCTTCAGTCGGTCTTGCTTCATCTGCTTCTCTTGCTGCAACAACCGCTCTACCTTGTTGCGACGCTCATCCACCACATGCTTATTCTTTTTGCGCAAGACACGACGTAGTGCTGAGTTACGACCTCGCTGCTTTTCCCTTGCAACGTATTCAAATTCCGCTGCATCCTTGTCCTTCGCCTCTTGCACCGCCTCGACTACCTCTTGCTTGCGAACACTCGCTGAGGCAGGATCCACCGAACCAATGATGTCGGGTTGTAGTGAAATCATGTTTGGTTGTAACTTCTCCAACAGACCACGGACTTCAGCTGTACGACGTTGTTGCTTCGTCATGTATGGGTTTGCCTCGTAGGCATCGTAATTTGCTTCACCGGCACCTGGTACCACGAGTGACGCATAGCCACTATCGTGTGCACAACCAAGGAAATCTTCATAAGGCGCAAATCGAACACTGCTGACACTATTGCCTTCGAGGTTGTGTACCATATACGGGGATGCTTGCTTCTCTGCCGATCCACCGAGTACATCACGCCACAAGTGAACATGTGAAGACCAACCCGTTGCCAAGATCCCCGTATCTGAGAAATCAACCGATGTAGCAGGTCGTGGTGAAAAGTAATCTTGTAGGCACTTGTGTGTCCGTAAATCCCAGACTTTGATGCGTGAGTCTTGTCCTGCTGTAGCCATGTACTTGCCCTCGCGATCAATGCAAAGTGCACGGACTGGCCCACGATGCGTGAGTAGTCGGACAGCTGGCTCGCCGAGGTTGGGTGTCCATAAGTTGACGACACCGTTGCTGTGCCCAGTGTGAAGAATTGCGTTTTGTCTATTTTGCCGCAAAACGGAGCAAGGCCCTAGCTTTGAGCGGTGTTCAGATACAACAGCACCTGTTGAGATATCCTGGTACTTGAGGTAACCTGTTTGGCCAATTGTCGCAAGAAGGTAGTGGTAGGGCAGGAATTGGAGAGCGTTGACCTCGACGTGGTGTTTGAGACAGTGTACTTCTGCACCAGAGCCGTCGTAGATGTATGTATACTTCTTTTGCGCCACAGCAAAGAGAGACTCGTTGTGTAGAAAGGCAACGTCCTTGACGGTCTCCTTGACGTGGAATTCACACGCCATGCGACCAGCTTTCCAATCAAGCGAAGCGATATGTCCTTTCCTACCGCCGAGAAGCAGATACCGACCATTACGTGTGAAGTCACAGGCATACGGTCCAAAGTCCAGCTTCAAATCGAATGCCTTTTGCGCTGTTGCAACATCGACCTCTTTGCGAATCTGCGGCTGAGTGAACTTGTATGTCCGCTCCAAGGCGCTCTCGGGTTCAAGAAAGCCCGTGTCTTCAACATTGAGCAGCTCAGCCTTTGCGGCTTCTTCTTCGGCGGTAGCTATTTGCGCCTCCTTGCGCTTGAGTTGCGAGCGGAGTTTCTTGTCCTTGAGCTTTGATTTGCTGTTGTTTTGAAGTTGTGGGCCACGACTGTATGTATGACTTGACGGCAAGCCTATCGCTTGACCCTGCGGTGCCTTGATGGCAGTAGACATAGCAATCTTGTATGGTTGTAGATGCGATCCTTGTTCCATGTCGGCGCCAAAATTCAAAAAAAGGCGCGACTTCTCACGCATCAGCAGCAGGACCCAAGACATTCACGAGGATTCATGAAATATGTAGCGAGCGGAGGGAGAGGCAATGGCAGATGAGGCAGATATGAGAGACACTCAGTAAAGCGTAAAGGTTTGTCTTCATCTTGAATCCGACAGCTCCAATATGGTATTCATCATCGTGTCTCTCTTTTCAAATTCACAGCACGGAATAGGCGAGAGATGGTACAGATGCTAGGTGAGCTTTGATTCTGCACTGTAGAGAAAGGCGCTAAAAGACCATGCATGAGCCACATTCAACAAAGAATGAGACGGGATCCCAATAGAGCAAGACTCGCAGGACAGGCACAAGAGATAATACCGATCAACGGTAAGACTTCTGCGACATGGAGCGAGCACCCTTTCCGTTGGGCTTCTTTGGCTCCGAACGACGGGGGTCAGCAACAAGGAGTGTCCTGTCGTATGCAATCAAAGCCTTCTTGAGCTCATTCTTGCTCTGCTCATCAACAAACTTCTGGTAGTATGCAACAATAGCCTTTGCAATGGCCTGACGCAGGGCGTAGATCTGCGAAACATGACCACCGCCCGTCACACGGCATCGGATATCAACGCCGGCGAATTTGTCGAGACCCAAGACAAGGATGGGCTCGTAGACCTTGAGACGCAAGATCTCTGGCTGGAGGAGGGAGATGGGTGATCCATTGACCTTGATGAGACCCTTGCCGGTCTTGCAGAGCGCAACGGCGGTGGAGGTCTTCTTCTTTCCGAAACCTACAATAAAAAGAATATATCAGCATCTCGGATCCTAGAAGGCTAGCGTCAAGCTGCACACACGCAATGAAGCGTCCGTGCACCTTGGCCTCTGGTCTAGCTGATTGGGGTCGACATACACTGAACTTGTTCTGACATGGTTGCTTGAGTGAGAGATGAGTCGCGCTTGCTTCGACTTCTCCTTCTTCCAGCGACAAAAAATTCTGTTTGGCGGGAATGTGACTGCTAATCATTTCAGATGGGACAACTCCTGGTCCAGCAAAGCCAAAAGAGAGAACAAACCTACATAGACGCCTGCCGTGTGCCATTCTCAGCGATAGACTTGGCCATGAGATCCACAAACCTACCCGCCACATCCTCATCCTGGGCAGCAGCCTCGCCAATCATGAGGACCCGCTTGACTCCCACACCCACTTGTGAACCACCAACCAGTTGCTGTAGATTGCCCAAGGCATCTCGCAAGCTGCGTTCATTTGCAAATAAGCCAAGTTCACCAACAAGCTGACCGAGTTGCTGCAAGTCTGCGACTTCCGGAATAGGAATCTCGCTGTCAATGGTATTCAGCAGACCCAATTGGTCAAGGACAGAACGTTCTGACGATGTGGCCAGCACGAGCAACCGCCGTCCCTTTGGTGGTTTCCGCTGCATCAGGACCATCAGTGCTTGAAGGACAGTATTGCTGAATCGTGGGCCAATAGGTACCCAATCAATGATACGCTCAATATTGTCCACAACAATGCACGACAACTGTGACTTGTTGCTGTCTGTAAAGACCTTGTTTAGGCAATTGACCTTTTGAGCCTCATTCATGCCAATCATGCTCTCTGGTGAAATGAGCTTGATGAAGCCAAAGTCGGACTGCATGGCAAGTGTTGCTGCAAGGGCAGATTTACCGGCACCAGCAGGACCATAGAGTAAGACACTGACAAGTGGCGTACGCTCAGACTTGCGTACTTGGTTGATAAACAACTGTCCCTCTTTCAAAATTTCACCAATTTGAGGGGAATAGTGCAAGATGCCCGACTGAACAACACTGGAGAGTTCTTCCTCTGATACGCCAAACGCCGGTCGTACCTCATCCAGCGCATGCATAAAGTCCTCACGACGCACCTGCATATCCTCAATCCCCTTTTCAAATGCAGCCACCGTACCGCCCTTGACATAGGAATTCATTGCAAAACTCGAAGCCGACCGTACAAGACCCGATAACTCTGCGCCTGAAAAGTTTTTCGTCAATGCAGCGAGTTCCTCAACATCCACATCACCTGCAAGACTACCACTTGTCCGCATGTGGTTTGTATGGATTTTGAGAATTTGTGAACGACCGTGTGTGTCTGGTAGGGAGATTTCAACATGGACTTCCAATCGACCTGGTCGTAGCAGGGCTTCGTCAATCATGTCTAGTCGGTTGGTCATACCAATAATGAGGATATTGTTGAGTTGGTCGACACCATCCATTTTGGAGAGCAGCTGATTGACCACCGAGTCACCGACACCCGTGCCACCACCTGTAGATCCACGCTGTTTGCAAATTGCATCGAGCTCATCAAAGATAATGATGTGTAACGAACTCTCGTCACCCTTCTCCTTGTACTCCTTTTCCGCATCTGCAAAGAGCTTCCTGATATTCTCCTCTGATTGACCCACAAACTTGTTGAGGATTTCAGGACCATTAACGATTTTGGGTTCATTTGCATTCAGCATCTTGCCAATTTGTCGCGCCATCAGGGTCTTGCCTGTACCAGGCGGTCCGTACATGAGGATACCTTTGACGTGCTGTAATCCCATTCGCTGAACGATGCCCAATGGCAGGACGCGCGAGGCAAAGGCTCGTCTAAAGATACTGCTGAATTCATTATCGAGACCACCGATTCCCATATTCTCAAACTTGAAGGACGGTTGAATGATGGCATTGGCGGGGGCTCGTCGAGTCGATGCTTTCAATTGGATGGGTAATGTGCCACTCCTAAAGAACTCAATCTGCGAGTCGCGCGTCAAAATGCCGCGTGTGCCTGGATGATCTGATGACGCAGCTGCTTCTTCACTTGCAACGGCATAACTCGTCAATGTCACAGCCTTGACGCACGCTTTAATCATATAACTCTTGAAATCCACCACCAGCAATTGACCTGGCGCAAACGGCTGATGCTCATAATTCCGACATAGCTGTTTTTGTAGTTCTTCAGGATCAAAGGCTTCCTCTGTCGTTCGATTCTTGCTGTAAAACCCAACTTCTAGATCCATTGAGCCGATATACACGAGTGCCTTTTCGCCTTGGCTATAGGGATCCCAAGGTGTCACGGTAACTTGATCACCGACAGCCAAACGACACCATTCACGCTGCGCAACACCGAACCCAATTTGACCCGGTGTGACGTGTTCATCCGGTTGAACGGCGAGTGCTTGTTGGTTGTTGAGGAGGAGATATCCGATATTCCCAAAATCAGCAGGATGCACACATACGACGTTACGGAGGGCTAGTGCGTTGCCACCACCAGCGGGCAGACCAGCAACGGTATAGCCGCGGGGTTGTTGTGTGGAGTAGGCGCGGTCTTGTGGCTGAGGTACTGGACGGCCTTGTTGTTGGGCTGGGGGAGCTTGGCGTGTGGGTATGGATTCCTGCTTGCGAGGGGAGGGTGCGAATGGGTTTGCAGGGAATCGACTCGTCATGGGCGCCGGTTGGAAGTGTAGTAGAGAGCTGCTTGTCGTGTCGAGTCTGTCGAATGTGTGTGACGTTTTGGACCATACGCGCGTACACAGCGACACACCACAAACGCGCTCAACCTGCCATTGCTTACTAGACGCTACAAGAGCAAGCCATGTTTCTGACGCGCTCCGAGTATGATCGGTCTGTCACTTCCTTCAGCCCTGAGGGCCGTCTGTTCCAGGTTGAGTACGCTATTGAAGCCATCAAACTCGGTTCAACAGCTATTGGTATTTGCACGAGTGAAGGTGTCTTGCTCGGTGTTGAGAAGCGGGTAGGCAGTGTGCTTATGGAGTCTTCGTCTATTGAGAAGATTGTGGAGATTGATACACATATTGGATGTGCCATGTCTGGCTTGACGGCGGATGCTCGAACGATGATTGATCATGCGCGTGTGGAAGCACAGAACCACCGCTTCACATTTGACGAACCATTGCGTGTTGAGTCATGCACGCAGGGTGTGTGTGACTTGGCACTGCGCTTTGGAGAGGGTGGAGATGAGGATGATGAGCAAGAAGTCATGTCGCGGCCATTTGGTGTTGCCTTGCTGATTGCTGGTGTGGATGAAGATGGACCTTCGCTCTACCACGCTGAGCCGTCTGGTACATTCTTCAGGTACGATGCAAAAGCAATTGGGTCCGGGTCTGAGGGTGCACAGGCTGAGCTACAGACTGCATACCACACATCACTGACGCTGGTGGAGGCAGAGGCCCTTGCCTTGAAGGTGCTGAAGCAGGTGATGGAGGAGAAGCTGGATGCGAAGAATGTGCAGCTTGCGAGTGTGACGCGGGAGCATGGGTTCAGGATCTATGACGATGCGAGGATGAAGGCTGCGGTTGAGACACTGGAGGGATGAGTAGATGCATAGTTGTGACTGCTGCACTCCCGTCGCGTCTGAATCTCGAATTTATTTTTTGTTTCTGGACGCGACTTGGGAAGCAGCAGCAGCAGCAAGGGGACCGCAACACCCATCCACATCCATCCTGAACACCTTCTACTCTCTACTACTCCTGCTCAGTCATGTCCTCACTCGGCAAGCGCACAAGGAGAGTAGCCGCAGCAGACCCAGTCACTCCCTCAAAGCGCAGAATCATACAGCTCCTCACACCAGACACAACGCCCACAAAGCCATCCCCGAGCCGCATCGCGTCTCTCAAGCAGCGCAGTACGCCTAGCTCAGTAGGATCGCCCTATTCTCCCACAAAATCAATTCTGCGTCGTAATGCAGTCACACCAGTGGTTGGTCGCGAAGAGGAGTCCCAGGCACTGCAAGCATTTCTAGAGGATCCAGAGCAGCCGCTCTTGTATATCTGTGGGCCGCCTGGCACGGGCAAGTCGGCAACAGTCTCGCAGTACACACAAACACTTCCTGTCGCGAACTCTCAGCGGGTCTTTATCAATTGCGTGTCTCTCAAACGACCGGATGAAGTGTACGCGACGATCCTGGCAAGCATTGACCCAACGGCTGCCTGTGCGACTGCATCTGCAGCACGCAAACGGCTGACTGCATACACAAAGCTGTCAACCTCACATCAACTCATCTTAATTTTGGATGAAATGGACTACCTCTCCTCCAGCAGCCTTGATACACTCTACGCACTCTTCGAACTTGCTAATGGCAAACACGTCAAAATCATTGGTATTGCCAATGCCCTCAATCTCACAGACACTGTGCTTCCACACTTACAAGCAACGGGCATTCAGCCCACCATTCTGCGCTTCAAACCCTACACCCCTGCTGAAATCACACGAATTCTGACGGCGCGTGTCAATGCCATTGCGAATCCAGCACAGACACTCGTGGATCCACCTGCACTCTTATTGCTCGGTCGAAAAGTAGCCAATGCAACAGGTGATATTAGGAAAGCGTTGGATATTCTACGACGCGCAGTAGAGCTCGTTGAAGTGGAACATCGCAGTATTCTCACTGAAATGGACACAAATGCACCAAGCACACTCCTTCCAAAAGTCACGCTGAAGCATGTCGCTCAAGCAGCGGCACAAGCCTTAACGGCTGGTATGGCTACCTCTGACCATCTTCGCAAACTCAGTCTGCATGAACTTGCATGTCTCTGCACCTTGGCCTCACAAAAGACAAACACCATTGCAGAAACGTATGAAGCCTACGTACGTCTTTGCAAACGTGACAAAATGACCACAGCACTTGTCAGGACGGAGTTCACGAATATCTGTGAGGCCTTGGTGGATCGTGGCATGTTGGCGATTCCGAGGGGTAAAGTTGGGTCTGCTCGAATGATGAGGCAAGGAAGTGGTCAAGGGCAGCATGGACAAGAATCACGACCTATTGTGCTCGCTGTATCGGAGATGGAAGTATTGAATGCTATTGGCGATTTGGGCGTGTTGAGGCGCTTCTTTGAATGATGTATAGCATAGACTGCATGTAAGAATGTAAGATTCACACATTGACTAGACCTGCCAAACGACAATACGTCCATCTACACCCGAGGTACTCACCTGTGACACATGCCCACGCTCACCTTTATACGCCGAGACTTGCGTCACTGTGTTTTGATGAATCGTTGGCAATGCCGTCTCACTCGTTCCAGCACCACCCTTCATGTCCATATCCCTAAAAGAGTTCCTCAATGACTTGAATGCACCGACCTCCTCCTTCTCCACACCAGCTTTCGTATCAATGGCCCGTGTCTCCTGCCAAGTGCCAGCATCGCCTGAAAACAAGACAGGTGCACAATTATGCCCAGCAGCAACGAATGCTGTTTCTGAAACAAACTGTAAGCTCGTCATGGGGAGTCCGCCATACGGTACTTTCGTCACGTTTGCAGCGCCGTCTTCGCCAGGTGTTGCAATTTCAAGCGTCGATGCATGTGTGGCATACGCGATACAATCCCCAGAAGGTGAGAATTGGACATCATGAATCCAACCACCGGCGTTGGCTTCCAGACACAGCGTATTGAAGGGGAGTCTGCTCCCCCACACACTCGGCTCTGGTTTCGCATCGACATCTTTGATGAATGCGCTAAACACACGTACTCGCATATCGGTAGAACCAGCAGCGAGCAATACATTGTTTGGATGCCAGTCGAGGGAGAGAATGGTGGATTTAATGGGTTTCTTGAGGTGTTTTGAGATCCACCAGTCATTTTCCTCTTCAAAGTAGCAAATAGCAATCAAACGTGCTGCACTGGCAACGGCAAACTTGTCTTCCTTGGGAGACCAGCGTACCATTGTTGCACCACGTTGCATACGAAGGAGGACGAGGGTCGGTTTCCATAGACCTTTTGTGGCATCCCATGTCCAGACATTTGCATTTCGATCCTGCGAACACGTCACAATACGATTCGTGGTCGGTGCCCAATCAATCGAAGTGACAAGTTTATCATGATCAGATAGGACTGCTTCGAGGATGAACTTGGCATGGATGGAAGCGCGTTTGTAGATTTCAACAACGTTGGAGTTTTTCGAGACGGCAACTTGTGTGCGGTCGGCATTGAAGGCGTGGGCTGTGATGGGTCCTTCGAGGTTAAGATGATGGAGTTCGGTGGACATGCTGGAGAGAGAGGGTCGCTCGATCTTTCCTGTCCTTGTAGCTCCGGTAGCTGTTGTCCTTCGTCGCCGTCTGCTCGTCATCGCGGAGGCATACTTCAGATGGGAAGGCAGAGTCCACTGCACCAGACTGCTCCATCCCTCGACATTCTGCTGGGTTTTCAGGTTAGGTATCTGTCTATCTCGTCGCATATATCAGCAGGACATGCTTGACTGTGCTGCTTGCGATGGCTCCTCGTCCGACACAAGACAAACTTGATGGGCTTACTCGCTTTTGAATAAACACATGTATACACCGTACAGATATTTGAGATTGTGCATGTCCCAGCAGCAGTTCTCACTCAAGCATTGGCTTTCTGAACGATCACTCCAACGGTCAAGAAGGTCTATCAGTGAACAGGTAGGGAACAGCTGTCCATGCCAAGGCTATGATGGTTCGTCGCTGACAGACATTGATTACCTTCGCCATCATGGAGCTCCCTGCACTTCTGCAGTTGATGATAGCAGACAGGAGAGTCTGAGAAGACAAGCACTTGCTCTCCCATGCTCGAATGTAGTATTTTGGACTGCTTTTCCGGTTGCACATTGGTTTGCGCCCAAAACAAAAACAAAAATCCAAGACGCGCCCATCCTCAACCACCACGACATAACGCAGCTCAGACGCCAGCAATGAGCCAAAGCATGAGCTACGCGCAGCCGGTCGTCTATCACTACCCAACACTGCCTCCAGATGAGATCACGGCATGTCTTCGAGAATTGCACATCGCCGTCACGGCAGACGATCTAGTCCGACCTACAGCGAGCAAGATGCAGCTCATCTACTCCATGTTTGCGGATATCATGATGGGCGTCACCTCAGACTTCATCTATAGCTGTAAAACAGCCTGTGAGCAATGCTCAGACCACCCAGATCTCTTTGCAGATCCAGCACACCTCATGATCTTCTACAACTATCTTCGCATCTTGATGAAGGAAGTCGGGTATCACCAATTCGCGCTGCAAGATCTCATCAAACCCGAACCCAAACGCGTCTTGCAAAACTTGTCTGCCATTATCAATTTTGCAAAGTTTAGGGAAGAGCGATTGGGTGTGTATGAGCAATACACTGCAAAGGCCTCTGAGCTCTGGGAAGATCATGAACAGATCCTTGCAGACAACAAGGAACTCATTGATTCCGTGGAGGAAGTCCGCGCCAATCGTGTACGCGAGGAACCACACGTTGCTAAAGCCAAGCAAGTGAATGAAGGCCTCACTGCTGAATTGTATGACTTGAAACGCGTCGAGGGACAGACCATGGCAGAGTATGATCGCGTGAAGGGTGAAAAAGCCGAACTCACAGAACGTCTGCATCAACGACAAGTATTGCGACAGAATGCTGAACGCGACACAGCGAAAGTCAAGTTGAAGATTGTGCATTCGCCGGAACAGCTGAAGCAGGGATTACTGGACATGTCCGCCTCTCTCAAGGATGAACGTCAGCGTATTGAAGAACGCGGACTGCATAGCCGCTGTATCGGCGCAAAGGCAGACAAGCTGGGCTTGATTGAGCGTGATTTGGATACCTGCATCAAGCTCTATGAAGAATGCGTCGTTGAATTGCACCGCGTGGAAATGGCGCGCAAGAAGCGATCACATGTGGAGGAAACGCTTGATGGCAAGCGTTTGGATGTGCGTGACTTGAGTGTCCGTGAGACGCAGCTGCATCGGCAAGTAGCCATCAATGAGGATAAAATGGCGAGGCTTACGAAATGGGTGGATGCAAAGCTTGAGGCGAATCGTGCAAGGATGGCACGCAACGAGGAGGAACACCGTGAACTTCAGGATGACCGTGTACAGATGGACAACGAAGCTGACAAGAAGCATGCCATCATTGAAGCCACGCAGAGCAAGATTGATGCGCTCAGGGAGGAGTTGAATGCAGAGGTGGATGATGTCAATATGGAGTTTGCAAAGCTGTCGGATCATGTGTCGTTGTACATGGGTATGATCGCGCAGACCATGCAGCAGTGTGCTATCGTCTCTGAGTAAATCAGATTATGTATATTATTGAGCTAAGAGCGTTTCAAGCGAATGAGACCTTTCATCATGTCGAATGAATTGCCATCTGCTTGTAGACCAACACGCTCGCCGCGGCCAACGTCCACAAGGAGCGTGCCATGCTGCAAATCTATCCCGACCACCCTTCCCTGCTGGCCTGTTTCTTCGAGCGTGACGGGTTGATCGTGATGCAACCATCGCTGATAGTATCGATCCGCCAATGACCTGAATGAGCCTTCCTGCAGCATCGCAGCATGGTAGTGTTCAAGCACCGCCAATAGTCTCGCTAGCAACGTCTCCATATCAATCCGCTTGTCACTCCCAAGATGTTCCAGAACTGTGTTCAAAGCCACTGTTGGTTCTGGATTTAATACATTGATGCCGACACCAACGATCATCATGAAGGTATCCTGCCAATACGTCGTACTAACAAGACTCCCTGAGACTTTGACGAACTTATTCTCGCCTTGTACAAATGCAGGTGCTTGCTCAGGCACCGCGAATCCAGCTGGCAATTTGACGTAAATGTCATTTGGCCACTTGATGTGTACTTCAAGTGATGATAGATCGCGAATAGCTTCAACCGTGGCAAGGGAGATGAGATATTGCATAAAGACAAGGGTGTGGCTTGCCTTGCTGGGATGATGCATAATCATGCTGAATGATAGCACGCCCGGTGGCGACACCCAAGCATTACCACCACGGCCACGTCCAGACAGCTGATGAGCACACAACAAGACGAATCCGTGCGGTAAGTTGCTGAGTAGCTTGAAGTTCTTATCAAGTAGCGTTTGTGAGGAGGTGACGGTTTCTCCGTACAATAGCTTGGAACCAAGAGATGTTTGCGAGCCTGTGTAACGTGCAAGAGAAGAGAAGTATCGCTCCAGGTCGAATGACGGCAGTACTGGTGGACTGGCCGAAAGCGAGAGATACTTTCGCTGCGCATCAAGATCATCCTCATCAGATGCGTCAACCGGCCGATCTGATGGAGATGCTAGGAGCTGGAACGTGTCGTGCTCGCCAGTAATAGTATCGCCATCAGCAAGACTTGACAGGAGTGACAAACACGCTTGATGCTGCTCGGCAGTCGAAGCGCAGAGATGCAGTGTCGATAGAGTTGGTCTCTCTGCAGCTGTCGCATTCACCTTGAGGCCTAGCCTCTCGAGAAGTCTACCCAGAAACAAAAGTCGTGCAGTTTCAAGCTTCTCGAGGTCTTCCCCAGGCAACTTGTCTGCATCGAGCGTTCCAAGCGCAATCTCAGGGTGTACTCCACTGAGAAGTGCTGAACCCTTTCCAACAGGTATTTGAACAACCGCCACATTCCCACCCGTGACTTGCACATCCGTGTCTGCGTATCTTGCAAGGACTTGCACATCCGGAACTTGCTCAGCATCAACAAAGATACCGCCACCATTATAGTAGATTCGCACATTCTCTGCGATCGACCCAGTCAGCGTGGCAGCCCGGGCTCCGTGTTCAGAATTGTACATGAACCCTGGAAATGCACATCCACGACAAGTTCCACGAAAGAACTTGAGTTCTCTATCACCCGTGACTTCAAGCTGTGCATCACCTGCTTCAAACTCAACGCGTGCAGAAGCATAATACGCGCCTGCGCATAAACCGAGGTATTGCCCGCCATTTCGCAAGTAGGAAGCAATTCGACTATTGCCAGGTCCATTCAAGGCTTCGCAGTAGGGTAAATCACGACCGCCTGGCATGACGAGTAGCACGGTACTTGCCTGCCAGGGTTCTTGAATAAGCGTCTCTGCATTGATGGAACGAATGGCATAGCGTGGAGTCAAGAGCGCTGTGAGGGAGGCATGGCATGCTTTGACGGATTTCGGCGAGGTGCCGGGACCGTTGTAGATGAGGACATTCATACCAAGCCGGAGCGAGCGATGTAGCAGCGGCAACGTAGCTTTCTCAAAAGAGAAGGAATAATGAGAGCAAGAAGCAAGGTGAAAAGCAGATGGTCGTGGGTTGGTCAGAGGTGAAGGTCAAATATTGATGAGCGAACTATGCTTGACCGACTCCTGTAGAAAAGCTACACACGTACTATCTTGCAGAAGGCAGGAGCAGATCCAACGACTTGCCCACATGCCAGGACGGATCCACTAGCTGCTCACGCGCATTGTACAAATAACGATAGCTCGTGCGAATGGTGGAGTCACTAACACCAGCAATCTCTGCAATCTGCTTTGGCGTCTTTTGAATCCCATAGACGTGCGAAATCATGTAAATCCCTGCAGCGGCAATAGAGATGGGCGAGCGTCCATCCAGTGTACCGGCTTTTTGTGCACGTTCCGCTAAATCTTGACAGGCAGAAACGACATTTTGGGGTAAGCCAAGTCTGTTGCAGAATCGAATCATGAGTTCAGCAGCACTTGTTGCCATTGTTGGGCGGTAGCCGTCTGGTCCTGTTGCAGAGGCAGAAGCACCTTCAGTCTGCAGAATCTTTTCAAGCGCTTTAAACGCTTTACCCAGATCCTTCTTGCCGACCGTCGTCAATGTACAAATCTCCTTGATGGTACGCGGGACATTGCCTTGTCTGCATGCAATGAAGATGCAGGCGGCAATGATGCTCTCATTGGAGCGTCCCTTAAGTGCCTTGTTGTCATCCACACGTTTGTACAGATGCTTTGCGATATCCTGTATACTTCTTGGTAGGGAAATAGCTTCACACATGGCAGAAATGTCCTTGTAAGCATTAACCAGTGTCTGCTCACCTTTTGCCTGAGAACTCTTTCCTTGTACACGCGCAAGTGCTGCACTCGATGCACTATTGGCCGCAATGATTGTATCGAGCTGTGAGCCATTCAACAAGTCATTGCGTACGGCACCAATACGAGACGGGTCATCGCCTGCTTCGTCGTTGGAAAAGGTTCGCCACTCTGATCGCGTATCAACGATACGATCACCTAGTACAAGCCTAAAGAGAAGAAGACAGGTCAATATCAACGGGGTTTTTAAGTGGTGGCAAACGGAAGACTAGCTTACCCACAAGTACCACAAACAGTATCGCCCGAGCTGAACTCCTCGATGAGGTTTGGTGGATCCTCGCGGCATTCTTTGCACATGAGGGTCACCACGAAATGAGAAGCGAGGTCGACTGGCTTGGCCTTTGTCTGTGCGCTCATGATGGACATGGCTCGGTGTGCAGCTGATTGCGGGTTTGCGCCTTTGTGTAGTTGCAACAGTCGCGCTTTGACAAGGGACGCAAAGAGTGCAGGAGTGCGATGGGATGCGCTCGCTGCTGATGGATGACCGACCGTCGGCGGGACACAACCTCGTTCACTCGCTGCTGGAGGAAGAGTTGGTTGTTGGATGGCGAGTTGCGGCGTTGACTTTCTCGATATTTCTACACGGACAGCTGCTATACCTGGTGCTATACCATGAGTCTCTCTTGCTCTCTCTGTCAGTACTATCGAGAGCCAGGCCTACCGGCGACTGCGATCATGCAGCTCAGCAACAGTCTCTGCAAGTCGTAGAAAGGCCGCCTGCTGCTCCTTCACAGCACCCATCAACAGCGCCGCATCCACCTGCGCACCATGTCCCTTCAAATGCCGTACATGCTCCTCAACCTGCAAGATCAACTTCGCATATCCACGCATATCCAGCTCAGCTTGATCGGTTGTCTCGTAGAAATACTTGAGCACAGGATCAGACGTACTCCGTAGATTCACCGTCCCACTCCGCAAACCATCCACGAACCGCGTACTCAATAATGCATGTTCGCCGTCCAACCGCACAGCATCCCGTAGTCTTTCTAGTGCTGTGCTATCACTTGCAAGGGACGCTTTGAGTTGTCCATACCGTCGTGTGATTTCTTGCACATCTTGCTTGACTGAGTCAGCTTGTTGCTCTGAGGTTTCGTGCTTGAGGGCTAGTTGATCAGAGATGGACTTTTGTGAGGTGATGTGCTTGTCGAGCTGTTCAATCATGTTTTGTACATCTTGCGGTAGGTCGAGAACGCGCGTATGACGGTCAATGGTCGTTTGCTGTTGTGTCTGTTGCTGTTGCTGCTGAGACTGACCGAAGGATGGCTGCTGCTGTTGCTGTGGTTGGCCAAAGGTTGGTCGTGATTGCTGCGGCTGCTGCTGCTGCTGCTGCGATGCGGTGCCGAAGCTGAAGGACGGCGTCGCCTGCTGCTGCTGCTGCTGCTGCTGCTGCGTTGCTGTGCTCTGTCCGAAGCTGAACATGGTGTAGCTGGAGCAGTGTAAGTGCTTGTAGTGAGTGGTCTTGGTTGTCGCGTCTTGACCTCGACAGTCGCATCCATCCATCGCAACCAAACACATCCACTGCCTCTGCTCTCTTCTCTGTCTATCTGCTGGGCTAGTCTGCCATGGACGATGATCTAGATGATCTGTATGGCTACACATCAGCCTCACCCAAAGCAGATACTTCAAATCAACAAGAAGCCCAAGACGTCACTATGAAGGAAGAAGAAGCCGACAAACAATCAGCCAGCGGTTCCGGTAGCTCAGACGATGAGAGTGAGATTGAGTTCGTGATTGCTACAAAGCCTGGTCAACGCGCTGAACCACCGGCCAATAAACCACTGCCCTTCTCAGGTGCTAAAGTCGCCAAACCTGCAGTCGCCAAACCTGCAGTCAAGGCTGAAGATGGAGCCGCTGCTGCTGCTGGTGCTGCCAGTACAACACAAGATGTCACAGATGGCTCTCATACAGCTGGTACTACAGCTGCGATAGGACGGAAAGAGCCCATGCAAAAATTACCGAATGTCGATATCCATGCCATTGCCCAACTCGATGGCAAATCGATCCTCGAAATCGACCTCGAGGCACTCGAGCATAAACCGTGGCGGCAAGAAGGTGCAGACATCACCGACTACTTCAACTACGGCTTTGATGAATTCACATGGACTGCCTATGTCAATAAGCAAAAACAAATTAGGAGTGAATATACGCCAGACAAAGTCATGGCGAATATGCTCCCTGACCCAATGATGATGATGCCAGATCCATCCATGTTCGTTGACCGACCGTTCTCAAAAATTTGCTAATACTCAGGATGGGAGGATTTCCTGGTGCAATGGATCCAATGTTTATGCAAGGTATGTTCAATGGCCAACAAGACTTCCCAGGACAACCGCCGCCGTTCATGCCGCCTCAACAACAACATAACCAACAACAACCGGCATTTACAGGACCAGCAAGTCGAGCAATGCAACAAAATCGACCGAGCCATAGTCCCGCGCCACCACCACCTGCACCGGGTGGGTTTGAAGAGATGCCCAAAATCCCGACTGGTCCGAGTAAAGGCAGGGGAGGACGCAGCAGGCGCTGAGTTGCCGCTGATCTTGGGGCCATGGAGTCGGAGAGTAAATAAGCATAGCTGCATCGAGTATTCCATCTGGTGAGCTGAATCGTGAGAATTGGTCGTCCATCAACCAGCAAGATCAAGACAAACTACAGTACACAACCCAGGACACGAGCATGGATCTCGTCAGTCAGCTCGAAGACAGGCTCCTCTTCGCCATTCCCAAAAAGGGTCGTTTGTACGAAAAATGCCTGCAATTCCTTGATGGCGCCGACATCAAATTCTCCCGCAATCATCGCTTGGATATCGCATTGTCTCTCAATATGCCCGTGGCTCTCATCTTCCTACCGGCGAGTGATATTCCTCGTTTTGTGGCTGAGGGTAATGTTGACCTGGGTATCACTGGACAGGATCAAGTCGCTGAATCATGCGCGATGGATACCGATATCCACGTATCTGAATTACTGGATCTGGGTTTCGGCAAGTGTAAGCTACAGGTCCAAGTGCCCGGTGCAGGGCCTATCAAGCGGGTGGAAGACTTGATTGGCAAACGCGTCGTGACCTCGTTCGATGTCATTGTTCGCGAGTACTTCCGCAAGCTAGAGTCCAAGCAGGCTGGCAAGGACATCAAAGCTTCTGAGATCCAAACGCACATCAAGTATGTCGGTGGCAGTGTTGAAGCTGCCTGTGCACTTGGTGTTGCGGATGGTATTGTGGATCTTGTTGAATCTGGTGAGACCATGCGTGCTGCTGGTTTGATGGCCATTGAAACGGTCATGGATACGTCCTGCTGCTTGATTCAATCATCCCATCCCAAACACCCAGAACTCATCTCAACCTTGCTCAAGAGAATACAAGGCTACATGTCTGCACAAAAGTACGTCTTGTGCACCTACAACGTCTCGCACTCTTGCTTTGATGCGTGTGTCAAAATCACACCTGGCAAGCGGTCACCCACCGTGCAGAATCTCGAAGGCCAGGTGGATGGTGAGTCTTGGCGGTCTGTGTCAGCCATGGTGCCAAAGAAGCGATGCGCAGACATCATGGATCAGTTGACGGAGGCTGGTGCACACGATGTGCTCATCACATCTATTCAAAATTCACGAGCATAAGAGCCATTTTTGACAAAGTCTTCCAGAAGAGACAAGAGACGGGTCGTTCCCATAGAATTGATAGACATCACCCAACAATCTAAATCTCATCAATGTCAAAGTCGAATTCGACATCATCATCCTCGCCCTCACCACCAAAGGTATCCGTTTCATTGATCTTTGCAGTCTCTGGCAACTCGCCATAAGCTTTGAGACTACGCGCCTCATCCGCCGTGTACTTCAAAATCACATCTCCCTTCTCATCCTGGTATTCTCGCAGGGAGAGTAAAATGATATCACCTTGATTGATCCACACTTTTTTACGCAACTTGCCACGAATGTGTGCTAGCCGCTTTTCACCATCAAAGCACGCAGCTTCAAGTCGACCATTGCCAAGCATTTTAGTTACTTGCGCATAAATTTGACCATCTTCTGCAAAGACGAGGTCGCGCTTTTCTCCCTCACTAATTTTGTTAGTGGTGTTCCACAAAGATGCGCATGAAGCTAGTTGGAGAAGGTGTTGCGATGAGGCTGATGTGCGTCATTCGTGCCTCACAAGCAAGACGCACGCCGGACCAGTAGCACCATGAGCGTGTTTGCACATGACGACAACAGCAGTCCGCGACCAAGACCACACGTTCCTCTCACTGCGCTGCGCACCACAGCCACTCACTTTTCGTTCTTTCCTCTCCTTCTGTTCTTTCCTCCCTTTCCTTTATTCTTCGGCATCGCTGCTGATGATTGTCTATGGGGAGTCTTGTCTGTCTTGAGCTTCTTGTGACTTTGATAATTTCCTTGCCCTAACCCTGAATCATCCATCTGATCCTTCTCTACTTGAGCATACTCAGGCTACTCCCTAAGCTGTGGATGTAAATGGACAGCTGTTTTGTAAGCTGCAGATGTCAATAGACACCTAGACAAAGCCTGATTTGACAGACAACCGCTTCTCAACAACACCAGCAACAGTTCTCCGTCCATGCACGCCTCTCACCGCATCGCCACCCCTCTCTGCTCTCCCTTGCTCTGCCCAACGCTTCCATACACTCTCCTTCCGTCTCTTCCACCGCTCCGCTTGTGCTGCGGCTTCTTCAGGAGTCGGTTGCCATTTACTCCGCAAAATACGTCGTACTGCCTCTGGACTGACTTTGAAAATCGATGCAAGTTTAGGTACATCGTAATCTGGATTTTCTGCACGTAATGCACGAATGCCTTGCATAGCTTCCGGTGAGAGTTTCTTACGTGGTTGCCAGGGTTCTTTGATGGCGGACCCACTCACTTCATCGAGACGCGTGAATTTCTTGTTGAGTGCTTCTTTCTGGATGAGCCAGTCTGGTTTCTTTTTGATGGGTGGTGACCATTTCTCTGGACGTGACGGTCGACGCAGGGCACTATCGAGGGAACTCCCATTATCTCGATTTCCTGAAAGGACTCTGGGTGAGGGAAAGGGTAGTTTTGTCTTTTGTGGACGTGCTGGTGGTGGCCGATAAATGGGACCTGGTATGTTTTTGAGGAGTTCATCGGCTTCTTGAGCAGCGATGCTTCGTTCACTATAGCGTCGTAGACTTTGCTTAATAGAGAGCTTCATGGTAGATGAGGTTTGGCGCGTTGCTTGGCTGCTTGCATTGAGACAGCCACGACATAGCCACATTCTACAAGAGATGGCCAAACAGCTATGCTCAAAGATTCCCTAGATAGAGCAAGAGAAGAAGATGGTCCTCAGCAGTATGAAGCAGCACAGGGCAGTCAATTATGTGGTAGATGGTATAGTATCACTAGTGTCTCTTGCGGCAAACTTTCATCGATTCACACGCAGAAACTCCATCGACGACCAGGAACCACACGAACAAATCACGATGCCGACGCGCGCCAAGAAAGCACAAGCAGAAGCAGCCGTGGCGGCAGCGTCATCACCTTCACCTGCGCCAGATGCAGAGACGCGTGCAGAGTCGCCGTTGAGTGAGGCGCATACAGAGTCGCAGAGTGGTGATGCCGTGGATGCAGAGGGTGCTGGGATGCAGGCTGATGAAGATGGCGAACAAGATACTGCTGCTGCTGGTGATGATAATGATGGAGATGATGATGAAGATAAGGCGATGACCGCGCCTGCGGTAGAAGTCGAGGAGGATGTGGCGGTAGAGGGAGATGAGGAAACGACTGGGAAGGAAGAAGAGATCAAGATGGACACAGACGCACTATCACCCAAGGCAAGTGTCAATAAAGATATGGAAGAGTCGAACAGTGGCGAAGTGGACGACGAAGCGATGCCTGAAACGGTTGAGGAAGACGCAGACGAAGATGAACCACTACCACAAGCGCCAAGAACCACAGCGCCTGATCGAACGCTCAAGGATTTCCTCAAAATTCTAGACACCCATGCACCGATCGTGCGTCATCTTTTCTGCCACGCCATCACCCTGCTAACATGTCTTCTAGATTCCTGACGCAGTGACAGATTATTACCTGAGCCAAGCTGGCTTTGAGTGCGATGACCCACGCGTCAAACGCCTCCTCGCCCTGGCCGCACAAAAGTTTGTGTCTGATATTGCACAAGATGCGTATCAACACAGCAAGATCAGATCGAGCGGGACAACGGGTGGTGGTGCGAGTGGTGCTGCTGGTTCGTCCGGTGTGCCAGCAGCACCCAAGGGTGGACGTTTTGGTAAAGACCGCGGCAGGGCAGTCTTGACGATGGATGACCTTGGCGCTGCCGTGCAAGAATATGGCATTAATATCAAAAGACAGGATTTCATGCGGTGAGAGCAAGCGTATAGCAAGAATTTCATCAGCATGCTTTGTATCAAAACAAGCTACAGTCATCTCAATTCGGTCCTCTAGTCCAGCTTGAGAGGCGCATTCTCCCAACGCACACCGTCTTTCGTGATGATGGCAAACTCCAAGCCATCGCCCGTCTCAATGTGCCTTTCCGTCGCACTAGTGAATGCATCGCGACACAAACTCAAGACTTTATCCAGCGGCAGCGGTGTTGCTGCTTTGGGCTGCCCTTGCTCATCATACTGATTCTTGAGATTGACCTGATTATCCAGGAATGGCATCATCAATGACGCCGCTGCACCTGCTGCACGACATTGTTCCCGCTCATACGAACCAACAGGGTCAAAGGAGTACACTGCACCGACACCCTTCTCATCCAACCCAGCAACGATCGTATGCACGTAGTACGGGAAGAACCGTTTCCCATACAACATGGTCTGAATGAGCCTTGCAGCAGCTTGCACAGACAAAGGTTTATTGTGCTGGTGATGGTACCATTCGAGTCGCTGCTGTAGGCGTTTAATGAGAGTCAGGCCATCTGCCATGTATCCAACAACACTAACGACAACGTTGTCGCCGATGTTGAAGGCGCGTTGCGCATAGCGTGTGTTGATGCTATAGCCGGCCGTGTGGCGTGTATCACCTGCAATGACGGCGAAATCCTGACCTGCAATGGCGAGGGTGGATCCTCCGTTGTCTGTGTATGGATTGAACCTGCTCATGCTGCTCGTGTCGATAGAGTAAGCTGGTCTCTTGCTTCAAGTCGCTTGAGGGACGCGCAACTCGACTTCACGTGGTATTATGGCTTCTACAACATTTTGACAGAAACTACTTGACCAACTCTATAGCTGCTGATCAGGGTCCTGTTGCTTCTAACCATCACAGATGGTACTCCGTATACGGCTACAGCGCTTCGGCCAAAAGAAGGTGCCCTTCTATCACATCGTCTGCTGCAAGGCCCGCACAGGCAGGCAATCTAAACCTCTCGAGAAGCTAGGCACCTACAACCCAATCCCCAAAGACGGCATCAAAGATGTCAATATCAACTTTGAGCGCGCAAAGTATTGGATTGGCGTTGGAGCGCAACCGAGTGATACGTGTGCGAAGTTACTTGAAAAGGCGGATTTATTGAAACGGCCACCGCCAGTGAGACGGACGGTGTCGAGTCAATCATTGAGGGTGGATTTGCCACAAGCGATGGAGGGGACACTGTTGGGTGAGATTTTGAAGGATGTCAAGGGCATTTCGCCTGTCAGACGTGTTGGTACACGACGGCGGTAGGCGGTGGAAGCAGGTCTCGGCCGCTCAATACTTGACTGATTGCAGTCTTGCTCATGACAATGCCATTGAAGACACTCTATTGGAAGCACTCACAGCATATCCAAGAGACCACAGGAAGCACAATCAACCTTTGAATGCTACGCTTTCATAAACTGCATTAGAACACACATACCCGCCAAGCATCTCAGAACCCACGCGGGCCTTCTCTCGGCGTACTAATCCGTGTAAACTTCGGCACCTTATGTACGCCCTTCCGGTATCCCTCAGAGCCACGCGCAAACACCGTATACTTATTCTTTGGCAGCATCTCCGATTCTGGTATATTTTCCGCTACCGCTCGACTCAGTGCTTTACACGTCTCGCCTGCTGCACCGAGTGAATCGTGGAGAGTCGTGATGACTGTGTCTACGGCGCGGAGTCGTTCTCGTTGTCTGAACTTGCGGTTCTGCGACATGCGCCATGGCGTTTTCCTGTAAGTTTGTGGTCAGCATGTGGATGAGAGAGTATTCTAGCAGTATGTAGCGTACCATAGCAGGCCACTCGTCCTTGTCATGGCTGTCTGTGTTTCTTGTCTTGTGCTGCTGCTGCTCTTCCTCCTCAGCCGAATTTTCCCTTCCGAGACGACGACGACAAGAAGCAGCAGCAGCAGCACACCAACACACTCTCCCTCCCCCATCACATCCCAAGCAACCATGACTTTCGCCTGGAGAAACGTCTTCACGTATGTCCATGTATCCTCTGCCATGAAGCAGAGCAGTCCTTCCACCGTGCAGTCTGGCTAATGTCTGGCAGATACAACAAGTACGCATCGATTGCTGCTGCGACTGTCCGTAAATCCCTCAAGGAGCAAGGACGTCTTGCCGCCGAGAAGCGTGGAGACATGGAAATCAAGGTCGCCAAGTGGGACAATGGTATACAACTCTTGATGCTACGAGCAAGATGCTAACATAAACTAGGAAAACAAGGTCCTTACAAGAACGTGCGCGAGGTCATTGAAAAGTCATCTTAGACTCGATACACTAAACAAACTACATCGCTTCCTTTCATGTCCTACTGCGTCTTCTATGATCTGATCAACGGCACGAAGATACGCGATCTAGCTCAAGCTGGCACATTGATTGATGGTCCGTTTCGGTTGTCCACCCAGACATGAAACCACTCGGACCTCAAGCGTTGCTTTTCAGTCTTGCATTTGTAGCTAGATCGTCACATGCTTCAATGCTCATGCCGGAGAACACTCCAGTGGACCTTTCGCAAGGCTCCGCCCACGTCTCTATGAAAGCCTTGCTTGCAATGTTCATGCATGCCTTTGACAGATACGGAGACGACATTTCTCTTCTATGCTCGCTTTCTTAGTGCCATGATGTAGTTGCACTGCTCACCCCACGTCTGTCCAGGCTCCAAGACAGTCCATGCTCCACGCCAAGGCTCATAGATGATCCCTCGTGTATCCACCACCTGAACATCCAATTGTCTGCACCACGACATGAGTGCTTGCTTAGGGATAAACTTGTCGTAGTTATGAGTCCCCTTTGGCACAAGCCGTAAGATATCCTCCGCCAACGTACACGTCAGCAGTTTTGCAAACACCGTCTTTTCAATCGTACTGAGAAACAACCATCCATCCTCCTCCAGTAATCCCAATAGTGTTTCGAGGAATCGAGCAGGTTGTTCAACATGCTCAATGATTTCCATGGCAGCAATCACCTGGAATGGCTTTTCCTGCCCCTCCTTCACTCGTTCGAGCAATTTCTCCGCCAAGACTTGCTGATACTCCACAGCGATGCCTTGCCGTGCAGCATGTTCTTTTGCTACTGTAATGGCACGCTGAGAGGCATCGATCCCTAAAACCTGACCACCAAGGCGAGCCAGCGATTCTGTCAATATACCACCGCCACAACCTACATCCAGTACACGCTTTCCAGCAAGCCAACCTGATGCTTGAAGTTGCTGTGAGGCGTCAGAGGCAGCAAGGAGGTGCCGTCGCATGAAGCTGATGCGAGCGGGGTTCATCTTGTGTAAGAGGGCAGAGGAGCCTTCTGTATCCCACCAGGTTGCGGCGAGTGCATCGAAATGGGAGATTTCATCAGCAGAAGCAGAAGAGAGCGATCGTCGTCTTCGACAAGGATACAAAGGACGGAGAGAGGTATACACTGAGGGACGAGAAGCAAATGAGGAGCTTAATTGAGTCCTTTGAGCTATGCGGCATACAGATGAGCGCATGGTCTGTGGTGTTTGTACTCGCCCACTCTTCTTTCAATTCCCGCCCAGAGATCACCAGATGGGTCACAAAACCCTTCCGAAAAGACGAAGGGAAGACTCTTTACTCATGTCGCGGATGTTTATGAAGATAACGATGATTGAGATATGAATGCTGTTGGAAAGAAAAGGTAGCCAAGGCTGAGAGAGAAGTGTAGCTTCAGCATACTGCGCTTTGGATTGATAAAAGTGTTGAGTTGCGGAGGCTGTCGTTGATCTAGTGCCTTGGCCTGGGGTCTAGGTCCGATCTGGACATGTTGACAGCGGGTCCCTTGTACGTGCTGCAGTGCGCCCGAAAACGGAGTCAATGGCATTATTGATGGCTCCCAGCAAAGCAGCTTGAACAGCCTTGTCACAGTTTGAACTCTTGTCTTTCGTCACCAAACCGTAATGGAACTGACAGGAACAGGTATGCTGAGCCCGGTCAGCTACTCCACCGATAAGGCCGTAATTGCCAGCACCGCATGCCGCCCGGTCAGAAATCGCTTGAAGATGTGCTTTGTCCATCGTGTCAATGACCATGGTAACGCACGTAAGTTTGCATGCGCTCGAGCCAACAGGCTGGTCTTTGGGACGCTGGTGGGTGATTCTGTACTCAAAGCATTTGTCCGGCTTCGGCCGTGGCCGTTGCAATGATGAAATGACCAGGCCGCAGAAACACAAGATGATCAGAGACCAGTGCATCATCGTGATTGAGATTTTTGCAATAGGCCTGGATACAAATCCTGATGCTGTCTTGACAACGAAAGAATGGATGAGAGCCCCTTATTATATTTTTCCGCCCTACTCGCAATCACCCCGCGCCGGCAACAACCAGATCCGCGTTTTCTCAATACTGGGCTCCAGGTGCAAGATGGGATGTGCAAAGTTGCTGAAGTTCATGCGCTTTTCAGGGGCAGTAGCACTCAATCATGCGGCTAATTTCCGCACAAGCACTAGCGAAGTGAGATTCATAACACGACTGAGGCACATCAGCTGGAGTGCTTCGCCCATGTCGTATGCAGGTATGCAGGCACATTGAGCACATGAGGCGAGGTGAGCCTGATATGAGGGCATGTCAAGATTGGAGGAGCTTTTGCGCACGTGGAACAGAGCTCATGTGACCATAAGGTCTGGACTCTGGAGATCTTGACTCTGGAGACTGGATTCAAGACTCTAGACTCGGCTATCAAGCATCTCAGGGGTGGGTCGAGCCGACTGCTTGCACTGGGCGCTCCTCGCTCGAGATAGCGAAAACGCAGATGGCACATGGATACATCGAATAATCGAGCAAGAAAAGGGAGTATGTGCAGGATGCGAGTTTGTCTTAGCAGCCCGCGTTTGTGTGTGGTGAGGCAAAAAGGTCGCGTATTTAAAATTCGCTGGATAGGACAGTAGAAATCCGCATGCAGATGCAAAACTCAGCGCATAAGCAGCAAGTTATTTGCCGTAGATGAAGCACAGCATAGTCTGCACAAAATGTGGTCAGGAGCAATGGCAGCGATGCCGCCATCGTGCGTTCCAAGGCATCTCCAAGATTGACAACCAAAGAACGCGTCGGGCTTTAAGAAGCACCTGCGTATTCTACAGCCGCAGGATGACTAGCAACACAATCCGACGAAATTGGCTGCACTTCTCGTGCTCCGCGCGACCATCAGTAATGAGGTGATCGCCAGTCAGAAGTAAGGGCTTGATAGACCTCAGGCTACGAGCAATCTGTGTTGGCAATCTGTCCTAGAAGCAATGCTAGTGATGCACACAAATTGTTCATGCCGAATTCCTGAGCCGTGATATGGCGCTCACCAGCTCTCCACCGACAAATTGTTTGCTGACATTTCCCTCAATCAACCTCTTTGCAATGTTCCCGCCCTTTGTTGGGAACTTAGGTGAGAAGCCACCAGAAATGGGTTTCGCCAACTCCTGCTTTAATTGCCAACGCAATGCTTTACCTTGCAACTTGACCTTGCGCTGTGCAACATCTTCTTCCGCTGGTAATTCAACACCCAAATCCTCAGCGGCTTCAGCCAACCACGCACCTGCATGCCCGTCTTTTGACTTTTGCTTTTTGGCATTGTCTTCAAGCTTCAAAATTGATCTAGCAATATTGACTCTTGGTTTGGTTCGACCCAGCTGATCCAGATCCAGGGGAAATGTTTTGAGCTCGCCATTGCCCAATGTTTTGAGCATCTTCTTCAACGCAGAGACTTCCGTCGATGAGCACAAAAGTAAACTCAGTCCTGTATGCTCTGCACGCGCTGTTCGTCCAGATCGATGCACGTACAGATCTGCAGTACGCGGCAAGTGATAATGAATGACCATCTCCACAGCTGGAATGTCGAGACCTCGAGCCGCAACGTCTGATGCCACGAGTACGGCGTTCTCATTGGCCTTGAATCGCTCAATCGATTTGAGACGTGCCTTTTGCTGCTTATTTGAGTGTAGGCCAAGCGCAGTGATGCCGAGTAAATTGAGAAGCGTGACCAGACGATGCACATCTGAAATGGAATTGGTGAAAATAAGTGTCCGGCTTGGATAGCGCAACAACATGTAATACAGGTAATAATCCTTGTCCATGGGAGGGCACTCAATCACACTCTGTTGAATCTGCTGCGCAACCTGAGAATTTGGGTTGACATCAATGAATCTCGGTGGTTTGCGAAAGCGAATCTTGTGAAGCAAAAACTCGAGCGATTCTTCCTGCGTCATGATGTTTTGGAATCGATGCCCGCCTGTGCCCAATTTGCGTTGCAGCTCTTTTTGAAACGTCGCTGAAAAGATGAGAGTCTGTCGGTCGGAGGCATCTCCTAGCTTCTCGATGATTTTGGTCACCTCTTCAAAGTGGCCCTCTTGCAGCACTCTGTCGGCCTCATCCAGGACGAGGTATTTGATCTTTTGTACCATCTCGAGCACGTCCTTGTTAGTCGACATCATCTCCCAAAGACGACCAGGTGTGGCGACGATGACATCAGGCGAGTGTTTCAATTGCCTCAATTGCTTTTGAATTGACAACCCTCCTGTGATGGTCACAACAGACGAGCCACAGAATTGACCGACAGCCTCAAGATGCTGTGCAATCTGCTGTGCCAACTCACGCGTCGGTGCAAGAATGAGACCAGCGATATGCTGTTCAGTCGTCTTGCTCGTTGCATAGTCTAGGATGGGGAGACCAAATGCCAGCGTTTTACCGGATCCCGTGGCTGCTTTGCCAATCACATCGTTGCCTGCTGCAATAGATGGCAGTGCTTGTGCTTGGATGGGCATTGGCTTATTGTAACCCAGTTTTTGTATAGCTCGAAGAAGCTTGTCAGAAAGGTTGAATGGCTGCCAATTTGGCAAGTCTACTTCTTCGGCCTCTTCAAGCAGGTCAAAAGCATTCACAGGCGCTTTTGCTGATCGTACCTCAGTAGTCTTGACCTTCTTGGGCTTCTTGACCAATGCTTTCTCCTCGATAGCCCCAAAACCTGTGAACTCATCGTCAAGCTCATCCCCAGACGCAGATCCACTCGAGCTTGCCGCTTCACCGTTATCCGTCATGAACTGCACTCTTCCATCTTGCACTTTCACGTCGACACCATCCAGCTCTTCGAGCCCCATAAAGCCATCCATATCGCCGCTAAAGATTGGGATGTCGGCATTTTTCCACTTGAGACTATCGACGTTCTTTTTACGCTTTGCCGATTGCTTTACAACAGCAGAGTCATCGTTCTGACTCGATTTGAGCTCGCCAGATCGGGAACGCTTCCTATTTTGCTTCGTGAGGAACGCTTGAGGCAGCATGATGCGTCGCAATGTCAGGCTCTATCGTTTTGTACGCGCTCAACTTTTTGAATTCTTTTTCTGAGTCGTCGCGGGACCAGATGGGAGGGCAAGCGCATCCTAAGTCAATGTCTATGCAACTACCTTGTCCTTGATGGCAGAGATGATAGACTGCGCTGCGCCAGCAGCTGTATTCACCGAGTCACCTGCCTCCAGCGGATCAAGATCTGCCGTCGTGACCATGAAGCCTTCATTCTTCCTCTCAACCATCGCTCGGTTCCTTGCCATCTTATCCTCAATCTGCCTCAACCGGTCGTCATCCGCCACGCCTAGTATTCTGATTGCCAAGAGCGCTGCATTTGTAGAATTGTTGATTGCCACAGTCGCCACTGGAATACCGCGCGGCATTTGAACTTGGCTCAACAATGAGTCCATGCCATCCAAACAGGTGGCATTGATGGGAACACCAATAACAGGCAATGATGTCAATGCCGCCACCATACCAGGTAAATGTGCCGCACCACCTGCAGCAGCGATGATCACCTGAATCCCCCGAATTCGTGCACTGTGCGCATATGTATACATCTTGTCTGGTGTGCGATGGGCAGAAACGACTTCCTTCTCATAGCCAACCCCGAACTCAGTCAATACATCACAGCAATCTTGCATGCTAGGTCCATCAGAGTCACTGCCCATGATGACGGCGACTTTGACAGGTCTTGCGGAAGTAGTTGGAGTTTGCTCGCTCTTTAGCAGTCGCGCTAGTTGATGCTGGCATTCTGCCATCGTGCGGCCAGTGAATGTGACATGTCCCATCTTGCGCTGCGGCCGTGACGCTTTCTTACCATAGAGATGAACGCTAGAGCGTTCAAGTTCCAAGGCTTTCATGTAGATGCGTTGAATGTAAGCTGGATCCTCAGCGCCAAGCAAGTTGTACATAATTGCCGGACAATGCTGCTTCGTAAAGAGTGGCGGGAGTGGGAGGTCGAGGATCGCTCGCAAGTGTGCTTCATATTGCGATACGGTACACGCTTCAATCGTGTAGTGTCCAGAATTGTGCGGTCGTGGTGCAATCTCATTGAGCATCATTTCGCCTGTTGCGAGGTGGAAGAGCTCAATGCCAAAGACACCAGCTCCCACAAAGGCTTCCTTGATTGCCTTCTCAGCCATTCGTTTCGCACTCTTTGCTGTGTCGAGGTTGACTGCTGCAGGTGCAAAGACCGTTTTGCAGATGTTGAGCTCATGCTGTGTCTCGACGCATGGGTAGGAGTGTACTTGACCATCTCGCGTCCGAACAACCATCACAGCCAGCTCGCGCACGAAGGGAACCATCTTTTCTCCGTAGAGAGGGCGATCCGCAAGGACCTTGACGGCCTCTGCAATGGATCCAGCAGATCGCACCACGTAGTTGCCGCGACCATCATATGCGTCGGTGCGAGATTTGAGCACATACGGGTACCCAATCTTCTCGCCGAGTGCTTGAAGGGATGTCGCATCTGAAGCAACAGCATACTGTTCAGCCACCGCCTTCTCACCCAGTATCGTCTTGAGCTGCTCCTTTTGTAGGAATTTATCCTTGATGAGCGCCAAGTCATCAGGATCAGGGTAGATCCGCTTACCCTCCTGCTTCAACGCCTGCAATACCTCCGTATTGACATGCTCAATCTCCACCGTGATTAGGTCACACTTTTGCGCCAATTCACGAATACTGGCTTCATCTGTAAACTTGCCCACGACGTGCTTGTCAGATGCGCAAATCTGCTTGGCTGGCGAGTCTGCCTCTGGGTCAAGAAAGACAAGCTCAATGCCCATGCGTGAGGCTGGCTGCTGCAGCATCCGTCCGAGCTGCCCACCGCCCAGGACTCCGACTACCTTGTGCAGAGCCATTGCAGTATCTCAATGGGTGTGATGTGACTGCGGGTGTTGTGTCTTGTCGGGGAAATTCGAAATTCCGTCACAAGAAACAACAAGAGACCTCAAGGCTTGAGCTGACAGGGAGGGGCCTGATCGCTTACAGGCCAGAGAGCTATTCAGAGTGTGCAGCATAAAGGAGGAGTAGGACGCCCACAATGGCTTTCCACTTCAGCTGGGACAACTTCTCAGATGCCTTTGTGGAGAATGCGGCTACGCTGCTTACGGGAGCACTCAACAAGGGCTCAAAGCCTTCCATCATTGCCGATACCATCACCGTGAAGGAGCTCAACATGGGAAGCAAGGTAAGTCCATCTACTTCAGCGCACACAACTTTGTCATTGGCCCGCTGCATGACGACCGTTGAGTCTTGCGTCATCCGACGGCTCGTGTGCAGCTGATACAACCTATTTTCATTGCACTACTAACGCGTGTAGCCGCCTGTACTAGAGCTGATTGAGCTCTGTGATTTGGAAGCAGATGAATTCAAGGGCGTCTTTCGTATGCGGTACAGTGGTGATGCCCACATCATTATGCAAACCAAGGTCCAAGCGAATCCTCTCCTGAACCGGCCAACGACAGAGCTCCCCTTCTCACCTATTCAAATGGTTGCTGCGGATGCACCCTTGACGGTGCCCATGTTTTTGCAGCTTTCTGATATGGAATTAGACGGTACAGTCATTCTTCTATTTACAAAGGCAAAGGGACTCTCCATGGTCTTCCGCAACGATCCACTCAGTAAAGTACTCGTCACTTCTACCTTCGATGGCATTCCTGTCATTCGTGACTTTTTGCAAGCTCAGATTGAAAAGAAACTACGACAGCTGCTATGTGACGAATTGCCAGCGATTATCCAGCAACTATCAGTTGCCTGGTCTGGTCGTGTGCCTTCACCAAAAGTCCGTGCAACAACACTCAACTTTACAGTGCCACCCATTGAAGCTGATTTGAATTACAAGTCAGGCATGCGCCGTCCAGTCAGCCGACAGCAGCGGTTTGTTCAACAATCAGGGTATAATGCATCCCGTTCCATTCCACACCTTTACCGCAACCAATCCTTTACTGGTCGTGGACAACTGACACCTTTCACACCGGCAATTGCAGAAGCCATCTACAAGAGCACGTCGTTATCTGCTCTTGATTTGGCAGAACGGAAAGCCAAAATGAGTGCAACGGCCAGCGTCACAACGAGCACCAGTACCCTCTCATCATCGCCTGAACGCCGAACAGTCAAGAAGCATTCTGTGATTCGATTGGGTAAAGCTGCCAAACCTGTAGAAAAGCCTGTCACGACGCCAGGTGGTGTTTCTCCTGCACAGGTTGCGCAGACGACACAGACGCCTGTGACGGTGGCTTCTTACTTTGACAAGGATTCACCACTCTCTGTGGATGTCAAGACACCTGTCAAATTACAAGTCATCAACGAGGATGAACAAGTGTTGTCGATGACGGGCGATAAGAAGCATGCGTCAGGGGCTATAACTGCTACGGATAGAGAACAGCAGCAGAGACGGATGGAGAAGAAGTTGAGTCAAAAGATTGTGCAAGAACGGCGACAAGCTGGTCTGGAGAATGGTATGCATCGCATGGCCCTTCGCTAGGTCATTCAATTGGGTCTTCAATGAACGAGTTGCTTATACGAGTACCGGCGTCTGATTTTATGTCTTTTCTCCTTTTCTATACACAGTATCAACATCCTCAATCCACCTATTGCTTCTTCTTGCCTGATCGCTTGAGCTTGCCTGCAGGTGCAGCGTCAGGTCGACCATGCAACTTGGCATACACTTGCTTCACAACTAAGAGTGAAGCAAACGCGAATGCAGTCGCCCCTGCGAACGTTGCAATACGCTGACCTTGCGTCATGAGTCCCAACATTGGGTATGCGTAGAATCCATTCATCTTGGCACAGTGTTCAAGCCATACGAGGTAGCCTGTTCCATATGCCGCATAGATGGCTGCAGCGGTTGTTGTTGAATGCTCAAGAGCATCACTAACGAAAAAGATTTCAATGAGTAGAAGAATGGCTGGGTTCGCATGCATACTGAGATCTGCTGAGAGAGGAAAGACCTTGAGGAGTTCCTCGGGGATGAGTAAGGTTGGGTCGACCAGCTTCAGGCCCCACCAAAGGACACTGATGAGGAGCTCAACGGGTCCTGCAATCAGCAGGAGGATCTGCTTCAGTTCAAGGATTGTCTCGTTGCCAGTCAGATCATGCAGGCACGCGAGCATGAATTGAATATAAGCAATAGTCAGCGTTAAGATGGTGAGGAATTGAAAGTGCCAGCCGTAAGCCGAAGAGATTTCATTCGGGTTCCGCAGGATGTATGAGTATGGGTATGTCAGCAATGCGACACTGAGTGCATGAAAGGCGAGTCGGCCGAGCGGCACTTGTCGAGCAGGAGTCATGAGAAGGAAGCTTAAGCTGATGTGATGTGTCGTCAACTTTCCGAGTACGTCGATGAAATGACAACAGGAACGCTTGCTATGCATGAGATTATAGAACGATGAGCAAAACATCTAGCCTGCACAGATGCGGTAGGAAGAGTACCGTCCACTCGTCTCTGATCGTCTGATAATCTTGACCACCTGGCCACGCCGCAAACCATAATACCGCGCAACTGGATCCGCCACTTGGATTCGTGGTAGTTGTGTCTCCTTGAGCTTATACCTATCAAGAAGCTCCCGCTTCTCTTCCTTCGTCATGATGATGTGACGCGGCACGAGTTCATGGTGGGTGATATTGACGACCAAGTCGGATTCTTGGAACGTATCAATCTGGAACTGTCCTTGTACGCCTGCCACAATCTTATTGGCAGAAGGCGTCATACTCTTTTCGTAGATGAAGATGCCGACCTTGTGATTATTCTCACTCAACGTCTGCACAAATTGTCGCATCGCCGCAATACCGACACTTGACTCTTTGCAAAACGCAACATACAGCTGCCCCAGTTTCTTTTCTTCCGGCGCGCGTGCATAAAAACTCATAAGTGTCTTGTCCACGAGGCCAGACGGGCAGTATGTCTGCTTGAACTGGTCGATGGAGAGGTCGAGCTCTTCCTGTGCCATATCATAGCCGCGGTCGTGCACGAGCTGGTGGACTGTCTTCCAGACACGGTACGTCCGTATGATATTGCGATCGTCGCTCATCTGATGTGACCCGCCCTGTCCAACAACAAGCAACAGACGACGTAGGATCTGATGTGCTTGTCTTCTGTCTTGTTTCTCGCTCTGCATTTTCTGTGGTGCACGTGTATCTTGCTCCATCTGAATTCTTGTGCCCGCCGCCGTCTCTTGTCCGATTGCTTTCCTCCTTCTCCTCTTCCCTCTCCTCCTCCTTCTCCTCTGTCTCTCTGCAAGTGCTCAGTAGGTAGAAGCAATAGGCTGATACCCTCAATTCTCGCTGCGATCCAACTTGCTAGCTGCTTTTTCGCTCTGAGTGCCTAAACCTCTACATCAAAAGCTCGATCCGCTCTTCTTTGCCGCTTCAAGTACTCTTGTTTACATGGCCATCTTTAAAGCTGAAGAACGCGTACTCTGCTATCATGGACCACTTCTGTATGAAGCCAAGGTAAGTCACGCTCTTTACCCCGCTTGCCATTTTTTATCAATGTTCATGGGCACCATATAAACACTTTTTGTTGGCAAAAGAGCAACCGAGCTCACACACACTTTCCAGGTACTGAAGCTCAAGACTGTTGCATCAGAGAAGGCAGATGAGGGAAAAGTCTCAAAGGTCACGCCATCTGGTAAACAGCACATGTACCTCGTCCACTACAAAGGATGGAAACGCACGTAAGTCACCTTCAACGCCCTTATGGCATCAAAAAAAGGCAAGCATTGCTCACACACCTTGATTGTAGCTGGGACGAATGGGTTCCTGAAACGCGCGTGAAGAAGTGGAATGAGGCGAACTTGAAGTTCTCAAAGGAACTCAAAATGGAAGCCATTGTTGCACAGAAACGCTTGGCTGATGAACAAAAACGTTCTTCTGGTAATACCGGCAAGGAAGACTCTGCCGCGCACATGGATGGGCCACCTGCGTCTACCTCGCGTGGCCAGAAACGCGGGAGAGAGGCTGAACAGGAAAAGGTATGCGTGCCAATGCAAGCTCCAAAAGATCACACCCTAACAAGTTTAGGAGAATGCTCTAAAGCCCAACCTTCGCTTGGAAATCCCTGACTTACTCAAGGCACAGCTTGTGGACGACTGGGAGTGGATTACAAAAGACAGTCGGCTCGTGCCCTTGCCACGTTCCCGAATGTTCAAGATATTCTTGATCGGTATGCAGCGACACAACCTCGCAAAGACCCACGCACTGCTGAAGCTGCCATCTTCCATGAAGTTATCGAAGGTCTGCGTGCTTATTTTGACAAATGCCTTGGCAACATGCTATTGTACAAGTTTGAACGGCAACAATACCTCGAGGTGCGTAAGAAATACGGCGATGCACACCCCATGAGCCAGGTTTTTGGCGCGGAACACTTGTTACGATTATTTGTATCCATGCAGGATTTGGTTGCAGCAACAGAGATGGATCCACAGGCAGTGGCAGTGCTCAGACGGCATTTGACTGGCTTGCTCAAGTACATGCTGAAACACCACAAGGAGTTGTTCTTGCGGGAGTACGATGTCACATCGCCGTACTACACACGGCTCCTCAACCACCAGTAATTGCATTTTTGTCCCTTTCCTGCGAGTTATTTAACACAGGTGATAAGAGCTTGCTTTTTTGTGTACGTAGAGAAAAGCTGTGTTGCCTGCCTGAGACGGAAGAGCGAGCGCCGTGACAGAGATGCTAGTGATACAGAATGGGTTGGCGGGAGACAGATTCAGTCTTCGCGCATGATGGCGATGAACTCGTCCAGCGAAATCTCGCCATCGTCGTCCAAGTCAAACTCCTCAATCATCGCCTGCAGTTCGCTCGGGTCGATGGATTCATTGAGCTCACTCGCAACACGCGCCAGCTTATCCAAGTCAATCTTCTGATCCTCACCACCGGCAAACAATACAAATGCCCTTCGAATCTCTTCCATGGGATCACGCTTGAGCATCTTTTCAGACATGACACGCGTGAATAGTTCGCGTCTAATCAGCGGCGCCGGTGACCCACCACCACCACTGCCTTTTGTCACACCACCGCCTGTACTCGCGCCAGGTTGCGCATCACGCATGAGTTTGAGGATCTCTGATTTCGGTACATCGAAACCCAACGCACGCATGGCAACGCGGCATTCATGGAAATCCAGTAGATCATCCTGATTCACATCAAACATACTGAACGCATCGTCAATTTCCTTGAGTTGTTCAGGATTCAGGACGTCGCGTGCGTGATTGCCAAAGCCGGCATGTTGACTTGGATCTTGTGTGGTGTTGTGATGGCCATAGCTTGTTCGTGCGGGTGTTGTGCTGGGTGAGAGCATGGATTTTGCGCGACCATTGACGCGTTGTTGGGCAGTGAGGCCTTGTCTGTTTGCTGCAAAGGCGGACATGGCGATGATAGAGACCCTGCCTCTGCTTGTATGTGTTATTGTGTTGGTCTTGGTCGCGTCCTGCTCCTCGTCGGGGAAATTTGAAATTTGTGAAAGTTGACTCAAGCCCAAGACAAAAGATTGAACAAGTAGTCTACAGCAAGGACAAGACATGGTAGCAGCCAGCAGAGTCCTCCAAGGCGCACGCAGACTGCCTCTCACCACAAAGCAAGGCCACAACTACTACAAGGGTACAGGCACAGGATCTACGGGGAGACATACAAAGCACGGCGCATATATCACTGAATGGGAGAAAGTACGCACCTACCCTCGACCGGCGCTGCTCGACTCCTGTACTGTAAGTGACACTTTTTCATCCATGAAAAGATGAATACAAGAAGAATGTCTTGGCTGACACTGTCATAGTTGAAGCCCTTTGTGAGTAGACAGGTGGCCAAGGCGAGAGCGAGCCTAGAGCCGGGCACGACGCACATGACGGGATCGAGATATCTCGAAGCTTGGAAGCTGGACAATGCAGGCGAGCAGAAATCATGAGCATACCTGACTTCAACGTCAGCTGCTTGAGCTCAATCTTCATTAGCGACCTGCCACGATTATGATTATCAATGCGTCTTGAAGGTGCAGTGGCCTCGCATCACGGCCATATCAGTCTGACTGCAGCTTACAGACCAGACTGGATGCCCAAACCCTCAGCGATATGACGACACCAGATTGCTACCACATCTCATCTATGATCCTCGGTACGTAGAGTACGCATATGGACTCAATAACAACGGGACATGATACTTCTCACCATGCCTGCATCGGAAATATACCACCACCTCTGGGAAGAAAGCCTCTATACCATGCACCTTGTTGAAATACGCAGCCGTTTTGAACCTCAATTGATAGGTGCCTTCTTGTGCATCGACTTCCACCGCACCTGCCTGCCCACTCGTCCATGTCTTGATACGACCGTCTGTGTCTGTTTCGCCGGTATAGAGGGGTGCTGCGTCGTTGCCGCCGGATGTGAGCTGGAGTGTTGCGACAATGCCTGTACCAGGTTTTCCTATTCAACACGTCAGCATTTTGTCCTTGAGATTTTGCCAGGCCTCTCACCTAGGGTTGTATCGAGGACATGGCAGGAAATGGCCATCCTCAGGCCGTCAAGATAGCTAGCAAGCTGTAGTGCCGAGTCTGTTGTCACTGCTTGTCGCTGATGAACGCGAATTTGAGCAACAACCAACACACATACAAAAAGCCGACACATTACCAGACGCGTCTATGAACTCGCGCGCAAGTCTATTCGAGCTCAAAGGTCGTCCAAGTGTTTCTGGTTCGACCTCTCACAATACAGTCCTTGCAACAGAAGAATCAAAGCAACGGCGCATCCAGCAACGACTCGCTCAAAAGCAACAAGAATACGAGAGCCTGCTACAACTCAAACAGCATGCAGATTCGTTATTAGCGTCGATGCAGCAATTGGAGACGGAGCTGGGATCGCTGAGCCAAGGAACAGAGACGGTGGCCAGTGTCATGGCGAACTGGGCGAATGTGTTCAAAGCTATCAATATGAGTACCATTGGCCTACAAAAACAACAAGAGGAGCAGGAAGCAGGGGAAGAACAAACAGAGTCACGGACGCGTCACAGCGATTCAGAGATGCCAGAGACATTGGTGAGGATACCTATCCAAAGAGAATAATGAAGATGGGTTAGGTGATCACATCCCTGCCCACTGTATAGTAAAGCAGCTGTATGCTTCTTTCTCTGATTCATTCTTGTCCTTTGCGTCTTGAGCCGGCCGTGTCGCGCCAATCAGCCAGGCCTTCTTCACTGCCGTTCCTAATCTGCCACAAGCAACAAGATCCATCACTTGGAACGGTTCATCGTATGCCAAGCCTGTAGCTAGGAAATGCGAATGGAAGCGTAGCGGGTCACCTGGATACGCGACAAAATATCCACCAAACCGAAGACCTGGTGTCATAAAGTAGCCGTGATGATGCAGATGCGTATACAACGCACATTGTCGCTCATTGATCTTGGGAAATGCAGGAGAGTCCAGTGATAGCGTACACGTGGACACTGCAGCCTGATCGAGAAGGATGGGCGATGATGCCATATCAATTTGCACTGGCAATGCTTCGGTCTCGACAGACTTTGTAGATGTTATAGCACGTTGTGCTTCCTCTCGTTCAAGCACCTGCGTCAACCCGCGTTCAACCAAAACAGCACGCCGTACAGCCCAAGCGTGCGTGCGTGTTGCTTCTGCTTTTTCACGCTCAATGGCTTTTCTTTCCTGGTGATACCGTTCAATTTGTTCAAAAGTCCTCGACTCGGTCGTCTTTCTATGCGCCGCTGCGTCGTCCACCAGAATAGCACCAGCATGACGAACGAGCCAGACGGCTTCTTCGGGCATGAGCTGGAGTGGCAGGCCAAGAAAGACACTCTGCTGTGGAATTTGAAAGAGCGTGCCGCCTAGGACGCCGCATATCTGGTATTGTTCTCGAAGCAGCTGGACAGTAGAGAGGTCAAAGATGAGGAGCTGACCTGCGATGCAATGGATGACAATGTCAGCATGATGAGAGGTCATGTATCCTGCCAAGTAGAGTGTAAGGAAGAAGTTGCAGAATGAAAGTCCCGAGGATTCCCATCTGAAGTAGGAACGCGACTTCCAAGGACATCATCACAACAGCGCAAAGCATCCAGGCCCCAAAAGCACGATGGAGAACCCGCATCAAGAGCAGCAGAATGCCATCATGACGCGCATCATCGGCAATGTAGAGAAACTCAACGAAGCCGTCATTGAACTCAACAAATCGCTCGAGGTATGATCCGAACCAAACAACATCAATAGGAAGCATTCGGCTGACTTTCAAGACTGTCAATAGGCATAACATGAACATTGAGCTTGCGAGTCAGATGTGGGCAAACTACGGAAAGAATACGGGCTTCTATCTTGAGAATGCAGGACCGGTCCCGGAGTCGGCGCGAAACACTACACAATAGCGCGATACCGTCGATGTCGACACGCATGGTTCAGGGAAGCTCACTGAGCTCATATTTTGAGCATTGGCGCATTTCTATTGTGGCATGGGCATGTAATTATTAGCATCGAAGCATGTGACGATCCAGCTACCTATTCAAGACTGGAACGCAACGCATGCGCTCCGAGTGGTCTTGTGTCTGCTGGACATCCAAAACAAATCATCAGACAAGCTGCCAGCTTGAGCTAGTTCGCGTATTTTCGCGCCGTTGATCAAATTATGGTGGACACAGTAGACCATCAAAGGCAGCGATGTATTTTGTTTAGTGTATCGAGTCTAAGATGACATTTCAATGAGCTCGCGCACGTTCCTTGAAAGGAAGGACCTTGCTTTCCTCGATGATGTCAGCATGAGAGTTCTGTGAAGACAATGCGAAGAGGCAAGAATCGAAGGATGGACATGCATGCGCGTCGTTGGCAAAAGCAGCTGAACTACTAGTGGGAGAAGGTATTGCACAGCGCAAGGTCAAGTGGCAAGGTAAAGCATTGCGTTGGCGGAATTCATTTCTGGCGGCTTTATCCCAAGATCCCATCAAAGGGCGGGACTATTGCAAAGAGATTGATTGAGGGAAAGGTCAGCAAGCAGTTTGTCGGTGGAGAGCTGGTGAGTGCAATATCACGACTGAGGGAACGGGCATGAAGTGGTGCGCATGCATCACCAAGATTGCTTCTAGGATGAGTTGCCAACGCGGAATGCTAGTAGCCTGAGGTCTGCTTGCAATTGCATTGCAGCATCGCTTCCTCTGGAAGAGGCCATCTCACTTTCAAGAAGCTTTTCTATATCAGCCCTTCCTTCAGACGGCGACAACTCCATCGCTGTGTATTGCGGAGGGCACGAGAGGTATTGCTGATCTCGTTGGATTGCGTTGCTAGTCATTCTGGGGCTGCAGCTGAGGTCGCGAGTGTTCAAGTCCGGTGCGTTCTTTGGTCAACAATCGTGAAGATGGCTTGGGATGAGTGATGGCTGCATCGTTGCTATTGCTCCTGACTACGTTCTGTGCAGACTGTGCTGTGCTTCATCTACGGCGAATGACTTGCTGCCAAGTTGATGGTCATTTCATCAGCATGCGACTCGCCACTGTCGTGTTCAGTGAGAGTCAAACATGCGACGACGTGTATCGCCGCCTTGCTTCGTCACGCACAAACACGGGCTGCTCAGACAAACAGGCGTCCTGCACGCGCTCTTTTTTCTTGCTCGACCACCCGATGCATCTATGTGCCATCTGCCTCTTTGACACCTCGAGTGAGTAGCGCCCACTGCGAGTCAGTCGGCCCGATTTACCCCTGAGATGCTTGACGTACGCGTGGCACCGACTCTAGAAACCAGAGTACAGAGTACAGACCTTGTGGCAATTTGATCACATGTGCCATGGTCCACGTGAGCCAAAAACTTCTCCATGCTTGGCATGCCCTCTTGTCAGGCTAATCTCAGCTCTGTGATCCATGTGCCTGCATACGACGTATGTCAATCGTGCCAGCTGATGTTGCTCAATCGTGGCATGAGTCTCATTTGGCTAGTGGTTGTGCGGGAATTTCGCCACATGATTGAGTGCTACTGGACCTGAAAAGCATATGGTCGTCAGTGATTCTGCACATCACATCCTGCACCTGCGGCCCAGTGATCGGGAGACGCAGATGTCGCTGATGAGGGCTGGGCCTGATGGCGAGCGAATCTGAAGGATATAAGAAGGGGTTCCCATCCTCTGCACTCCCTTCAATCAAGAAACCCTTCAGCCATTGCAATCAGAAGCCTCACGATATGACAGCAATGGCACACTGGTCGCTCATCATCTTACTGTTCTCGGAACTCGTCGCTTCAGCTACTTCTGGCTTAACACAAGCCGATATAGACCAATGCCACTCGCTCTTTGCGTATCATACGCGACCAGGTGCGGCCCCGGACGTTTCGCAAGCCGGATGTACCCAAGCGTGTACGGATATGGTCAAAGACGCAAAAAAATATATTTTGTGCCAGCCCAGGACCTACACTGCGGGAGAACACAAGTCAAGTGACCCTGCAGGCGTCTGCGGTTGTACTGTGGTCTATCAGCGTTCAAATGCAACTACAAATGGTTGTAACACCGACCAACCGAATGATGCGGGGGTGCAGACCTTCCTCAACAAATTGCGAACAATATTTGGATTCAAAGCATTTCCACCAATGTACCCTGTCAAATGTTACGTGCCTCATCATTCCATCGAGGTCAATATCGGCTGATCTGGCGTTGGCATTGCAGATCGAAAAGCACCCAGAATTAGACTCGGAGCTCGAATAATTTGCGATTCAATACTTGAGGATGCCGAAGCACAACATGCTGAAGCTGCACTTCTCTCTTAGCCTTTGCTATTTCACTTAATTCAACCTTTTCTAATTTCATTCATCGTTGCCTTCATAAACACCCGCGATATGAGTTAGGAGTCTTCCTTTCGTCTTTCGCGACGTGTGCTGTGTTCCATCTGGTGGTCGCTGGGCTGGCATTGAAAGAAGAGCGAGCGAGGACAAATACTACAGACCATGCGCTCATCTGTATGCCGCGTAGCTCAAAAGACCCATTCAGGCTCCTCTCTTGCTCCTCGCCTCTCAGTGTATACCCTTCTGTTCTCTCTATCCTTGTCAAAGACGACAACCGCTCTGTTCTGCATCAGCTGATGAAATTTCCCATTTTGATGCACTCGCCGCAACTTAGTGGGATACAGATGGCTCCTCTGCCCTCTTACACAAGATGAACCCGTTTGCATGTAGATTGTGGTGGTGAGTCTTTGACAGAATCGCTGGCTAGTCTTGATGGTCAGATTCTGGGGATTGATGCGTCCCAGCATGCCATCACGGTAGCAAAAGAACATGCTGCGCGGCAAGGCCTCGCTGCGGAGTATCAGCAAGTTTTGGCGGAGACGTTACTCGAGCGTGTCAAGGAGGGTCGGGAAAAGCCATTCCAGGTGATTGCTGCCATGGAAATCATTGAGCATGTCGAACAACCTGCTCAATTCCTCGAAACACTATTGGGATCGTTGGAGGACGATGGATGGTTGTTTTAGAGTACGATTGAAAAGACGCTGTTTGCAAAACCTGCTAACGTGTACGTTGTCGGAAAATATCTTACGGCTTGTGCCAAAGGGGATGCATAACTACGACAAGTTTATTCCAAAGCAAGCACTCATTTCGTGGTGCAGTCAATTGGACGTCCAGGTGGTGGACACTCGAGACATCATCTATGAACCTTTGCGTGGAGCATGGATTGTCCTGGAGCCTGGACAGACGTGGGGTGAGCAGTGCAACTACTAGCACCACGAAAGCGAGCATAGTAGAAGGATGTCGTATTCGTATCTGTTAAAGGCATGCATGGACACATTGCAAGCAAGGCTTTCATGAAAACGTGGATGTGAGCCTTGCAAAAGGTCCGTTGGTGTGCTCTCCGGCAATGGAAGCCTCGCAGACGTTGTATGGATCTATGCAGGTGAAAGCAAACACTTGACCGCCACCTATTTGTAGTCTGTTGCAACGTGTTGCCCTTCCTTTCGTATGCAGAGAGCTCCAGCCTCCAGTGCAGCGCAAAGTCATGACGCGAAGCGCGGTGCGTCGCTTGTGGCTTCACTTTGGTCTGACATTGAGTCTTTCACCCTTCTTGCGCGTCCTAGCATGGCGCGCGCGTCTCTGCGACACAGAGCGCGATCTACCAGTTCCTGATGCCAGTTGCGTACTTGTGCACGGTATTGTACCGTTGCCTGCGTTGGTTCATCCAAACCCAGACGCGCCCTTCAATCTTCCATCGACTCATCTATATTGAGATTCGTCTGCTCCGCCAAGATTTGCCAGACACTCGACCTGAACAACGTAAAAACCAACCCCGTCTTGCGCTCAACAACGCGTAGATTATCCAGAAGTTGCGTTGCTGGCATTTGCGAGAGTGTATGAACGGCCTTGTTGAGTTGCGCGAGGTTGTCTACCAGACGTTCGTATTCAGCGAGAACTTGTTGTTCTTTTGGAGAAAGCTGTTCGTCGTCTGATGCTGCGAGGGCCGACATGGTTTATGCCTCTGGAGTTGTTTGTCTAGCTCGCCTGTAGCTACGCTTCGTGGTCGCGTTTTGTGTTTTCGCGTTTCTCCTTCTCGAGATGGAATTGAGGGCACAACGACCACTCCGAATTCTGAGGCTTCCTGAGGACTCCTCTCTGCTTCTACTTCTGCTGCATCAACAAAGCTAGTCATGCACTCGCATCACTCTCATAGCGGTCAGTACTGTACCCATGCAGCTGGCCAACTCGAGGAATGCATAACAGAAGCTGAAAGACAAGGCTTCTCCCTCTTCTGCCTCACTGAGCATATCCCTCGCTACGAACTACAAGATCTCTACCCAGGTGAAACACAGACTCTTGATGATCTCACAGATATGTTCACCCGGTATCATAAACATGCTAGAGCGCTGCAAGCTCGGTACAAGCAGGAGAAACGACCTATGCAGCTTCTGGTAGGTCTGGAAACAGAGTATATCCGGAAACCAGACTTGGCTCGGCTAGATGCACTCAGAGAGTCATTTCCTGTTGACTTCATGGTAGGCAGTGTACACCATGTTGATGGTATTCCCATCGACTTTGACAAGGCTACGTTCTTGAAAGCCATGGAACCATTCGGTCAAGACATATCTGCATTTTACAAGCGATACTTTGAGCATCAATTGGAAGTCATGCAGACCTTTCAGCCGGCGGTGATTGGACATTTTGATGTAATTTTACTGATGGCGCCAGAAGGTACAGATCTCCTTGCACACGAGGCGGTGTGCCGGCAAATGCAACGGAATATCGAGTATGCCGTCGGATACGGTGCTTTGTTTGAGCTCAATTCAGCAGCATTTAGGAAAGGTTGGGATTGCGCGTACCCGTCCAGAGCCATCATTCGACTGATGCAAGATGCCGGTGCACGATTCTGCTTGAGTGATGACTCGCATGGGCCAAAGCAGATTGGCCTGAATTATGCAAAGATGCAGGCGTATGTCAAAGAGGTCGGCATCTCACAGCTCCATCACCTGGAAGCAAGCACGGGCGAATTGATTGGAGGACGCTTACAGGTCAAAGTAGTGGGTACGGACATGGAGGCCTTCTTTGCATTCAAGGCGAGAGGCGAGACATAGCTCTGCAATACTTTGGATTTCTACTCAGAAGCAAAATCATCCCGCTAAACATAATCATTTAATGTGCCTTGCTGTTCTTTAAGCACCGAGAGTTTGTGGCCGTTGAGCGCGCTTCGACTGGTAGTCCTTGATGGCATGCTGTAGTGACTGGATTTGTTAGTAAGCTCATTGCGCATTTCAAAAAGGTGCTTACCTCCTCTGCAAGCATCGAACAGTGAAGCTTGACGGGCGGCAAGCAAAGGTCCTTTGCGATGACTGTATTTTTAATCTTTGATGCTTCATCCATCGTCAATCCCTTGATACGTTCCGTCAAGTACGAAGACGAAGCGATGGCTGAACCACAACCAAAGGTCTTGAACTTGACATCGGTGATTTTGCCACTATCATCCACACGAATCGCAAGCTTCATGACATCGCCACACGCAGGCGCACCAACGAGACCGATACCGACATCAGCGTCGCCTTTTGGAAGGGTGCCGACGTTACGTGGATTGTTGTAGTGGTCGAGGACTTTTTCATGGTAGCTTCGCTTGGTTTGACTGATGAGCCTTGGTGAGAGGCGCGTCACTGAGGGTCTGAGGAGAGCTGATCGGAAGAGCGACATGGTGGTAGATGAGGAGTCTTGATTGTCTTCGTGAAGTCTTGAAATGCCGCGGAGAGTGGCAAGTCACGTGCTGGTTTATCGGCAGTCAGGAATACAAAAGAAGTAGGTGGACTAAGAGTATAGCTAGTGGTTCAGGGGGAGGAGGACAGTCAGCTATAGTTTACGCCTTGAGCAGCTGAGGAGTCAACAAGACTCGACTAAGGCTGCACTTCTGGATCTTCGAAAATGATACCACACCCAGTGCACACGTAAAAGAGTGTCTAGCAAGTCAGCATATTCTTCGCCTACAGCAGATGAAAGGCCTCACCATCTTTGTATCTGCCTTGCGCTGTTGTGATTGAAAGAAGACGGCCTTTGTCTCATGACACCGCGGGCACTCCTTGTCTGACCGAGGTAGTGTTGGATCTGCTCCGAGATCTTGCGTCACGCCTGCTGTCTCTCTATAAGATGTTAGCTCATGCAGCTGATCACTCAAACGATTGAGGTATGCATTTCCGATAGCTGACTCTGACTGAGGCCCAAGATAAAGCCATGTTTTGTATGCATATCTCAATAGCTTGTGTACGAGACCTTACCCTTCTTTTGAAAGCAACTCATTCCTGTAGATACGTGACTCGGGCGCTTGTTCAGAGTACTCGCAATTGCGACACGCATAGATAAGTCTCCTGTTTTCCTTGTCTTCCCGGGGGTAGAGCAGGTTTGCGCATTCTATGCAGTACTGTAGGGTAGTCATAGACTCAAGCTAGAACAAGCTGGAAGGCGATCTTGTGTAGAAGAGTCTCGAGGAGCTTGGTAGATATCGGAGCAAGAGGCCGTGCTAGCGATAGTTTGCCCGTGGGAGGTCGACGTTCAGGCGTGAGTAGTTGTATTTGAAGTGGGCGTAGTGCAGTCTACATATGCGCAGGAATCATGCTCCACGCTCTGCTATTATTGATACAAGCCCTTCCCTTGGTGAGTACTAGCTTGAGTCTCTGCAATGCCTCCTTCCATCCAGACTCACTCCTGTATGGCTTTATGTGTGACTGTGCTTCTTTCTCTACCAAACACAAAATTTCAAAATTCAGGCAGCAGACGACGACCATCAAGACAGCCGACTACTTCCCTTTCTACATACACGGTCACCGCTTGGAAATATGTCTTCCTACGTCGCCGGTAACGAGAAGCAGGGTAAAGAGGACGCACAGTCTTCTGCCCCCATCCGCAGGATCCGCATCACCTTGACCTCGCGTCACCTCAAGAACGTCGAGAAGGTGTGCGCTGAGCTGGTGGGTCGCGCCAAGGGCAAGGCACTCCGTGTCAAGGGCCCCGTGCGATTGCCTACCAAGACTCTCAAGATCACGACCCGAAAGACACCTAACGGTGAGGGTTCGAAGACTTGGGATACCTTTGAGATGCGCATTTACAAGCGTACCATCGACTTGTACTCCCCTTCCGAGATTGTCAAGCAGATCACCTCCATCAACATCGAGCCTGGAGTAGAGGTATGTGGATTACTGATTGATTCTGGAGCGTATACTAACGTCGTCAGGTTGAGGTCACGATTGCCGCTTAAATTCTTGGTAGCATCATTCATCCATCTATCTCACATGACTAGCTTTGCGTGTTGTTTTTTCGATTGCTATAAATTGACTTGAGCCTATAGCCCTGCCGTCTTTGCCAAAGCCATCTCCACTGCTGCTTCTCCCTGTTTGTTAGCCACTTGATGCACCCGCAAATGATCCATACCCAGCTCGTGCCATGATTATGCTTGTCACCAGAAACACCCGCACGCGCCAATGCCTGTTCTTCTGTCAAGACTGTCAATACGCCAAAGATGACCGGTATCCTGCTATCCAATTGTACACGCATCAAGCCATGCGACACTGCATCACAGATATACTCGAAATGCATCGTTTCGCCTTTAATCAAGACACCGATTGAGATGACAGCATCAAAAGCACCCGTCGATGGTCCTTTTGTCGCTGCTTGACCTGCTGGAGTTTCAGCAGACGTACCAACAGACAACAAATCTGTTGCTGAGACAACACTTGATGTAGCAGCTTGTGCTTGACTCTGTGCAATCAACTGTTGTGTAGCAAAAGGCAATTCAAAAGAGCCAGGGACAGAGGAGACGTGAATGTTGTCTGAGCGAACTCCAGCAGCGAGGAGTGCTTCCTGGCAGCCTCGAACGAGTGGTTCAATGACGGTTGGGTTCCATCGAGCATGAACAATGGCAATCCGCAAGGCAGAGCCATCCATGTTCTTGGGAGCTGCAGCGGGCTGTTTGATAGACATGGCTGTGGTTGTGTAGCTGTAGAAAGTCAAAGTAGAAGCAGGAACGATGTGTAGGCTGTAGCTCTGGTCTGTGCTGCGTCGTCACCTCGCACAATCGCGCAACCTGCAACCACGCCCAACTCTCACTCCATCACAACTCCCCAAGCATCCATGTCAGAAGCCGATCAGCTCCTTGCAAAAGCCAACAAGAAGGCCAACTCTAGCGGTGGACTTGGCTGGTTCAGCGGCGGCAGTACCTCTAAATATGAGGAAGCCGCTGAACTCTACCAAGAAGCAGCCAACCAATTCCGTCTTGCTAAACGACTTCGTGATGCTGGCGCTGCTTTTGAGAAAGCTGCAGAGATGCAATTGAAGACGGATGAGGCGGATAATGCTGCCAATACGTATGTCGAGGCTTCGAAATGCTACAAGAAGGAAGATCCATCAAAATGCATTCAAGTCCTTGAATCAGCCATCGAGCGATTCACGCGTCGCGGCAATTTCAGACGCGCTGCAACGTATCGGCAGCAGGTGGGAGAGATTTATGAGCTTGAGTTGGTTGATGCGCCCAAAGCTATGGAAGCGTACGAACAGGCTGGTGAGTGGCTTGCCAATGACAATGCCGAGTCGCAGGCCAATAAGATGTTTTTGAAGGTTGCAGAGATTGCTGCACTTGAGGGGGACTATAATCGTGCTACAGATCGTTTCGAGGCGGTGGCGACGCACAGTGTCACCAACAGTCTGACGAAATGGAGTGTCAAGGATTACTACCTCAGAGCAGGCATCTGCCACTTGTGCAAAAACGACAGCGTTGCCATCAAGCGAGCTATCGAGCAGTACGCTGCGCAAGACATGACATTTGCATCGACGCGCGAGTTTCAGCTTCTCAATGAGTTGGCTGGCGATGTCGAGGCCGGCGACGCAGATGAGTTTTCCAATCATGTGTTTGTGTTTGATCAAGTGAGTAAGCTGGACAAGTGGAAGACAACACTTCTCTTGCGTATCAAGAACCAGATGAATGAGGAACCAGACTTGACTTGAAGTCAATCACATAGGAGCCTATTCAGGGCAGCAAAAATGAACGCAATGAATCAAGCTACGTGAGAGGTCTGCAGCATCTGCTAGCAATTGCCACCAAGTGAGGATGCTAGACCCATCTGGGGTCAGTGACCCCCATCTCCGGTGAGTTGTTCATCGAAACTATTGTTGCACGGTGCTCCTGCTTTGGAATCGTTACTCTCGACCTCCTTGCTTGCGAAGAATGCACACTGCTCCCTACACTTCTTGTTGATGTTCTGTGCATCAGCAAGTCCTTGCCATTAGGCTGTCCAAAGACGGCACGCCATACATTGATGATGATTTCGGCCAGAGCCACCCTGGACTCGACGAGCGGCATGATGACCACAATAACAAAAGAGGCAGCAAGGACCAAACCAGCACAGACGACCCACATTCTAAACGACACGACGGAAAATTCATACTTTGTCAGGAAGAGCGGGACCGGAATGGCAATGATGAGAAAGAAGGAAATCCCAACGCTGATCCATAGAGCTTGACGTGACGCGCGATTCAAGCCAAATGGATCGTCTTCGTTCGTGTATTCCGGTGTCATTCTGCCTGATGTCTCTGAACGGATTGAGCCTTCTTTGACCGGCATGTTGATGGAACCTGTGATGGCGAAATCGAAATTATCCGGCCAGAAACCACTGATGACAAGCGTTGCAATAAGGCCTGCCGCGAAGGAGGCAGCAATGCCTGACAATGCAACGTATATGTCTGCAAGGGCGAACATCGATACGGATCCATGCAAGCCTTTTGCAGCTGAAAGCCAAACGACGACGCCAATGACAGTCCCGAGAGCAGGAGAGAGGAGAGCAGCGATTCGAGGCTGCCGTTTCCAACAGATGGTGAAGAGCAGGGTAGGTACAGTTGAGCTGCACACAACACCAGTCAGGCAAAAGATCCAGAAGCATGTGGCGTCCAGGTAGACTGCTAAGCAGGATGCAGCAGACGTAATGCAGCCCCATGCAACGATAAACCACTGCGATGTTTGGATGAGTTCCAGATCTGTGGTGGATGGGTGTAGGTAGAGCTTGTAGATGTCATGTGTCAAGATGGCGGAAACAGCGACAAGCTCGGACGCTAGGGATGTGACGACCGTCATAATGACCACCACGAGCATCGCCAACGCACCCACCTTGCCTAGGAGGGTGAAAGCTGCAGCAGGAGCAACAAGCCCAGCACACATGTCTGCCATGCTCAACAAGTGAGGGTAAGTAGGGGTATCCTTGTCGTTTCGCAGGGCAACCATTACTAGACCCAAAATGCTAAAGGCAAAGACAATACCAAACCAAGCAAGCCCTCCAAAGATGTATCCACGAAGAGCATTACGCGGTCGAGCAGCAATAGCGCGCTGCCAGTAGACTTGATCATTGAAGAGCATACCAAATGAGGCGATGAAACTCAAAGCTCCAAAAGCAAGGGCATCGCCAGAGTGGAAGGTCAGGTACGTACCACCGTCCTCGCTCGGCATTGTGAGAGCTGCTTTCTTCAATAGATCGTATAGCCTATCAGGAGATCCAATCTTGTCGGATGTGACAAAGGTAACGACGAAGAATAGGAGCGTCACTAGTATGACCACGACATTGTGCGTGTAGCTTCTTGTCAGCAGAAATTACGGCGATGTCAACACTTACTCGGCAATCATGGTCGCACGCAGGCCTCCGACAAGGGTGTATAGAGCAACACTCATCACTGTGACAGTGTTTGCCAGATAGATGTTCGTCTTGCTAAGTGCTTGAGCAGCGCGAGAGCTCGCCATCGGCAGCACCATCGACGCAGCAAGATTGACGACTAGAGCATAAGCCATGAGCAAGCAGTGTACACTTGGTCCGTAACGCTTGTGAACAATTTCCAGAATCGTCGCGCAGCGTGGTGAGCACTGCTTGACCTTGACGGCAATGAAGCCAAAGAAGATCATTTGAACGGTCGCACCGCTAGTCTGGTCAGCCTGTTTATCTGCTCACATCATGGTCGCTTACCTTGAAGACCAAAAAGCGCCGGCAATGCCCCATTTGTAGGCGCTCGAACAAGCTTGTACCAGTGTTGTGGACCCTATTTAGTCAGCTGTGTTTGCAACTTGAGGGGATACTGACAAGTCCAGCTTGAAACAAGTGAAGAGCTGATCAGGAAAGACTTGACTGAACGACTGGCAGAAGTGAATTCGCTCGACTCATGATCGACAAAGGCATATCTCCTTTGTATGTAGCTCGTCGCAAGGAAGAGGAGGGTTGCTGCCAAGGCGAACAATAAAATCAATGCATATCCAGACCAATGCGGCAGTATATCTCGAAAGGCAGAGATGTGTCCTTCAGCGTCAGCATAACCATGCATGCCAGAGTGAGAGGCCATCAATGATTCGGAACCCATGGCTTCAGTAGGTTCTGGTGGTGGCGTGAAGAAGCCCAGCATCCCTTATAGAGGCCAAGAGACGGACAAAATCGTCGAGTGTAGGGAGAACGTTGCCGGTTCACTTGGCCATGGCAAGTAAGCACCGGTGTGAGCCGCGTGTTCAAGGTTCTTGGCAGCCAAGTGCGCGAAGAGACCTGTCGCAGGTGGATCGTGAGGAGTGACACATGGTGAAGTGCTACTGCGGCCATACACGACGCATACTCCTTACTCCTGCAGGGATTCGCTGGCTCTGATGTTCCGCATAGAGTTGAGTTGGGCACAGTGCCAGAGAGCGCGAGATGGGACAGACTAAGCAGGGAATGTCTGACGCTACTCTTGCAAACTCATCCCATTCGGACTAGGAAGAAAGTGACCCAAGTTATCACCAGCTCATTTGCACAGCTGATTTTTGTGAGATCTGGCTGGACAATTCCGGACAGGCCTAGGCCGTCTCGCATCAAATTTCTATCATTACCCCTGAGATACTCGCGACGTGGCAGATTGTGAGAGAGCCGCAACTAAGCGACGATGTATGGGAAGCGAAAAATGTGTGAAGAGCATGAAGCTGAAGATCTAGAACAAGAGGCGGCAGTCATATTACATTTTCTCGACAGATTACCACTGAGATGTAGCAATAGAGGATGTCGCAGTCACTTTATGTGCTAAGGATCAAAAAAGATGCGCAGTGACTGTCGACAAATACTCTGCGGCAGATCATGATCAGCTCGGACAAGGGCGGTCCTCGCGTTCAGATGGTCGTCCATCAAGTTGCGCTCAGCTACGGGCAAAAAGGCTAAGCAGGCCAATGAGGAAGCCGCTGATTCGTGCAATTGCTGATACATTACTAGAGTTGCATGTCTACGTCAATGTCCGGAGGGCAGGATCTCCGCGTGAAATGGAATGCTGCAGTTCCCTGCGAATCTCAGGACCAATCTGGTCGTGCCCTTTGACTCTAACGATTTCCAGTAACGCTTCCTTTTGCTCAACAGTCATATCGTACTTGTAACGCTGAGTAAAGACGAGCAAAGACTGATGCTCAAGTACCGCAAATGGTCTGTCCATCTGCTTCCACCGTAAAAAGTGGAAAACGAGCGCATCGACAACTTTAAATGGCAAGGCATACTTCTTGTCGAGCAGAACACGAATGAACAGCGCCGCTGGACCTGAAAAGTCCATTTCCGAAAGACGAAGTAGGGCAGCTGCAGAGTGCAGAACAGGAACAGATACTTTGCTGAGCACTGAGGCAACGATAGCACCCTCCTTGAGTGTGCAGGTCCCGCTTTGGACCAGTGGGAACAGGAAGCCTTTGAAGAATGCGGCTGGCTTATAGAGCGCCTTTTTGAGTGCCATGTAGAGATGGTAATTGAGCTTCTTGTTCTCAAAGATGTCTTCCCGGACACGCTCGAGTAAGATATGTGTCATGAATTTTTGGCATTGCTGTGCAGTCAAGTTGGAGACCAATAGTCGTGTAGCCTCGTACAGTGCATTGGGTGACCACGTATCGGGTCTCGTCAGGAAGAGGATGTCCTCCCAGTTGCGCAAGGAGGGAATAATCTTGAAGGCCTTTGGTAATTTGCCAGACTTGTAGCGAGAGAGCAGGACGCCAACCTTTGTGTAAACTTCGACAACTTTTGGAGGAAGCCCTGCAGCGTTACCGCTGCCAGTGTCAGGCTTACTCTGCTCTGTCGCCTCATGCTGCGCTATTCTGTCGAGAATCATGTCAGCCAAGGATTGCCGTGGTAGCGCACTCGTTGGCATCAGCTTTTCAAAAAGGGCTTGATCTTCTTCATCAATCTCCACCTCTTCCACCTCTTCTTCTTCATCGAAGCCATCAAACTCAGAATCCTCGTCCTCACTGTCTGGTGCCTCACGATGCGATAGTTGCGGGTTGCTCAAGGTATCACGTTTCGCACCCAGCGCAGGGAAATCTTCCTCTTCATCCACGAAGCCAGCTTCGATGTCCAGCTCATCCTGCTGTGCCCTGGCCAAGTCTAGGATCTTTCTAGACATCTTTGGGTCGACATAGGTCTCTTCCTTCTCTTCCTTTTCGCTGTGCTTGGCCCTTGACTGTTTTGCGAGCGACTTTCTGACGCTAGATTCGGCTGATATCTGCGATGCAAGTGGATCGTGCTTAGGTCTGACAGCCTTGGGCATCTTGGTCACCAGAGGAAGCAATGCAGACGGATGGCCAAATGGTGCAAGTTCAACTTTTTTGAAAAGGTCAAAAGTGCGGCGCAGGTGGCACAGAAGCACAGAAGCAGCAGCAGCAACTCCTTCTCTCCTTCCTGCACCAAGCCTACATCTACTGTTCTTCGCTGATCACATATCAGAGATGAGCCAGAAAGGAAGGGCACGGATGCACATGCTAACGCAGCTCACGCGTGCTTTGTTGTACCGAGACGAAAGGGATTCAAGGAAGAGGAAACATATGGAATCTCGTTAACCTGAATAAGAGTGAAGACAGCCATTTTAATGTGTCTGAGAATCCCCTGTCGCTCGAGATGACAAGAGACTTGTGAGACTGGCGAGATACCTGTCCATATGCATGACTAGGCCATCTATAGCATGAATAAGAACTTGAGACTGTCTGTGGTTGTCTGCGGCCGTGTCCCTGTGCCCGCACATCTGCTATACATCATCGATGGTCAGATCAGCCGTCTAGCCTTGCTGACTCTCCTTCCATCCTCCTCCGTACCCCTACAACTCTCTTTTGTGTGCAGCTGGTTGACAGTCACGGCTCCCAAGCAGACCAAATTTCAAGTTTCTGCTGCGACCCGCCCAAATGCACACAGCGACCAGCGACTTGCAACGACCAACACTCGAAAGTCCTTATAAGAATCCTTTGGTTACATAGATAACAATGGGAGGCACTCGAGCACAAAAGGCAGAATACTTTGAGAAGGTCAAGTCTCTCGTTGAGACCTACAAGTCCTGTTTCATCGTCACCGTTGACAATGTCGGTTCCCAGCAGATGCACTTGATCCGAAAGTCCCTCCGTGGCGACGCTGTTGTGTTGCTCGGAAAGAACACCATGGTCCGTCGTGCTCTCCGTCAGTTCACCGCCGACATTCCAGAGCTCGACCGTTTGCTGCCCCTTGTGCGCGGTAACATGGGTTTCGTCTTCACCAACAGCGACCTCAAGGACATCCGTGAGCGCATCTTGGCCAACAAGGTCGCTGCTCCTGCTCGTGCTGGTGCCATGGCTCCCCTTGACGTCTACGTCGAGGCTGGCAACACCGGTATGGACCCTTCCAAGACCTCTTTCTTCCAGGCTCTCGGTGTCCCCACCAAGATTGCTCGTGGTACCATTGAAATTGTCTCGCAGGTCCACCTTGTCCAGGCCGGTACCAAGGTCGGTGCATCTGAGGCTACCCTCCTCAACATGCTCAACATTTCTCCCTTCACCTACGGTATGAAGGTGGTCAACGTCTACGACGACGGCCAGGTGTTTGGCCCTGAAGTCCTCGACATCACCGACGACGTGCTCATTGGTCACTTCATGTCGGCCATCCGCAACGTCGCCTGTGTGTCGCTTGCCGCCAACTACCCAACCCTCGTCAGTGTCATGCACTCTGTCATCAACGCGTACAAGAACTTGCTTGCCGTGTCGGTTGCTACTGAGTACACCTTTGAGGGATCTGAGAAGGTAAGTTTACAAATTCTAGCAAGCTGCACTGCTGGTCTGCATGCTGGGATGAATCTTTATGATAGGAAGAGTCTGATCTCCAATGAAGACATTCTTAACATGACTGAGTTTGCTCCTGCAGTGCGGGCCCTGCCTTGCTTTCCACTTCGTCTTGAATATATCGCTAACAAGCTTAGATCAAGGAGTATTTGGCCAACCCCGATGCCTTTGCTGCCGCTGCCCCTGCTGCATCCGAGTCTGCTCCTGCTGCCTCTGAGGCCGCACCTGCTGCTCAGGAGGAAGAGGAGGACTCTGACGGTTCCATGGGCATGGGTCTCTTTGACTAGACATTCTTGTAGCTCAGGATTAAGCATCTCGCCTTCATCACCCCGTGATGCACCATGTGTATCGCCATCATCTTGACTTGTGAATTTTATTTGATCGCGACGACGACAAATCTGAATGAGCACAATCAACTACAAGCTGCAGATGCATTGTATAGCGAGAGCCGCAAGGACAAGGACGCAGTCCTGTGCCTTCTCTACAAGCCGAGTAGTCACCTCCTATATCGGTGCAGCGGCCATCACACTACCAGAGAACGTCACACTCGAACCATGGCAAGCATCAACAGCTGCTTCTCCAGCGCCAGCAAAATCCACCGTACAAACACAGACGAAATACATCATCACAGGTCCCGAGGGATCCCTAGACCTTGCTGTTCCTCATTTCGTTACTTTCAAACAAACATCCACAAGTGTCACAGTTTCTGTACAAGATGCCAATATCAAGCGACAACGTGCCATGTGGGGAACGACCCGAGCACTCCTTCAAAACTGCGTACGGGGTGTCGCAGAAGGTTATGTCGTGACCATCACATTTGTGGGTGTTGGTTATCGAGCAGCCGTTGAAGCTGCTGCTGCAGGACAATTGGAGAGTACCGGGACCGTTGTCCTTCGTGTTGGCTACTCGAAACCAGTCAGTTTGCCACTACCAAAGAGCATCTCAGCCTCTTGCTCACAGCCGACTGTCCTCATGCTACGTGGCGTGGATAAGCAGGCTTTAACACAATTTGCTGCAGTGATCCGCAGTTATCGCCCACCAGAGCCATACAAGGGAAAGGGAATCTTCGTCAATGGCGAGACGATCCGGATCAAGGACAAGAAGAAGGGCAAGTAGAGCTCATCTTTTTCACATTTCTTTGTTTTTTTGGCTTGGCTCCAAGCCTTCTACTCATTACAAAAGAAAAAGACAGACAGTCATATGGGAGAGCATAGCATGTTAGCATAACCTCAAAATGGCGCTTACTTGACGACAAGGACACCGTTCTGCAATGTGGCGCCAACTTCCTTGAGGAGGGAACTCATGTTCTTCTTATTTTGCTTATTACGCGCCAGCTTGTGCTTGAAGAGGTTCAGCAACGAGCGCATGTCGACACTACCATGCGAGACAATCGCCTCTTTCAGTTCAGCAGCCGTAATCAAATCACTCTCATTACCAGCGACAAGAACAGGTGACCCATGACGCGGTGAAGCCAAGGGACTCGTTTGTCGACTTGCAGGACCGGGACTCGTGACATCCCCAGTCTGGAAGCGAATCTTCTTTTGTGAACGGTCTGAATCATACCCATCGCTGCCAGCACGGCGTTTGTGGAGGCTACTGCCAGCCTGAGCAGCAGAAGAGGGGATATGTGCGAAACTGACAAGAGCAGCGCTTGGCAGTCGCAGTGTGACTAGACCAGGCCGATGACGACGTGCACGCGCTGCAGCTTTTGCGTTGTTGAGATTTGAGGCTGACGGTCGACGTGAGCTGAGTGAAGAGCCATCTGAGACTTGCGGCGTGTTGTATGTGGTGACACTGGTATTTTGCAGACGATTGACTTGATCGCGGATGTTTTGGTCGCGAAGCTGGTCTAGCGACTTTTTCTCCTCTTCGCCCTTGACACTGGCTGCCGCTGATGTCTTGGCTTCTGCTTCGTCCTCAGACGTGGAAGAAGAGGCATAGGGATTGCTGGAATCTGATTCATACATGTTGTTCTTTTCCAAGCGCTCGAGGAAGCGCTGGACTCGACGACCTTCCTTATCCAGCTTGGCCTTTTGCTTTGAATCTTCCTCGTCGTCTGCATTTGGATCTGCGTCACCTAGTGCATTGGCAGACAGCATCTCTTTCTTGATGCGCTCTTCCAACTCCTTATTGTCTTCTTCATCCTCTACCAACGCATGCTGCTCTTCGTCGTCCGCAAAGTCCTCGTTGAAGTCCAGTTCTTCCTCCAATTCCTCATGCTTGACATTCTGCTTTCGATTGTCGGTTGTCGTTCGCATCCGGTGCTGAGGAGCAGCGACAGCAGGTGCAGGCGAACCTGGTAAGCTCGGTCCACCCTCACGCATGAACCAACGTGGCAACGAACGCGCCTTGCCCATCTTCTCCTCTGCCTCATCAATCGACAGCGTCGAGTATCGCGCACGCGGTTGAAACCGATAAAACTTGCTGACGGGCGTCACATCAAATCCATCGGCAGACAGAGTCATGAAGACATACGTATGCGCCTGCCCACCCTCGAGTGTTCCTTGATACGATGCTTTGCCTTCAAAATCTTCCAAAATCCAGGGATAACGCTCTTCCGTACGCAGCTTGTAGACTTGCTCATCTGCTTGATAGACTTGACGTGTCTTTTTACGGTTGCCGCGCCGACTGCCTGCTCCTGCATACGGTGCGACATTATCTGGTGCAACACTCGGCGCTGCAGCTGTAGCAGGTGTCGTTTCACTTCCATCGTCCGCAACAACCGCAGCAGCAACCGGTTCCTCGTACGGATCACGCCGAGAAAGACGCACAGGTTGCGCAAGGTCTGTAGATGGATCAATCGGTTTTGCACCATGAAACCGCATGATATTATACTTGTGACCCGGACGTGTTGCACTCCCCTGTACTGCCTCACCAGTCTGTCGTCTGTCTGAAAGAACAACAGGACCTGTGGGCCCGGCTCGTAGCTTGTACTCTGTCCATGTGCGTGTGTCGACTGGGACGTCGATCGGCTCGCGCTTGACGGCTTGCGTGGGTGCTGCAGATGAAACTGGCCGTTGCGCAAGAGGCACTGGCTTCTTCTTCTTCGGCGCCCTGATGGACAGGGAAGACATGAGCCGGGGTCGGGAGGAGGAGGAGCACAGTCGATGGTCGCATCCAAGTCGCGTCCTGGATGTCGCTCGCCTAACCCTGCAAGCGAACGACCAAGAAGAGAGCGTAAGCAAGACACAGACACAACTACAACCAGCCAGGACAGCCCAGGATGTTGAGAACAGCCATCAGACAGCGTACGTCTTCACTACTCTACTGTTCCGAGTGAGTGCTAACAATCAGCGCTGCGCCCGGCCCTGCTCAATGTTACCCGTGCTCTCGCCACGCCGTCCACCACAGCCGTAGGCCCATCTCGCCTCGAAGAAAACATGCCGCTCGGGTCTGAAGCCAAGCCACAGAACGCTATGGACTATATCCTTACAACGGCTGATTCAGTGGTCAATTGGGCGCGACAAGGTTCGCTTTGGCCAATGACTTTTGGACTCGCTTGCTGTGCGGTGGAGATGATGCACGTCTCTGCGCCCCGATACGACCAGGACCGTCTCGGAATCATTTTCCGTGCTTCACCACGTCAATCGGATGTCATGATTGTTGCTGGTACCTTGACAAACAAGATGGCACCGGCATTGAGGCAAGTGTATGACCAGATGCCTGAACCTCGTTGGGTCATCTCTATGGGATCATGTGCGAATGGAGGTGGTTACTACCACTACAGTTACTCGGTTGTACGGGGATGTGACCGTATCGTACCAGTGGATATCTATGTGCCTGGTTGCCCGCCTACATCAGAAGCACTCATGTACGGCATCTTCTTGTTGCAAAAGAAGCAAGCTGCACAGAAGCTGACCAGGCTCTGGTGGCGCACGTAAAGACTTGACATGTTCTTTGTTAGCGTATCGAGTATTCATTCATTCACAACCGTTTGACATCTATACATGTATACTCCCGTGTGAGCTAGTCTGCTCGATTTGGAATGGCCTTGCCCCTCATGTCTGCCCAGATCCCATTGAAAACACGGCTCATTGACGTCCACGATTCCCATATAGGCAATACAATCGTGATGAATGCAGCGACCCATGCCCAGAGCATTGATACGACGATCCAGCCGGTGAAAAAGCCCTTGGAAAAGACATAGTGCGATAAGAAGAGGGGTAGGGGAACGATCAAGATCAGAATAACACTGGTCGATATTCCTGTATACGCAGCTGTTCGCACAGCGCGGTTGAGGAGGACGGGGTTCTCGTCGTCATCCAAGATTTCACCTGTCCCTGACTCAATGGTGTCTTCAAGAACCTGTTTTTCTGGTGTCGACGTACCCGATAGCTCCTTCTCTTTGATACTTGAGACTGTGCTCGTCTGCACATTGATGGAGCGCGTAATGCTAAAGTCAAAGTCAGCCGGCCAAATGAGTGAAATGGTGGTGGCCACAATAGCAGACACCATGAGCGACGTTAGATTTCCCGCAAGCTGCGCATACAGCGTTCCCGTCGTTTCAATAGAAATGACACCATCATGAAGCGCTGCTGCTGTGACTAGCCAAGCAGTAAGTCCAGCAACCAATGCTGCAAGTGGTGCAACGATCATGGCGATCCAAGGTTGCTTCTTCCAGCTAAATGCATAAAAGACGGGCACCACGGCAGGACACACGACAACGCCCATGAAATTGTAAAGCCAGCCCAAGTCAAGACCAACAATGTTCCAGATACAAGCACCGAGTGCTGTAATGATGGCCCACGCAACAATGCCTACATGGGATAAGCGGACCAACTTCTTTCCGCTTGCATGAGGATCGATGTAGATGGCATAAATGTCAAACGTCCAGATGGATGAAGTGGCAATGAGTTCAGAACTGAGAGCTGATGTCACGGCCATGAAAAGAATGATGAGCATAGCAACGGCACCCCCTTTGCCGAGCAGAACATAAGCTGCCGCTGGAGCTGGCAGACCTGCACCAATTTGTGCTGAAGATAGGATATCTGGGAATGTTGGAAAGTCAGGATCATGCCGCAGCCCTAGAGCAACGAGCCCGAGACAGGTGGCGAAGCCAAAGGGCACACTGAACCATGCGAGACCGCCCTTTGAGTTAGCATTCGCTTATAAATGGATAGATGACGGACCAGCAAGTAGCCTCGCATAGCCGTCGATGGCTTTGAGGCAATAGCGCGTTGCCAATATCCCTGATCCAGAAACACAGTAGCGAAGTTTGCGCAAACATTGATCAAGCCAAATACCAGGCCTTGGTTGGATTTCATGGTCAAGTAGGACCCATTCTGGTTGCCACCGACGGGAGTTTCCAAACCAGCGGCTTTGACAAGGTCGTACAAGGCACCTGGAGATCCAAGCTTGGATGACGTGACGAAGGCACTGAAGAGAAAGTAGAGGATGATGATCATGAGGATGGCAGTGTGGGAGTAGCTAGACCGTTAGCGATGCTGGTCGAATGCAATGCGACTTACTCCGCCAAGAAAGTTGCTCGAAGGCCGCCAACCACAACGTAACATACAACGCCAAGTGGAATCAAGATGTTGCAAGCGTAGACATTCGCACCAGTGAGCGCATTGACGACCGCTGAGCCGCCAAGGAGTAGCTGCGTCGAGACCAACAAGTTAGTCACTAGTGCAAACGCCAGTATGAGCCAGTGCACAGTGACGCCGTAACGACGATGAATGACTTCCAAGAACGTGTGACACCTTGGAGCATTGAGCTTGATCTTGACGGCCAATACTGCAAAGAGAACAATCTGGATGGTGGCACCAGCAGCATAGAAATAGGAGCCGGTGATACCGTATCGGTAGGCCACAGCTGAACTTTGCAGCAACGTTGCAGCCCCTGCGAAAGTTAGATTTTGTGCTGAATCAAGGAGACTTACAAGTCCATGAAGAGACAACAGCTGTTGCTATGAGTCCTGGCTTGACACTTCGACTCGCCGTGTTGAACTCTTCTGGATCAGATGTAGAATTGACTGTGTATCGATTCTGAATATAGGAGAGCAAGACCATCAAGAGAGCTGCCACGAATCCAATGCCTACGACGATGCCATAACCTAAACCCTCAGGAAGGACAACGCGGAAAGCCGACATCTGTAGAGCTTGTATGTCTTAGTATAGTTGAGCGATGCGTGTCGTCTGTGCAGCTCTTATGCTTTTGAACCGTAGCGGCACACGACCCAGCTGCCTCGGCATCTTGAAGCGATGCATCTACGACACAGATAAGCCCATGTATCGGAATGCGAGATAACTTTGTTACGTGCTGGACGTTATCTGTTATCTCTTGGCAATCAGATGGACATGCAGATACCAAGCAATGAGCAGATTATCAATGGGAAGATCTCCTCAGCTACAGCATCAGCACGAAGTCTCGATCAGTAGAAACCGTGCATAAGTATAGGGTATGTGATAGAGTGAGGAAGATCTTTTCGAAAGCGTAGAAGTGCAGGCGCCATCTGATGGAATTTGAGCGTGAGACTGGTTGCACGTGTATCCCAGGGATTTGTATATATTCACAACGCGGCCCGCACCCTCTTCCTTTCCCCATCCCTGTGCCCGGGCTTTACGTTAATCAGTGAGGATTCGTCCGAGATAACGTTTTTGCTAGTTGAAAACTAAACAAGACTGCTCCGGCATGCCTCGTGCATGTCGGGAATATTTGGAAAAACACTCCCCTTTCTCTCTTTCATTGCGGTGTCTCAAGTGAGTCGTTTCTATGAATGAAGCAAGGCGAGAACGTAGGAGAGCAGTCTTTTCAATTGGTAGCATCAGTACGCGTAATGCTTTCTACAGTGAAAGGAAATGAAGCGACCAGTACTAGTGTATCCTCCGTATTGTCACGCATCGATGCTCACAACAAGCGCGTGATCTCTGACTGAACTATGCCTGTCGCCTGTCTCGAGTGATGCTCATCACTTGCTCTTCTTTGCCGCCTTCTTCTGACTCGACCTGACCATGACCATGCCAAGAAAGCTACCGACCAACGTTCCACCGAGAATGAGAAGGATAACAGGAATGCGGATTGCCCATTCGCGCGCCGGGAAGAGCTCATGCAGCGGATGCCCCTGGATATCTGTCAGTACATAGCATAAAATGTATCATAGTGAGACGCACTTGATCTACAAACGGCATGAGCATCACCCACGCCGTGTAGTAGACGAAAACAAAGGTAGCGACAAAGAGCATAAGGAGACCAATGAGCTTCTGGAAGCTGTCAGCACAGAGACATATCAATGATAGGAGCATACGTCGATACTGCTTGCCATGATCAGCAGAGGAGAGGAGCTTGGCCCGTACAGTCGAGCGGCTTGTAGCTGGTGCCGGTTGCTTTGTCGCGTCGCGGGATTTGTTTGAGCGGCAAAAAGATTCAACACCAGCTGCAGTACTACTCATCATTGCTGAAGAGCTGTCTTTTCTCTGGTCCATGCAAAGATGAGCTGGTTCTGGTCCTCAGAGAATAAGAACAATGCAAGCTCATGTCCCGTCCAGCACACACAGCCAAGCGCAAGTTGTCCCGTAGACAACAAATTGCCAGCGCCACCCTCGAGCGATGAAGCAGCCAGCTGTCCTGTTGTCAAGGATGGACAAGTCAATCCTCGCAATTTCATGCCAGAATTCTCACAACGACCCATCTCTGCGCGGCAAAAGGGTGCGCTACCAACGCAAAGAACTATATCGACCATTCCGAAAGCCGCGATGGATAATGACCCCGCGCCGCCTGTTGCAGAAGGTCAGAAAGATGGGTTATGGGTCTATCCGTCACCCCAGCAATTCTTCAATGCAGTATTGAAGAAGGGTTTTACAGATACAGAAGAACGTGATGTTCCAGCCATGGTACAAATACATAATCAAGTCAACGAACGTGCTTGGCAGGAAATCCTCGCTTGGGAAGCAGACAAAGCACAACCGTGCGGTGGACCCAAATTGGTTCAGTTTCGAGGCGATGCCACAGTGCTCACCCCGAAAGCTCGGATGCTCGGCTGGCTTGGGTATGCGAGGCCCTTTGATACGCATTTCTGGACGGTCGATCGGTGTGGCACCAAGGTCGAGTATGTCATTGATTTCTACAAGGGCAAGCAAGGAGGTTCATCTGCATCGAGTGGGAAGCTGGCCATGCCAAGTTTCTATCTAGATGTACGACCAGCTGGCGTCGAAGGCTTTCCCTCAAGACTAGCACGAGCACTGCATCTATAACGTCCCTTCTCATAGCCCGTGGCGAGCACTTTTTATACATCGAACTCATCCAATGCCTGCCTCAGCACTGTCATCAAAGTCTCATTCTCAGGCTCAGTGCCCACAGTGATACGCAGACATCCTTCACAACCAACTTCATTGCCTCTGAAGCGAACCACCACTTTTCGCGTCTGAGCAAGAGCTTCATAGACTTGTAACGCAAGTGCATTACTCACCTTGCCGGTCTTTGTAGATTGAATTTGTGCCATGATGAAATTTGCCTCTGTTCCGCCAACGAGTTGTGAGACTTGTGGTAGGTCTTGTAGGTTCTTGGCAAGGCGTGTTCTGGATGCATTGAGTTGAGAGACGTGTTTTCGCATTGTCTGTAGACCGTCATCAGAGAGTGCTCGAAGGGCGAGATCAGACGTGGGTGTGGAGATGTTGTATGGTGCTTTGAGTGCATTCATGAGACTTGCAACCGCAGGTGAACAAAAAGCAACACCGAGCCGAATAGCTGCAAGACCGAATGCTTTACTGAGTGTTTGCATGACAATCAGGTTTGGGTATCGATTGACCCAAGTGCAGACGGATGAGCCGTCTAATGAAAAGTCAATGTAGGCTTCATCGACAACAAGGATGCCGTGCCATCCAGATTCGAGCACTTGTAAGATATGCTTTGGGTCAATGAGTTTTGAGGTTGGATTGCCAGGTGAGCAGAGGAACAAGCACTTGATGTCCTTATCCTGTTGCAGCTTTGTCATAATCTCCTCCATGCGCGGCTGAAATGCATTGTGTGGGTCGAGTGGGATCTTGACCACATCGACATCATTGATACTGGCACAGACGCCATACATGCCATACGTCGGCGGTGTCGTCAAGATCTTATCTCGTCCAGGCCGACAAAATACACGCAAGATGTTATCAATGGCTTCATCACTACCCACGCCCACAAACAGATTCTCAGGCGTCAAATCACCGCCTCGCAGGACACACAAGCGTCGCTTGACTTCAAGCTGGTTCGGATCCGGGTAGCGATTGAGTTGTTGTAAATCTTTATAGTCGCCAAGGGATGGACCGTAGCTATTTTCATTCGCATCAAGAAAGATGAAGCCGGGTCCGTTGTAGTCATCGCGAGCACATCTGTATGGTGCTAGTTTCCATATATTGGGCCGCACAAGGACTTCTAGGTCAAAGGCCATTGCGGTAACGATGAACAAGATGGTGGCAAGATAGATTCACGTCGCGATTGATAAAAGGAAGGACGAGATGGATTCACTTAGGACTACATTTTATCAGGGACTATTTAGTAGTATTTACTGCGCGTTGGCATCCATGTAGAGCGACGCCTTGTTGGACGTATCTGCAAAGAAACGCTTAGTGTCCTCGCACTTGGCATTGACACAGCCCGGGCATCTCAGCATGAGCTGCTTTGTTGCCGGTGCTTTTTCCTCGAGATGCTTCTTGACGAGCTCAGCAGCAGCATTAATAAATGTCTTGCTGTCATTGAGAGACTCACACCGCTTGACACCCTCAATGCCAAGCTTATGCGCATCCTCCATGTACTCCTCCAACTCATGCAAGGTCTCAATGTGATCCGAGGTGAAAGCAATCGGAATCAAGATTTGGTTGTTTCTGCCATTCTTGCCGAGTCCCTTGATAGCATCCATCGTTTGTGGTCCCATCCAAGCAGACGGTCCGACTTGTGATTGCCAAACTAATCTGTATGGGTTTGAAAAGCCAAGTTTCTGCATGACGGCCATAACGGTCGCTGCGACTTCTGCACAGTATGGATCGCCGCGGTTCACAACACTCATTGGGAGTGAGTGTGCTGAAAAGAGAAGCACCACGTCGCTGCGTTCAGCTTCGTTGAAGTCTTGCAGTTTCTTTTTAATGTTTTCAGCAAAGGCAGCAACGAGACCGTCGTTGCAACCCCAGCGATCAATGACCGACCAAGTGATGGATTCCTCGGGGTCATGCTCCTTGAGCTGCTTTCTGAGTTCATTCAGAGAGGAGCCTGTGGTAGAACACGAGTACTGCGGGTACTGTGTGAAAGCCACAGCACGCTTAATACCATCCTGCTTCATCTGCACGATGGTATCCTCACTCAATGGTTTTGCATATCGGAAGGCGACATAGGGTTTGTGCGGTGCAGTCTTGGGAGAAATCTTATCCAGTACTTGACACGCCTCGCTCGATTGTAACTCTGACCACTTTCGAATGGGTGATCCACCAATACTTTCGTATTGCTTTTCAACTTTGGGTGTCCTGCGACGGGCAATGAGGGGACCGAGATATTTTTGAAGAGGTCCAAGGGGAATCAAGTCGCCGTCTGCGAATAAGCGGGAGAGAAAGTCGTGCACCTCGGGGACTGTCGATGGGCCGCCCATGTTGAGGAAGACGACACCCTTTGGTGGAAAGTTAGTTTCAATTGAGAGGGAATTGCGGGTTTGCTTACAGTAGGTCCATGGGTGCTTCGGTCGCGGCCTTGTTCGGCGGAGGGCACAGCTGTTGCCAGTGTCCGTATGGCTGTGTTCCGTGCGATGAGCGGTGCCCGTATGTGCTTGAGGGAGCGGGCGAGCATGGCAGCAGAAGGATGGGTCGTAGCTGGTCGTGGTCTGGGGGATCTGCTTCCTCTGCTTACGACGTCAAAGAAGCAGACTGTCGGCTCGAGGGCGTTCGATACTGGGCTAGTAGAAGAACTGGATAAGCTGAGTCTATACAGATCAAGACAGAGCCCTGTTGATTGTGCCCTCTGTCCTTCTGCAGATAAGAAGCGCTGAGTGACTGCTCTATTTCCAGTTCACGTGTTTGTACTCAGCATAGACGGCAAGATATATTAGTATTGTTAAACACTCTATCTGAGCCGTTGCGATACAGATCCTGCTCTGTCTGACTCCAGCTAGCACATCACACCTGCGGCCCCGAGTAAGCCTAAGGAAGAATGTCCGCCATCACCCCTCAAAAGCGGTATGAGCCCAAGGACTCCATCACACTAGGCTTCTCTGCAGCAGGCATGTCTGCCATTGTTGGCACAGTCGTCTCTGCCGCGCAAAACTCACTCGGCAAGCACAACTTTGGTGCCATGGGTATCTTTACACGGTCCGGCGCGACCATTGCTCTTTTCGGTATGTTTTCCTCTTGTGTTGTCTAGACATGATGATGGTTGCATTACGTTTACTAACACTACTCCAGCAACAGCCGGTGGTCTCTATGCCTTTGGAGAAGCAGCTTCTTCCAATCTACGGGAAACAAATGATGCCTGGAACCAATTCTACGGTGGTGCACTCGCAGGTGCGACAGTGGGTGTGTATAAACGCACCATTCCGGCAGTTGTTGGGTATTCTGCTGGTGTCGCCGTGCTCATGGGCTTGTTTGGCTGGAGCGGTGGTCATATCGGAGGCATCTATGCGCATATGGATAAGAAGGAGAAGGCGGAGTGGGAGAAGACCTTCTTTGCCAATGAGAGGAGATTGCCGCGGAGTGAAGTCCTGGAGAAGCTGAGTGCGGCCCCGAAGTAGAGTGCCTTGCTGCTTTCTGAGGCTCTGTATGCATCCTATAGAAGCCGTCTCTATCTTGCTATGAGCCCTCTTCCCGTAGACTCACAAGTCTTTCCCATGTCTTTTGCTTGAACTGGCGACTTGTAAGGCCTTAGGTTCCTTACGTCGCTGCTCCTCCACTTTCACCACTCAAGCAACTATACGTATGTAGTAGGCCTGAGAATGAGATGTGGAAGAGATTAAAGTATGGAAAAGGTAAGAAGAGAGCATATAAAGGAGCTGCCAGCACAGCAAGTCCGGGAGCACGTGCTATGCCATCTGATCGGTGAGGCCTCCGAGCTGATGTGAGGTCGCATCTCACCCTGCGGCCTTACACGACTTGAAACGACCACCAACATCCAGCCAACAAACCAACACCCAACCAACTGCTACACATCATGGCAGATACATCCACAGAGCGCTTCGATAGCTACGACGAAGACCTCCTTCTCCTCCTCACAGAAATCACATCCGCCCTACAAGAAGCAACAAGCGCCACCACCACCTCCGCAAACCGCCAAGCAAGTCTCTCAAAAGCCGATCGTGCCTGTGATGAAGCCAGGGAACTCGTTGGTGCACTTGAATTAGAACTCCAAAACATACCGACTGCAGGACGTACAAAATTAACACATCGTGTACGGGAACGCAAGTTGAAGTTGGAGCAAGCGCGGCGGAGTTGGAAGCAAGCGAAAGACGACGCAGCATCGCGCGATTTATTCGGTGCGCGAGGTGATGATCGTTATGGCGAGACGGAAGCAGATGGTGCTGCGTATGCACAAAGGAATAGACTCCTCGCTGGTCATGAACGGCTTGACAATGCTTCTGCGCGATTACAGAATTCTCAGAGGTTGGCGAATGAGACGGAGGGGATTGGTGCTGGCATCTTGCGAGACTTGTCGGCGCAGGGAGAGCAGATTCGCAATACGCGGGAGAGACTGATGCAGGCGGACGGGTATGTCGATAAGAGCATGAAGTCCCTGAAAAGCATGGGCAGACGGTAAGACCTGCCCTTTTGTGCCCAATGGAGCATACTGACCAGCTAGACTCATCACCAACAAGATCATCACGGGCACCATCATTGCTGTTCTCATCCTTCTCATCTTGCTGGTCATCTACAGCAAGTTCAAGTAAAACGCAAGAAGATTAATGAACCCATGTCCTTTATACGCTTTGTACTTATGTCTTATCATCTTGAACTCTTCGTGTCCTTGCCCCCATCACTACTCATCATACTCTCAATCAGCTCCCGCAAGGGCCCCAATTCGCGCTGTTCAATCAAGTCAAACTCGCGTACAAAGAACATGAAGTGCTTGAAACTCGTATTCAAGTGCGCCTCCTCGCCCAATGCAATGATGATGGAAAACTGATGGCAGTACATGTGCGCATAGATCCGAAAGATGCGTTTACACATCTGCTTCACGAGTTGTTGGAAACCCCTGGGGAAGGGTACACCGAGTTCGGAGGGGAATTTACCCTCATCTTCAATATTCTCCTCAAGCCACGCTAAAACACATTCAATGTATTTCGCTGCATGTAAGGCAGTTGGCCGTGGATACTCTTTCGCGTCTTGCCAAAGATATTCGTATTGCGGACCTGCCGTCATCGTCGGGAATCGTTCCTGTGTACAAAATTCTGCCACCGTACTCCAGAGCATCTTGATTTGGTTGTAAAAGTCCACCGCTAAAGGCGCGCTTGTTAGTCACATGTGTAGCAGGCAAAACATGATCCCTTACTGTTCACGGCGAGCCATTCATCTAGATCTTCGCCTTCTGGTAGTAGCACGACTTGCCGTAGACTGCCTGTACCGAGTGTCGCTTCGGCATATTGTCGCAACTGTCCCAATTTTGTGCCCGCTTCGGCCTTCTTGGGTCTGAATGTTGTCTTTCTAGGCGCAGATGCGTTAGCCAAGGGTTGCATTGTGCGCGTTTCGTCTCTGATATGGTTCGCAGAGAAGCTAGTAGAGAGGGCAAGCACTTACAAGCCGAGAAAGGAGTTCATTGCGTATGGGCGACACAGCGACGTTGGCCTCGTGCGGTTTGTTTGTCAAGGTCAGACAAATAGAATGATTTTAGATGCGCGAGGGAAGCTAAGGCTGAGCGTCGCGTTGTGATGCCAAAGCTGTGCAATAAGGAGCGATCTAGACTAGCCGGATTCAATGAGCCTAGGGAGCGTGGCTAGCAAAGAAGGGCTCGCGACTGTGGATATGCCTGAGCTCGATCGGTTGTTGAGAGACTTGAGTCGCGCTCTGTTGTCGCATTTCGCGCGAGTTGAGAAGGAAAAAACGAAAGACAGCACCAGCACCAGCATCAATGGCCCAACACCTCACAGCTCAAGCTACAGTAGAAAATGCTGCGTAAACAGTGTCTGTGTCTAGCACGGCAAGCTCCTAATCTGCTAAGGCAATCTATCACTGCGAGGCATAGAGCCAACTATCATGAATACGTGGGAAGCTACACAGACCCAAAGCCACGCAAGGATGACTTCATCGAGAGATCACATAAAGCCATGCAAACGGGACGACCATTAGACAAGCCACGTATCACAGGGCAGCTCGAGGGCGTGCCTCAGCACACTGTCTTGGTCCATGCCATTCCTGTCAACTTCAAGAGCGAGTACTTCATTGCACACTTCTACGTCAATGAGCTACAGGCCAAAGTCAACTGTGGCAAAGGTGGTGATCGCCGCACAGTCAGAATCCAGGACCATCTTGCACTCGCATTCATCATCTCCATTGCCAATACAACCAATTACGCCACACACAGGAAACGCATCTTCAGGCGTTTCCGAGAAGCAGTTTTGCAGATGCTGAAGGACGATCCATCCTTGCTACCATCACGGCCGTTCACGCTCCAGCTGACGCCTATGCTCAAGTCACTCCATATGCCCTGGGAAGAAATGCAAGCACAAGTCAAACAAGCTTGGATAGCAGCAACAACAGCACTCGAAGCTTTGCCAAAGACACAAATTATTCCGCCCAGAGTCAAGAAAGTGTCTAAAGCGAAGCAGAGGAGAATCTTGCTGCACCAAGACGACCTAAGGCGATTAGAGACACGCCAGCCCAACAATGAAGAACCTCAATCTGGCAATAAGTCGCTTGTGACTGATCGAGTCGGCCCAAGCACACAGTCTGAACGGAGGTCAGGCAGGGAAGGAGACAGATTCGACGGCCCGCGCCCTACATTTTCGGCACGACGATTGCACGAGGATGGTCAAATTCCCAGGAACAGTGAGGGCGGTCCGCGCCCTGCGTTTTCGGCACGGCGATTGTTCGAAAATGGTCAAATTCCCAAGTACAGTGAGGTGCTTGACAATCCACTGGTCAAGTACAGCCCCGGTGAGCGCAGGAAGCGTCCAGAGGTTCGCGGTGACTCGATTCGGGCTTCACAGCTGCAGGAGCCCAATGAGCGGCAACAAACTTACATGCGCTTGCCTGATCCAAGGGTGCAGAGGATGCTCGCCTATGCGAGTGGAAAGCTGACGATCAAAAAAGACTCATAACTTTTGCCTAATCTAACATGAGAACGACAAACATTTCTGTGACTGTGTTTCTTTTTGCTATGTACGACCAAAAGTTTCTCTGGCGAAGCAAGTAAACACATCTACGTACTGCCTTGAGCTTCAATCTATGAAGATCCTAGAGGCGAGGTCAAGCTTCTTGACCAATCATGAAGTCGCACTACACATTCAAGAGCTTGTGCGTTTTCAAGACTCGCATCTAAAACATGAAGGCTCCTACACTTCCGCCCTAGAGTCAGACAACCTTCGCACAGTCCAGTATGAGCTTCAGGCCTACCTTGATAGCTTGCCAGTTTCTCAAGTCAATGCAAAGCGTATTCGAGCTTTCTGTACAGAGCTTCTCACATTCGACCCAGCTCCACCGCCTGGCGAAGAGTCCTTGGACTTGAGCTTGACTTCCTTAACCAAGGGTGAAAAGCTCATGTGCATCAACAATGTACCCTCAAATGTCGCTGAGCTCAGTGCCGTCATTGAGGAGTTCACTGATCGCTTCAAGGCTGAATGGCAGCAACTCGCTTTGTGTGCCTGCGTCGAGCGGCATTTTGGCAAACGTCCACCACTCGAGCAAGCTGCGGAAGAACTTGCACCGCGGCTGGATACGCCGGGCACATCAGCAACAATCAGTGCCCAAGCTGCAGAAAGCGACGTCGATATGGAAGAAGATGAGGAGCAAGAGCTTGTGCACAACGACAATGCTGATTACGATGACAATGGACTCGGAAATGACGAGGACGAATGATTTGGCTATGCTACTGCTTATTAAATGGTCAAAAGATGCTCGCATTCAGCTCAATTGTAAATTGAATGGGAACCGTCTTGAGCTTGTACGGATCTCCCACACCTGGGCCACAAGAACCGGTGCCTAGCCCATGCACGGCTGCATTCAAGCTCAGCAGCGTCTCCTCCATCTTTTTGAGTTCAAATGGGTGCTTTGCCATCTCAAAGGCCTCGTCCGTATAATGACTGGCAGTAAAGTCAAACATCTGCGTCGTCATGGCGCACTCAATGCGTCGACCAGATACGAAGTAGCCAGGCTTCTGCGAGATGACAAGCCAGCGTGTCTTGTGCCGATTGCCACACGCTTGTGGCTTTTCATAATTGGTAAACAAGTCGTCCACAGTTGAGCTGAAAAAGCCAATGCGGCTTGCTTCAAAGCTATCTGGGTACGATTCGCCTTCAAGACCATGCCACTGCACGTCACTGAAGCCTGGGACAAGTAACAAGTCGAGACCGATTCTCGGCATTGTCTTGGGGACTGGACCTTCTGGTTGTAGCTTGAAATTGACTTGCAATTTACCAGAGTCAAACACTGCAAACGTTGTCTGGCACTCAAGGCCCCACGCAGTCACGGCTGATGCCCATCGAGACCGGATTTTGATGGTGATCTCTGTGTCTGTCTGTGTCGTAGTCAACTCTGCTAGCCGTTCAAGCATCGTATCCACACCGAACCAGCGCCAGTGCTTGGCATCCTCTGGATTATCGTTGTCCGTCGGCGCACGCCAGAACCCTAGATGTGCCGGCTGTGCGAGCATTGGCTTGCCGTCGAATTGCCATTGAGCAAAACGTCCCTTGACCTTGTCAAACTCAAAAATGCTCGGCCCAGCAGTCACCGTTATTTTGAGTGGCGTCTCAGTGACCTGGAGCTTTCGATTCACTGCTTCCGGTTCGTTCAGGAGCGCAAGCTTAGTGGGTTGAAGAACGAATTGCTCCCAAGCAATCTCATAGCCGGTCTTTGCCCAAGGTGTCGCCTTTTTCAGAGTGAAAGACACAGTCAGGAGGTACTCACATGTATCCGTTGGTGGCGCTAGCTCAGGCAATGGAAGCTTGACCATCTCGCCAGGGCCAGCTTCAACATCCAGCTTCCCATCACCAAGGAGGACCACGAACCGATCCTTACTAGAAATCTTTTCATACCGCCAAGTACAGTCGAGATGGTTCAGAGCCTGAAAGTCGTACAGGTTCGTAATGTGAAGGTTACCCTTTTCGAGCGATACTGATATAGGTTGGAAAATCTTCTTGACCTGGAGCAGTCCAGGTGTTGGAGTGACATGGTCAGAGTTGACAAGTCCATCCATGACAAAGTTGCCATCGTTTCTCACATCGCCAAAGTCGCCACCATAGCCGTAGTAGGATATACCTGTCTTGGTATCTGTGGTCAGAAGACCATGGTTGCACCACTCCCAGATGAAGCCGCCTTGCAACCTGCGATGTTCTCGAAAGGCACGCTGGTAGTCTGATAAGCCACCAGGACCATTTCCCATAGCGTGGGCATATTCACACAAAATGATCGGTTTGGTCCAATGCTCTTCAGTCGCTTTTTCAACAAGAGACTCCCAGGAGTGATACATGTAGCTGTACACGTCCGAGACTTCAGCATCGCGGTTGCCTTCATAGTGGATAGGTCGTGTTTCGTCAAACTTGCGGGTCCACGCAGCCATTGCCTTGTGGTTACAGCCAAAGAAGGCTTCATTCCCGAGTGACCACATGATGACGCATGGCTGATTGATGTCACGGTGGACCAGCTGTCTCATACGTTCGACATAAGCGTACTCCCAGGCATGGTTATCTGTGGTGAAGCTTTCAGGAGTCTTGTCTGTTCCACTGGCAGCTTCTTCAAATCCATGGCATTCGAGATCACATTCGTCAATGACGTAGAAGCCAAGCTCGTTGAATAGACTGTAAGCCAGAGGATGATTGGGATAATGACTTGTGCGGATGGCGTTGATGTTGTTGGCCTTCATGAGAAGCAACTCGTCGCGCAAGAAGTCAAGCGGGACAGTCCGGCCGTGTTCAGGATGATGGTCATGGCGATTGACACCATTCAGCAGAATGGGCTTCCCGTTGACACACAAGAGGCTATGCTTCATTTCAATCTGGCGTATGCCAGCTTGCTGTTCAATACACTCGATCACCTCGTCGTCCTGCTTCAGCGTCAATCGCAAAGTGTATAGATTCGGGCTTTCTGCTGTCCAGAGTGCAGGTGCTGCGAGAGCCATTTGCCCAGTCTGATGACCGCTCGAACCAAACTGTGCAAGAGAGTCGCCCACACGACCACCACTTTGATCCAGAAGCTCCACTCTGAGCTGACTCGCTTGAGAAACCGAAACGGAGACATTCCACCTCAGAAGTGCGTCCACATAAGAGTCCTCGTCAGCCTTTGGGAAAGTTGTCTTGACTTGAAAGTCCTCAATTTTTGCAGTCTTGGCAAATCCAAGCTGATAGACATCGCGAAAGATGCCGCTCAACCACCACTGATCCTGGTCTTCCAGGTAAGTGCCATCAGACCATTGATAGACGCGCACACGGATGCGATTATCAGCACCGATATGCGTATAAGCAGTGATATCAAATTCTGCAGCATTGCGTGACCCTTGTGCATATCCGACTTGCTCGCCATTGACAAAAAGATGAAATGCCGAATCGACGCCTTCGAATCGCAGGATTGTGTTATTCCTTGCTGCCCAACTTTTGGTAATTTCAATAGACCGCTCATACGTGCCTACGGGATTGTCTGTCGGTACACGCGGGGGATCCACTGGAATCTCATACTTGACATTGGTATAAGCGGGATGTCCAAATCTTTTGGATTTGTGTAGTTGCCTCCAAATCAGTACTCATGAGGGACAGAGTTTGGCAGAAGCCTTACCACATGCTTGGTACGTCCATTTTTGACCACTTGGCAGTCTCATCAACATTCTGCGCTTCGAGAGGCGTTGAGCTATAATGAAATGACCAAGTGCCATTCAAGGAGATGCAATCTTTTGGCAGATAGTAAGCGCGTGGTGGCAGTCTGTTGCGCTCAACAACTTGCTCATTTTCCCAGTCTGCGGGAGGCATTGCGCCACCCATTCAGTTGTAGCTTGATAATTTTGAGCAGCAGAACACTCAAATGATACCACACTCAAATGATTCAGAGAGAGTCTGTGTGGTCAGGAGGTTTCAACTCGGTCTCGATACTGACGATCGCCAAAAGTCTTGTTCAGATGGCTTTTGACCATCGACCAAGAGGAGAATGTCACCGGCCTACTACGACCCACCAGTTATCCTTATCATAGCCAGACTGTTTGACCTTGCCAGAAGCAGCCGCTACATCGGCTTCCAAATCACCTTCCTTGTAAAGGTGGTAGTATCGCTCATACACCACCTCCTTGCCATCCTCGACCGTCTTCCAAGGCACCATGACATCTTGCGGATCTCCCTCATCCCAACCGCGTCGACTCGCTTTCTGCTCTAGGGCCCAAACATAGAGAAGTGCTTCACCCGCTGGTGCTAGTAACGACAAAATATGCTCGACCGCTTCTACGCGCCGCGCAGGGCTCGAGTAGTGATGGATGACTGCGATGCAAATGACGAAATCAAAACGACCAGTCGGATATGGCGTTTGCAGACCATCACAGACGAGTACTTCAAAGCCACGTTGACGTGCTGCGATATCGACAAGGGACTCTGATCGATCACTGCCGAGTATGTACAAGTCTTTATTGATATCGAGGTATTTCCCATTTCCACACCCGATATCCAAGCCGAGACTGCCAGGCTTTTGTCGTTTGAAAAAGTCAGAGACGACGGGCCATGGAGCGTAGCGTGTATTGGAGAAGTGCGTGGCAATCTTGTTGTAGACTTGGTGAACGTGTGTTTCTTCAATGGCAGCTTCTCGTTCTGGAGCTTCTCTGCTAGGTAGAGTCATCTTGGGCTTTTAGCAAGTTTAATAGCTTCAGGGATTATAGAGCAGGAGTCATTTCATGCGTGTAGTTCCTGGCTGCGTCGAAATGTCTGCCGCCAATTCTTGAAGTTCAAGAGCAAGAGAAAGGCGACAGACCGACAACCAACTTTGAACGTACAAACGCACCACCAGCAAGTCAGTCAAAGACGCAGAGACAGGGCAATGGCTGCTATCACACAACTGCCCAATGCGAACAAGACAGAGACAACCATCCTAGGCTCCCTGGTCAGTCGCCCTACAACATCTCGTTGTACAAGGAAAAGACTAACAAAACCACAAGATCTCCTCACATTCACACATCCGCGGTCTCGGTCTCGATGACAATCTCGAACCGAAGCCAAACAGCCAAGGCATGGTTGGACAAATCAAAGCCCGCAAAGCAGCTGGTGTCATTCTTCGCATGCTTTCGCAGAATAAAATCGCAGGCAGGGCGATTCTCATGGCTGGTCCACCATCGACTGGCAAAACGGCCATTGCGATGGGTATGAGCCAGTCGTTGGGTGAAGGTGTACCGTTTACGATGATTTCTGCTTCAGAGATATTTAGTCTTGAGATGAGCAAGACGGAAGCCTTGACGCAAGCATTTCGCAAATCGATTGGTGTTCGCATTCGTGAGGAGACGGAGATGATTGAAGGCGAAGTCGTGGAGATTCAAATTGACAAGTCCCTGACGGGTACGACAAAGATGGGCAAATTGACCCTGAAAACAACAGACATGGAAACAGTCTATGATTTGGGAACAAAAATGGTTGAGGCATTGTCAAAGGAACGCGTGATTGCAGGCGATGTCATTACAATTGACAAGACATCCGGCAAGATCTCAAAACTCGGCAGGTCTTTCGCTAGGTCGCGCGATTACGATGCGATGGGCGTTGATACACGCTTCGTGCAATGCCCAGAAGGCGAGATTCAGAAGCGTAAAGAAGTGGCGCATGTTGTTTCGCTGCACGAAATCGATGTCATCAACTCGAGATCACAAGGCTTCCTCGCTCTCTTCTCTGGTGATACTGGAGAAATCAAGACTGAAGTCCGTGACCAAATCAATGTCAAGGTGGGCGAGTGGAAGGAGGAAGGCAAAGCGGATATCTGCCCGGGTGTCTTGTTCATTGACGAAGTACACATGCTTGACATGGAGTGCTTTTCATTCTTGAATCGTGCCGTGGAAGCTGAGCTAGCACCGCTCGTGGTGATGGCCTCGAATCGTGGTGTGACCAGAATCCGTGGCACACAGTACAGGTCGCCCCACGGTCTTCCGGTTGACTTGCTGGATCGTATGCTCATCATCAGCACGAGCCCGTACACTGCCGAGGACATTCGGCAGATTCTACACATTCGCACACAAGAAGAAGATGTGGATCTCGCTTCAGATGCGCTCGACCTCCTCACCAAGATTGGCCAAGAGACGTCGTTGCGATATGCGATGCACATTATCATCACAAGTCACTTGATTGCAAAGAAGCGTAAAGCACAGCAAATCACGGTGGCGGATGTGAGCCGCAGCTACGCCTTGTTTTTGGATCAGAAGCGGTCTGTCAAGTCAATCGAGGAGAGCAGCGACTTCTTAACAGAGACGCATTACCAGGTTGATGGCAATCAGCCGCAACCGATGGAAGTGTCATAGATTAAAAAGCATAAAGTAGTCAAAACACTCATGTATTCCTTTGGACTTCTACTGACTCTTGACTGTCGTAGCTAACGGTACAGGTGATCCGCCCTAAGATTTGCAGCACATTCCACTTCCCACTTGTCACCATTAGCGAGCAACTTTTCCTTGTTGTACAGCAACTCCTCGTGTGTTTCTGTCGAGTACTCAATATTGGGCGTCTCAACAATCGCATCCACGGGGCACGACTCTTGACAGAACCCGCAGTAGATGCACTTGGTCATATCAATATCATACCGCACCGTCCGTCGCGCACCATCGGCGCGTTCCTCCGCTTCAATGGTGATGGCTTGAGCCGGGCATACAGCCTCACACAACTTACAAGCGATACACCGTTCTTCGCCAGATGGATACCTGCGCAATGCATGCTCTCCACGGAACCTCGGCGACGCGGGTCCCTTTTCGTATGGGTAGAAGATGGTGTAGGGTGGTTTAAAGAATTGCTCGAGAACGACATACATGCCGCGCAACATTTCCGTCATGAGGAAGTAGGAGCCTGCTTTGTCGAGTGCGGAGCCCTGGACATCGACTGTTTGGCCCTGTGGACGGAATGCGACTGGAGGGGCGGCGAATGCGGCGCGGGCAAGGGAGAAGGAGGCGGATTGGGTCAGCAGTGGCAGTCTGGGTGTTGTTGCTGTGCGTGCTGCTATTGCTTGAGAAAGGGGTGCGGCGGTGAGCCTGATGCCTGTCCTGGCCAGTGCAGGTCTGTACATGGTTGTCTGGAGGAGTGAGAGTGCTTGCTGTCCTTGCTGACCTTGCTGACCCTTGCCCAATGCTTAATTGCTCTGTGGTGTGCCGAGTCAGCAGAGGAAAGGCGTGAGAAGACACGTGCATGGGCGAAATTTCATGAGAAGAAGAAGAAGCAGCACAGTGGACCAACTGGCTACTCAGTACTCACTACTATCTTCAGCAACAATGGCATTCACCCCAGGAGACAGAGGAGGCAGAGGCGGACGAGGTGGTTTCACACCAAGAGGGTAATTCCAGATACATGTATTTTCTGGTTCCTCATAGTTAACATTCTCCCTTAGTGGACGAGGCGGTTTCGCTGATCGTGGCGGACGCGGCGGCGGCCGAGGTGGATTTACTCCCCGTGGCGGACGTGGAGGTGTAGGCGGCGACCGTGGTGGTCGTGGTGGACGTGGTGGTGGTATGTTTCTCCTCTCATCAATAAGGAGCATCGACTAACCTATTTTGCAGGCCGTGGAGCCCCTCGAGGCCGTGGTGCACCCCGTGGTGGTGCGCGTGGTGGTGCCAAAGTGGTCATCGAACCACACAGGCTCTCTGGTGTCTTTGTTGCTCGCGGCAAGGAAGACTTGCTCGTTACCAAGAACTTGACACCCGGCGAGTCTGTCTACAACGAGAAGCGTATCTCCGTTGAAGGTACAGATGGCACAAAGACAGAGTATCGTGTATGGAACCCCTTCCGATCCAAGATCGCTGCTGGTATTCTCGGCGGTGTGGACCAGATCCACATCGGTCCTGGCAAGAAGGTTCTCTACCTCGGTGCTGCTTCTGGTACATCCGTCTCTCATGTCGCAGACATTGTGGGCCCTGAAGGTCTCGTCTACGCCGTCGAGTTTTCACACCGTTCCGGTCGTGACTTGATCAACATGGCCAAGAAGCGTACCAATGTCATTCCGATCGTCGAAGATGCTCGTCACCCACAGAAGTACCGCATGCTCGTTGGTATGGTCGACTGTGTCTTCCTCGATGTAGCACAGCCCGACCAAGCTCGTATCGCTGCACTCAACGCTCACATGTTCCTTAAGCAAGGCGGTGCTATTCTCATCTCCATCAAGGCTTCATGTATCGACTCTACCGCTGATCCTACTGCTGTCTTTGCAGCTGAAGTCCAAAAACTCCGTACAGATGGCTTCAAGCCAAAGGAACAGCTGACACTCGAGCCATACGAGCGTGATCACTGTCTTCTTCGTGCCGAGTACGTTTAGGTAGTCTTATCGTTTAGCATCTTTGTTACTTTACTATTCATCTTTTGCACAGTCTGCACAAATGTCTTGTAAATAAGTTGTTCCTGAAAGTGACGTACTCTACAACGTCAACTATTTCTCAGACATAACCACATTCATCTATCTGCTGCACAAAGCTTATTTTCTCCTCTTGTAACTTCTTCGATGACCCCAATAGACGGGAAGCTTCGATATCGTGCAGTAGATATAGAGAGTCAACAAGACCTCGAAGATCTCACAGAGCTCAGACGACTTTGTGGTTGGTGTGCAGGCCTTGTGCCTAGCTGGTTTGACAGCATACGCAAGGGTGATCTACTGTACTACTTTTTCTATGCTCCTGAAGATACGATGCTCAGTCGTCCCCTCGGTTCAGGCGGTCTTGACCTCAACTTGGGTACAGATGGCACAGATTGTTCTGATAAAGCAACCGCGACTTCATGCATGGTCGGTCTCTTCATCCGCAAGGAGTATGCTGGCCGGGGCTGGGGAAAGCAGATGGCCAACTTCTTCATCAAGCTTGCATTTGAAGACTATGCACAGCAGACACTGACGTGCATCAACGACACGGACGTAAGCTTATCCTCACTTCTCAATACAACCGAAACTGACCCATCTAGAACGAAGTGACCATGCGCATGTTCTCACAGCTTGGATTTGTGGAGTTTCGCAGGGAGCCAAAGCACCACTGGGAGTCTGCACCTGAACGCAAACGAGTCCCTATTGGCAGTCATCGCCGACTGACCGCCAAGGAATACTTTGCGCGCAAGAATCGTTGAGTACCCTCTGTTGTGCTGCTTTTGTCTCCGCAAGGATAGCTCTGGCTCTTTACGGCTGCGTCCAAACTGCAAAGCACAAGACTGAGCGATTGTGACTGTCTACTACGACATGACAATGACCCCACTTCGGCATGCTCCGTGACTCGACGACGCGACAATCATGCATCGCTCGGTCCGCTGTGCAAGACGATTGTTACAACAAGCGACACGTCCAACATGGCAAGCATCCTTTACGACCATCTCTCGAACAGATGCAGCGCGTCTTTTGAAGAAATCAGGAATCGATGTTTCAACCAAGTCTCGCAACCCAGCACGAACACCTGCTATGGGCAAATTCTCGCGACATAGCCCATTATTCACCATTCGGATTGATCGACAGGCAAAGTCTCCACTGTTGGAAATTGATTATGAGACGAAGACGACGCTTCCATTGCAATACTCGTCGAAATTGCTTTCTACGCGCGCTTATGAACCTGTCTCGCAAGCGATACGATATGGTTTGACGGAGTTGCAGCAATTACAGCTGACTGTTTATTTGGACCGACTATGGATGTTTTTCAAAAAGCATGACTTGACAGAACTATCGTTTGGGATTGCAATTGAGTTTGATGATGTGCAGGTTGTCGTGTCGAGTGTCAAGGTCGATACGGATGCGCTCAAACGTCAGCCATCAATCGCCAAGCTCGTCAAGGCTGATGAGCGAACGAAACTTGAAATCAAAGCTGAAGCTGCCGGTCTCATCTACACTGAACTGGATGGTGATATTGGCTGCGTCGTTAATGGCGCAGGTCTGGCAATGGCAACGAACGATATTCTGCGACAGCTAGGTGGTCGATCAGCTAATTTTCTCGATACAGGCGGACAAGCGACCACAGCATTGTTGATCAAGGCCTTTGCGCTCTTGCTTGCCGATACCCGAGTCAAGGCAATCCTGGTCAATATCTATGGTGGCATCATCCGATGTGACATGATTGCAGAGTCCATCATTTTGGCTGCAAAGGAGCTTGATATGAGCCAAGTACCGATCGTTGTCAGATTGAGAGGTACGAATGCCGAAGAGGGACAGCGCCTCATTGCAGAATCAGGTCTACAGCTCTTTGCTGAAGATGTCATTGATGTTGCTGCTCGTCGGGTTATTGACGCTGCTGCAAGAGCACCTGTCAGGGGAGACGTCAGCCTTGGATCTATGATACAGCGTCGCACATATTCAACGAGCAGACGTATGAGCGATAGAGCACAGCGGACGAGATCTCTTGATTTAACTTCCGAAACACGAGTCATCTATCAAGGGTTCACAGGAAAGCAAGGTACCGTCAATGCAATGCAGACCATTGCATATGGCACAAATGTCGTGGGTGGCGTATCCCCTGGAAAAGGCGGGTCTACTCATTTGGATCTACCTGTATTCGGCACAGTGAAAGAAGCTGTTCAAAACGTACAGCCTGATGCTACGGCCATCTTTGTTCCAGCATTTCTCGCTGCAGGCGCAATCATGGAGGCAATCGAGAATGAAATCCCTCTGATTGTGTCTGTTGCAGAAGGCATACCGGTCCATGACATGCTTCGCGTCCACGAGATGCTCAAAACAACGACAAGGTCGCGCTTGGTGGGACCTAATTGCCCCGGTGTCATTGTTCCCTCTGCCAGGTGCAGGATTGGCATTATGCCCTACCAGCAATTCAAGGCAGGACGTATCGGCATTGTTTCAAAGAGTGGGACGCTTTCCTATGAAGCTGTTGGTGAGACGACGAGATTAGGCTTAGGGCAAAGTCTTGTGGTTGGCATGGGTGGCGATATGCTGCCAGGTACATCTCTCGTCGAGGGCTTGCGGTTGTTTGCCGACAGAGCTGATACGGAAGCAATGGTGTGTCTCGGTGAGATTGGTGGCGCGGCGGAACTCGACGCAGCAGAGTTTGTGCGTGAGTACAATGCTCGGCTAGGCAAGGATGCGAAACCCGTCGTTGCGATGGTGGCAGGTTGGACGGCACCTGAGGGACGCGTCATGGGGCATGCAGGTGCTTTGCGTATGGCAGGTGAGCTGACGGCTGAAGAGAAGACCAAAGCATTGAGAGATGCTGGCTGCCATATTGCATCGCATACAGGGCAGATTGGTGAAATGCTGCAAGCTCTGTTGAATAGAAGAGGGGCATAAAGTAGATATGTACACGTACCGCAAGGATTGAGGACAAGCTCAGGAAGTAGCCATACTTTTGCGTCTTCTTAGGAGATGACTGAACCGTCCAGTGCTCGGGCGAGCCTGATCCTCTCGTAATTTGGACGCTGATGCCACGTTCATCTTCGCATCCGCTTCAAGTATCTCTTCTGCTGACCTGAATGGTTTCAACCTGTCTGATTCATTCGGCAACTGAAAGAAGGAGCCTTCTGCGTACCACAGATCGGCAATGAACAAGACGCACAAGAGTACACAAATTTCAAAACCCTTGAGGTCTTGTATTTGTATTCTCTCGATATTATAGTCGAGCATGGTCAGTCTGAATCGCTTTGAACGGCAACTCAAATGGCATATAGCAATCGACGAGTCGTGCTTGTGCTGTATTTTGGATGCATGCCATTCAAGAGTCAGATTCGCTGGCGAAGATGCCAGGACGTTGTCTTTGCGGATGCAGAAAGTATGCCCCTCATATTCAAATTGCCATTCAAACCTGACCTTGCCCGTACTACATAGCGTGACAGGGACGTCTGGTGTCGCAGCATCATTTGAACTTCATTGGCACCATACAAAGATGAGCTGCTGACGTCACCGTAGACAGCTTGGGAGTAGGGATCAGAGACTTCGATCTTGTATGCCGCAGGCTCGTGCCCGTTCGATACAGGCGCTTGAATGCGATGAAGCTGCTATTGCAAGTCAAGGATACTGCCGTGGCACTTTCGGTAGACTGTCTTCAGTGAGCTTGAGACGAGACCAGCACGCACCGTCGGTCATGTGTAGTTGACCCGTGCAGTTGGATATCGCCCAAGACTGCTGTGCGACATTCACCGAGGCCGCAATTCGTCAACATATGCATCGACTGACTCCACACAGACATCGACATTGATGTTGCTCTGAGCTCTAGGCCTCGTGCACTTGTCCAAACACAGAAAGAGCTTGCTTGATCATTCTGCTTCAATTGGGAAACTGCTCGCTGCAAGACAAACTCCCAAGTAGTCGAAGCAACTTGCTAGCTAAGGGCGCGCGATGTACAGTCCTACTATTGCAGTTTGCCAACATATTCCCAGTCCCAACGCATCACTTGAAGAGAATTTCCAAAGCGCTTCAGATCTTGTGCGCCAAGCTAAGTCCCAGGGAGCCGACTTGGCTGTTTTACCTGAGTATTCGCTAGCGCTTCCTGTCAACAGCGAAGACAAAGCTTGGGCTGACCAAGATGGCACCTTCCTGCAGCGATTCCAGGAGCTTGCCAAAGAGCTATCTATCGACTTAGTTCCTGGTACTATCGGTGAGTGGGAGGACGTCAAAGGTGACGGCGAGCTCATCTTGAGCAATAACTGCTACTTCATTGATCGGACCGGCTCAATCCTGTCCATCTACCGCAAGAAGAATCTTTGGCACCCCGAGCGTGCAATCTTTCAAAAGGGCGAAGAAGAACACGCCGTCTTTCACACAGAACGCTATGGCATAGTCGGTCTCCTCGTCTGCTGGGACTGCGCATTTGCGGAAGCGTTCCGGTGCCTGGTCAAACAGGGAGTCCAGACCGTCATTGCGCCTACGTGTTGGATGCTGAGCGATGCAGGGGCAGGCCGCAGGTTCAATCGCAAGAGCGAGCAGATCTTTCTCAATGCGATGTGTACCTTGCGAGCCTTCGAAAACGAGGTTGTATTTGTGTTCTGCAACGTGGGCGGCACAACCGAGGAAGACGGAGTAGGTCTTTCGCAGATCACGGCTCCTTTTCATGGCCAGCTAGTCGCATTCACTGACGCCAAGCGCGGAATCAAGCTCGCTCAAGTCGATTACTCTTGTCTAAGCGTGGCCGAAGACGTTTATAAAATCCGCAAAGACTTGCTGAGTGAGGACTTCCACTACTGAAGGACTTCAGAGCTCAGGAGAAAACCTGAAAACACATTGCAGATCTAGGCCCAAGGGAAATTATGTTTGTCATGCTCATTGACAAACAGCATTGCGCGATGCTACTAAGGGCAGCATTCGCATTCGGACAGCAAGGTATTTGGCATTGCTGATGTGCTGGCTTGTTTGCCCCTGATATTTGGAAAGCATTCAAAAGGCCACATCCTTCTGTTGCCCTTCCTCCCAGGCTACCATCTGTAACAAAGACACCTACAAGGCTATCATCACACTCTTTTACTCCCACACATAAGAGCATTCACGCATACAGTTTCAATCAACAAGTATGTTAGTCAAGGCAAGTTTCATCACCGCCAGCCTCTCCATGGGCGTCCTGGCGCACGCTCACAAGGAAGCACATGGAGCCCAACCCTCTGCCACACCCATTCTCCTCGCCCAGCCCCCTCAGTCAACTACTGAACCTGCCTCACCTGTTGGGACCCCAAACCCGGCACCAAAGCTCACTGATGATGCAGCCAAGAACGCTGCCATCCTTGATGCTCTCAAGACACTCCAGGACAATGGCTACACCATCAGCAAGTCTGATGTCTGCAGCACAGCTCCATCCACTACTGTTTCTTCCAGCACGTCTACCAGTGTCAACGTCAAGGTCAACGTCAAGAACTCCGTCACAATCATCAACGGTATTGCGTTCACCAATGACCAACCTTCTGGCGCTCCTGGCACTGAAGGCACGCCTGTCTCCGATGGCACAGGTACTGGAACGACTGGTCTACCCGGTGGCGGTGGCAACTCCGGCTCCGACTCTGGCTCGAACGGTCAATCTGGCGGTAACTCAGGCTCCGGCTCCGGCTCAGGCTCGACTGGCCCAACTGGTTACGTGGTCACTTCGTCTACGAAATTCGCTGGACAAGTCTCTACCTACGGAAGTACGACTACGACTGTAAATGGCGGCACACCTGGCTCACCTAACGGCACACCTGGCTCACCTGACGGCACACCTGGCTCACCTAGCGGTACACCTGGCTCACCTGACGGCACACCTTCTGCATCTGACTGCTGGTTCTCTCTCTCGGCCGATGGTGTCAGCCTTGAGCCTTCACAAACGACCGACGGCGCACAGGATGTCAAGTTCAAGATCCAAAAGGACAGCCTTGTGGACCAAACAGGAAATGTCTGTGGCGTCCTCAACAACCAGCTTGCTTGCCAATCTGCCGATGCTGCCGCTGCCGCTGGCCTTGTCACGACAACCTTTGCCGTCGACAACAACGTCCTCTCATTCAACGCCAACCCACAATTCTTCGTGTGTGCCGGCGCTACTGACGGCACTATTCCTCCTACTCCCTCCTCGACTCCTGTGCCAGTCGACCAAGTCACTATTCCCGAAACTGGTGCTACTGGTCTCGATGGAGCGAATGCCGCTTCAGAGACTCCAGTCCCTACTCCTCTTGCTGATGCTGCTACGTCTGGTCAGCCTGTCTCATCTCCCATCCCTGTCGCTCAACCCGCCCCTGGAGCCTCAGCTCCTTCCCTCAACCTCTACACGAAGAACATTGACGGCCTTCAGTGCACACCTGTGACATTCAAGGTTATCATGGACGCCTCATGCTCATCTGGATCTACCAACCCAGCCGGTGGAGACCCCAAGCTGTCGGACGGCAGCGTCCTTCCAAAGGCCAACAAGAGTGCCGCCATGCCCGGCAGCACTGTCTCCATGACCTTCGCTGCGGCTATGATCACGGCTGTGGCCATGAGTCTTCTGTTCTAAGTGCCCCGATCAGTTCTCTCTCTCTTCTTATACCCTCCACTTTCGTAATACTTTCGATCATTACCCATTACTCATTCGTCCTCTTTATATTCTCTCTCCATCTGAAGTTGTGACTTGCGGCTGACCGTTGTATCTGACGTCTCCACTCACAAGCAGCACATACATTACAGCTGCCTTGAGCGCGCCCGTCTGGCAGTCTCTTACACAAGACGAACTTTTCACAGTCTCCCTAGCCGGCTTCTTCAAGCCTATTGCGACCGAGGCGCACTTGTTCTAAGCGCAGTAATGATCACTGGATTCATCGCAAGCGTAATCACGTCCGTCGCGGGCTTCCTCTTCCCAATTCTAGCAAGTTTCAAGGCGCTGAAGGCAAACGACGTCTCGCAGCTTACACCATGGCTCATGTACTGGAGTGTGATGGGCTGCTTGCTTTTTGTTGAGCACTGGACTTACCTTTTTCTACAATGGTACGGCAGATGCTCATCGTCTTGACTAATGCTGATTAGACAGGGTCCCGCTTTATAAGGAAGCAAAAATGATTGTCGTACTATGGATGGTGCTTCCTCAGACACAAGGCGCGACGCAGCTCTATCTACACTACTTGCATCCACAACTCGTGCTGCATGAGCGCGATCTGGATAAGCTCATTTTCACACTCCACCAGCAAGCAATGCAGAGCGGCGCAGCACAGTTGCAACGTCTGTACAGGCTCGTACAAGAGATCCTCATTGGGCCTGCTGCAAGGGCACCCGAAAACAGCGCTACACCGACTTCATCCACAGGCCCTGCTGAACAAGATGGTTTCATTGCAAACTTGCTCGCGCGCTTCAGGACAGTGCCAGTGGGAAGTTCTGCAGAGACCATTCCCGCGACGTTATTGGCATTCATTTCTTCTTATTCGCGCAGTGCAACTTCCATGACTCCTTCCTCGGCGGCGGACATAGTGCCGTCACATTTGCAACCGGAAGAGCGCGCCAACTATATTGCGCTACAAAAGCAAAAAGTGAACAATTGGCTACAGCTCTTGGATCAGGCCATGTCGCAGCCTGCACCAAGTTATGTTGACGCTTCAATTCCTACAGCCATTCCGGAAGGGAATGAAAGTCATACAAGCCTGAGCAGCAAGAAAGGTAAGGCTCGGAGCGCGAGTGGACGCCAAACGCCCATGACTGACTCTGATTTTGAAGACATTGGACAAGATGACATTTTGCCCATGCGACGTGCCCCTGGCGCAAAGACGAGTGCTCGAGATACGAGTTCCTTTGGAAATGTCAATACGCGCCAAGGTTGGTTCTGGCGCTCAGGGCGCTCCGCTTCGTCGACCTACTGATGCTCAGTGGTTCATGACTTTTCGTGTGTTTTCGCGCTTGCGCTGGCTTTGAGTATTTGTCCAATTCGCAAGCAATGTCTTTGCTCTTCTAGTTCTAGTCACCTCAATCTTCTCTTCTTGGACCGTGTCATCATTGCGTGTTCTGCTGTTTCATCCTCATCCTCATCCTCCTCAATGTCCTCCTTATCGTTTATCTCCGGCGCAATTCTCCCTTCGTCTGATGAAGGAGAAGTCTGTGATGGACTTGACTTATCCTCCAACAACAGACCAATAGTCGCTTTTGGGTTCTCCTCAGCACATGCCATGACGCCCAGGCGGTGTACAGCTGCTCTCATGACTTCTCCGCCTCCACGTCCGCCAGTAACTTTAGACAGCTGACGCAAGAAAAATGCTACATAGCCTGCCATGCTGTGAGCGGAAGCATCCAAATTAAGCCAAACTAGTCCCGAGAGCTGTTGTAGCTCTGTTGCCGTCATGCGACGGATCTGAGCTTCTTCATGCTTAGATCGGCTATCGAGCAGCAGGAAAAGATCCCCTCCGGGTCGCATGGATGAAGCACAAGGCTTTTCTTGGGCTGCGCCAGACCTTGGAGGTTCCAGGAGACTCTCGGCCACGAAGGGAACTGGGTCGATTCGCCATGTAGCCAACTCTCTCTTGCAGCGGACGAAGCTCTGAATCGAGACTTGTATAAATGAGCGAAGATCTGTTTCCGACGATTCTGCACACCAGGCACCACTGCCGAACGTGATGACTTTGATGTTGCAAAAGACCATGCGTCGTTTAGACCGCCCTGAGACTTCGCCAGAGTCCGTGGATGGCAGCGACGGGTAAGCCAAGAGCAGACCGAGCAAGGACATCACTGCACCAGCCTGTGAATGACCTGATAGCAGTAGATCGTCAAAGCCAGCCAAGAGGGCCTTGGACAAGTATTCGCGCATTTGAGGATGGCTGTAGAGAGTCTTGGCGATCGTCAAGAAGCCGGCATGAACGCTGAGTGAACACGTCTTGCCCTTGGCTATGTGCAAAACCAATTCAGTTGGGGTTGAATGTAAATTAGACAGCCAGTCTTGCTTGCTGTTGGTACCAGGCAACGAGAGCACCACTTGTCCAGTTGATTTGTGAATAGCAACGAATGCTAGCGCTTTCGATGTAGATATGTGGTGCCCTCGTAGCAAATTAATGTGTCTTGGTAAAAGATCTGCTTCCATGATCCAAGGCTCGCTTTCAGCTTGTTGATGCGCAGGAACGTAAGCTGCGAGAACCTCATTTACGCTGTCTGTCCATAGGCGACCCAGTGGTATCGGGCTATACGACACGAACGCAGCAAGAGCCGCGACAGCAATTTCAAACGATTCAGCAGCGGTACATTCATGCTGTTGGCCAATAGACCCTGGCTCTGGGCGTGACCTGGTCAAGACACGAAACAAGTGCACGAAATCGAGTTGTTCTGTGTGGAGTTCATTTTTGATACGCTGGATAGCAGCAAAGACAGACTGTGCCGAGTTGATGACCGATGTGACTAGATCAATAGCACGATTCATCTATCATAGCGAGCTGAGCAATTCATGCGTGTCAAGCAACGAGCTGGGGCAGTCTTGGAAGTGGCCGTGACGGGTGGCCCTCTGGCGACAAGAATATTCAGATGAGCGGCAGCGGTAAAATGTCGTCTGACTCCAGCTCGGCGACTAACGTGTGCAAGCCTACAAGTAGTTGCGCTTGAAATGACACGACGACGCGAGTTTCAGCAGAGCGTCCTGGACGGCGACAAATAGCACAAGGAAGACCAATAATTCAGGACGGCTCGCGAAGGAATGCAGATAAGGTCAAGGATGCGGTTGCTCAGAGGGCCTTACAGTTAAGTTACAAGGATACAAGTAGGCAAATCTAGCTCTCGAGAAGAGAGAAGCGATCCAGTGCGAGGTTGGCTTTGAGAGCCTTGTTTAAAGATGTGGTAGTGAAATCGTCAATGTCGTGATAATGGACCAGCCAATAAGTTTGTAAAGATGCGCCAGCGCAGTCAGTTCTGTACATGTGTGCCAGCCCGGATCATGATCTTGACGGCTTGCTGTGGTGAAGCGGCATATCTTGTTCACTGGAAAGACTGCTTGACCTGGAGCTTAATGAGTTGATACTTCCAGACTTGCTACGCAGTGCTTCGTAAGAGAATGGCCGGACTGGCTTCGCTGGTCGGACTTGCTGCTGCGATCCAGTGGCTTCCTCTGAAGAGGTGCGCTGATTGTACACTGCGAACGTTTGTTCAAACGGATTGATCTCATTCTGGTGCTTGTTCTTGTTAGCAAGCCATCCCTGAACGGCTGACATTGGGATACATACAGAATGGACAGTTCTTCCTGCTGGTCTTGACATGGCGAATATGGAATGGGACGAAAGTGTCAAGCGCTCAATGAAGTGGTGGTCTTATGCGAAGATGGTGCAGGTCGGGTAGCTTACATATCAGCGACACGGATGCACGGGCCCACCGATCTTCGCCTGAAACACTTGGGCGTCATGGGCGGTGCGGGCCCACGGGGAAAGGGCGACCCGGGCAAATGTGGTAATTTGATGTTTGCTGCGGAAGATTCGTATTTCCAAGGCAACATTCACTGATCCACATTCTCCGGGCTCAGGCTCGCTCTCTTCCAAAGATCGACACGACACCCTAAATATGCGTATGGACATAGAAAGACCGAGAGAATGCTCTAAACCCTAGTTTGAAGGCCTACCTGGCGTAGTCAATGCGATAGCACATCATAGCAGTAGCTTTTATCGGAGCCCGTTCTTCTTGCATGCCAAGACGATTCAGGGGCTATGAAATGAGTATAAGAAGAGCATGATCTCTGACGAAATTACTACTGTCGTAGACTGCTCGCTACGTTTCCTGGCGAAGAGCTACCACACATGGTCCATCTGTTTGCAGAGTACCTTGTCAGGGGTGTGCTCGCGAAAACAACCCGCACTGTTGCGAGATCAGCACACAGGGAACAGGCCCAACATGGGCTCTCGGACAGACTTATTCACGACTCGCAACTCGCCGTCGGGACGTCAGTTAGGCTTTTGCAGCTGCGATATCAATGTTGCATCCCTGGATACCTTGCAAAGTGCCACAGTTGCCAGGTATGCTCGCCGTACGCATTGTGCAGCAAGCTATTTTTGCAATAGAACTACTCAATGGCAACGGCGCTTCGTCTAATCAACTGGCCAGTGGCCAGCCACACATGTGGTGATCGACAAAAAACGATAAGCTCGCATGGAACGATCTGAATATGGAAAGATATCTTGAACGGGTTGCTCATAACTTGCTATGGTAGTCACAGGCTCCGGCACTTCTTTGTATAACCAGGCAAGCTGGCAAAAGCTAGGTGTTGCACCAAAATGAGGTACTGACTCGACGAAGCAGAAAAATGCGTCAGCAGTGAATGTACGCTTGAAGATTATTTAGAAGCGATTCGGACCTGGTTGATAGGCCTGAATGTTTGGACTTGGAGCAGGCGTCAGGCCGGTCGTCTTTGGCAAAGGCTTCGTGTCCACAGATCTGACGCTTCCTGCCGGTGTCTTCTTTTCGCCATCCGATGGCTTTGGACTGACACGACTCGAATCTGGTTCTGGTTCTTTGGCCTCGTCAGTGACGTCTTGCTGGGGAGCACTGTCTGCTGCCAGCACAATATCCACCACACCAGTCTCACTCCTATTGGTCATCGCCTCGATCAAGCCAGTCGAGTCGCTTGGCGTTGATGCATTGCACTGGCGAATAGTCGTCTGAACGAGTGGACTTCCCAGCTTGCCTGTATCTTCCTCCTGCTTCGTCGCTCCAGACACGCGCTTGATTGATGCAGATGAAAAACTGCGAAGACTTGCATCCTGCTTCTTCATAATCTTCTTCGTCACCCACTGCGTTTCGCCATGATCCTCAGTGTCAACTGCGAGGGAAAGCCTTGACCTTGGTTGAGCAGCTGTTGCACTGACTGGCCGTGGCGGACTGATTGGCAGCATGCTGATGCGTCTCGACGAATCACCATGAGCGGTTTGAGGCTTGGATGTTTGTTGTCGCAAGTGCTGAAACGAGAGAAATCCATCAAGAGTAGTCGTGCTTGCACTGGCGTCAGCATGAGCCGAGCGATGATAGGGTAATGGTTCAGTGCCAGAGTCAGGCGATTGAACGACTTTTCGCCCGAAGATGCTTTGACGACGTTCCTTCTTCATTCGACCACTGGGTCTGGTAAAGAGTCGGTAGAGCTTGAGACCTCCGGGGAACTTACTCAGTCGCTTTCGATGCTTGCTACTGGGAGATGCTTGCCTGTTCTGCACAGATGTAGGCGACTGTTGGCCATCTGCATGCTCTTCTACTTGACGCGACTGCGGGGCAAATTTGGGCAGATCTCGTTGGGAGAAGCTTGGCGTTGGCACCAATGGCGGAGGGTGCTGACTCTGTCGGCGCTTGTCTGGTGATGTAGCTGGCATCGAAGGTACTTTGGCGAGGTCAAGAGACTCGCTGCTGTTTTGAACGTAACTCATAGCACTCATACTCATGTGTTTCTTGGCCAGTGATTTAGTGACGGATGGAATCGGCAAAGAGGCTCGCGAAGCATTGGCTGAACCTGAGAACTGGATGTCGGGGACCATTTCTTGCATCTGCTTCAACCCATCCAACTGACCAGACTCCGAGGCATCCTCTTCTGCCTCAGGCAAAACATCCGAGTCCAGACGCGATGCGCGCATCTTGGCACGTCGCCGTGCACTGCGAGTCGTGGACGTATCGCCGTCGACTTGATTGATGGACGCGCTGGCTGAGTGAACAGCAGGTGCATTCGATTCATGTTCCACAGTCAGGTCCGGTCCAGGCCTAACGACTGGCTCAAAGGTAGACATGGTCGATTCGCCGTCCCTTGCAACAGAGTCATCGCTGGCGATCCGTTCCAAATGGCCAACGATGGAACTTCGCCATCGAGTGATGGGCAAGTCCTGAGCCACTTTTCGCTCCTCATTGATGAATTGCTTCAAAGACATGATCCGGTCTGTATCCTTGTCACCACCAAGATCAGCTGGACCAAGCGAGCAGTGTTTGGTTTGTTGTCGCTTGCTTTGCATGCTATCTAGAAAAAGGCTCCATTTTTCCAGCCCGGTCAGGCCATTGGCTGCTCCTGCCTTCTGCATAGCATCTGAGAGATTTGTGTAGAGCCTGGACGCAACAGTAGCACTACTTCGAGTCAGGATCAGGTCCACCTCAGCAAGCCTGGCGGAGAAGAAGTGGAGGTGATCTTGCTTGAGTAGCAAAAGATTTTGTTTGGCCTCTGCAATGACCCCTTTTGCCCTTGATCTTTCCACTCGCTTGTGCTCCAGATCGCACTTGTCCTCCAAGACCCTCTCTGCATTGGCCAAATCGTTGAAATACTTGGACACAAGCTTGTTGGCCGGCTCAAATGCTTTTGCCATGCTACTGGCAAGCTGAATCTGCGATTCTGCAAGAGATTCGAAAGACTCTGATGCATGCACCAGGCACATCACTTGGATTTGCGCACTGCCAAGAGCATTTTGCTTGTAGTCAGTCCGGCTGGCGATGAGGTCTGCATAGACAGCGGTAGCTTCTGCCAGAGCGCGTAAAGCTGTTCCCTGATCTACGGCCAGATCGCGAACGATAGAAAGAGCCAACAGAAACTCTTCTTGAGCTGGAATTGCAGTATGAATCTAGTATTAGCTTGTTGCCAGTAGAAGTTGATAGAGCATGTGACTTGCCTCTCGATGCTGTATCATGACGACGACACGTCAGCGCAAAATGGCCAACAAGGTCTTCCAACTTGTAGTCATACTAGGATGGCGACGTTGGGGTAGGCTTTCGCAACGCACCCCGTCCAGTTGTGTGTTTTCCCCTGAGCATGTCTGCTTGCCATGCATGTGGTTCTCGCAACAAAGCATGCTCGAGTACAGTTCGAGATCGCGGGGGCTCAACGATCATAGTCTAGACTCTGGACACAAGAACAGTCCATGGGTAGCGTGCTTTGTTAGAAGAAACTAATGGCATCGATGTCAAGCATCATGCACAGGGACACTGGCATCGACAATAAGCATTTAATTTGAGCGTTGGCTGCTGTGTTTCATGAACAGAACAAGCTGACTAACACTAGCCTATTCGGCAGCCGGTGATACACAGGCTACACAGGCTCACAGCAGGCCTTTGATGGTAGATCAGCTATGTCGTTGCTGCTGCATTCTTTGCAATTTCCTTTGTTCAGCCTCCTGCCTCCAAAATACACAACAAGCGGGGGGCGCGCGACTCCTCTCCTGGACCTCCCTCGCACGGCCCTGGGCCCATCACTTCTGAGGCTGCTGGATCAGCCAAGAGGCAAAGGAAGAAGAAGCACAGAGACTGATTGCAACACATCTAGCACATCAAAGGAAAAAGCAGGCCTCCTCCAGCTCTCTCATATACCAGCGCATCTGCTCATCACACATTCTCTTAGCGATACGGGCTTGTCTTGAGACACTCGTCCAGTCGTACTCTGCTCTAGCACCTGCAAGACCTCTAACAACATGGTCTGCTGTGGGAGCAGCCAGTGGAAGCGTGAAGAAAAGGTCGACCACCGCTTCGACTTCATCGACATCTGCGACTTTCATACAGGCTCATTCGGCGCGCGCATTGGATACCTGGCGATTTGGTTCGGCATCATACGTTCATTTGCCATTTTGGGACTAGACATCTACACGGCCATTGGTCTGCTCATCCTCAATACAAATGCGCAAGCCGTTGCACAACAGACATTCATTGCGCACGACATAACAAAGTGGATCTTCAGCGGCTGCATCATCCTATCTGTCGTCCTCCTTATCTGGGACTGGATCGTCGCGATACGCATCATTCGCAGTCGCAACATTTCCTTTGCATTCACCAACCTCATCGCGAACAGATGGTACAGCGTCAAGGGCTACGACTACCACTGCTTGTTTCACAAGCTCTCCGCAACGGATCAGAAGTCCGACTCGATGGCATTCTGGGTCTTCTTTAGCTTCATTGGCTGGAAGCGTTTGATTTTGTCTGAAGGACCTAGACAGGCCATCAATGCCATGACGGTCTTTAGCGTCCTGAGCACGCGCAACTTTTCCTTCAAACCAGAAGCTTACGAAAATATCACATACTTCCAGTGGACTGTGTTGGGCTTCATGGCCCTCTCACTCATCATCTGGCTCTTCTCCTTTGTGCGCTTCTGCTTGGCTGCACTGCTCTTCTTTCCCATTCTATGCCATATTCGTGGCGGCCTGACGGAGTTTGTGGTCAGACGGATCGACAAACGCATTGAGCGTATCATGGAGAAGGCACGCAGGAAGAGACTCGATCGCTATGCACGGACGCGTGCTGAAGAGAATGGCAGCATACGCTCCGGTAAGGTGGGCAACAAGAAGGATCTGGCACGCTCCAAGTCACTACTGAGAGAAAAGCCAACATTGCCTCAACTCATGAATGATATGGAGAAGGGACCTCAAACACCATTGCCAGTTGCTATGTCACGCTCGACGAGCGAGAGTGGCAGTCTTGCAAGTAGCGCTTCGTCTACCAAGAAGGACGCTTATAGGCCCTCACCACCTCCACTTGTCAGAGACGACTCTTTACCAATGTACAGACCACAACAAAGCGGAGGCCCTGGCGACGCATATCCCATGCGTCCCATGGACCATGCACAACCTCGCTTTGCACCAGCGCACGCGTATGCACAACCGCAAAACACACACCCGGCATTCCGTGGACCACCGCCAGGTGCACGACCTGGCAACATGCGAGCACCAACATATCATCGTCAAGCAAGCTATGAAGCGCCTTTGGCGGCGATCACGAGTCCTGCGTTGCAACATGAGCCAAGACAGCAACAATCTTGGCAGAGTCGTTCTCAGCCGCAATTGAGACAGGCTTCATTGCAGCAACAGCAACAGCAGCCACGCATGCCTGCTGGACCATATCCAGTCATGTCACGAAGCGCATCACATCCTGCATTGAGGGATGATGCAGGTTTCCCTGGACAGACGAGACGACCGAGTTATGGCAGTCGCCCGATGCCATCTCAACAGCCGATGCAAGGACGAGGACCTTACCCACCGCTTGGCAATGCACGGCCGCATTACTAGCATGTTATGAGAACCGTCGTTATCTCTATCTCATTTATATCATCATAAATATCTAGCGACAGTTTTGTTTATCCTTCCATCAGGCAAAATCATTCATACACGGTTCATGTGCGTGAATTTAGATCTTCTTTCCAGGGACTCTGCTTGATTCCACCCCGGCGATCGATCATGGTGTACCTTATTCTGAACACTCGATGAAGCCCACGGAGCACCCATAGCGGCTACAACTGCTGTACAGCCAGGCAAGTGTGAAGATGCTGAATTAACAGCCTGCCCGATTAAGCATGCACACAAACAACGTTTAGAAAAAAAAGCTCTTAAATGTAGCATGACGTCGACATCCCATGAGCGATCTTCTGCGCGTGTCAAAATTGATCCGCCGCTGTTGTTGCCCGTGAGTATGGCACCACGGTGGTAGACTAGTAGGGCCCGAAATACACTTGCAGGCTTGACTGTGTCGAAGCTCGCTGTTCTGCACACACGGAACTGTCGTCATAAGTCGTAGAGAAAAGCTGCCCTACAAACACAGCCGGAGCCTCAAGTAAGTCCACTCATCATCGGGCTGTATACACAGTGGAGGAAAGTGAACATCAAAGGCCGTCGACGTCTACAAGATGGTCAGCGCGTCGTTGTCGAGCTCAGGAGCAGCCTGACCATGGATCGATCCTTGGCTGCCGAAATTGCAATCTGCCAGACAATTTTCGCGTGAGACACGCTTCCCGCGACCGTTGAACTGGAATTCACGACGACTCGCGAGCGCCTGGACTCGTCCCTTGCTCAAGCTCGTGAATGGTCAATCTGTGTGCATGTTCCATGTTACCTGAACACAGACGTATCTCAACAGCTTCACTTCTTCACAATGCTAGGTACCTGCAGACTACATGTAGATGGGCGCGTGATCCCGGGCGGCGCCGGCGAGAAGTTTGGCGGACCAATTTCGAGATGGGCCGTTGAAAAGTCTCACTCTTGCTGAGTCAATTGATGCTCGAATGGTTGCGCTCGCTGGTGACTCAGGCGCTGTATATATGAACTCCGTTGGCACTCTATACAGACTATACCAACGGCTCGACCGGAGTAGCGGACTCAAGTCAGTCAACGCCTAGTCAACGCATGCGCGCGAGACACCCTCAAGCAATTGACTGCCGTGTCGACCACTCACGAGCGCTACCAGGACGACTCTCACTTCCTGTGAGACTTACAAGATTGCATCTCTTCTTACAAGAGCAATAAATGTCAATCATACATCACATGTCGCGTACGTCTAGATTCAGCATCGTAGCGAAGCACAGACATCCCTTTTAGCCAAGGAGTACATGCTAGACTGCGATAGTCGCCCATAAGTACATCAAGGAGAGTCGTACTGACTCGTACTCCATTGGACTCGCTTTGCTCGCAGTTCGCCCTTGCTGGAGCGTCCGAGGCAGGGGTCCAAGGAAGTCTACCAGATTGTCCTTGGCGCAACCTTTGGCAGCGCGCGGCGGAAAAGTCAAAGGAGAAAAGAAAGTCCACCAAATACGAGATTGGCCAATGAAAAGCACGAGCGGGCGTTACACTTCATTTCGTACCTGAGACGTGCAGGACCAGTAGGCGGGGCAGAGTTTTCCCTTGCGCGCGTTGCAAGCAAGCGGTAAGCCGGCGTCACCGGGCTGAAACCATCGTTTGCCGTATCAGCCTTCATGTGATCGTTCTTCTCAAAGTCCGCCTAGATACAAAGTCCTCCGCATCGCCTCAAGAGCTGCGGAACCATATCACAACCATTCCGTATACCTGCTTGCTGGACGTACATACATCGACGAAACAGTGTGGTTGGTCTAAACCGAGAACTAGCGTGGTCAATTCTCAAGTCTCGCAATGACCGTTATCGATAGACTGCGAAACAAGCGACAGGCAAGCACTTTGCCCAGGTATTCTGGCTTTTGTCTTGTGCAACAATCACCGACAGAATCGTTCGTTGATCCCAAACGTACAGTGCGGAGACTTCGAAAATGTACTTCGACAATGCTGCAAACGCAAGAGTACTGCAATGCGATCGAAATGCCCATCAGACTATGCGAACCCACGACGATTGATGCCATTACTCGCATTATCAGCATTGTGAGCGATCCAGAGGCACCATGGAATAGTCAGGGGTCCAAGATGCGCCCAGCACATTTGATTGATCTTTTTGGCAAGTTCTACACTAGTCTGAATCAGCTTCAACATGTAGTCAAGTCATTGGAGAACAGATCTCGCCAGGCTGCCAAGAGCATGCAAGATAAAGTTATTCAGAGCTGCAAGTGCGTTTTGCAGGCGCTGACAGAGGTGGCGAATGTTGTGTTCACATTGCCCGCAGCACGTCGCAGCTTCGATGATTTTTCTGATGACGAAGACGAGGAACTTGATGTGGCCTCATTGACAAGCCTCTCGACGCCGTCATTGACTGATGACGATCTCGAGCTTGCAACACTTCATTCTGCAGAGTCAAGAAGTCTCTCCCTGACAGAGTCTCACTTTTATATACGGCGCAGCTCGGAGGCGACACGGACTGATGGAGAGTTTGCCACGATTCAAGCAGCAATCCAATGTACTTGTAAGCCTGCTTGCACGACGAAGTGCAATCAGAAGACTATCGAGTCCTTGGACAGCGAATGGGCTCTTGCCTTTCTCGACATTCAGAACCAGGAGATTCGCACATTACGATCCGAGTCCTGGGCAACTATCTCAGATGCCGAGTCGTTCAGTAGCGCATCCGTTGATGGAAGCCAGTCAGGTGAATCGAGCGACCAGCATGAATCCGAGGGCGAAGACGAATTCAACGAAGGCCTCGCTTACCTCTCATCCATTTCACAAGTAACGCGTGCGCGCACCGTCAGCATCACAAAAATCCGTGCAAAACCACTTATCCTGCAGTCTCGCTCACTTTCTCCGACTTGTCCGCGCTTTACACGGCGTCCAACCGAACCTGTCTCGCCAACGAGCATCGACTCGGCCGCCACTGATGTGAGTGACGACGGGCAGTACGTGCACTTCCTCGACAACAAGCCAGCGCCGAATGAGCTCGAGCTGCTCTGGGGAAACGATGACGGACTATACAATATTCTTCACGTACCCAGGACGCTGTGCAGTGCCAAGCGAGCTGAACACGAGCGCAACTTTGGCAAGACAGAAGAAATGCTAGTCTTTGACCGTCTGGCTCTTCAGAGCTAAGTTCGTAGATGATTTGTATACTTGTATCACCTACACGCATCTTTGTAATCCATGGCAATCGCAGACCACGTCTTCGTGTAGTCCCTCTTTAATTCAGATGTCACCAATTTCTTATTCTTGCAGCCATGAATTGGATGCTGATGTAGATTAAGTATATCTGAGAATGCTAGGCTGCTAAATGCTATGAAATGTTGTGCTAATCGTGAATCTTCAGTTGCGACCGTCCTTCTCATCATTGGCATTTCTGTTCTTGCGCTGAATAAAATAATCGTCAGCGAGGGACCATGATGTGACAAGAAAGCCAAAGGCAGCAAAAGCAAGGCCAAAAGCTTCCTGCTTGCCAGTACTTGGGGCCCAAGACGCAATGCCACCTGCTACATTGATGAGAGCAACGCCGACAGTATTGACGACGAGTCTGAGAGCGTGATCGTCGATGCGTAGACCATAAAGCTTTGCAGCCAGAACATTGCTCGTGCCAACCCCTGAAGCGGCCAGGAACAGTGAAAGGTAGCCAAGCACCTTGAAGCCTGTGCTCAGGTCTTTGTCACTCGCTGAAGAAGTGCGCTCAAGATTTGGCGATGTAACGCTCGCTGTGGCTGTTTGCCGGCCAAGCTGAAGCATGACAATGTAGTAGATTAAGAATCCGACTGCTTGCAATGCAAAAATACACATCAGCAACCATGCTCGTGCTTGATCAGTTCCAGGCGCGAGCTTGAGGGAGACGAGCAGGACTGCCAACGCACCAATGTAGGGAAATACAGTCATGAGATTAGCGTGAGGCGAGCTGAAGCCGAGCTTCTCGATGAATTGTGGCAAATAGAGAAGAATGAGAGCAGTCGTCAAGCCAAGAGAGATATCAGCCAGCATCCACGAACGACCCGGAACGCTTCGAATGAGACACTTGAGTTGCCGCAAGTCGAAGCCTTCGTCGATAAATTGCAATGTCGTCGTCCGTTGAAGTGGCGACTCGAGACCAAGTTCCGCGTCCAACTCCTTTGATTCCTCTTGAGCATCTGCTAGAGCACGATGCCACGAGGCGTTTGCCCAGTCGCTGGGAAGCCAAAACCAGGCAGCAATGCCACAGAAAACCGTCAGTAAGCCCTCGCCAAGGTAGAAAGCCTGCCAGTTGTCAATCATGGCTCCTCGTATGTGGATCATGGCATATGCATAGAGTGCCCCGAGACCAGAAGCTCCTGCTGGTGCGAGAAAGAAGAGAAGCATGCGTGGTGCCAGTTGTGCAGCGGTATAGAATTGGAGCAGGTAGGTGGCCATCATTGCATTGAAGCCAGCCTCGAATAGACCTTGCAAGAAACGGATAGCCGTGATCCACAACCAAGCATAATTGAACTGCGAGCTCGAGGCAATGAGGGACGTTACTGTGCCCATCATGATGGTCAATGTCGTGAGAATGGCAAGTAGACGTTTGCCTTGGGCTCTGACATAAATGACGACGACAACCGTGCCAATGATGAAGCCCAAATAGCAGGCAATCAACAAAATAGACCATTGTGTGCTTGATATTCCGAGACTTATGTCCATCTTCATGGTCTTGGCATGTGAGACATTCTTGTCGAAGCCATGCAGCAAAGCTATGACAAAGAGAGGAGCGAGCAACAGCCTGTCGCAGTGTCGTAGGTGGCGTTCGTCGTCTGCAGCATCATGCGCAGCTCTCTTTGCTTTGCTCACTTCATCTTCAGCGATGCTGGTTGATGAGGATTGAAGAGGTGGCAAAGTTACTGGCTGCGGCGCAGAGGAACTCGACTCTGCAGTTTGGGGTCTAGACTCATTCGCTGTCAAGACCGATCCACGTATTGAGTCCAGGACAGCAGAGAGTTGTGTCGTGTGTACGCGTTGACGAGGAGAGACCCGTGGTTCTTGAGCTTCGTGCAACGTCGCGTTTCGACATTCTTCGAGCGTTTCTATGGGATAGTCATTCCCATTTGCGATATTCACAGATTGACCACTGCGAAAAGTAGGCACTTGCCTAAGCCTTTCCATTGGAAAGTGATACTCAAGCTTGACGAGGCGAGGGCGCGACACGGATCGAGCAGGTGGCGCAATGTACTTTGTTCAGCTTTACGCTGGGCAGGGCAGACGTTATGCCGCTGTAACAACGCTGGCAACAGATACAGCAAGACCAGAAGATGTCAAATATGCTAGCTTGAAACGAGATGCGTTCCTTCGAAGCTCATTTGTAGCAGATACGCTTTGTTTGTGGTGAGAAGTCGAAAAAGATTGCCAGGAACCAAACCCGCGTTTTCCGCCAGGTCGCAACGAGCAGCATGACGCACGCAGGACGAGATAGACGATATCACAATGTGAAGATGATAAGCCAACCCGTCTGGTACCATGGCGGAGAGTGCCTGCAAAGCATAAATACATATATAGCTCAGTCAAATGGTCCGGCCTCAATTCTAATAGATAATAATTCTACACGTACGGAGGAGGAGGGAGCTGCAGGTCGCAGAGACGGCTTGACCGCCTGACCCAAATGTGACATGTTCGAGAGTTTTGCAGCAGTACGCTGCCACGAGGAGAAGGCGATAAGGACGTAACATCGCGCGAGGTCTAAGTACCGAAGTCTACGAGCTAGTGAATGTGCTCAGCTTGTATGGATACTCCCACGATCCGTCTTTGCGTCGCCCTATCGTTAGCAAGTGTTTCCATGTGGCGATAACGTACAGAGCTTTCTCTTCTTTTTGGACACGACGTGTTCGACAAATTGCTCAACACAGTGCTCCTTTTTGAACTTGCGGATGAAGCCAGGGTCCCAGAGCTCAGAGGCAATGCCGAGATCTTTGCAGCATCGCATCAGAGCGTTTGACTTGCAGCCTTCTGTAGCTGTAGCAATGCCCTCTGGATTGAAAAACTCTTGCTCACCACGAGCGACGGAAACGAGGCGACCGTGGCAGATGAGAGCATATTCACGACTGACGATGCGCTCGCCGACCAGTGTCTCTCCCCTTGGGGCAAGACCCCAGCCACCAGGTCCAAAGGCTCGGTTGAGGATGCGGCGATATCTGATCTCTGGTAGATAGAGAATACCATCAGGCTTGATTTCTACATCGTCCTTCGGCAGGTCGGCCATGAGGATTTCGCTCGTCTCTTTGCTGAATGGTTCAGCGGATAGCCCATGAAAGGAGCGCGACCAGTCAATGGCTGTGCCAGGCACTTCTCCAGGGATGCCGCTGGCGCTGTTGATGTCGCCGACAGCGGAGTCTTGCAACGAGCGGTCTGATCCATTAGGACCCTCGTCCGCAGCAGTCGTCGCAAGTCGTGCATGCATGGCCACAGCAGGCCTTAGAACAGCTCTGCATCCCAGCGCCGAGCGATACGCTAGACGAACAGGGCGCATCATGAGAGGTGGTTAAAGTGTAGATTCGCCATGTTCACAATCGAAGTTGCCACCACGTGCCGGATGCTTTTGCTACGTCTTTGCCTAAAATCACTTTTGGGGATGCACACTTCTACTTCTTCGTAGCAGCCTCGATGATGAGCTCACGCGCCCGCTCTACTCCTTGGCGGCTGCCCTTGATGACAATCACCTCATCGCCTGGATTCCTCGGCACGTCCACTTTGGTGCCAGTCTCCTCCCGAATGGCATTTATTGTCCGACCACCCTGCCCAATAATGAAACGATGTTGCGCGCTCGGGACAGTCAGGTAGCCAGTACATGTTTGCTTACTCGCTTGCTGAACCGCATTCGCCAGTGCCTTCTTCGCCTTGGCAATTTGCTCTTTCTCACCCTTCAGCACCCAAGGAATCTCACCAGTCTCGTCACTAGTTGATTCAACAATGCTGAATGCAAAATCTGTTTCCTCAGATGCGTCGTCAATACGTGCAGTGCCATTGGTTTTGGCAGACTGTGAAGGTGCGTTGGACTTGGGTAGCGCTTGACCAGCATGATCTACTTGCACCTTGTACTGCGTTCGTAGTTGCCGGATGAAAGCACCACCATCCGCGACGAGACGGTGCACAGACCGAGGCACTTGAACAGTCTCCTGATCAGGTACTTTGACAAGCAGCATAATTTCTTCCGCAGCTTTGGTGACATTTTCCTCAGCACCAATGATCTTGATGGGCACTTCAGCGCCCTGGTTCGGGTCAGCGCGAGGAATATCGATCGTGACAGAGTGTTTCGTCTCAATCTCACTCTTCTTGCTTCCACCACGTCCAATCACCATACGCACAGAGTCGCTCGGTACTTGAACAATTTGAGAATGTTGGCTATCGGCACTTCCAACAGCCTTCTCAATCAATTTGGCAATCTTGTCAATCACCTTTTGAGGGCCCTTCAACGTAATCTCGTCCGACGCAGCATCTTCTGGACGTGGGAATCGCACCATACGTGCACGCAGACTTGCGTCGTCTGGACCACCAGCCTTGACGACGAGGTCTCGTATGTTGTTGCCACCTGCGCCAATGAGATTGCGATGATGCGCTTGGTCAACTTTGATTACTTTGGTGACTGTATTTTCGACCTCAGTGTCAATCTTGAGCAGCGCCTCCTTGACTTCCTCACAGGATGCCTTTCTGCCCGTAACGGTAATTTTGACCTTGCCGCCCTCAGATTCATTCTTGTCAATGTCGATCCGCGTGTTGGTCTCGTCCTTGAGCTCATTGATGGCATTTCCGCCCTTACCGACAATCTGAGGGATAGAACGTTGCAGGACCTCAAAGGTCAGAACGTGGGAGTGCTCGTGCTCAAACTCGTACAACTCCATAATTTCATTCTTTGCTGCAGTCGCACCTTTCTTGCCGCCCTTGACCAATACTTCATTCTTGCCAGGCCTGTCACTTGAATCTTTGCCATTCTCAGCATCGTCACTGCGAGGAAAGAGGATATGTACTTGGTACTTGTCTTCGAGACGCTTGACGAACTTGCCTCCAGAACCAATAATCTGACCATGGAACGCAGAAGGGATTTTGAGCGTGAAGGACGTCTCATCTGCGAGTCTGTCGCCCAGCATAGTGATGCGCGACTTGGCCTCTTCAGCATTACGCTGAGAGCCCTGGATCGTAATTTTACCTTCTTCTCCGACGTCAATTTTGACGCCCAATTCTTCGCGAATCTTGGAGATGTTGGCACCACCTTTACCAATGAGTTGTGGAGTGAATTGAGCAGGGTAGTCAAAGTCGAGCTTGAACGCATTCGCCACTTCCTCATTCTTGGCCTCTTCCACAACTTCGCGGATCGCCTTGGCAACGCGCTCAACTTCTTTTTGAGGACCCTTGACGGTGATGGCATCCTGGCTCGGCTCGCCGAAAAGAACACGCACTTGTGCTTCTGATCCACCGGTGATGGCATTCAGAGTTGTACCGTTCCTGCCAGACACTGTCGCATGATCCTTGGCCGGAAGTTCAATCACTTCAGTGGCGATACTGCCTGCTTCCGCAGCCAAGCTTTCAAGCGCCTTCTTCACATCTGCCAGCACTGTTGAAACTGCATTGACATCATTACCTTCATAGACAATCACGACGTTCTCGTCATCATCGTCAGATTGTGGGAAGATGACCTCGACGTTGTGTTGCTTTCGCAAAGTTTGAACGTTACGGGCCTTGGGGCCTTGGACGTGCTTGTGAAGCAAAGGCTCAAGCACATGCCGCGCGAATTTTGCAGGGACAAGACTATTGACAAGCGCAATCACTGCAGTCCTGGCAGACTTGACTTTACCCTCGCTTTCGCCAGAAATGTCAATGGTCACTTTGGAAGCGGCTTGTAATTCCTTGCCAGTCGGCACACTAATTTTGACAGCGTGATCTTTTCCAAGCTGTGTCAACTTGCCAGATTTGCGCAAGTACTTGGCAACATCGATGGCATGCTGCAGTTGATTACTCGCCTTGGCATGCGCTTTGCTAATTTCTAGCGAATCAATCGCCAGACTGTTTGCTTGCTTCATAACCAATTCTACAGCACGACCAAAGTTGTTTGCTGGCCCGCGGATGGTGATTTGGTCAGAGTTCTTTGAGGCTGCTGGAATGACAATGACGCATCCACATTGCTCAAAGATGTCTGCTACTGCTGGCTGAATGACTGCATGTTGCTGACGCTTGATGGGCAATGCAGTAGCAATGGTTGTTCGCTGTAGCTCATCACACAAATCTTCAATTTTAGTCTTGGTCTCTGCAACCAGCGACTTTTCTCCAGAAATAGTTATGATGCCCTTGTCGTCGCCTTGGGAAGGGACCTTGACTTTGAGATCCTGTTCACCCTCCCATGACTTGGCACGCGCGGCGATGAATGCGTAAAAGTCAGGCGAGACGGTGTTCATCTTGACGGTGGTAGAAGAAGTACGTTCAGCCACAATAGCTTCAATTTCCTTCTTGGCTTGATTCGCACCATCAAAGTCGCCTTCAATGATCAACTCAACGAGCTCTTCAGGGTCAGCCTCGCTGTCGTTGGTTTGTGAATCTTCGCGTTTCGGGAGCTGCACACGAGCTCCGGTCTTGTCGGTGATGGCCTTGAGCGTTCGGCCTTTCAAGCCAATGATGTATGGACGGACCATGCTGGGAACTTGGAGCTTGAGTGTTACCTGGTCATTAGTCTGAGGTCTGCGAGCATGGAACGACTTACCTTCTTGCCCAATTCCTTGAGCAAACTACGACGTGCATTGGCTACAGCCTCTGCTTTGCCCTTGATGAGAAAAACAGTCGTACCAGTTCGTTGGGCAGTGGATGTTTGGATGGTTGTGGAAGTCCGGCTCTGTACCTGCTTGACAACATCGCTGATGGCATTCTTGGCACCGAGGGCTTTACGTGATTCCTGCTGGGAGGCTTCCAATTTGACCGTTTCAGTGACAGTGTCAACGTTGAGACCCGTAGACCTGGCAATAGGAGCAATGGGCTTCGTCTTTGTCATGTTCCCCCATAGACTACCAGTCTTGCTGGCATTGGTGGAACCGCCAAGCGAGGGGAAGGCAGCTTCGTCGGAGAGATCTACTTTTGCGGGCTGAGACTTTTTGGCAGGTTGAGAAATCGATGGCCCTTCATCGTCCGTGAGAGCACTGAAGACAGACTCGTTATCGTCGTCACCGTTGGCCTGTTGGGCCTTGGATGGGTTCAGAGGATCGGCACTGAACATGGAGGAGTCAGTCATCGTTTGAAGTTCGCGTATATCGAATAGCGTGGAGTCCGGGTAACAGCAGACGAGAGAGACAGACGCTCGAAGCTGCGTCTGATGGATAGACAGAGGGGAATCGAACGGGTCTTGGAACCTGGGGCTGGGTTTGGGTGTGTGCGAGTGTCGTCGTGGTGTCTCTGGTTTCGCGACGTCGCGGCGTGGAAATTGCGCACAGGAGTTGGCTGCTGTGTCCGACCTAAACTTGGCAAGGAACTACTACACCACTTTCACTGAAACTGAGCTACTTGCTGCTAGAAGAGGCTCTGACTTACGGCCCTCTGCTGCACATGTCCTAGGCTACTCTTTTGCTTTCTATCCGCTCTCTTTATCGTATGACCACATCTACAACGGCAATTGACACAGCTGCTCAATTTGATGAAGCCATTGAGCTGCTCACACCAAGGAGAACAAGCTGCAGTCCCCGAAGCGTGACTGTACGAGAGAATTCTCGTGCGGCTCGCGATAGCACTCGCTTATCGAGTCAATCTGTTACAACATTACTGCAGCAACACTCGTTAAGCTCGAGCACATGTCTGTTTGATTTGCCAACAGAGGTTATGCGCCATGTCGATGCATACCTCTCGCCTCAAGACATTCTCAATCTGATGCGAACGAGTCGGGCTGTGCAACGTCAATTTTACAATTTCACACAGGAAGAATTTGACCGTCTCACCTCGCGCTTCTTCGGATTGGCCATGACTATGGATGCCTGGTGCCAGCAGTCACCCCTCCAAAAACAACTCAGTCGCTCGCAACGACTCAAGAAGTTACTTTGCGTTTTTGTTGAAGTTGAAGCGCAAGCGGCCATTCTTGTCGCTGTTCGGCCACGCAGGCTCGATGCAAGAGGACTCTTTGTACGACGCACAGTTCTTGGCGAAGTCTACTGCTATGCACTGATGGATGAACTGGCTGCCAAGCTTCTTAGTAGCTCGAGCTTTGACGCCAATCGTCTACATCAACGCATGCAGCGCCGGCGTATCAGTGATCAACAAACACGAGCAAGAGATTGAACAATTTTCATCTATCCAATAATTCACATTCGCTATTCGCTACATGGCTGAGATGGCTTCGCACACTCAAGTATTGGAACGTCAGTGCAGCCTGCGTTCCGGAGCTGCGATCGAAGAAACCCGGATTCCAGCAGCCTCAACGACTTGTCGCACATCGACAGGCGATCCTTGTTGCGAGTGCACAAGCGCCTGCGAGAAGCGCCGCGGTGTCGCAGCGTACTCACCTTGGCTGCTGAGACCGAGGCCAAAGTTCTGCATACTTTGTGACCGTACTGCAAAGGACGGCATCGCCTTCTGAGCGGGTCGATTGTAGACTTCTGCTGCTGTTTCTTTGTGGACGATACTGCCGTCGCTGCGCACACGGACATCGCGACCATGCCAAGGATCTACCTCTTCATCGCGTCCGCTGTCGTCAAAGAGTCCCGGACTCATTGGATAATTCATTGCCGGACTTTGGAAAAAGCCCCCGCGAGATAATACCATACCGCCTGACCTCGGCGTGGAGGCTTCTTCCAACATGATGGGTGAATTGAGAGGACTCGCCAATGAGCCAGAGATGTCTCTTGAATCCCTCATATCAACGAGATATGCCGGATCTGTTTCGACTTGCCGCGTATCCCATTCTGTAAATGCCAAATCTGCATCACTCATACGTCGTGTACCAGCCGTTCCGTTGTCTTGCTGTGATTTGAGACGTCGTATGGGAGAGAGTTGTCGTGAGTTGCGTCTTGAACCGCGCGTCGGTGATTGTTGCCGCGCAGTGTTGCCACCGACTTGCCAGGATGCTCTTGAAAGCGATCTGCCCTCTGGCAATCTTGGCTTGAGTGAATCAAGGATCGATGACCGCTTGCGTTGCATCGACATGGGCGAAACATTGAACCCCGTTGTTTGAGTCTTTGAAAGAGCCAATGTTGGAGATCCTTCCGGTTCGCCAATGACGACAGGTAGCGTCGCTGACCGCCCGGCAGACATCATCTTCATGTCCGGCATGTACTTCATCGGAGAAACCTTGAGTCTTGGTCGGAGTGGTTTCGTTTGTGGTGACAAGTCAGCCGATGACGAGTACGGGCCCTTGTGTAGTCGCACAGGCGAACCAGGTAGTGACGTCGTGGGTTCTGTCGGTACTGGCGAGCTTGCATCAATCTGTCCATCTGCACGGCACGTCGACATTGTCATGGGCGACATGTTGAGTTCGGGTGTGTCACCCGTGTGGAATGGTACCGCGGGAATATCAAGATTCGAAATACTGTGTTTTGGAAGGTGAAAACGAAGCCCTGTCGTGGCTCTCTTTGAAGTCTTGGACTTGCTGGAAGATGTACTCGAATGTGCTGTGTGTGTCCCGGCGTTTCCTCTCAGAGAGTTGTTCAGTTGCGTCTGGATCAGACCAATGGCTTTGCTGGGCGAGCCCAAGGCCAGACCAATTGTATCCCAAGCTGAGCTACGCCGCTTGCTTTCGGGTGTATTGCCTGCTGTTGGCGCATCAGGGCTTTGCTGCGGTGTGATCTGACGCTCATCAAGCTTGATTTCACCCTGACCTTTCCTTCCACGTCCAGGCATGGGCGATAGTCCTGAAGCGATATTTGGCCGGGAGGATGTCCAGCTCTGTGCATGACTTGGTCGTGCAGAATGGAATCTGACAGAAGCCGGTGCTTTTGAACTACTTTGTGAGCCTTGCGCCAGATGACTCGCTCGACCTGAAGAATGCGTTGCGTGATGCGAGAGAGCACGGTCAGCACCACTGGAATGCTCAGAGTGTGACAGGGAAGAACCCTCATGCACTGCAAGGACCTTTTCAAGCGTGAAGGCATCATTGTCTTCTGTCTCTTTGCGCGCCAATGGATACCGGAATGGCAGCTTCCTTTCTTGCAGGGAGAGCGTCGGGCTGTCTGTCTGGCCCTGTCGTACAGGCGTATCAACGACGACAGAATTATCGCCAGATCCGATGCCGAATCGCATGGGCGTTCGCAATGGCTGTTGACGACGAGTTACAAAGCCGCGACTTAGACATAATGCTGCGTAGATGGCTTGCACCACGCCTGCACTGATCCACAGAACAAAGCCTGTCAACAAAGCGCGCTCTCCCGTCCATTTGCAAGGAGAGTCTAGCGTGCCGCTTCTCCATGAACAGTATCGTGACCCAAAATTGCGCTGCGTACTGGTCGACAATTGCGCTCGACCAAGCACGGTGCCAGCGCATCCCAAGGCAATCAGACTCGTCAGAACCATGGTTCCCTTCCAGGCTCTTCTTTCTCCAATATTAAAACAAGAAATCAGGTCTGCTATCGCTGCAAATCCATAGAAAAGGCAGCCGACGATGCTCACGGCCCAAAAGGCTTCGTTATATTCCGCATCGCTCTTTGCAGATGTCGCTAAAACAATGTAGATGCCGGTACATAGGTTCAACACCTGGTCATTAGCTTGATTGCATGATGGACGTACTCACGGCGCATGAGCATGCTAAGAGCAGCGTATAAACAGTTTGGGTTCTCATCAAAGGGCGCTTGGCTCAACAAGGCACCATCAGCGCTATAGGGGCGATTGAGAGTGATTGTGCAAGTCGAGATCTTGAGATGAGCCTGACGTTTGCTCGACCACTTGAAGACCTGGAAGGCTGCGACTGACAGATAAAAGGCGTGGGTGAGTGCGGCTCGAGTTTTTGTTTTGGCAACCGCCCAAGGTACGCGAGGAATTTGGCCGCCATCTGAACACAAAATGCTCCGGTTGCACAAGCTCAGTCTTAGCTGCTCATAGTGGAGTCAGTGTCCTACGCAGCAAGCCATAGGAGACATCTCCTCGGACGAGCATCTGGACTATTGCAAAATTCATCGTATACTAAAGTAAATTGTGAGATGCAAACCATTAAGAGACCACGCTATTTCGCCATGCAATATTCCTTCAAATGACCTATTTCCCATGCCAGCTATGGCACAATGCAACGCAGCATCTTTGCCCTCTCCTTGTCCCCCTTGAACTGCAGCATGTATCGCTCTCTGCCAGTCTGCAACGAGATACCCGTCTTGCTGATAGCTTCTGCTTCTTCTGGCCCAGACACAACCGTATCAACAAGACCCACACGTTCACCTTTCCGTGTCTTGCCCGTGAGTGTCACACGCGTCGCTGATGTCCCCGCCAACGACGTCACCGTCAATCTCGCTGACCCTTTGTTGATCCATTTACCATCATGAAAATGGTAGAGCTTGATTTTGAGCTGATCCACCATCGTTGCTGCGCGCTGTCCCGAGAATTCTTCAGGCCAGAGCGGCGTAACGGGCATGGAAGGTGTCACAAAGCCAGTGGTAGGGCTTGCACGTCTTGCTTGCTCCAGGTGTTGTTGCAGTAAATTGGCCTTGTCAGGGTTCTCGCAGCGAAACATGAGATACACCTTATCAGGTCCAACATCGAAGCCCACAGAGATATCGCAAGAGTCATCGCGCATGAGACTTGTACCGCCAAAGACACTGAAGGTATTGATGGGTGTCGTTTGCTTGAGGTCGAGAATCTCCAGAAAACCACATTGATCCTTATCAGAGAGAATCGTCACTCGACACGACCGAACAGTCTTGATCTTACCATCGGCATCGACATTATCCATGAGAATCGGAGTCCATGTGCCTCTGATCCAATTATAGCATTCTGCCATCGTCTTGAAGACTTCCGACATCTCACTGCGCACGATTTCCGCGTCAGTCAAGGGCATCTCCAACGCAGCAGCAAAAGGCAATTGCTCCTCCACGACCGGTGATCGTTCTGGTCGTACTGGCGTTGTTGTTTGTGGTTTTGGGGATAAACTCAATTCAGCACCGGCACCCAGACGACGCTCAGCAATCGTCGTACCGGATTCACTCCCACTGCGTCCACGTAACGGAGTTCCTGTGAGTTTGGTTGATTCTGGTAACGTCATGGGCGTCGCTGGTGGCACGACACGCGCCGGCATACCAAACGTCGACAATGTCGCTGGTGAGAATTGCAAAGCCACCGAAGATGGACGTTGAACGCCATCACCAAAGCTAAGCGCAGGGAGTTGTGGGAGATCCAGGAGACTTTCATCGAATGTCTGGTCTTTTGTAAAGTCCAAATCAAGCTCATTTAAGTGTGCCGCAAGGACTGGCGATTTCGTAGGCGCAACAGGTACTGCTTCGGGTAAGCTGTGCTTGTCCATGCGTGGCGAGCTGAGGAATTGGTGTGTGACGGAGTCGGCACCAAACAAGTTGATGGTCTTGCTCTTCTTCATGGCAGAGACCTGCGTATCTGGGACTTCTGGGATCAATGGCAGCGCGCGCGCAGGCGACGGAGGTGCAGGAGATGCTCGCACAGGTGGCACAGGAAACGCAGCAGCAGCACCAGCAAGACTTGATGCGAAGGGCGTCTCATGCGCAGGTGACAGCACATCCAAAGCACCACCTAATCTTGGTAATGGTTTATCCAGCAATGCAGGAAAAGTCGATGCACGAGGCGTCACATTGTCATCAGTGCCGACCTCTTCCACATCGAAATGGAAGGGCGTTTGGTCCTGCGCATCAGGCGTCCGTCCCTCTGCTTCACTATACGCCGCAATCGACAATTGTGAATTCTCCCGAATGACACGCAAAGGTTGTGTGCCAAAGGAAGGAACCGTTGCTGTATGTGGTGGCGTTGGTGGTAAGCCACGACGCGATCCCTGTCCATCCTGTGACCATTGCGACTCTGTACGACCACCGACATGCGGCGCGAGGGATGGCGGTGCAACCGGGTCAAGCTCGTAGTTCTCACACGCGAGAAGTAAATCGTACCAGTGACGTTTAGCATCAAGCGTCGTAGCAGTCAAGCGAAGCGTTTCACGCCCAATGATATCAAGCTCCAAGATGCGTGGCTCAGTTGGCACGTAGCTCACCTGAAAGACACCACGCAGGAGTGGCGGGAAGAGTAGCTGAGGGCGCGTAAAAGTCGGCTTGACAATCAGCAGCAAGTCTGTCAATAGGATGACTTCAACAAGACAATCCATCGTTTCGTCACTACTCGAATGCTGCATCATGAGTTGGAATGTATCCCTGCAAACTAACGAGCGCGTCTCATGCTCTCGCGGTAGCAAGTCTAGCGTACACTGCTTGGGTGCTAGGCTAAAGATATCGCGAGACTGTGAAACATCAATCGAATCTTGCAAGCTGCGCAGAACATCTGTATGGGTGATGCGGGAATTGGTGGAAGATTGAGTCGATGTGGATTCCCCGGAAACAGAACGCGACGCAGGCTGACGACCGAGATTGAGCGGTGCAATGGTGCGCGGGTGTGCAACGTCTTGGGATTGCCAGAGTGCCGCTTCTTCAAAACGCTGTCGTGCTTGTTGCAGAACTTCTCGTGCTTCACTGAGTAATGCGTGGAAGACATCATAGGCCACGAAGAGATCTGTTGCATCGTCTGAACTGTGTAGCAGCTTCTTGTAGACTGAAGCATAGCTCTTGACGCGCGACAGAGGCCGTCGCATGAGCCAGTCGAACGTCTTGTCCTCTTGGGCCCTTGGTGGCAATGCAGCAAGATGCGTATGTATGGCATTCTGACCAGTGCGTGGCAGGCTAGCAAACATGCCTAGCTTGAAGTGGCCAAAGAAGGCTTGGTAGGCCGGCAGCACGATTTTTGAGAATTGCAAGAGACAGTCCTTTTGCGGTGTGGAAAAGTAAGAAGACTGTCGCGCCAGGGTCTGCAGTAGATGGGTCGATAGATTGACGAGCTGAGAGACAGGCTCCGCCAGATGGCCCAGCGCGTCTGCAAGTTGTGTATCCTGCACGATATCAAGCAATACTTGCAATTCCACGAGATAAACCCTTTCATCCGCAACAAGCGCATCAACAAGTCTGATGGGAGATGTGCGAAGCGGTGAATCTACAGGCGACATGTCTGGCGTGTGTTGCAAGCGACTCAGCAAATCTGCATGACTGAAGGAAGGACTCGGTAATGGTACGTCCGGTGGCCTGAACATGGGCGGTGATCGTAATGCGTTACCGGAGCCTGACTCGTCTGTGTGAAGGACAGCAAGTTTTGCTGGCCGCAAACCGCGCGGTGGAGGTGCTCGTGTGCTTGTGATGGACATGGTTGTTGATAATAGAGTATTGTACAAGATGCCCTGACTGTCGCGAACAAGAATGTGTCGTCTGCTGGAAGCTCGTACAAGGCACGGAGGGTATGTTTGTTGGCAGTGTTTGAGCGCGTCTGATGTTGTTTGAATACGCTCGGCTCAGGACTGTTCAGCTGTCAGTGTGTTGACGTCTACTTCTGGCGTTGACTGCACTAGGCTGTGTGTGAAAGAAGGCTGGCCTTGAAGTCCAAGTCCCAAGGAGTCGTCCGAGGATGATCAAATGACTCGCTTATTGAACAGGGGCGGTCGGCAGTGTTCCCGTGCTTATCTTGGGTGCCAGACAGGAGAAATGGCTATGTTTGGCCGGTGTGGGTATTGAACAAGTGGTGATGTAGTAGCTGCACTCTGGCCCGTCCCGTTGCCTATGCAGTGGCCATATATCAGTCAAGCAGCTGTTGCTTTTCTTTGTGTTTTTGTTTCGTGATTCTGGCGCGTTGCATGCGAGGAGGCGAGATGGCGCGCAAGGGGAAGCAGGGCAGGAGAAGGCCACTCTCTTCAGGCAGCATAGCGACAAGAGGCCAGCAGGCTAGCAGACTAGCAGGCTAGCAGACTAGCACGGCCATGGTAGTATGGTACAGGCCTATGCAGGCTGATGCAGCTACACTATGGCCTGCCCATGAGCAGAATGCTTGGGAACGGGCATATCCATCACCAATGTCTTGTTCGCGCCAACTTTCTGCATTTAGCTGAAGACGCTTGAGCATTTGCCCTGCGGACAACTCGACAGCTATCCGTCTCACTTGAGGCATAGTTGTCTAAGTGCTGGAATAGCGTCAGGTTCTCAGCTACTTGCGCTGATGAGCACCAGACTTTGCTTGCTACGGCTTCATGTTCCCGCAGCGCAAGACGCCGCCGGTAGCGTATACATGCGGGCACTGTGGTGCATCGTCCGGAGATGAAGTATACATACTGTTGCCAACGTATGCTATCAATGTGTCTGCCCACTCTGCCTCTGCATCTGCATGCATGAGCTCGAGCTTGAGCTCGGCTTGGCCTGGGCATGACTGCTCTCAGGCTGGTCTTTGCAGACATAAACAGGTGCAACTGAGAACGGGCTGACAGTGCACTGAATCACCGAGCCCTTGTGTGGGTGACAGACTGACAGTGTGACTGGTACAAAGAGCGTCTATGAACATGCATCATGCTGCTGCATGCATGATACGATCCGTACGAGCTCAAGAGGCCATACCTGCCCGGAAGCTATCTGCCCTAGCGCTTCAGCTTTGAGTGGGCACTGGGCAAGTGCCAAGTGGTGCGAGTACCGCGTGACCGTCTCTAGGCTCGGGAGTCGGGCCTGTCTCGAGCGGGAAGTGAGCAGGTGACCTGGATGAACTGTGTCCGTTGGGAATTTCGCCGCTTGCCCACCCCGCGTTGCTTGGGAAAATAGATCTGCCAGCATACCCCGGATTGTACAGGGGCCTCCTGGTGTGCACTGCGTAGGTAGGTAGGGAGGAAGTGGATGAGCTGGCAAGATGAGCTATGATGGGTCTATGACAAAGCAGCAATACAACAGATAGAAAGAGAAAGAAAGAGAAGGAAAGAAAGAGAAAGAAATAGAAGAAAGCGGATTGAGGCTGGACCCTGCACTTCCTCACGTGAATTGGGCAAATCGCACCATCGAGAGCGGGAGACAGCGTAGACAGCAGACAGCAGCGTAGAGAGAAAGGCCTGACAACGAGAGAGCAAACAAGACGAGCAGCAGCCCCCACCATCCATCCATCCACCATCCATCCAATGCGCACAGCATAGCACACCATCATACCGCAGGAGACAGCCATCACGCAAGACAAGCAACACAACAACCGTCCCTCACAGGGCCCTCAAGCTAAACCACATCTCGCCTTTATCTGCTCCCGGCCCATCTTTCCGCTCAATAGACCCCTTCAACGCAACATCGCAGTGCGATAGAGCATCCGCTGCCTGACCAGCCCCATCTACCGACATACACGCTTGATTGACACTCACATCCCAACACACCGCCTCCGCAATGCTCGCTGTCGCTTCCCCGACAACCCTCACAAAAGGCGCCACGTTTGGCGGCTGGGACAAGAAGAAGTATACCATTCTAACGACGCTGAATGCCGGTTCCTACGGCGTCGTTTATGCAGCGCGCAACACTCGAACCTTGCAAAAGGTAGCCATCAAGCAGATCTCAAAGCAATCAGCCGGTGTTGAACAAGGCGCAGAGCTAGACATCCTCACTGCCCTGCGAAAAGCCGAGTCTCGCAACTTGACACGATTATTGGATTCCTTCTCTGATCAGGAGTTCCACTATATTGTGCTGGAATTTTGCACGTTGGGTGATCTCTATGAGGTGATTGCAGCAGATCGCGTCCCGCAAGATACGGAAACGCTGCGAGATTTGGTGTTGCAGTTGATCAGTGCCGTGGAGGCCTGTCACGCAGTCGGTGTCTTTCACAGAGACATCAAACCCGAAAACATCTTTTTGACGATTGAGTCTGGCAAAGTCACCAAGAATGGCGATGGTGATGTGGTGGTGAAGCTTGGTGATTTTGGACTTGCTACACAATCCACCCTCTCTACTGAGATTGGTACAGGGAGTGATCGGTACATGGCCCCTGAGCAATTCAAGTCAGATGGAACGGGCGCTTATTCGCCGGCTGCATGCGACATCTGGTCTCTTGGTATCGTCATCCTCAATACCCTCTTCTCTCGCAATCCTTGGAAGATGCCAACAACGGATGACGCCATTTTTGCTGATTTCGTGCGAGATAGGGAGACGCTGTTTGATCACTTCTCGGATATGACGCGCGATACTTTTGATGTTGTCATGCATGCGCTGCATCTTGACCCAGCCAATCGCTCGCTTACCAAGATGAAGGATGCTGTGTTGCAGGTGTCTGACTGGTCGCATGCAGATGAAATCTTGAGTGGCAACATTTCTCGTCGTGCTAGTACCAACCTGGCAGACTACGAGCATGAAGGTCCCACGGCCGGTCGTGCACCACTCAGGACACCTTCTGTTGCTGCTACAACGCTGCTTGCACCTAATGGCATCAAGTCTTTCCCGTGGTCAACCGCCTTGGCAGGCATGCCTGTTCCCAAGGAAGATTGTCGCAATGGTCTTGGCTTTGCTCAACCTGCAAGCCACAAACCATCCTCTAGCCTCTCTGGTAGTTCCTGGCGACACTTTTCACCAAAGACGCAACATGGGCACATGTCATCCATTGATTCAGGGCTCGGTACAAGTCTTGCCAGTGCTGCTTATTTCAAGCATCCAGGAGGATATGGCGTCAATGCAACGCGTCGAGCATATGGTGCGCATGCACGGGATGCATTGACGCCACAAGGGCGAACGAGTCGTCCTGCGATGCTGGCATCGTCTGCTCCAACTGCGCGTGTTCGATTCCCCTCACCTGGACAAAACAAGGAACACCTCAAGTTTGGCACGTCCTGGGCTGATTTGGTGGATGAGGATGAGTTTAGTGATGAGGATGATTTGTTCTTTGGTTCAGAGAGTGAGGAATTCGCTGGCATGGAGTCGTTGCCAACACTGGCTGAGCAGACAACCAAATTGACAGACACTGCTGGCGGTGCTGGCGAGGATCTGTTTGAGTTTGAGGAAGACAAGAAGGCACACTAAACACACTTTGGTCGGTATGCGACCTACACAAAAAACAACAACAACACACACCTTTAACGAATACTATGCTGACCATTTCATTTTGGGACATGCTCATGAAATCACAAAAACAAACGACATTCTCTCTTCCCTTCTCTTCTTTTGGTATCGCACAGATGAATATGGCCTGCTCAGGTCACTCTGCTTGCTCTAGTCTGTTGCTGATGTATATAAAACCCTTTATAGCAACTGGCGCTCTTTTCTTCTTTACATTGTTGTCTAAGTGCACTTTTGTTATCTCTTGATCAAAAATCCAATCTGGGAGCACACCACGATAACGACTGACTCCAGACCACACAAAGACTAGATGAGCATGCTACGGCAGTCGTGCTTACGAACTCCACTATGCATCCCAAAACACATCAGGCCCCTCTCTTCCTCCCCCGCAGCAGCTAAATCGCGATTCGTACCACACTCAGGAACCTACCCACAAGGCTTCACCGTTTCCGGTCTCCACTGCGGCGTCAAAAAGAATGGCAAACCAGACTTGGCACTCCTCGTCTCAGCTCCCACGCGCACGATTGCTGCTGCTGTCTTTACAAAGAATTTATTCCAAGCTGCGCCGGTGACGTTGAGTCGATCGATTCTCGAAGCGAGTGATGGGATGGGTGTGCGTGGCCTTGTTGTGAATTCAGGGTGTGCGAATGCTGTGACTGGACATGGTGGGTTTGTGGATGCAAAAGCAATGGGTTCGACGCTGGATCAGCTATTGACACCAACGAACGATGGTTCAAGTGTTGCAACGTCGTTGGTCATGTCGACGGGTGTGATTGGACAGCGTCTACCCATCGACAAGATCCTAGAGGGTATACCAAAAGCGTACAAAGCACTGGGCGATACACACACGCATTGGCTTGATTGTGCAAAAGCCTTTTGTACAACGGATACCTTCCCCAAACTAGCCTCCGAAACACTCAGTCTCCCTGCAACGCAAGATGAACCTGCCGTCTCTTACAATATGGCAGGTATTGCGAAAGGTGCTGGTATGATTCATCCAGATATGGCAACCTTACTCGGTTTCATTGCAACGGATGCACCCCTCTCACCAGAAGCGTGTCGGAGTCTGTTGACGTATGCTGTGGATCGATCCTTCAACAGTATTTCCGTGGATGGGGATATGTCAACAAACGATACCCTTGCCCTTTTTGCAAATGGCGCAGCTGCAAGTGAAGGTACTGCCGTCATTACAGAAGCCTCACCCCGCTACATCCCACTACGCGATGCCATCACGGCGTTTTGTATACGCTTAGCACAGCTGGTTGTGCGAGACGGTGAAGGTGCTACGAAATTCGTCAGTATCACGGTAAAGGATGCGTCTAGTTTTGCTGATGCCAAGAAAATCGCTTCTACCATTGCCACGTCTGCGTTGGTGAAAACGGCATTGTATGGTCAAGATGCGAATTGGGGACGTATCTTGTGCGCTACAGGGTATGCGGGTGTTGCTTCTGTTGTGCCGGGCAAGACGTGTGTGAGTTTCATTCCAACGGATGGAAGTCCGCGTTTGGCATTGTTGGTGGATGGTGAGCCTGAACACGTTGATGAAGCGCGAGCGAGTGAGATTTTGGCAATGGAGGATCTGGCGATTGAAGTGACGCTGGGTACGGGAGCCGGTCATGAAGCGACGTATTGGACGTGTGATTTCAGTCATGAGTATGTGACCATCAATGGCGATTATCGTACTTGAGCATTGTTTGTGCGAAAGAAGGACATTGTATTATGCTAAAGTGGAAGATCTATAATGCAGCTAGAATCCTTCTTCTCCCGTGTATACTTGTCAACATAGCAAAGTCTAAACTTCACGAACGTTGCGGTGTAGGCGGCATGACACCGGTTGTCTTCTTCTTGGGAACAGGCGGTGGTGGCGGTCGTTTATTCCCTGAACCTTCTCGAATGCCAATCGTCTGACTCTGTCCAATCTGTTGCTGTTGCTGCATGCTCACCCTAGGAAATGTTTGAGATCTAGAGGCGACTTGCAGTCCTTCAATGTCTTGTTCGTGCAAGCTGGGCGTACTCGACATGGGTGGTCTAGGCGCTTGTTGTCGTTTGGTAGCAGCAGCAGCAGCAGGCAGTACAGTACAGTAATTTGAAGGGAATAAACCAGCTTGTCCCAAAACAGCACCGGATCGTTCATCAATACGCTGTCCTTGCCACCAACCAGCAGACACTTCTTCCAGGACACAAATCACATCACCTGGTCGAAGAGATAATTCAGTGGCTGCTTCTGCTTCAAATGCGAAATTCGCCTTGACTGTCTTGTTGTTGTGGAGGAGTGATGGTTGATTCGGTTCAGTGGCAGTACGACGAGGTATAGGTCGTGTGGCGAGTCCGTCGTCTTCAGAAGATCCAGAATCTGAACGATGTGAGGGACGTCGCGTACCGAGGGCACGCACACCGAGCATTTGCATCCCTGGCGCGATTCCTGCAGTTGTACCTGGTTCCTGAAAGAATGGATCTGGCTCTTCTGTGCCTGTTGTTGAGGCAGGTGGTGTATGTAAGCTGGTATTGCTGCGTGTAGCGGTATACTGCGGCCGAGAGAATGAGCGCAAGGGTGAGCGTTCAGTTTGTGGTTCCATCTTCCTTTGTGATGCAGAGCGTGCCGAGTCATTGACTTGAGCAATTTCCTTGTTGTACCAGGTTTGTAGGTGCGACACGGCAGTAACGCAACTCTCAAAGTAAGTGCGCTCGAGTGTGATGAGTTCACCGAAATCAAGAACAAGATCTGCCTCGCCTTGTCGAATGGCATGCATCCTGTGTTCGACATCATCCGAGATTTCCTCATACCGGACTTTTGCAGCGCGTAATTCTTCCTCCAACTTGCTATCCTCGCGCTTGGCTTTTTGTACTTTACCAAGACTGCTGTCGTAGGTGAGACGGCGCGACTCGAGCTTCTTGACGGCTGCTTGGTATTCTCTGGTAGGGTGTCAGCATGTGCTGCACAAGGTGTTGAGGAGACTTACTTCATTTGCGCCAAAGAGCGCTCCATGTTTTCAATAACGGTCTCTGTGGTTCTTGTAGTAAAGACATCTTGCGCCCTTGCCACTTGCTGCTGACACGTTCCAACGCGCTTCAACAAGGCGCCATACGCGCTTTCGGGACCGAAATCCTCACCATGCTGATGTGCGGCCAAGCCAAGCAACTCAACGGGTATATTCTTCTCCTTGTCCGGTCCTTCCTTCTTCTTTGAGAGTGAACGAATCCAGATTTGTGCAGCAGAGTGGATTTGTTCGAGTCCTTGATGGCGACGATGCATCTCTGCTTGCATGTCACGGAAATCTTCTGTTGCTTGTGTCTTTGTGCCTGTGCCTAGCTTCTCGTCTGCCCATTGTCGGAACTTGCCTACTTTCTTCATTGTCGGGGCGTCTGTGGGTGTTGCGACTGGTCACTGGGGGATGGAGGAGAAGTAGCTAGTGGCTCGAGTGGGTGGGTGGGTGCGTGCGTGTGTTTGAGATGCGATGACTTTGGGCGTCGAGCGCAGGATGGAGGGAAGAGTAAGATGCAGACGGGGGCCTTTTGTCGGGAGCACTCTCAGCAATCAGCAATCAGCAAGTAGCCACCGGGCATAGTATGAGTCTCTGTCTCCCTTGTTCTCTCGCGATCTGCAGCTCAGTCAGGGGTCAACAAAGGGGGAAAGGGCAGTCACAAGTGGAGCGCAGTCATGGTCGTGTAGCAGAGACGGGGCATGGACATGGAGCAGGCACAGAGTAGACATATAGACAGAGTATGCTGAGTATGCTCACTGTCACCCAGGCAGAGAGAAGGAAGGCGACATAGATGGGAAGTAGACAGTCACAATAGATGGCAGCATACTCTATTAGTACTATCCATCCTCTTCCTTCTCTATCTGCCTCTGCCTCTGCCTCTACACAGGCACTCACAGCAAGAGCAAGCCCAATCTATGTATTCCTGTCAATTGCACAAAGCAAGACGCGACACAGCAGCAGCACAGACACACAGACGCACAACCACACGCGCTCATCCATACAGAGCAAGCAGCCCAGCGATTCACAGACTCGGCACTCTGAGGCTGCATGGATGTTCAATCCAGACACATGGGATCTCACAGGCGAACGCGAGCTCTGCGATGCTGCCTCCGATACCTCTGCTGAACCATCCCACCAAGCTGCTCCTCGCGCGCCTATGAGCCTTGGCAGCATGGACGATGCCTATAACGACGCAGACGAACAAAATGAGTCTCTCTCGGGTGACGAGGATACCAACTATAAGAGCGTGCAAGAAGAGAGTCACACAGCCGCGATACATGATCCAGCACCTTCTGCCATCACCCATGCAACACCTTCCACCACAGACCTAGCGCCTGACGACACGCCCAAACCAGTCCTCCTCAAGATATCCTTCAAGCAAAGCGACGCAAAACACAACAATGACATATCAAACAATAAGCTCGAAGACGACGCAACCTACGCCGCACGATCCTGGGAAACGACCAACTTCACCATCCCCTTCCTACTAGCACTGCGTACATGCTTTTCTGAGAAATTCACCGATGTACCGGATCTAGGACCTCAAGATATTGAAGAAGGCGTCGTTGCTGAGCCACCCTCTGCAGATGTTCAAATCTTCATGTGTCGCTTACTGACACTCGCTGCGAATCGTTCAAAGACCGTGGATTACCCGCAATACAATCGACCGCTTGCTGAAGTCGTCGATCGACTCGCACCAACACGCGGTGATCCCGCCTGGCATGGACAAAATCCAATGCCACAAGGTAAAAAGTTTGTGGAACTCGAGTGGCAAGATCGATTGCGATTACTGCATTGTCTGGGTGAATGGGCATTGCAAGAATCAAAATACTGTCGAGACTTGATAGAAACGCATTATGCCCGAAAGAATCGCCCGAATCCACTGGCATTCACAGCAGTGGGGACGGATGACTGGAAACACAGCTACTTCCTCTTCAAAGGTGTCGATACACCCTTTCGGCTATTCATTCAAACAGATCCTGCACGAACGCCTTGTCGGTGGTATGCGATTGCAAGTTCCATGGAAGAGCTAAGAATACTCGTCGATGATCTTCGCGCAACAGCCTGCTTCACACAACGTGGCAAACAACTGCTTCAACAACTCGACGGCGTCGTCGTTCCAGAATGTGAACGGAGTTGTGCGGTGCGTGCGAAATTGTTACATAACAAGGAACGTGCATTGCGTGAACGCTATCGGAAACAAGCTGTTGCTCAACGTTTACAAGCGCAGCATGGTGATCGTGAGGCGATGAGTCGGACGCGTGGTAAACCGAGGGTGGATTACAATTCCATGCTAGAAGGTGGTGGTGGACGGCAAGATGAGGAGGAAGAGGAGGAACTTGAGGATGGTGGCGATGAGCCACAGCGATCGTTCAGTGGACGATTATTGAAGCGGAAACGTGAGGAGTTGCCCATGGAGATCGCTGGGACACCCTCGAAACAATCGACTGAGCGGAGTTTCGGACCAGGTGAGGTAGTGGACGGTGGGTATCTCGGTGGTTACGACTTTGATGTTCGATCGCCTGAACAGATAGCTGCAGAGGAAGCAGCAAGAGAGCGACTCAAACTCAAGATGCCTTTTAAGCGCTGGAGCGAGATTCTCACAAAACAGCAACAAAAGCGTAAGAAGAAGCAAGAGGAGCGTGAACGACTCGGACTCCTCAAGCCAAAAGCAACACGAGCAAAGTCAAGTCCACGCACTTCGCTTGTGCCTGCTGAACCGGCTGCACCACCCATCCCAGAAGGTCCACCGTCACAACATGTCCTAGTGATTGGCTCAACGGGCGTTGATCTGAGCCATGCAGCACTCTCAGCAACCGTCCTCCAAACTGCTGCTCAACACTGTCAAAATGCCACAGGTCTTGATATTTGGCTTCATCTACCACCCGCCATCGTCGCCAATCCTCGAGGATTCTTTGGGAGATTACAAGGCATGCTCGCACAGCTATACCTGGCTGCAGGACAAGCACTCGCCATGCACGCAGTAGACTCACAAACGTGTCCCGTCACGGTGATTATTGCCGGTTGGGCAGGCTATGATTTGGCAACAGAACATATTGAGTGGCTCTATGCGTGTTGTCGTGAAGAAGATCGTGGTCACATGGCGCGCTTTGCAACAAAATCAAGACATAAGCTGCAGTATGTGCAACTTCTAATGGATCCGGCACAGGCTAGTCTGTCGATGCCACAGACACCTGGCCATAATTCACAAATGTCGGCAAAAGCAACACCTGGCGGGAGTTATATGGGTCCTTTACCACCGCAAATGAGTAGTTTTGCAGGCGTTGCAGTGCATGGTACCTTTGACCACCTTCACCAAGGCCACAAGATTCTTCTTACCTGTGCAGCGATATTATCCACACAAACTGTTTATCTCGGTTTACTGGATGATGCACCTGCTCAACAACGCGCAGCACCGCATGGACAACTCGTTCAACCACTCGCTGAGCGAATCCATCACGTAGCGCACTTTCTATCGCGCATTCGACGACGTGTCTCAGTACAGGTGTCATCACTCCCCGAACAAGACTTGCTCGGTCCTGTTGCTTCAGAACTCGCTGTTCAAGCATTGGTGGTGAGTAAAGAGACTGAAGCGTTGTGTGGCACCGTTGCTGGTTGGCGCATTGCACATAGTTTGCCACTCTTGTCAAATTATGTGACGGATGTTGTTGGTGAGGCGGAGATATGTGTGCAGGCTGGTGCTGCTGCTGAACAGGTCGATTGGGTGAGTGTCAAGGAGAAGAAGGTGTCGTCGAGTAAAATCAGGGAGAGGTGGGCACAGCAGGGTCGAACACTGCAAGAGGCTGCCAAACACGAAGATGCATCTCAGGGTGGTCATGGCGCCGGAGGGGTTGTTGTGCAACAACCAAGTCTGGCTATGAAAGCAGAAACAAGCGCATTTGTGCCTTCCTTTCAGCGCATTAGCCAGGATGTGCTCATGAATGATGCATAGGGTATGGCGACTGGGCTTGCTTGTGTATACTTCTTCAGATGGACACTTTTGCCACAGTTATACTGCTGCCTGTGTGGCATTGAAGAGACAGACTGTGTACACAGCTATCGTACTGCAAATCATCTGTCTGAAGTGAGAGTACTTGACGGCCCGATTGACATGTAGTGAATGTTGCTAGGGCCAAGCCTTGAGTAAGGCAGAATACCGTTGCTGACATGCGTCCTTTTCAAGCTTCCTCGTCATCATCTTGCGCGCTGCTCCCCTCATTGTCTTCATCATAGTCAATCCCCTCTGGATGATCCACCTTCCACTGCCGTATCCAAGTTGCTATTCTCTCAACATTTGCTTCAATCTCTTCAACAGACTGGCTCTGCAAGACAACGACCTTCTCTTCGGCATACGCCGCACGCGCTTCGTCTAGCACAACTTGCATAATTTCCGCTTCGTTATTTTCCTGTATTTTATTGAGTGCATATCCGCGTGCTTGAAGACGATCCCAAAGAAGTGTATGGTCGCATTGTAAAACAATGACCAGATCTATCCACCGTACAGGAAAGATGTCGCAGCAATGCCAATCAAATACACAACCACCAGATTCTGCCAATGCGCGCGGTTCTAGATAATCGAGCAGTTTATCTTCATCCACGAGAAGCGTGCTCCATTCTGCATCAGCGCCTTGATGGAGGTCTGCAGACTTGACGAGGTCTGAGATGTGAAAGACTTCGAGGGGGAGTGCTTCGCTACTGGTGGGCTCTTGCAGCAACTCTTTTAGGTGTTGCGCATGGGTTGATTTGCCGGTACCGGGTGTTCCCGTGATGATGATATTGGGATTATATCGCCTTCCCATGGCTGCTAATTGAGCAGATAGAGAGCTTGGATGGGTATGTCTAGTTGCCGTGTGAGCGTGAGAAATCTACAAAAATGTTGAAATGTCGCACGCTCAGGGAGTGGCAATAGTAGTAGTTCAGTGTAATGCAGGCTTGACTAGTACATCAACCTGACATCAGGTGATTCTGAATACTCTCTTTTTACATTGCTATCACATCTACTTCTGATATCATGACTGCCTTTCTTTCGCAGTCACAGTCTCCGTCAACAATTTTTGCTGTTCAGGGTTAGGGGAAGTTCAGCTGCGGGCGAGTAAGAACAAGGAAGAGAGAACGAGGCTGCTGTACACACAAGAAACAGAAGAAGCTATGCCGTCAAACAAGGTATGCATGATGCAGCGTAGATGGAGGTGAAGCTGGGTGCTGCTCTTGCTGTTGCTATGTGCACCTCGCGAATGGGCCGGCAGCAGATCTGGGCAAGGAGGACTTGGTCACTTAATGTCGGAGACAGCAGGCAGTCGCTGCGCATGCCACATGGTATGCGCGTAGACAGTATGCATGTATTGTCTTTGCATGACGAGATCAAGCCGTTCTGTATTGCCTGGACGTGTCAAGGAGCATCGTGATGGCGTGAAGCAAAGCTGCAACCACTTCCTCCATCTATGTCTACGCAACAACTTGCACTGTACTAACCTGTAGCCTCTCCGCATCAAGCTCAAGCTCGCCCGCAAGAGCAAGCAGAACCGTCCGATCCCACAATGGATCCGTCTCAGAACCGACAACACAATCAAGTACAACGCCAAGCGTCGTCACTGGCGTCGTACTAAGCTCAACCTTTAGTTTGCTGCTAAGAGACGTTCACCTGCATTGTCCCTCATCTACAAACGACACCTCTACACATCATTCACGCATCTCTGCACACACTATACTCTTTTCCAGCAGAGTTATTGACCACACGGCATGCAACCACTTCAAGGCGAGCACAAACAGTCAGCAACCAATGCTGTTATCTCTGGACGTAGCTCGCTAGGTAACGTGTCAAGTGTAATAAAAAAGAATTGGAAATTTGTCAAGAATCCAGTGCTCATGTCAAAAACAGAAGAAATGCTCGCGATCGCTATCCATGTGTCCCTCACATTCAATCATCCTTCGTGACGCCAAAGCGTTTCATGACTTCAGCCATGGTGCATCCTTGATCTGCCGCAAGCTTCGTGATGAGGACTATGCGTGTCAGCCTTGCTTCAACCCTGTCCAACTCTGCTCGCCAAGAACAAAAAGAACTTACCACATCCAAAGTCACGCATCTCATTGTACTGATGCAAACGATCAATATGTCCCTTGACCACTCCCTTGCATGCCTCAACCGTCTCTTCAGTACTACTCAAACTCGTCTCACTCCTCGTACTCGCAGCAAGTAACGATTCCTCACGTTCCCCCAATCTCGCTTGTTCTCGTGCCGACGCACGTCGTACGGCAGGTGAAGAAATGAGTGTCTCAATTGGTAGCGTTGCGCAGACTTGCTCGAGTCGTTGCGTACTGTGTTCGACTTGTTGTCGTAAGGCCGTGATTTTGTACTCGAGTTCTAGGATGCGACGGGCGCGTTGATCGGGTGTTTCGGTGGCTTTGAAACGAGCTGGTAGCATGGGAAGCCTGTCTTGCGCACTCTCTCTATGCGTTCGGGGGAGACGGTTGTGCAATTTGGCGTCTCGAGGACTGTTGGTGATGGTTGATTAGTGTTGAGTGTTGCTGCACCCCTGACGCCGCTCCAGGGTGTGGTGAGAAGTGCAACAGAGCTAGAAATGAGTCCCGGTCAAGAGCAGCAGAGCATCTCAAGAGTCTCTGTACGTCAGTCGGAAAGAGCTACAGCGCCATGAATCGAGGGAGATCCAAATTCTGTAGTCAGTCGAGCTATAGGGATGCGTGATTCCATGAGCTAGCGCTGTATACTGGCACAGATGATCTGCATCACGAGTTCCATGTAACATGACAGCACGACATCATTGACATTGCAGCGCCGACATGTCTCGTGATCTCATTTACAAAGATTGACAGTATTTCCTGTGTGAGAACATACGTTGCATAGACAGAGATTAGGGCTCATATCGATAAGCTCAATCTTAACATTGTTTTAACTGATGTCTATCAGCTGGCTACCAGTTGAATGAGCTCAAATTGTCTTTCAAGCCTTCAAATCGCTCATGTTGAAACGACACATTCGCAACAAACTTCCGCGGCTGACAAATTCCGTCCAATTTGTTTACCCCTGAAATTTTCACCACACTCCAACGCGCAGATATGTCGGCTTTTGAAGAAAACAAGACGGATAGCTACACCGGTCAACTCTTCGCGCGTTCTCCGAGAAGCAGTCGCATCAGGTGATCCAGATCCTCTTACTAAAATTCCACTAGAGCCGTTTCTTGCGACATGATATGTCACAGTACGGTGCCGATGAACCCCACAGTCAAGACAAGCCACACGGATGTAGCATATGACCTGATGTTTCCTTCTCCACATCTGCAAGCACATTATTTGCATGGGAACTTGGCACATGACCCATGTGGCCATATCCAAATGAACTTGACGCTTACCTCGGCCAACTTCAACACTGCACCTGCTATAGCTCGGGCGTGAATGCCAAGTTATGGGACTGATTCCAACAGGACAATCTACACTTAGCATAAGTCATTGCGTTCGTCATCTCTCGTGCTCAACAAGCGCCACAGCTGAACTTTGAGAGTGTACCCCTGTTGCATTGTGAATGGCATGTCACCTCGCCGAAAGAGGATATATGCGATCTCAAACTTACACGCAGATGAATGTGAATGGAAATCACCACTTTTGGACAATGGTCATGATTCGCAGCATAGTTCAACAAACACCTTCTCCAAGGCAAGAGCGAACAAGGTACTCCTGAGTTGGAGTGTATAAAGCGCCTCATCTGCTCCAATTTGAAGCCTTTCCACAATCAACTCGAATCAGCACATCAGTACTCACCTCAACGTCAGTGCAACACTGGCCCATCGAAGTAATGCTAACGACTTAGGCTACCTAACGTCATGCTGTCGATCAAGCTATTCTTCCTCTACGCAGCAGCCACATTGACAGCCTTGCCTACCGGTCCTGTTTTGAAGGCCCGCTCTGCAGCTCCAAGACCTGTTGCAGAGGCTCAAGCTTGGATGCCTCCAATAGGTGCTTTTTGCGGCAATGGTGGTAAACATTGTTTTGGTGGCAACGGGAAAGCTTGAAGTCCATGTGCCCATAATGAGTCGTATTTCACAATTGACCGCGACTTATAGCGTCGATGCCCGTAGCAAATTGATCCCTTCTCTTCTACAATCATGGAATCATACAGCTCGATGACGTGTACACTGGAGGTATATGTGATTAACACGGATTATGCAGTCTTATGAATATCCTCCTGAACCAGAAGTCCCTTTTCTTTCACAACATTCGAAGACCATCAGATCAGAAGGGGACCTTTTGCAGAATGCACCGCGTATATAAACTCTCGTGCTCAACAAGAGTCGCAGCTGGTGACTGAAAGCTTACCTCTATTGCATTGTGAATGGCATGTCACCTTGCCGAAGAGGATATAATTGGTTGTGAACTTACAAGCAGGTGAATGAGACTGGAAATCACCCGTTTCGACGATAGGCATGATCTACAGCAGAGGTCAACAAACAACACGCCTTCTGCTAGAGCGAACTGTCAGATTTATTAGGACGGCAACTTGCTCTTCCGATGAACAGGTCAGCGTGTCCCTATACAGGAGTAGCCCCTGACCACACGTGTCAGCAGTCACCACTCCAGCATCCCCTGGGCATGATCCGCAGCATAGGTCAGCAAGCATCTTCTCCAACTTCCAAGGCAAGAGCGAACAAGATACCCCTGAGTTGGAGTGTATAAAGCGCATCAATTCCTTCAACCTGAAGCCTTTCCATAACCAACCCGGACCAGCACATCAGATACTTCACTCAACGTTAGTTGACCACTCAACCGTCAAATTAATGCTAACGACTTAGGCTACCTAACGTCATGCTGTCGATCAAGCTATTTTTCCTCTGCGCAGCAGCCACCTTGACAGCCTTGCCTGCCGGCCCTATTCTGAAGCCCCGATCTGCCTCTGCTGCAGCTCTAGACCTTGAATTTGGAAAAGATGGCTCTGTATGGATTCCACCCGAAAACGCTTGCCTCCCTGGTGATGACAATTGTGATCATGGTATCGGTTCCGACAAGAACTAGGACAATCGAAGTACCTGCTCCCAACATTTTTCGTATTTTACAATTGACCGCGACTTGTAGCGTGGATGACCCTAGCAAACTGATCTTTTCTTTTGCAACAATGAAAACCAATGGCTTGTTGACGTGAACACTGGAAGAATATGTAATTGTGCAAAGCTGCAGTCCTGTGAAGATCTTTATAGAGCAGAAGTCCTCTTCCTTTCCCAATGTTTGCAACTCACCAAACCAAGGACATTTCGCAGAATTCATGGCTATGAGGCGCTTGTTTACACAGCAGAACAGCTTGCCAGAACGAAAGCCTTGTCAGTAAATTCCTATCAATGCGCTAGATGCTACATAGTCAGCTTTCTTCGTCCCGATTCACGCAGCAATGTGACCATTGTCCATGTCAAAATCAGCTCCGCCATTCATGTTTCAGAGATGCTAGTGTTGTGCCTGCCAATGTCGAAAATGAGGCGATTCGATAGGGACAGACAGGTGTACCAGAAGTAGCAGCCTAGTCAGACATGTAATCAGAGTAGTAGTCATATCCACCAGAAAAGTCCTCCTCATCGTAGCGCATCATCAAGTCCTCCATGAACAGTCGATCGTAATCCGGCTGATTGGGGGAAGGGTTGATATGTCGATGATGCAGTACGGCAGGTCGTGTAGTGGCCGGTGCACCCATTGGGAGGAACCTTCCAGTCACGCCGTTCTGTCCTGCTGCGTAGTACTTGTCCAAATTTTTGATTGCCAATAAAGGCGAATCTGCATCAATAATCGGCACAAACCAAAGCTGGTTGACGTTGCGAGGGCAATGCTCCTCGATGTGATTGGCGAGCTCTTGGATTGAAGACAGGGGCATAAATTTACCATAGCAATATTCAGTATCACAGCGAAGCTGCATGTTAGATGATCTTGCTTGGGAGAAATGAGAACAAACCTGAAAGAATCGATCTTGTGATGTGTAATGTCGGCCATTTGGCGTGGTCGGCTTTCCATCCTCGTCTGCCAGCTTGTGAGCCTCGAGCAAGTTGAAGGCGATGCGAGGGGCATTTGAGTTTCTCTTCTTGACGATAGCGTCCATATACAACCAAAGCTCATAAAGTACTGATGCCATGCAGATCGAATTGATCTCATCATTCAGTCGATTTTTGGCAGCATTATCTCGCTTGCTGGCATCACCAAGAAGAGCATGGAGCGTAGGCGCTGTCTTCTTGAATGTTCTTTTCAATTCACGTCCATACTGACGTTAGTTTTGAGTCTTGTTTCGCCTTTGAAGTCCATACCCAGACCAACAATTCCTGCTCGATTCCCTTTTTCAAGGCTACGGCGTCCTCTCGAGTCTTGATGGTCTCTAGTCGTTGTTTCAGACACGGTGCTATTTCTTCGAGTTCCTTCTTGGTGAAGACTTTGTTGATGATCTTGTCCTCAGCTGCCAGCAAACCAAGAGATGATCGAAGAGACTCAGGCAATTTGCGTTTCTAGACATGGGTCAGTTTTGTGAACAAAGCGATAGAGCAAACATACAATAAAGATTCTCATGAGCTGCATCTTGCGAGCCATGATGACACCTTCTTTCAAATCTTCCTGACATGCTTTACGCATTGCTCCATCCTCACAACACTTGTCGATGCGCTGAACATGAGAAGAATAGAGGAGACTCGGCGGTTGCGTCTTGGCAAACTCCAGGACAGGCAAGTCAGAGGCGCGGTATCGCTCGTAAATGGAGGTGATTGCTTCACGTTCGAACAGACATCGGTCGAAGCGCCATCGCTTGTATGTAGGATTGAGCATGTTGGGAGTCAACTGAAGCAGATCATGAGCAGCTGTCTCTGTCATACCAGGTTGTAGCTGCTGTAAGTAATCAAGAGCTTGACGATAGGACAGTCCAATGCGAAGCAAGCAGGTCAAGCAACAACGGGTTCTGCAGATGTCAGCAGGATTGCAGCTGTGATTTCCTTACCTGAGAAGTGCATAAGGTTTAGCATTGTATTGGCAATTGAAACAGACAACAGGCCCAGCAGCTGTACCAATAGATCCTCCCTTTTTGAGAACAAACGTCAAGAACGCTTTCTCTGTCCAGCCTTCTGGCAGTGTTTCGATGCCAGTCATGCGGATTCGTATGATCTCGTAGGGTCTGCCATGAGCAGGCGCACTAGCTATAAGAAAAGCACTCACGAATTCTCTGACTGGAAAACATCACGAAACTGCTTGCTGGTGCGCTCGATCATAGCAGCACTGAAGGGATCCAAGTAAGAGAATATGAGCTTAAGGGTTGCAGCTGGAAGCGCCTGCAGTGGCCGCTTTGTTGTGCGATTTCGCACCATGCTGGTGCATGAGCATGCGTTCGATGTGAAGAGACTTGCTCAGTTGCGCTAGTCCTCGTTCAAAGCAAAATCGTGCACTTGGCGTCAAGTTGGCGACAGTGCGTCGTTATCGAAGCTCGCTTGTCTTTCGATGTGAAGGTATTCAGATGGGAGTCTTGTTCGTCCTCCCAGCTCAGGGCCAGCTGAGATTCGACACCATTCACTCATTTCCTAACTTCCTTGCTAGTGATATTGATTTGCCAATCTACTTGAGAAGCGCCCGGAAGAAAAGCTTACCTGAAATAGAAGCCTACACCTATGTCCCACATACGATCATCTGCAGAGCTAGACTCGTCGTCTACTGACTCGTACTCGGCCTCGATCATCCCAATTTCAGAGTGATAGGAGCCGGTTTCGGAGTTATCGTCATCGTGGTCGCCAGTGCGGTGCTCAGCCCAGTTGTGGTCAACGTGCGAGGGTCGAGTGACTGGTGGTCTCAAAGGACGGAACCTACCAGGCGTGGTGTACTGTCTCGGAGCGTAATACTTCTTCAATGAGTCGATTTCCAGTAGAAGCGAATCTGCGTCAATCACTGGCACAAACCAAAGCTGGTACTTGCGATCCGTGTTGTGCGCACGCATGTGTTGGTCGAGCACCTGGACGGAAGCAGCACGCATAAATGTGCCATAGCAGCGGTCAGTGTCGCATCGAAGCTATTTGTTAGATGATCTTGCTTGAAAGAGAAGAGAACTCACATAGAAGAATTCACCTTCTGCAGTAAAATGGCGACCATCAGAAGTGGTCAGCTTGCCGTCTTTGTCTGCCAGGCGGTGAGCCGCAACCAAGTCAAAGACGGCGCGGGGAGTCCCCTTTCCTCTCTTCTCGTTCATGGTGTCCATTTGCGTCCAAAGCTCGTATAGGATCGTTGCCATGCAAATCGAATTTATCTCGTCATTCAATCGCTTCTGCAGGAGGTTGTCTTGCTTTCCAGCGACACCAAGGTGGGCGCGGAGCTTTTCTGATGTCTTCTTGAATGTGGACTTGATTGCTCGTACATACTTCGATTAGCTTTGGCCATCAGAAGTAAAGTGCATACCCAAACCTGCAAGTGCTGCTCCATTTCTTTCTTCAAGGCCAGCCCGTCCTCTCGTTGCTTTATAAGGATAAGGCGTTGCTCCATGCTTTGGGCTATGACTTCAAGTTCGTCTTTGCGATAATCCTTTTTGCCGCGGTTTTTGGCTGCCAGTTTGCCGAGATAGATGCGAAGTGACTCGGGCAACCTTTTCTGCTATCAAGCGGTCAGTCTTGTTCAAAATGCAACAAAGTCAGTATACGTCAAAGATTCGCGTAAGCTGCATTTTGCATGCCATAGTTGCACCCTTCCACAAATCTTGACGAGATGCTACCAACATCGTACAGTCCGTGTAACACTTGTCAATGTGCTGGATAAGAGCAGTTTGCAACAGGCTAGGCGGCTGCGTTTTGGCAAACTCAATCATCGATAAACCAGAAGCGCGGTATCGCTCATGAATAGAATCGAGAGCATCACGTGCGAAAAGACAGCGCTCAAGCCTCCATCGCTTCTTTGTAGGATTGAGCATGTTGGGCGTCAATTGTAGCAAATCACGAGCGTCTGTTTCCGCCAAATCGGGCTGTAGCTGCAGTAGATGGGCAAGAGCTCGATCGTACGACAGGGCAATCTGAATTGCGCAGGCCGTGCAACATTGTTCTCTACAGGCATTAGTCGGCTCGCTTGATGCTGAAATCTCCTTTACTTACTTGATAAATGCGAATGATCTTTCCGCCCTTCGGCATTCGTCACAGGTTGAAGGGACATCTGGCCCAAACATAAAATACAAGAATTGCTTCTCCGTCCATCCTTCTGGCAGCGTTTCGATGCCACTCAGGCGGGTTCGAATATTCTTGTAAGGCCTGATGTCAGCGGCCGCGCTATCTGTGCGAGAGACGTGCGTATCGTTCAATTGAAAGACAGCCCGAAAGCACTTGCTGGTATGCTCGACCGCGGCGGCACTGTGCGGATCCAAGTATGAGAAGATGCGATTTAGCGTTGCGGCTGGTAGCGCCTGCAGTGATCGTTTTGTCGTGCGACTCCGCACCATTTTGCACAGAAGGCCGCTAGCGCAGCTGAACCACTATCTGAGATTGCGCAAGTCTTATTCAAGGCAGCGATTGGCGGCAGTGTATAATCGATTTCGACTATGAGGGCAACCCGCGTCGCGTTGTCGTTCGTGATGTGTCCTGTTCAGATGGAATATCACTTGCGCACTGGGGACACAGTAGTGCTGAGGATATGAAGGTGTCGGTCGACTCCCTGTGTGGCTCAGATGCCTGCATGTCCTGACTTCTGGCAGTGTTTCGATGCCGGTCATGCGGGATTGTATGATCTTGTACGGTCTGCAATTAGCTGGCGCACTATTTTTGCGAAGGGCGCCTGCGATTCGTCTGACTGTCGAACATCACGAACTCTTGCTAGTGCGCTCGATCGTCGCAGCACTGAAGGGATCCATGTAAGAGAATATGAGCTTTCGGGTTGCGGCTGGAAGCGCCTGCAGCAAACGCCTCGTTGTGCAATTTTGCACCATGTTGGTTCTTTTCTGCGTTCGATGTGAGGAGACTTGCCCAGTTACGCTAGTCCTCGTTCAAAGCAAAACCGTGCACTTGGCGACAAGGCGTCGATGTCGAAGCTCGCTTGTCTTTCGGTGTGAAGATATTCAGATGGGAGTCTTGTTCGTCTTTCCTCCCAGCTCAGGGCCAGCTGAGATTCGAGACCATTCACTCATTTCCTAACTTCCTTGCTAGTGTTATATTTATATGCTAATGAACTTGACAAGCGCCCAGAATAGAAGCACGTGAAACACAAGCCTATAGCCTACTCCGACATAGGATCATCTGCAGAGCTATATCCGTCCTCTACCGACTCGTTCTCGACCTCAATTATCCCAACTCCATCTGCTTCAGCGTCAGAATCGTCTTCTTCGCTATCGAAGCAGTCTTCGAGATCCTCGTAAGAGTAGTAAGAACCGGGTTCGGAGTGTTCGTCATTGTAATGGCGAGTGGTGTGCTCAGCCCACCCGTTGACACAATGCATGGGTCGCGTGCCTGGTGCACCCAAGGGAAGGGGCCTGATGTAATGTCCCGGAATGTAGTACTTCTCTAAAGACTCAATATTCAGTAGAAGTGAATCTGCGTCAATCAATGGCACAAACCAAAGCCGACGGCTAAAATAGCTCAATTCCTCGTCGTGCAAAAGCGTGTGTTGGTCGAGATCTAGGACAGATGCCAGATGATTGAATGTGTCGTTACAGGAGGCAGTGTCGCATCGAAGCTGCATGTCAGAGAATCTTGCTTGAAAGAGAAGAGATCAAACATGGAAGAATTGGCCATTTACAGAAAAATGGCGACCATCAGAAGTGGTCAACTTGCCGTCTTTGCCTGCCAGCCGGTGAGCCGTAACCAAATCAAAGCTGACGCGGGAAGTCCCCCTTTTCCTCCTCACTTGAATGGTACTCATGTGGTTCCAAAGCTCATAGAGTAATGATGCCATACAAATCGAATTTATCTCGTCGTTCAATCGCTTCTGAAGGACATTATCTTGCTTGCCGGCATCACCAAGAAGGGCACGGAGCTTCTCTGGTGTCTTCCTGAACGTGGATCTGGCTGCTCGTATATACTTCAATTAGCTCTGACTTTCGACGATCAAGTCCATACCCAGCCCAGCAGGTGCTGCTCCAGCTTTGTCGTTATTGCCAGCCCATCCTCTCGCTGCTTGATAAGTTCGAGGTGCTGCTTCATGTTTGGGGCTAGGTCTTCAAGTTCGTCTTTGCAATAGTCCCTGAGGTCGTGATCACTAGCTGCCATTTCGTCTTCGCAAAAGTCCCTATGGCTGTGATAGTCAGCTGCCATTTTGCCGAGGTAGGGGCGAAGTGACTCAGGCAACTTTTTCTGCTAGAAGGAGGTCAGTCTTGCCAAAAATGCAGCAGGGTGAGCATACGTCAAAGAGTTGCGTGAGCTGCCTTTTCCGTGCCATGGTCGCACCCTCACTTAAATCATGCTTAGTTGCGTCAAGCATGACCCTGTACTCGTAACACTTGTCAATGCGCTGGATAAGAGCAGTTTGAAGCAGGCTAGGCGGCTGCATTTTAGCAAACTCCATGATCGATAAGCCAGAAGCGCGAAATCGCTCGTAGATACAGTTGAGGGCATCACGTGCGAAAAGACAGCGGTCAAGCCTCCATCGCTTCATCGTAGGATTGAGCATGCCGGGCGTCAGTTCAAGCAAATCACAAGCATCTGCTTCTGCCATATTGGGTTGTAGCTGCAGTAGATGGGCGAGAGCTTGATCGTACGACAGTGCAGTTCGAGCTGCGCAGGCCGCGCAACAATGTAGTCTACAGGCATTAGTCGCCTTGTCTGAAAAAGAGTCTCCTTTACTTGATGAATGCGAAGGGTTTGGACGGCGCTGTGCATTCGAGACATGCTTCAGAGCCAGACCATGTTCGGCTTGGAAGCATAAAGTGCAAGAATTGCTTCTCCGTCCATCCATCTGGCAGCGTTTCAATGCCACTCAGGCGGATTCGAATAGTCTTGTAAGGCCTGACGTTAGCAGCTGCACGATCTCTGCGAGAGACGTGCGTATCGTTTGATTGAAAGACAGCCCGAAAGCACTTGCTGGTATGCTCGGCCGCAGCGGCACTGTGCGGATCCAAGTATGAGAAGATGCGATTTAGCGTTGCGGCTGGTAGCGTCTGCAGTGATCGTTTCCTCGTGCGATTCCGCGCCATTTTGCACAGAAGGCCGCTAGTGCAGCTGAATCACCTTTTGAAATTGTGCAGGTCTTTTCGAAGGCAGCGCTTGTACCTGGCGACAGTATATCATCGAACCTGCCACAAGCAGAGGCGAGTCGCGTTCTCGTCCATGGCGCGAACAGATGAGTCGTATTCAGATGGGATGACATTTGCTCATTGGAGTCAGGTGAAATGTTCATTGTACGAGAATATCTGCCTACTTCCTGGGGTTGCACGCATCGAAACCCCAGCCTATTTTGTTCTTTTTGGATAGTAGTTGCTTGCACCTGGTGCTTATCTGGTCTTCAGTCTACGTGCCCAAGTAATTAGGAGTGTAAGCCTGTGAGGAGGCGAGCTTGCCGGCGGAGATTGGTGAAAGATTCCGAAGATGGGAGAAGTGACGATGGAATGGAGACCAAGACGGCAACTGAGGGCCAAGGCGTAGACGGGAGGCCAAACCGGACTTGACCTCGACGCAAACTGAAGGCCAAGATGGACAACAGTCCCCCGACCCTTTTCTCGTTCCTGGAATCTTTCATCTGACTCCGCTTATGCGAACGCGAATAGTCTTGTAGGGTCTAACGCCAGCAACGGCGCTGACTGGGCGAGAGACGCTTGCAATTCGTTTGAGGAAAATATCACGGAATGATTACTAGAACGCTCGACAGGAGTAGCACTGAAGGGATCCTAGATTCCATGTAAGAAGATATGAGCTTATGGATCCCGGCTGAAAGCGCCTGCAGCAATCGTCATGGTGTACAATTGCGCACCATGTTGGTGCATGAGCATGCGTTCGATGTGGCGAGTTTTGCCCCATTGCGCTAGTCCTCCTTCGAAGCAGACCGATCACTTGGCGACAGTGCGTCGTTGTCGAAGCTCGGTCGGCGATGTGAAGATATTCAGGTGGGAGTCTTCTTTGTCAGACCTATTCGGACTTCGCATCGCATTCCCGTTGAGCCAAAAGTGACTAGTCCCCAGAGGACAACGCTGCAGTTCTTTGAACCCCAATTTCTAGGCTGCTTCCAGGTGTCAGTCCTCATCAGGAGACACCTCCTGTACCCAATATCGAGCCCTGCAGGATCTCGAAGTTCTCATCCGCCCAGCTGAAACACGGGGCGGTTCACTTTCTAACACACTTCATTGCTGGTAGTAATCATATGCCAATCTAGTCTGAGAAGCTCCCGGAAGAGATGCATGTGGACCAGAAGCTTGCAGCCTACTCCAACATAGGATCAGCAGCAGAGACGTACTCGTCCTCTCCCGAACCGGACTCGTTCTCATTCATCCCAACTCCGTTTGCATCAGCTTGAGAAAGGTCTTCGCCGTCGGACCAGTGTTCGGCGGCCTCGTCAGAGTAATTGGAAACGGGGTGGGAGTGTTCACCATCGTAATCGCCAGTGTGGTAGTCAATATGCATGGGTCGAGTGCTTGGTGCATCCAAATGCCGGGAGTAATGCCCCGGAACGTAATACTTCCTCAGAGATTTGATTCTCAGTAGAGGTGAATCTGCGTCAATCAATGGCACAAACCAAAGCTGATGCTTGAATGGCGCCTTGTGCGTATGCATGTGTTTGACGAGATCCCAGACGGATGCCAGATGCGTGAATGTGCCATAGCAGGAGTCAGTGTCGCATCGAAGCTACGTGTCAGATGATCGTGCTTGAAACAAAAGAGAACTAACCTGGAAGAATTGGCTTTCTGCAGTAAAATGGCGACCATCAGAAGTGGTCAACTTGCCATCTTTGTCTGCCAGCTGGTGAGCCACAACCAGATCAAAGACGGCGCGGGGAGCCCCCTCTTTTCTCTTCTGGTTGATCTTACTCATTTGCACCCAAAGCTCAAAGAGTACTGTTGCCATACAAATCGAATTTATCTCGTCATTCAATCTCTTCTGTAGGAGATTGTCTTGCTTGCCGGCATCACCAAGAAGGGTACGGAGCTTCTCTGGTAACTCCTTGAATCTGGATTTGATTGCTCGTATATACTTCAATTAGCTTTGATTCTCGACGGTAAAGCCCATACCCAGACCAGCATGAGCTGCTCCATTTTTCTCCTCCAGGCTAGCCCATCCTCCCGCTGCTTGACATATTCGAGGATTTGCTTCATGTGATGGCCAGATGCCAGTTTGTCTTCGCAATAGTCCAAGTCATCGGCAGCTGCCATTTTACCGAGGTAGGGGCGAAGCGACTCAGGCAAAGTCTTCTGCTAGAGGGAGATCAGTAATATTCAAAAATGCAGTAGTGTGCTGCTGCGTAAGCATACATCAAAGATTTGCATGAGCTGCATTTTGCGTGCCATGGTCGCACCCTTACTTAAATCATCGTGACTTGCGTTCGACATCACTTCGTCCTCGTAACAATTGTCAATGCGCTGGATAAGAGCAGTTTGCAGCAGGCTTGGCGGCTGCGTTTTGGCAAACTCAACGATCGATAGACCAGAGGCGCGGTATCGCTCGTGAATAGAATTGAGAGCATCCCGTGCGAAAAGACAGCGCTCAAGCTTCCATCGCTTCATTGTAGGATTGAGCATGTTGGGTATCAACTGAAGCAAATCACGAGCATTCGTTTCCGCCAAATCGGGTTGGAGCCGCAGTAGACGGGCAAGAGCTTGATCATACGACAGTGCGATTTGAATTGCGCAAGCCGCGCAACAATGTGTTCTGCAGGCGTTAGTCGGCTTGCCTGATATTGGAGTCTCCTTTACTTGATAAGTGCGAAGGGTCCTACCGCTCTACGGCATTCGTCACATCCTACGGTGCCAAGCCAAGTCATGGAGCCAAAATTAAAACGCAAGAATCCCTTCTCCGTCCATCCTTCTGGCAGCGTTTCGATGCCGCTCAGGCGGATTCGAATAGTCTTGTAAGGCCTGACGTTAGCAGCCGCGCAGCGCGCTATCCCTGCGAGAGACGTGCGTTTCCTTTGATTGAAAAATGGTCCGGAAGCGCCTGCTGGTATGCTCGACCGCGGCGGCACTGTACACATCCAAGTATGAGAAGATGCGATTTAGCGTTCCGGCTGGAAGCGTCTGCAGTGATCGTTTTGTCGTGCGATCCCGCACCATTCTGCACAGAAGGCGACTAGCTAAATTGGATCACTTTCTGATCTGTGCAAGTCTTATTCAAGACAGCGCTTGTACTTGGCGGCAGTGTATCATCACGAATCTGCCACAAGTAGCATAGTAGAGGCGCATCGCGTTGTCGTCGTAGCGCGAACAGATGAGTCCCATTCAGATGGGATGTCATGTGCTCATGGAACCAAGTAGTGCTGTGTGTATGAGAATATCTGTCTACTTTCTGGGGTTTCAGAGGCCTGCACGTATCGAAAGTCAAGCCTGCTTTTGCTTCTTTCGAATAGTAGTTGCTTGCACGTGGTGTCCATCTTCAGTCCATATGCTCAGGTGATCAGTGGTGTAAGCATGTGACGAGGCGAGAGTCTTAATTGACCAGATGACAAGGGTAGCTTGCCAGCGGAGACAGTCCACAGATGCCAAAGACGCGAGATGGGACGAAAGAGTGGAAGCTAAGACGGGTTCGGCCTCGGCGGAGACTGAAGGACATTCTGAGTCTACGCCTGGATTCACTAAGGCAAGCGCTTATACATGAAAGCAGTCTCGCGATGCCTATCTATCGAGCACATGGCGCGCCGAGTCGTCGTTTCAAGGCGCGAACAGCTGGGCCGACTTCAGATGAGGAGGTCTTGCCAACTTCGTAGCGACTGTGGGTGGAATGTGCACTTAGGGCCAATTCGCCCCTTAGTATCGCAAGAGAAAGCCAAATCATCAGCGAGGATGCAGTAGAGTCTGGATAACATCGCTAGTACTTCCTGAGGTAGATGCAATTCTTGGCGGTATGAGCGTCTCTGTTTAGCTGAATCACAGCCTGTACACAGGACCCTCGCCAGTCTCGCCATTGTAGATGAACCAATTGTCCACCGGCTGCTCTCGCTTGCTGAGCACATTCAGCACATCTTGTGAAAGAATGCCACCCACAATTGCAGCAACTGGTGACAATTCACAGCCAAGACTCTCGGACACATCATGTACCACCTCCTCGGTGACGCAGGAGTCTGCGAGTCCCAACACTCGAGCCTGCTCTTGACTCTTCTTTTCGTACGTGTGCTCTGCGTCATGTGCGTCGTCGTTGTCCCAGCTCAGCATTGACATGAGAATTGGAAGCAGTGGCGAGACCTTCTTCCGCAGCTTCGGTCGAAGTTTGCTGGCAAAATCAACCTTCATGGAATCCGCAAGTGGTTTGTAGGATGATTTTGCCGGTACTGTGACTTTCTGGCGCTCGCCCGTGGACTTTGTCTCTTCTCTTTCTGTAACATACTCATGCTCGAGCAAGTCTGCGAAGATGTAGCCATACATACCCGGGATCTCTGCTGCGAGGAATGGCTTTTGAGCAGCACGACAAGCTTCATTGATACGTAGCAGGTCAGGCAGTGTGCCATCGCATACAACGACCACGTCAAATTTGCCGAAGAAGGCAGCATCCTTACTTGAGAGCCTGTCAGTATCGACATGCATCTGCACACGTGGATTGAGCTTGCGTGCCCGTTCAGCAGCTGCTTCGGCGCGTAGCTTGCCAAGATCTTCCTCTTGCACCAAAAACTGTGCGCCAAGATCTGTTCCAGAGACCTTTTCATGGTCAAGTAGCGTCACGGCGCCTACACCAGCAAGTACAATGTTCTTAACGACTTCATTGGCGAGCGCGCGGATGGTGACCACGAGGATATGCGCATTTCTGAGACGTTCTTGAGCAGCCATGCCCCAGAGTCGGATCTGCCTATCGTAAAGTGCGACTTCATCTGCGGAGATGCCATGGCTGCCATTCTCTTGGGCCATGATGCCAATGAGTAGATTTAGCTTGAGGTCGAGGTGTTGAAATGTCGGTTGGTCGCGTCTTTGAATTTCAACTTCACGCGCATCTGACATGCATGGCGAAGCGCAGCCATGAAGAAGATCCTGAGAGCTCAGAAGACGAGCAGTTGCGGGAGCTACCAGGTGGAGCCAAATGGAGTCGTGGGCAACGCGAACCTGATGCTAAACCAGAGCCGCTGATGGTATGCAGTGATCCACCCACCTGCCACATCAAGCCGCGAACATTCTATACGATAGAAAGCCTTGAACGGCATCTAGCGAAGCATGCAACGCGTTGTCCTGTGTGTCAGCTGCCCTTTCCGAATGCACATTTTCAGAATCTGCACATCGAGGAGCATCATGATCCTGTCTTTCAGGCACGGCTGGCGCGAGGTGAGCTTGTCTTTCGATGTTTTGTCGAGGTCTGTAGGGAGACCTTCCCCAGTGCTTCAAAAAGGCGACGGCATCTTGTGAAGGATCATGCGTATCCAGAAACATTTCGATTCAACATTGTATCGAATGGCTTGAAGTCTGGTACTCCAAGCTTGCTGTACCGTGAAAAGCCTCAGCAAGCCAATGTAGAGCGACGAAAAGCCATGCAGGGCGTTGAGGCAGAAGGCCATCAAGAAGGCTCAAGCAAACCTACAAGAGCACAGAGACGAGCTGCTAAGGAGAAGACGTCTACGGAACCAAGTGCGAGTGACCTACAGGCACGCGCGATTGAAGACTTGTTCAAGTCTGTTCCGCACGATGAGTATCTACTTGAGCCCGAGCAAGAGGATGTAGGCATGCAGGATCTGACTACATCCCTCGCAAACACTACCCTGAAAGTTCCACCAAAAATCAAGTTTGGTCGACGGTAAGATGCAAGAATGTCCTTTTCTACAACATACTCTGGCATAGCCAAAGTGATATTCGCGTCTTGAGGTCTGCTCTCCGTTCAGGCGTCTCCAATGCTGCCTTATCAACGGAACTCGCGTACTTCTCCAGGTGCGCTACTTCCTGCTTCAATGCAGCCTGTAATTCTGCATCCGCCGTAATAATCAACGCCGTCGCCTCCAAATCAAGATTCTGAGATCGCCGCGTGAAGTTTGAACTACCGACAAACGTCAGCGACGGACCGGCGTGTGACTCGGTCGTATCTGGCTGTATCCAGAGGCCTTTTGCATGATAGGTCCAACGATCAGGTGTACCGTAGTTGCCTCGCGTCCATTCCTTGAGCGTCATTGACCCTCTGTTCCTTGGTGGCAGCTTCTCGAGCTCTTTCAAGAAGCGTTTGGCAAGGAGCGTATAGCCGGCTGGCAACATCCCCGATGGCCCACGACTACCATAAAATCCATTCGCTTGCGGAGATGCAGTAATAATGGTGCCCCGACCAAGTGCTGTGAAGAGTCGTTGTCGGTACTCGTCAAAGACGTTGAAGTAGCCGGCTGTAAAATGCCATGCTGCATTCGGCAGACCCGCGAGCAAGTCGAGGACGAGATTGACGGTAGGTTGTTCCGTGTTTGTTGTTGCACCAGGTGAAAGGAGTGGCGTCATTTGTAAGAGTGGGTAGACGACTGTTGGCTGAGGTACCTTTTCTGTAAACTCGCAATGTTCCATGGGCGCTGGGGCAGACAGTTGCTGGATCAGCTTCGTGGTGAATGCCTTGTAGCGTTTAGGGTACTCGATAGGATTAGGGCACTCTGAAGATGTCCAGTCCAACGTAAATCCGCTTGCATTATCTGCCGGATGGACCGCAAAAGTTACGGAACAGATGGCATCGTGTACAGCTTTGTAGAATCCTGTGAGTGGCGCAGACGAAAAGAGGTGGTAACGATCTTGTCGATTTATGAAATAGTCATTCGACAAGTTCGCACCAGACAAGATGAGTTCGTCATCCATGCCATAAAGCTTCATATGTTGTAAGCCCCAGCCTTCGTCGAAGCGCCGGGGAATGAGTGATTTGCGCAACTTGGCTAGGTTGGGCGTATGATACATGCGAAGCTCGACTCGATCACCGAATTCTTTGACGAGGGGAGCCAGGAGAGATGCAGTACAGGGTCTGGGTGCCTCTCTTGTTCCTCTGAGAGCATCTGTGAGGATCGATACACGGAGAGTCCGGTTCTCTGCGAGTGCGTCGTGGAGCACATCAATCTGCAGTCAGCATTGCCCTCCACTTAGAGAACACACACCAATTCATGCTCGGAAGGGCCAATATACAGCGTAGACAAGAACACATGCCGTCTAGCTTTACGTATCTTGCTTTTCAATGTTTCATAAAATTCAGCGGGTGTGTAGAGCACCTTGATAGCTTGCGAGGGAAGCATGAAGCGCGGTGCAAGCTTGTCGAGCTTGATACACAGATGACGATAGCTCGGGTCATAGCTTGGAGCTTGGGTCGACATACAGCGAACAGTGAGCGAGCTATACCTGATGCATGCGTAACTTCTGAGCATGCAGCTATACAAATAGACAGAGAGTAGAGAGGGAGTAAAGCGAGGGAAGCTGAAGAGAGTCGATTGAGTCAACTTCAATTTTGGCTCAGGAACAGAAACACACGTGTTTGCATCGCGACAACCAACTGAAGTACACCTCCAGATCTCCTCCAGCAGCAGCCTATAGCTCAGTTCACAGCCATGTCGAGCATCACGCGTACCTTCAGAAACTTGCGCAAGATTGGATTCCGCCAAGCAGCACACCAGATGCAGCATGTCGGCGACACAAAAGCCGGCAGACTCGTCGGCATTGATAAGATGGGCAACAAGTACTATGAGGATCCCGTACGGCATTTTCTACCTTGACTTCATTGCTGACGACATAGACTGAAGTTCCATTCCGCAACCGATGGGTCGACTTTGCAGACTATACAAATGAGGCATCACAGATTGAGCCCGGCTGGTACTCATGGCTCGCGCACACATTGAACAAGGCGCCGAGCGAGGATGCGGCTTTAGCAACGGAGCAGTATCCCTGGGAGATCAAGTGGCGGAAGAACCCGACCGGCACGTTCGGCGCATACAAACCGTACAGCACTGTTCGTGAGAAGTACGTTTTGCCTGATCTTGAAGCTACGGTTACTAACATGACAGGATCAATAAATGGGAGCCCCAGGTCCGGTCGCGTTCATAGATCCAATTTCGCCCTGCAAGCGGTTCACTCTGTCCTTTCTGTGCTGCCCCTTGACTGTGAGCAATCTTACTATGACTCATGACTCACCAGATCGGATCTGTAAGGCCGCAGGGTGAGATGCGACCTCACATCAGCTCGGAGGCCTCACCGATCAGATGGCATAGCACGTGCTCCCGGACTTGCTGTGCTGGCAGCTCCTTTATATGCTCTCTTCTTACCTTTTCGATACTTTAATCTCTTCCACATCTCATTCTCAGGCCTACTACATACGTATAGTCGCTTGAGTGGTGAAAGTGGAGGAGCAGCGACGTAAGGATCCTAAGGCCTTACAGGATCTCTGCCGCAAATTCCAATTTTCAAAATCTCGCGACGACAAGACATCATCACCATTTAAAGGCACTACACCCGGCCTCAGGGAGCTGCAAACAGAGACTGCAACAGGCAGCATCGCATCAGCCTCATTCGCTTTCACCCTGTCCTTGCATGATCTCAACTAGAAGCTCAATTCAAGACCAACCCGCCGAAAGGCCCTCTGCCATGCATTTTCCCTCTTGTCACGGTCGCATATGGCGCGTATGTGCTTCATCCAACCCTGAAACATGCTGACTTTAGGTGGATGACTTTTCAAAATGCATACGCAACAAGTGTGTCCCTCAACCTCGCCAACAACCGCTGACATTAGCTACATAAAGACTCTCATTCCTGGAGCGATCCTCCTTCTATCACTTCTGTTCCTCACAGCCGCCCTGATTCGGCACTTCGCAGAGTCCCGCAGTAGAGACTATCAGCATGTTGACTCAAGCAGCATAGACACGGATCTTTCCGATGCAGATGAGGCAGAGATATTCGCAAGAGCGAGTCATAAGTTGCCACACGTCACATCAAACGAGTACTATGAACGGCCCAGTACAGAACGCGTCACAAAGGCTGTGGAGATCCTTGCAGCAGCAGGTCTGGTGGCACTGCATATAACATGCGCAGTCTTGCTCAAGCATCAGCGCGCATCAATTGTCAAAGCCGTTTTTTGGGTGTACGTCTTGGCCCTCGTCACGATCAAGAACCTCAGGCTACTCGGTGCTTCTTGGACGCGAACTCTCTTCACGCATATTGTCTTGCTCATGTTTCTGACCTTTCCCCTTGCGTTCTTTGAGTTGCGATCAGCTATACTGCGGCAACCAAAGCAGGTACGAATGGTTGCAGAAAGCATCAACTTTGCATTGGTCTCCATTTTACTGCTCATCTCAATCACATATAGATTCAGAGAAGAGCCATACCGCAAAGTCTCACAGAAGGGTTTGCCACCCACTCAAGAACCGCTCGCAAGTTTGTTCTCCATTGCTGCGTTCAATTGGGTCAATCCAGTCATTTGGAACGGATACTTCAAAGCGCATACCATGGAAAATGTATGGGACCTGAGGCATGACGACTACGCGCAAGAAGTACTCGGCAATTTCACAACCATGAAGAAGGCCTCCAACTTGACGATTCAACTATTCAAGCATTTCAAAGGATTGCTGTTGACGCAAGCGGTATGGGCTCTTTTATTCTCCATCTTCACATTTGCGCCTACTCTGTTGCTCAAGAAGATTCTAGAATACCTGGAGGATCCACAAGACACGCCACGCGGTGTTGCATGGCTGTATTGCGCTGGCTTGCTTATCGGTTCCATTTTCAGCACAGTCGGTAATGGCCAAGCCTTGTTTATTGGTCGACGCATCTGCATCAGGTTGCGCGCCATTATCATTGGCGAAGTCTACGCAAAAGCGCTTCGACGCAAAGATGTCTCAGCGCAAGGCGATGGAGATGCAGATGACGGCCAAGCAAATAATGGTCAAATCATCAACCTCATGGCTATTGACGCATTCAAGGTTTCTGAAATTTGCGCCTACCTGCATTACCTGATTGCTTCAGTCCCGATCGAGTTGACTATTGCGATTGGTTTGCTTTACAGTATCTTGGGATGGTCTGCAGCTGCTGGTATTCTCGCCATGATTTTCCTGCTGCCTCTCAACTACTACATCTCAAAACAATTCAGCACCATCCAAGAAGAACTCATGAAGACGACAGATATCCGAATCAATCGCATGAATGAGCTGCTCAACTCAATTCGCATCATCAAGTACTTTGCATGGGAAGAGTCATTCAAGAAGGACATCAACGAGTGCCGAGCGGCAGAGCTCAAACAGTTGCGAAGGCGATTCATCATGTTCTCAATCTCTTCGCTCACTTGGAATGCTTCGCCCGTCTTGATCACGCTACTGACGTTCTTCACTTACACAAAATTGGCGCACCATGATTTGACAGCTTCTGTCGCCTTCACTTCATTGTCACTATTCAATGTGTTGCGCAGTCCGCTGGATCAGCTAGCAGACATGATCACTAATGTATTGCAGTCAAAGGTCAGTCTCGACCGTGTCAGTGCATTCTTGTCGGAGGAGGAGACGAAGAAGTACGATCACCTCAAAAAGCCCAAATCCACGGAAGGTCCCAAGATTGGCTTTGTCAAGGGCACATTCACCTGGGCTAGTCAAAAAGATCTGGATACACAAAGCAATACAACTGCATTCCAAATCAAGGACTTGTCGATCGAATTCCCTGTTGGAGAACTTTCCATCGTTTCAGGACCAACAGGGTCTGGCAAGACTTCGTTGTTAATGGCTTTGCTGGGTGAAATGACGCCACTGAAGGGAGATGCTTTCCTGCCTGGTCCAAGGAATCGAGAGGACGCAACGATCCTGCCTGGCAGCGAATTGACTGATTCAGTAGCATATTGCGCTCAACAAGCCTGGTTGCTGAATGACACGATTCGCAGCAATATTCTGTTTGCGTCAGAGTACGATGCAGTACGCTACGAGCGCGTCATCAAGGCCTGCGCGTTGTCACGCGATCTCGACATTTTGGATCATGGAGACCAAACGCTGATTGGTGAGAAGGGAATTGCTTTGTCTGGTGGTCAAAAGCAACGCGTGTCACTCGCGAGAGCACTTTACTCGCGTGCTCGCCACTTATTGCTCGACGACTGTCTCTCTGCTGTCGACTCCCACACGGCGAAGTGGATTTTCCGGCATGGACTCACTGGTGAATTGGTGGAGCATCGTACCCGCATTCTCGTCACGCACAATGTCGCGCTTTGCCTGCCAGAAGCAGCATTTGTGGTTGTCCTTGAGAATGGCAAACTCCTCGATCAGGGACGTCCGAGTGATGTTGTTGAGCGTGGTAGCCTTGGGCATGACGATGAAGCCCTCAAATCAGCCGTGTCTGTTGCGAATTCTCGCGCAGGCAGTGTCGCACCTTCGCGCATTCCATCGCAAGTGCGTATCACGGATGTCGTTGAGGAGCAACAGGGCGATGTCATCGTAGATGCACTTGAAGCCAAAAAATTACAAGATATGGCCAAGGCCAATGCTCAGTCGCAGGAAGAAACGCGTGCTATTGGGAGTGTCAAGTGGTCCGTTTATGGCAAGTACACCAAAGCGCTTGGTAGCTTCCCGTTCTGGACACTTATGAGTGCCTCGTTTCTTGCGCAGCGAGGACTAGATGTTTTGCAGAGCTACTGGACCCGCGAGTGGGCGTCCAGCTACGCTACACGGCATGTCACGTCGGTTCTTGTGCAAGCTCGAGGCCCAGAGACGGCACCGCAGCCCTTCTTTTTGTGGCAAACAGCAAGAGAGATTGTGTCTCTCACACTGCAGACGACTGATTTCTCAGAGATGAAGAAGAAGGTAAGAGACAACGAAAACCTCAACTACTACCTCGGCATCTATGCCTTGATTGCATTCTTCTTTTGCGTTGCGACTTTTGCACGTATCGTCATCGTCAGCTTTGGTTCGATTCGTGCATCCAAAAATATACACGAACAGCTTCTTGATCGGATCGTACATGCCAAGGCACGCTTCCTCGACAAGACGCCGATGGGACAAATTTTGAACCGCTTCAGCAAAGATCTCGAGACCATTGACCAGGAACTCGCGATGATTGCGCTTGCATTCTTGCATGACGCACTGACCATCACCATGACGGTGATTATCATTACTCTGATTACGCCAGGGTTCCTCATTGCCGGTGTTGTCATCACAGCACTCTACACAGTGATTGGTGCATTCTACATTCGCAGCTCTCGCGAATTGAAACGTCTCGAATCGGTGACGCGATCGCCCATATACCAACACTTTGGTGAGACGCTTGCCGGCGTTGTGACCATTCGTGCATATGGTGACAATCTGCGCTTCATTCGCGATAATTTGGACAACATTGACACCAACAACAGACCTTTCTACTATTTGTGGGCACTCAACCGATGGTTGTCGGTCCGAGTGGATTTGGGTGGTGCACTTGTCAGTTTCTTCGCTGCTGTCTTCGTTATCTTGAATGTCGACCGGCTCGATGCTGGGTTGGCGGGTATCTCGCTGACTTATGCAATCAGCTTTACAGATCATATTCTATGGTGTGTGCGACTATACAGCATGCTCGAAATGTCTATGAACAGCGTTGAGCGTATTGACGAGTACCTCGAGGTCGAGCAGGAAGCTCCTGCCATTGTCGAGGCACATCGCGTACCTGCAGGTTGGCCAAGCAAGGGAGTCATCGAGGTGGAAAATCTCGTGCTTCAGTATGCACCCGAATTGCCTGCCGTGATTAGGGATGTCAGCTTCAAGGTTGAGGCTGGTGCCAAGATTGGTATTGTTGGTCGAACAGGAGCCGGCAAGTCCACCATTGCGACTGCGTTCTTCAGGCTGATTGAGCCGACGAGTGGTCGCATCACCGTGGATGGCATTGACATTACCAAGATCGGTCTTCGTGAGCTTCGACAGGGTTTGACCATCATACCGCAAGATCCAACATTGTTTCAAAGGACTTTGCGGTATAACCTGGATCCGTTCGGGGAACACACCGACTCGGAAATATTTGAGGCGCTGCGTCGTGTTCATCTCATTGGCGAGTCCTCGGCATCGAGCGTCGCTCAAGGAGGAGATGAAAACATCAACGTCTTCTTCAACCTCGACACCCAGATTGCTGAAGGCGGCAACAATCTTTCGCAAGGCCAGAAGCAATTGCTATGTCTTGCACGAGCTTTACTCCGCATGCCTCGCGTCATTCTTATGGACGAGAGCACGGCAAGCGTGGATCACCTCACCGACGCCAAGATCCAAAAGACCATCCGACACAACTTTAAGCACTCGTCGATCTTGACGATTGCACACCGGCTGCGTTCAATTGTCGATTATGACAAGATTCTCGTGCTTGATGCTGGTGAGCTGCGAGAATTCAATCATCCACACCTGCTCTTGCAAGGAAAGGACAGTGTATTTAGGGAAATGTGTGAAGCAAGCGGGGAATACGACGTGCTTTGTGATATGGCCAAGCAAGCTTTCGAGAAGGGGCCGCTGGTAGATTTGGCATAGCCTTCTCATCATAAATTGCCAGACTATAAAGTACATGGAATTGAAATGTCTCTCCATCTGACTCAGGCTGTCCGTCGTGTCCGACCTCGGCCGGCTGCCAAACTTTTGATAACGCGCAGATCACAATCTCGAGCAGATTTAACGTCGGGCGACATTCAAGACACATCTACGTCGAGGCACAGCTAGTACTGCAAGCATGGACTCCTTTGTTGCCGGAGCGGTCGCTGGAATCACCGAGATTCTTCTCCTGTACCCTCTAGATGTCTTGAAGACACGAGCACAGTTGTCCACCACGAAGGGTGATTCAATGCTAGGTGCATTTCGTACCATCGTGAAGAAGGAGGGTACATCTGTTCTTTACCGCGGTATCTATGTAAGCAGAATTGTCTGTCATTGTTTGTCTAATAGATAGGCGCCACTTGCGATGGAAGCACCAAAGAGGGCAACGAAGTTTGCAGCAAATGACTACTGGGGCCAATTCTGGCGTAAGCAGTTCAACGCGGAGAAGACAACGCAGGGACTTGCGGTACTCACTGGAGCGTCAGCAGGAGCGACAGAGTCCTTTGTTGTCGTTCCATTTGAACTCATCAAAATCAGATTGCAAGCTGTCGGTTCAACTTATACGGGCGCATTTGACTGCTTCAAGAAGATTATTGCGACTGAAGGTGTGCTGAGCTTGTACAATGGCCTGGAATCAACTATGCTTCGACATGTCTTTTGGAACGCAGGCTACTTTGGATGGTACAGCCCCTCTATCACACTCAAACTTCGCTGACGACAGTATATTTCAAGTAAAGGCGTTATTGCCCAAGCCCGAGAGCAAAGGAGGGGAGATGCTCAACAATGTTGCAGCAGGAACTGTCGGTGGAACTGTAGGTACCATCCTCAACACACCTTTCGATGTCGTCAAGTCAAGAATCCAAGGAGCTGCTAAAAGCCCAGGTACCGTACCGAAGTACAACTGGGCCGTTCCAGCTCTCTTCACGGTCGCCCGCGAAGAAGGTGTCAAGGCCCTCTACAAGGGCTTTGTGCCGAAGGGTAAGTTGCCCTCTACGCCGCAAGTTGCTAATCGATAGTGAGCCGACTGGCACCTGGCGGTGGTCTCATGCTGGTTTTGTACTCTACAATCATGGACATGTTTGCCAAATGCAAGTAGATTGTTTATTGAATCAATAGTCTGATACTATATCGCGCATTTGCATAATATGCATTCCTAGTTGACACTGCTAGACTACTGCTACTATCCTCGCTATGAAGGCACATTTCCATGCCCATCTGATCAACTCGCTTGGGAGTTCTGAACCACGGCTTTGTCCAAGACGCCAAAGCGTTCTTCGGGCGAAGATGCTGTCCTTGATTTAGCGCATCTAGAGTTCAACAAGCTATGAAGACCTGTGGCAACTCCCCACATGCTTGACCAGAGAAGACAATACCTGCCGTAGCCTTCGTCGGTGAAAGACCCCTTTTGGCCTATTTGTTCGGAATATTTGGTGTTGATTCTACACGAGCTCGAGACTTCTATTTGGCATTCATGGTTGTTTGCCTATCCTAGAGCCAACTGTGATTGAAGTTGTGCAGGTGCCGACAAAATCTTCAGTACGAGATGTAACTTCAGATCTCCGGGACGCCATGTGTAAGTGTAACTCCGGCCTGTGGCTGACTGTCTATGTAGCATTAATGCTGCATTATGCTCTCGTGTACGAAAGCAGCTGGCTAATTGTATCTGCAATGTCGCAGTCGTCACTGTGCAGCGGCGCACATCCCGGGGGCTTCAATTCCCGAATCTTAATTTGTGGGGGTTTTAGCCTAAAATGGCGCACCTGATCAGTGGCTTCAGTGCCCAGTGGCCACTCAGGGAGTCAGGGGACAGGACGAGATTCAGGAGTCTGCAGGCGCAGCGGACTTACCGCTGACGTGTTCAACGCCCAAGTTGCTCTTCTTGACACCTATACCAGTTTATCAAAGTCAAGCTGACAGTTGGTCGCGTCAGTTTGCTTCATCGTATCGTATTCGCAAGACCTGAGGCACCTGAAGATCTCCAAAAGGCGCGCCAGTTACAGCTGTAAGATTCAGAGTCTGTCTTGAGGCTTGAGGGCTTGAGATCCTGTCGCAGATCTTCCACGGTCTGCACCCCAGGATCGTCATCATCCCACAGAGTCACACGCACAGCAACCTCAACGGAAACTTTTATGCCAGAGCATAAAATCGAGACAGTACCCTTTCGCAAAGCTTTCAAAGAGCAACTCATCAAGTTCCGTGCTCAACCTAAGCGTTTAATACTTTGCGTTTCCTTCATCATGACCTTTATTGCGGTGCTTGTTCTGGCGATTGCTCTGCCGTTGACAAGAGCGCAAGACTCCACAACCTTCTCTGAAGATGTTGGGCAAAATTATGTTTCTCCGCCAGTCTATCCATCACCTCTTGCCGCTGATGGCCCAGATGGCTCTTGGTCAGCTGCTTATGCTGCAGCTGCAGACTTTGTCTCTAAACTTACGCTAGTTGAAAAAGTCAATATTACTACTGGGTACGCTAGACACAAGCGCTTCAAATATCTCGCTAACAGTAGAACCGGCTGGACTCAAGGCCCTTGTGTTGGGCAGACAGGTTCTGTTCCCCGCCTTGGATTCCCTGGACTATGTCTACAAGATGCACCTCTTGGAGTACGTTTTGCCGACTATGTCACTGCTTTCCCTGCACTCTCCCAGGTCGCCAAGACCTGGGACAGATCTCTTTTCCGGGCTCATGCAGTCGCCATGGGTGAAGAATTCAAGGGCAAAGGTGCCAATGTTCAATTGGGACCAGTTTGTGGACCTCTCGGCACATTTGCTGAGGGTGGCCGTAACTGGGAAGGCTATGCAGTAGATTCTTACCTTTGTGGTCAAGGCATGTACGAAGGAGTCAAGGGTATTCAAAGTACAGGCGTCACAGCATGCGCAAAACATTTCCTTGGCAATGAGCAGGAACACTTCCGTCAAGCACCAGAGAGCAATGGATTCAAGACTCATAAAATCAATGTCACCCAATCTCTATCTGCCAACATGGACGACCGAGTCACGCACGAGCTTTACCTATCACCATTCGCCGATGCTGTCCGTGCCGGTGTCGGATCCATCATGTGCTCGTATCAGCAGATCAACAACAGTTACGCATGTCAAAACTCAAAACTGATCAACGGCTTGCTCAAGGATGAACTAGCATTTGCGGGTTTTGTCGTGTCTGACTGGGGAGCAGTTCACAGTGGCGTTGCAACTTACTTGGCCGGCACAGATATGTTGATGCCTGGAGACGGGAACAGCTTCTCAGACGGCTTGAGTTGGTTTGGACCCAACTTGACTATTTCTGTCTTGAATGGTACGCTTCCAGAGACACGTCTGAATGACATGGCCATTCGCATTATGGCAACCTACTTCCAGCACAATCAGAACAGCACATCTTATCCTAAGCCCAACTTTGATTCCTTCAACAATGATCGGGTCGGCTACGTGTACGAAGGTGCGGCTCAGACTGTCCTCAACGAACGTGTTGATGTGCGCGGCAATCATGCAAAGATTGCTCGACAGGTTGCAACAGAGTCCATCATTTTGCTGAAGAATGAGCGGGGCGCATTGCCATTGAAGAATATCAAATCGCTTGCCATCGCTGGAATGGATGCGGGACCAGATGCCTACGGACCAAACGGTTGGAATGATCGCGGCGGACTGAATGGGACACTGGCCATGGGTTGGGGTTCAGGGTCATGCCAATTCCCTTATTTGATCACACCGCTTGAGGCCATTTCTGCTCGTGCTCGTCAGGAAGGCTCACTCGTCCAGGATGTGCTTGACAATTACGCTTACGACAAAATCAATCAGACTGTCAAGTATGCAAACGCTGCGTTGGTGTTCATCAATTCTGATTCCGGTGAGGGCTACATTTCCGTTGATGGCAACGAGGGTGATCGCAACAACTTGACTGCTTGGCACGGAGGCGACAAGCTGGTGCGGACTGTCGCTGCCAATTGCAACAACACCATTGTCATTGTTCACTCCGTGGGAGCCATCATCATGGAGCCTTGGATCAATCACGAGAATGTCACGGCCGTCGTCTTTGCCGGCTTGCCTGGTCAGGAATCTGGCAACTCCCTCACATCGGTGCTCTACGGCGACTCGAATCCTTCCGGAAAATTGACCTTTACAGTTGCCAAAAAGGCGTCAGACTACACAACCGACGACGGTCCTCTGCTTTACGAGCCCAATGGCCCAGTTCCTCAGCAAAAGTTCTCGACTTTGAATATCGACTATAAGCACTTTGATGCCAAGAAGATCGAGCCACGATTCCACTTTGGCTACGGGCTATCGTACACCACCTTCTCCATCACTGGCGGCCAGGGAGTTCGTGTCTCAAGTGCTCCCTACGCGCCACGCTCGTCATTCAAACAGGGAGCTCCACCAGCGCTCAGGATTCCGACCGGCAACCTCAACGCGCAAGACGCCGTGTACCCTGCGGACTTTGTGCGGCCCAACAAGTTACACATTTACCCATGGATCACTTCTGCAGAGCTGGCTAAACCTGGAGCTTCTTACCCGTACCCAGCCCAGAATGCCACACCGCCAAGTCCTGCTGGTGGCGGCCAAGGTGGTAACCCATCTTTGTGGGATGTTCTCTACCGTGTCACTGCCACAGTCACGAACACTGGCAGTATCGCTGGTGCAGAAGTCGCTCAGCTGTACGTCGCATTCCCAAGCTCAAAGGAATTCCCATCGCCACCTCGACAACTTCGAGGCTTCAGCAAAGTATACTTGCAGCCTGGTCAAGCTGCCCAGGTCACTTTCGATGTGACGCGCAAAGAGATCAGTGTCTGGAACACCGTAACGCAAAATTGGCAGCTTGTTAGTGGAACATATCAATTCTTGGTTGGAGACAGCTCGCGAAGCTACAGTTTGGCCTCAGAGTCTCAGTTTGCATGAACAACGAAATGACTTGCCTTCATATAGAAGGGGTCAATTTTGGTTCTCGCAGTTCATAGCAAGAAAACTGCTTCATTCTTCAATTCTACTACGACATTGTGAGAGCAAGGATGATATAGGTCGATGACCTGATTGCATGGATTTTGCGAATACATGACGAGCGACCAGCAGAAAATTTCCAGGGGTAGCCGTCGGCTTTGGCCGGCACTTTGTTTTGCAATTGCGAATTGTGCTGACAGTACTGTACAAGAGAGACGTGTGCTCCCTGTCTTTTGGAAGACCCTTTTTCATCAGGCTGCCATCCTAAGCATTGTACGGGTGTCCTGGTACCGGGCATGACGCCAATTCCCCTGCGCGTCGTGCAAGTGCCTCTCGTTCTCTCTCGATCAATTTCGGCAGCAATTCCTTCTCCAAAGTGGTCATCTCATTTTCCTCATAAGCTTTCATGACCCAGGCCTTCGTTCTTGGTGGTCTGTATCTGATTGCTGCTGGAATATACACAGCCAAGTGCTCTGGGAGTTCCAGGTTCTCAACCGTCAGTAAAGCGAAAGCACTAGGTTTGACATACCCTGTGTACCTGGTAGGCTTTTTGGATACGTGCAAAGACAATCGCTTTCTTCCACTCATCCTGGATGGTCAGACGCAGAGCTTGACCCATCCCAAACGAATCATCGACTGCCTTGACGCGATTCTTCTGGAATGGCGTGAGCACGTTGCTTGCGTGGAACTCCGTCATGTTGCGTGCGCCACTGTCCAGTATTGCTTGACAGACTTGATGGACACTCGAGGCGAGGTAGCTCATCGTACGGGCTCGAAGTGACAGCTTTTCAAATTGGACATACTTGAAGAGACTGGAAAGCTCAGATGGTGTCACTTCGTCGAAGCTCGAGGCACAAACGGTGATGAAGCGTGACAGTGCTTCGTCTTTTGATATCAAGATTTGGTCACGGCAAGCATCACACAGGATTGCACTTGGTGTCAGCCCATGATCTTGTGCGATTGACTCACTTGAGACTTGCGTAGCGCACTGCCATACCTCTGGATCGACAGTGGTAGCATATATGATCGAGCCAGAGGAGACGAAAGTAGTTGCGAGGGGACATGAAGGAGGGAAGTTGGGCAGGAAGATCTGAGATCTTCAAACGCGCCTTGTCATAATGTCTGAAGTCAGCGCGGGACTCTTTCGTAGAGACACTCACTCTTCACCTTCATCACTGAGAAAGTAACGCCAGTAAAGACAGACACGCTCAAGTCTTGCTAGCGAAATGGGATCGAGGTACGCCACAAGCCGTAGATGGAAGCGTCTGGGCATCCTGAGAAAGATGGGTACGAGAAGCCAGAGAGCGCTGAAGTCATTGGGATCCGTATTGAGGTCTAGGACCATAAACATGCTTGGATCCATGGCGAGACGGCGCAAAGGAGCAAGAATGTTGCAGGTAGAGGAGATTGAGAGGAAAGCGACTCCTGGGCGCACCATCTGAATTACTGTGCTCCTTTACCTACCTTCAACCACTACTTGACTATCTCCCTCCCTCTATTCCATGAGCGGCTGCAAGTCAAGCGCCTCCTCAGTGAACTTCTTGACTTCACGCTCATGCGACTTTTTGTTTCCAGTAGCCACCGATGATGTCGGCGCACGACCAGCATACTTGACAACCTTGTCTGGGTGCGTCGTCTTCTTCAAGCAAGTATTGATACGCGGCTGCACGTACGACCATGCTCCGCCGTTGAGGGGTTCCTCCTGACACCATACAATTTCCTTGGCATTGCTATACTTGTCAAACTCTTCATGCAAACGCTCCCAAGGGAATGGCATAAATTGCTCAACACGAATGATTCCAATGTCGTTGATCTGATTATCTTGCCGTGCCTTGACAAGTGTTGCATAGACTTGTCCAGAGCAGAGCACGAGACGCTTGCACTCGCTGGGCGCCTTGATGCTCTCGTCGACTTCTGAAATGACACGCTGGAAGTGCGATTCACCAGTGAAATCGGACAAGGGCGACTTGGCAATTGGGTGTCGTAGTAGCGCCTTGGAGAAGAAGAGAATCAAGGGCTTTCGGAATTCTCGGTGAATCTGTCGACGCAGCACGTGGAACAGATTCGCGGGTGTGGTTGGGTAGACACACTGCATGTTGCAGTCCTGATGTTGACGATCCAATTTCGCTTCCGAGGGGTAGATGCGAGGGTCGTCGTTGGAGAGCTGCAAGTAACGCTCTATCCTGGCACTAGAGTGTTCTGGTCCTTGTCCGTCGTATCCGTGAGGCAATGACATGACAAGACCGGACCTTTGGAGCCACTTGTTTTCACCAGAAGCAATGAACTGGTCAATGATGCATTGTGCATTGTTGGCAAAGTCACCAAACTGAGCTTCCCACATGACCAAGGCATTAGGTGAAGAGAGCGAATAGCCGTACTCATAGCCAAGCGCACCGAATTCTGACAAATGTGAGTTGACAATGACGAAAGCAGCCTGCTTAGGATCCAAAGCATTCAAGTTGACAAAGGTCTTTTCAGTCTCCTGGTCGTGCAGAACGGCGTGACGCTGAGAAAAGGTACCGCGCTCGACGTCCTGACCAGAGACACGAATGTGGTGGCCTTCCTTAAGGAGAGATCCAAAGGCGAGCGCTTCACCCGTAGCCCAGTCAATGCCTTCACCCTTGTCGACGGCCTTGCCACGTTGTTCAATGATACGCTTAAGGTTCTTGTGAACGGTAAAGTCCTTGGGGAATGAAGAAATAACCTTGCCAATCGACTTGAGCTCAGCCTCTTCCACAGCAGTTGGCAAATGCGGCAAAATTTTTGTGGCGAGATCCTTGGGTGAGGCAAAGCCATTCCAAGCAGCGGTCAGCCAGTCTTTAGAAGAAGGCTCGTAGTCCTTTGACTTTTGGAAATTCTCCTCAAGGATACCCCAGACCCACTTTTTGTGCTCCTCAATGTCTTCTGGTGTGAAGGTCTTTTCTTGTGTCAGCTGCTTGATGTACAAGTCAAGCGTTGGCGCATGCTCGGCAATCTTCTTGTACATGAGTGGCTGTGTGAAGGATGGCTGGTCAGTTTCGTTGTGGCCGTGCTTGCGGTAGCAGACGATGTCCACCACCACGTCCTTCTTGAAGACAGCGCGCCATTCAGAAGCAAGCTTACAGATAAATGTCACCGCCTCGACATCATCACCGTTGACGTGGAAGATGGGCGCATCAATCGACTTGGCAATATCGGAACAGTAGGGCGTTGACCGCGAGAATCTCGGGTCAGTGGTGAAACCAATCTGGTTGTTGACAACAATGTGGATTGTACCACCTGTAGAATACCCAGGCAAGGCGTGCATGCCGAGCGTCTCATAGACTACACCTTGACCGGCAAAGGCAGCATCTCCGTGCAGCAACAGACCCATAGCCTTGTTGTGTTCACGCTCATCGTTGGAAAAGTGCTGAATTGCACGCGTTTTTCCTAGTACGACGGGATCCTCTGCTTCCAAGTGGGAAGGGTTGGCGACGAGCGACAAGTTCACACGCTTGCCAGAAGGTGTAGGTCGTTCGTAGTTCATACCAAGATGGTATTTGACATCACCGGATCCCTCATCACTCGCCTCCTGCGAACCGGCAAATTCAGAAAAGATGGCCTCTGCTGGCTTGCGGACAACATTGGCAAGCACGTTAAGACGACCACGGTGGGGCATACCAATGACAATGGATTCAATGCCACGCTCGACAGAGTCGTCAATGAGCTCCTTCATACCAGGAATGAGCGCTTCACATCCTTCGAGACCGAAACGCTTGTCGTTCGGATGCTTGGTAGAGAGGAATCGCTCAAACGAGTCAGACCAAATCAGACGGTCCATGATGCGGCGCTTTTCGTCTTGTGAATACTTGTATGGTTCAGGCACTTCAAGTCGCTCTCGCAACCAATCGCATTGGTCACGGTCCGGGATGTGCACATACTCCACACCGTAAGAGCCGCAGTAGAGCTTCTCACAAGCCTCAACAATCTCCTTGAGTGTCATCTTTTCGCGTCCGTCAGCAGCAAACCGCGGTAGAATACCAGGGCCAAGCGTGTACTCCTTTGACAAGTCTGCTTGGGTGAAGCCGTAGTGCTCGAGTGTCAACTCGTTGGGCTTCGTCTTGTCGACATTTGAGATCTCGAGGGGGTCGAGTTTTGCATTATGGTGACCACGTACTTGGTATGCACGCACAAGAAGCTGTACTTTCAAGTGATTGGAGACATCGGTACCCTTGGCGAGCCCTTCTCCGGGCACAATACTTGGGACACCACCTGTAGGCGTTGGCACGATGGTGGGTGGTGCCTGGAATGCTTGCGAAGGCTCGCCGCCGTTTTCCATGTTTTTGAAGTAGACCTGCCATGAGATGTGGACGGATGTCGGCTCTTGCTTCCACGCAGCATACATTTCTGTTGATGGTCAGCGGCCAATCACGAAGAAGTAGAGGAACACATACCGTCAATGTAGTTGGCACTGTTGGACTGCATGAAGCTGTCATTTGGAGACTAGAAGATCAGCTAGCTGGACGATGGAAGCGCGCGTAGATGAAATCATACCGGTGCCTTGTTCTTCGCGACTGTGGCGAGACATTGCAGTCTTGTTCTAGGAGAGAGAATGGGCCTCGTCGCACATAAGCTGCGCCTGACAGCGAGCCGTGCGATGGAGGATGACCGCAGCATTGTCAATGGATTGTCGACTCTGTAGAAAGAGGTCGCTGCCAAGATGTGTCTGCTGCTGGGCCCTTTCCGTCGTTGCTGCTCGTTTGGCTCGGGACAAAAATCCGAAGAAACCCGCGGGATGGCAAGCAGCAGGGTCGCAGGTGTGTAGGACTGAAGGAATACAGGCGGGAAGAGGGCCTGACTCGATTGGACACTTCTCACTTGTGCTGGGCTGATAGTTAGAGTCTAGATGTGACTGTTCTTTTCTGTGTTCACGTGCCTTTCTTTCTACGCAGAAAATTGTCAAGGGGTCAAAATCAAGACTAGTACTATCTCAAGGTCAGCCATGGCCAGTGTAGGGCTCAAAGTGCTCCTCAATGCATTGAATAATGAAGCTTCGTGTGCCTATCAAGTCCCCTTTGCTCTCTCTGTGCTGCAGTCAACCACTCTTGCTGCTGAAGATGCTTCTCTCCTCTCAAAGTGGCACGCACGACTCTCTGCTCTGCTGCAATCCAAGAACAACCATGCTCGCTGGGCTGGTGTCTGCCTAGTCAAGGCAACACTTGAACGTCCCTCTGGTGGCTGGGAGTCTCTCATCAGTCATGGTGGTTCTTGGACAAAGCTGCTTCTCACCCTGCTCGAGCGGGAGAAATTACCTGTCATCATCGAGCGAGCCATCTGTACCTTGTCTGCCATCTTTGACATGACACACGACAAGCCTTCTCTTACGAGAGAAATTACGACGCCAGCTCTGCCCACATTTTGCACAATCATGTGCAATTTGCTCAACAAGCCTCACCTGGCCAGTCTGAGGAAGCTCATTCTCCATCAAATGCAACATGTCCTCGTTGCACACCCTACGACATTCAGACCGTTCGCAGGCAAGCTACAGACTGCTGCACTTGCTGGCATCAGTGGTGCCATTATGGAGCCAGAATTGGTTCAGCTCAGTGCAAGCTGCTATGCATCGCTCCATCTTTGCGCACCGAAGAACACAGCCGCTGAGCAATGGTCTGTTGGATTCCTCGCGACCCTGGGAGAATGCCATGTTGTGCTTGACTACCTCCTCCAACACATTGTCGAAGAAAAGCCAATCCTTCCGCACCCTCGCGGCTTGGAAATGCTACCCTTCTCCTCAGACTTTGTCGAGGGCGCACCAGCTGCCTTGCAACGTTTGCAATCCCTTCTTCAAGTCATCAAGGCATTCTTGACACAAGCGACGAAAGAGCTCGTCAACATCCCTGTTGCACATCTGGTCCATTTTTGCAACCGAATCCTCGACTTGACGCCTCGTTCGGGCATGCGCGCGTCTGCACCGCAATCGAGCCAGCTTGTGCTCATGACAATGTTACCTGCACTGCATCTCTCCGCGTTGAGTCTGACCTCCGTCATGATTGATGTGCTTGGTAGACATCTGACTCCTCATGTTGCCTCATATTACGGCGGTGTCGTCAATGCCCTGTCAAGCACGCACCTGACATTACAAACTCAAGCCATCCATGTTCACAGTCAAATCCTACAACAATACGGACAAATTGGCGAACCAACAAGCGTGCTGCAAGCAGTCAAGGTATCGCTTCGAATCCTATCAAGCGTTGCTCGATCAGAAATCTCGATTGCAGGCAGCACGGTGAAACCACCACAAGCCAGGAAACGCAAGCATGGTGGCAATGAGGGCGCTGATACTTATTCCAATGCAGCAGCATTCCACACTCTTCCTACAACGCCACGTCTCCTTGCAGCGTGTGGTTGTCTTCAAGCGACATTTGCAACAACGCATGGGGTATTGGCTCCTGCAATGCGTCAACAGATTGAACGCATTGTATTACAGATCCTCCTTGCTGATGCCATTCTCCTGCCAGCTGAAGTGATGGTTGCGTTGTTATTGGTAGTGCGTTCCGCTATTCAGCATCCCGCACATAATGCATCGTCCATTATTGCTCATGCTGCCCACGTCGCAGACCGTTTGACATTCAGTGCTCACAAAGTTGTGCAAGACGCTGCAATGGCCTTATCTACCATCTTGCAGGATTTAGTACACCCGAGAATGCCTGCTGTTCGACGCAGGCTTCTTACTGATGATGCAGAGGACGAGGACGACGAGGACGAGGAAGCAGAAGCAGCAGACGATGCGCAGGCACAAATGGGCGATGAGCTGACATTTGAGCAAGTCGCAGACGACTCTCCCGTGCACATTCAAGAACCAGTCCAGAAAAAGGCGGCATTTGCAGTTCCCGACAAGATGGAACCGTATGTCGCTATAGAGGCGAGCAAAAACAAGCAAGTCATGCAAACTGCAACTGCTTCTGAACCTACACCAAAAGCAGAGCCATCCCAGAAAGCTGAGCCAGCACAGCCATACAATTTGGATGATGCAGACGACGATGATGAGGAGATGCCAGAGATCTGTACAGATAGTGATACCGATGATGAAGCATAGAATAGCATAGAAGCATCTTTCTTGCCAGGGGTTTCCTAGGGTTAGTGATAGCCTGCGATGTGATGCAGCTTTTTTTGAAATTTTGCCTGCGAGCTCGAGCTGGCCTTGAAGCATTGACAATTTACGATTGTTCACGCTCAGAGAGACTCACAAGGACCAATATAGCTCACAGAGGCGCCTTGGAGTATTAGTATCATCTCTCTTCTCATTGCATCTCCAATCAAGCTCTGCTGGACCATCAACCAAGATCGTCGGGCTCATAGACACCAGCACGGATAGCTAAGAGCACGTTCAGATGGGAAAAGAGACCTGCAGCGCTGAGCATTGCTGGCCTCTATACAGACGGCCGACAACGAAAGCCATCGTCGAGAATCCAGACTGTACGCATCTCGTTCTTCCTCGCTCGCTACAGTCTACCAATCATGATTCTGTTCGGATTTATGTCGGTGATGATCTCAACAAGGTTGTTTACGAGCACTACAACAAAGTGCTAGCCAGAGAGGATAAGGATGGTTCCATCGTGTCTGATCAGACTGAAGAGGAAGAAGAAGAACCCTTAAATTTTGTGGCACGTATCGGTATTGCTGTCTGCCGGCACGAGGTAGGACCTTTCGTGAAGACAGTTCAGCAAAGCTAATAAGCAGTACATGGGCTCTGATCCACATGTTCACGCCTACGAAGAAGACGAAGAAGCAGGCGTGATGCGCATTTTGTTTCATGAGCGACATACCAACTTTTATTGGGTGGATGGAGAGCGATTGACCTCCCTGGAGTGACATGAATAACGCCAGACGAAACACACACGACCAGCATAAGCATATCAGCATCAAGCATTCATAGACATAGAAGAGCAAAGCATTCTTCTTGATACGGACTGTCATAAGTGTGACAAGACTTCAACAATGCAAGGGGTGACAGGCATGTTGGTTGATTGAGTAAAAACGATTAAGTGCTGACAAGACTTCAAGCCCAAGATGACTCTAGCGAGATTCCATTGCCTTGCCAAGGACGAGATGCAAAAGAGAACTGGATCAACAATAGTGTACAGCCTAATCATGCGTTGTTACGATCGTCCATGGCCAGAGGGCAACGGGACATGCACACCAGGCAAGGGTACACGCTTCAATTTGCCAAGCAAGACATCCAGCTCTCGAAAGTTCTCCTCATTGCTCGCATACTGTCGATGTGGCAAACTCTTGAGGTGTGCCTCGATACTCTCAAACTTGTCCCTGCAATTCTCGCAGTAACCACTCTTGAGCTCCACCTTGACCTTTTTGGGTTCAACAGGCTCAATGGTCGTCAACATCTTGGGGAGGCGCTTGGAAGTGACCGCCTTCTTGTGCAGACTGGCAACTGCATTCGAGCCAGCATTTTCCTTGCCTGTCGGACCTAATCCATTTGAACGACCAATCTTGCCGATATTGGACTGAATGGCACTGGTAATTTGCACCATACCAGATGCATTGATGTGATCATACGACAACTTTGCACGATCCGGTCGAACTGTCGTGACTTTGCCCTGGTACTTGCTCTGTTCTGCCGTCAAGTCGCGTTGAAAGGGACATCGCCCAAACTTGGTGACGCGCCACTGTGGCCATTCGCCATCGCGTGAGTGTTCAGTAGCTTTCCACTCACGCATCATGATGGGTCGATAAGCTTCCGACATGTCGCGACATAGGATGAATGGACCTGTGAATGGTATGATATTCTCGGAATTTGTACCAAGTGTCTTTTCATTGCGAAGACTGTGTGAGAGTGATTGAGCGGCGCGTGCAGGCTGCGTCTGAGATTCAGCAAGGAGATGCTTGAGGACAGAGTCTTTGAGCTTCTTGAGTGACCAAATTCGAATATTCATGGCTTGTGCTTTGACCAGGACGTCATTGGCAGGTTGTTTTGGATCAGTTCTATATGGTTAGCTGGATCCGAGGGAATGTGGAAGCGTACTTTGCACTAGCTTCTTGCGAATCATCGCCTCGCAGGGAGTCTTTCTTTTGGAACTCTCGCGTCGTTACCACGACATTGACCTTTTTGCTGAAGAACGGTTCGACATTCTGTCGTTAGCGCAGTTCGTATGACCATGAGCAACTTACGCCGTCGAGCATGTGGATACGCTTTGTACATTTCCTGATATCCTCTTCTGAGCAATGATCGAAGTAGAAGATGTGCGAGGGGAACTGCTTTAAGTACGTCTGAGCCCATCGACGGATCTGCAATGCTTGAGACACGGATGTCGTTGTATCTTTGGCAGAGACTTCCTCAACAGCAGGCGTCACAGTCGTTGCTGCCGCTGTTGCCTTTTTGAGCATCATATCTACTTTGACGCGCTTGACACTCCGTCGCTCCGTCACGGCAGCGGTCCCTTGAACGTCATCCACCTCCATCTTGGCTGCCTGTTGCTGCTGCTGCTGCTGCTGCGGACCAGCGACTTTGCTGTTCTCATCCAACTTGGCATGCTGATAAGTTCGCTTTGCACTCTTGACTGGAGTGAGGGTCCCGCGGAGCTGCTGAGAGACGATGTTGGTAGCTCGTGGTTGAAGTGGCACACGAGCGGGTGACTGCATTGTTATGCTGTGTGAGGATGCCTGCTAGCAGATGCTCAGGACAAGACACAGGGTGTTCGCTGCTGCCAACGCTTGTTGGGTGAGCAGCGAGAGCCTCTGCTGGAGTGGGAGTAGCTGTACTACTGCAGAGTGTTTGTGTTGTGTTTGCGTCTTTCTCCTTTCACGCGCCGGGAATTTGATGACAACACGCGATGCGACAACCAAGCTGCTGATTCAGTGCACTGTATCAGTACAGTCGTAGTCGTATACTCGGCTCTTAACACAATTGATGCATATGGAAGCCAGCTAGCAGCTGCCTCAAGCAATCAATCATGACATTCTTCCTCCGGCTCGATGACCTGGCAAATGACAGAATATGCCAATACTTGGATGCCAAGGACCTCTTCCATCTGGCATTGTCATGCACAGCTGCACAAAGTATCGTCTCGTCTGCTTCGCTCGCTATGATAGACGGAGGAACCATAGCCAGAAACCACTTGCCGTGGCCAATGACACATCCACTCCTGCCCAACAACGTATGGAGTGCCATGGTCCTTGAACGAGCGCATCAGTTCAAGCGCATTGCACCAGGCTGTCTCGACTGGGTCATGTCGTTGAACACTGCTGCACTGAGTACTTTGCTGCTCGACCGCACACAAGTCTCGGCACTCGTTGTACGCGAGTTGATTGGTGGCAGCAAATGCCCGCAACTCCAGCACCTATCGATTCGATTCTGTACAAATGTTCATGCAGGACAGCTCATTGATCGCTTCGATGGTCTGACTGCGAGAAAAGTAAGCGTCTCCTTGAAACGCCTCGACGTGGTGGGTATCAATGGACTTGCCTTTTTCGAACCAACTCACAATGGTATCACTACATTCGATGCGGTCAATATCGAGCTGATCGGAACAGGTCCAGAGTATGATTACACGGATCGTTGGCGTGAGGCTGTCTATGACTTCAATCAGACTCTGTCAAGGGTCCGCACAACCCATGGCGCATGCGTCAAAACGGACGTAGCCCGCTGCTCACAGGCCTTTTGTCGCAACTTTGACTTGGGTAGACGGGAATTGGCAAACCCAACGTTGGTGGATGATCCACCACTGTGCTTTGTCTGTAATACCCGCAAACCCGTGTTGCTATGCAGACCTTGCTATTCAGCACGATCATGTAATATTTGTGGCACGTATATCTGTCCGGATTGCCATTCAGTCGACAACGACGATGCTCTGTACCGGTTGGGCTTTACTAGACAACTCTGGCTTGCCCATGTGACAGAGTTTATGCCAGATGAATCTGATTGCAGTGTTCAGAATAGTCAGCTGAGTGCAAAGGCGAGATTATTGATGTTTCAAGTGCATAAGCGCTCGCAGGCCAAGATTTCTGCCCAAATCACCTTGGCTCAGGGATTTGGGCTTGGAGATAGATGAGTTTTGACTCTTCAAAGTTGATTTGCCCCTGTTTGCAGTGGACTTTCGCAATTCGCCGCTTGCTGAACCATGACCAACACTGCTTAATGCAAGCTCTACATACGAATGGAAGATGACATACCATTCGAAACTCTGGCTCAGTATGTAGGCGCGAGTGATGCCTTCAGAGCGACTAGCAAGAGAACCCAGCTTCAATTCTATGCACTATATAAAGCCTTTAATCAAGGACCAGCTCCACAAGTGGATGTCTTTCGTCGGCTCTATATGTACTTCATTGAGCCCACTGAATACGCGAAATGGGCTGCTTGGGATCTAGCGAGCTGGAGGTATCGAACAAGCGCCGAAGTACGCTCTCGCTACTGCGTCTTGGCAAAAAGTATTGGAGCATTTCCTACAGATGCTCAATTGGCCATCATGCGGCTCTCTGGCACGAAACCTGCTGGCCGCGGCTCATCTCTTGCCAAGGAAGTCGCAATCACAGAGGCTCCTCTTGAATTAGACGCATTGATTGATGCCTGTGAGAAGGATGATGAGGAGACTATACGCCTCTTTGCAAGTGGACAGGGCAACATCAACATCAAAACAGCAGAGGGCACGACATTACTGCATTTCGCCGTTGATTACAAAGCTATGCGCGTACTCAAGCTGCTTCTGACGATGCCCTCGGTTGACATAGATGCACAAGATGATCAGGGACAGACGGCCTTGCACTTGGCAGCCATTAATGGGGCGGCATGGCAGGAGTTGGGCAGATTGCTCGTGACGCAGGGAAAAGCAGATATGTCCATCAAGGATCATGAGGGGCAGTCGCCCGAGGACATCTTGGTGGATGAGGGCATTGATGTATCCACATGGCAGTAGCAAGCATAGCAAGCACAGCAAGCACAGTAGACCCCTGTCCATCCTGTGACTTTTTCAACTTTACGTCGCATCGATTCGCGTGCAGCAAGACGACACAAGACTCAACAAACACTCCGACAAGGGGCCGGCCTCGGGCGACAGCATGTACAATGGTGGCCACAGGCACGGGGCAGGTCATCCCTCAGATCAATCACAGCTGCCACCTCGCCCTCCTCCACAAAGCCAAACGCAAAACCACGGCTTCGCGTTACCGCATGAGCGACGCGAGCAACAGCTCCAGCAGCAGCAGCAGCCCGTGGAAGCTTCGTTACCGCCATTGAACCTCTTGACACAATCGCAGGGACCTGCACCCTTTCTGCCGTCCTTTGGAGGGATGTCGCAACAACAGCATCCACAGCAGCAACTGCATCAAATGCCGCATCCTTCGCAAGCATACCCGCAGTCGCAGCCGCAACAGCAACAGCAGCAGCAGCAGCAGCAGCAGCAGCAGCAGATTCAACATGCTCAGCACACGAATGGCTACCCTGTACAGTCGCCATATGCCCAGCCGCCTATGCACCAGCAGGTACAGCAATACCCATCGCAAGCTCAGCAGCACAACCCAACAATGTCAGCAACATACCCATATCAACGCGAAATCTACGGGCAACCTCCGATGCAAGATGCTAGGAATTACACGCAAACACAGCCGTATGCCATGCCGCAGCCCTTCACAATGGCCCCTGCAGTGTCCATCGACAACGCCCGGTTTGGCAATATAGCCATGCCTCACGTTCGAATCAATGGAGGCGTTGCAGCATTGCCGCACGACACAGCAGCGTCCAAGGCACCGCGACGTGCTAGTGCTGCCCTTGCTCTTCCACCTGACCACAGCCTTCTACTTGGCTACGATACAAAAGTACTCACTTGGAATGCCACACATACACTGAATGAACAGCACAAGTATTGCTACTGTGGTGCCGACCGCAACTTGCTCGATGTTGACGTCTCTTGCTGGAAGTGCAAAAATTACTTCCACGGTCGCTGCATTCGTCTCAATATGGGACCTGTTGTCCCCTTCCTTACGAACTATCATTTTACCTGCAAGCACTGCCATCCAGAAGGGCAAGAGGAGTTCAAACGCATGACTGCTTCTTGGAAATCGGTCGCTGCGACAACTATTGCGAATCTTTTGCTCATGCGTATTCGAGCGTCAAATCCGACCTGGAAGAAGGAAGACTATGCTGCTGCGCATGTGGACACACTGAGTCGAGCTGAAGGCTGGTTCTTGCGAAAGACAGACATGGTTCCGTTCTTGACGGTGCCTCGACATTGGGCTGCGATTTGCAGTGATCGTACGATTGATTCGAATTGGCAATCCCCGCTGGGTGTTGCATTGAGCGGTACAAAAGAACTCTTCAAGTGTTTTGATGAGGAGAATCGATCAGCGAATGCGCATTACACCTTGCTTGACTGCAATTTGTTTTTGTTTCGAGCGAACTATGTCAACATGATACCAAAAGTGCCTGGTCAGCCCAAAAAGCGCAAGGCAGAGGTCTTGGAGGGTGTACAGGGTCCGATTACGGATGTCAAGGTAGGCGAGGTGGGTGCATCGCCAGTGGTCGATGCTGTTCAATCCGGTGCAGCTACACCAACCACGAGCCACTCATCAAAACAGGCAAAAGCAGCCGATAGTGCCGTGCCACTCTTCACATCTGCAGTACCGGTCAAAGCTGGTCATGTGATGCCCAAGGAAGAAGCCTTTGTGATTCCTCCAGAGCGAGTGTCGTCTAGAGCAACGAAACCCGTGATTATGGCAGAGACACCCTCTACGACACCACAAAAACCAGCAACAACTGCGACTACGGCTACGCCGGTCGTTGCTACGGACGGACCACGCGAGCGGAAACCGACCGCGAAGAAGGCCGCAGCCACTGCGCCGCGCAAAGATGCCATTTCAGCGAATGGTGTAAGTCCACAGGAAGCTGTGCCGCGTGGTGCTGCCGGCTTACAGCTCACTGCCGCGATGCGCTTCCGACCACCACCGTACAAGCCAGGAGACTTGACGGCTCCATTGCGTCTACCAACACGCGTCCCTGTTGAGCATGCTGGTGATGAGACATTTTACGCAATGGGCGATCTACCCTTCAATAAACGCGGCTTCCGTTATACGACCTGTGAAGCTGCCCCGGAGTTGCCTAGCGTCATGTATCGCAGCCTTGAGCTACCGCCACATGCAGCACGCATTGATTGGTCTGATATGTCACAGTACGTGTATCTCTCGCATGATGCGCTTTCTGCAACAACAGACAAGGGTTTTCGAACAGCGCGAGCAAATGTCGGCGTGCGTGAAGGGTCTTGGTATTGGGAAATCAAAGTCTTGTGTGGTAATGGTGATCGTGGCGGGCATGTCCGTTTGGGTGTCGCTCGACGTGAAGCAACACTCGATGCACCGATTGGATTTGATGGGTATGGCTATGGACTGCGAGATCGAGGTGGCGAGAAAATGCATCTTTCGAGACCTCGCGCATTCATGGAAGAGTCGTTTGGGACGGGTGATGTGATTGGCTTCCATTTGCAACTACCAAAAGTACCGACATGTACAGCAGCGAGTGCTTCTCTTGCTGCGCGTGCACGCCCTCGACCAAAGCATCCCAGCAAGTCGCGAAAGACGGGCGGTGCTGCTGCAGGTGGACAAGGTTCAACACAGACTATTGTGCGAGGTGCCGGTGGTGTGGCGGGACTCGTGTCTCGTGAGCGTATTCCAATCAGATATCGTGGACAGCTCTATTTCGAGCAGTTGGAGTATGTTGGGACAAGGGAGATGGAAGACCGTCTGAATCCTGCTACTGCTGCAGCTGCTGCGTCGACTGCGAAAGAAGCAACAACAAAGCCTCTACCAGTGCCTGGTACATTGCAAGACCCACAAGCGACCTTGAAGGGCAGCTCTATCGTCGTTTATAGAAATGGCAAGCGCATGGGTATCGCGTTCAAGGATCTCCTCAACTTCTTACCACCCTTCTCGCAAACGAGTGCGACGCAAGCGATGGCAGCGTCCAGTGGCTATCCTATTGCTCAAGGAACTGCACTTGCCGCTGCTGATGACGGCACCTTGGGCTACTACCCTGCCGTCTCCGTCTTTTCCGGTGGCGCTGCACAATTCAACTTTGGACCTGACTTTACCTTTCCACCAACAACTGTTAAACAGTGTCGGCCACTGTCTGAGCGGTATGCAGAGCAAATTGCTGAGGACATTGTATGGGATCTGATGGATGAGGTGGATTTTGCATTGCAGGACGAAGCTCTGGGTCATCATGCTGAAAGTGTCGCGCCGGCGCATAGCACTGGCTTGCTGGCTGAACGCGATGCGATCGCCACGCCAGGTCCAGAAATGGGCACCAAAGCGAAGCAAGAAGTCAAGGGTTGATTGGTTGAAGGAAATAATACACTTGTAGAATCTGGAGCTTAAGCAAGATACACTCAGTCGTCGTCTTCTTCATAGACGCCGTTTCGTTGCGACGTGGAGGCTGAGCGTGGTACAGGTTGCGAGCTTTGCTCTTCGTCATCATCAGCTTCTTCCAGCAATGCCGCACGCGCACGCCTACTTGTCGCTGCTTGCTGCTGCGGTGGACCACCACCAAGACGTCGATGATTCGTGGGCGCTGCAGAGGCACGTTCACCCACCGGCACCATCCTATGACGTTCCCAGGTTTCAGCCTTACACTTGGGACACTGTGCCTGTCCATGCGCTGTTCGCATCTCTGTCCATCGCTTGAAGCAGAAACTGTGGATACGAGCGGGACAGTCGAGATCTGGACAACGATACCCAATGAGTGTTAATTCTCGACACAACGAACAGGGTTTGATGAGGGGTGCTTGGGGTCTGCGTGCTGTTGCAGCATCCCCTTCATGATCGGCGTCAGTGGATTCTTCCTCTGGACCGTACATTTCTTGCAGGTAGACGTGAAGTTCCATGAGAGATTTCGGTGTCAAGCTGTAGTAATCGCCCGATGACTTGTGCAGCCAGGCTTCTTGCACAAACTTGTCGAGTGCCTGCTTTGCAGCAGTGCGAGTGAGTCCCGGTCCTTGAAGCAATGAGGATTGCGTAGATCGCACAGCAGGAGAAGAAGTTGGGATACTCGCATCGTCGTTGTCGGATCCACCACGACGTGCCTTCTTTCGCGCTGAAGGAGATTGTCTTGCAGGTGTGGCAGATTCGCCAGTCGGTACCTGCGAAGCTTGATAACCCGCTGGAAATGCATGCGCATACGAGAGTGCCTCGTGCAGTGAGACACACAATGCTTCACAGTCTCGAGTGTTGTTGGCACTGCAGATGACATACAAGAGACAGCGAAAGTAGGCAATCTCATTAGGTGTATGCGTTGTTGCAAGCTGCGTCATGGAATCAGCCGTTGCATTGACGAGCACCCAAAAGTCTCCGCCGACACGCTGATCGACTGTTCTCCTGATTTCAAAGTCAAAACCAGCGAGGGCCGTGTTGAGAGTGGAGATCTCATTGGCGATGTAAGCGGCATTTATTTGAGTAGCCGCAAGGTTGTCGCCGTAGATGGCATGCAGAACACGGTCGAGATCCGCAAGACGCATGCCGCGCTGCGCAATAAAGGTCTGGACAAGAGCTTGCCGCTCCTTGGAGAGTTCCACCATGGCCAGCTCAATGAGAGGTTGTCTGCCTCCCCGTCGCGTCGCGTCTCTTTCTGTCGCGTCTTTAAATTTGGGAGGAGCTCGCACCTGCCAACAAGCCAGCAAAGCCGCGTCTCAACCTCCCCTTCCCCTGTACCAACAAGGCTTGACGACTGAGGGAGGCCTGTACTGCCGATCAATAGGCTATGGTCTGGCTCACAGATGGACAAAGTATGTCACTATCTAGCTTTCTTGTATCAGCTGCTTCCATGGAGCTACTTTTGCTGCTATTGCCGTCACATGTGAAAATTAGCCGCTGACACAGTGCTTCTGCAGAGATTGGCGCAGCCTTGACTGCATTTGGCGTCTTGTTTATGACATTGGGCATCATGCTCTTCTTTGATGGCGGCTTGCTAGCGGTCGGCAACGTACTGCTTCGCTATAGGGCTATCACCAAGCTAACTCGCTCAATTAGATCTTGTTTATTGCTGGCTTGACGCTCATCATTGGCTATCAACGCACAATCGTCTTCTTCGCCAGGCGCGAGAAGCTACGCGGCACCATCTGTTTTTTGGGTGGTGTCCTGCTCATCTTCATCAAGCGGCCCTTCTTTGGCATTTGCATCGAGCTCTTTGGCTTTGTCAACCTCTTGTAACGCAATTCTTTGTTCTCACATCCTACTGACACGCTAGTGGTGACTTCTTCCCTATTGTACTCAACACGCTACGGAGTATGCCTGTCATTGGTCCTGCGCTACGAGCATCGTATGTCGGGCCTTTGCTCGATCGAATCGCTGGATATCGCCCATCACCCGTATAAGACACAAAGAGAAGTCAAAAGGAAAGCACATCATATGCATAGGCAACGCGTCGTTTCAAGTTTCTTCATCTTGTTCTCGTCATGCAGGTTTCGTTTATAAAAAGAAGAATGATAGAATGCAGCAAAAGGGGGACCTCAGTGTTGGTACCTCTCGTGAAACCCTTTAGAGTCTAGTAAGAAGCAGCAATCAAGTAATCTCCCAATCCTTCCACAATCTTAGCAGCCTCACCAGGCTGTGTGGTCTCTGGGTAGTGGCCAATGATGATGGCCTGCTTTGTTCGCACACAAATCAAACCCTTGTTGCCCTTTTTACCATAAATGCTGCGATCTTCGGCGCGTAGCGTCAGGTACTTTTCACCTTCCACGTGAATACCACTGCCTTGAATAGCGCTTGTATTGTCAAAGCCTGCTGCAATGGTTTTGCGCTCCTGGTCTGATAGCTACATTTGGTATTAGCATCGATCCTGCAACAAACGCGTCGGAAATGTGACTCCTTGGCTAGATAAGCACATCAAGGTGGTCCACTGCTCCAGAACATAAGATAAAGACTTACATTGAAGTTTGAAGACGCGGCCCAGGTTGAGTCTCCGGCCCGAGAGTAGATGCCGGCCCTGTCAATCTTGCCGGTGCCCAAAAGCGAGGAGTCGACATAAGCTGGAAGAGTCAGTGAGCTGTAGCTTTAAAGAGCAGAAGAGCGTACCTTGCCACGACATGCTGCAGACAGAGGAGAAGGGAGAGAGGTTGCACTGTTGCAGGATGTCGATGTTTGTCACTCTTCAAGCTTCTGATGATGCAGGTCACGTGGAGAGGTAAATACAACAGTCACATTAGAGTGGCCCAGTCGTTCTTGGACAGCAGCTTCAGTCCATCTTCCTCTCTACAGCAGACGCCCTCCCTCTCCATTCCCATCTATTCTGCTCCCCTCGGGGTGTCCGGCTGCCTGCCCCGACGCGCAACGGACAAAACGGGCTCCACAAACGCGCACAGAGCACGGTCCTCCATCTCTCCATTCCAAGGCCAACAGGGAAACCACAATACAAGAGGCAGGCCCCTGTCATATCTGCTAGCAGAGCCTCTCATCTGTGTCGCCAGTATCCAGGCTATTCACCACGCTAGCTCATCTCACAAGAACTTTGCTCGTACTTGTGCAGTATCGACACGGAGTGCATCTGTTCGCGCGCGAGGGGGTTAAGGCAACAACAAATAATTGCGCATATCAATTTGACGGGGTTGGCGACCTTGTCTGTGATTGTCGATAATTATATCGATACGCTCAGGAGTCGAGTGAAAGACCTTCGTTCAGGCCGGTGAATTGTTACGGTTGAACGACCAAACGACCGGCAAGACAAAGGGTCTCTGCTACGACCAAGGGAAGCCTTCTTTGTCACGGTCATACGACCTTGTCACGTATTGACTGCGGCTACATCTTCAATCCTTTTCCCCAACTTCTTTACTGCGCGAAGGAACCTCCTCTTTCTGCAAGAGACGAAAGGTTGAAAATTAGAACACTGTTACAAATGTCATCGCCCATGGAGCGTGGCACCCAAATCGACCGCAAGATTGTCATCCTCGGCCAGCAAGGTGTTGGTAAATCCTCGCTTGTCCTAAGATATGTCAATCAGACCTTCCAGGAGAATGGCGCCAGTACGATTGGGGCTAGCTTTCTAGCAAAGAAGGTACAAGTGGATGAAACAACTGTACGATTGCAGATATGGGACACAGCGGGCCAGGAACGCTTTAGAAGCATGTATGTGCCCATCAATAACAGGCACTGAATGTATGCTAACAAACCTCCGCAGGGCCCCCATGTATTACCGCGGCTCGCACGCAGCCATCTTATGCTACGACCTCACGTCTCGTGATTCCTTTGAGACGATGCACTCATGGCTTGCAGAACTACGCAAGAATATGCCAGATGATATTCTCATCCATCTCGTTGGCACAAAGACGGATCGCGTACGTCAAGATCCGTCACTACGTCAAGTGACATTTGGGACAAGTGTAGCGTATGCCGTGCAACACCTCGGCCTCGCTTCACAAGAAGAAGGATTCGCCATCTGTCATGAAGTCTCGGCAAAAGATGAGGGACCTGGGAATGGTGTTGAAGCGCTCTTCCTGGCCATTGTCAAGAGACTTGTAGAGACGGCCGCTAGGACGGACTCCGAGCGTGCCATGCGGTCGCGTGGCAATATGGTGGGTATGGGCAGTGGTGTGCATATCGCGGATAAGTCGGCACGCAAGAAATCAAATTGCTGCTGAACCTTCATTAATCCAGTCTCCTGCTATTTGCTTCTGCTAGTGTATCCAAGCATCCCAACGAAGAAAAAAGCGATGGCTCTTCTTTCCAAAGCGAGTCTATAGCCGGCGTCGTCCAGCCCATACTCACGTAATTTCTCAGCGCGTCTTATTTTTGCCCTTGGCCTTGATGACCGGTCCTTGGGAGTCAGAACCAACTGCCTCGCTCTTCACTGAGACAGCCCGCGAACTGCTTCCTTGCTTTTCGCTACCACGCCGCGATTGCCCACCACCACGCCCTGATCGACGACCTCGCCTATTGAGATCCGACAACTTGATGCGTTTCGGTTTCACTTGACCGTCTGAGTCCACTTCTTCCTCCGTGGTCGGAGAGTACGATCGTGGCGTATCAGATCGCTCACTCTCGATATACATGCTGCGACGACGACCAGGTCCATTGTGTTCCGGTAACGTCGTACTCTGCAACGGCGTATCCAGCGATGCCAATGCTGCATCTGTCAGGTCACCTGGCCGTGCACCGACTGCGAGTAGACCGGGCCATGCTTGACGCGTCGCTGCACGACCTTGCTTGCGCCACTGATGTTGTGTCACGCGCATCCCTCGACACTGTTTGGAACTGGCGAACTGTTTTCCGGCTTCGAGTAACCATCGAGATTGTGCATCGACCTGTGTCGGCCCTGCTGATGCTGTAGCATCCAAACCAGGCGTAGTGATACGAATGGTAAGCGCGTCGTCAATGCGACTTTGCAAATCACGCTCCAGTCTGGCTTCAAAGTTTTTGAAACGTGAGCTATTCCCAAGGACGATGATATTGGCGAGTAGAAGACCTTGGATGTGTCTAGGAAGGGTCTCAATGGCCTGCACGATCCCATCGACAACTCCTCCTTGCGTATGACTCATATCGCTTGGTGTGAACAAGAGTTCTGGTATCGTAAATGTTTCGCTCGTCAATGGCAAGAGTTGCGCGTCTTCGGAAAGTGCAGCTATGTCTTCAGCCTCGACAAGACGACCGGGCGTGTTGGTGGCCACGTCAGGAAGCAGATACTGTGTCTTGAGTGTACCATCCCGCGCACGCTCCATGTCTTTTTCAAACTCCATAGACACAAAGCAACACGCTTCCTTGATGTGTTCTACTAGCAGAGTCTCTTCCATCATGTTGTAGTGACGAAATGAGATGCTCTCTTTCAAAACATTGGTCAAAAATTTGCCACCGATATCAAGACGCTTGACGTGCATTGTGGCTACTTGACCATCAATGATAGGTGTGATGTGCGTATGTGAGAATCCAACATCCACGACAAGACAAAACTCTCTTTGCCGACCTTGTAAATCTCCTAAGGCTGACGCAGCGCCGTAACTTGCAAGGAGAGCTGTAGGACACCGTACAAAAGCATCAAAGCGAAAGTAGTCAAAGACCATATGGTCAGTCATCTCCTGTAAGGTGGACAAGTTATCTGGCGGCTCTGACAAGATGAGTAGTACATCTGATGCAGCTGATGCTTCTTGTCCATCTCCCTCGTCGTTTTTCGCACTAGCTGCTAGTGCATCATCAACACCTGTGGTACGAAAGAGCTCGTCCCAGATAAGCCGCTCAGTCTCCCAAGATGTTAAGTATCCTCTGTCATGCGCTCTCTTGAATTGCATTGTTTGCGGTTGCTGCTGTAATCGCGGCCATAGCTCAGGACCGATGAATAGCTTCCTATCATCCTTGGAGCGAGCGACACAGTTTGGAGCAGTGGAAAAGCGATCAGTTTCTGACTCAGATACTTGTATGAGCTTTATGCAAGCTGAGCCGTTATCTAGGACGACCGTCTTCATGCAAATTTAGTGCAGGGCAAGCTGCTGAAGTGTCGTGATCTTTGACAAGTCGATGTTTTTCAAATCCTTTGATATTGGCGAAATCTCCAGAGATTGCTAATTTGCTACCGTCAAAGAGACTATCCGGGTGTTCAGCGAGATGCCCAAGGATTTAAGTCGAAACGGAGGACCTGTATTTGAATACTATGATCATGATTAAAGAACTTCAGTAGTGAGTACTCAGTCCTCCCCATCTACTGCGGCTACAATGGCATTTGCCGCCTCAAGCTGAGTTGCTAGTGCAAGCACACTCTGAAAGACGGCACGCTCATCAGGGCCCCACGCGGTTGTGAACTCCTCGTACATGGGCAAGTCCTGTTCGTGCAACTGCTGAAAGAATTGCTTTGCCTGCAGGTAAGGGTCCACATTGTCAATGGGCGTGTTGAAGAGTACATCTTCCATCATCTCCTCCTCATCTTGTCCCGCGCTACCATGTGGATTGACGGCGTCAGCATCCGATGCAAGCCGTTTTGCTTCGTCACCGAGGAACTTGAGATAATCCTGAGACTTGTCGTTTGCAGAAAACTCTGCCTCTTCCGCCAAAACAGCCTCAAGTTCTTCATCATCAAAATCGTCTTCGTCACTATCATAGTCATCACGATCCCAAAACGCATCTTCGTCGTCATCTGCGTGCATCAGCGCTTGTGCTTCCTGCCGACGCTTGATGGCTTCCGGATACGACGCAAAGAGCTGAAGCATTGCTTTGGGAAGCTGCGCCCAGCCATTACGTAGCGATGCTGGGATAGACTCGCGCGGTAGTCGAAGCAGCGACAAGAATGTAAGGATCGAAAGGCGCTTGTCGTAGACACGCAGAAAGTCGCCAATGGTTGCAACCCAAATAGTAAAGAAATCCATGGTTCCACCGTGCTGTTCGAGGAAGGCAAGAGCCGCTTCAGGGTTGTAGTAGAGACAAGCAACAATCGTTTCAACGAGCAAAGTGTGGTAGATGCCACGCTTGGGCTCTGTTGGATGCGCAAGTCTGCCAAGCAACAAGCCCATGAGCGGATGCAAGAACTTGTCAATGTGACCGCGCAGGTTGAGCAAAAACATTTGCGCAAGCTTGGCTGCTGACTGTCGGTCTTGCACGCCGAGTCTGTCGTTTGTGAAAAGGGTCTGGATGATGTCAAACACGATATCCTGGTAATGTGGCGTCTCTGCTATGGCTTGTGCGCCGTAGCAAATGTAATTATCGAGGGACGGCAATAGCTCGTCCATATAGTCCATACCTGTTGTCTTGAATGTCTGGTGGACACGCTCAAAGACACCCCACATGGTCGGTGAGATGGCCTTTGCTGAGTAGGTACAAGAGTCGATGATTTCAAAGACTTCCGCGTACAAATCAATAACGCCATTGTCGAGTGTGAAGAGAATGACCGGCAAGACTGTCTCTTCCAGCTTGAAGAGCGCCTCGGATGTGTTTTCAAGACTGAGAATCAAGGTGCCGATGGTATTGAGAATACCGAGCGCAGCAAGCGATTTGTCGTCCAACGTTTCCCATTCAAACTCACCAGGCGGCATGGGTCCATTCGCATCTGCAGTATCTTGCATGATGCGCAAAAATGTATCACGCAACTGCTCAGCCAGCTCGACGGCATACGGTGTCAATTCGTTTGCAAATACCTCAACAAATTCTTCCATGACATTAGAAAGCGAGTCGACATCCACCTCGTTGGCGAGCTGCAGCAAGACCTTCATGATTTGCGGGATACTCTGCACCATGGCGAGTCGCACGTACTCTTGACGAATAAGCGGCTGCAAGGCCAACGCGGCCTCAACACGAACAGGCAGTTCTTTTTCTGTCAAGCATTTGAGAACTCCCTCATACGCAGTCGCCACATTTTGCTCATTAGCAAAGTCAATCTCTGCGAATCTGTTCATCATCTCGCATGCTCTGGCACGCATGTAGCCATGTGGTGAGTGAAACTCGGGAAAAATGTGTTGGCTAAAGAACTGCTCCATCATGTTCTTGACGGGTGAGTTGTCCTTGAGAATCATAGGTGATAGGCAACCCGTCAAACGCAAAATACCTTCCTTTCTGATTGGATTACGCTGGGAAGGTTCGGCACTCTCGTACGTGGCAAGTTCCTTATTGATGAACGCGAGCGTGGACATGAAGGCATTCGAATTTTTCCGCTTTGCTACCGCCATAAGGAAATGAATCGCTGCCGTGTCAGGTGATGTATAATCCTCGTAGATGTCAATGCGCTTATTGATGTATTCTTGCGGATCCGATTCCCATAGCTCGAGATCATCCTCTGTTTGGCAAATTTGTGGAAACACGAAATGTTCTACCAATGAATCGACATTGTCCTTGAGCAGTTGCCACGTTCCCTTAGGCTTGACGCAATGTGTGAAAAAGTCACCGATGTAGTACAATGCACGCGGACTGAGCCAGTGAAGATTGCGATCAGCAGCCCAATTTTGAATTTGCGTGAGGTAACACTTTAGAATTTCGGGCGCAAATTGCTGGGTAAAGACTTTTGCAAAACCATTGTATTGCTTGTGTGCATCGCCCGAGAGTTGATTAATGTCTCCATAACGCGAGAATAAGCGGTCTAGTGAGAAGTAGGCCCATTTCTTGGCTTTCCACCAAGGATGTGATTCCCGCTCATCCAGGTCTGTGCTCATGGCATCTGCAGGCGGTTGCTTCGTGACCACTTTGAGCAAGAGCTGTCCCCAGGGTACTAATGAAGACATGTCCTGTAGATCTTGCGATAGTTCCAGCCAGACGACGCTTTTGTACGTCTTGAGAATGAGTCGCATCATGTCGCCAGCGAGCATAGACTCCTCATCAATCAAGCCATTGCTGATTTGCAACAAAATAGGGAAGGTTGCTTGTATGATAGTGTCCAGACTCGCTCGTCGTCCAAGTGAGCGCCATCGATAGACTTTCGTGAGTTCAAGCAGACACAGCAATCCCGTATAGACGCGCTGTACATCACCATCTTGCAACAAGCTGCAGCACTTTCCAAGAAAGTCTGGCCACTGTTCAGGGAAATCTGCACTCAGAATCTGACTCAAGACAGAAGCGAGCTGAGGCCGAATACTGACTGGTGCAGAGACGAGAGCAGGCACAATGCGATCTCGGAAGCTTGCCTTTTCAACTTCTGGCAAACATGCACTGAGGTCTTCGAGCGCCCAGCGTCGACTGATTAGATTTTTGAGAAAGACAGCACCTTGCAGATTAGCACATGCAGTCAATCAAGCTCAAAGACGCGTACCTGCTTGCTGTACACTTGGTGCATCCGTCTCCGTCACGACTGTCAAGAGCGCGCCGACGAACCCTGCTGACTGGTCTGCACTTTTGAGATCAAGTTCTGCGCGTTTCCTGATGTTCTGGTCGGGCGAGAGAGAACCCTCCAGACAGTGTATGAGGGGCTGGAGGGCAGGATCCATTGGAGGGTGGAAGTAGGTATATGGATGGATACTTTCTTGCAGTTGCTGCGTCGCTTTTTCTTTCTTCGCCGCCAGCAGCAGCACATACACCAACTACACCAACTACGCCCTCAAGACAGAGTAGGGGAAGACTGAAGAAGGACACCGACAAGCAAACGCGAGCATGACCACAAGACTCATCAACCACAATATCAAAAAGGCAGCTACCATATCGCCGCTCGCCTACTCTTTGACGAAAAATAAAAACCTCTATCAAGCAGTCGCATGCTTACCCAATGGCGGCATTGATGGCAAAGTCGTATGTGCTTCCTCCGAATGCTCCAAGCACCATGATGCTAACATGTGCCCAGGTTCCTCGCAAATGGCTCGCAAGGGGTTATAAAGATTGCTACTATCTCATCCGGTCAGCGAAGTTGGAAGAGAATCACACCCGTGGCGAGGTTCATGGCACGCTGGTCTGGAAGGGCGAAGTGAAGCAATCTACAATGAGGATCATGGCTAGCCTAAAGAACTATTGGGAGCCCATTCTCTAAATGGCAGAATGGCAAGATGCTTGTGACATTTGCTATTCCATGGTGCACAAAAAAATGTTAATTGCTGGACATTCTGCTCACAGGCTGCCTCCGAGCTCCAAGTTGCTTCTTGCTGCCGTGAATCACGGTGGATTTACTGCTTACTCACGGTTCTTTCAGCGTATTGTCGACCGCTCATTGGAACCTAGAACGGAAGGATGTTCGCTCACCTTAATCTTCAGGCTTGCGTTGGCTTTCACGCAGAGACCTTTGTCTACAGAGTGTATTCGAAGCAGGCCCGCTGCAATTTAGCCTTGGTTTGGCTCACGTCCTTTCGTCACTTCAGCGGAGCACACACACAAGAGAGGCTTCTGTGTCATCACTGTGTCACATATGCTGAATGACTGACACCACGGAGACGGCCTTACACTCTTATATATTCCTCCTATGCCACATCTATCCGTCGCCTGAATGTGCCTTGACTTGAGACGTGGATCGATGACGTCTGGGGATTGCGGAGTACTTCGAAGATCCAACAGCAACATCCAGCTCCTCCCCTCCCTTCACCTTCTGTTGTATGAGCAGATTGCTTTCGAGAGTACAGCAGACATCCAGACATCTAAGTAGAAGCACAAGTACCATGACGGACACGGCCACCTACAAATTCAACCATACGATGATCCGTATCAAGGATCCCAAAGTCTCGCTACCGTTCTATCAAAAGAACTTTGGCATGAAGCTGATTGATACGAAGGATATGCCAGGTCTGTGCTTCCTTCATCAATAGATCACCACGGCACCCAGCTGACTGTGTAGACGCCAAGTTTTGCTTGTACTTCTTGGCTTTCGACTCGCCCGATGCACCAAGTCAGGGCAAGGATCGTTCTGACCGAGAGGCCGTCCTTGAATTGACCCATAATTATGGCACAGAAGACCAAGATGGACAAGTCTATGTCAGCGGCAACCAAGACCCGCATAAAGGATTCGGTCACATCTGCTTCAGCGTAGGTGACCATCGAGAAGGAGAATTGTCATGCTGACAGTCGTGCTAGGTCGATAACTTGCCAGCTGCTTGTAAGCGTCTCGAGGAAGACGGCGTCAAGTTCCAGAAGCGTCAGAGTGAAGGCCGTATGAAGCAAATCGCGTTTGCCCTTGACCCTGATGAGTACTGGATCGAGCTCATTGGACATGGCAAGGAAGACATCGAGGGACAGTTCAGTGTTCAAAGCTATCGCTTCAACCACACGATGATTCGCATCAAGGATCCGAAAGTGTCACGTATGCATGGCTCAGGCACCAGCAAGGCTAACATCGATAGTCCAATTCTACCAGGAAGCGCTGGGCATGCACTTCATTGCGAAGCTTGAAGCCAAAGAAGCAGGCTTTGATCTGTACTTCCTCTCCTTCCCCAAAACCCTCCCCAATGGCGTCAAGACTGCTGACCTGACACCCAAGTCGGAGAGCAAGAACCAGTTCAGCGACGCAGAGGGTATTCTTGAGCTGACGCATAATCACGGCACCGAGTCGGATGAGACGACCTATCACAATGGTAACGAAGGAAAGGACAAGCAAGGTTTCGGGCACTTGGCCATCTCCGTTGACAACCTCGAAGCTTGTTGTGAGCGCTTCGAGAAGCTTGGTGTGCAATTCAAAAAGAAGTTGACGGATGGTCGTATGAAGAGCATTGCCTTCATTTATGACCCAGACAAATGTATGCATCGCTCAAATATCAAGGAACACACTAACGCCCAGACTGGATCGAGGTGATTGCAAACGAGTCGTTGAAGAAGTAGCACAGTTGGAGAAGTAGCACATAGCAACAAGGCAGAGAGATACACAACAAATAAGCAAGCTGGTGACTATTTTCTGTTTCTACCACTTGAGACTGCCCTCAAAGATAGTTTCAAGGTCCTCCTTCATGACCGACTCTGGAGACAACATCAACACCCGCTGTTGCGGCAAGGTACCCTCCACAAGCGCAGGCAAGTCTGCACGCGTGTAACCCAAGTCCTGCAAACCACGAGGCTGTCCATCCAACTTTGACAAGAATGCCTTGATGGCCTCTTCGAGCACTTGTCCAGCATCTTCTGCCTTGACATTCGTGACATCGGCACCCAACATCTTGGCACAGAGCAAGTGGCGGTCTGGGTTACTAGCAGCGGTGAACCTAAACACCGTTGGTGCAGTGACTGCTACCGACACACCGTGTGGGATGAGGGGTGTGTCTTGGTTGTAGTCAGGGTGGACGTAGCTCTTGTTGTTACCAGAGATGGCATACGATGCTCCGTGACAGATGTGCACACCTGCGTTGCCAAAGCCGATACCGGCATAGGTCGCAGCGAGCGTCATGCCTTTACGTGCCTCTTCATCTTGACAGTTCGAAGCGACCAGACGGGGCAAGTAGGCAATACACATCTCGAGTGCCTTGAGTGCCCACATGTCAGAAATTGGGTTGGCACCTTGGTATGCGGGTCTGAATTTAGGGTCCGATGGACGAGATCGCATATGGTAAGGCAGAGCCGTGTAGGACTCGAGAGAGTGACAAAACACATCCAGACCAGAACTCACTGCGACACCAAGTGGCATCGAGGCCGTGTTGAGTGGGTCGACTATGCCGAGAGTTGGCTTCAACATGCGCGAAGCAATACCCGTCTTGGCCTTCTTAGATTCCATGTCAAAGATGGCACTGCCAGTCGTCTCTGAACCCGTACCAGCGGTGGTAGGAACAGCGATCAATGGGCGCAGCTGACGCTCAATGGGCAAGCCCTTGCCGAGGGGCACGTTGACAAAGTCCAAAAAGTCGGCCTGGTCGTACACGGTGTACAGGTTGGCGATCTTGGCGGTATCAATGACACTGCCACCACCAATGGCCAAGAATGCATCTGCTTTAGCATCCCGAGCGAACTGAATGGCTTCGTGCAGCTTGGATTCCTTAGGCTCCACTCGGGTCTTGTCATAGACGTGATAGTTGACGCCAGCCTTGTCAAGCGATGCAATGGCCGTCTTGAAGGCCACAAGCTTCTTGACGTTGCTGTCGGTAAAGACAACGACGTTCTTTGACTGCATGTTGATGAAGTCCATGCCGACTTCGCGCGTCACGCCCTCGCCGTAACGAATAGCAGAAGCGGCCATTTCAAAGGCATATTCGCGCTGAGCACTCTCGTCCACTGGTGTTGCATAGCTGCGAGACTTGGCGAGGTTGCCCTTGATGGAGGAAACGGCAGCATTGGCTCGGCCATGGGTAGCACACATGCTGGGTTGAGCGTGGGCGCCATGGCAGGGGCAGCCAGTGCTGTGGTTGCCGACGTACGACAGCAGCTTCATGGCGCGTGCCTTGGGCGTTCGTGCAATGATGGTTGCCATTGCAGGAGATGTAGCTATGGAAAGGGTAGGAGGTTTGGTACAAGGTGATGCTCCACAGATCTTGCTTGCTGCCTCGTCTCCGCATTTGAGCCGCAGCAAAAGGGCGAAGGCAACTGCCGGCAACCACCAGCAGTCACACACGGCCGTCAACAATCAGCGCCTCAGCTGCAGCGACATCTCCCAGCATCTCTCCATACAGCTCCCACGTCTTTGCATCGTAGCCAACACCGAGCTTCTCCACGCTCGATTGCTCGTCCCATTTCCGGCCGACAAAGTCCTCAAAGGACTCCTGAGGCTGACGTAACGACGCCCAGGCAGCCTTGTTGGCTCCTCCCAGAGCACATGCATTAGATGCACCTACCAGCTGTCTATACACGCCTTCCTGACCACCGAGGACATCACCGAGTGCTTGAACAATCGCTGGATTTCTGCTAGATCCGCCCACCACATAGATTCGATCTGGCTGCTGAGTCGTGCTCGTTGCATCTGTGCTATCCGGGTCAAAGAAGGCCTTGGACCTCAGACGAATGTCGAGGAATTGACTCTCTAGAATGGCTCGGGCATCATCTTCCGGCACGTGCCATGTTGAACTTGAATCTGGAGGGAGCTGTTGCAGGCCGTTCTTCCTGTCGAAGCGCCAGGTACCAGCTTCGCAGAGAGGAATGATTTCTGGCAAGGTAAAGTAGAAGCCGAGTTGCTCTGGTCGTTGAGTTGGACGTACTTTTGCTAGCTCGTTGAAGTGCTGCCATGGGTCTTGGCCAGCTGCTATAGGCTGCTTTGCATTGATGGCATCGCGGACTTGTTCTCTTGCCAAACTACCATTCTTGTAACAAAGCATGGCCATGTGCAAGCCAACGGTTGTTGGGTGTGCAAACAAATGGTATGCAGGCGAAGGAACGAAGTGCGGCGTTGAGAGCAGCATGGTGGTACTGGTCCCTAGCGAAATCATAGCATCACGCTCCCTTAATGGTAGAGACAAGATCGTAGCTGGATTGTCGCCTGTGAATGGCACAATATCACAGTCCTTGTGAAAGCCATATTTTTCCACAAAGTAGCTTGAGATTCTGCCTAGCTTGCGACCCCCATCCATGCATACCTCGCCAAGCTTGTAGGCCAAGTCGCCTGCATTGCCGCCACTCACCAAGTCCATGAGTGGCTTATGATAACATTCGTTGCGAATGTCCCACAAGTTGGCTCCACAGACATCTGAAGCGTCGATAGGTGTTATTTGACCAAGTAAGAGAGAGCACAGAAAAGAAGACACCAAGGAGATTCGAGCGGTTTGGCTGTAAATGTCTGGCTGAGTCTTTCTTAGTCTCAGAATTTGCGGACCTGTGAAGCGATGGTGTGCTTTGCTGCCTGTAATCTCCGCAAGTCTATTTGCTCCACCGACACACGCTTCCAATTCGTCACATTCAGCTTGAGTTGACGCGTCCTGCCAATTCGGAGACAAGTCATAGGTGAAGCTAGCCGGAACAAGTTGTTCAACCAGAGATTTGTCATGTTGCAAAGAAGCAAGCTTGGATTCAGCCTGATCAGACCACCATACACTGCCATGCTGCTGTCCAGATCCAGACACTGAGCGGATCTGATGGAGTGGTACCTGCTGCTCCTTCATGCGAGCACATAGTAGGTCTAACGCTTCCACCCAGAGTGCGACAGGCGAAAGGACCTGCTTTCCTCGTACATAAACGCCTTTTCTAGTCTTGTAGCCCGGCAGGTCTTCATCAAAAGCAACGACTGTTTCGTAACGTAGTTTGAGCTGATCATCAATGACAACACCTTTGAGCTGCTGTGTCGAAAGGTCAAGGCCCAAAAACATATTTTGTCAGCGATGTAACACGAGAAGCTATTGATGAGGCTGATTGAACTGAATGAGCCGACTCAGGACTAGCAGTGACTGTTTGCAGGTCGGTTGGACAGCGTCGACTGTATTTGTAGTCGCGTCGAGCAGTGCGGGATATCCCGCGGGAGCGTCATCTGAATAAGAACCTGGAACTGCCCCTGACGCGACCTTACAAGCGGCGGTAAAGAGCAACTTGGAGCGAGCAACCTTAGGAGCTCAAGACAGACAGAAAGACAGCGCTGTTGAGCCTTTGAAAAATTTCTCGATACATATATCCACGCTACTGGATAGTGGTCGCTTTCCATGTTGCGCGGGTCGGAAGATGGTGTATCGATTGGCTCAGTCTACGAACACGTATGAAACAATAGTGGATTCAACGGCTTCAACATCAATACCATAACTCGCTTTCTTCAGATCACCTAGTCTTGGGATGTAGACACATGAAAGGCCAGCGTTTATTGCTGACCTTGTTTGATACGGTTCACAGCGATAGGTGTATCTGCTCATCCGCATTGTCTAGACGAGGCGCTTGCCTTAGCCAAAGCAGAAAAGCCATATACATATTCAGACACATGCACGTAGCTCCCAGCATGATCCGAGTCCAAGTCAATTAACCACATCTGTGTTCCCTAAAGCAACGCTACTAAATCCTCTACCCCTTGTCCCCTCTGTTTTGACCACTGACCGCCCTCGGTCAGTCATTGTCGTTCTTTCTCTTCAATTGTATCAAACTCTCCATTTTCCCGATTGGCACTTGGCAGTGCAAATTTACCCCTCGTCGTTCACCTGCTTCGGTGACCACGCCCATTGCCACGCGGATTATAGTGGATGAATGGCTGATCTCCCGATATCGTCCTTGCAGAATGTGAAGACTGTCCCTGTGTCATCTCAAATGGCTGCGGCTGCTGCGACTGCATCGGCGGCTGTGCCTGGATATGTGCTGGCTGCATCGCATAGACTGGCAATCCTGGCGATTGTCGAGCATGCTGTGGTTGCGATTGCGAACGCATACCAAAATTCTGCTCCAGCGTGAAAGGAGATTGCTGCCTGCCATAGTCATCAATCGACGACGCTGTTGCTGTGATTGGATACTGCAAGGGGCTCGACCGAGACGAGATGCCCTGATATTGCTGGTACAAATCCGCCTCAAATGCGCCCATTGCGTTGATGGCCATCATCTCCGGAGGCACACCGTACATTGCTTCATCTGGATGTGAGATGGGTCGCCCATCGATGGAACGGCTGCGCTCGCTCGTTGCTTCCGAGTAATATGGCGATTGGCCGTCGTATGGCTGACTTGCTGATCGAGCCATATCCAGATTTGATCGCGTATATGCCATTCTTTGATCAGCAACCGCGAAAGGCTCTTCGTTGACAAAATATGGCTGCGAACCAAAGTAAGCCTCGGCTGTCATTTCGGTGGGTGTTGGCATCGGACTTGCAACCGCCTCTTGATTGTATTGCATTTGTTCTCCAAAATCTGCATCCACGTTCGTCAAATTGAAAGCTGGATCTGTATACCTGTGCGGCAGCCGAGGACGCTGAAGAGGCATCGCAGACTGCGCAGGCAACGGCTCCGACCAATCCTCCCTCTGTTGCTGTTGTCGTGCGTTAGGCCTGTAGACATCGCGAGTGAAGACAATACGACCTCGTTGAGGCGGCTGCATTGGCGACTGATGGTTAGATATGCTTCTTCAACGACCTTGGACGACACACCGATTCATACGCTCTGTCATCATGTTCATGAGGCCAGCTCTGGCCTTGTGATTTGGCATGCCCAAGTGAGAGAGCACGCTTGTTGCGCTTGATGGGTGTGACATGGTCCAGTGCAATCGCATCGTTGACCTTGAGGAACTGACAGTCCTTCCCAAGCTTGAAGCATGTATCGCACTTGCCAGCTGAAAGGTCAGCAGAATACTAAAAGAAAACAGATCTGCACTCACAGTCCTGATCCGTAATGGTGCATCGTATCTTGCGTCGTCGGCAAAAGACACAGGCGATTGATTGTCGATGGTAGCCTAGCTTCGTCTTCTTCTTGGCATCCTCAGCAGCGGTGCTTTGTTCACCGGGTTGAGCCATGAGGATGGGTATGGAGGGCGAGTGCCAGAGTATAAGAAGACTCTGATGGCATGAACAACATCTATTGTTAGGATCTTGCGGTGTGATATAGCGACTCGGAGACTTTGCTCAGCCGGCTGCTGTGCTGGCTGACGCCGTGCACCTGCCACTGCTGCGTGCTCATATGACAGATGACATCTTTCCATAATCTGGTGCCGCGCTTAAGCCCCCTGATTCAAGCGAGGTCGGCGTTCTTGGGGGTGGGCCTGCCAACTGCAATTCTACCCTGATTGTCCGATTAAACGATCCGCCTGCGCAGCCACGGAAAAGCGGAGCGCCCATTCTCCCCAATCTGCGTCGGCTTCTTCTCCAATTGGCACTTTGCTCTAGCGCTGCATTGGCACTCAGGCTCAGCCCTGAGCCCGCGACCACTGACCAGTGACCACTGACCACTGTGACCAGGCGAGTTTGAGACTCTGAGTGACTGAGTCTGACTCTGAGATCAGTGAAGTGACCCAGCAAAGCGCCTTGGAAACGGCGCAGCTTCGTAGCCGTAGGTTCGCAGATTCAGATCTACCACTAAATTCACTGTGCGTTGAGTCCGTTCACGTAGCCGCACCCAAAGTCGTGCAACCCAGTGCGGTGACGCCGGTGAGTCAGTGACTGCGGTCCTCGTCTACAGGCCGATGGCCGAGGACAGATGACGCGTATATGACCAGCATGATATTGGACAAGCTGTGGTGCCTCAGATTCAGAATCTCAGACACCAGGCCTCCTGGAGTCTTGGATAGTCTCCTCGATCAATACCGCCATTGCGTCGGCACTGACTGGTGCTGCTACTAATGCAAATGCAGCTCCAGCCTACATGTTACACGCCCTATAGCCACTCAATGCTCGGCAGTATAGTCCAGAGCTGATCAGTGCAGCAGTGCTACAGTTGTCCATGCTACTATGCCGATAGCTGCAGTGTGATTTACGATCGAAAGAACGCGAGAAAAGACGAAAAGTTTCAGCTGCACGCCATATCTCCGCGGTGCTCGGCACTTTCTCCATTAAACGAGCGAGCCAAGCCATAAAACAAGATTAACCCGTCAGAACTTACTGCCACTGTCTATCCGTGTCTATCAGTCAGGGCCGAACTATGCTAGACTGCCAATGCCAAGTCACTGGTCGTGGACGTATGGCTCAGTATGATCCTGACACTCTATCATCATTTACATGTCATGGGGTGACTTTGAGTTTGTGACTCCGACTCCTTCAGGAGACCACAATGCAAACATTTGAAACAGCATGGAGATTGCTGTACTTAGCCGCCGCCTGTACAACCCTATTGCGGAATTTGTCGTTGACTGTTGTCAGTTGATGTTGAAGTCGCGTTCAGCCTGAAGTCCAACGCTACAGCCTACACTGCCTACAGCATCTGGCTCTGAGCTAAGGCGTGACTTAGGCATCACTTGAGGTCCAAGTTGTGGAAAGATTGTCAAGCGGTGCCAGGCTGTCAGTATTGAATCAGCAAACTACATTATAGCCCTCTGTAGGAGCCTCGAATCTAGATTTCGAAGCCTTTTATGACCATAGCAGGTTGATCAGACTGCCACAAAGCTGGGCTGCATGACTGTGCATGGAGTCTTAGACACATTGACCCTACCTGCACGAGGCACACTCACTGCACAGCGAAGTCATGTCAGTGAGCGGGATGCCCTTTCCGTGTCATACAGAGCAATCGAAATTCATGGGCGGACTTCAGAGCTGAGAGTCTCAGCCTGAGACCACGTAGGCCCATTGATACCGTGTCACGACTCATGAGTCATGACTGACAGATCGTTGCATGGGATCCGCTGGAAGTACAATGTGTCAGTAGCAGTATAGCACATGCCCTGGTCTGTGTGACCGTGTCTCTTGAGAACTTGTCTGGTCTGCTTTGAACCTGCATTAGGCTACATGTGCAGCCCACGGTCATCTCAGACTTATGGGATCACCAGTCTACATTCGGTACCATGGATCTGGTCTGATACCATCACCAGGGTGGACTTCCTCGATAGCGTCCTGTCACCTGTGACTCGTGTAAAGTGTGGAATCCATGGCTCGAGGTCATAGTCAAGACTAGAAGTGTCTATTCCACTATTGTGACGCCATCACTCCGCTTCACATATACAGTCAACGTGACTTACGTGACACGGTGACAGACGCGCTAGATTTAGATGCTGTCAAGTTCTGTCAGTTGCGGAAGTCGTGGTCGACGTCACAAATCACGAATCACCCAAACACGGACCTCGCTTACAGCTCCGGCTTTTTGGTAGAGTTGGCTGACAGCGCGGAAGACTGCGCCCGCCCAAACGCCCGCTCAAACGCTCGCTCAGCCCGCTCAGCGCGCTCAGCACAGCTGCACAGTGTCAGTGCCAGCATTGACTCAGCACTAGCCACTACTACTAGTCCTGTAAAGCTGTGACTCGTAAATCAATGGCTGCGAAAATGCGACTGTGAGCCCCACAGAGACTCGCGTGTACTTGCTCAAAAGCGGGAAGGCTTAGTGATGAGGAGCTGTCAAACTTGTGGATGTGCCGATTGAGGGTAGGCTTAAGCTTAAAGCTTGTAACCGTGCGCAGTGAACGTGCTAAGCACTGTTAGCAGTATACATAGTGAGCGACAAGAACGACTCCCGAAGACTCGTTATGATGTGCCATGCCATGTTTAGCGCTTCTTGACAGCCTGCCTATGGGCTTGCGTCTTGATCAAGTGAAGTCAGGTGACGAAGTACTGAGAAACAATGCATATACCAGCATACAGAAGCGAAGCTAGGCGCCGCTTTGCATGTAGTCCAGAAGGCTTGATGTGCTGGTACCAGCACTATTGTGGGGCCCAGGTAGAACAGCGTCAGCGGGCATGGCGCGAATCTGAACAAAGTTTCAGTCTGGTTGAAAGGGATAGCCTCTAGATGAATGATCTATCCGGGCCTTTCGGTCTTGCCTTGGTAGCTGCAAGGTACTTTGAGGCTAGGAGCAGGATGTCTTTGGCGAGTCGAACTTCTCGAGATGGGCAGGCAAAAATGGCAACGAGAAGTCTAACCCTGCACAACCGACCCAAGCAACAAATAAGGACCATCAGCGTGTACCAAGGCCCTAGGGAGAGCCTTGTATGTCTCAGTCACTCGTTTATAATGACAAAGAGAATGGTCACATGTCGCCATCGCAAGGTCGGCCTCAAAAAGTGGTCAGGAGACCGCTGCAGGAATTGTCACAAGCAGATGTTGCATCACGCTCCTACTTTGAGTTTACGGTGAGCCTGATGCTGTCTCCTCACACATCTTGACTGACAATAGACAATGACTGCGCCTACGGCCAATGAGGCTTCGCGAGCTCTCCGCAGGAAGGCGCCGTCAACGTCTGGCGAAGCAGGCAAACGGGGTGCCTCAATGCCTGGCAAACATAACGCCGGGCCGATGGTCAACAAGGCACTTCGCTCAATGCGGTGACTCTCAATGACCTTGTATTTGTTACGGTCCGTCAAATTTGCATCGTCTGTCTGCAGCGTGCGTGTGTCTATCTTGTTTGGCTTCATGTCAGCGTCTGTACATCATTTGCAACCAATATCTAATCTCCGAACGCATCATCATTACTCCCTGCATATATCTGTGAAGTGCATACGATCGGGAGTCCGCTTGCATGAGTCGAAGTTTATGAAGTTTATGTGACTTTCTGTGCTGATTCGCAGCAATACTAAACCCATATTTCCGAGTCGAAGACATCTTGACACCAGTTCTACCGCTGGCAAACCGGCGACTTTCAAAGCAGTCATTACGCTGCAGCTCTCTAGTCGACGGCTTGTTATAAATCTGCTTACATTGCCCAGCTTCTCTTTCCTGCTCCCACATTTTCTGACTGGTGCCACATTTGCCACACAAGCTGACCATTTGGGCTTCCAAAAACTCCCTGGTCGTCCATTGCTACAACTTCCTCAACGTCGCTCATCCATGTCGGCAGCAGTCTGTGAAGCAACGCCACTAGAGGCACAAAATAAGGCGCTTTCATGGACGTCCACACAAGTCAAAGAGTGGAATCAGCATAAAGTGCACATGCAAAGCTTCCATGACCACTTCCGGCAGAGCTTCGAGGAGATCTTTATGCTGGCAGACACGTACAAGCAGCACGGCATCGCGTTTGTCCCGTTCATACGCCACGTTGCATCCTTCCCAAGAGCACTGACGATGCACCATACTATTGAAGATCGGTATTGGTTCCCTGTACTCGCTCAACGTATGCCAGAGTTTCGAGAGCATGATCAGCATGCTGAATCACATGATCGCATTCATGAAGGTCTTGATGCCCTACAAGCGTATCTGAAGGACATCGGTGAGGATGAAAGTCGCTATGACGGTACAAAGCTGAAAGACATCCTGCAAGCACTTGCGAAACCTCTATTCAAGCACCTTGGCGAAGAGGAGACCAGCTTGGGCATGGCCAACATGCAAAAATACTGGACGCTGCAGGAAGTCAATGGCTTATTGGAAGAATTTCATAGTCGTTATGGCACATAGATACAACACTTCTATTGGCCACCACCGACTTCATCCACTTTCCACATGGCCTCTGACAAGAGAATCAGGTGTTCGTCGAGTAGCTTCCTGCGAGAGCCATCACGCGATGCCCTATTGGTGCCATTTTGTTGACCCTGTGCTTGTTGTAAATCCCGAGAATGCTGTAGTCTGAGCAATTTGGCTGCATGCTCATAAGCGAATGGCAGTCCTCCAGAGGAACTTGCCACCTCAATCAGACCCAGTGGAGTCGCCTCAAACAAGTCAAAGAAGAGCTTTGCTGGGCCAAGATCAGCTAATTCAGGCGAGGACACCAAATTTCGGAGATGCTGCTGAATGGCGAGGATGTGAAGTCCAACTTTTTGCGCTCCAGCTGCAGACAATGTACCGATCAGTTCACTCTCATCAATGAAGAGATCATCAATGAATGTGGCGAGACTAGCAAGCACAAACTCAGACTCATCCGACGACAGGTGCTGTACGGAGACTTCGTTGAAGAGATCAATCTGCTTGACAAGATCCAGGATGATGGGATCTGCTTCAACTGCGGGTTCATCAATGTCATAGTTGCTGTGCTTCAGAGATTGCTGCACAAAAAACAAGACCTGGACGTGCAATTCAATACGCAAAGTCAGCAGAATATCCACGAGCACGCGCTGAAAGGCTGCCATGATGCTGTCGAATTTGCCTGCTCCCGTGGTATTCATCTCGAGCCGCTTCAGTGTCGCTGGCAAAGAAGAGTCCTTCTTCGTTTCATTGATCCAACTAGGCCGTGTCTTTGAATCTTGATGAAACTTCCTAGCAGCTGCCATAAAGTGCTTGACATTGCCATAGAGGTGTGCCAGATTGTGAATCGTTCGACCATCCATAATCAAGTCACCACGCTCAACTTGTGTCTGTTTGCGTAATTGCCGCAAGATGTCTTGCTCTTGAGCTGCAATGGTGTAGAGCTCAGAGGCCTCAAAATACTGGCGTTGCAAAAAGGGTTGCCAAAGCTCGACAATCTCCGCTCGACACGCCCATGAAGGCCCAAGCCGCAATGCACCAAGCTTATGGTTATCCTGCTGCGGGTTGGCCGTACACAAACCGAAATGGCTCTGCACTTTTTGTAGATAGGCGAGCATTGATCCAAGCATCATGTCGGCATATTGCTCGCGCTTGTATGCCACTTGCTCAATGAGCGTCGAGAATCGCGCTAAAACCATTAAAAAGTCTGCCAGGTCTGATGGACTGCCCTTGGATACATTGTGAAGAGGCCGCAATGTGCCGCTCAAGGCACTTCGCGTAGCATCATCCAGAAGCTCTGTCAACTGTGGAGCCACGAGTTTCGAAATGAGTTCATCCAAGAATGCATCAATCGCGGAAGCAGAAACGCTGCTACCTTGCGGAATGATGCGTTTTGCGCGACTCAGCAAGGCCACGGTGGGCGACATGATGATGGCGATATTGAAGGGCGTGCTTGCAGCAATCGGTCCACTTTCTGCAGTCAGGACAACTGAATTGTTTCTCAAGTCTGGTCCATCTGCAATCAATCCGGGCACTGAATCATGCAGCATAGATCGCAGCTGCTCCTCTTCAGCTTGCGCAACAGATTCATGCCGTCCACTTTGATCCATGAAATCAAATAACTGCTTCGTCTTGTTGCGCGCCGGTTCTCTAAAGACGTTCATATTGACATTGCCTTGCTTGACAGACTCGAGCGATGCTGATTTGTCGAGGATGTATTGACCTAGAAGCGAACGTAGTTCAGAGCCGAGAGGCTTCCAGACTTCGGCAAAGTCGTACTCGACAGCAGACCCGGCCGCGGCACGACCGCCGAATCGATCTCGAAGAGCGAGCAGTGTCTCGCACAAATTGCTGTGTGCTTGTAGCATAGCATCCACTTTGGAGAAGAGTGTCCAAAACAAGTCTCGCAGGGGTTCAGTCGACTCGTCATCTCTGTCCAGCAGGTCAGTCAAGTCTGGCTTGCTGTTGGCAGATGACCTTTTTGAACCATGCCTTGCACGGACTTGATCGACTGTCGACCCAAACAGGGTATGTATTTGGCTAGGCATGCGCTGAGCAACGATATCCATCGCATAGGGTAGCTTGCCAAAAATGTAGAGCGCTTCAAGAACCGTGCTGACGTAGGTGAATGAGTCGCGTTCGGGATGCTGGTCAACAGCGACATGCTGCTCGCCTTGTCGTTTTGCACGGTGATCTTCGAGCGGCAGACGGAGAGACGATCGGCCGTCAAGTGAAATGATGGGCAAGTCTGTCTGACCGACTGTGTAGGCTGCCCATCTGTTGTCGCAGTAAGGAGAGCGAAGATAGAGGTGGTTGTGCAGTTCTTCCAAAAGGATCTCGACCAGACTCACTGACTGTGATTTGAGGTATTGTCGAATATCAGCCAGAGCAGCGATATTGATCATTTCCTGTCGATGTGCAATGGCACTTGCCTCGTTGAAGCAGTGAACTGCCTTTAGGAATTGCTTTGCTGACAAGTGAGCCTCGAGTTGTTCTGGAATCCCTCGCAGGCGTGCACTGTTGTTAGCATCTTGAAATGGAAAGAGAGACATACATGTCCTTGAGGAGAGAAATCATGTCGTTGTACTGTCGCGACCGCTCAGACAAGTCCAACAAGTCATCTCTGTGCGTGGACAGCTGCGCCTTTGCTCGATGTAGCGCGTCCCGTGTCGCGCCTACTTGCCTTTGTGAAGTAGCAATCGCTCCTGTGACTTGCCCATATGTCCCAATACTCGAGTTGAAGCCCTGGTAGTGCTCATTAACGGTACTCTGCAGTGCGCGCTCGATATCTTGGTTTGTGCGCCTGAAGCGCTCGAGATCTCTACGTCTGCCAAGGGAGCTGGTATCTACCATATCGAGCGCTAGTCCAATAGGCCTGAAATCTGGCTGCAGGGTTTCTGCCCACTCGCTCTGAATAATGCCGCGAATCTCACCAAGCGTGTCGTTGGTTGTCTTTGAGACGCCGTTGCGCCTGTTGACGGTGGTTGCATTGCGACTGAGTGAGCGCCAGTTGTGGTCGTCCTCCTCCTCATCGTCGTCGTCGTCGAGGATGCCCCGCCGCGCGTAGCTCATCGGGCCGTCTCAATCTGGGGAGGGTTTGGGTGTTTGTTGTCGCGAGCGTAGGTTGAGTTCTCGCGATCTTTTGTAGTGTACGCTGCCTACCCAGCACTACTTCCACCTACGGCCAGTCAAGCATTATAAAGGCCCAGCTACAGATGTACAGCCAAGACATCCCCAGTACCAAAGCCCTTGTTGCAGCTCGGACATCGCCTCTGCCGTGTCTCTGTCCGTTTGTCCACACACTCCTTGCAAAAGACGTGCCCACATGACACCAGGGTCGTGTTCTTCCAGCGGACATTGCATACGGAGCACATCGCCATGGTGCGGTATACTTGCAGCTGGTCGCTGTCGCCATTCAAGATAGCCTTGTCCTGCTTCGTTAGACGCTCCTGCTGCTTCTTCAACCGCTCGAGCTCTTCAAGTGCTACCCGCTTTGCTTGCGTCGCATGTGCTACCTCCAGCTCCTTGCCCTCGGCCCGCTTCACTGCATCCGCCAGCTTCCCATGCAGCGAGTCCAGCTGTAGACGCGATCGATCACTGCTTTCTGCAAGCGCAGCAACTTCCTTGCGCAATTGCTCGTTTGCCTTGTCCGCAAGGGTCCGTTGTCGCTCCAAATTTTGTACTTTTTGTCGGCAGCTCTCCTCAGCTTCTTGAAGCTTTGTCGCAAGCTCTGTTGCCTTTTGCTGTTGTTGCTTCAGGACCCTGATCTCCGCCGCAAGTTGGTCCTTTGCCTTCATGGCAGCAAAGTATTTTTGATCTGCTTTAGCCTTTTCCGCTTGCAAACGACCAATACGATCTTCCATAGAGACAAGCTCCATCACTTTGCGCGTGCTTTGCTCATGCGCTTTGCTGAAGGCCGCCTCCATGATGGGTAGTTCCGCCTTGAGAGACGAGTTTTCGCGTTGCAGCTTGCTGAGCTCTGTAGCATCGTCACCAGGAGCGTCACCTGCCGCTGAGCCCTCCTTCAGTCTCGCCACTTCCGCCTCGAGGGCCGCGATCCGCGACGCTTGTGCATCTGCCAATTCACCAAGTTCTCTTGCAGACGTTTGTTTCTGCTCATCCTGTGCTTTGCGGACCTGCAAGCTAGAATGCAGCTCATCTCGCGCTTGCCGTACCCGTGCCAAATCTGTTTCTGTGCGTGTCAGTTGCGCCACGGCCTCTTCATACTGGTGTTGCGATGCCTGAGCGAGATCATCTTGGAACTTGGACCGCTCTTTTTTGAGTGCATGGAGTTCAGCTTGTAGTGCAGGGAGTTGTGTTTCGAGTACCTCTTGTCTTCCACGAAGATGCGCATTTGCTGATACAATCTGCTTGTACGCCTCGGTCGCTTCAACGTCACTTTGGGATAGATGAGCCAGCTGGGATGTCAGCTTTTCATTTGTGGCTTGCAGTTCTGCGAGCTTGACTTGTAGCTGCCCAAGTTCCTCCAAAAGCCGCGCATTCGAGGCTTCCAAGGCCTGGTCGCTCGCCGCTGAATCCCCTGCATGAACTGTTTGCGCTTCAGTCTTGACCTCTTCTTTTTCCCTTGCCGGTGAGGCTGCTGCTGGCCGTTTGCTCGCCTGTGCTTCGATCCGAGCAAGCGTAATTGACTTTTGACGATCCACTTTTCGCTGGGATGCAGCGAGCCTGTCCTGTAAGTCCTGCAATTGCGGCTCACGCTCCTCCTTTTGCTGCTGCAAGACATTGGCGCGTTGCTCAGCTAGGGAGAGTTGTAGCTTAAGTGCAGCGTTCTGTTCCTTGAGCGCTTCTTTGTCGCCTTGCTGCGGCTGAGGAGCACCTCGGAGCTGTCTGATACTGCCTACAATCACATCGAGGATCCTTTGCCGCTTCTCGGAGAGATGCGCTTCAAAGTCGGGCAGCGCGCTCACAAGACGCGTCGAGAGGCTCGGTAGACACTCCCCGACTGCTGCAGTGGTGGGCAATTCTGCTTGACTGCAAATCTCATGAAGGCATTGATCCCACCACAAGTCAACGAGACGGAGATGCTCGTCGTGGAAGCGAGCTGACTTTTGCAGCTTGTCTAGTGCATCTTGACTAGCGACCGAGCGCCGTTTATAGTCTTGCATGGCTCGCCATAATGCTTCGCGCTGGAAGTTCTGGGACTGTTAGCGTCTATTAGGTAGTATCCCTCGCATCTAGCAATGGGGATGAAGAGGAAGCAGCAACATACCTCTATCTCTGGCTGCACTTCGAAATCTACATGCTGCTTTTTATTGGGCCCATCTTCCTGCTTGACTGCTTTACGCTTGGCCTCTTGGGAGCTCATCTGCTGGCATACGCCGGAACCGATGCCAAGCAAGACGGAGATGCGGCTATCGAGGCCTGCTGCCCAGGTGTGTGTCTTTGTGTGCTCTTCGCTGCTCCGTCGCCCAATTTTGAGTTTTTTGTTTCCTTTCTCCGGGAAACCAAATTGTAGTACTATACTTATACAGTTATACTCGCCCGACAGCTGCTGGAAGACGGTCTAGCAGCTGAGAACCAGCATGTCTGCCTTCACGAGTACCAGCGTCAATAAAGGCGCCGTCAAAGTCGCGCCCAAGGCAAGAGGCCGTCGTGCAGCGCCCTCCGCAGCTCCTAGTGCATCGCATGTCTCAACGCGCGGTACACCCGGTCCTACGCAGGACCCGGCCTCTGTAGCGCAAGAGCTTGTGACAGGACCGACTGGGCCCCATACTGTCCGGACGCATCGCGCTTCTAGCAATAAAACATCCGGCCGACTTATTGCGCCTGGCCGACGGCCCTCTCGTCTGGAGGAGACCGTCTCTATCGCAACACATACAACAGCCGACCGGTTCGCACCCGTCTTTGAGGAACATGAGGGACCGCACTTGACTACACAAGAAAGAAAACGACTCGCATCCACCAGCAGTCGTCGCAGATCGTCAGCAGGCGTCATCGATGCAGCGCAAAGTCGGCGCGCTTCAACAACCGGCCGTACATCCCCCGTCGCAGAGCGGCCCGGTGTGCGCGGTCGCAAGAAGCGCGAAGCCTCACCGGACGATGGCACAGTGGAACTGATTGACGGATCCATCAAAATGGCTGACTTGTGCAAAGGCTCTGGAAGAGGACAAAAGTCCAGCAAGTTTGCCAAGTTTGAGGAGATTATAGCTGAGCGGAAACGAGACAAGAAGCTTGGAAGGAAGGAACAAGCACCTGCGCCGCGTGAGCTGCCGGTGCACAACGATCCGGGTTCCGTCATCAAGACGCGTGTGGTTAATGGTGAGATTGTGCTGGACCCGGAATCGCTGACGGTGGATCGAAGTCAACGACTGGCAGACTTGGATGGGCCACGGGAAGTAGTGGACGTGGATGACATGAAGCGACGCGTCAATAGTGCATCGCATGGGAAACCAATCGGCAAGGTACGATGGGATGATACAGCCACGGAGCAGTTCTACACTGCCCTCTCGCAATGGGGCACCGACTTTGAGATGATCGCGCAAATGTTCCCCTCAAGAGACAGGAAGCAAATCAAGAGCAAGTTTACGTTGGAGGAACGCAGGAATCCACACCTCATCACGCGAGCCTTGATTCGCAAGAAACCTGTGGATATGGAGGTGTATGCCAAGCAGTCGGCAAAGACATTCAGGCCGATTGAGGAGCTTGAGGCGGAATTGCAGCAGCTCAGGGACCGGTATGAGGAGGAGCGACAAGCATCGATGAAGGAGGCAGAGCAGCGCAAGCAAGAGATGCAGAGCCAGGCACAAGCGATGCCTGCTCTCCCAGAGAAGCGCAAGTCTCGGCGTCTGCGTGCAGGCGATGATGGCGTTGAGCTGCTGGGGACGATCGAGGAGGTGGAGGATGCAGCGAAATTGCAGGCGAGACACGAAGACGACGACGACGAGGACGACTAAAGACTACTGCTACATATTACTCTCTATTAAGCTATGGATGACTTTGTGCTGGAGTCACCGCTGCTCAAGCTACCACTTGAAGCGCTCAAGACAAGCCTCAAGCAGCAGCAGAAGCTCGTTGAGCGCGACACGGCCTGGTTGACGCAACAAGCTGCTGAGCCATGCACACCTGCAACGCTCGATAAGATGGTCACGCGCCTAGAACAGCTGAAGCAGAAGCTTGTTGATATGAAACAGGAAGACGGCGCACGTATTGCACAGAGCCGCGCACGCTTAGCGCATCTTGAGCAACCACCTGATGTGCTGGCCTCGCAACGACTCGATCGACTTGTTGCTGATTATATGCTACGACGCGGTTGTTTGCAAGGCAGCACGCACTATGCGCAGCGTCATAACGTGACTCCGTTGATCGACGCGGATGTCTTTGCAAGAGTCGCAGAAGTCGCTTCAGCGTTACGTGGCGGACATGCAGCAGCCTGCTTGAGTTGGTGCAACGACCACAAGACAACGCTTCGCAAGCGGGGTAGTACACTTGAGTTTTCACTAAGACGACAAGAGTTTGTTGAGTTATGTCGCGTTGGTGCGTATGCCCAAGCGATTGAGTATGCACGCAAGCACTTCCCGCCTCATCGGAGCGTGCATGGTAGTCAGATCAATGCCGTTTGTGCATTGCTCTGTCACCGACCTGACACGACACTGGAGCCTTACCGGGTATGTTGATCTGCAATGAAGGAATGAAGCTAATACTAGACACTCTATGCTGCTGATCAGTGGCATGTCCTGGCTGCGCTATTTGTGCAAACCCACCACGACCTCTACAACATCCCCGTGCATGCACCCCTAGAAATTGCCCTGTCATCAGGTATGGCAGCCCTCAAGACGCCAGCATGTGCAGAAGCCCTGAAACACCACAAGACACAGCCCTTGACCTTGGATACCTGGCTGGTTGATGCAGGACAAGCCCAAGGCAACCCAAAGACGAATACGCGACACGTCTGTCCGATTTGTTCACCTGAGCTGCTGCAACTGTCTGCTTCTGTACCCATTGCAAAAGCAGCACGCTCGCATCTCGTGGATGTATTGGATCCAGAAGGTGTGCTGGAGGGTGAGAATGTGCCTGTGGTGTTGCCCAGTGGTCGCTTGTATGGCCTCCAGAGTCTACGTGCATACTGTACACGTCATGGGATTGCTGCAGATAAGGTTGTGGATCCCGCCACGGGGGAGACATTCGATGCTGCGACTGTCAGAAAGGCATTTGTCTTGTAAATCACTTGACATCCTTTGTTTCTTCCTTATTGCGCACGGTGAAGACATACCAGCGTGCTTCCCTCTCTTCACCTGCACCACCCGTAAACGCACCCGTCTTGCCTGGTCTTGGGTCACCACTCGTTCGACGGTGTTCATACCCTGGAAACGCGGCACCGACAAATTGACCACTACGAGCAAGTTGTAAGCCTGCATCTTTAGCAAGCCCTTTGAGGTTCCATCGTTCATAAGTTTTCCCTAGTGCGAGTGATACAGCAATACTGCCACCTTCATTCAAGACATGTGGTACATCTTTGAAGAAATCACGCAGCATCGTTTGATTGGCGACGATATTGCGATCTTGATCTTTAATGCCTGCAGCGACGTGTGGGAAGTTGAAGAGAACGGTATCAAACTTGAGTGTCTCGATACCTAGCCGTCGTGAAAAGTCTTTACAAAGACGCGCTGATTGCTCTGCAAGACGCGTCGCATCAATCCCATGGAGCACTGCACCACCACAATCGGTGACGATTGAAATCTGCTCTTCGCCATCTGCATACTTGGCGCGCACCTCCTCAGCCGTATCGAAACTCGTTGCAACGAGTAAACTCGCATCATCCAGGTGATGCTGTGCGAGACTTGCAGCAAAGCTGAAATTACCCTCTCCAAGGAGTAAGATGCGATCTTGCCGCTTGAATGGGATCAATGCCTTCTTGACACGCGCAGCGACCAGCGCTGCGTCATTGTGCTCGGATGTTCCTTTTCGTTGCGCCAAGGCATGTTGGCGCTGTAGTTGTGGGTTTTTGAATCGCTTGGCTGCTTCTTCCTTGGCGGATGCTTGTTTGAAGCGCTTGACGTCGTCTTGCGTTCTCTGCAATGCCGCAGCAAGAGAGTTTCGTTTCGGCATTCAAGGTTGTAAGTTGTTGGTTGTCGTCAAATTTATTTCTATGCTGCAACTGTCTAAGAAAGTTGTAAGAAGCGTCTATGTCTGAAGGAGACGCGTCCTGATGTTATACTCGGATCCCTCCAGCTTGGCATTGAGTGTTGCCAAACTCTCTTCACTCACATCACTAATGTCTGCAATCAGATATGCCACCTGACCAGCGGAATCTGAGAATTGCGCCTTGATGTTGTGTGAGGCAAACATGTCATTGACGGCACGCAAGGCACCTGCTCGATTGTGATGGACAAAGAGGACACGTACGTGCGAGTCTGCATCGTCAAAGGTGAGTTGACGCAATGCGACTTCTGGGAAGTTGACGGCGCCGACGGTTGAGCCTTCATTGATGAATTTGGCAAGCGAGGCAGCTACTTCTTCACCAATCTTCTCCTGTGCCTCTTCCGTACTACCGCCAATGTGTGGTGAGAGAATGACATTTTTGAGGGATCGCAAGTCTTCGGCCCAGGGGTTCAGGTCATTATTGAAGAAGGGTCCATTGGCTGCTGGTTCATTGGGGAAGACATCAATTGCACCACCTGCAATCTTGCCCGCTTTACTGGCATTGATGAAGGCCGGGATATCAATGACACTACCGCGTGAGGCATTGATGAGGTAAGAGCCTTGCTTCATGGCTTCAAACTCTGGTGCGCCAATCATGTTGGTGGTTTCTGGGAGTTCCGGGACGTGGAGGGTGACGAAGTCTGACTTGCTGAGGAGTTGATGGAGTGAGGGGAGTTGTTTTGTGATGCCAAGTCCCATGATGGGAACCACATCGTAGTACAGGACCGTCATACCCATTGCTTCTGCGAGCACGGACAGTTGTGAGCCGATATGGCCATAGCCAACGATACCGAGTGTCTTGCCACGGATCTCCCAGCACTTTGCGCTCACTTTGTTCCAGATGCCGTTGTGTAGCTCATTGCTACGGTCGCCGAGCTGCCTGGCCAGCACAACAATTTCGGCAATGACGAGTTCAGCAACAGAGCGGGAGTTGCTGAAGGGTGAGTTGAAGACGGCGATACCTTTGGAAGCGGCATGCTTGAGGTCGACTTGGTTGGTGCCGATGCAGAAGCATCCAATCACAAAGAGCTCTTGAGCAGCATCCAGCACTTTTGCTGTGAGTTTGGTCTTTGAGCGGATGCCAATGACATGGACGTTGCGGATCTTCTCAATGAGTTCTGCTTCTGGGAGGGATGCCTTGTGGACCTCGACCTGGTAACCCTCTGCTTTGAGTGCTTCAATGGCGATGGTATTGACATTCTCCAGCAACAGGATCTTGATATCTGCATGGGAGAAGGGCTTGAGGGGCCGTGCATTGGCCTGGGAGACACTGGCCCGTCTGCGCGCAAACTCCAGGGGGATGCTGCTTGTTGAGGACTGCTGGAGGATTGTTGGAAGAAGGCGTTCTTTGTGAAGCTGGACGAGACGGGTGGGCTGCCTGCTGTGTCTGCGAGTCCGAGTGCCTCTGCTGCTTTTGTGATGATGGGTATGCTTGAGGACATTGTGCTGGTCTGCTACTAGTACTCTGCTACTACTACTAGTCTGCTGCTGCTGCTGCTGCTGCTGCTTCTGATTTTATCTTTTTGTCATAACACGTGGCTTAGTCAGCATTGTAGAAGGCAGAGTATAGCAAGAGTGCTAGAGTATAGCAAGAGTATAGCAAGAGTACTCTACTGCTACTACTCTACTACTCTACTACTCTACTGTCATCAGTACTGCCATTATGACTGCTATTCCCTGTGTCGTCATCCTGCGCTGAAGTATAAAGGAGCCAACACAACCACCGCCTCTGCTCTTTCTCTCTCTCTATCCTCTCTCTTTCTCTGCTCTAGTCTATACTCCTAGACAGACCTACAGAGAATGAAAAACTTCGCACTCCTCTCTGCACTCGCGGCACTCTCAGCTACCTCCGCCTTCCAATGGGTAACACATCCTCGTACAACCATCAAAAACGACGTCATAGCTAACACTTCAATCAGCCAACAGAGCGTATCTACAACAACTGGCACGAGACAAAGCTCGAGCGATGGCTCAAGGACCACAATATCCCCTACCCTGCAGCATCTGACCGTAAAGCACTCTCAGACACCGTTGAGAAGCACTGGGATGCCATCACACCGCCCTATGAGCAGTGGACGGAATCCCAGCTACGCGCATGGTTGGTCGAGAGTGGTTCAAATGCAGCAGACCTCGCCGCCAACACAAAGGACGATCTCGTCAATCTCGTGACGGGCAGCTATGCAGACAACTCCCTCGCCAACTGGATCTTGGATTCCTGGACAGACTCACAACTCAAGAGCTTCCTCGACTACCACAACATCCCAAACCCAAGCCCTCGTAACCGAGACTCACTCTTGCAATCTGCACGTTCAGCATACAGCAACATGGTCTCGACAGGTCCGAGCGTCTATGATTCCTTGTTTGGTACATGGACTGATTCAGACTTGAAGGCTTGGTGTGATGCACGCGGCATTCCCGTCCCGCAAGGTAGTACAAAGGAATCCATGCTCGCTGGTATGCGTAAAAACACACACACCTTCACGGAACAGGCGAAAGCATGGTGGCGTGGTGAATCGGCCTTTGATGCTTGGTCAGAGTCACAACTCAAGAAGATGCTGGATGAGAACAACGTCAAGGTACCACAAGGCTCTAAGCTGAATGATTTACGCGCATTGGCTCGTAAGAACTACAAGTCCCTCAAGAACTCTGCCGGTGATTACTACAACGCCGGTGCAGACAATGCAAAGAAGCAAGGCAACAAGGCGTATGACGCTGCTGCCGATAAGGCTGACGATGCTGCTGCTGCTGCCAAGAAGCATGGCAACAAGGCATACAACGCCGCTGCAGATAAAGCAGATGAAGCTGCTGCCGAGGCGAAAAAACAAGGCAACAAGGCTTACAACGCCGCTGCAGATAAAGCAGATGAAGCAGCCGCTGAAGCCAAGAAGCAAGGCAATAAGGCCTACAACGCCGCTGCCGACAAGGCAAACGATGCTGCTGCTGAAGCCAAGAAGCAAGGCAACAAGGCCTACAATGCTGCCGCCGACAAGGCCGCCTCTGCTGCTGACAGCGCCAAGGATACAGCTGAAGGTGTCGCTGCAAAGATCAAGCACGGAGCAGAGGATGCCTATGACAACATCAAGGCCAAAGTGGTGGGTGGTGCAGAAGAAGCTGGCAGGTCTGCTGAATCCCTCAAAAACAAAGGAACTCGTGCCGCTGCCGATGCTGCTGATCAAGCAACGAAGTCTGCTGGTGCAGCGTATGCGCAAGTGTCGGAGGATGTTGCTGGTAATGATGTCTTCAATTTCTGGTCTGACTCACGACTCAAGGCCTTCCTTGACTCTCGCGGCATTCCTGTGCCACAAAACGGCAAGAAGGATGAATTGATTGCTGCTGCTCGCAAGAATGCCCATGCTGCCAGGACCTCTGCCGAGGACTTTGAAGGCTGGTCTACGTCGCAGTTGCAGAAATTCGCCAAGGATGCCAAAATCAAGCTCGACAAGACGGCCGCTTCCTCGCGTGATGCGCTCATCAAGCAAACTCAACAAGGCTATGATGCACTTGCCAAGAAGGGCGACGCAGCAGCCAAGGAGGCACAGCGCCAATACGGCAATGTGCAAGGCTATGCTTTCGACTCATGGTCCGACTCTGACCTCAAGGCCTTTTTGGACAGCTACGGTGTGCCTGTGCCACAAGGCGGTAAGAAGGATCAACTCGTCGCTGCTGCGCGTCGCAACGCCCACTACTTTTCGCATGGTCAAACGGAGCCTGTGCATGGTTCTGCATTTGCACAAATGGCAACGGATGGACTTTCGGCGTTGTTTGACTTTGTTAAGCGTGTTGGTGGTGTGGGTGCGAAGAAGTCGGCTCAATTGGCTGGTGATGCCAAGCAGCGTGCTCAAGAGGCGCGTGCTGAATTGTAAGGTTCTCTATGTGGAGGAATCGTTTTAGTTTAAAGAAAAAGTTCATAGCGTACGTATGAGTTATGATCATGTTTACAGTCTAGATGCTGCTGCTGTCTGCTGGTGTTTGTCATCTGAACAATGAGATAAGCAGCGTCCCCTGTCAGCCAATCACGGCGCCCTGACTCATCTGCACACGATAAGCACAAACAACGACCAGATCTTGCTTCAAGCGTGCTGTGCTCTCTAGCTCAATGGGCATGGCTTCAGTGCTGGTCTGTGTGCTGGATGGATCTATCTGCTTGGCTAGTACTGTCTAGCCAGACGAATATCGCTGCACTCTATAGCTTGGACGGCTGCTGTAGCCTGTAGCCTGTGGACTAAACTTGAAGCCGCTATCTCGCATGAACTTCTTATCGTCGACACCGGCCGAGCTGGGCTGCGTCTTGCTGCTCTTGCTCGAGCTCATGTCAGGGTCTGCCGCGTTCTTCCAATCTAGACCAGCTCACTGAGTGCCAGCACGTACTGCACTCATACTGAACCGTGGCCCAAGCCCAAGCCCAGGCCTGTCTTCTCCGTCCTCTATCCTTATCGTGCTTGCCTCCGCCATCTCCTCACCTGCAACTGTCAATCGCTCAGACGACATAAAGCCTCAACAGTATCCATACTCGTCAAACATCAAACCACAGCCATGGACGCAGCAGCACCCAGTCAATTTGGCTTCCTCAAAGGCCTGCTCCATGCAGACGTCAATCCAGTCACCCACAAGTCAAAGACACTCGTGGCACTCAATCCCATCAACAAGTATGGTAGAACCTTCCACCTCGCCTGGTTCGGCTTCTTTGTCGCCTTCCTCTCTTGGTTTGCATTTCCACCGCTCCTCCATGGCATGTTGAAGACAGACCTCAAGCTCAATTCTGCACAGATTGGAAACAGCAACATCATCTCATTACTAGCAACGCTGCTCGTTCGATTGATTGCGGGACCCCTGTGCGACAAATTCGGACCACGTAAAGTCCTAGCCGGTATTTTGATGGCAGGTGCTATTCCCACAGCATGCGTACCTGCTATTGGATATGGCAAGACAGGCTTGACGGGCTTCTACTGCATTCGATTCTTTGTCGGTGTACTCGGTGGTACCTTCGTTCCCTGTCTCGTTTGGTCGACACAGTTCTTTGACAAGTCCATTGTCGGTCGAGCGAATGGATTCGTTGGTGGATGGGGAAACGCCGGCGGAGGTGTCACCTTCTTTGTGATGCCAGCAGTCGCAGAAGCCTTCTACAGTAATGGCTACTCAATGGGTCACTCGTGGCGCTATGCATTCCCGGCATTACCCCTCGCAGTGTTGGTTTTGACGGCCGCAGCAGTCTTCTTCCTTGGTCAAGATACACCCACGGGACCTTGGGCGACGCGTCACATTCATGGCGTTGCCGGAACACCCATCGATACGTCCGCCATGGATAAGGTTTTCAGCAGCCAAGCCGGTTCGTCTTCAAGTTCTCAGCGAGTAGCCACATCGCCGCACAGTCACAAGGAGAAGAAGCCCATCACACCTGGCGAAGCCACACCTGATGTGGAAATCGGCACGATCGGCGACTATGAGGAGAATGTCATTGTTGAAAACCCAACCATCAAGTCTGCCGCAAAGATCCTCATCAACCCACAGGTGTTGTTCCTTGTGCTGACATACATGTGCTCCTTTGGCTCAGAGCTTGCCGTCGAGGGCATCATTTCCAACTTTTACAAAGCACAAGCAAAGAGTATCGACAAGCAAGCTTGGTCTGAACAGCTCGCTGGAAATTGGTCTGCCATGTTTGGCCTGCTCAATGTCATTACCCGACCCTTGGGTGGTTACCTCGCAGACAAGATTTACCTGGCAACAGGCAACAATGTCAACAACAAGAGATACTTTCACCTCGCCCTCGGTGTAGCGCAGGGTACCTTCTTCATCTGGATAGGTCTCGTGCCGGGTCTCAAAGTACACTCGTTGATTGCTGCCATGTCCTTTATGGCCATCTTTTTGGAAATGCAAAATGGTTCAGCCTTTAGCATTGTCCCACACATCCTGCCACAATCAAATGGAATGGTCTCTGGTCTCGTTGGTGCTTCGGGCAATGCTGGCGGTGTCATCTTTGCCGTTGTCTTCCGCTTCATTGCACCAGACTATCACAGAGCATTCTGGATCATTGGCTGCATCATTCTGAGTTTACATCTCGTGGTCTGCTGGGTGCCTATGCCGAGAAAGTGAAATGGCTGTCTCATACTTTTGTCGTATTCCTATAGATTCTTTCAACTTAAAGCTTTGCATTGATTTGCTAGACAAGTAGTTGAATTTGCATACAGTGCTTCGAGAGTTCTCCGAGGATTGTTCGACATTTGAGAGCACTCTGGATGCATGGCTGCTAGCATGGTTTGGTTCGTGTCGAGAGCGCTAGAATTGAGGGCTATATTCCCATGCCTGGGGCGCAAAGCGCCCTAGGCGGTTTATATAGACGTTTCATGGTTTTAATTGACAGCACTAGCCGCCGTTCATCGTGAAATGCAAAGATGAGTACCCTTGGGTAAGTGTCGGAGCTCTCTATAGTGTCGATTCTGTTGATGACTGCTTTTCTCTGATGGCATGGTTGGCTGCTTCGAATCTTCAATGAGCGCAAATCATCAGATGGCTCGGCTCAAACCGACTGTATCTTCGTCTATCTATCAATTCCCTAAACAAACGGGTTGCAGACTATCCGTTTCTCTATGTATGCTTCAGGATGTAATGAAGTTCGCGTTAGATTGAAGGAAGCCAAGCAGCTTGCTTGACCTGCTTCCATATCAGAATAGAGCTTGTCAAACAGTGTTATACAATTCGTGGTGCAAGCTGAAGGCAATGTCAATCCTGAATTCCTCTTGCGTTCATACTGCAATACATGCCAGCAATTCCATAATCTCAAGATGTCTGGCTTCAGCTTTCCTGACCTTACGGAGCGCTCAGCACGACTCAAATTTTGAGGGTTGAAGCACACAATGTATTGCTTTCAAAGCACCGCATGATTGGGAGACTGCAACTCTTGCAGACTCTGCGCACATCACTTGAGTGGATGAATATTTCGGGCGCCGAGGAATCCACAGGCCGTGTTACTGGTGCAGGAGCGGCGAGGTTCATATGCCTGACAGGCTGCTCAGGCGGGCTGTTCAGTCCGAGGTTGCGCACAATAGGGTCGCTTGATGTGAGATAACGCATTTCTGTCGATAACCTCGCCTGATAACCAGTCGCTATTCGCCGCATCGTGTACGAGTGCAAGAAGTTTGTCAGCTTGTCGTTCATCCTCTCCTTCTCGTCTCTCTCTAAGAATTTTCTGACATGGTCGACGAGCTTGTATTGCATGGTCTGCCCATCAGCTTTTTCGTTGACAGCTCTGCTGATGTGCATATAGCCCTCAGCCGAAGGCAAAATGTTTTGGGACCCACTTGACCTTTGCCATTCGTCTAGAGCGAATCTGCATCAATCCCTTTCTGCTCTAGTTGTCACGGGAGCAACTGCACACTTTGTTCCAAATTGGCTGGCGAGATAGCCGTGGACCTGTTCGTCTTTTGCATACTATTGAAACCCGTCAGATGTGCAAAGCTCCGGGGAGAGGCGTGCTACTCCAAATCGTTGGTCGAGATAACGAGAATCGCGATCAGCGTATTCATCCACCACAACCCAGTGCCGCAGTACTTCTGGGACAGGTATGCCAAGTACAATGTGGAGCATTTTGATCTGACCTTAAAGCTCAAAATTGTATCCACCTTTCCAACATATGCCGTGACGCCAGCGCAATCAACACGCAAATTGTAGCGAGAACGTATAAAATGAAATGAGTCGTCCAGGACGCGTGAATAGAGTCTTGGCACCTGATTGGCCTGACTGCTCGAAGCGACAGTGCCTTGATATTCTGCACTAGCTTCAACGATGCCTGCATGTGACGCGCTGAGAAGCGCAGCACTTGAAACTAAAGTGTCTGGCTCGCCTGGCCATATCTCTGGAACGGTACGATGATTATGCTTTTATTTCGGCGGTCGATGAAGGACGCTGAAGACTCAGACGGGAAAAAGCAATATGTGCTTCAGCTATGCACGGAAGCAGTAGGAGATGCAAGTTCAGAGATGTTTGCACGCGTTGTTGTCGCTATTCACTCTGCTCTACGCGCCTGATGCATTGGACTGTCGCGCGTATGATTGGCCAGAAGCGAAGATGCTCCCTGGCAGCTTGCGGCAGCTTATTGGCCAGAATGCCTTCCTTCTTGCACTCATTTCGACCCCCCTCATTGGTTAGGATCCACCCACAGTCGTAGGTAGAGTGCCGAATTGAGGAACTTCTTTCTGATCGCGACTGTGCAATCTGAACTTCTATCTTCAGCAGTACAGTATACTACTTCCGTGCATAGCTACAGCGCATATTGCTTCGCTCATCTGTCACATGCAGCCTGTCGTCTGAGGCTCCAACATCGCACATCGACTGCGGAAGTCAGCGTATCCTTCCTTCCGTATCAACGATATGGCCAGGCCGAAGGGCAGCAAAAGTAGACCAGGCGCGCGTAAACCTGGTCGTGCATCCGCAACGGAAAGAGCTGCCAAAGCGCCAGGTCAAGCAAGACTGAAGTGTAAGGAATCTTGAGTCGGTATCGTCCACAGGATCTGACAATTAGTTGCCAAGGTGGCGCGTGCGAATAGGCATGCAACAGCATCTGCAGCTCTGGCAGATGCGACGACAGTGACGACACCTATTCAAGATGGCGATGCAGCTCTGCATAGCGTCGCATCTGCAATGCCAGTCACCATGACGGGAGTAGATCCCGCTTCTCAATCTTCAGTCGCCAGGAATCAGGATGATGTGAGTATGGTAAACTCAAACGACCCAGAGAAAGAAGGCGATGCGCACAATACAAGTACTGCAGACATGGCGCAAGACGCGACTGACAGGTCTTCAAGTGGTGCCAATGCTTTTATCGATGTCCTAAGGGACAGTAATGCAAACCAATCAGCCCGCGGTGATGTCAATAACGATGATCCCACGACAGAGGCGACCACTACGGAGGAAAGTGATGGGAGCTCAGTTGAAGTGGATCTCATCCATGAAATCAAGGCCAAAATCCAAGACAAGAGGATCAAGCTCTACGAAGAAGGCTCGTCGTTTTGGATTCATCCGCCAGATCCTTCAATTCACCTGAGTGATGAACCAAATCATGCGAAGGTCCTCGTCCAACCCTCGGTCTTCGTTTGGCATCCAGCTCTGTGGAGCAGGACTGGGAACAGGACCGGAAAAGCTGATGAAGAAGGCCGTCTTCCGTGTCCACGATGCAAGGGCGGTTTACGCTTCAAAGGATGGTGTGAATCACCGCCTGCTCGGCGCATACACGACGACGGGGGGCATTTTCTGTTGATGGCTTATCGCTACTTCTGTAAAAATCAATTTTGCAGCTTAGGAACCATCAGCGCAGCCGATACCGAGTTGCTAGAGTCTTTACCCCACGACCTACAACTTGCCTTCCCTGCTATTCTCAGTCATCGTTCTGGCATTTCCAAACAACTATTTGAGCGCTTTCAGGACAATATTGCCAACGACTGTGGTCCGGACCCGTGTTTAGCAAACATCAGGGTGTCTTTATCAAGAAAGCGAGAGGACATTTGGACGCCTCTCAACGCCAACATGCCAGAATCTGGTGACAAGGTGAGATCATGCGGTGAATCTAAAGATCCCCTCCAGTCCAAGGGACTTGTACCTAGTGTTCACTGGTTGACTGATTTGTTCACAAAGGACAGGGCCAAGCAGAAGCCAAACTTGCATTACATCAACTCAGGCGATCCTATTGTGTGCAACCTCGGACCGACCGGATCGTCTGAGCAGCCTGTCAATATTGAAAATCTCGCCGCTTCCGCACCGGTACCACGGCCTATTGATCTCTGTGCGCCCGAGATTTTCATCGAAAAGGGAAGGCACGCAAGTGATGTACGCAGAGTTTGCAACAGTTGCAGTCTCAATACGTGCAGTGCACACCAAAGGAGACATTGTGTGCTTCATCCCCAAAATCTGAGTCGTGCTGAGCGCTCCTTAAGATCAGGGATCCTAAGGCCAGATGCTTTGAGATTATGGAATTGCTGGCATGTATTGCAGTACGAATACAAGAGGCATTCAGGTTTGACAATGCCTACAGATTGCACCACGAATCGCATGAAACTTTTAGACAAATTCCAGTCTGATATTGCGAGCAGATCAAGCAAGCTGCTTGGCTTCCTTCGATCTGACGCAAACTTCATTCAGGATGTATTGAAAGTGTACATTGAGGAACGGACCATCTACAACCCTTGTGTTCAAGGTACTGATAGGTAGAGGCAGAAGCAACCATGCGAGCCATCTCAGAATTTGCACTTCGAAGCATGCGATCAGGCCATGTTCCTTTCACTGTACTGTATAGCTATAAAACCTGAAGAAGTTGACCAAGAAGGATCACCCTTTCCTATTCGCTTTCTTTTGGTCTCCATCCAACTTGAGTAATGGTGAATCACGCATAGAACCACCTGAGCTATGACTTCTCGCACTCGCAGGTCGAGCAGATCGGTTCACCTTATGGCCGTTCTTGCGCCGGCTGTAACCACTATCGCTCGACTCGGCATCGCTCATGGCATTGTGATGGTCATGTGTACAGCCAACCACCATCTTGATGGTTCCGTCGGGTTGCTCAACTGTCGTTTCAATGATACTGCCAGAACGCACCCGTGACGTTTTTCTGCCGTGCAAATGACGATCTTGTGGCACTTGCAGTAACAAGGGTCGTTGCTCGTCTGCTTCCTCCTCATCTGTCTGATAAGACTGATCTTGCTGGTCCTCCACATCGGAATTATTGAGGTTGTCATGCATGGCAGCACGCTCAGACGTGGTACCGTATCCGGGTGACGCACTGAGGTCGCGCTGACCCGCATCACGCAGACCAGGTCGTTCGCCAGATTTGCTTGGTGTCAGATTCACATTAGTAGTGGGCTTGATGGTAACTTTGGTTGTTTTCGTTTCTGTTGGGTTGTGCGCAACGTTGGCTGGCCTAAAGAGCGGCTTGCCAGTTGCTTGCTTGCCACCCGTCAAGAGATTGAGATCCGTCTTTCTACGCTCAAGCGAGGTGAAATTGATACGATGACCTTTCCTCAGGGGCGCAGCATCGAGTCGACGCGTTTTTTGGTGCACGTCAATGTAAACGTCGCTCTCGTCGACAATTTCTTCACCAATGAGCTCTTCAATAATGTCCTCACATGTTAGCAGACCTAGCGCCCCGGCTGGCTCCCCTGGTCGTTCAGACACCAATACCATATGCGACTTGCCCTCTTGGAAAAAATTGAGAATATCGAGGCACGATACTTCAGGTCGTGTTTCTGGGAGCGTTGCGAGGGTGAAATTGCTGACAGGTACTCTGTCATCTGGATCATAGGTGATGAGGATCTTGACGAGCAGCATGCCGACGAAATTGGTTGGGTTGCCTGGCTGGTAGATGGGGATGCGCGAGTAACCTTCCTTCAAGATGGTGTCGACCATGGGTTCATCCAGAATTGTATCAGCGCTCATTGTAAAGACATCCTCAATCGGTGTCATGACGCTTCCGACACTCTTGTCCTTGAGGTCGAGCACAGCTGTGATGATGGTGACTTCATCTTCATTGAGTCGGTCCGCACCTAGCGTCTTGTGGAGCGTGACGAGTGTTTTGAGACCTGCTTTCTTGTATACTGTGCCCTCATCATCGCCCAACAAGTAGTCGAGTAGCTTGGCAATAGGGTAGGCGACTGGGTACATGATGTACATAAGTCCCAGCATAGGAGCCACGAAAGCAGCACCAATGGGCAATCCATAACGTACACACAATGATTGAGGAATAATCTCACCAAAGATGACAATCGACACGGTAGAGATGGCGACAGCGTATAGACCGCCAGGGAGGATACTGTCCATCACAATGGGGAGTGATTCGTTGGTGAGGACATTACAGAGGAGAAGCGTGACAAGGACCCAGTGTTTGCCACGCTTGAGCAGAGACAGCACTTTTGCAGCATGTCTGCGTTCGCGTTCCTCGCCTGACTCTGCAAGGACTTGTAACTAGATGTGAGCGGCATTCAATGCTTGTTGGAAGCTTACATTGATGATATCTTGACCCATGAGCGCGATAGTGAGTCCGGCAAAGACACCACCACCAAGAATCAGTACGACAGACACACCGAGCTTCCACCAGAACTGCGGCGAGCCTGGTTGTTCATCGGGAACATCCGGATGTGCTAGAGCTGCATCCAAGGGACGCGCGGACACGAGTTGCCTGAGTCCGGCTGCAACAAGAAGACAGAGTCTAAGGCATGTTCCTGCGAGCGAGATGGAGTGCGAGGGCGCCCTGTGCTGATGGAGCATGCGCAGACTTGGTTGGAGTTGTGGATGCAGATGCGCTGAGTGTCGAAGGCGAAAATCGAAAAGAAAGCAGCGTCATGCTGCAACGAGGGGCAGGGACGAGGGGGACTGGCCATGATGGAGACGGCAAATAGTGTTGCAAATGGGGCCTATGTCAAAGAGTATTTATGCCAGCTGAATATCTGTGACTGTCTATTTTCCCGGCCTCCGCACCTCCGCACTTGGGCCACAACTACTGCGACTGACTGTACAACTACTAGCTCTAAACATCAGATACAGTAGATGCAGGTCCCTCAGCACAGCAAAGACATTGGCGTGTCCTTCCCAACCTCACAAATTCTCCTCATCACCCTCCAGCGTGGCGAGTTCTCCATGATGAACAACGCCATGCAGCAGGAACTCTCCACCCTCATGCAGTGGTATGACCGTGAGCCTTCGCTGCGGTGTGCCATCATGACAGGCAATGGACGTGGCTTTTGTGTTGGTGCAGATTTGAAAGAATGGCTCGCCATGAAGGCTGCTAATCCCAATGCCAACGATCCAGACCTTGTTGGTGGCTTTGGTGGTGTTTCCCGACGCAAGGGAAAGAAGCCCTTGATCGCTGCCGTCAATGGCATGTGTCTTGGTGGTGGTATGGAGATGGCCGTCAATTGCGACTTGGTCGTGGCTTCTGAACGCGCCGTCTTTGGTACACCGGAAGTCAAGCGAGGTGTCTTTGCCAAGATGGGTGCCATTGGCAGGCTCGTCCGATACCTTGGTCTGCAACGCGCCAGTGAGCTGTTGTTGACTGGTGCAGACATCTCCCCGCAGACTGCTATGCAGTGGGGTCTCGTCAATCGCGTCGTTGCACACGACAAGCTCATGGACACGGCCATGTCGTTTGCCAACCAAATCTGCGCTAATTCACCCGATTCAGTGATTGTGTCGCGAACAGGTATGCTTGCTGCTATGGAGCACGGCAGTCTCGAACGCTCTACACAAGTCCACAATGAGTCTGCGGAAGTGGCACTGCTTGAGAGCGGAGAAAACATCAGGGAGGGACTTGCGGCATTCAAGGAGAAGCGTGAAACACGATGGAAGGATTCGAAATTGTAAGCACTTTTATGTTTTATCTATTCTAGAGTCTATAGGAATGAAGCCATGATGACGGCGAGTGAGCCAAGCGACACTGTGACCAAATTGGCGTCTGAAGCCCGAACGGTGCCTGTGGACGATGGCCTTGCAGAACCACTGGCAGAGGCACCACCGGTCGAGGTTGCATTCGTGCGAGAAGCATTGAAGTAATTGCCAGATACAACCGTCAGCCTGTTCAAGGTAATGAAGGCAGCGAGGTTGAAGTTTTGAATGGCACTCTGATTGCCGAGGGTGATGTTGGCACCTGCTGGTTGCTGGAGCAAAAAGAAGGCATATCGATGAGGAGCACTGCCGGCGGGAGGTGATGGAGCGCGATATCCGCTCAGCACGTTGCCACTTGAGATATTGGTCGGGGCTGTAGATGCCTGCACATCAGTCACCAACCAGTGGCGAATCTGAGCACTCGTCGGGTTTTGTGGCGTGGGTGCATCCGGGTCGACCATGGCCACCGTGTACCTGACATTGGCACTGCCGGTGAAGTTGATGAGCGGCGCGAAGCTAGTCACATTCAAGTCGAGTGCATTGCCGTAGTTGACGATGCCGCGAGGGTACGTAATCACAAAGGGATCCACGGTCGCAGTGAAGGCCGGGACAATCTTTGGCACGAGGTTTGCATTTCGTAGGGTCTGTACAATCTGGCTTGTTGCATTCTGTGCAGTGACGGCTGCTGCGAGCAGGAGAGCAGTGTACTTCATGGTTGTACAAGGTGGTGGTGGTGGTACAGATGCAGGGTGAGATCTGAGATTATGCCGCATCTTGAGATTTTATCTCCCTGACAGCCAGCCAGCCCCTGCGCCCCCACGTGCACAACTCGTCTCATCCACAGGTCGCCGTCAAGTCGTGCTCTCAGCTCGGGCTCCAAGTTTCCATGCAAGCGATCCCTATGCTAAATACTGATTTTGACTTCACATGCCAAATAGATGGCTCTTCATCGCTCCGGGTGGATTCGCCACCTTGGACGCCATCTTGAGCATGTCCTTTCCATCAAGCAATGTCTCATCAGCATAGAGGCCAGCCTTCTGGTGGGTAGTGACCCCTATGGGCCCTATCCCGAATCGTTTGTTGGATCTAGCAACGCCGAACCAGGGCGAGACTTCATCGATTCGTGCGGTCTCAAGCTCTCGGCGTGATTGGCGAATGACACATGTTTGAGCTTTGCCGTTTGAGAGAAGACAAGTGAGCACCTGGGCGGATCCATCAGTCCGTGACACCCTCTATAACGCGACCGGCGCGGTACAAAAGACTGGCTGCATGCCGTCGAACACTACTGCTCTTGGCCAGCAAAACACTAGCCAAGGACAAGCCAAGCACCCCGCCAGCCGAGACAAGTAGTGCTTCGAGGATCTTGGACTGCCGCGCCTGTCGCCGAATCACATCTGAATACCGAATGTCGTCCCTGAAACTTACCATCGAGTACATGGGCACCCAGCTGTCTTTGAACAGGCGACCAAAGAGACCATCCAAGTGACGTCGGGCAAGATACAGCCGAGAGGTGACGGAGGACCGCATCTCGATGTAGTTGCCCATGGCGAGTTTCAAAATAGCACTCAAATCATCCTTGCGTCCTGCAGAATATGCCTCAAGGGCAGCGCCAAGCTCCCATGTTGCTTGAGGCGTCACCTTGTGTTGTTCAAGTAATGTATTGAGCACACGCAAGTCTTCGAACCCACAATTCATGCCCTGGCCGTAGAACGGTACCATCGCGTGCGTTGCATCGCCGAGCAAGATACAGCGGTCCTTGTAGTGATAAGGAGCACATGTCACTTGGATGAGAGGCGCTACCGGATTCTTCTGCCAAACTTCACGAAGCCGGTCTTCACCAATCTTTGGCAGAGCATCGGGAAAAACATCTCTGAAGAAAGCCACTGCCTCATCTGGCGTCTTTTTGAAGAGATGTGTCGGCGCAAAGAGCGTACTTGTGAACGATTTGTCCGGGTTAGGCAACGCAATAAGCATGAACTCTTGCCGTGGCCAGATGTGTAGGTGATGGGGCGATAATTGGTAATCATCATTCTTTGCCGGCATAGACAACTCCAAGTACTCATGCTCAATGTACTCTTGCCGCAAATTCATTTTTTGTACCCGCATCATGGCACTGCGTACCGCAGAGTATGCGCCGTCACAGCCCACCAACAAGTCAGCATGCACAGGGACGTCCGTGTTGCTTGCCTTGCTCGTAAAGACTGCCTTGTGATTATCAAAGTCTGCGCTTGCAAATTTGTGCTCAAAGTGGAGCGACACTTTGTCATAGCCATCAGCTTCATCCAAGAGATCGATGTTGAGCTGCGAGCGATCAATGGAGTGGATGCACTCGCCAAAGAGGCCGTACAGCTGGCTATCCTCCTTGCCATCAACATGGATCATGCGGCCTTTCATTGGAATACTCCGCGCCACTAGCTTATCATGGTAGCTAGCATCGATGCTCTTGATGGCGCCGAGCCCACGCGCCGACACAGCGAGGTTGATGCTGCGACCCTGTGCATTCTCGGTCTTCCTTGGGTCTTTGCGCACGTCATACACAGAGACACTGTAGCCCTGCTTGGCAAACGAGATGGCTGCTAATGCGCCAACAAGCCCTGCCCCTACGACGACGACCTGGAAGTCTGACATGCAAGCAAAGACTGTGTGGTGTCTATGCTGCTGGCTGTTGATGTAATCGCACTTTGTTCAGATGAAATTCGCGCCTCAAATGCAACCGCACAAGACCGACAGACACCACAAGCTCAAATCTCAACTAATACAGCGCTTATCTACTGAAGTCTTGGGCATGTCTTGCTGCCTTACTCTTTCTCCATCATGACCACGGCACGGCCATCTTACGCGCCATATCCACGAACGCTCTTTGACATACGCCGGTCTGAGTATGCACATCTCGAAGAAGCTGTCTACCTAGACAATGCAGGCGCTCCGCCTTACGCTGTCTCGGTCATCACCCGCCAGGCGAAGGATTTGACTTCGACGCTATACGGCAACCCACATAGCGCCTCTCCAGCGTCCCAACGCACCGCAGACAAAGTTGCTCAGATTCGCGAGCGTGTCTTGCGTATTCTCAATGTGAAGGGTTATGATTTAGTCTTCACGTCGGGTACAACCGCGGGCATCAAGCTTGTGGGAGAGTTGATGCGCTCAGCTGGATCCTGGCATATGCGTATTTATCCACAAAGCCATACGTCGCTCGTTGGGTTGAGAGATACGGCTGATTCATGGAGCCTTGAAGATCCACCCTACAAGCAATCGTCAACATTTCAACACTCGGAAAAACACATTCTCTTTGCCTACACTGCTCGGTGCAATTTTTCAGGGCAAACTTCACTATTCGCTGGGGGACGCTTGCCGGCCGCCACATTTGAGCTGTGCGACGCCGCGACCTATGCGCCGACTCACCCCTTGAATATGGATTCATGCGCATCCACCGATTTTGTCGTGCTGTCGTTTGGAAAGATCTTTGGCTATCCAACTGGCCTGGGAGCTTTGCTCATCAAGCGCGACCCAAGATTGAGCAAACTAGTGCAGGGTCGCAAATACTTTGGCGGAGGAACGGTCGATGCCGTCTCCAGAACTGACGCTTTTCGCGCAATCAAGACTCATGTGTCTTTTGCCTTGGAAGATGGAACTCTGCCTTTCCACAGTATTCTCGCGCTGGATCATGCGTTGGACGTCCATACAGAATGCTATGGCCAAGACTTCCTCAACAATATCAAGAAACATGTCACCTGGCTCGGGAAGCGCGCACACGATGCAATCCAAAACCTGACTCATGCCAACGGCAAGCCCCTTGCGCAGCTCCTAAGCTTGAGAGGGTCTCCAATTTTGACTATGCTTCTCTTCCGCAGCAATGGCGAGCCAATTGGATACAATCAGGTCGGTGAGCTGGCAGGTCTTCTTGGAATCCACATCCGCACCGGGACTCTCTGCAATCCTAGTATGCTAGCTGTCCTTGGCATTTCGAGTACACAAATACAGGCCAACTATGCCGCCGGTCATGTCTGCTCTGGTGTTAGGGATGTCATTGACGGTAAACACACTGGCGCTGTGCGCATCAGTCTGGGCGCCATGACGGACACCGACGACATCATTGCCTTCGTTCACCTTCTGACGGACTACTTTGTGGAATCGGATGATGCTAAGGCTGTCACTGCGACACCCGCACCCATAACGTTGACACAGCTCAATGTCTACCCCATCAAGTCTTGTCGAGCTTACAATGTACCCAAAGGCATGGCTTGGCGTGTCCTACCCTCTGGCTTGGAGTACGATCGGCAATGGGCAATTGTCAATCTTGACACACGGCAAGTGCTTTCTCAAAAAAAGTTCACCAAGATGGCTCTCATCCGGACAGAGATCTGCGACACGGAGCTGATTATACGCTTCAACAAGGAAATACTGCATGTCCCACTTGAAATCAATCCAGAGTCGCTCAAGGCAATTTCTTGCAAAGTTTGTGGCGACGAGGCTCAAATCTTGGTATATTGCGACCTACGGCTGGAACATGCTCTGTCGGCATATCTTGGTGTACGCTGCACTCTGTCTGTAGCAGACCCTTCAGCCTCGCGATCTGCCAAGCTCGGCTTGTCTAGCAGCTGGTCCCAACTTAGTGCCGGTGAGCGGCAAAACAGACGCGTTCAGCTGTTGCTTAGCAACGAATCTCCGTTCTTGTGCATCTCTGAAAGCAGCGTTCGAGCCATCAGGAGGGCTGCAAGTATCTCCGGCGAGGCTGTTGATGCGGCCAACTTCCGCGCCAATTTTGTCATTCAGGGTCTGCCTGCCTTTCAGGAAGATGCGCTTCAGTCACTGCAAGTTGGAGAAAGCAAGTTTGCTGTCCTGGGCAAGTGTCGACGGTGCTTGATGATTTGCATCAATCAAGAGACGGGCGTCCAGACAACAGAACCGTATGCGACACTCACCAAGATGCGCAAATCAAGTGGAAGGCTATGGTTCGGCATTCACTTGGATTTGGAGGAGGGGACGACAGTACAGGTGGGAGATCATCTCGCGTATTCATAGCTTATACAGGAGTAGCATATCGTATTGCTTCGGCATCTTTCAACGGTCCTCTGCCCATTCATTCTCGCGGCGTATCTGTGCTTCCTCCTCTGGTGTAAAGTCATTGACAATGTTGAAAGTCTTGCGAATCTCATCGGGTGTCTTTCCCTTGATCATATTGGCGACAGTCTTGCAGCCACAGTCGAGCAAAGGCTTAATGTCCATGTAGTTGGCAGCCAAAATAATCTCAAAAAGCATCTCCTGGTCCACTGCCATGAACTTTTGGTCCCACTCCGACATGTCTGTGGATGATTGTTTCCTGGCCTGTTAGCTGACGCGTCGCGAAGTGTATTCTCCTACTTTGCAAGCGCATTATTGGCATTGTCATCCTCCCTGTCTGGATTTGGGTCCTTTCTGTGATGCTCACACCACTCGAGCACCTTCTTGAGAACATTGGCATTCACGTTTGGCAAGGGCACCACAGTGTCGTCTTCGCCGATATCCTCCACCATGTTCTTGATGAGTACCGACTTTTCTGCGACTTCGAGATCCACTTGGAAGGACTCATTGTCGGAAGATGTGAGCGTGATTTGCTGCGCAGCAGGAGCAGCGGCGGCCATGATATATATGAGAGAGAGAGAGAGCTCTGAGCCTTGATGTCGTCTCTTGGTCTGAGCTGCGGTCGTGCTGGCGCTCAAAAGCCAGTCACAAATATGGTCTATGCTCAACAACTACTTCAATGCCTGTTGCTACTGCTCTCTGCTCTATACAGCACTGTACCCGGATCTCGCGCCGGATCCCTTGACAGTCTCAACCACCTGGTTGGCGAAATCCTTGAACAAGAATGGAATATCTCGCACCGTGTCTACTGTGGGCGTAGGATCCATGCCTATCGTGCCATAGCGAGAGTAATTGCCATAGAGCGTCATGAGCAGGAGTGCAGCAACTGCCATAAAGACAACCAAAAAGAACCTGCCGTTAGTCTTGAAGCGCATAGAAATGATGTGTTTACCATGTAAAGAAACCCCAATGAGAGGACGGCTTGCCTGGTGCTGGTACATCTCGCTCTGGGTCATCCTCGCATGCATGCACGGTCTTCCATTCAATGGTCGCTTTGCCGGCCTTGTCACTCTCGAGCGTCGGCTCACCGTTGCCTGCCTTTTTGTCACAGACGAGCTCAACCACGGCGCTCTGTGCATCGCCGTCCCCATTCTCCAAGCCAGAGAAGGCAAGCGACAAGCCATCCTTTGACTTGGTCGCCTTGGGCCCGTTGACGCCCATTGCAAGTACTTCCACAATTGTCTCTGTCTCTTGCTTCACGGCCGCTTTTGTTCGACATACAAAGGTGTTCTCTGGACACTGCTCCGCAGCATCCACATTCTTATCGAGAGGCAGCGGGCTGCACAGATCCAGTGCATACGTTGTGTTGGTAATGGTGGGTGGCGTAGAATGAGAGACAGTCAAGCGATGCACACCTGCGAGCGCATTGAGGTTGAAGCGGACCTTGTCGAGTGTCACTTCGCAGTCCCAGTCAGCCGCCGCGACTGCTGCCGCAGCATAGAGCCAGAGTGCAGGGCGTCGCATGGTTTGCTCTGTGCGCAGGATGACGATTTTGAAAGTTGGCCAAGACGCAACCTGAGCACTCAACTCATCAACTCATCAGCTACCAGCAGTTCTGAGGCTAGGGCGCTCCAGGCTGATAATTAGAAAGAGAAAGATAGAAGGCAGCGCATGGGAAATAATGCAGAAACCCCCTTTGGCACGCTCTTCCTCAAGACGCTCGAGTCTGTCCTCGAAGTGGTCCTGCTCTCTGCAGGCGGCTATATCCTCGCCAAGGTGCGTCGCTTCGTTCTCATCTATGGCGCTAACTGCAGAACAAAGTCTTGCCCAAAGACTCACAAAAGACCATCAGCAATATCAATATGAACCTCTTTACGCCGTGTCTGGTGGCATCAAAACTGGCCGGCTCGCTCTCGACAGATCAGTTGATTGATCTGTGGCTCCTGCCCATCGTCTTTGTTCTGCTTACGGGCGTCTCCTGGATCGTTGGCAAGACGGCATCCAAAGTGATGGGCCTGCCTTCAAAGCAGACCAGGTTCGTGATTGGATGCACCGTGTTTCAGAACAGCAACTCGCTGCCTCTTGCGCTCGTCTCTGCATTGGCCTACTCGCTCGACGGGTTGTGGTGGGATCAGCGGGCACCGCATGATAATGACGAGGCAGTCGCTTCCCGTGGCATCCTCTATCTGCTCGTCTTCTCTCAGCTCGGTCTGAGTATTCGATGGTCGTACGGCTATAACTATCTCTTTGCTGCACACCGTCCTGGCGACAGAACAGAGAACGCAAGTCTGGCTGGCTCAGATGATGAAGAGGCGGGCGAGGCTGACGAAAGATCGCGCTTGCTGTCACCTTCTTCGCCAAGCAGGAAGCCCACTGATGCAGCACTCGGTGAACCAACGCTCCGTCGCAACACTTCAACAGGCTCTGGTGCCTTGACTCAATTCCCTGCACTCACAACGCAAATATCGCAAACAAGGCTTGGCGACCGTGTCAAGACTTGGCCGCTCAAGGCGCTCAAGACTTTGTGGGGCTTTATGAATCCACCCTTGTGGGCAATGCTCATTGCGCTCGTTGTGGCTTGTGTGCCTGGGCTACAGCCCTTCTTCTTCACAAAAGGCACCTTTGTCTTCAACTCATTAACAACGGCAGTGACAACCGCAGGGAATTGCGCAGTGCCGCTCATCCTCGTTGTGCTCGGTGGCAATTTGGCACAGGAAAAGGGTGAGGCAGGCGAGCCTTTGCCGCATTCGAAACGCACCATCTGGACAGCTATCGTTTCCCGCATGGTGCTTGTCCCACTTGTTTTGTTGCCTCTTCTCGCCATCATCGCCCGATTCGCGCCTATTTCCGTGGTGGACGATCCAATCTTTATCGTTGTGCTATTTCTGCTCATTGGCAGTCCAACGGCTATCCAGGTGGCGTCCATCTGCCAGCTCAACGATGTCTTTGAGGAGGAGATCGCAACCATTTGTTGGTACTCGTATGCGATTCTCACAATGCCGACGACTTTAATCTTGGTGGTCCTGTCGCTCGAAGTGGTGAAGCTTAATCGGCTTGGGCCATGGATGATGCCCCCGTGAGTATGAAATTTCCGCAGTAGAGTTACATATGTATTGTCATGTAGAATCAATAGCTAAGCGGCTACGAAGCATGTTGCGAGAAGATGCCGAAGCTTTCGTGTCTATAAAAGATCACTGGATGTTAATAGCTGAGACTATACCGCCTTTCACCGCCATGTTCAGGCAATGCAGCTCGTTGGGACTTGGATGCGTCTAGTGTTCAATCTTGGTGATGCAAAGACGCTTTGACTACGGACGTCGTCGACTGCCAGGATGTCCACCTCACGCCTGCTATTCACATGAACATTCACAGCGAGTCAGGGACAGGGCGATTCAGCACAAGGACCACAAAACTGCATAGATCTCAGCAGCGAAACAGCAGAGCAGCTCAAGATGAGACAAGATAAATGATAAGATCCGTAGGATACAGTAGTGAGTGCTATGTTCCTTAATGCAATTCTGTTTAGATCTCGTTGTCTCTCTTTGATCCACGAATCAGACCAGTCCTGCGAGCAGCGATCAAACCGACCTTCTGACCAGGAACGGACGAACGAGCCATTGTTGAGGCCTTTCCGATATGTTGGTGGTTCTAGCGTACGTTAGCATGCTGTTTGTATTATCAGACACTCGTATGCATCGTAGATGCCTGTACTCTCGAATTTTGAGTCGTATGAGCAAGCATCCGCGAGACAGAGTGTACAATAGGAAGGAATGACTTACACCACCACCGTGAGGGTGATCAACGGGGTTCATGGCAACACCACGAGTACGTGGCCACGAGTTTCGCTTGACCTTGAATTTGTGGAAGGCACGACCGGCCTTGAGGAGGGGCTTGTCGACACGAGCACCACCGGCAACAACACCAATCATGCCACGAGCAGCAGAGGGAACAATCTTCTTTGCGCCGGATGGGAGCTTGAGACGTGTCTTGCCAGTGTCGAGGTCGTGACCAACAACAATCACATAGTTTCCTGATGTACGGCCGAGCGCTCCACGGTCACCAGTCTTTTCTTCGACATTGGTGCAGATGGAACCTTCAGGCATGGCAGATAGAGGAAGGACGTTGCCCACGGAGAGAGATGCCTTCTTTCCTGCGTAGATGAATTGGCCAGTGTACATGCCCTCGTTGGCGATGAATGTCTCTGTGTGAAGCTTGTACTTGTAAGGGTCGCGGAAGACAACCCGGGCGAGAGGAGCACCTCGTCCTGGGTCGTGGAGGATGTCTTTGACGATACCACGCAGGTATCCGGATCGCTCTCCGTAGTCGAGTGTGCGGAATTGGGCCACACCCTTTCGGAGCCTGGTGTGGGACTTGAAGATGCCGCCAGATTTACGCTGGGCACGAATGACACGACCCATAGCTGCTAGATGTGTGTCGGGATGCTGTTTCTTGCGGTGTCCTCCAGCTCGTTGCTTCCTTGCTTCATTGTCGCTGTCGGCCAGAAATTCTTGTTTGTTGGCCGGGACAGTCACAACGACCTCTCGCCATCATCAGCACAGTGAGCAAGCTCAAGTCCCAGACAGGGCAGCAGGCCGCATGAGCAGGCATGCAGAGATTGCCAAGAAGCAGCTCGACCAGGCAGGCAAGCTCGATAAGGAGCTCAAGGCAAAGCTCAAGCTAGAGCCGCCATATGCCACACAAGTGATTGCTGTGCGGCGTGAACTGCGCAAGGCCTATGAAGATGTCCTCTTTCTGGACTTTCGCTATGCTCAGGAGCGCGATGTAGAAACTGCTCTCTGGATGAAGGCTCATCATCGCTCTATTGAGGCATTCCGCTCGCACATTAGTAAGCTCTCTGCGACTGCTGAAGGCAAGAAGCCTGTCGAACTCCGCAAGCTCGTGGGGCACTTTATTGATTTTCTCAAGGAATCAAGCAAGTACTATCGCGCACTCGTTGCTCGCCTTATATCGCACTTTGGCGTCACTGAACTGCACCATGTGCTCCGTATGCTCGACATGGAGATTCCCAAGCAGCAAGTCAAGTGCTCAGCCGATATGCGTGAGAGCATTACAAAATCGTGTCATACAATTTTTGTCTACCTGGGAGACTTGTCTCGCTACAGAGAGCTGCAAAGTGTCTCGAAGAACGGCGAGAAGAATTGGGGCCCGGCGCTGGGATACTACCAGTTTGCTCGCCGCTTACTGCCCACTGCTGGCACACCCATGAATCAGCTTGCTGTCGTGACCATTCAGACAGGCGATACATTTGCATCGAGCTACTACTTTCTGCGAGCCTCTTGCGCCGCTGAACCATTCGCGACTGCTCAAGAGAATCTGGCGCTTGGCTTCAAGAAAGTACTCAAGCGTCCTGCTGCACCGGATGCTCCAGTCGCAGATAGATTTATGCGCTTGCTCGCCCAGTCTTTCGGGGAAGCCGGGATGGAGACAGCTGATCCGCTAGTGCAGCTGCAGCACGCGATTAATGAGCGCAGTATTGCGTGCGACACACTCACACGTTTGGTTTGCTCCATCATTGCTGTGCATCATCTCAAGCCGGAGCCAGCAAATCTGCAGCTACTGTTGGACACGCTCAAGGTGCTGTTGGATGTGCTCTGCGAGCAGATGAATGTCATGGCAGACACAGGCGGCGAACTTGCTACACGCGTTTCTGCCGTCGTACGGCGCATGCTCCCCGCACTACGGCTCTTGTCACGCTGGCTATCGCTCAACCTCAAGCTGGGCCGACCCCTTTGGAACAAGTACATCCACGCCATGACGCTCTGCGGTAGCAAGTTTCCTCGTCATCTACTCCCAGCCATTCAGCCCTTGGCAGAAGATATCGACATGCGAGGCTTTTCGCCCCTTGACGGTGGTCTTCGAGCATCTGCCATGACGGACGTGGAAGTCACTGAAAATGAAGTACCTTTGCGTTTATCCGCATTTCTCTCGGATGCGGCAGACAATGCTGCAGCCATCCACTTTGAGCTTGCCAAGAATACAAAGCGCACAGCACGCGACCCCAACCTCGTGGCTATGCATCAAATGGTGGATGAGCTCGTTACTTGATCTGCGACTACTATATGCGAATCTCGTAACTACCGTTCTTGGTCAGGTACCGGACCCACTTGACGCTCGAGTAATTGGACTTTTCATATACTTTGAGGTAACGCACGAGCATCCCGGAGCTCGTAAACATGAGGAGGGAAAATTGCATCGAGATGGGCGGCCGAGACCAGCTCCGCTGCGTTGTCAACGGCGTCAGATCGGCTTCCGCACTCAATACGTACTCCGACTGACCGGCAAATTTAGGTATTCTTTAGTCAGTATTGTTGTGTTTCGAGGGATACTTACTTCCACTGAATGACATTTGATGACGGATCATACTTGGCCTTGCCTTGTGACGCCCGTGATGTGATGCTTGATGTGTTGAGTGGCGTTGGTATTGATACCACGACATTGGTGGCAAACAAGTTGGCTGCAAAATTGGCCTTCACGGCAATCTGGTACTCCACCTTGAGCTTGCCAAGTTCATTGACAATGGGATGTACGCGAAAGGGCAGGTTGATGTTTTCTGTCGATCGATAGCGCATGAGTTCAAATCCACCGTCCTATTATTAGAGATGTAGTAGGTCGAAGGACGTACCGGTGGAACAAAGCTGATCGTGCGGTCTGTGTCAAAGCGACCAAGCTTGACGCATTGGTGGAACTGGCAATCCTCGAGCGTGACGGAACCAGCCGCCGCTTTCGTCTCTTTTGGCGCCTTGTTGCCGTGCGTATTGCCTGTCGCGTCGCCCTCGCTCAACACTAGCTTGTCATTCAACCCAAAGCTGCATTCTGGCGTCCCTGTCAAATATGCGCGCATTTGAACATTGCCCTGCACGTCCGCTCGCAGGATCGTGCCTGTTGAGCTAATGAGCAGATTGACAGACTCGATGATGTCAATAAAAGCTTCATTCTTCTTATACTTGATGTCCTGCCGACGCCAAGATGTGGCTCCTGTAGCTTGAATTGTGATTTTGGTCGACTCGTCCTTTGCAGCCTTTTCTGACTTGACACCTTCTGTCGTTATGTATAGCTTGAGGGTATCTGTATCACTATTCTGCGGGTAGCCAAAGTCGACCACCTCATCCAGGAGCTCGTAAATCAAGACAAAATTGCTCTTGACGGCATCCTCATCCAGCTTGCCAAAGTAGCTTTTGCTCAGCGTTACGAGGCGATTGAGGAACTCAAAGACTAGAGCAGCATTTGTATTGACGCGAGTCACTGCAACGAGGTAAAGATTCTCGTGCCTGACGTGTAGAAATGTAGTAGAGCCAAGAGTCATGACGGGCGAGCGCACGTCTGCATTGCTGACGACTTGAATGCGAAAGGCATCAGCTATGGAGCGTTTAAGATCATGGCGATAGAGCCGGCTAATGAGCACCTCGCCTTTGAGATTGATGAAGAAGATGGCCGAGATCATGGCAAAGCAGCAATAGCTGAGGAGCGAGTTGCAAGTGCAAGTCCATCTACGCGTGCTGCAGGAAACTACGCAGTCACAAAGATCTGACCGTGTAACTCATATCAGAGAAATATCACCTTTCAAAGGAGACTCTAAAGCATATGCAGCTCTTCCTACGACGCTCTATCTCTATCACTACTTTGTGGCACCATTGCGTCATGGCCTCCAGATTTCGCTGCCAGGTCGACGACTGCTTGACAGTAGACCAACAGCCGCAACAGCCTCGCATCCACAGACACAGACATGAGCCTGTCGCGCAAGCTCAGTCATGCCAGGACGCCCTCGCTGGCAGAAGTGTCGACCAAGACGCAAGTGTATAGCGAGACTGGCAAGTACAATCCACGTCCAATCGCGCACTAACCATAGTCGGAGTCAACGAGAGCATCAAGTCGTATCGCTTTCTAGAGGCCCTGCGTGTAGGCGACTTGCAAGAGATCGACAAGCACTTTGACGAAAGCGCCATTCCTCCTACAATTTTGGCTGTCCAGTGCGCCGATGCAAAGACGTTTAGCTATGTCCTGAACAAGGATGAGGATGTCAACGCCCGCGATGCGCATGGCAACACAGCCCTGCATCATGCAGTACAGCTGGGCAGATCGGAGATTGTTGACATTCTGATGGATCACCCTGAAATCAACGACACGGTCCAAAACGATGAGCGCAAGCAAGCCTTTGAACTAGCAGGCAACGCCGAGCTCGCCCACAAGATGCAGGCCAAGCGCGGAGACTACATCGAAAAGATCAATCAGCATTTCGCCCAGGCCCTCAAAACCAAAGATGCTTCTTTAACTGATTTGCTGGACAACCCTCGCGCGGCCTCGCTCCTCGACCTCAATAAGCAAGATGCAGATGGCAACACTGCCATCCACCATGCGGCTCACAATCGTGATGCGTCGCTCGTCTCCTTACTACTCAATCATGGAGCGGATCCATTCCCACGCAATAGGAAGGGTAAGCTGCCAACTGATCTTTGCAAGGACGACCGCATCAAGGCGCTATTCAAGAATGTGCCGCAGAAGACAATGCTGAATGCTTCTCCAAGTGACCCCATCCGGTATGCCGGTCACCTCAAAAAGTGGACCAACTACAAGTCGGGATACAAGGCCCGTTGGTTTGTGCTTGAAAGTGGCGTCTTATCATACTATCGAAGCAAGGATGAATCTGAGACGGCATGTCGCGGAAGCATCAACATGAAGGCTGCACGCATCAACTATGCTCAAGGCGACAAGACCAAATTTGAGGTGCTTGGCCCGGATAAGAATGGATTTCACGTAAAGGCTGCGCATCCTACAGAAGCCAAAAACTGGATCTGGAATTTGAATCAAGCCAAGATGCAAGCTCGAGACAAGGGCAAGCAGCCATCAACGTCAAAAGACTTGACTGGGGCACCTATTGCCATTTCCGCAGCTCCCTCTGTCTTGGACATGCCCAACTCGTATGCCCCGAGCATCGGATCCGTTGATGAACACTTTTCAGACAATGAGTCCGAGGTCGACTCAGTGCTTGATATTGGCGACGAGCCTCATAAGGACTTTGGGCTGACGGCTAATGCGGCCAAGGTACAGCTGGAGCTCATGGACCAGATTTGTGCGCAGATGCCGGACGCAAGTGAAACAACAAGCGCATTCCGTTCATCTGCGGCGTCGTTGCGCGAAATACTTACACAGCTCGTCAAAATGAGTGGTGAGCGCGAAAAGTACTGGCGTGCTTCCATCAGTCATGAACGCGAGGTACGGCGTTTGTGGGAAGAGACTATGCAAACACTTGCAACGGATCAAGAAGACATGGAACGCAAAGTATACGAAGCCAAAGTCAAGCAGAAGAACACGCGCAAAGCCTTGAAGGAAGTCAAGTCGGAGCTTGACCGTGTCAAGGCAGACACGCCTGCTGGATCGCCCATCACGGATGCGCCTGACCCTATCGCAGCCGATGTTGCACCTTATCTCGACAGCGAAGACTCGTCAGATGATGAATTCTATGATGCTGTTGCCAGTGGCTCGACAGCTGCGTTGGGTGCATCTGGTATTTCTCGAGCTGCTACTATGCAAAGTCCTGAACCGATTGCAGAGCGGGATGAAGTCGCTCAGCAAAAGCCAGCAGCACAGACTGCACCTGCCCAATCCGAGTCCGAGTCACGCATTACAAAGTCATTCAAGGGCTACGAGAATGGTATCCGTACCACCATGGGTCGCCAAGACGACCGGCCATCCGTCTCCTTGTGGGGTATCCTCAAGTCCATGATTGGTAAAGACATGACCAAGATGACTCTGCCAGTCAGTTTCAACGAAGCTACCAGTCTGTTGCAGCGTGTCGCAGAGGATATGGAATACACAGATATCCTCGACAAGGCAGCAAAGACATCAGACCCAACTGAGCGAGCGCTCTACGTGGGCGCCTTTGCCGCTAGCGAGTACGCAAGTACAATTGACAGAGTGGCCAAACCATTCAATCCCTTGCTTCACGAAACGTACGAGTACTGTCGTCCAGACAAGGGCTTCAGGTTTGTTGTCGAACAAGTCTCGCACCACCCACCGATTGGTGCTGCGCATGCAGAATCCGACAATTGGGTCTACTACGGTGAGTCGAGTGTCAAGTCAAGATTCACTGGCAAGACTTTTGACATCAACCCGCTGGGCACATGGTATTTGCACCTGAGGCTCCCTGATGGCACCGAAGAAGTCTACAGCTGGCGCAAGGTCAATACCCAGGTAGTTGGCATTCTGCTTGGAAGCCCGACTGTTGATAATTACGGCCCTATGGTCATCACAAACCACACGACTGGCGAGCAATGTAAGCTCGAATTCAAAGCGCGTGGATGGCGAGGCGCTGGTGCGTACAAGGTGGATGGAGTAGTCTTGGATCGCTCAGGTGAGGAGCAATGGGTCGTTCATGGCAAATGGAACGAACAGCTTTATGCACGTAAGGCAAATGGCGGACCTGCAGACGGCAACATGGTTGTTTGGCAGACGAATCCTCGACCAAAGGGTGTGCCCTTCAACCTGACTCAGTTTGCCATGACGCTCAATGCTTTGGATAACGGCCTCAAATCGCACCTGCCGCCAACAGATACCCGTCTGCGTCCCGATCAAAGAGCAATGGAGGATGGACAATACGACTTTGCTGCGACGGAAAAGAACCGTCTGGAGGAAAAACAACGAGCACGACGCAGAGAACGCGAAAAGTCTGGACTCGAGCACGGTGCACGTTGGTTCAAGCAAGCGAAGCATCCAGTCACCGGCGAGGAATATTGGGAGTTCACAGGTGATTATTGGCAAGTACGTGAACAAGCTGCACAAGGACAAGTAAGCTGGGACGTGGAGGATATTTTTTAGACGTCCCGATCATAATGCAAATTGCCTACACCTTTTGTTGAGTGTTGAATGAGTGCAACGCTGGCTGTTGCTTGACCGTTCCCCGAGCCCGCTCCAGTCGTGTTTGTTCTAATGCAGTCTGGACCCAGCCAGCCATGTCCACCTCGGCTGCTGCCCACTTGACCATCCAAGGGTGTTGCAACAGCTGTGAGTACAACGGGCGGTTTGTGGGCACCTTGTTGAGACACTGCCGAACAAAGTCGCGCGCTTCATTTGAGTAAACGTCCTTGGGCAAATCAGGCGGTTCACCATCGCAGATGGCTTGCAGCTGAGCAAAGATGTTATTGTAAGTCTCTGGCGGGTACGGGTAGCCTCCCTTGGCCAGTTCGAGAATGGAAAGACCGAGTGACCAGATGTCCGAGTGTACAGTGTAGGTCGCCGGTCCAGATGAGGCGTTTTCGCTCTTGATGCGTTCTGGTGCCATGTATGATTGACAGCCAATATTGGTCTTTGCAATGCTTGCCACAAGGTTGCCGCTCACTCCAAAGTCACAAAGCTTGACTTCGCCTTTTGAGTTGAGCAGGATGTTGGTTGGCTTGACATCACGGTGGATAATGTTGTGCTGATCCTTCAGGGTGCGAAGTCCTCGCACAGTGGCGAGGGTAATCTTAGCTAGGACACCTTCATCGACATTGGTGGTGTAGACCTTCTCCAGCGATCCGCAGTCCATGAACTCCATGAGGATATAGACGCAACCTTCAACAAAAAATGCACCAAAGAATTCAACAATTTCAGGGCACGCCGCCCTGTGCAGCACGTCGAGTTCCATGACAATGGAGGAGAAAACCGATTCTTCCAGCGACAAACGAATCTCCTTCATAGCCATCTGTACTTTAGTGAGCTTGTGCACCACTTTCCAGACTGTGCCATAGTTGCCACGACCGAGCTCTTCGAGCTTCTCAAAGTCGTCGATGGAGGCCTTGAATTCGCGGCCGTTGCCAAAGTTGACACCCTCGCTAGATAATACAGCTCCCTTGAATTTGAGCGATCCAGTCGCCGTATCCCTGTCGTTAGCACGAAAAGAAGTAGAGAAGCGCTTACAAGACATCGGAGTATTTGCTGAAGTTGTTCTGGTGAGGGTCGCTCGGCTTGGGCCCCGAGGTAGGTCCTGCCATATCAGAAAGCTTCAGTCCACCACGTCGAGCAGCAAGGCCACCGCCTACTTTGAGTTGCGGTGCATTCGCAGCCCGTTTCGCAGCCAGTCCACCGGCAATGCTCGACATGGGCGGCACTGCAGGTGTGATGGGTGCTGATGCGCCTGCTGCTGCGGGCGGACCTTTTGTCCGATTCGCTCGTCCAGCAAACTAGCATTAGCAAGAGAAGCCTTGAGTGGAAGCCATACGCCTGCTATCCTGGCAAGTACTTCGGGCGACATATTGGCCATATTCGGTGGCGCCTGCTGTGTTGGTCTGCGAGCTGCATTGATGGCACCGAGCGCCAGGTGCTGGCCACTGCTACTGCTTGGCGAGCTTGATACAACGGGAGCCACAGCAGTAGAGGGAGAGGCTGCATTGACCGCCTGCTGTGTTGTCGAGTTGCCGACTCCGTCTGCGGCTTTTCCTGGGGTTCCCTCGTTGAGCGAGAGAGCTTCGAGCTGTCTCTCCATGATCTTTCCTCTCTGTCTCTAAGCACGTCTACTGCCTGTCACTGCTGCTTCCTGCTTCTCTCCTTCTTCTTCTACGCTCAAGCTTGTTGGTCTCTGGCAGCTTCTCTTCGCTGTCGTCATTTTTGAGTTTCAAGCTCAAGCTACATCTACATCTACATTGTTTAACTGCAGCAGCTTGCAGGCATGGCCTCGCTCTCGTATCTGCAAAAGTATCTCACTCAAGAAAAGCCTACAAAGAAGCGCAAGAGATCCCAGGTCAAGGATGCCGATCTGGGCGGATGGGGCGATGAAGCGCGGCCTGCTACAGAAGAAGAGGCCCCTCTCGTTGTAGAGACGGTGGACGTGCGCTCTGCAGGCTTCAAGCCAGCGTATGCTGCTCAGAAAGAAGACTTAGCGCTAGCTGAACCCTCTCAAATGAGCTCAGGTGCGCGAGCAGGACTGCAGACAAAAGCACAAGTCATGGCAGATGTGGAGGCCAAACGCAAACGGGAGCGTGATCGCATGCAGGTGACGCAGCAAGAAGGGAGGCAGGCAGAGACAGTGTATCGGGATGCAACAGGTAGGCGCATCGATCTGTCCTTAGCGAAGCGGGAAAAGGCTCAAGAGGCCAGGCAAGAGGCGATACGGCAGCAAAAGGAGAAGGAGCTCATGGGAGGTACGGTGCAGCAAGACGAGAGGCAGGCACGGCAGCGTGCACTGGAGCAAGTCAAGACGGAAGCCTTCAGCAGACGGATAGGCGATCTGCCCAAGGAGGACAAGGTACGCTGGGAAGATCCAGCTGCGGGCTTCCTGACGTCTAACAAGGGGTCATCCACCTCCACGCCCAAGTACAAAGGGGCCTATGCCCCGAATCGCTTTGGGATCTCACCTGGGTATCGCTGGGATGGCGTTGACCGTGGCAATGGCTTTGAAGCACGCCGGTTTCGCAAGCTCAACGAGGTCTCCGCCCAAAAGCAAGAGTATGCACGTTGGGCCACTGAAGACATGTAAAGAAAAGAACAAAGATCAACAGCTACGGACAATCATTCTATGCGTTCCTGCACCCACTTTACTGCTGGCGACACTCTTGAGGGTCTTGCTTGGGCTTGCCATCAGCCTCTGTCTCTGAGTCCTCCTCCTCCGAGTCGCCGCTTTCATCTTCATCGTCATAGTCCTGGTAGTCTTCCTCGAGATCCTCGTCATCGAGCTCTTCATAGGCAAGTGCCTCACCAGTAAACCAGTCCACAGCCCTTGGGATGAGCTTCTCCTTGATGTCCTCGCCAATTTGGTAGTCGAGCTCGAGACGCTCATCAATGTCAGAAGCAACATCATTGTCATCCTCGTCATCCGGCACGGCAGGCGGGCTGAAGAAGTTGAAGAAGGACTCGACAGGCACGGTCTTTTTGACAATGCGAGTCTGCTTTGTGTTCTTGTTGCGCTGCTTCTTGGTTTCGTAACGGACGGTGAGGTTCTTGCCCTCGTGCCACTTGATTTCATCGCCATCTGCGTGATCATACACAAAGTCGCCGCCATAGCCTGCCTCTTCCTGGTAGTAGTAGGTCTTGGTCAGGGTGCTGTTGCTGAAGAACTCATTCTCCGCAAACTGGAAGGTGAGCTTGAAGCCGGGCTTGTCGAGGTACGACATGCGGATGTCTGTGAGCGACTTGAGCGCCTCCTCGTCGCGTGCATTGATCATTTCCTGCAGGGAGAGGACATTCTTCATGGCGGTGAGCCAGAACTCGGGCACACCTTGAATGTTGGTCTCTTCATTCGCGTCTGCCTGCTCGCGAGCCTCTTCCTCATCGGGGTCGACGTCTTGGAGACCGACCTCAATCTCCTGCTCGGTGGGTTCCTTCGTGCCTGCAACGATCTCTGCGCGACGGGCATACAAGGGCGCGTACTTTTCGAGGTACTTCTTCTCGAGGGCGAGAAGGTCGTCTTGGAACTGCGACTCGAGCTTGGCGTGTTCTGCCTGGACTCCCTTGAGGCCGTGGATGCGGGTACGCACGACAGTAGGGAGAGACTCGATATAGCCGGACGACTTGCCCACGAGATCGCCGAGCCTGCCTTGGATCATGTTCATGAGTTGCGGGTTGCCTTGAAGAGCACTGGCAATCGCGTCGCGTTCCTCTAGATAATGTCAGATGGCAATCAATGCAGGAAACAGAAGCAGCATACCCTTTTCCTCGTCAATCTTGGGGACGCCCGGTGCCTTTGCGCCTGTGAGCATCTGATTCGCTGGGGTGGCGGGCGTGTTCATGGGTGTGGGTGCGAGGTCTGAGAGACGCTTGTTCTGGATGTTTTGTGCGTCGGACATGGCTGTAGGGTGTATCCGTGGATTGGCCTGCGAATACTCTGTGTCTCTGGCTTGCTCTCGACGCTGCAAGAGGATGGGAGGATGGGTTGATGGGAGTGCTGGGGGGCTGCTGGTTGGATGTTTTGCTTCTTTTTCTCTTTTTTGGGTTGAGAAGCAGGCACCAGGCAGTGTCAGCACAAATAGGACTGGGGAAGGCGGCCCAGGACGGCAGACGGGCAGAGCAGGGTAGACGAGGCGAGGCAGGAACAGGACAAAGCAGCTGGCTACGGGTCTGGGCTGGTCACCGCTTGGGCCTTCTTTTGCTAAGACTATACTCATGGAGGGTGGCCTGCTTCCTGCATCGATTGAGCTGCCTGTACCGGGTCTGTTGCTCCCAAAGATGAGCCTGCTCAATACATACGAGTCGAGGATGATACTGATCCCATCCCATAGCGTCTACACTGTTCTATAGCAAAGTAAAATAGCAGACTCAGCTAGCAGTATTCTCCTTTCGCGTTCAATCACAAGCAAAACGACGCGCACCAGCAACAACCACCACCACCACCTCACCAGGCAGTCGCAGCAAGCACGGCCCTGCTCTGAGAAGCACAAGACACAACAGGGCAAAGGCCCTCTCCATGGCAGATCACTATAATGTTGGCCAGCGATGTTGGTTCCAGCACGACGACCAGGCGTATGTCTCTGGCGAACTGACCAAGCGCACACAAGATGGACCCAATATCACCTTGCTTTTCACGGATGAAGAGGGCCGGGTAGGTCATCAACTTACTGAGTACTTGCGCTGACCCTAGCAACATACAGTCGCCACGACAGAGGATAAAATCAAAGCAGAAGACGCGTTCCTGCCTCCTCTGCGCAACCCGGCCATCCTGGAACAAGGCATTGAAGACTTGACGGACCTCTCAAACCTCAACACACCTTCTGTTCTTCATGCCATCCGGACGCGCTACCAGCAGCAGCAGATTTACACCTACTCGGGCATCGTCTTGATTGCGGTCAACCCATTCCAGTCCATCCCCGCCTACAGCAACGAGTGGGTCCAGCAGTACTCCAACAAGCCCAAGGTATCCATTGAACCTCACTTGTTTGCCATTGCAGAGGAAGCATACCGATGCATGAAGCGCGAGGGCAAGAACCAAACAATCATTGTTTCTGGGGAGTCTGGCGCAGGCAAAACCGTATCGGCAAAATACATCATGCGATACTTTGCAACAGTCGAAGACCCTGACCAGCCGCGTGTCCGAGATCGCGCTGATGGCATGAGCCACACCGAGAAGCAGATTCTCGCCACCAATCCCATCATGGAGGCCTTTGGTAATGCCAAAACAACGCGCAATGACAATTCTTCGCGTTTTGGCAAGTACATTGAGATCCTCTTTGACAAGTCGTATGAGATTATCGGAGCCAAGATTCGCACCTATCTGCTCGAGCGCTCAAGGCTCAATTTTCAAGCTGCCACGGAACGCAACTACCACATTTTCTACCAACTATGTGCTGGCTTGAACGCAGAGCAAAAGAAGCTACTGTCTCTTGAAGATTGCTCCGCTTACAAATACCTCAATCAAGGTGGCGAATCAAAGATTGTCAACGTCGACGACGCGGAAGAATTTGCCGCCACGCAAGCATCCTTAACGACCATCGGTGTTTCTGAGGACGACCAAACCTCAATTTGGCGCATCCTGGCTGGTCTCCTGCATCTCGGCAATGTCGAAATTACGGCGTCGCGCGATACAGCTGTCCTCAGTTCTACTGACGAAAGCCTTGTTAAAGTATGCAGCCTCCTTGAAATTGATCCGGCCCTCTTTACCAAGTGGCTCATCAAGAAGCAAGTCAAAGCAAGGAATGAGAAGATTGAATCAGCTCGCCCCCAAAAAGAGGCGCTCGTGGTGCGTGACTCCATCACAAAGTTCATCTACAGCAGTCTCTTTGATTGGCTTGTTCGTGCCATCAACACAAGTCTCGCTTCCGACGAGGTGTTGGCCAAGGTCAAGTCCTTCATCGGCGTGCTCGACATCTATGGCTTTGAGCATTTCCAGCGCAATTCCTTCGAACAATTCTGCATCAATTACGCCAATGAAAAGCTGCAGCAAGAGTTCAATTCGCATGTCTTTAAGCTTGAGCAAGAAGAGTACCTTCGTGAAGAGATCCCCTGGGAGATGATTGACTTTTCCGACAACGGGCCGGCCATTGACTTGATTGAAGGCAAGTCAAGCATCTTGTCTTTGCTCGACGAGCAATGTCGATTACCCTCTGGAAACGATGCTGCATTCAGGCAAAGAATCACAGAGACGTTCAAGGACAACCCCAACTTTGAGGTGCCAAAGCTCAAAAACTCGTCCTTTACAGTCAAGCACTATGCGCTGCCGGTCACATACGAAGCAGACGGCTTTTTGGAAAAGAACAAGGATACCCTGCCTGACGAGCTCTTTGAGGTATTGAACGCCAGTAAGAATGCCTTTTTCAGGGACGTCCTTGCGAGTTCTGCAGCACTTGCACCGGTTGACGTCAAGAAGCCTGGCACTGTTGCACGAAAGCCGACTCTTGGGTCTATCTTCAAGAACTCGCTCGGCAAGCTCATGGAGACGATTGATGAAACGAATGCTCACTACATCCGCTGCATCAAACCAAATGAAGCGAAACGTCCGTGGGAATTTGAGCCCAACATGGTCATGGGCCAGATGACGGCGTGTGGTGTGCTGGAAACGATTCGCATCAGTTGTGCTGGCTACCCGTCGCGTTGGACATTTGCTGAGTTTGTCGAGCGTTACTTCAGCCTGGTTCCTTCTTCCCAACTACAGCCAAAGGGAGACGAGCCGTTGGACATTCGCGACATTTCCAGGCGTATCCTCAAAGCAGTATTCCCGACCGACACTGGTTATCAGATTGGCTTGACGAAGATCTTCTTCAAGCCAGGCATGCTCTCAACCGTGGAGGAGCGACGTTCAGCCAGGCTACATGCATGTGCATTAATGATACAAAAGCACATCAAGGGCTGGCTCGTCTTCCGGCGTTACATGCGCCTGAGGGCAACAGTGGGGGCTTTGCAAGCTCTCTCGAAGGGTCGACTTGCTAGACTCAAGGCAGAACGTATGCGGCTAGAGCGTGCGCATGCCATCCAAATACAAGCAATTCTTCGCGGCTTCTTCGCTCGTCGTCAATATACAGATCTCCGACGAAACAAGGCAGCCACAACCATCCAACATCGCTACCGCGCACATCAAGCGCATTCGCGCTGGACAAAGCTCAACAGCTGTGCCACCACTTTGCAAAAGAATTACAAAGTCAAATTGGCGAAACGCGAAGTGGTCAAGCTTCGTAAGGAGCAGACAGAAGTGCGTGCCTTTGCAGAGAAGAATGCCGGCTTGGAAAACAAAATCATCTCCCTGTCGAATGAGCTGCGAGATGCAAAGCGAGAGGCAAAGTCACTGCAAGGCAAGTTGCAAACGCTCAATGCACAGCTAGAAAGTATAACGGCCGCCAAAACAACCCTTGAGACCAGTCACAGCGATGCGCAGCGAGAGCTCGCGTCTACTCGCGAGCAAGCATCAGGCTTCTCGGTGGCGACCGCTAAAGTTCAAGAGTTGCTGGCAAAGCTCCAGACCTCCGAGACGTCACTCGAGGCACGCTCCGTTGAATTTGATACTTTGCAAAAGCAGCTGGACGCCAAATCAGCCGCGCTGCAAGCAGCTCTCGATGAGGTGCAAGAGGAACGCGAGACACGGGCCTCTCTCCAGCAAGAGATGGCCAAGCTGAAGGCTAGCATGACGGCACTAGCACCGATCAATGGATCGCCAGAGACCACACGGACGACCCAACCAGCACGCAAGACATCAAATCGCCATACAGTTGTGCTACCGAATGGACACAATAGTGAGTTTGACGTCGGATTCGATGCTCGCCGTGTCTCCGTTGGAGAAGTGATTGCTCAGCGTCACATTTCGGGTACATCCATGGTGACGAGCAATGCCGACAAGATCATGGAGATTCTCGAAGATGATGACCTGATGAATAACGAAATCATGTACGGCATGATTCAAGCGCTCAAAATCCCACAAGCAAGTCTGCAGACCCCACCCTCTGAAGCGGATGTCTTGTTCCCTGCGCAACTGATCAATCTGATTGTCCAACAAATGTGGCAACAGGGCTTCGTCAAGGAGTCGGAGCGCTTCCTGGCCAATGTCATGCAGTCCATTCAACAGCAAGTCATGACTTTTACTGGCGAAGATATTATTGCGCCTGGTGCGTTCTGGATGTCGAACGTTCATGAGATTTTATCCTTTGTGTGTATGGCCGAAAACGACATCTTGGGCGGCACTCAGGAAATGGAGAGAGACGAACTGCAGGAGTACGATCGCTTGATTGGACTGGTCAAGCACGATCTAGAATCGCTTGAGTTCAACATCTACCACACCTGGCTCCAAGAAATCAAAAAGAAGCTGAGCAAGATGATCATCCCTGCAACAATTGAGACTCAATCTTTGCCTGGTTTCATGACGAATGAGCCTTCAAGATTCTTTAACAAATTGCTTCCTAGTTCCGGCCCTGCCTTCACCATGGATGAATTGCTGAATCTCTTCAACAAGGTGTTCAAGACAATCCGGTCCTTCTACCTAGAAGCAAGCATCATGAAGCAGGCCCTGACTGAAATGCTCAAGCTAGTTGGCGTTGTTGCCTTCAATGACTTGCTCATGCGGCGCAACTTTTTGTCATGGAAGCGCGGTCTTCAGATCAATTACAACATCACGAGGATTGAAGAGTGGTGCAAGAGCCACGACTTGCCCGAGGGGACCTTGCAGCTGGAGCACCTAATGCAGGCCACCAAGCTACTCCAGCTCAAGAAGGTGACGATTGCCGATGTTGAGATTCTCTATGATATCTGCTGGTGCCTGTCGAATCGGCAGATCCACCGGCTCATCAACCAGTACTACCCGGCAGACTATGAGAACCCACTCAGCCCTGAAATACTCAAGGCTGTAGCTGGGAGAATCACAGAGGAGGAACGGACAGAAATCTTGCTGGATGCCAAGCCCCTCACAGACTCTGGCGAGTTTGAGATCCCAGAGCCGCGGGAGATCCAGGCTGTGCCCATTCCATATGTGCCGTCCTACTTGAGCCTGATTCGGGTGAAGCTACTGCTGAAGTTGGTAGCCGAGGAGCAGCCTGAGCTGGTTGAGCCGCGGCCTGCTGTGCTCTCGCTGCCGCAGTCGAGAGATGAGACATCTACACAGGTATAATAGAGTTCTTCGGACGTACTTACTGCGTCTTGACTAGGTACAAACTGTTGCTTAGAAGTAGTGACTTAGTAGTGTAGCAGAATAGCCGACTTTTTGGGTCCAAGTTGCCAGCGAAACAGACTTGAGCCAGCACCAGCAGCATCCACACGGTCACACACCACGCAAGCAAAGGCCACACAGCAAGGCCCTCTCTTGCCTCCCTCACGATGAGCTCCCTACGCGTCCTAGACCTCATCAAGGTAAGCCATCCGCTCATTCGGCCCTGCAAGCTAACACAACAAGCCCTTCTCCGCGTTCCTGCCAGAGATCGTCTCGCCAGAACGCAAGGTGCCCTTCAACCAGAAGCTGGGATGGACGGCCGTCACGCTCCTCATCTTCCTGGTCATGTCCCAGGTGCCTCTGTACGGAATCGTGTCGTCAGATTCCTCGGACCCGCTCTATGTTTTGCGGATGATTATGGCCTCCAACAGAGGAACCCTCATGGAGCTTGTAAGGCCTGAGCCATCCAGTAGAAGTTTGCTGACAGCAGGGAATCACGCCTATTATCACGTCTGGCATGTTCATTCAGCTCCTGGCTGGCTCGCAACTCATTGATGTCAACCTCGACCTCAAGTCTGACCGCGAACTCTTCCAGACCATGCAAAAGGTGCTGGCTCTCATCATCTCAATTGGACAGGCTATTGTGTATGTCGCTTCTGGTACCTATGGACAACCTGCAGAACTTGGATGGGGTGTGTGCCTCTTGCTCTGCCTCCAACTCATCACGGCCTCCATGATTGTCATCTTGCTCGATGAACTGCTCTCCAAGGGCTATGGTCTGGGATCTGGTATCTCTCTTTTCATTGCTACCAATGTCTGTGAAGGCATCATCTGGAAAGCATTTAGCCCAACAACTGTCAACACCGGCAAAGGCCCTCAATTTGAGGGAGCCGTCATTGCCTTCTTCCACCTCCTCTTTACGCGCAGCAACAAGCTTGGTGCCCTGAGAGATGCCTTTTTCCGATCCAATCTGCCCAACTTGTCCAATCTGGTTGCAACGGTGGCTGTCTTTGCCGCAGTCATCTATCTGCAGGGATTCCGTGTCGAAATCCCAGTCAAGTCTGCCAAATTCCGTGGTCAGCGTGGTACTTTCCCCGTCAAGCTCTTCTACACGAGCAACATGCCCATCATGCTCGAGTCTGCGTTGACGTCTAATGTCTTTTTGGTTTCGCAGATGCTTTACAACAAGTTTCCCAGCAACTTCTTCGTCAGCTTGCTTGGTGTCTGGGAAGGTGTCGAGGGCACCGGTCAGATTCGTGCCACGTCTGGGCTCGCCTACTACATGACTGCTCCTCTGTCGATGAAAGAGGCCCTCCTTGATCCCATCCACACTGCTGTCTACGTTGTCTTTATTGTCACTGCCTGTGCCACGTTCTCGAAGCTGTGGATCGAGGTATCTGGTTCCAGTCCTCGTGATGTGGCCAAGCAGCTCAAGGAGCAGCAGATGGTGATGGCTGGTCACCGCGAGCAGTCTATGTACAAGGAGCTCAAGCGCATCATCCCTACGGCAGCCTGGCTGTCTGGTGCTACGATCGGAGCTCTGGCAATCACCTCTGACTTGCTCGGTGCCCTGGGATCTGGCACGGGTGTGCTTCTGTGCGTGACGATTCTGTATGGCCTGTTGGAAGCTGTTGCCAAGGAGAGCAACAGCAATGTGGCCGGCATGGCTGATCTGCTGGGCCTGTAGATAGCCGCCTAGGTAAGGTTCTACTCAGTCTACTTAGTCGACTTCTATTTACCCTACTGCTGGCCCTGGGCTCTGCCGTAGTCTCTGTAGCCTGGTCCTGGTTCCTGGTCGACGCGAAAGTGACGACGCAGCAAGCGACGCAAAGGCGACAACTCCTCCTCAAGCCTACGGCAACGTGTAGCACAGTCCAGGAGACGAGCGCATGTCAGGCGGCACCTATAGCAAGCACCCTGCTCCCTGCTCAAGCTCCATTACACTCTGTCTGCCTCGCTAGAACGACTCTGCCGCAGCCATGAATATTGGTACCCCAGCACCCATATCTGACGCGAAACAGCCCCGGCTAATTGACCTCCCAGACTGGCAGCGCGCCAATAGCTACGGGTCCAAGAGTGACCCTGGTGCAATGAGCCCAGGCCGCACACAGGGCGCGTCTCCATACAAGTCACCTCGCAAGAGTCCACAGCTCGGACTCGGCGGAGCAGGCTCACCGCGTCTGCAGCCCCTCACCATGCGTGAGCCTCAGCAGCCTGCGAACGATCGCTTCCGACGCGTCTCGGAGATTGGCTTACGGCCAAGGTATGCCTGATGTACATTCTACTGGTGACTGACTCCAGGTGCAACTCACAACCTCCATTGCGTCGCGCCAATCCAGATGGCGGCTACCTCTCCCCATTACAAGCAGCCACAACGCACTTGCTCCAGACGTATCGCATCTGCAATCCAAATTTCAATTATCTCAGCTCGCGTAATCCCCGCAGGGTGTTGACGAAGCCGTCGGAAGGCACAAAGAATGAAGGTTTCGACAATGACGATTCAGACTATATCTTGTATGTCAATGACATCCTGGGCATTAACGAGGGCCACAAGTACCTGATCTTGGATGTCTTGGGTCAAGGCACCTTTGGACAGGTCGTCAAATGTCAAAATATGAAGACTTTAGAGGTCGTTGCCGTCAAGGTCATCAAGAACAAGACGGCCTATTTCAATCAATCAATGATGGAGGTGACAATATTGGATTTGCTCAACAACAAGCTGGATGCAAAGGACGAACATCACATCCTGAGGCTCAAGGACACCTTTATCCATCGGCACCATTTGTGCTTGGTGTTCGAACTGCTCAGCGTCAACCTCTACGAACTCATTAAGCAAAACCAATTTAGAGGTCTCTCAATCAATTTGGTCAAGGTTTTCTCTGGTCAGCTCCTAGACGCCATGACTGTCCTCAACGAAGCCAACATCATTCACTGTGACCTCAAGCCGGAAAACATTCTGCTCAAAAACTTGGAAACGCCCAACATAAAGGTAATCGATTTCGGCAGCGCCTGCCATGAACGTCAAACAGTCTACACCTACATACAGAGTAGATTCTACCGGTCTCCCGAGGTACTACTTGGCTTGCCCTACTCTGCCGCCATTGACATCTGGTCGCTTGGCTGCATTGTAGCAGAACTGTTCCTGGGTCTGCCCCTGTTTCCCGGATCATCCGAGTACAATCAAATGACACGCATTACAGAGATGCTTGGGCAGCCGCCTGCATGGATGCTTGAGATGGGCAAACAGAGTGGCGAGTTCTTTGAGAAGTCGGTTGAAACGGACGCAGCAGGCAAAAAGCGTTACCGGCTTAAGAGTTTGGAACAGTACAGTCGCGAGCATGGTGTCACTGAGCAGCCAAGCAAGCGATACTTCCAAGAGACGACATTACAGCAAATCATTGCGCGCTATCCGCTACCAAGAAAGAACATGACAGATAAGGAAAAGCACAAGGAGGAGATCACGCGAAACGCGTTCGTCGACTTTGTTGGCGGCCTGCTCAATCTGAACCCGCTCGAGCGCTGGTCGCCACAGCAGGCGAAGATGCATCCGTTCATAACAGGCGCGGAATTCAGAGGCTCCTTTGTGCCGCCCATGTATCGGCCTATTAAAAGACCTTCTGCTGAGAACCCGTTGCCGCCGCCACCATCGCATCACAATCAGGCACCACAGCAGAAGGCTGCCGAGCAACTCATTGCAAGCCAAGCTATCGCACACGAGCAGGCAGAAGCGCGAATCGCACAGAAACAAGCACAGCAACAGCAAGCGGCAGCAGAGCAACACGCACAGCAAGCTGCAGCTCAAGCTGCCGTTCTTGCAGCTCAACAACAAGCCCAACATGCCGCTCAACAGCAACAGCAGATACAGCAGCAAGCATACATGAATTCAAACCCGTACGAACAGAACCCCTATCTGCAGTCTAGTCAGTATGCATACCACCCCGGGTCGCCACAATACGAGCGCTTTCCTGGCCGTCACAGTTACTCGCAGCAGTCGCCATCGGCCGCCTCGCCCACAATGCAATACTATCCTCAAGGGATGCAGCAGCCGCCGCCCTTGCATCTCAACGTTCCGCAGCAACATCACGGGCAATACCCACAGCAACAGCAACAGCAAACGTTTGGCCAGCGGCGTGCCAGGGCCGGTACAATGGGTAATATCGAGGTGCCAGTCAACTTGCAGCGGCAGGCGCAGATGATGAATCCGCAAGTGCTCGGCAATGCCAATTACGGCTGGCAAGGTGCGATGCAGGTGGCGCAACCAAACAATTATATGGGTCAAGGGCAAGGGTCTGGCGACAACAGACGAGGTTCCATTCACCAGCCGATGGACGGAGAAAGACGCATGGATGACCCTAATCTCAATTACCTCGAGCGCTGGCTATAATAGATTCTCAGCTGGCTTCCTCTAACGTGCCTTGCATTAGAATATGCTACATGTTACTCAGACTCCAAAGCGTCACCTTGCCTGCCTCATTGCCCACGGACAGCATCTCTGTCTGAGGCGAAAAGGCGATACCGCCAATTTTGCCCAACGGAGTGCTCTGCGTTGGCCAGTTTGAAAAGACTGTGCACGAAGGTAAATGTACCATGCGCAGCGCATCCTTTTTAGCGCGACTCGCCATGGCCAGGATTTGTCCATCGCTCGAGATTTGCAAATCATGAATGCTCGTTGTGATTTGGTCCAGCGAACGCGTTGGCACAGGCGCTATCTCGTTGCCTGTCTTGCGACGATCGTAGACATTGACGATGCCTGACTTGCTGCCAACAGCGATCCACCGGTCATCCAGTCCACCGGTTGCTAGCTTGGTGGTATTCAATCCACCATAATCCGTCCATCGACGCAGCACCCGACGCTCAGCTAGATTGTAATCCCATATCTCAGCAGCCAAATTTGCAATCATCAAGGTGCCATCTTGCAACCAACGCAAATCACTGATGCCCTTTGTCACCTTGACCGCGTCCAGCCACTGGCCCGTATCAGCCGAGAGTAAATTGACCCAACCACCTGATCCAGCAAGCGCCATGAACTTGCCGTCATGGCTCAGCGAAAACTGCTCCATAGACTTTTGCAAACTTTCGTGACCGTACATGCGCGAGATCTTGTCGACTTGACCAGTCTCGAGGTCCCAAATGTGAAAGTGTTTTCTGCGACTTCCTGCAAACACCCGCTTTCCGTCAGGTTGGAAGACAGCATTTTGAATAGGCACGTTACGCAGATATAGGGACGATGCAGGTGTGTTCAATTTGCCATCAATGTGAAAGATGCGTAAGGTTTGATCGTAACCACCGGTCAGAAGCAGAGGGAAGCTCGGATGGAAAGACATGGTCTGAATTGCTGAATGCGACGGCGCCTGCTGGTTTGCATCGCGGAGACGTTTGATGGCGAGCTTGCCGGGTTGCCGAGTGCGAGCCTTGCTTAAGCGTGTGAGCGGTTTCGATGATGCAAGCAGCGCCTTGAGTGGATCAGCTGAGTTTGTCACTTCGGCTTCGTCGCCAGAGTCATCAGAGGCAGAGTCAGAAGCATCTCCAGAGCGGACACGCTTGCGACGCGAAGGTGGAAGCGCCCAATCTGGGACTGGGTAAACCTTTTCAAATTGTGCACGCAACCGTCGTTCATAGACGATCCCATTGATGACATCTTCATCTTCCGTTCGACGCAGCTTACGCAGCTTTGGAATGGATGATAGGGAGATCTGCAATGTCTCGTCATCGCTGTCGTGCCATGCAGGAGGGTAGGACTCGTCATCCAAGTCCATAGCTTGCGAATCTTCTTGCTCTGACGCTTGAGAAAGGCCATTATCGACCATGAAGAGGTCAGCATCAGCCAAACCGCCAAACTCATCGCCCTCGTCAGCAGGCGCATTCCCCTCGCCTTCATTATCGTCAGAGGACACTTCGAAGCGGTCCTCGAAGTCGTCTTCGCCAAAGACGGCCGCCTCTAAATTGCGCTCTAGCTGCGTCTTGGTAGACATCGGGTCCGCTCTGCTCGAAGTGATCTGACCTGTACAAGCTTATATATTCTCGTCGCCTTTGCAGATGTCGCAAGTGTAGCTGAATTGTGCGTGAACATTTATTTTTCTGGCGACCCGTCTCACGCATCAAGGAGCAGCCCAAGAGCACAAGAAACCAGCTGGCCTCCTACGAGCCTGCATCCATATATACTGGCCGTGTCTTGGTTGGAAGGCTAGACTACTATATGAAAGTTCTTGTGCTCGGCGACTCGCGGGGTGACTATGAACGAACCTTCAAGAAAGCTGCCTCGCTCTTGAGCAAGCAATCATTTGATTGCATCATCTGCTTGGGTGACCTGCTCCCGCCTACATGCTCAACGGAATGCTTGCAAGAGCTTTTCAAAAGTCGTCCCGTCGAAGCACCGTGTTACTTCATGCAAGGACCCGCGGGAGTCGCTGCAGAGGTCCTTGCGAAAGCCGAAGCTGAACACGGACAAGTCGCTGCGAACCTCTTCTACCTCGGCGAGTCTGGCTTGCTGACACTCACCGAAGGTCTCGGCATAGGCTTTCATTCAGAGTCCGTTCCTTCTGCGGTTCCTAGTCTGTTGGGCGCGAAGGATTTGGACATGCTTCTCCTAGACGAGCTACCACCATTGAATTCTGAACTCAAGTCACCCTATCACGATACATGCATCCAGTTGCTGGAGGGTGTGCTTCCTAAATACGTATTTGCTTGTGATAAGCAGTACGCAGAGAGAAGGCCCTTCAAGCAGATGGGCCGGGTGGTTCGCGAGATTGCCTTGGCCAGTGTCGCCAATGCCGAAAAATCAAAATGGTTTTATGCCTTCAACTGGCAAAGTCAAAGCCCGGCCCCTGAAGTATTGGCCGCAGCAGTGTCAAATCCATATCGGCAGTCGAAACCAGGGCCAGAGCCAGATCAGGAGGTTGTCACGGCCAATACGGCTGACTACCCTGCGGCTCCGGGAAAGCGGAAATCACCGCCAGAAGGCTATTGCTGCAAGCTATGCTCCCAAGTAGATGATCACTACTACAAAGACTGCCCTAATAGGCAGCAGCGGAAGCGACAAAAGACTATTCGACAAGTTGCAGCTGTTCGTCCAGACACCTGCTTCTTCTGCCTTTCGAATCCTACATTGGCAAGACACTTACTAGTCAGTATTGGCGATCATGGCAGCTATATGGCGCTGCCAAAGGGTGCAATGACGCCAAATCACGTCTTGGTCGTTCCTGTGTCACATGTACCGACCATCAAATCGCTCGATGAAGCGAGGGAGGAAGTCGAGGGTGAGATGCTACGATACACAGAAGCGCTTGACAAGTTTTATGCTACAATTGGCTCTATTGCTGTTGTCTTTGAGCTTGCAAGGTCCACTGGCGTACATATCCACTGGCAGGTCATTCCAATTGACCCACTCAAGTGCGATGAAATCATGGCCGCATTTCGCGTGCAAGGCGAAGGTGAGTAGTCTCTCAAAAAAGACAATGCTAATGGTTCAGCAAACAGCACACCGCTTCGAGAAGAATCTTCTGGTTCAGAAGCAGACGACTTTTTCAGAGTGACGGTACCGAGCAGGAACATCACCCTGACTGCTCCTCTCCAAGCTAGCGCCCGCTTTGACCTGCAATTCGGCCGGCGTGTCATTGCTAATGTCATGGGTGTGCCTAAGCGCGCCCACTGGAAGGACTGTATACGTACGGATGCACAGGAGGCCTCGGATGCGGATGCATTCAAGAGGGCCTTCAAGGAGTTTGATCCTTCTTTGTAGTTTCCTGCCTGGCACGACCATCTGAACTGGGTCCACTCATTTTTGGCAACGACACGCAAGGGAAAACAATCAACAAAGCACTACATCATCAGCCATGGCATCTGTTCTGGAGCATGAGCGCCGTGGTATCCTCATTCACGAGATTCTGACTCCGCAAAAACAGTCTCTCTCCAATACAATTCGAGAATCGCCGCTCGTTGCGCTCATGTAATTCTTCTGTGCTCAAACACGTCACTGACAATAGGCGCGAATGCATCGATACACCGCGCAGGCTGCTGTCCGACGACGATCGAGACTGTCATCTACCATCCGCGCGCAGGACTGGACCGCGTAGTGAGCGCCGGCATGGGCATGCCAAGTTAGTCGCTTTCGACCTCCCCGCAAAGTCACCATCGAAGGAGTTGCCGCTAAGCAGCAAAAGGCGTTTGCGCACATTCACAAATACATCGCCGAGCAGAGTTTTAGCTGTTAAGGATGAAAATGCAAGACCAGTGACTGCCGACGGCGCAAAGTTGGGAAGCAAGCTCAACTCGCTCAGCGTCCAAAGCGATTCTGCAGTAGAGCTCAAGTCAATGAACAAGCGCAATCGAGATCTCTTGAAGCAAATGACTATTCTTGAACAACAATTGGGCACGCTCCAAGACAATCTTGAGGACCGCGACACCCGGATCGTCCAATTGACGCGCCTCGTTCAATTCCTAGCGACTGAGGTCAATGTTTACACGAGTACGCTTGAAGATGAAGTGGAGCAGCAGCGGGCCAAGATACAGCAATTGGAAAAAATGGCAGCCGGTGCATATCACTGATTGTTATAACATTCCCTATTCCAAATTGTTCGCCCAAGAAAGTGTGTGTTTTGCCTCTTCTATTGCACGCATTAGTGCTGATGTCTGAGTAGAAGGCTTAGACAATGTATCTATAGCCAACGCATTGATGACTTTACTCGGCTGCAAAGGCAACAATTGTGAATCGTAGAACGAATTGCGCGCGGCACGCCCTTTCTGCTTGGTTGGCCTCTGCTCGTGCGTCGACTCTTGTGCTCGCAACGCTTGAGCACGAAGGAGTATCCGCTCTTGCTCATCTGCAGTGATCTGATGAATTGCACTGCTCAAAGCACGCTCTAATACAGCATGAAAATCGTCTACCCGATCCATGCTTGCCATACAAACGAACCAAGCCGATTGGACAGGCGTGCGAGGGTCTGCCATGATACGTTCTAAGGCAAGGTTTGTCATCGCTTCCTCCGGTGTTGTTGGCTCAAAAGATACAACGATTAGAACGCACTTCACGCGTGATGTAGTAGCGCAACTTTGAAGCGACTCCAAGAGTCTTTGTGACGAAGTGACCCAATCAGAGGTGCATTCAAACAGAAGAGCCGCCAATTGTCTGAGCGGTCCTGACGGAGGCTCAACAGAGAATTCAATGCTGAGATTTTTGGTCAAGTCGTCGAACGGAGCGAATTTGTTTGAGAGCCAACGCGAGCTTGGACTGGATTTGTTTTTGACGGAAACGAACATGGTCCACGGCTCTGATTGATGCTGATTTGCTAGATCAAGCCATTGTGTTGCTGGGTGTAGAGGCTGCCAAAACCGTTCAGCGAGCGTCTTGATGCGGTGAATATCAACAGCGGCTGGGGCTTCGGTCTTGAAGAAAGTAGAATAAGAGCGTTTCAGAGGCCGTGTAGGAGGCTTTTGCAAAACTGCAAGGGCTTCAACATAAGCTGCTCGTCGTTGCACTTCGGCTTCATCACGCTGTCTAGCTTCCACTCTTTGCCGTCGAGTAGAATTGAGAGCATGCTTGAGCCGATTCAGAGCAGTCCTCAGTAAAGCGCGACGCCGAGTCATGTCAGCGATGGAGTCACGTATGGCAGTTGCCAATTGATCGCGTAGTAGACCAGCACAAAGCTCCCTCGCTGTCGCCCTTATAAAATGATTGCGCTGGTCGAGCTGCGATTTACGATGTTGCAAAGAGTTCTGCACTGCGACAGCCAGGTGATCCGCGACTGCCGATTGAAAGAACCCTCGTGAGATAACCCTGAGCACAGGCTCGAAAGTTGACGGTGGCGGCAGACTAGGCTGTTGTACATTTGATAGGGTCACTTCGGACTTCTTGCGTTCCATGAAGGTTGGCACGGTTATTGGAAGGGTCAATGGCTGGACTTGAGGGGCGGGAGCTGCATTCGGTACTTGGCTGTATTGGCGTGAACGCTCGACAGATGCCTCTGGCAATGCTGGCATGCTTGGCACCGTTTTCTTTACAGTTGGCTTTGCTGTTGCAACCGGACCAGAGGATCCACGCACAATCTCATTCAGCGGCGTCGCATTCCTTTTGGCCTCGACTATTCTTTTAGACATCGTTTGTAACGTAAAGACATCCGTCTCGTCAAAGGGTACATTCTTGTGCAGCTCAACACGCTGCAATCCGTTGTCGTCTAAGGTTGTAGCGACGCCAAAATGTTCCAAGAACTCTTGCACTTCTTCTGCGTCATCGAAACCTAGCGTGTACGCCATATCATTGACGAGGATGCCACTCTGCTGAGGCATGAACGCTTTCCGCATCGCTTTAAGGGCTCCTTTACGGACTTCAGTGAATTGCGTTTCGCACAAACATGCAGACAGGTAGTCTGTGAAACAACTTCCCAGAAGCTTAAAGAACCGCGCGTAAAGATTCTGCGAGCCTTCGCAATTGGGTGCCTTGAACCGGCCAAGTTCTTCGTTGCTGCGCTGGGCAAGACTGTACAAGCGCAGGGCGAGCTGAACATGCTTGGATTTTCGGATTTCAGGAGGCAAAGTCTGGACTTGCCTGAGGACATCTGGATCTCGGATACGCGTCAGAATGTGGTAACCGCGGAACTCAGCTTCACATGGCGAACACTGACCAAGTTGCCGTTGTTCAATGTAGTATTCGGCCAATGATTGTAGTGCTAATGTCAGCCTCATTGATAGACAGGTCTTGGTTACTCTTGCGAAGTTGTTCAGTCTCTTGCTGCTCACTAAAGCCCGTGACGGCACGCATCAGATGCAGACTGAGGATGTGGAACCTGGCGATACGCTCATGACATAGGATAGCCTCAGGGCCACGATTGTTTTGCAGGGTAAAATCCTGTCGTATGGACCGAGTGCGATCACGTATAAAGCCATGGGTCAGCTCCAGAGCATCCCCGCCGCAAAGTATGTAGTCCAACAGATAGTCGAGCGTCGACACAAGCACATGCGGCGGTCTCACATCCGAGGGCAACGCCTGCTCGTTGCCTGCCGCTGGCCGATGAAAAGCCTTGATAGCACGGCTTGGATCTATACGGCCCGACAAAGGATCAAGCTCCCAGCGCTCGACATTGTTTTGGTATTCTCGCTGTTCCCGCTCAAACTGGGGGCACATATCGGAGCATGTACCAAGGAAGGTTGTTGCCTGATCGAGAGACTTGGGATGCTCTGGGTCATCAATCAGGCCTTGTTTGATGGCGAGCTGCCTCTCTCCATCACGCCGTAGCTTGAGCTCTTCATACCGATTCCCGGCAGGCCCATCGAATGTCCTGGTCGCCTGACCATTGGAGCCGCCGTCCATGCAGTGTCCTCACCAGCCGCGTGCCATGCAGAGACCTTCACAGAGCCCGGGCGTGTCTTCCTGCTATGCGAAGTTGTGCGTTTGTGGTTTGCTCTTCTCTCTCTACACACCACCACATCTACTCCCAAGAAAACCATGTCTTTCCAAGTCTTTGGCCTCGGCAACCCGCTGCTTGACCTGCAGACGAGGAATGCAGAATACCTCAAGAAATACGACCTCAAGGCTGACGACGCCATTCTCGCCGAAGAGAAGCACGAACCGCTCTATGACGAAGTGGCTAAGGAGGGCGATGTGCACTACACTGCCGGTGGAGCTGCCCAAAACACCTTGCGTGGTGCTCAGTACATGCTTCCAGCCAAGTCTACGGTCTACGTGGGCGCTGCTGGCAAGGACAAGTTTGCAGACCAGCTTCGTGCAGCCAATGACCGTGAGGGCCTTCGCACGGAGTACTATGTAGACGAAACGACCCCGACCGGCACCTGTGCCGTCATCTTGAGCGGCCACCACCGCTCTCTCTGCACACGTCTTGGTGCAGCCAACAATTACAACCTCGAGCACCTGAAGTCTCCCGAAATTTGGAAGCTTGTTGAGGGAGCCAAGTATTACTACGTCGGTGGCTACCACCTGACAGTCTGTGTACCTGCCATCAAGGCGCTTGGTGAGCACGCTGCCGAGCAAAACAAGCCCTTCCTCATGAACTTGTCTGCTCCCTTCCTCGCTCAATTCTTCAAGGACCAGATGGACTCTGTTGCTGAGTACTGGGATTACCTCATTGGCAATGAGAGTGAGGCTCTTGCATACGCCGAATCACACAGCTTGGAGACCAAGGACATTGCTGAGATTGCAAAACACATTGCTGCTCTGCCCAAGAAGAACACTCAGCGTCAGCGTGTTGTGATCATCACACAAGGAGCTGACGCCACCATCATCGCCGAGGCCCAAGCTGGAGGAGGTGAAGTCAAGGTGCACACGAAAAACACGGAGAAGCTCGACACCAAAGAAATCGTTGACACCAACGGCGCAGGCGATGCATTCGCAGGCGGCTTCTTGGGCTACCTTGCTCAGGGCAAATCGCTCGATGAATGTATTGACGCCGGTCACTGGCTTGCTCGCCAGACCATCAAGCTGGATGGGCCCAATTACCCCTTCCCCAAGCAGACATACAGCGCTTGAGCGCTTTCCGAGCTCAGTCATCACCTCATCTCAACAAGAGGTTGACTGCGAACTGATGAGTAACGATCCTTTGGCTACGTCAACAAGGCATAGGCATCATGCTTCAAATAGAGTAGTTAGAAGAATTGCTAAGACATAGCATACAAATCTACAAGCAGGACACGAGTCACGGAATTTGTTGTGTAAATCATTGTGTAAGGCACAAAGTGTCACAAGCTTGTATCTTATCATCGCAGACACGGGTAAAGACAAGGCAAGGAAAGCGGAAGACAACACTCTTGCAAGTGGCTCCGAGTGATTTTGTGTGATGCTTTTACAGATGGCCTTGCAGCCAAAGAGCCGTGGCGTAATGCGAGATGCTACTGGCGTTCTGCTTCAGAACTTCATGAGATGAGGACGGTCGCCCTTGCTGAGGGAGAACGACGAGGCGAGGTACGCGCGCAAGTCTGGTGTGCCCTTGATGATGCTGATGAGCTCCTTGTCGACGGTCTTCTGGTCCTCTACACGAGAAGCGGCAGGTGCCTTCTTCTCCTTCTTGTCGCCGAAGAAGTCACCTTCTGACTTCTTGCCCTTAGGAACCTTCTCCCGCGCAAAGTAGGCGTTGTCGAACTTCTCGAGCGAGAGGGCTGATGGGAGATCGAGCTTGGTTGAGGTGGCGATGAGGTAGGCTGGGTTCACACGACGGAGGGGCACGCCATTGACCTTGAAGGGGCCTGAGACGAGGACGGTGTCGTTGATCTGCTTGAGGGCGACCACGCGCTTTCCACGGAAACGGCCGGCGAGAATGATGCAGACAGTGCCGGGTGTGAGGGAAGAACGAAGCTTGGTTGGGTTCTGGACTTTCCTGTTCTTCTTTGGGAGGGATGAGTCGTCTGCTGGGTAGTACTTTGGAGGTGCGAGAGTCATGGCTGGCTGTTGTATGTGCTGGTCAAGTAGCAAGAAAGCCGTGGTGTACTAAGCAGTGTCTGAGTGTCGAGTTGTCGCTGGCTCGGAATTTTATTTTTTGTTTCTTTCTGTGACTGCGATGTACAACTGCGAGATGGGTCGCTCACTTATTCACTTACCTACTTACCTACTTACTCACTCACTCGCTAGTAGCTTACTCCCCGTCGCTCTCTGCAAGCACAGCCAGCCTCTGCTTCTTTGCCTTGCCTGCCCCAAGATTGTCTGAGTTTGCTGCACGCTTGCTCGCCATGAGCCTTGCGCCCTCGCCCATTGCTCCATCATCATCCGACACATCCGAGCTGAGAAACAGCTTTTGCTCAGCCAGAAAGTTTTCCTTGTCTGACGCATCCCCGGCTTCCTCCATAGCAACCTTGCCCTTTGGCATCCTCCGAGGGATTGTCTGACTGGCCTCCTGCTGCGAGGTTGATTCGAGCTGCATTTGCTGGCGTTGCTGGCGTTGCTGCCGCTGCGCCTCTTCCCGTGCAAAGAATGCTGCCATCTCCGCTTCGTCTTCCGCGTCCGAGTCTTCGATATACTTCGCAGACTTGATCTGAGCATTACGACTTTGCTCAGCAGCTTTACGCTTGACAAGACGCTCCTGCGCATCGTCGCCACTACCCGCATCATCGTCCTGCTCCGAAGAGCGCCGGGCTCGGCGCCGCCTGGGTGCAGCTCTCTTCTTCGGAACTTTGACGTTTCTCTCTGCATCAGAAGCAGCGTCATCATCGCTTGGTGAAGAGCCATCCGTGTGGTAGCTGGACGCCTTTGCTTTACGCCGAAAGAAGGTCATGACAGTCTCATCCATCTCAATGCTAGGTGGACTGCGCAGATAGCCCTGCAGCAACCCTACATTCCGTCTGAGCCCATCAAGATCTGTATCTGCAGCCATCATGAAGCTCGAGCGGTCGTCTTGATCCGCTTCGCAGTCAAGGAGTCGCAGCAATAGTCTCGCCTTATTATTCTTGTGCATCACCTCTCCAATCTCGGCCTCACCATGCAAAACTGCAGCAGCGTAGACCACTGCGGGCGCCTCTTCGGATTTAGCATGCAGCACCTGATGACGTGCAGTCCACGCGTCGCGCTCAGACAAGATGTTGGTCAGCTCTTGATGCACCCATTTGACAAATGCTTCGTCCTCTTGCATCAAGATGGCAACAGCTGCGCGAATGCCCTCAGATCTTGATGTCGATGCCTTCAACTCGAGCTCAGCTGGTGTCCGTGTCGCCTTCTTCTCTGGAGGAGGTCGATCCATGTTGTGTGTCAGATAGTATGGGTTCTGACCGAGCTTGTTGAAGAGAACCTCCCAACCTAGTGCAGGGGCCTCCATGAGCTGCTTTGCAAAACGTTTCATGTAGTAGTCGCAGAACGCTTGCAATTCGCCCCTGGCGCTGTTCGAAGAGATGGCAGTCTTGTCTTGGAGGATGCGGTGTAATAGTTCGACGAGATCTAACCTGTACAGGAGAAGCTCCTGTTGTTGCTTGACGAAGACACGATGCAAGAAACCAACGCAACGTTTTAATTGATCTCCACTCAGGTCGGCATAATATTCCAAGAGCGCCATGAATGTGTCAATGGCATGATCGTTTGTGAACTTGGCCTCAAACTTGGCAAAGTTGAACGCCCGCTCCGTTACTACTGCGCGAGCACTCTCCTCATCCGATGAGTCTTCTTGTGCATTGGCTGATGCTGTCTTGCCCCTTTTTTGGCGTTGCCGTCTTGCCCTGACGTAGACGTGTGTCTTTGTTGAGCAGTATTTTTCAAGCATCTTGAGTACAACAGATGCCAAATCGGTAATTGTATTGAGATAGCCAAGAGACTGATTGGTATAGCCCTTGACAGCGAGCACAATCTGTTCCAAGCTCGACTCCTCGTAAAAGAGATTTGCCAGTAGGTTGTCAGCAATTTCCTGAAAGCTAGTATCCGATGACAATGACATGGCATTGACAGTCATAAGAAGCTGCTTGAAACAGTCAAAGGCGGCTTGAGCTTCTTTGTAGACCTTGAGGTCCAACGCTTCACGAATCATCTTTCGCAATATTATATGAGCACGCGCCTCGAGCATAGATGCTATCAGAGTATAATCAGCGTCGTCGGCGAAGTCCTCATTGTCTTTGGAGACGGGTCGGCAAGACGATTGGGCTCGCAAGGCTTGTAAGAACCAAGCTTGCAGGTAGAAGAATTGAATGCGATTCTCAGGAGCAATGCGAAAGTGTTCATTCTCAAGCCCCTTGAGCATCGTTGAGAACAAAGGATTGAAGCCGGCTTCGAGGAAAGCGGTGGCAAAAGCTGCCAAAGTGACACGAGACTCAACGTTTATGGAGATGCTGAGCTCGAGATCGTCCTCAGACTTGATCTTCCTCTGAGGTTTGTTCCATCGCTTGCTTGCTTCAATTCCTTGGAAATTGCCAAACTGCTCGCTTTCCACGAGACCTGTCTGACTTGCCACGGTGAAGCGGCGCGAGTCTTTGACCACAGAGACCATCGTGCCAAACCTATTATGCCGAGTGTGCGCCTTGACTCGACTGTTGCGTCGCATATCCTTCTCACTGTCTAGAAGGGTGGTGAGATCAGACTTGATGGCGCTAGACAAGGCCACGGTAGGACCATGTGCGTAAACAGCCATCGGCGATACACCTCGAAGAAGACGATACATCAAGTCCATAACGATGACATCTTCGTCATTGAAGTCGGAACCCATGCCAGAGGCGAGGACGTTGATGAAGTCGAAAGCATAACCGCGCTGGAAGGCCAAGATGGTGTCAGATCTATTGATTTTCTCATCGATAGCTGCCAAATTTCGCAGTAAATACAAGACAAGACGGATGATGCCAGTATCCTTGTCGCTCCTGGAGGACCGAACTAATGCCAAAGAAGGGAATGCGACGCGCATGATGCTGCCAAGAATGTCGCAGTCAGCGTTGAATAAGATAGCGCGCTTGTAGCTCGTTTGCGCAAGCTTCAGATTCGGAAATTGCTCATGCTTCGTCTGGCTCGATTGTTCGTCGAGCTCCAGTGGCCATGTCAACGGAACAAGAATCTCCACTAGAAATTAGACACGTCGTCGGAAAAGGCTTGGTCATACCGCACGCCTGGCAAATTCGCCTTTGCACTTCATCTTCAGCATCCGAGAGAGACCAGCCCGCTAAGATTGGACACAAGTCATTGGAGACTATGTTCATGGACGCAAGGGCAGCTTTGATGTCCCAGAGATCGCGAGAGTCATCGTAAAACTTGAGCCAGCGTTTCAAGTCGCGCAAGCAGCCGAGTCCATCGTCGCCCAGGACATAGGGGGAGTTTGGCGCAGTTTGATCGCGCCCTCCAAGAGCTGAAGCAAGATTCTGCAGCGCAGCGGCGTAGGAAGCCATCGCCAGGCTGTCAAATACGTTGAAGTGTTGTGACTCGTAAGGGAGTCGCCGTCGCGTCGCGTCGCAACAAATTCCAGGATTTGCGCACGGTGACTTAGAGCGACGCGACGCTACTTTAACGAGTTACTCTACAATCTGCGCGCCTCTCGCTTCAAACGTCGCTTCTCTCATTTACATCTATGCCTTTGTAAATGAAGAAACGTCCTTGCACTGCTCCCCTTGGCGGTATTGAACTTTGATGCTACAAATCCTCGCACGACCAGCGTCCGCGCACGGCATTTGAACCATATCTTGGATCGCGGTTAAGCCAAGCATTGCAAGCAAAGCTATGCACCGACATGTTCTCCGGCGATCTAAGCCTTGCTGCGTACGTTCAAGCGTAGCAATAGCTTGGCTGCAGTGCAGGGCCTGATTGAAAGCCAGATCGCACCGTATCTGCAAAGAATCAGCTCGACTTGCCCAATGACGTACGCTGAATCGGCCTGGCAGAGTACAAAAGCTGATCATCAACCATTCTGGTGAGCTTTTAACCAGGTCTTCTTGTCGACTTGCACGACAAGGTTTACGGCGGGCTGAAAGCCGTCGAGCTCGAGGGCTCGGTGAAGCACGTACGCGGGGATGCATCGGGATACGCTAGAACGCAAAAGGCACCGGCATATGAGGGCCAGTCTTGGTGTGCCCGGCTCGCATATGGCTGGAACTTTAGGGCAGTACGTTCGGCAAGAAACGCCAAAAGATGCCTGTATCTTGACTTGCTACCATGTCGTGCAAGCGGCACCCAGTGAGCCGAGTCCGGAGGCCAAAGAAGCCTCGAGCTTTGTGTGCTCCATCATCGTCTGGCCAGCAGATGACTACCTGTCACCGATGCTTGCATCGCTGGTCGTGGGTCTCGCTAGGGACCGAGAACAGCTATTATGGTACGAAACTGATCCTGCCGAGTCAACTGTTGTAGAGAAGTTGCGTGCGCGGATCCAAGCTGACGTAGCTGTGCGGGAAGGACTCATCACTCAGCGTACCATTGGCACCGTGTGTGCAGCCAATTTCCGCCTTCCGACGCCTGTGAATCCGTCGTCCTCCAGTGGTTGTGTCCTGGTGCGAGTCATCATTACCTACACTGCGGCCTTGAACGCAATCAGTTCGTTTCCGAAGAGAGTCTGCTCCAGCTTCACAGGCTCTGCCGAACTGCAAGGACGGGAGAAGTTGAGTCTGATTGGGCGCACGTCTGGTCCCCGGACGGCATGCTGAACGAATACAATTCGTCACATCTCTGCAGCCTCCTTTCGGGGAAGCCAATGACTTTATGTCACTGGCAGCTTGAGACGAAGAGAACCAGTCAAACTTTTCGGCCAAGGGTGATTCGGTTGCTGCCGTGCTCCTTGATAGGAAGATTGTGGGCTTATCCTATGGCAGCATGACTATCAAGATGACAACGTCTTATGGCGCAGACAAGTGGGTCGACTTGTCCTTGTTCCAGAGCATTGTTGATATTGCAGAACTGCTGGATTTTGCATCGTTGGACGAGTCTTACATTGCCTTCATGTAAAGAGATGATTCATTACATCATCACTAGAATTGCGCTCTCTCGATGTGCCATTTCACCATATTTAGGCCATCTGCAATCAACTTAGACAAGCCAAGGGTGGATGAGGTTTGTAGTGAGTGGTGCAGCAATTTGACAATGCGCTGGAACAAAGACAGGCTGACCCGCTGATCTGCGCCGTAAGACGTGCTCATCTTGACGTGATTCCACCATAAAGTAAAACCACAACCTTCGTTACACAGTAGCGCCGTGAGACTTCAAGACTCCGAGCTACCTCTGTTGCTGGCAAGCTCCCTCCCATCTCAATATCTGAAAACACATGATGAGGTCCCCCAAATTCAACTTTCGAGCTCCGGCGAGTCTACCAGGGTCAAGGAGCATAGACGGCCTGCCATCCTAAAGTGTCGCCTTCGTGCTGAAGTCTCGTTGCATCGCTGTGAAGTCGTCTGGCTAGGGTCATTTTGCCGGAGCTTGACGGTGAACATACCGCTATACTGCTAAGACTTCTGCTCTTCGTCTAGGGAGATTCGTTTCACTCAGAGTGCCAAGTGTCTCGGCAATTCCAGTGAGTCGTGCTCAGGTCAGACCGCGGACTGCGCCAGCTTCCATGGTGCAAAGTCTGTTGACAGACTTTTTCCCCTCGTCAAGCAAGAAATCAGCCAGCAGACCTGCAACGGCGACAAGTAAAGCCAATGTCGTGGGCGCACTCAGTTCGCAGCCCATCAGCACCTTCCCTGAGAATCAAGCTGTTTTGCGCACGCTCTCACGTAGTGCGCAATTCGAAGAAGCAGAGGAAGCGCTGACAGCCCAAATCCTGCCAAAGCTGAGGACCCTATCGCGCCAGAGCCACCGCCAGTGTACTTACGCCACAGGACTGGTCGAGTATCAGAGTAGGCCGTGCATCATGGTTGTGGTGGACGAACCTGACCGCCTGGCAGGATGCCTCGACTCAACATATGGCGGTCTGGCCGTGGTCGTTCTCAAGGTTCAGCTTGCACGCATGCTCACCTGGCAAACCGAACCACTGGTGATCAGTTGTATGAGAGCACAGTCACTGTAATAGCGATTGCCACGTTTCGGCAGGTGGAAATGACCAGCAATGGCCATACCGAATCCATGCTGCCTCTTTAGCACATCATGCTGACTTTGTGCAATGGCTATATGCTCCCGCCTTAGGTCCGCCGACCGCCACTTTTGTGGATCGGTTTCGTACCAAACCAATTCGGCTTGCCACTTGGCTATGTCTGCGTCCTGTCACAAACGATTGGTTCAAGCGTCTCATGTGCGAAGTCAGCCCAAGCCGGGACACTCGGCCTATTTGTACGGCGCAAAGTCGACAGGGAAATCTGCGCGCTCACATGCTACCATGTAGCACAACAGGCTCCACTTGTGCGTGCTTTGCCAGCACAATTCGAGCAGTGTCGCATTGTCAGCCCCGCAGATGATGACCTGGCCTTGATGCTCAAGGAGCTAGAGGCAGACATAGCCAAGTGGCAAGCCGAATTGGTTTGGTACGAAACCGATCCACAAAAGTGGCGGTCGGCGGACCTAAGGCGGGAGCATATAGCCATTGCACAAAGTCAGCATGATGTGCTAAAGAGGCAGCATGGATTCGGTATGACCATTGCTGGTCATTTCCACCTGCCGGAACGTGGCAATCGCTATTACAGTGACTGTGCTCTCATACAACTGACAAACCCTACGAAAATTACAGTCAGGAGCAACCTCATCGGTCCTGGCGGGAAATATTGTGAAGGCTTTATTGACCCAGAACTCCTTGTTGGCAGGGAGGAACTCTTCAAGATTGGCCGCAGTTCAGGGCTGACAACGGCGAGTCTCAATGGCTACAAGCTCATTGCTGCTATGAATACGCCGTTTGGGGTTGCCGAGGAAGTTCCGAGTTACGCGATGTGGAAGGAGGATTATCAGAACATTGTGTCGCAACCAGGAGACTCTGGAGCCGCGGTCATTTGGGCAGAACATTCCATGGCTGTCGGACTGCTCTTCGGCGGAGTGATGGTCGAAGTTGAAACAAAACATGGAAGAAGAGTGGTTGATTCGAGCCTATTCCAGAATATTCTCGACATCGCTCAATTGCTAGACATAGAGCCCCTTGTCGACTAGCCAGACGATGGTGTATCACGAGTAGAGAAATCCAAGTGGCTGCAAAGTAGGCTGTACCGTGCTACCAGCACAAGGGGTACATGAGATGTTGAGAGCTAGACAGGGCACGCGGCCCCTGCATTTGTGTCTTACGTCTCTGATCCAGACGCTTACAAACACGAGGTGCCTCGTCACCAGAATGCGCACCCTGGTCGTTAGTATTGTTCTATGCACCCAGAGTTCCTTACACCCAATGTATGCCTGACATAGATTCTCCAAGGACGTCGCTTGCTGAATGAGCTTCTCCACTTGAATCTTGACGTCAAGCTCATTGTCTGGTTTAAAATCCCGCCCCGTGAGCTTGTTTGACACTCTGTTCAACACATTGACTGCGCGCTGATTCAACACCTCCGGCTTGTTTTGAGCTTCGCGCAATTGCTCACTCTCATCAGGTCGTGTCCTCCGCACTGCCATTAGGTTCTCGTCAACCTCACCATCCGCTTCGCCAACAGATGTGCGACGACCTTGCCCATCGCCCGGACTTGGACCCGTGGTCAAAAGTCGCCAGTTGATGAGTGGATCGTACACAAATGCTTCCAGCACGGCCATCAGTGATTCCTTGTTTTCTCGAAGCACACGCATGACGTGCTCGCAAGTGATGCGGAAAGATCCTTCGATACCACTGACTTCCATGGCATTGGTCAACATACGTGTCAACCTAAAAGGGATTCTCTCAGGAAACTTTTCTCGGTGCATAGCAACCTCGAAGCAGTCTCCGAAATCGATATGAATAACCTTGCCTGTGTAGCGGTCAAGCATCAAATTGGATGGGTGACGGTCTCCCAGACCCAAAATATAACCTGTCATGGACATGACTGCAAGAGATCGTGTATAATTGGTTCGACGATCCAACCATGCCTCGGAACTGCGCGACTTGAGCCACAAGACACGGTAAAGGTCTTGTCCTGTCGTGTTGTCCAGCGCATATTCAAACACCTCGACTTTTTGCAAGAGGGTCAAATTGTCGTAATCTGGCGCCATTTGAAGCATCAATCGATGTTCAATATTTAGCAAGATCTTGCGCGAATCCCTGTAGTCACGGATAAGAACATGCAGTGTATCCGAATCAGGCACCCAGCCCAGGAGACCAGAATTGGGAGACAGCGGGATGACGGGATACCGTTGAATGTTGAGGTGGCGCTTGAAGCTCTCAGAGTCAATAGAAAGCAAGGTGTTGACCAATCCAAATAGTTGCATGACACGCTCATCCTGTCGAATATCCTCGTGACCCTTGAGCACATACTGATAATCTTTGCCGTCACTACCCTTCATTGTCAACCGACGAGGACGTTGCTTTGAAGTAATGACATTGAATGTTGATGCAAAGCTGCCGATCTTGATGATTTCGCGACCAGAGTGATATGTGCCAGGCACTGCGAGCTCCAAATCTTGGGCTTCAAGCAACTTTGGAGAGACGTATTGGAGCTCTAATGTGGTGAGCTGGGGTAATTGCCTGCTGATCTTGCGGAACACCTGGTAGTAGAGGTCCCAGGCGGCATTTAAGTCGGCCGTTTCCTGTGTGCGCTTGTACTTAGCACACCAGCTTCGCGCTTCCTGCAAATCTCTTCCAAATGCCTGATTGAATGAGGTTTCCCTCAAAGTCTCTGGGCCGCGCTCGAGTAGTTCGTGGAGTGGCTCAAGCGTAGCAAACATTGCCTCGATATTGCGATCTCCAAAATAGAGGCGCGAAGCTTCTTCTAAGCCCTCATGCCATTGTTCGTGCCACAAAATTGCAACACGAATCAGCTCGTGACTGACCAGCTCAGCCTGTTCGACAAGAATAGCGCTGTGGACTTTCATCTTATCCATGACATCGAGTGCGGCTCTTTGACGTGATGCACTCTGAGACTTGGACGCAACCGTCAGTGGATAAACCAATGCCTGTGGATGAGCTCGACCCACGTCTGCAAGCAGTAGGTGGATGAGTCTTCTGACATTGGCGCCGGCCGCATGAATTCGAGCAATCAGCTGAGGAATGACTTCCAACCAAGTGTCGATACTGACAGTGGTGAAGCCTTCAGTGATGGCTTGGCTCACATCATGATTATTGGCGTACTTGAACCACAGGCTCAACAAACGGAGCGTGTCCTGCAGTGAATTGCCGCTGCTCAGTGCAATAGACCGGAAGAATGCCTGGACAGCTGGCCGAATACGCTTCGCATACATATCATGCGTCACGCCCTCATCCGTTGCCTCTGCCTGCTGAATGACATCGAAATTGGCCAGAGCCCAAGAATGCCATGCTTTGTACCAATCTTTATCAAATTGCGTCGCCAAGTGATATGATTGCAAGACTTCTTCTGTATTGTTGATTGTCCAATCCCGCTCGAGGGCAACCTGCCACTCGCCTTGCTTATTGTAACAGCGAGCGAGCAATTTGTAATAGTCTGCAACATCAGTCTGCAGTGACTCTTGGCGAACAGCAGAAGTTTGTTTGATGGTGCGCTCATCCATACCGAGATCTGCAGACATGCGCGTGGTAAACTCTTGCAATTTGCTCAAAGCCAATGCTTTGTCTTGTGTCTCATATTGATACTTCAAATGAGCATAGACAACGCGAGGCTGCGCAAGGGTCAAATCTCCAGCGACAGCACCTTCTGGTAGCAACGAGTTGAGCGACTTTTCTGCCAATCCAAGACGACCTGATTTGCGACATAAATTGGCAAATTTGATCCACATCTCCATGTTTTCTCCTGGAGAAATAACGAGGGCCCGCACCTTGAGCATGCGCTGCCATACTTCAACATTGCGTTGACAGCCCTTCAATCGCTTCATCCAGGTTTTCCGCATAATCGCCTGGCGAGCGGGCAGATCCTTGCTTTGCTTGTATGTGATGATTTCCTCTAGTTCCGCTAGCATCTGCACTCGGACTGCCACACTGTAGGCTCTGTTGTAGCTTTCTCCAACAAGAGCGGTGAGCTCTGTATCGAGAAGATCGCGTGCACGCGTAATATGTAGTAGCGCTTCAGGGAACTGATTTCGATGCAGCGAGATGATGGCTTTGAAAAATGCCTTGTCCGGAGCGTCAGCCTTCATGACGCCAATGTAATCGTCCATGAGCTCCCATTGTCCGAGTCCCCAAGCGGCGGCCGCAGCGAGCGGAGCAATTGACCTTCTCACGTCATGGCCAGCGTGGATCCATTTGTCTTGTGCAAGCTGCGACAAGTAGTCCCACTCGCCCAAAGCGTGCAAACAGCGCATTTTGCCCATTGTTACGGCAAATGTCTTTTGCTCCTCTGAGCTTCTCTTCTCATAAGCATGCAGTGCATCTTCCCACCGCTGCAACTTCTCATACCAGGTTTCCTTGAGCTCAAGATCATCATGCTGTTGAGCATTGGTCAAGATGCCAATAGCAGCGTCTGGCTGCTGCAACTGGTTGTTGATGCTGATAAGACTTTCGATCGTTTCTGCGCTGGGCTCTGAGATAAATTCAAGCTCCTTGTAATGAAGCGCCTTGGCAAAAGCATGACACTTTGCAGCGTAGGAACCTAGCGTGCGAATATCAATTGGAAGGGCCTTGTCATCGTGCTCCATGAATTCAGCAAGATTGAGAAGAGCTTGGAGAATTTCTGGCGGGATATTTGGCGAAGTCAAAGCAGTCTCGATGGCACGAACGAGCTCGTCTTGGTATTGCTCGTATAGTTCTGTCCAGCAAGAAACAAAGGCGGCGTTGAACAGCTCGCGAGCAAGGGGATAGTACAATCCTGCCAGGCCAGCGCATGCTCTCAATGCATGCGATGGTGATTCGTTGAGCAATTCCACCGAAAGTCGGCGGATCCACTCTTGCCAATCATCTCTTGTAGAGCGCTGAGAGGCTTCCCAAGCATTTTTGAGGTGTTGCTGGTTGACGGGCAGCTTCTTTGCCGCCATTTCTGCTGACGTTGCATCGCCTTCGCGAAGATCGCCAAAGCTCACATCGGGGTTCAAATCTTGCGGCAGCGATTCGCCCTTCAGTAACTTGGAAACGAGTAAATCGTAGTTGGAATGCTGTATTTTGTTGGTTATGAGGCATTTGTTGACCATTGGAATGAAAATGGCATAGTCGTAGCCAAGCTGAAAGACGAGCGCACAAAGACAGTCCATGGCTGCCATTTTCAGCTCATGTGGGCCAGTCGCCAAGACTCTGGCAAGAGGATGTATGATGCGAGAGGAGAGATCAGAGAAATTGACTTTCCTCGAGAGCTGCGCTATCGCATGTATTGAAGACTTTCGAAGGGAAATAGGCACGTCGGTGCGCTCCAATCCACGAACAATAACTGGCAGGATCAAGTGCATGTACTCCTCTACATTGGCGCCAAAGACAATGAAAGCGTGCAACACCTTTTGAGTGGTAATGCGCTGAGGCGAGTTGTCGGCGTCGAAAATTTGAAGCATGAGCGGCAAGAGCGACGGCAAAAAGACTTTGAACTCTCCTTCGAGCGCGCGAGCAATGGATTCAACCAAAGCTAGGATGGTGAGCTGCAAGTTGGATGTTGGATTCCAAAAGTCTCGAATGAGCTGAAAAATGTCTGGCAAGAAATTGCGAATATGCTGCTTCACAATGGAAATGAGAATGCCAAGCTGCTGGAAGTAGAACTCGAGAATATTTGGCGATGAGGTTCGCATGACGAGAATGAAGCCCGGAATGATCTGGGAAAGGAATGGCACGCATTTGAGTCCAAGTGTCTTGAAGATATACATGATTGCTTGGATGACGGCTGTGTGATGCGTGCTCAAAGACTGATCCTTCAAGATGCTCATCAAAGTGGTGATGACGACTGTCGGATAGTATTCCTCTGCAGAAGGTCCCATACCAGTCACTAAGAGGGATGCATCTTGTGTCAAGGCCTTTTGCTCTGGAAGATGATCCTCAGGGCCTCGCTCAAGCATCTGATGCCGGTAGGGATCTAGCGCTCCAAGAATACCAATAAGCTTGACAGTCTCTCTTCGGATTGAGCCCGCTTGTTCGGACTTCAAGAAGCTTATAAGGATATTGAGCAGCGCTGGATAGTCAAGATAAGGATCAATGACATAGCCAGAAGCACTGGCAAGCTGCCCTAATGTTCGAAGAGCCGCATCGCGTTTGACGGTAGAGCTTTGATCCTGCAAAGTCTCGATAATCAGGGGCATCAGGTCGTCCAAATAAGTGAGAAGATCTTCGCCACCCACAGTGGACAACTCGCCGAGGGCGGCCAACACGCTGCTCGCCACACCAGGGCTGGGATCGCGTGCTCTCGGCAGCATGACTTTGAGCATTGGATCCACATACGGCTTGATGAGCTTGCTAGCAGCAGCGATTAAAAGAGACAACAAACGCGCCGACTCTTCCTTGTTTCTAGACACACCGGAAAATTCAAGCTCAGTCAACAGCTGAATTAGCGTCTTGCGCAAACTTGGCATGACATATGCTGGGTTGTGATAAGTGAGCCGCCCAATTATGCTGATTGTGATTTGGCGAATTTCAAAGACTTCATCATTGAGAGCAATGAACAAGCTGCGGACATTCTCAGCCTGAGCCAGATGGCGGTCAAATCTTTCGTCCAGAGAGCTCAACACGATCAATCTGATTGACGAATCTGGATCGGCGATGCCGACAGTTAGGAGCTTCTCGAGGACCTCTCCGACAAGTTGAATTGCGTGATTGCTTGTTTGAAAACAAATGGGATCCCGGACAAAAAGCTGACAGGCCGTCAACGCGGCTGCTTTGCGTACTTCACTGTTGTCATCTTCGAGGTAAGAGATGACACAATCTCGCACAAGTTCATTCAGCACATTATTTGTAAAGTCGAAAGTCCCTAATGTCGTCAATGCTAGACTCACAAGATCCGCATCTCGACCCTCGATTGCAAGCGCATCACGAGCCTCGCGCGACGGGTGACTCGTCACCATTGCAGTGGGTGCCCCTGGCGGACGAAAAGGTCTGCCACTCAAGATAAGGGACAGCAAGTTAAGCAGTCGCTCTTGGATAGTAGGCAGCAGAGGTGGAATATGGTGTGCCAAATCAACGAGAGCATTTCGCAATGTCTCTGAAAGACCACAAGCAAACATCATGTCGAGTAGCTCATGCATGTGAGGTTTGAGTGCTTGCCCAACTGCTATCGCCAGCATTGAAATGCATTGAAAGATGGCCGTCTCATTCTCGCGCCGTGCTCGACCTTTTGTAGCAAGGCCCTCACGGACATTGGCGAGAATAGCATCAAGATATGGGTTCATTGCAGACTTGACAGCAATCGCCACTTCTCCAATAGCCACATACGACGATGTTCGGTCGCGCTCTTTCTTAAGCTGCGCAAGCAAATAAGACATGCTTTTGGTAAGATAGCTGCTAGTGAAGTCGCTTGGGTTGTACGAGGCGAGGGCAGGGATGAGAGAAACGACCATGCGGCGGACTAATGAGTCCCTGTGGTCCTTGTATCGCAGAACAAGGTCGCAAGTTGCTCGATAGCGCTCGTGCATAAACATGCCTGCCTTGAGCAGCAGGGCCCGATAAGCCAGGAGGCTACCGTGTATCACTTCGACGCTGCTACTTTTGAAGCCATGATCAGCCTCGTCCAGTATGCGAATATACCACTGCGTCCGTAGGGCACCTTCGCGCTGAAAGACAATATCCAGGCAGCTAGACAAGGCATCTGCTGCGCTAATTCGAATCACAACTTTTGGGTCGCGCAGAGCCATCCAGAGCAGATCCAGTATCTGAGAGACGTAAGAATAGATTAGTGTAGGCGCATTGATGGCGAACTCTCGAATGACCAGGACGGCAGCCATCCGTCGATTCTCGTTGCGATCGCCCTGAAGCCATTCTAGAGAACGTTTTATTTCAAACTCGACAAACTCTGCCGTCAAAACGCCTCCACTGACGGCTAACTTCCCAAGCGCCTTTGCCGCAAGTGTCATTGCTTGCTGATCGTTGCCGGGCAAGACAATGCGTAAATAGTTGGCGAATCGTGTAATCTTTGTATTGCCGTCCTCGCTCTCAAACTCAATGAGCCGGTCTGCTGTCAGCACAGTCTTTGAGCATGCGCATCATACCAATTGCAACAATGGCACCCAACTTCTCATGATTGTCATGAGAATGTATCAGTTCGAAAATCTTCTTGTTGATCTCATTGTTGAAGCGCGTGAAGGCTTCGCCAGACAGCTCTCTCGATGTGGCAATGACCTGCAATTAGCAGAGATCCTGGCTGTCGTACACCTTACATAGTCTCGTAGGTCATTTGCGGCCCGTAAGCGGGTCTCGGTGTTTCTACCGTGTTAGAAAGGACAGCAAAGGCCTGCTACTCATACCTCGAGCGGAGATCAGAGAAGAGCGCCTCCATACTGAATCAAGACGACAGCATGCTGGGTGGAGAGACGAGGCGCTTGCTTGCGTTGATTGCGAGTCAAGTCGCTTTCCAACGTAGTGGAGATGACCGCGCGACTTTGATCTCACGAAGCTGACTCCTCGCTACAGCTCAGCTTGCTTGCCAAAGACGACTAGCTCCGGGCAGACGGCCGGCCTACATGTACCATGTATACAAACCTTCTTGGACTTGTGTTGCATTGACAAAAGACGGCACTGGCAGACGTTCCTAGGCCAGTCGCGCACCACAGACTGTCTTCACAATGGTCAAGAGGGCATCAAACGAGTCTCGATGCTACAAAACTGCTCAATCTGACACTCGTAATCCTCCGCTTTCATTGGTAGCATGATTGTTCAGCTTCTGCGCAGATGGCAGGTTTGACTACATCTCTGCTAGCGCCATGTATGTCCTATATGCATCTCAGCCTCCATCCGCAGCACGCTGGGCACCATAAACCTCACTTGTGAAGCTCTGTACGATAGGGACGAAAAGTGTCAACGACCTTCCAGCCTCTGGTCATTGGCGCACTCTGCAAGCAGAGCAGATCAAGAATCAGACCTTCAAAAAAACCAGGGTCAGCATCAGTGTCGCGGCAACCTAGCCGCCACAAGTCGAAGCCAGTGCCAATTCAACCTCATCTCGCACGGCAACATACTGCAGCGGGCACGAGCGCCATGTCATACTCGGGGCAAGGAAAGACATCCAAGGCGGATGGCCGAGGATCGATGCCAGTCTGGCTCTCACACGGGAAGTTTTCCGCGGCATTTTTTTCACGCAAACACCGGCGAAGCAAGGGTCGTTGGGTATCGCTTCACGATCGCAATGGAATTCAATACTGAGCATCCCTTTGAAACATTTGCTGCACTGCCTGAGCTTTTCTCTTGTACTTTCCGTGCATGCAGAAGGACAGACAAAAATCAGTCAAATAGGGCAGCCATCGACAATTCTAACAATTCCACATCAGTCTTTCTGCCGGGTGCGTCGTTTCCAGCCAAGCAAGCTCGAGTGTCAGTTTGCAATGTGATACAAGGCGGGATTCTTCTTTTGCATGCCCACTTAAGGTCAAAGCGAGATTGGCCAAGTCTGCCATCGCAAGTCAGGCTGCCAAATCGGGCCGGTCGTGAATGCATTGGCTCGCTGCATCAGAAATCGACAGAGCAAAGCTAGAAAATGCTCTGCCTACAGTTTTCAGCATACGACTTTGATTGGCACGATGTTCAGCGCACTGGAACCTCGCTCATCAGGTTCCACTTGTTGAAAGACTATGCCTTGTGATCGTATGGGATCTCTTGCTTAATGGTGTCATGGCATAGGGGTGACTGGTATGTGGAGAGGCTATGACAGGACATTACAAACTGGACGCGAGAGTATTTGTGTGAGGGAAACCGGATATGGTTGATGGGGAGACCAGTGCGGCATCTTAATAACCGAGCCGTGACACCGTCGTTGCTTTTTGTTCACGCATCTCTGGTAAGGTAGTGCTCAGCAGCCCATCTCAAAAGACTAGCAGGCACGAAAAAATGGTACTCAGGCAAGGCCACTCACTTGTACAGCTTCAGGTCTTGCAATATCTTGGCGCGCTCTGCTCTTCAAATAATCTTCAATGAGGCTAAGCTTTTGCTTGACAGTCGCAGAGATCGTCGAAAGATTGAGCAGGTCGAGTGAAATGACTGTAGCCAGCCAGCCGAGCAACTGCTTGCGGTGGTTCACCTCCAAAATCCAAGGGTTTTGTGACATGAAATATGCAGCTTTGCATTCATCGATTCTTACTGCTCGAACGAAAGGCGTGATCTGGCGACCTTGCTGAAATCTGACGTCGCATGCGAATATAATTTTCAAGTGAACAAGCCATTGACGAAGTCTGTTACATTGCTACAGAAGGCTTCGTTCAAAGTAGCAGTTCTAGATACTGTCAACACAGCAAAGCAAGATTAGATGTTTACATATGCTAGGCCCGGCAGTCTACATAGGCTAAGCGTCGCTGTCTTCGCAGTCAGATAGTCTGCCTGGTGGTCTCTCCAATGGAAATGTTTCAAGGGACCGCCGTGGCTTTCAGTCTGCCGGATAGGCCGGGTAGCATGTTGATCGCTATGGAACTTCAACGCTAGAGCACCTAAACCCGTACTCTTCCCCAGTTGGTAGACCACAACAGTCTTTATTGACATGTAAGAACAATTCGACGATTTGATCCGTATCGCTGGCCCTGCTAGGCAACTTCAAGGACAGCAGGCCTAAGAAAAATCATACCCAAGAACTTCAAAATCAAGCAGATTAGCTGGCCCCGTGACAGGTTGAAAGAATGTCACGTCACATTGTCTATGCCCATGTTCGGCCGACACATTGAGCAAGCTTCCTCCATCGACAATCCCTACGGCTGCCCTTTTTCCCTCTTCTTCCTTCATAATCACACGGCCACCGTCGCCTGCAGCCTTGAATCTGTGATTCTCATCCCACGCCCCCCACGATTGAATTTCTTGGACAAACGTCCTGTGTGCAAATTCAGAGACAACCTCAACATGTATTCGTTCCACTTGCTGCACAACCGTCCGGCCCATCATGTGTTGGAGGTGATGCTACTCGCGGTCAAGATCTCACGACGTGATCGGCAGTGGCAAATCGCATGTCTATGAACGACCATCATGGAACAACACAGAAAGCGAGAGAAAGCAATAGAACAACAGATGTTCTGTAGGCTTCCATGGACACAACAAATGTTCCAGCAGCTTCCATGAGCGCAAGTATATAAAGGTGGCAAGGTCTCATAGTAACATAGTAAGGAATCCCAGTATCAGCTGAACACGCGAAACACCTAAACACCCGAAGAGGTTATGAGCCTTGTTTAGTTCAGCATACTTACAGAACACTCCAAAGATCAGTACGCTCAACCGCCTTTCAACCAAAGATGTCTTCTCTGTCGCACAAGGACTTTGCCCCCGTGGACAAGTTCGATGGTACAAATTTCAACCTGTGGAAGTGGAAGATGAAAGCGGTGCTCCTGTCACAAGAGGTGTGGCATGTGGTCGAGCCCGAGCTCTCTGGATCAGCACTGGAGAAGGACAAGAGTGCACCAGCACTTGAGAAAGATAAAGAAGCACCGGCTGTTGATGCCAAGGCAGAGAGAAAAGCATTCTCTACCCTCGCCTTGTCCATCAAGGATTCTCAGCTGGTCTTAGTTCAAACCTGCAAGACAGCTCGAGAGATATGGTCGAAGTTGCATGAGATACATGCAGCACAGTCAGCCACGAATCAGCTTTTCCTCCGTCAGAGCTTCCTCGCTTTGAGGATGGAAGAAGGCGACTCGATGCTTGAGCACATTGGCAAGCTGAACGCATTGGCGTTGCAGCTAGACGCCGTGGATTGTCCCCAAAGTGAGGCGGACAAGGTCATGGTGCTCCTCAATTCGTTGCCACCAAGTTACGCACACTTGAGGACGATGCTCAGCGTGCAAGGGCCACTGAGTACATTGAAACAGGCTTCCATCGAAGCGCTGTTGCTCAATGAAGAGCTCCAAAGGAGAGGAAGTACAGTTCCACCCACAGGAGACGCAGCGTTCTTCCATTCGGGGAACCAGAAGGGCCGAAAGGGTCCATCGCCAAAGAAAAAGGGCCGGTGCCACTACTGCAAGAGAGATGGGCACTGGGCAGCGGACTGCCGCAAGAAAATAGCAGATGAGCGTCGCGGTTCGGCCGGCGATGCGGCGGCAAACAGAGCAAAGGTGTCTGAAAATGATGCAGAGATTGCCTTTCTCCACGCCCAAAGAACGAGTGATGATCAGACACAGGACTGGATTATCGACTCTGGTGCTAGCCAGCACCTGACTCCGCTGAAAAACTGGTTCGTTTCTTATGAGACAATCTCGCCAAGGAAGGTGTATCTTGGTGATGACACGTATTGCGAGGCCACCGGCATGGGATCAGTCAAAGCCACTGGATCCGACGGCACAGTCGTTACGATTAATGATGTGTTGCACGTCCCGGGCCTAGCGCACAACTTGCTTTCAGTAGCGAAGTTGGTTCAGAGCGGCATTCGCTTGGACTTCAAGAGCACGAGCTGCTCACTCAAAACGAGCACCGGAAAAGAGGTCGCAGTAGCTTGCAAACGCGACAATCTTTACTCAGTCACGCTCAATAGCGCAGTATCGGCCTTGGTGACTGCTGAGAAGGTCGACATACAGGTTTGGCACAAACGTCTGGGACACATCGGCAAGAATAGCTTGGTGCGCCTGCCTGGTATGGTCGATGGTGTGTCATTGGACGGCGAGTACGACAACTCGCATTGCATTGGGTGCGTCAATGGCAAGCACACGCGTCAATCGTTTCCATCGAGCGAGACGACAACAACAAAGAACTTGGAGTTAGTACACTCGGATGTGTGCGGGCCAGTGCAAGTGGCAACTTACGGAGGTGCCAAGTATTTCGTCACATTTATTGACGACCACTCGCGAAGGGCTTGGGTCTACTTCATCCGGCAGAAGTCGGAAGTCTTTGAGAAGTTCCAAGAGTTCAAGGCGCTTGTGGAGAACCAAGCTGACTGTCGCATCAAGGCGCTCAGATCAGACAACGGTGGCGAGTATTGCGGCAACGCTTTCGAGAAGTATCTCAAATCTCACGGTATTAAGCACCAGACGACAACACCACACACACCACAGCAAAATGGAGTGGCAGAGCGCCTCAATCGCACTCTCGTGGAGAGCGCGCGATGTATGCTCGAAGAGAAGGGCTTGCCAAAGGAGCTGTGGGCTGAAGCAATCAACACCGCTGTTTACATCAAAAACAGAATTCCAATCACGGCACTCAAGGACAAAACATCGAAGAAGTATGGTCATCTCGCAGACCAAACTTGAGTCATCTCAGGGTATTCGGTTGCGACGCGTATGCGCATGTTGCGGACGCCAATCGACAGAAGTTGGATGCGAAGTCAAAGAAATTGGTTTTGGTCGGTTATTACGAGGACAGCAAAGCATATCGACTCATGGATTTGGATACACACAAGATTACAAAGGCGCGCGACGTCATCTTCATGGAAGACCGAGGAGACAAACGCGATGTGGTGTACGTCCCACGAGAGGAGGACGCTGACGACGACAACACGAGTGAGGCTATTATCGACAAGCCTACTGAGTCGCTACCAGCCAAATCGAAGGAGGTCGCTCACGCTAAGCCAACAAACGCTACGAGCTCAGGTCAAGTTCGACGCTCTGCTCGTCTGACTCCCGTCACGCCAGTATCGCAAGAAGATTCGGATGATGACATTGATTTGCTACAACAGGCATCATCTCGTGTGCGCGCAAATTTGGTCATCACAGAGCCAGAAACTTACAAGCAAGCGATGGCTGGTGAACAAAGGGAACAGTGGGAGTCTGCTACCAATTTGGAATATGCATCACTGATTGAGAACAACACTTGGACGCTATGTGAGCTCCCAAAGGGCAGGAAGGCCATCGGCAACAAATGGGTCTTCAAGATTAAACACAATGCCGACGGATCGATTGAGAAATATAAGGCACGGCTCGTTGCTAAAGGCTTCTCGCAGAAGGAGGGAATTGATTACAACCAAACATTCGCCCCTGTCGCCAAATTCAATTCTATCAGAGCAATCGTCGCTATGGCAGCCATGTACGGCATGGAGATTCATCAAATGGATGCCATCACAGCCTTTTTGAATGGTAAGCTTGAAGAGGAAGTCTACATGGTGCAACCTGAAGGATTCAAGGTAGGCCAGGACTTGGTTTGCAAGTTGAATCGAACACTATACGGTCTGAAACAGTCAGGACGAGAATGGTATATGGAGATGCACAGAGAGCTTGAGTCTCAAGGGTTCACAAGGAGCCAAGCAGACTTCTCGGTTTACGTCAAGGGCAGAGGGCAAGTCATCGTCGCAGTTTATGTGGACGATCTTCTTATCGTTTCGAAGGACAACAATCAGATATCAGAGGTCAAAAGGGATCTCTCGGCCAAATTCAAGATGAAGGATCTAGGCGAGGCACACTACTGTCTCGGCATTGAGATCATTCGAGACACGAGTTCTGGAAGCATCAGGCTTTCGCAGCGCAAATATGTTGACGACATTCTTGAGAAATTCAACATGACTACTTGCAAATCGGTCTCATCGCCAATGGATTCGGGCACCAAACTCAGCAAGATCATGCAGACTGATGAAAATGGCCAGGATGACGATTTCGGCGAAGAAGATGCAACAATGTATCAAAAGGCAATTGGCAGCATCATGTACTTGATGACAGGTACTCGACCAGACTTGGCATATGCAGTGGGAGTCGTCAGTCAGTTCATGGCAAATCCAGGACCACAACACTGGAAGGCTGTCAAGCGGATCTTCCGATACATTCAAGGCACAAAAGAGTATGCATTATCGTTCAGTGGGAGCACAGAAGCACAATTACTTGGCTACACTGACTCGGATTTCGCAGGATGTATCGACACTGGCAAATCTACAAGTGGCTACAGTTTTAGTCGCTGGC